TGGCGTCCTCCGCAGTGATATTGGTCGATTACAATACCGAGAACTATTTTGCGATACAAACCTGCAACTCAGTCACTTTTAGGTGCAGTGTTACCATAAGAAAGCCCAAGGAAGCACAACAAAAGACAACTCAATTGGGTCTATTGCCGACTGAACAACTCGAACTTTGTGTAGTTCACTGCCTTGAACATTTTCTCAAAGAAACCCTGATTTATCGTTCCACCTTACCTGAAGATCATTCACTCCTGTTGACATATCTAACATCCTGAAGAAACACACCTACAAGCATCCAACCAAAGACAGCTGCAACATGGGTGAAGACTCATATGATCAAGGCGGGTATCTCCAAGGAATATACTGCTCATTCCATTAGAGCCGCCAGTAGTACCAAAGCAGTTCAGAAGGGTGTCCCCATCTCTAAAGTCAAACAGCATGCCAATTGGTCTCAAGACTCCAATACCTTTGAACGATACTATTACAAACCAGTTGGTCAAGACCATGAAAGCACCAAGATTCAAAATTCAATTTTTGATGCTGAAAACAATACCACTTCGGAGTCCGAAGCGAAGGCAACAAGGATTGTGTTAGGCACAACATACAATACCAAAGTTGCCGGAGCAGAGGATGAAGAAGTGGTACAAACCCAACCCTGGTATAAGAGATTGTTCTCTTAACTAAATTTATATGATTATCAAATTCCCTCCCAGAAAAAAAAAAAAAAAAAAAAAAAAATTGAATTTATAGCTAGCTTGAAAGATCTGGGGAAAAAGGGGAAATATTATTATTTTTTTATTATTATTATTATTATTATACACTGAAAATAAAGCGTGGCTAGATAGCTTGTACCACTTCTTCATCCTCTGCTCCGGCAACTTTGGTATTCCTAAATCTAAAGCCGGTTCATTCTTATTTGCCAATCACGTAACAATGCCCTAAAAGGTGCAGGTAAACTTTACCGACTGCAGACAATCCCTTGATCATCGCTCCAAAAGCTGCTCACTGTGTGCTTTAGCATCCATTGGACTATTTTTGGCATCATAATATCAGGCTATAATCAACGAGTTTCCCTTTCACACGAGCAATGTGAAGTCCACCATATCACGTCTTAACGTTTGTCTGCCACGCAGTTGCTGCGGGAAGCGACTACTTTAAATCAAAATTAACTGTTGTTTGTACAGTAATAATGCCATTTAAGTCATATCCCTCTGTGGTATTGACTAGTTTAACAATGACAAAAAAAAAAACAAAAAAAAATTTTGTCTAGTTCTAGCCTTGTAAAGCTTTTTGTATGATTTGCATATACTATTTGCTACTCTAATTAAGGCGTCAAATGATTCACACTAACTATGAAGCCACACTGACTATTTTTATACGAAAAAAACAATGCACGCATTGAAAAAGATTAATTTAGCAAGCGAAATATAACCACAGACAAATTTCACATAGGATTCAATTTTATTCGTTATAACTGATATTCAACAAATCATTCTATGATGTAACAGTAATGGCGAAAAAAAAACTACATTTTATACATGATCATTTTCTCAATATTCACATTTTTTCCTGCCAAATATCAATTGTAGAACAATTATCTCACCTTCTCACCCATCGAATTCATTAGTGCGTCAAAGAATTCATCGTCGCTTGCTTGTTGATTAACATTAGCATTCCCTGCGGGCACAACTGCAGGATTTTGCCCATATATATCATTCATAGGTTCTATAGAACCTACCATGATCTTATCTCCTTCATATTCTAATAACTCCCCCTCTTCTAAACTATCTCCACCTCTTGATTGTACAAAATTATTATGTCTAACTTCAACCTCGCTACTATCTATATTTTTTGCAGAAGCGGAAGTTTCAGCATCTTCATTTGTTACGATTTCCTCGTTTTCCTCCATATCGATGTCCAGTTCTCCGTCTTCTAGATCGTCTATTTCTGTGTCTTGTTCATCGTCGTTGAATCTCAAATCTTCATCGCCACTATCGATTCGCTCATACTGACTCCATCCATCGTCGTCATCACTATCATCCAATAAGCGTACAAACCCTTCTGCTTCTTCCTTTTCTCTCTGCTCGGCTTTTCGTTTTTCTTCCAAAAGAGGATTGGTCCAAGTAAACCTAGCCGCTATTGCTTCTTTCATGGCCGCTTTTTTCTCTTCCTTTTTTTCAATTCGGGCTTCTTTCTTTTCACGCTGCGCCTTTTTTTGAGCATAAAATAATCTGCACTTACCCATGTGCCCAAACGGACGACACCCGCAACATTGCTGGCACTATCGTTACGATCAAGTTTTGCAACATGAGGTAATCGACAGTTCGCATTGGAGCATCTGCCTGTTTCGGCAAATTCGGGGCAGACATGCACATGCTTTTCGTTACAGTGGAGTCCTTTCGGACAATAACCCTCCATAGCAAAGGCTCGGCATACAGGCGCTTTTGAGTTGACCTTGACATGAATAAAGGCGCAACCTTCATTTGTACAAGATCCCTTTGAAGATAAACACAGTGGGGCATGATATGGGGATTGGGATAATGGGACAATTTACAGAGATGGGCAGGTTTCTTACACCGATTTGCTAAAAAACGAGGACAAATGGCTTTTCGTTTAGGATCATGGACAAATGGACACCGAGCTGCGTTCGGACATCGACCGAATCGAGTGTAGAACCCACAATAACGCGGTTTTCGTCTTCGTAAGGCACTTTTATGAGCATTCAGTACGAGTGACCGGCCGGAACGACCTTGACGAACATAACCCTCGGGCTGACGAATAAATACTTTGTTAGGGCCGCCATTCAATCCTCGTCTAAGCGGTTTTTGGGCTGCTGCTGCTGCTGCTGCTGGTGATGAGCTTCTGATAACACTAGTGGAAAATAAAAATGCATGAATCATTCACTCTCGAAAGCCAATATTTCTTAAGCACCCACCTTTCTGTTGGACGATTATGTTGATACAGTTTTGATGGCTTCACTATGGGTGATCTGTTCATCAAGTCTTTTCGAAATAATTTTCTTCCGCTAATAACATATTCGTTTTTTATATCAGTACTGGAATTCTTCGCTACTACCGGAATGGCAGAAGTTGGTATCTTATTGAGGGCTGGTGAGCTAGCACTCGTTGTCAACAATGAACCCGACGGGGAAGAGGTATTATGACTTGTGGAACCTGTTGCAGATGACAAAGCAAGCGAAGATGCATGTTGGGGTATCGAACTCGGCGAGTTTGCTAAGAATAAATTAGTAGGTGGGGTGTTGGAACGAAGTGGGCTATTCGGATTAGACCATCGATTATCGTTGACAAGAGACAAATGCATGCCACCTCGGCCACGATATCCGAGACCTCTGCCTCTCGAGCGGCCACCACGGGGTATACTGGGGTTATAATGTTGTGGTTGTTGAGAATGGTTGAGTAATGCTTTTCTTGTTCTATAGCAGTGCTCAACTGAGCAATTCTAGCTAGCATTTCCTGATCGGATGCCATGTCTATAATAATTGAATTAAAAAGTGTAATTTTTGTTTTTTGAAGCGGGAAAAAAGAAAATTCTTGTTAGCAGAAACATTAACGAATAGCTTAGAACAATGGTCACGAATTTCAAAAGCTGTCTTCAGTTTTTTTCAAAATAAATATTACTGATACCCATATAAAGCTTGGTTATGATACTATATACTTTGATGAAGTGTTAAGGATGTGCTTTAAAATAGAATTAGAGCTTCATTTTTCATTTGTATAGATCAACTGGGTTATGCTTTAAATGAATTATTTTCATTTTGGATAAGCTTTTGAACACCAAGATGTGCATCCGACAATGACTATATATATATGATGTCTCGTTCTGTGTATGTTAAAGCAGAACATGCACTCAAAGCTTATGGACAGTTGGCTTAAACTAACGAGTCACTGCTTTTCTTCAACCATAAGTACTAGATAAGCATGTAGTAAAGAGTCATCTGTGTCGGGCAAATGTGTATGCTCCCTTTTTTTTTTATGAGGGTTAAGAAATAAATAACGAACGATTTTGTTTTATTAAATAAGTTTAATTTACATAGTCAGGTAAGTACGATGAAGGAATAGAAGGTATGAGACTTGAGGTGAATAAGCGAGTCTTGTGTATACAGTATCTATATTATAATTGGTCTATGATAACACACGCATAGCCATTTCGAAGCTACAAAGTGAAGAATGGGAAAAAAGAAACAGTTAACAGGTATTCTCAACGTAGAGCATTCACAATTTAAACATACCCCATAAAAGTAACAGCATTCACTGGTGCAGCACGCAACAAACAAGGTCCAATACCTCTGAAGAAACCGCTGACACCTTCCTTGGCTAAAGTCTTTTTGGCACAATGCAACACGGATCGATATTGTTTGGTTTCTGGTGTGAAGCCATCTGTTTGTAATTTAGATTTGATAACATCCATAGGATAAATAGTAAACCACATGGCGTAGCCAGCAGCAGCACCAAAAGCACATACTTGCCAAGTAGGCAAGTCTGATCTTTGTTGCAAATTGGCTCTTTGCATTGCTTGCTGAACCAAATATTCATAAGCCAGGAAATAAGCACCATAACCTTGGAATTCACGAGCCATAGTGATACCTTGACCTTTATAAATGCCTGTTAAACCATGAGAGCGATAAATTTGCTTGATACAGTCAATGGGACCTGCATAGCCTGTGCCAGTTTGAACTTGAAGACGGGTACGAATGTGTTCAACAGGGCCAGAGACGAAGGAGTTGGCAAAACCAGAAGCTGCACCTGCTAAGTAAAGCTGAGAATTACTGAGAAGTTGTCCCTTTTCATTGACACTGGCAAAATGACGCTTCATGGCCTCTAAGACTACAAATTGGATAGAAACACAGGCACCGATACCAACGAGAGGTGTCATGGTGCCCTATTGGCAATTAAACACAAAAAAAAAAAAATACCCTATTTAGTAACTTTTAACGCAGGCTTTTTTTTTTTTTGACGGTTTTTTTCCCCGCTTACCTTATAAAAGCCTGCAATACCTTCCTTGGCTCTCGTTTTCTTAACGCAATCCAACATGCCATTGTATAAGGATTTGTGGCAGATTGAGTTTGTAGACGCTATATTGAAAGTGTTAAAATTAAAATCCAGGGAAAAGGGTCTAGGCTATGGAACAAAGCAAGATAAGTGTGATACTTACTACTTTCACCGTGTCAAATGGCTTTTAAAAAAAAAAAATTAGATGAGATCCTTTATCCTATCCTGCTATCTTTGAGTATATCTGTATCTCTATGTTACCTGACCAACAAGAACCTGAGCAATACCTCCCACAGTACCACTGATACAGTCTTTGACAGCTTGGGACATGCTATTTCGTTGTTGCAAATGTCAGAAAATAGATGCTGAAGTCTGTAAGCTGAACACTATGATAGTAACTCTATCTTATTGATTGCCTCCAAGCACATAGATCTACATACCCAAGATTCAATTCCTTTAACTCTACTGTTTCTGCTGTTGTAATAGATGTCATGCTTTAGATACGCTGTTCAATAAAAAGAGATAGAAAGGTAAAAAAAAAAAGGAATGAGTTTTATCAAAGGAAAAAGAAAATCAAGTTTTGTTGAATACAGGAAAATTTAAAAGTTTATTTTTTTAGATCAGGAAAATATACAGTTTTTTCTTTTTGGGCTTTTATTTGGGTATCTCCGAAAATGTGGGGTAAATTCAGTCACCAGGTATCTGTAGCTGTATTAAATACTTCCTCTTTGCGGAGATCTATGCTGTTATCTATCCATTGGCAGAGATGGATGGTAATCACTGACTTTTGTGAGCACCTTGGCTGCTATCGATGAGAAAGAACCGTAAAGACAGGCGGTTCACCGACTATTCAATGTTTAGCGTAATTACAAGACTGGTTTCTCAGCAAAATAAATGTACACAACGGCACATGAATGAAAACATTGCATTTCAGGGCACCTTTTCTAAAGAGATAGTTGGAGTAAAGTATTCTGTCAGTGATGGTATTGTTTGAGCCTTCTATGAAAAGAGAAAACCTCAAGAAACAGCTGAAGAGGTGAAGAGAAATGATGTAATATTTGAAGCTAACACGGCTCAGTGTACAAGCCATTTAACTAAGATGTAAGAGTTTACTATGTATGCAAAAAGCTGGTAATGGAATAGTTTGGTGTCTTAGCCTTCAGCTGTGAAAAAAAAAAATCAGATAATCAAAGGGCAGGCATTTACCAGGAGTAGCAATAAAAAAAGATATTCCTGACCAGTATTAGCTGATCCGTATAAAACTTATGACTATCGTTTGATGACAACATTAGTAAAGCATATTACTGGCCTTCACTAACGAGCCTACTGTTTGAAGGACGCTATAAATTACAAAAATCAGCTTTTTAGAAAGTCGACCACCCAAAACTGACTTCAGCGATGTTTATTTAAAGTTGTTCATATTAGTACAGCAGAATAGAAATTTTAACCGTAAGCAATTGAAAGACTATATGCTAGGAAACTTTATCTTACAGTTCACATTGTTGATCTTATATTTATAGCCGAGTTGCTTATATCAATCTGACATAATTTGCTGTAGAAAAATGGTTTTAGAAAAAAAAAGAAGACAGATGCTAATACCAACCTTAAGTTGAATTTTTTTTCTTACCAGGAAACATGCCAACTTGACCATTTAGTCTACCTTTCCACCAGTCATTCACTTTTTCTGACTTGTCTAATACTTCAATCAGATCTCCTACTTTAAATGATAGGTCGCCCTCTTGGGGTCCTTTTAAATCGTAGAGTGCTTCTACTAATTCCTTTTTGCTGCTTTGTTCTTCTTTGTTGAGCTTTTTGGAAGGTGGTGGTGGTGGCGGTGGACGCTTTTTCTTCGCTACCACTTCAATTTGGTCATCAAATGGTGATGACGAGCACGCTGTGAACTGAGTGCTGGAGGGTGTTGCAGGTGTAGATGAAGTATTACTTGTTATACCAGCAGAAAGAGAGGTGTGCGAAGATGCGTTAGAGGCAAACGTTCGTTTTTCTAACTTTTGCTGTTGTGATTGTTGTTTGGTATACGAAGAAGGTAGCAAAGAAGCTGTGGCATGGTAAGAAGGCGTCGATGACTCGGAAGAATTGGATAATAGTCTATTCCTCAAAGCAGCTATGGAAGGACGCGGTGTCAAGGCTGGAGGCTCCTCTTCAGAGCTGCTCCGAGATTTTCTGCTCTTTTGATCCATGTTACCAATGCCATCGGGCACCGATAGCATTGTTTCTCTGAGTCCATCGTTCCTTTGCGACTTTGACGTGATGGTGGAGGAGTAACGGCGGCCAACGGATGAATATCGGCTGTTTTGAGGGTCGTCTCTATCAGGTTCCTGGTCATCTTGACTTGGTGAATCAAAAGGTGACTTGCGGTACCGCGATGACAAACTAGGATCTATATCATTTCACTTCATGAGACTGTGACCTGTTTCAAAGTAGGTTGTCTGTAATATGGATGTTACCTTTCTGTTGCCAGAGTTTTAAACCCTTTTTGAGTAAGTCGAGCTTATCCAATTCCTCTCTTGCATTTTTCTCAGCTAACCTTAGGTTATACCCCTCCTCAATTGGCATGTGTAAAGTGCTAAAAACAATTTCATTTTGCTGGATGACCTCTGAGAGACGACCATAGATGCCCGCGGCTGCGCTACATTGCGCGTTGTAAAATCTTTCCATCACAGGACCCATAAAATCAGCTCTCAACAAGTCTATAAACACAACCAGCTCCTTCTTTAACATGGTATTGAAATAGTCATAATCATAGGCTGCATTATCGTACAACGTCTGCAATTTCAACAAATTTTTTTCCTCGCTGGGCGTTGGATATTGAATATCAGCATATTTCATATACGACAGACGGTGGCGATCGTAATCAATTAACTTGTGCTCACGCTTTACAATCGTTTTGTCAATGACTTTAGCAATTTGATGAAAGTTATCTAGCGGTCCAATGACATTCGCGTCGATATCATCCTAGAAAAAAATCATGGCTTACTTGTTAAGTAAAAAAACGCATAAATTGTATTCTTCCGTCCATCCATCGCAAAAAGAAAAACAAACTTACAAGGACAGCCATCACTTCTTGTTTACAGTACGCCATAGCTGTGGCATAGTCTTCCAAACATTGTTTTGTCTCGAAAGGTATTTTTGCATCATCGTGCTCTTGATAGGGTTGCTCTGATAGCCCTTCATCATTTGTAGGACTTAATCCGCATACTTTGGCTATATCTGTCGCGCATTCCATCTGATAGCTGAGCATACCTATTAGACCCAATGATTAAAATTGACTTTCTGCATTGGAGTAAACTACAAGACGACAATGCTACTTTACTTGACAAACTGCCACGATACGCTATCACTTCTAAACGAAACTCTTCTGCAGCCTTCACGAGTATCTTGTAGCATTGTTCCAGCTCAGTAAATTCCAAATCTTTGGTGACATCTAGTTCAGTATTTTGGGTCAGTGCACGTATAAAATGGGCATGACGTTGGACCGATGATCCTTCGTGTTACTGTACCTTCACCACCATTTCTGGTTTTCAGTTGATGCGGAAGTCTTGATATTGATTTTTTGACCCCTCTCCTAGGGATGAATGGTTGATAAGATAACTACCTAATAAAAGAAATGATAGTTACATACCAGCTCATATCGTTTTCTGTAAGCAAGGGCGACAAATACAAAATGACAAAAAAAAAGCCAACAACAATACAATAGGAGAAAGAAAAAAGCAGTAGCTCCACTTTTTTCTTTTTGGGTTCAAAAAAACCAACAAAAACCTAAGGTTTTGAAGACAGACAACTCAGATTAGGACCTCGACAGGAACGAGGCACTCAACATTCGATAGTGAGCAAAATGTTCCAAAATAAATTATTATAAAGCGTCTGCTTTTTGTCATGGTGGACATGGCCGCTACAGCGATAATGATTTTTGAGTTTTATGGTGGCTTTCAAATCCCTGTTTGTGCTTTAAGGAAAAAGAAAAAGAAGCTATCCTCTCATTTTTGGGTGACAGGCAGCAGACGAACTCATCAGCAAAGGAACAGGACCCAAACTTTTACACGCTATCCATAGGTAGCAAATACTTGCAGTGAGCTGCTGCTGCTGTCAATCTCTCCTTGTAAAATCATAAAAGAGAAAGACACTGAGGAACACAAGGCAGAAGCAACTGTTACTATGAATTATAAAAGTGTTGTACTATACCAAGGCTTTCAGTGCCTGAAATATCACAACGGATAACTATCATAGTGATAGTGTGCTCGACCACTTTTTTACGGATCCTATAAGAAATACAATTCTTGACATCGTACACGAATACTCGAGATGGAGCTTGCGGGTCATGTTGGTCGATTATCTTATGTATAACAAACCCTATTGGCCATAGTAAAAGTATATTATCATGCAGTTACGCGAATTACAGATCGACCGTTCATGACTGAGAACTTGACGTACAACTGACAGTTACAGTACCCAATGTTATTGACTTGATGATGGTATATATTATCATTTTATTTTTCCCTTCCTCATGGAAAGATAAAATAGACGGGCCTGAATTTCCTCCATTGTTTTTAGACCTGCATGAAATTAAAAAAAAAAGGGACTTTTTTCTTTTCCTTTTTTCCTCTTCCATCATCAGTACATCGCCATCGATGGATTTCAATTCAATCTATCGCTCGCCTAGCTATTCAGGCTCACCTTCGAGACGCAATCATCTGTATGATAAATCTATGGAAAGCGCAGGAATGCCTGCCAACAAGACTGTGGAGGAAGGATTAAAAGATGAACAACGTGCATCACAAAACATATTCGAAAAACAGGACGCTGATTTTCCCAGTGAGTTTCAATTATTATGTAACAAAGTTCAGGGAAAACAGGGCAATTATTCAACTTTTCTTTTCCATTCAGGTACATTCAACGATTTTGACACATCATTTTATGAAGCCGTCGAGGATCTAGTGTACGATGCAGACAAAGAAAACGAATTACGGCAAAGAGTCACACAAACAGGTTCTTTCGTAAGTCAAGATTATCCTTCGACTGCAACACAACATAGGCTGCGATCCTTCAGGAATGAAGACGAGCATGTTACGACCGAAGGGGCTTCGTACGATACACCAAGAACCCTATGGGATGTATTACGACCGTTCGCCTTTGTTGTCTTTCTGAGTTATTGGGTTGTCCGGGAGCCGGTGGTGCGTTTCCTTGCTTTTATCACGGTGCTGGTTACCACTGCGATTGCTGATCCTGTCTTTTACGTGTGGGAGTCTTTCTTTTCAGCCTACTACACACCCACTGCAAAATATCGAATTTATTTTATACGTGCATGCACCACATTTGTGTGTCTCTTACTAGGGTTGATAGGCTTGAATTACGTTTATGGCGTTTCATGGAAGCAGGTGGGCAACATTTATACAGATATCAAAAGTATGGCGCCCAGCCTGCAGAAATTAGCAGAAATGGAAAAAAATCAAATGAACGAGCGACATCATATTCTGCAACTCATAGAACAGCATTCCTCCAAAGTGATTCAACAAAATGCTCCCTACTGGATCGAACAACAGCTACAAAAGCATAAAGTAGATCCGTTGACAGACGAGTTGTCAAAAAAGACGCTTCCCTCGTTGAACAACAACGTAAGCCCTCTCGTTGAAGAGGAACCACCGTTTGACTACGCGTCACATCAATATGGTGGACACATCATTCACTCTCAAACGAGCCAGTCGTTTGTGACGAGAAGGGCTATCAAGAGATGGATACTCAGTGTGCATTCTCATCCAGCGGATAAGATTCTGAGCCATAGTTTAGAGCCTGGTGAATGTTGGTGGATGGCAGGATCCATCGGCCATGTGACGATCAAGCTAGCAAGGCCTGTGAGGGTGGATAGCCTTTCTATTGGACATCCTTCACCCTCGCAAGTACTCCATAAAGAAAGTATACCGAAACAAATGGAGCTGTACGGCATCGAACGCAGCAGCGGCAAACGCATCTTTTTAACGAGTTTCGAATATGACATCGAGAGCTATCGCCATCTCCAAAGGTTTGACTTTAACAATGAAATGATTTTTCACGCTGTTGAACTGAGGATACTCTCGAATTATGGCAGTAGTCAGTACACAGAGCTTTATAGTGTTCGCATTCATGGAAAACAATAACCATCCTCCTCTGCATATATCATTTCTATTATTATTCTTGTTTTTTTTTTTTTTTTTTTTTTTTTTTCTTATTGGGAATTGCCTTCGATTCAGCTGATGGATGTGGCCTCTTTCAAGATTTGCATACGCGTTTTACTGTTACATAAAGAATGTATCATGTCGATCATCACTATTTCATTCTTTATTTTAGAGGGCCGAGTAGAATGGCGGGCGTCTATTTTTCAAAAGAAACAAAATTTCAAATGAAAAATATGACTTTTGTCTAATGCAACTGAGACAAAAAAAAAAAAAAAAAAAAAAAAAAAAAAGAGCTGTAACCAATGCATCGGCTTTTAACTGTATTTGGATTAATAAAGTATGTTCTGGTAAAGAATTTTGATTTGGTTGAGTGGAGGAGATTTGATTATCGTTTGGGTTTCTTCTTTCACCATCAGCCAAGTGTAGAGTTGTGTGTGTCTCTTTCTTCCTTTACATTTCTGTCAATTGAAAAAGAAACATATGGCCACCGTGGAAGAGATTATTTTTGTAGGTACAGGCACTTCGAGTTCTGTACCTGTCATATCTTGCCTTACCAGCCCTAAAAGGGATTGTAAGGTTTGCCTTTCAACTCTAACACCTGAAGGAAGGAAAAATATCAGAAAAAATACTTCTTTACTGGTTCGATTCCGTAAACATGCTGATCCTCCAGGTGCTCGCTTAAGGTAGTGGACTCATAGCAAAATACATTTGAAAGAGATTGTTGAATGTTGGAATGACAAAGTTACTGACCTGAGTTGAACGAATGGTCTTAGAAATGTACTCATCGATTGCGGCAAAACGTTTCAGTGTAAGTCCCCTTTATCAGGAAAACCCGTTTCTGAAAAAAAAAACAAAAAAAAAAAACTTGGCTACTGAATCAGCACAACGGGGTGATCGGCCATTAGCGAGTGCTATCGAGATATTCCCCCGTTATGGTGTTCGAGAATTAGATGGTGTGATTATCACCCATGGACATGCGGACGCTTGTTTTGGATTGGATGATTTAAGAGGTTGGACCTTAGGAGGGGCCATACAACCTTATATTGATATCCACTTATCTCCAGAGTCGATGGATGTCATCAGTCGAACCTTTCCATTTTTGGTTGACTCGGCATTAGCCACAGGTAAGATAATGTTTTTCCTTCGTTGTTGTCGTCGTCGATCGACCCCAACGGGCAGCACAGCACAGCTTCTTTCGTCAGCCCCTCACTTACATGTTAACCCCCCCCCTAGGTGGTGGACAAGTGGCTGATTTCAAATTTCACGTTTTTGATCCAGAAAAGCCGTTCACTATCCACGGACTCGATTTTATACCATTGGCTGGTAAATAGTTGCATGTGCAGCAGGTTGTTGTTGTTAAAAAAAGAAGGGATAGGATACTCAAAAAGATGTCTTGGCTTTAGCTCATCATGGTATCTATCAAACGACCCAAGAACCCTATCTATGTTATGGCTTCAAGTTTGACGATATCAGTTACATTTCAGACACCAATCTTATTCCGCTCAAAACGATGGAAATAATGAAAGATAAAACAAAAGTGTTTATTGTAGATTGTCTTCGACGTAAGCATTCATTTAAAAATATGGCTCCATGTGAAGCGTACACAGCCTTACAACCCGCCGCTCTTTATATGTTTAGTGGATATACCGCATCCTTCGCATTTTATTCTGGAAGAGTCAATAGAAGCAGCGAGAACTGTCAACGCTTCATTAAAGACGTACTTTGTTGGATTTACACATCGTGTCGATCATCAAGACTTTGAAAAGCGGATGGAAGAATATGAAAAGAAGGAGGGATTGAAAGTACGGCCAGCCTATGACGGTTTGAAGGTTTCCTTTCACTCTACCCATTTAATAGAAACAAATTACTTTGAACAAGAAGAAGCGTCAACAAAAGCAGCTTTATTTTAATAGAATATGATTCAATTCATCGGTTGACATGTTGGAGGACTTTTTTTTGCGTCAAAATAGAGACATTTCCCTATAAAACACAGAGAAAATTCTCTGGCCCTTTTCAATAAATAGGTGTATTAAAAATTTTTAAAGAGTATTTCAATGTATGCAGATACGGGTTTAGGACCAGACAGTCATAGTGAAATAAGAGCCATTAGGTTTACCCATAGTGATCTCCAGAAAGATAGCGCGGAACTACATCTATGTACTGCTCGTAAAGAAAGCATTGCCTATGCATGGTGGTTGATTTCATACAAGTTTTGTTCTCTTTCCTTGTCTTTTTTGTCTCATTGCCACACCCATTGATTTCACTTTGAAGAAAGGGATCATTTTTGAAGCATGTCTTGTGCATCATTTCTCTGAGTGTAGAGCTATGAAGCCTCAAGTGAAACCCCTTTTTATGCTCATGTTTAACCAAAGTTGGGTGTGCCCCATCTTGGGTTAGGAGTTCAGCCAACATGCGATAAAGCAGTCCTTGGTAGGAGAGAATTCTGACGTAGAGTATCTGGACAAGTGAACCTTTAGACACTTTATATAGCTTTCAAGTGCACAGTGCTGTTCACAATTCTTTGCTACCTTTTCTATGTGAGTCGTTGAGCGACCCTTAGGTAACTACAATGAAGGAAACAAATGATCTACTGTCTGCTACCCCGCAGAACATGCAATGACTAGCCCCTTATCATGAGTGTGCCTTATACAGTCCTGTTGGCTCTTTCTTGATGATTAGTAAGTAAAGACAAACAAGATCTGCTCGCGTCATCCTCTTCAATTTTTGGGTTGGTATTCACCCAAAAACTGGACTAGAACTTGCTATGACCTCTTGACACCCTTCCTTATTTTTTCTCACACAGTTTATCTGCCCTTTGATCAACAGCAGCCCATTCAATAATAAAGTCCGACTGAAGGAGGAGGAGGCACCGCATCTATTCTACTTGCCCACTACAATCTACATGGGTTGCTACTCTTGTTTCTAAAAAGAAAATGACCTGCTTGTGCAGCAAAAAAAAACTCACCTTCTTTAGCAAGACCTTCTAAGCAGCCATTGGAATCCTGATGTGCATGATCCAAGCAACGTCGTACCGTGGTTCTCTGTAACACAAATCATCCAACATCTGGCTTACTGTATAGCAAAAGGTCAAACTATCTTGTGCTGATTCAGTTTCAATGGCCGCCAAAAATGGGGACAGAAAAAAAAAAAAAAAAAAAAGATAACCTGAATTTTTTTTTTTTTTTACCCCTTCACTTTTTTTCTCTTTCTTATTTTTTGCCCACCTGTTACGTATACTATGCCTTCTCCTGTAGGTGAACCATAATACGCACTTTATTATTTGTTTTGACCAACATTGCTAACTTTATGGACGCTAGGCCTTTGAACAAGCCGCTGCTGAAGTAAAGAATTTGTCAAGCAAGCCCTCAGATGACGTCCTCTTGAAGTTGTATGCTTTGTTCAAGCAAGCCACTGTCGGTGATAACAACACGTGTAAGTAGTTGTCTGTTCTTTTTTTTTTTGCAATGGCCAATTGTTCATAGAGGGCTCATTCATTCCTTTCGAATAGCCAAGCCTACATTTGATCTCAGGGGCCGTGCCAAGTGGAACGCTTGGGAAGAACTCAAGGGTAAGTATTCACATGATTCATTCAAGAGAAAAATAAATGACTCTAAACCCGCACACTTTCTGTACATATAAAGGTAAACTTCCCGCTGAAGCCGAAATTGAATACATTAATCTCGTCAACGAACTCAAGGCTCAACACGCTTAAACCCCCTTTGGTTATCTTTTTTTTTTTTTTTTTTATTGTCCAATACCCTTTTTCATTGTTATAAAAAAAAAATTGATTCCACCTCTAATAAAAACAAAGTCGATGTAAATTGTAAATGACATCAGTGACCATCAAAAGCTATGCTCGTATTAGGGTCTCCTTTTCCTATGTATATTCACTTTTGGGACGCGTGAATTGAGTCGAAAGGGTGATGTGCAGTACTTGTGATAGATTTTAACACTCCCCCCGCGATGCTCTATAATGCAGATGAATACAAAAATAAAAAATATAAAATTGGATTTGAAATTTTGTGAGTTTAAATGGGGGCTTTATTTTTTTTTTCCTTTTTCCTTTTTCAAATTTTATAGATAAAATACCCACATCTCAGCATGGCCGATGATGACAGAGACACACAGCAGTTAGCAGAACGTTTGAAAGACACGAGTATCAAAGAAGGAATTTTAGTTGATGTAGAGTCTACAGAAGACAAAGAAAGCACGCCCACGGTGAATGTCGGTGCTGACTTGTAAGGCAAAAAGCATCATGCTATGTAGGATAAAGCCTATGCTTTTGTTATTGAAAAAAAAAAGTCTCTTTTGTCAAAGGGATCAACATCCAAGCAAAGAGATACCCTCCGCCGAAGCACAACAAGCTGCTTCGTATGTACAGAATCAAGGTAATATCCACTAAACCATTCGCTTTGAGAGTGATCCTTAGTAACGATGGATATGTATATGATGATTAGAACAAACGACAACAACGTCACGGCAATTTCAGACGGACGTACCGACCTTTGACTTTCATCGCTTTTTAGAACAAATGAAGGACCCCAGTGCTGCACCTATTGCACGATACACCAAAGGGTAAAAGGAAATTTGTTTCGTACATAGCATTGATAAAACCACCCACCCACCCAGTTTTCTACCTAGGTTTATTGCAGCATTTCATCGAAGAGAAGCTTGGACAGTCAACGAGCAAATCAAATTTATTCAAGATTATCTAAATGTATAAATCTGTAACATTGTATCGTCAGTCATGGATGGGAACCTACGGTAGCTCAACAATGCCTTTTTTTGGGTGATTTCTTTTTTTAAACTTGTCTTTTTAGTTTACTTATGGTAAAATGCGTGATTGCGATGTATGGAGAGACATATCTGAAAAGGAGTTTGAGAATGCAAAAGAAGGCATGGAAAAGTTGGTCATGAATCGACTCTACAATGTGTAAAGTACCTTGTGTCTTGGTTTGCGTCGGTTTGCGGGTCACTCATCTATTATTATGATCGATATAGTACATTTTCACCAAGGACTATGGATGATAAAGAAAAGGACAATATTTTGCATCATAAAATCAAAATCTTTCGCTGGATCCGAGAGGAGCACTTGGACATACCCGTTACAGCAGATAATCCATCCTTTTTAACCTTTGCAGAAGCAGGTAAGGTGACCCACCTCACGTCTATCGATAAAAAAAAAAAAAAGCAACGGTATTGATATTTTCTTTCAGAGCTACTAAAAATCAACAACTACAAGGCGCCACGAGATAAGCTGATTTGCATTCTCAACTGCTGTAAAGTGATTTTCGGATTGATCAAACATATGAATGTAAACGAAGGAGGTGCCGATATATTTTTACCCTTGTTGATCTACGTGGTGATACGTGCCAATCCACCCCGACTCATCTCCAATGTTCAGTACAGTCTCTTTTGAAAAAATGTATATTGGCTAGAAAAAAAGATTTAATCCCTTTTTTTTTTTTTAATTAGATATATATCCCGGTTTCGTAATCCTGAACATTTGAAAGCTGAAGCTGGTTATTATCTCACCAATCTGATGGGTGCCATAGAATTCATTCAAACCATGGATGTCAACTCTCTAACCATCTCGAAAGAACAATTCGACGCGTAAGTGACTACTGCAATTGATTGAGACAAATAGGAAGGAGGGACAGCCAAGCTCTGATACTTCTTCTTTTTTTTTTTTTTTTGATCCCATCAGAAATATTGAAAATACCATGGCCGCGTTAGAACAAGAAGAATCACAAGGTGTCTTGGAAAAAGACAAAAAGCAAGTGAGCTACGATAATGTTCTTCATCCTCGACACGCCAAAAAGCAACCTCAGCAGCAGCCATTGATGGATTTAGGGTCAGATATAACACAAAAATCAAAACAACTCGTCGAAAAATTGTTTTCCGACAGCCATCCACCCAGCGATAGTGACACGGGCGTAGCTTCTTCCTCCTCGAGGCAGGTATATCCATCCTCGCCACCACCGCCACGATCACCGTCGCAGGGCCAAAGCACACCTCAACGTGCCAACAGCCCTTTTTACGTGCCGAACGACCCATCTTCTTTATCGCAAGAGCTACCTGTACCTTCGACGATGGCCGCACCTGAAGGAGCTGTTGCATCGCCCAGGCCACTCTCTGACGATGAAGCCCGTAAAGAGTTTGATGAAAATCTAAGCACGATCGTGCAAATGTTTCCTAATATTGAACCCGGAGTCTGTTTTATGATTTTACAAGCAAGTAAAGGCAAATTACCACAGACCATTGAAAGGTAAATTCAAGCTACCAGAGGGGTTTTTAAACTTTACTCAATACTAAAAACGCTTTATTTTGCAAACAGTTTGCTAGATATATCCAATGAACAAAACTAGGCTTGTTTTTTTTTTTTTTTTTTTTTTTTTTTTTTTTTTTTCTCTATGGAAGCGAGTCAACCAAAATGCCATCCTCTTTAGACAATAAAGCAATTGTTTTGTAGGCTAAAGTCCTTTATCATGTTCATCGAGCATCTATCAAATTCCCTGGAAGGGCACACCGACGAAAAAGAAAAATAAATGTTGCTTTACATGTACACAAACAGGATCCATGCTAGGGGTGGTCAACCCCGACAAGGTGAGTACTTGATTTCGAACGACTGTATGGTGTATGAGTATAAACTCTTTATGAAGTAGGGGTGTGTGTGTCGCATGGTCGGCCCGCTACACCCATAGCGGAATTTGGCCTCCTTCTTCTATGAATTCCTTCCTTTTTCTTCTATTGCTGTTGATGACTCCGCCGAACAATACAATGTATCATCGTTCACAGAGAGTGGGCGGTTGGACTTGTTGATCTTAGTATGTGGATTGTATCTTCCCTAGGCTAGCGTTTTACTATGATGTTAAAATGCACGGAAACAGCTGAGAGCGTCATTATCTGAGGGTGATAGACAGTGGTTTAATCCCATTTTTTCTTTTTTCTTGAAACAGAAAAATGATGTTGATTCATGTCTACCCCCTAACACGAACAAGACCTCTCTAGAGCCATGTCCTAAGACAAAAATGGTACGATTTCTTTAGGGCTTTTTTTTTTTTTTCAGCACGCTACAAAGAAGTTTTCCTTTACAAACCATATTTTCTCTTTCAGTTCCATGCACTTGAAGGAGGAGACGGTTGAAACAACTCAAATAAGAGGATCAAAGAGGGCAGATCAGATCCGCCTGTTAGAAAGGTGAATGGGTGCATACAAATCAATGAATTTATCATTGGCCCTCTTCCCATTGGGGGGGGGGCGAAGCCAGAAAAAAAAAAGAAGCGGAATCAGGGACAGCAAAAAAATTCAAAAAACAGTCCTCTTTTTTTGATCTATTGTGAAATTGAATCAGAAGAGTGATGACAAAACAAGAAACTGTCAAAAAAAATTCATTTTTTGGTGGTACACAAGTTATGCATAGCCTCGTCCTTCATGTGCATGCTGTCTCGTTCATACAGGTTGCATTATTATGGGATGGCATGATACATGCTGTTTTAAGTCATCTAAAAAGAAAGAAAAGATATAATGACCGCAAAGACGAAGAGGCTGTTGGAAAGACATTCTGGCTGTAGGGTAGCCTTCCTCGACAGCAAACGATGCTTTTCTGCGATAATGTGTGCTGTTTTTTTTATTGTTTAAAACAAACAAACTCAGAGAACCTGCATTCTACACCGAAGCGAAAGCGGGGTTTGTAAACCTCTCCACTCAAATTTGTCTTAAAACACTCATTTAAAAAATATCCTTCAAAATGGGGACCTTTTCCTCTTCTTACCTTTTCTTTTTTCCCTACTCCTTGTTATTACTTCTACTGCTGCAACGACACGATGACCACTGTAGCTCCTGCCGGCCAAGTCAATAACATTGATAAAATTCCAACAGAACAAAAGAGTGCATTTTATTCTTTTCTTAAATCATTATCTTCTTTTACTGGTGATTTGTCTTCAGTAACATGCCCTGCTTTTTTACTTGCACCTGAATCCTTGATTGAATACTCGTAAAGTAAACCATCGTATCGATGTTGGAATTGGTTTCTTTTTTTTTTTTTTTTTTTTTTTACTGACAGTTGTTTTTATATGGTTTTTTATTTTTATGGTTTAGGGAGTATTGGACAGCACAACCGGAACTCTTTGCAGCCATTCCTAAACCAGATAAAGAAGTGGATCGATTATTGGCCTTTATGAAATGGTTTGTTTCTTATTTAAATGCATCGTATAAGAAGCGAGTGCCCAAGGGTCAATGGGAAAAGAAGCCCTTCAATCCAGTCCTGGGAGAACAATGGCATATGCAGTGGGCGGATGTACACGGGTGCGGCGAAACGGATGTCTTGTGCGAGCAGGTCTCCCATCATCCTCCTATCACTGCATTTCATATAAAAAACGAGAAAGCCGGTGTGGTGTTGAAAGGTCACTCGGGTCAAAAGACTCGCATCTCCAACGCTACGTTGGTCTGTGATCAGCCTGGTCGTGAACTGCTGACCTTGCCTTCCAGAAACAACGAATCCTATCTTTTTACAAGCCCTTCCTTGACCGTACGAGGTCTTTGGTATGCAGGTAAGGGGGATCACCACGAGGAGGAGGAGGAGGAGGAGGAGGAGGAGGAGTAGTAGTAGTAATATGCAACGCCGGGCTCCATTCTCAACAAGCCTATTCCTTTTTTGTTAGCTCCTTACGTCGAATTGATCGGTACGACGTATATTCAAGCATCGACCGGTTATTACGCTACTGTAGAATACTCTTCTCGAGGCTGGATCTCGGGTGAAAAGAACCACTTTAAATGCCTCATTCGCAAGAACTCAGCTGGCCCCAAAGACTACCTTTACAAAATCGAGGGCCAATGGAGCGGCAAATCTTTCATCACCGATTACAAAACACGCGTCTCTCAACCGTTCATCGACACGGCTGATTTCAAGCCAGCGATAGCCAAGGTGAAGCCTATCGAAGAAATGGGTGAAATGGAAACGCGTCGCATATGGCAAAAGGTGTCTGAAGCGATCCGCAAGAACGACATGACGACAGCCAGTCGAGAAAAGAGCATCATTGAAAATAAGAAACGAGCCGAGAAAAAGGAACGTGAGGAAGAGGGCGTGGCTTGGAAGCCTTTGTATTTCAAATGGGAAGAAGATGAGCCTACCGTCACCAAGTTACAGCAACAGTTGGCTCCTGTCCTGAAGCATACGAGTAAATATGATATGGCCTCTTATAGTCAAAAGGGTCTTTGGGTCTTTCATGAACCACCCAAGAAAAAAGAGACAACCACCGAGGGTAGTGTTGCTGCTGCTGCTGCTGCTGCTGCTACCACTACTACTACTACTACAGACAACACAAAGAAGAAACAAGACGAAGATGACACACAAAGCTCATAGACCCCCGCCTACTTTACCTTTTTTGATTTACTCACGAATACCTTTGCATGTCCCTTATCGCCCTTATTGTGCGTATTATCATTTTGTTTCTTTCTAATGCCACTTGTACACTTATGTCTATCTTGTAACAACCATATACCAACCGTCTTATGCTGCTTAGCAATTACCCATAAAAAATAGGGAAATCTTTTCCATGCATGAAATCTCTATTGTTCTATATTAAAAATTGACAGGTTTTGTTTCATGTTATCTTTAATTAAAAATAATAATAAAGTATAGCCGCCTTGGCGGGCTTGTTCATTGTCCGAGGAAAGAAAAAAGGATTTAAAGAACTGAGCTTAAAGCATAGTAGCGTTTTTTTTTTTTTAAATATCTTTTTCCGAACGTTTACCCTATTCATCCGGACAAAGGGTTCGCGACACCACACTATTTTCCTTTTTTTCTACTCAATTCTTTCTTTTTTTCTTTTTTTTCCTTTTGTTTATTTCATTTTATACAATTACAGTCAAATCATGGTCTCATCCAAGGTTTTCCCTACAGAAGAAGCAAGAGAAGCGGCTATTGTCGATTTGGAAAAAAAGTTTGACTTGACAACCGAACAACTCAAGACCATCTCTCAACTCTTACAAGAAGAGATGAAGGTGGGTTTGAGCAAGTATGATATTAGCTGTAACGTGCCTATGCTTGCTTCTTGGATCACACGTCATCCTACCGGTCAAGAGAAAGGCGAATACTTGGGTTTGGATTTAAGTGGTAATGTAGTATACAATACACACACACACATCTAAAGATGCCTATTTACGTGTTCAAAAAGAATGATTACGAGACATGGGGGAAGCGCTCTCAATTAACTTGGATTTTTTTTTTTTTAATGCGTCGGCATAATTTTTCGTTCTTTAGGCTCTTACATCCGTGTCTACCTTGTCACACTTCATGGTCAAGGTCGTATCACCACCCGCCAACAAAAATATCTCTTAAGAGACAACTTGAAAGTCGGTCCTGTCAGCAATCTTGTCAACTTTATGGCTGAATGCGTAGACTCCTTCTTGAACTTTGTCAATAAAGTCGATAATACACCTTTGAACCTTGGTTTGTGTATCTCTTTCCCTCTCCACCAAACCGCCATGAGCAATGCCTACATCTTGCAGTGGACCAAGGACTTTGAAATCACAGGTGCTGATAAGAAGAACATTGTTGAACTTTTGCAAACTGCTTTACGTAAACGTGAAGTGCCCGTCATTGTCAAGGCAGCTGTCAATGGTGCAAGTAAGTGTGCTAAGAAAATTAAAAAGAAAAAGTGAAACTTTCCGGTTTTGGGAACGTCCATTTCAAGCCCGCCAAAAAAATAGAAACCTAATCAGATGCATCGCCTTTTTAGCCGGCTGTCTTTTGGCTCATAGTTACCGTAGTTTGGATACATTGATTGCTTGTACCGTGAGTACGGGTACCAATGCTGGTAAGTGGATGATAACAATAAAAAACACATCCGATAACAACAGAAATTCATATTTGCCCGAGAATAGCTTATTGGGAAAAGACTTCGGATATCGTCAAGCTTCCTCCCAAGCCGTCTGCCAACCCGGATGAAGAAATGATCATCAACACCGAATGGGGAAGTTTTGGTGACACCAAATCCGAGACCCTCCCTCACACCTTCTACGATATCCGTGTCAACCGTCAATCCGTCAACCCTGGTATTCACGTATTTGAAAAGATGTGTTCCGGTCTCTACTTGGGTGAAATCGTCCGTTTGATCCTCGTCGACTTTACTGACCGTCGTTTGCTCTTTGACGCCAACTACTCTACAGAGCTCAACACTGCTTACAATTTCGAATCCGCTTACATGAGTGCCATCGAACGTGATGAAACTCCCGACTTGACCGATACCAAGCATTTGCTGGAAAATGTCATGGGCTTGCCCAAGACGACCTTGTCCGATCGTCACATGGTCAAGCGTATCTGTGAATTGGTCGGTCGTCGCGCCGCTCGTTTGATTGCCGCCGGTATCAACGCTATTATCAGCAAGCGCAATGCCTTGGAAGCTGGTTTGAGTATCAGTATGGAAGGCACCGTCTATGAACATTATGCCAATTTCCCTGATCGCGTGAATTCCGCTTTGAGAGAATTGTATGACGATGGCTTTGAAAGAATTAACATTGGTGTAAGTATGAGGGTCAGAAGAGGGGTCGGATGAAGAAAGCGGGGGAGAGATAAAAGCTTATAATACAGTGCATGAATAAGGATACTGAAAGCACGTCATGCTTTTGCTTCTCTTGTAGATTACTCGTGATGGTAACGGTGTTGGTGCTGCTTTGGCTGCTATGATCGCCAGTACCCCTCAATAATCCGTACGCATTCAATAACTACACTTCTTTTTCCCCTCCATTTAGATATTTTTCCTTTTCTACATTATCATCATTTGTTTATTCTATCTAATGTAAATATAATGCCTATCATTCATTAAGAAAAACCTAATCACTAAATCCTTATATACATCGAAAGTTGAAACTCCTATATATGTTAAAAAGTGTGTGTGTGTGTCTTTGTACTGACTCTTCTCCTATTCATCGCCCTATTGTACATGTCATCCATACAAAATAGTAGCAACCATATTGGCTACTATTATCCACTCAGTAGTCACTGATCCCTGTCATGATGGCTACAGCAAGCAAAGCTACACAAAGAAAAAAATCAACCCCAATTTAAATTGAAAGACAAGTATTAATCGTAGTTTATTATGTACTAGCGTTATCAAAGGATAGTTAAATAGTGACAGGCTCATACTCTTACACCCTTCATCTCCAGTCATTGTGGGCACTCCTTTACCAAAAAGCGCACCTATAAGTAGGGTACAAAATGTCAGCACTTGATTCTAACGTATATTTATCACCCCTTTCCTCCCTCATCCGTGACTTACCAGCCAACATAGCATTGACATAAATTCTCCAACGACATTGCTTGCTGAATTAATTTGTCTACTTGAGTCGGCACATCCAAAGTAACACGAGGATTGAAATCACGACCCGTCAACTTGTTCGACACTCTATTCACCACAGCGACTGCACGAGAATTCAACAGCTCAGGTCCTTGTGCATTCTCATTAGCAACCGCTTCTACTTCAATGCGATTCAATCTTCGACTCACTGAAAAGTTGCGAGGGCCATCCTCTGGTACACCAGCTGCACCATTGACACCTTCTTCATGGCTCATCGCTTCGATACCCCCTCTCATACGATCGTCTGTTTTCAATAAAGATATAATAATTAGAGACACAAACCTATCCCAATAAATCTTCTCCCTTGGACTTACTCTGTGTAGGACTCTGTGGTTGAGTGTTCAACAATCTCCAATTGATCAAAGGATCATAAACAAACGCTTCGAGAACAGCCATTAAACTTTCTTTATTTTCTCGCAAAACGCGCATCACATGCTCACAAGTGATACGGAAATTGCCTTCAATGCCACTGACTTCCATTGCTTTCACCAACATACGCGTTAAACGGAATGGAATCTTTTCAGGGAACTTTTCTCTATGCATAGCAACCTATTTTTTTTTATGGTTTTTTTTGTCATAGTACGATAAGAAACCTTTCCAAAACACATTCAATTGATTTTCCTTACCTCGAAACAATCACCAAAGTCAATATGAACCACTTTGCCAGTGACACGATGGAGCATCAAATTGGACGGATGGCGATCGCCTAGACCAAGGATATAGCCCACCATGGACATAACAGCTAACGATCGGGTATAATTGGTACGTCTATCAAGCCAAGCTTCTGAATTTCGACTCTTTAACCAAAGGATATTATAAAGATCCTGACCACTCGTTTGTTCAAACGCGTTCTGTAACACTTCTACTTTTTGTATCACTGTTAGGTTATCATAGTTGGGTGCCATCTGCCATAGAAAAACTCGGTTAATCCTATGTCTAGCCATCCTACAAACAAATAGCTCCTTACCTGTAACATTAATCGATGTTCTAAATTCAATAAAATTTTTCTACTATCTCGGTAATCACGAATGAGCGTATGTAAAGTATCCGTTTCTGTCACCCAACCGATCAATCCAGAGTTGGGCGATAAAGGTACGGCGGGGTATCTTTGGATATTCAAATGTCGTTTGAACGTCTCTGCATCATTGGTCAAAAGAGTGTTTACCAAACCGAATAATTGCATCACTCTTTCATCCTGTCTCAGGTCTTCATGTCCCTTCAACAGATACATATACTCCTTGCCATCACTACCAATCATCGTCAATTTTCGAGGTCTCTGCTTCGAGGCAATTACGGTCAAGCTAGGATTAAACTTGGCAATACGCACAATCGGTTTACCACTGCGATAATAACCAGGAATACAAAGCTCTAAATCCCTCGCTTCCAACAATTGCGGCGAGATATATTGTAATTCCAGACTGGTGAGTTGCGGCAATTGACGCAGAATGCGCGTCACCACTTGACTGTACAGCTCCCACGCTTGATTGAGGTTGTTCAAATCTCGCGTTTCTCGGTATCGATGACACCATTCTTGCGCTTCTTTCAGATCACGTCCAAACGCTTGAAGAAACGATTCCTCACGCATCGTTTCAGGTCCCCTGTCAAGCATTTGATGCAAGGGCTCCAATGTAGCAAACATCGCTTCCACATTATGATGGTTAAAGTAAAAACGCGACGCTTCTTCGAGCCCTTCGTGCCACATCTCGTGCCATAGAATAGCCACTCGAATCAGTTCTTGGCTCACCATCAACGCCTGCTCTACCAAAACTGCACTATGCATACGCATACGATCCATGATGACAAAAGTAGCTCTACGACGAGGCACGCTTTGTGACTTGGATGCCACTGTTAAAGAATACACAAGGGCTTGTGGATGCTCACGACCGATATCTGTCAACAATTGGTGAATCAATAAACGCACCGTGGCATTCGGAGCATGGATACGCGCGATCAATTGAGGAATTACTTGTAACCACACATCGATACTGATGGTACCGAACCCTTCCCCAATCGCAGCACTGACTTCTGCATGATAGCCGTATTTGAACCACAACGTCAATAAACGCAACGTGTCCTGCAACGAGTTCTCTTTTGACAACGCGATCGATCGGAAAAATCCTTGCACCGCTGGCACAATATGATGACTAAAGATATGAGGTGGTAGCTGCTCGGGATGAAGACGTTCATGGTAATCAATAATGTCAAAGTTGGCTAAAGCCCATGAATGCCATGCCTTATACCAATTTTGATCAAAACGCGTGGCCAACAGGAACGAGCAAAGGATTTCAGGGATCGTGTCTTGTGTCAACTCGTAAGAAAGAGCTCGCTGCCATTCTCCTTGGCGTAGATAACAACGACTGAGTAAGCGGGTATATTCCGCCACATCGTCGGTGATACGATTCGGATCAATAGGCATACTCACCGCCATTTCATCCGGATTGAGGCCCAGATCTTGCGTTTTACGCGCTGTGAATTCTCGCAAAATCGTCAATGCGCGAGCTCGAATCGCAGGCTGTTTATCGGTCGGCGCCATCGAAGCCGAGTCCCACATGTGCTTTAACTGAGCATAGACAATCTTGGGATGAGGAGCAGCGGCTGCCGCTGCGGCGGCGGCGGCTGTGGCTCCACCACCATTGGATAACGACAAAGCCCCACTGTCATCGTGATCTACGGTCACGACTTCCATCAGGCTACGTAGCGTCTTTTCTGATAAAGAATATCGACCACTCTTACGACATAAATTAGCAAATTTGATCCAAATTTCCATATCTTCTTGAGGAGAAATCACCATCGTTCTCACTCTTAGAATACGCTGCCATACTTCTACGTTGCGTTCACATCCTTGAAGACGCTTGGCCCACGTCCTCCTTATCTCAAGCTGCTTCTCTGGATCATTCGCGGATTGCTTATACAGGATCAACTCTTCCAATTCAGCGAGCATCTGGACGCGTACCATCGTTGTATAAGCACGGTTGTAACTTTCGCCAAGCAAGGCCGTTAATTCTGTATCCAAAAGATCTCTTGTTTTATTGATAAACTTCTCTGCCTCCGCAAACCGGTTACGGTGAATGCTCAAAATAGCTCGGAAGAAGGTACGATCAGGGCTTTCCGCTTTCAATAAAGCAATATATTCTTCCATTTGCTCCCATTGACCTTGGCCCCAGGCAGCCGCGGCGGCAAAAGGCGCCATGCTTTTACGGCTATCCATAGGTGCGTGTATCCATTTTTCTTGTGCTAAAGAAGACAGTTGATCCCACTCACCCAGGGCATGCAAACATCGCATACGTCCCAGTGTAATCTCCATCGAGTTGGGGTTCTCCAACTGTTGTGCTTCATACGCTTCAAGAGCGTCTTGATAACGGTGCAACTTTTCATACCACGAGACTTTGCGTTCCAAACCCAAATTATCTTGCGCAAACGTCAAGATACCCATCGCGGCATCTGGTTGTTGTAAAAGGTTGTTCAAAGACATGAGCATTTCCACCGCTTCGAACGATTGCTTGGTGTGGAATTCGATTTCTTTATAATGCAGAGCTTTTGCGTAAGCATGGCATTTTTGAGCATACACCGCCAGTGTGCGGATATCGATAGGTAACATCTTGTTATCGTGCTCCATAAATTCAGCCAAATGCAACAGAATTTGAATGATTTCAGGAGGAATGTTCGGTGCCTTCAACGCCACTTCTAAAGACGCGACAAGCTCATCCACATATTGATCGTAAAGTTCGTTCCAACAAGACACGAACGCCGCATTAAACAATTCTCTTGCGAGAGGTGTGTAGACGGAAGCCAAGAAAACACACGCACGTAAAGCATGAGAAGGCGACTGCTTCAGTAATTCTACATTGAACTTTCGGATCCATTCCATCCAATCTTCCTTGGTCGATCGTTGCGAAGCTTCCCATGCTTTTTTCAAGTGCTGTTGATTGACAGGTTGCTTTTTCGTAGAAGCACTTTGATCAGCCGAAGGCGTCTCATCGCCCTTCATCAACTCGCGCTCGTCAAGTGCTTTGCCTAGTTCTTGAGGTAAGTTTTCGCCCTTCAATAATTTACTGACAAGCAATTCATAGTTTGTATGAGAAATACGGTAGCGAGTCAACACTTTGTTAATAACAGGTATAAACTTGGTATAATCTGTGCCTAATTGGAAAATTAGCGCACAAAGGAGATCCATGGCCGCGTTACGTGCTTCTAGAGGCAAGACAGGTAAAACACGCGCTAACGGGTGGATGATACGAGAAGCGTAATCAAACATGTTGACCTTTTTTGACAAGGCAGTGATCGAAGCAATCGCTTGGCGACGAACAGAGGAAGGTGCATCAGGTTTTTCAAAAAACTTCACCACGGCAGGTATCACCAAATGCATATACTCTTCAATGTTGGCACCAAAAACAACAAAAGCATGCAGCACCTTGATCGTAGGTTGGCGCCGTTCAGAAACGTCGCTGTCAAATATTTGTAACATATGGGGTAATAAACGGGGCAAATACACCTTGAGCTCACCATCGAGTGCTTTAGCAATAGCTTCAATCAAAGAGATAATGGTGATCTGAATGGAGGAGACAGGAGTCCAGTAATCATCGATAAGGTCGAAAATGTCCTTCAAGTAGTTACGGATATGCTGCTTCACAATTGAAACTAAATCAGCCAGTTTGTGGAAATAAAGTTCCAGCATACCTGAAGAAGAGGTACGCATCAGCGATAAAAAGCCGGGAATCACAAGTGGTAAAAATTGAACGACCTTCAAGCCCAATGTTTTAAAGATAAACATGATGGCGTCCATCACGGAATAATGGTGGGTGCTGAGGGAAGGATCACGAAGAATTTTCATGAGGGAATGCATGACCACTTGAGGATAATAATCTTCTGAAGAAGGGCCAATACCCATCATAAGTAAAGTGACATCGTTACTAGCGAGTTTAGGATCGGCCAAGTCTTCACTTGAATTACCAATAGCACTCATCTAACAATCAGTGTAAGCCTATGATTTAGTATCCACTGAGTCTTTTAACCACGTCCAATCTTAACAGAGTCTCTCTTACCTTGTGTCTATATGGATCAAGTGCACCCAAAATACCCATCAGTTTCACCGTTTCTCTTCTGATAGACGGGCTTTGTTCAGTTTTCATGATATTGATCAAAATATTGAGCAGGCCTGGATATTTAATGTAAGGTTCAATGACGAATCCAGTGTTGCTCGCTAGCTGACCCAACGTTTTGAGAGCCGCATCTCGCTTATCACTTGAGCTTTGATCCTGCAGCGTTTCCATAATTAAAGGTATCAAAACATCTAAATGAGGAGCCATGTCTTCTCCGCTAACGGCTGCCAGCTCACCTAAAGCACCCAGTACAGCAGAAACCACACCCGTTGATTGATCACGCGCTTTAGGTAAAAGCACTTTTAGGACAGGCTCAATATAGGGTTTGGTCAAACGTTGCGCTGCCCTGACTAACAATGAAATGAGTCTTGCTGCTTCTTCTTTATGACGGCTGACGACAGAATACTCTAGTTCGGTCAACAGTTGTATTAACGTTTTTCTTAATGACGGCATGACATAGGCCGGATTATATGTTGTTAAACGACCAATAATAGTGATAGCAATTTCTCGAATGACAAATACTTCATCATTAAGAGCGATAAACAGAGACCTCACGTTATCGGCTTGTGCTAAATGACGATCAAACCTAACATCCAGCGAGGAGAGCACTGTTTCACGAATGACAGGATCAGGATCAGCAATGCCTACTGTCAACAGCTTCTCCAAGACTTCGCCCACGACTTTGATAGCATGCGCACTTGTTTGATTGCAGATAGGGTCTCGCACGAAGAGTTGGCAGCAGGTGACAGCTGCTGCTTTACGGATCTCTGGTAAATCATCATCAAGATAATTGACGATACAATCCCGTACAAATTCGTTCAAAACGTGATTAGAGAAATCAAAAGAACCCAACGTAGTAAGAGCAAGTACAATACTGTTATCATCATCCTTTCCATCCCCTCCGTTCACACCATTATCTCGGATAGGACGCTCGACTGTTTGAATAATGGTGCGGTTAGTTGGGGCGCCAGGTTGCTTATAGGGTTGTCCACTTAACGTGATCGAGATCACATTCAAAAGACGTTCTAAGCACAAGAAATTTGAATGGTGAGTCATTGACTGTATCCATGCTCCTACGAAAATATTGCATCTGCTTGAATGCTTTACCTTGAATAACAGATGATAATGGTTTTATACGATCAGCTATATTACTTAATGCCTGCACAAGAGGTTCCGATAAACCACAGTTGAACATGAGATCCAGCAAATCATGTAAATATTTCGTCAAGACCTGTCCAACGGCTGTAGCTAGCATACTAATGCAAGTAAACGTGGCTCCTTCTACTTCTTTCCGCTGTCGTCTGATGTTTTGTGCATAATCATATCAGTACAATACTTTCAACAGGTATATGTTTCACGTTTTGAGTACATTAAGGAAACCTACCCTTTTACCGATAACGACTCTTTTATACACATCAATGTTGCATCCAAATATGGACTCATATTACTTTTCACTTGGATAGCCACTTGACCGATCGCATTGAAAGCTAGAAGATGATGATAGTCTTTGTTAGAAATGTATTCAACACGCATTGCTCTCTAAAATAAATTTTACCATCTTTTTTCTCACTGCTCTTCCTCAGTAGATTCAGCAGATGGCTCATTGACTTATGAAGATAGAGCTCTGAAAATGTGGCAGGATCATAACTAGCCAATGTAGGTATAATAGATACGACTGTTTTCCTAATCAAAGCATCCCGGGAATCCTTTAAGCGTAAAGTAATCTCACACACATCCTTATACATATCCGTCATAAACTATGATTGATACATGATAAGAAAGCGGGTTAAACGTACTGTAATGCATGCTAGAACTATTATCATCTTGAATTACCATGCCAGCATGCAACAACAATTCTCTCATAGCTAATAAGCTTCCATGTGTCGACTCTGCGCTATTCATACGCAGTCCACGATTGACTTCCTCCCAAATTCGAGCATACCATGTTTTCCGCAAAGGTGTTTCACGTTGTTGTATAATCTCCAAACACTGTGACAAACAATCGGCTGCATATTCACGAATGACATACCGAGAATCCCTTAATGCTACCCAGATCAGGTCTAATATACGTGGTACATAAGCGTATATCAATGTAGGTGCATTTACTGCCAGCTCTCTTAAAACAAGCACAGCGGCTAAACGACTACGATCGCCTTGCAACCATTCTAAAGCATGTTCTACTTGAGTGTCGACTAAATCGGCTGTTAAGGTGGATGAACTAACAGCAAGTCGACCTAACGCTTTTGCAGCTGGCACCATGATTTGTTGATCATGATGGGGTAACATATGTTGTAGATAATTATGAAATCGGTTGGCATTGCTTTCTGGTTCCAGTCCAATTAAACGATCTAATCCATACAGCAGGTTAATATGTCAGTCGCTTTTCACTCCAAATTTTTTCTCCAATCCATTCTGCATGATATTTTGAGACTGTAGTCGTTTTACCTATACCAATAATGGCTCCCAACTTTTCATTATTATCATTGCCATGTGTCCATTCAAAAAATCGCTTGTTGATATCATTTGTAAATCGTAGTAGATTTTCTTCAGATAATTCTCTTGAAGCGATAATGGCCTGTGCAAAACCAAAATATATGTCAGTAACAAAACAGTATAGAAAAATAACCGTAAAAGAGATTTTGAGAACGCTTCTTTACTGTTTCACGTAGTTCATCAGCAGCTTTTATACGTCTCTCCTCATGTCTGTGTGTTTTTAACAAAGAGAAAGAACGAAAAAAGGGAACAATGAGCTTTCAGTTAAAGTTGTTTTTTCAGGTTGTTTTCCTTCAGTACTTTGATTTCAGCTCATTGAAAATTCTGTTTAGGTTTTCTTGTGAATTTAGCATAGCAATCATGGCCATCGTGCTATGGGAAATATAAAAATGAGCTATTGTTCGTTATTGCCTAGCTATAGCTGTAATGTACTGCTGTTTGAATAGTCGACGCTTAATGTAAGTATTGTATAACGGCTGTTTGTCAAATTCTAGTCAATTGTAGCAAAGGGTATCAAAATATAGGAAATCTTATGAGAAACAGTCGCAAAGGATTGATAGAATCGACGTTATAGTTGTTCTCTTCTGTTCACAACGCTGTTTATGTCGAGAAAAATGAAACTGTCAATGGAACGAGAACCGGCAGTTGCATTCAACCTGTTTATTATTTACCACTGCTGCCTTACTGTTCTCTTACCAACAGAAAAAAAAAAAAAAAAAAAATGCTGACAGCCAATTTTTTAACTTCAGACACCTTACGTTCATTGTGCTACTGCAGATTTTATTGTTTGGAGTCGTATGAGGCGTAAAAAATAATTAATGGCCTAAGGAAGAAGAGAAAGCGTGAAGAAGTCTTAAATAGCCTCATGATATTTACGAATTGTACAATTTTGATCATCTATTCATATTTCCTTGTGTTGATTAAAATGTTGGTTTGACGCTCATTTGCTTACTGCGCTGTGAGTTTATCCTTCAGTTCAATGAAGCTCTTGAATTGGACGTTAAGGCAATATAAGATGAATAAGAACGAACACACTCTGAAAAGGAGGGAGGTGTTGGGCTAGAAGAAGTTATTCATAGTCAACTTATTGATCTTCATAAGAGACTGAACAGTACGCAGAAAGCATAGTAGTCACGCCAAAGCATTAGAAGGGCATTAATAAAGTAAAGGGAGCATAATTTGATCAAAGTTTGACAGCGCTTCGTGTTAGAGGATTCATTCAGAGCAAGTTTCTTTGAAGGCCTGAACAGCATGCTAGACATTTAAATAGTAATGTTTCTGTTTTTGTAGCAACCACTGCTGCAACACTTTTATGTTTAAACGTGTACAAAGAGGGCAGAAGTATTTGGCTGGCCCCACCTTTTGAACATGTACAAGATACTGCAACGTTATGTAACTCTTTTTTTTTTTTATGTACAAATATCTTTTATTAATCTTTTCGTCTATTTGCGCCTTCCTTTCTTAACCTTTGCCCCTGACTGTAAAGAATATTTTTCAAATAATGAATCTGGTATTTTTCCCTTCAGCTTCAAGGCTGTCAAAAATTTGTATTTTGCCTCCAAGAGCTCGTTCCGACTCTGATCGTTCATATTTCTACCAGAACAAGGTCCTTGCCATTCGATTATCTTTGGTAAAAATGTGTTTCTAAACCATAATTGCTTGAAGATGGATGCCTGCATGATTGGAGCTGGTACCACCTTACAATCTTTCTTTATGAACTCTGTCAAAATATCCTCTATTGTTCTATTTTCGATAGATTGCTGATTTTTCGCATTAGGTGATGAAAATGTCGTTGCTATCTTTTCCGTCGAAGCATATTCAGACAGTTTCAGCAGATTCGCATCAGAAGCTATAGGAGTGGACAATTGAGCGGGACTATGCTCTAAAGTACTCTGACAATCTAGATCTTTTAACCGTTTCCGTACTGCTGTTAGGTAACTGTACATTATTTCTTTACTCTTGGGGTTGGATTCTTCGATCCATTGCGATATGACTTTGCCATGTATTTGTAGGATAGCTGGAAGAGACTCATGAGGAATCATGCGTTGTAAGTGGTGCATGAAAGTGATAAATGCTTTTTTTCTTTTGTTTGTCAACGACTGTGGTACATTTGATGAACTGTCACTCAATTTGTTAAAGATAGAAGTACTAGGTTGGATTAAAGTAGTTGAGAACCAGTCTGCGTAAGTGAGCCCTGTACTGTTGTGTATCTGATGCAAAGCAAACTGAGCTATTGTGAGAAAAGCCGTTGATGCCAGGGGGTTATCGTTTTCTTCTACTGTAGCATCTTCAAACTCGAGGCTAAGCATTAATGAATTCTTGATAACGTCCATTGAATTTGAAATTAGTACTATCGCTTTTCCTTGACTTACGAGTTGTTGACAGCCGAAATAGAAAGTGTATAAAAGAAAAGATGGATCCATTAGATCATCTACGGCCGGTATAGGTGAAATCTATTTACATAGAAAAGATAATAAGTATTCAGAAGAGTTGATACTGAACTTTGCTTTGTCTATCTTACTTTTTGTAAATTGGGTATAATGGAATCTAACACTGTTTGATTCAGTTGTATGATATATAGTATGAACTCTGTAAGCCTTAAAATCTCTTCATCCATCTTAGTCGCGGTACTAAAACTAGCAGACTGCTGCTGCTGCTGCTGCACGTCAGAAAATTCATAAAACCACTGAGATACTAGGAGAAATAGAGGGATCCTCATCACTAGCGTATCATTCATATGTTGCTGTTTAGAGAAGGTATTGATGAGCTGATATTTTATTTTGTTTATTTGCTTCATAGAAGCTGTTATGAGAGTGGACGTAGTTAAAATGCCATGGGTGAAATATTCTGCAAGACCATTTTTTTGAAGACGGAGAAAGTCTAACAAAAGCGACTGTAGCTGATCTCGTTTTGTACTGGTGTTTTGGTTATTGTGACAGATTCTAACCTCATAATAGTATGTCAAAATAATAGAAAGTCGTTTCACGCGATCAATACTGATAGGCTGCTTCCACTGTAAAAAGCGCTCTCCATCCTTAATAAAGTAAGACTTTATTATATCTTCTCTCATTGATTCAATATATGCTTTACATATGTTTTCTTCGCCGAGTGACAATAGTTCTAATAGTGTCTCATCCAAAACATTATCATGTATTCTTTCTAATAAGATCGACAAGTTCAACACGATCAATTCTTGTGATAAACGTGCAACAAGTTGAAAATAAGTGGTCAATAATCTGAGGGTACTGATAGTAGTAGTACTTATGTCATCAATGAATTTGTATGGATCAAAAGCGACGCTTTTGTGCATCCGTTTGATCTCGGCAACAAGTTTGTTCAATTCTAGGTTTTTCTGCCCGCCAGAATATTGTGCACAAATACGTACATTAGGTGCCTGTTTTCGTAACATATACAAATCCATAAAGTAAGCATGTATGTGTTACCTTGATATCGTCGAACATGCAAACTATTTTGATAAATCTTTTTGCTGTATCTGCAGTTGTCACTGTCGTTTCATTGGTGTAATGGTGACGTTTACTGCTTACAACACTAATTCCATCATTTCTATCAGGTTTTGTATAATAACTTTGTAGCAAAGACCATTGTATTGAATCGTCCTGTACCCTTTCAAACACTTTTAGACGTGTCGCTGGGATAGTAGGCATGCAGCAAGTGAAAGAAAAGGAAGAAAAAAGCTGGCTCAAATCCTAAGTCAGCGAAAAAAGCAAAAAGGGACTTAATTCTTAAAACTCTTTTATTGGCTGGAATCGGACTAATTTGGCGATCTCTTCTGGTTCCCATCTAAAACAAAAATGGACTGATGGCATGTTCAGTGCAAAAACTCCTTTAGGAATGGAAGCATAACAGTCTAAATAACCTTTCTTTCACATCTTGTTCTTTTGAGAGCCCATCTCAAAAAGCTACAATAGAAACCTTTTCGAGCGTAAAGCTCTGCAAATTGCAGATTTCGTTAAGCATGTTGTATCCAAGATACTACTGTACGTCTTAAACTACAGAACGACTTCAGTACCTACTTGACAATCTGACACACATCTACTTTGACACCCGCTTGCGGCTAAGATTTTATCATTCTCATGATAGTTTTAGTTCAGTTGTACTAATAGTTGAATACCCGTTAATAATCCTCTTTCTCATATAAAAGTATCATTCTCAGCAAACTTGAATAAAGGGTATCTTTGTTGTGTCTGGTCATTTTACTGTCTTATTTTATTTCTGTAAGTCTTTTAAAGTAACTGGATATATCAGAGCATAAGGAAACAGGAAACCTTTACGCCATTCCAATGAATAGTAGTTTAGGTGGATAGACCAAAGGTATGTAATCAATTGCACCAGTACACAATTATAGCATCAGATACTGATGTAACGCGTTAACAGTTTATCGTGCTACTTCAATGGGAAAAGAAACCCATCATACACTCTTTCAAAAAATTGTACTATTTTTTGAAATCATGATTTTAATGGCGGTTAAAAATATTGTCATGCTCAAGAGGTTTGGGTTGGTCATGTAAAGCCTGGTACTTGAAGATTTTACAGGTAAGAAATCTACATTTAATCGAAAATATATCCAAGAAGAATGTACTCAAAACTCTCAATTTTTTTTGGTTCTTTTGACCTGAAATGATTTCAGTGATGTCCAAAACCAAACAGACATATTCATATCATACTTTTTGCCTTATTCCTATCAGGGTTTTTCTAATTCTATAGCATAGTCTGATCTGCCTGGGGTACTTTTCTGGTATGCAGTATAACTGTGTGTGCCCTCTGGGTTTAAAATTGTTTATAAAAATCTTGTTTTGATTCATATTCATTCATATCAATCAGGCCCTTCCCTACCGCGAGTTTTTATTGCAAGTCGCAAAGATCATGTTTGTAGAAAAAGAGAGAGAGAGAGAGTGAAATGAGCTACTGATAGTCACTGACGTCATAAATCAAAAAATATAGTGCGCCTTTGCTCAACCAACAGCATTGTGGCCGCATTACTTTATCCGCAGTAGTTCCCCTACATAGATAATTAGCCTGAAGGAATCTCGTTCCATTAAAGCTTCCTTAATAGAACTGAAATATGCATACATTTAAAACACCTAGTTTATATACTAATTCTATTCTGTTTTTACGCTTTTAAATCTTATAAATTCTTTGCATGGAAATAGCAATTTGTGATCTGCATCAAAATGCTCGCTACAAAAACAGATTCAAAGTAGAATGACGGTATATCATGAGTTTGGTAATAGCTTAAAAAAGTAACGGTTTAATATATGTGCAAAAATGCTCATAAAAATACCAAAACGACAAAAGTGAGAAAGCAATGCATCAGAGTGTTTGTGAAAAACGTGACCACCCAAATTGCCCGAATGTGAAAAGTAGAATTTTAAAGTACGACAAGCCAACTCGACAAATGGAATTGGTCAATACTGTGCACAATGTGTAAGTGCAGCATGATTGTTGCATTGACCAAGAGAGAAGTTCGTTTTTTTTTTTAGGAAATAGACGACCTCATCTTTTCTTTTTAATCCTCATTTTTCCTAACGTTTTTATCGTCCCTTATCTTCCACTCTTAATTATTTGCATTTCTTTCCTGTACGAGTTTTTCCATCTTTTTCCTTTCATTTTTCTTACTGTATAAGCGTATTCTAAATTATTGATAACCCAGCAAAGAAAAAAATATACCAATTTTATTCAAACCTCTCAATCTTGAAAGGAACGACGAAATGGACTCCAACATGTACAATGGCGTTCGAGCAGAACCTAAATTTTTGAGAGACCCGACTTCTTTAGAGTCTATTTCAACCAGTATCTCTCGAATATCGTCTTATGTCACTTCAAATCTTCCTAAGCGGAAGTCCAATGCCATACCAGTAACATCTACTAATAGTATCTTATCTATACCCGTAACAGCAGCAGTCGCAACAATACCACTTACACCACCGCCTTCTTTCGATCCTTCTTCTTTGCATCAGCAGCATCAACATCAATATATACCAAATGATGAAGGATTTCCTACTATCAATCATCAAACTACCAGCAACCATTCAAAAATCACATTTGCCTCCTTTGAAGAAGAGAGATTGAAATATCGAGGAAAAACAATTCCGTGCCTGGTTCTTGGTTATGTGGATGGCTTTCAGATTTGGAATATTGCTGACCCGGATAATGTGCATGAAATATGTTCAGTAAGAGATCCGCAGCTATTTCTTAATGTCTCTGCGGTACATATCTTGAAACATCGATCCTACCCATCAAAGATGTTTGAAGAAGATGATGGTCATAGTGAAATGAGTAGCAGTAGTATGAGTAGTGGATTCGAGGAAGAAGAGGAGCCTATTCTAGCTATAGTGTAAGCATCAGTTGTACTTTTTGTACAAAAAAAAAAAATAGTGTGTCAAGATACTGATAGAGCTTTTGAATGAATGAACCCACAGGTCAGAAAATGCCACCACCACGAATACAGCACCACCCGATCAGGATGATGATGTTCGTAGCACAACAACGATGAATTCCTTGAATCCAGTTTCAGCAAAGGCCTCTCGAATCATCATTTATGGGTTAAAATCACAATCCATCATCAGAGAAATCACTGACCTGAACAACCACACCAGCACAGCTACGGGCAATGAGGAGGACACTAGCAAAGATGATACAATCATAGTCACATGTATTCAAAGTAACCACAAGGTCATTGCACTAGTAAAGTATTCCAACTAATACATGACTTGTTTCTAATGGAATATAATTTGAGTCCATATGTAAGCTCATGAAGAAATGATTCATTTTTTTGTGGATAGGGATGTTTATCTAGGTACCGTTCATTTATTCAACTCTTTCATACCAAAGATTTTACACCGTTTGCGAGTCCAATCACTGACGTATATCATGACGTTCAGCAAGGGCCCACTTTCACATTAGGCAGCCGACTTATTGCTTATGCAACCAATGCTGCGGTTTTGAATTCGGATCCAGTAATGTCAACTGCTACGTTGACTACGACTACGGCTAGAGGGGGAATGGGTTCGTCTTATCCACATGGAAATTTGTCCTCATCCTCAGCAACCACTTCATCGCATTCGAACAATCCGCCATCCTCCTTATCCTTTTTATCCTCAGCCGTTGTGCAAAAGTATGATAAGGATGCAGTGAAAGGAGCAGCCAAAGATATAGCAAAAGAGGTTGTGAGTGGAATGAAGACGCTAAGTGAATATGGATTAAATACTTTGTCAAACTATTTCAACAATGGCGGTAATGGCAGCAGTGGAAGTAACAGTTACAACAGCCCCATCACATCCACTTTATCATCTTCGCCAAGCAATATAAACTATAGAAGAGCGTCTACAGGGATGAATTACGTAGATTCTTTCAATCACCCGGGAGCGACAGTAGCAAATGCAGCAAATGCCACAACAGCAGCTTCCAAAAAATCTTTACCTTCTGGCATGGTCATGATCCGTGATATATCCAAACTACCAAAGCAGCCCACTCGAAACTTGTCTTTATCTGTTATTGCTCATTTCAGGCCACATACTCATCCGGTATCTTGCTTACGTTTCAATCCAGCTGGCACGTTGCTCATTTCCGCTTCCAAGCAAGGCCATACATTTCATGTTTTTTCCATATTAACGCCTACTTACTTGACACCGTCTTCACCGACATCCACAACAACAACAGCAGCAGCAGCAGCAGCAGCAGCAGCAGCCATATCAAACACGTTTGGCAACAGCACAGCAGGAAATGTGACTCATTTATATAGTTTAAACAGAGGCATTACAGATGCTCAAGTGGAAGACTGCCAATTTTCTCTAGATTCTACTTGGTGCGCTGTAAGTACAGCAAGAGGTACAACACATGTATATGCTATCAATCCTTATGGTGGCAAGCCAGAGATCATGGGTCATATCTACGGAAAAGTGAATAATCCCTTCCATCCGCCCATTCAACGTCGTTTGCATCCGAGCAGTAGCTCGGGTAGTAACAGCCATGGCAAAACCTTTCCATCAAAAGTAAAGGCAGTAGGATTGAGCTCTGCCGTTCGAATCAAACAAAGAAGGAAAATGCCGGGTAATCCAGCCACTTTGTCACATGACGATCTAGCAACGGCAGCAGCGATGGCAGCGTCCCTGCAACCCACAGGATATGGATATTACGGGCAACCTGTACCAGCAGCAGTAGGCTATATACCTGGACAGCCTCCATCGATGATGGCGATGACAGCAGTGGCGCCGCCAGCGACGAGGATGGATCCGTATCATCAGAACAAAGAACATAGAGCCAAACTTATTTCTTTGTTTGTCACTGGGGCCAACACCCATCATGATAAATCACTCAATAACAGTCTGTATAAACCAGCCCTATCCCTCTCTTCGAACTCAAACCACCCTCTCGTGGGGTCCATCAAGCAACAAGCATCCAATATGCTCTCCTCTATCAATTCTTACTATTCCAACACGAACGGTAGCAGCACCAGTAATAAAAATGAACTCATGTTTGGTTTTGATGAAGAATATTACGACGATCATCCAAACTTTTATAAAGAACAAGAGGAAGACTTGGGCTATCAGGACGTGTATACATTCCATCCTGTAGGCGTACTGACATTACATCGTTGCTGGGTCTCCAAGACGGTAATGAATAAGAGAGAACACGGCGGTTATAAAATGAATTTAACGGTCAAAGAAGAAGATATAGCAGAGTGGAATGTAGCAAGAGATGTGAATTGGGATACAGTTTGTTTCGATCCTTTCAGTACTCCACCGAAGGCCAAAGAAACGGAAGCATTGAAAACAGCAGCAACGGTAAAAGAAGAAGAGAAGGATTCAATAGCCAGCACAGCTAGTACAACACCATCAGATCAAAAATCATCATCTACATCCAACAAAAAGAAAAAAACCTCGCAACCGCCGCCTGTACTTGTACCCTCTTCATCCACATCCACCCAGCCTACAAAAACCGCTTTACCATCGTCACCCAAAGCTAAAAAAAAGTCAAAGGCAGGTCGCAGAAGGAAAAGAAAGGACCTATGGCTGTCGAACGCTGAAATCACTACCTATGCTTCTCAAGATGAACAGCCTCCCCTATGGGCACGTCATCAGTTCAGCTTTCAACCTTTTCAAAAAACAATGACAGAGGAAGAGTTGACAAGCATTCTTGCTTCTGGGCTCATCCCCCCTACAGAGACGATGCAATTGCGTAAAGACACTCCTGAACCGGTCTCTAGCCGTTTGGATCGTATTCGAAAAACCACTGTCGCCGCCAACATAGTAGTCGATGCGCGCCATCAACATCCGTCAGATAACCAAGTGGACAGCGCCAGTGGCGAAATGATGGAGGATGCCTTGGCCGAATTGCAAGATAATTTATCTAAAGCAATGCAGACCACTTCTTTCTCTCCGTCTTCGACAAATACGGCTGTTCATCTTCATAATAGTCATAGTGGGAGCAGCCCTTGGTTATTATCGTCGCCTCCTCGTGCTATGTCTTCGTCTAGTGCTACATCTTTCGTGGGAAGGTCACCTAGTAACCTGCTGGATGCTCAAAATAACCATAACAAGCACTCCAACTCATCGCTATCGTTTGAAGATGCCTATTTAATACATATGGGAAGTGGACCAAGCCCTGAACCATTACCTTCATCCACAGCCGCCGTATTACAAGGAGAACAACAGCAACAATTGCAAATGAGCTCTTTGATACAGTTTGACGATGATGAGGATGAGGTGCAGCATGAAGATAAACAACAGCAGCAGCAACAGCAACAGCAACGGAAGTACAGCAATAGTATGTCGTCTTTATCTTCTTCGCTCGTCTACTCACCTATCCATGATGAAGATAACATGAACGGACTCGGTCGTAACGAGGTGTTTTCTCCTGCTGGCGATAACGAAATTGATAATCCTTACGAATCAATGTATGGTGATTTCAGCAGACCACACGTTCCGCTGAAAGCAACCATTATAGTTGAAGAAGAAGAAGACGAAGAAGCAGAAGAAAGCGAATTGAGCAGTCAGAGAGACAATGAGTCCATGGTATCTTCTTGAAAAAGAGGCGGTTTCGACTCATATAAAAAGATAAAGAAATTATAAACATTTTTGTACATAAAAAAAGAACTTGACAGTCTTTCATGAACGAAAGAAAATTTCAAAGAAGAGAAGGGGGTTCACATAGATGTCTTCTTCCTTATTGAAGCAAGCTAAAATTTCGGGCTTCAAGCAATGAAGCTCACAAGAAATGACTTGATCATCACTCATGATAACGACCCCCCTCCTCACTCCTTAAGGCCATTTGCCGAATCTGTTATATTGATAAGTCTCTCCATTGTTCAATGATAACGGGCTTCAATTTGTTCTGTCTATTCTACGCCACAGTTGAAGGGTTGTGCGTAAACGATGAATAAAAAAAGAAACCAATGCCAAGATGAGGGAGTTCCAGTTGCTGTGTTACAATACGCAGCACTTTTCACACTCATAGAGAGAAATCCAGATTTTTTCATAAAGTAAAAAAAAGCAGTGCTGGCAGCAGATCAGAAAATGCACTAAACTATTTATAGATCCGAATATCCAATAAGAACAAAAAAAAAGCTTATTTGAGTAGCATAGTGTGTGCTTGAAAGGGAAAAAGGGTATCATTTATAAAATAAAGGAACCAGGCAAACGATAAATTTTTATTAAACCTTTTCTTTAATTTTTCTTTTTCTTTTTCTTTTCTTATCTTTTATCAGTTTATTCGTCCCACAACCTCACTTTATACTCAATAAGCATCATGGACCACAAAGGATATCCTCAACAACCTCCACAATACTATTCTCCTCCGCCTCCTGGAGGACAGTCTCAAAGCTATTATCAACAACCACCTTATGGCCAACAACCTTATTATCAACCACAGCCTCCACCACAAACTGTTTATATTCAACAACAACCACAACATAAAGATGATAGTTCTTGTTGCTGGGGATGGTAATCAGACAGAACAATAAGCATTACGTAATAATAGAGAGTAAAAATTTATTTATTGAAATGGTTATCTTTTTGAAAATTCCAATTAGTCTGGCTGCAATGTGTTTCTGTTGTGCTTTGGATGCTCTCTTTTAAATTGGTACATATCCTTAGATAGTCATTTGCAAAGCTCTGTATCATTTTTTAGTATATCTGTAACTATTTCATCACTATCAAGCAAAGAATTAAATGTCCAAGACTCTCCCTTGACACAATCCTTTTTTTATACAATTTAATTACATCTCCCTTTCTCTCTCTCTCTCTCTCTCTCTCTCTCTCTCTCAATCACCTATTTGGAAACGTAATGTTAGCATAAAATAATAAACAAAAAGCTGTTACGCTTTATTATTGCTTCTCAATCTTTTTTTGCTTCTCATAGATATAGTTTTTTGGCTTCCGGTTTAGACAACCTGAGGTAAAACTGGACGGAACGGACCAGATTTTTGAGACGTTTGAGTAGGAGTTTGAAGACCGGACTACATTAAAATGGAGTCAGTTTCGTTCTAATGATAATAGGAAAAAAATCAAGATGTTGTCTTTCGGCTGAACTTCTTCCTGGTCTTTTCATATCGAAATGTTGATAGCCATCATGTCTTTTTGCTGCAGGACATTGTAGTTCTATAGTATCTTGCAAGTTTTGCACACAAGGATACTACAGCCATGGGACAGTTTCAAATGCTTCTAATGTGTCGGAGCGTCCAAACTTGATTTTTATGCCTTTCTTTAACAAATCTGATTTTTTGTATAATAAAACTTTTGTACATGTAAAAAAATCTTTTCCCCGTTTCAAAGAACTTCTTCATTATAGTATAACTTAACAACAGAAACACGAAAGAAATGTCGTTGAAATACACGTCTTAAGCACTGTAAATCAGCTTTTTTTCATTGTTCAAAAGAGGTGGTCTAAAAGAATAATGAATGCAGATTAAAAATGTGCCTATTTTGTCTAGAAAAAGCTGCGAGTGATCTGAATACCAAGCTTTCCTCTATCTAAAGATCAAAAAATCAGGAGTTTGTCGAAATCTAAATCACATTTTCGACGGACACTGATTCCAACACAGCGGACTTTTCTGCTCCGTGAAGCTGATCACTCAGCAGCTCTGCTTAACCTTCCCCCTTTTTACTAAATCTGTACGATACCAGCTGATTAGTTTAAAGTATGAAACGTCCATATGAAAAAGACAGAGACGATCGTCGGCCATCACAACAGCAAACGCAACAGCAACAACAACAACAAAGTGAAGAGCCACCCCTTCACCGAAAAAAATTATTCCATCTTTCTACTGACGAAGAACAAAGAAGCAGTGAAACCAACAGCAGCAATACGAAAGGAACTGGCACATTGGTAGCTCAACATTACAATGAGCGTCCCGATGTAGGGGTTGAAAAACGAAAAGAATCTCGCATCATTCGATTACGTAGCTTTAATAATTGGGTCAAAAGTGTTTTGATTCAAACGTATTGCACCAGCAACATTGGACGTCATAATTACCGATCACAGCATCACGGCGGCAGCGGAAAAGTCGTCTTTGATATGGGTTGTGGTAAAGGAGGCGATCTCAACAAATGGTCCAAAGCACGTATTTCACATCTGGTCGCGGCTGATATCGCCAGTGTATCACTGGAACAAATGCAAGATCGATACAAAAGCCTGCGTCAACGTCCCACGTTTACAGCTGAATTTCATCCCATGGATTGCTTCTCAGAACTCATTGCTCCCAGACTTTCTCGACCCAACCTGCAATTCGATTTAGTGTCCATGCAGTTCTGTCTGCATTACGCTTTTGAAAATGAACACAAGGCAAGGATTATGCTGGAAAATGTGACAAAGAACCTGCGAAAGGGAGGTTATTTTATTGGTACAATACCGGATGCTCACTGGATTGTGAAGAGAGTAAGACAAGAACCGAAAGGGACGAGAGGGTTTGGAAACTCGATTTATAGTATTACATTTGAGGAAAATAGTATCAAAGAAGATGAAAAGGGTTATAAGACTGGGTTCGCGCCTTTTGGATGTAAATACATGTTTCATTTAGTGGATGCAGTAGACTGTCCAGAATATTTAGTCCACTGGGGAACGTTTGAAAGGTATGTATACCTCTGAGTCACCTGTGGGACATCGATTCTGTTACTGATCTGTCTATGGATAATGATAGATTGGCAAAAGAATATAATTTACGACTCATATTAAAACAAAACTTTCATGAGTTTTACGCAACGCAGTCCAAAAATGAAGAGTTTGCACGATTGCTCAGTCGAATTGGAGTGATAGGCAATAATCCTAACAATCCCAATGTGCAAGAAGAAATGTCAGAAGAAGAATGGGAAGCAGCTGGTATCTATTTAGCATTTTGCTTTGAAAAGGTGTAGTTATGTACATAGTTTGCGATTGGGGAATAAAGGATATTCAGACAATTATTGCTGATTCTCTTCTTGTTGCCACCATTTGTTTCCATAACTTTTCTGAATTTTCTGTACAGCACGATTAGCTGCAGTTCTGGAAGGTCTTGCAGCCATAGGTTTTGTCACTTTTTTCGTGTTTTTATCCTTTACTGCATTGGTGATGGTTGGTATGTCGTTATTGCCATCGCTGGTAGAGCGGGGAGTCGTCGCCTTACTGTCTTGAGGGACGCCATTACTTGTCACTACTTCTGTCTTGGTTTGAGGATCTTGCAATAAAGACTCTTTGGCTACCTGAAGCCCCTTACCATCATCACTATTCATCTTGTTGGCAGCCTTTTTGCTTTTTTGCCCTGCTGCCTTATTCTTTGTTCTACTCTTATTAGACTCATTGCTCGCACTATCGCTCATTTTACTATTGCATGTAACAGTCTCATTATTATGCTCCGTCTTGAGCGTATTTTTTGTGCCAACTTCTTTGTCCTCCTTGGGCGGCGGCGATTTGTTCATATTGGCTTCCGGCATGCTTGACGAAGAGCCAGCTTTACTGTTTTTCTGCTTCTGTTGACTCTTCTTGTTGTGCTTACCTTCCATTTTTTTCACAGAGAACGGTTCACTTTCAGGTTCACCTATAGAAGGAACGCGAATAGGAATGCCTTGTTCTATGGCCTTCTGCAATTGTTTCTTTAGCTTTTCTTTCTTTCGCTTTTGTTGTTTAGCAGACTGGTTTCCACTTTTGCTAATTGCTTTTTTCGATTTGGTTGTAACATTTAAATTCTTTTCTTTCGAATTGTCAGATCCAGCTTTCTTTTTATGCTTCTTGGAGGTCACCTGAGAAGACACATTATCATTTGCAGTTGTAGCCATTTCGTTTGCTTCCATCATGTCCTGCTTCAAGTGTGGCATTTCTCTTTTTTTGCTATCCAGCATGATGGTGTCATTATCATTGTTCGTACTGCCAACTATATTCTGTTTTGTATTTGTGGGTATAGGATCGTCCTGCATTTTATCTTTGTTTATCTCACTTTTGGCTTTTTCATTCTCAAACATACTGTCTCTGTTAATATCAGATGGATGATCAATATGGTCATCTCCCGAAGAAGCAGTCGATTCTTTGTTGCTGGAATTGTCGGTAATATCTTTATGATCAAGTGCTTCCATAGCCTTCTTTGTGACTTTTGGATTACTGTTGATGATGTCGTTGGCAGAAAGTAAATGCTTATCTCCAGTCATATGTTGACCACCATCTTTGTTGCTCATCTCTACTGATGCTGTTTTAATTGCGAGTACTACTGAATCATCCAATATGTACCCATCTGAGTTACTCGATACAATATCAGGCGATTCAACAGTTTTGGTTGCTTTACTATCTCGTTTTATTCTATCAGAAGCACTTAAAGCTACGCCTTTTTCTTTTGCATATCTATTTATTTGGACATCATCGTCTTGGAAAAAAGGGATCATCGAGTTATACATGGATCGAATTTGAGCATTTTCAACTTCGTCTTCCGTGTCAGTGACAGATTCATCGAATTCACTGATATCAGGTTCAGAATCAAAGTCAGTATCATCAGTCATGTTATCCTGAGTCGCTTCTTCCAAGTCTGCTTTTTCTTTGTGCCTATCCATCGAGAGTGCGTCTACTGTCTTTTCTGTGTTATGTTCTTCTTCTGCATCTCCAGTCAAACCAGGTTGGGAGATATAATTCCCAATCAAGTGAACAGGGCTATTTTACAATGATTGTCAATTTTCATTTTATTTGATTCAGTAGATAAACAAACGATTGTTCAAAGTTGTCTACCTCCATCCTTTATTGACAAGAATGATTTCCTCTCCTGCCAGTACCGTTAGATCAATGACATTAGTTTCTTGCTAAATAGAAAAGAGTATTATCAGTACTCTAGGTAAATATTAGCTGTTGATAATAAGTCGCGTAACTTACCTTTTTAGACATTAGAGTACAAAGAGTATACTCGGGGCTACCACCAAACGACATATTGACAGAGGTCTTTTTTCGATTGGCTTTCTTTTTCTTTTCAGTTGCCTTGCCCAAAGTAGCCTGCAACCATCAAATAAACCCAAATGAGTTGAGCTGTTTGTCATATTGAAAGTAAACTTTTTTGTTTTGCTTTTTTACCATGCTGATCCTAACTGCATTCTCAAAAGGCAGAACGATGGTAGATTTGGGTTGTATTGTACATCCTATTTCAAAAATACCATTCGCTTTTAGTTAAATATCTTAAATGAGCAGCTTGATGTTGTTGATCAATAACGAATGTACCCCAGAGTCCTCTCACCAACATTGTCTTTTTATACAACCAAAAAAATAAAAAGAAGAGCGAAAGAGATCAAGGTTTCGTTTTTTCAGGTTTCATTTTTTAATTTTATTTTTTTTTTGTTAATGCAAAGATCTTTAGAGGGGTAGGCACGTTAGTACAGATACTCTATCAAGTACCATTGTTCAAACTATTTGCTTAATATCAATTGCCATACCCTATGTAGATAGTGCAAAATGAGCAAGATGGATAGGTATGAATGTCCCCAATACGGCCTAGATATAAGCACCACCGATACTACCACTTCTGACGTTGTTTGACTCTCAATACCGCTTGTTCTCGAAATGCTCAATCAGAAATGAAACCATACATACACTGAAATAGGAAGCAAAAAAATAGTGGAACAGATGGGTGAAAAGAAGGAACTGTAGCGAAGGCACCTTTCACCAAAGATTAGCTACCTCACAAACTTGATTGCAGACCACCCTACGTCTTTACGGTTCCCGTTACTGATGCTGCAACCGTTGTTGTTGCTCTGAGAGATCATCGTTATCTTTTTTAGTTTTATATAATTGTATATGGATGGTAAAGCTTTTCAGTCTTATACCATCATAATCCCCCCATCCTTTCTGATATTGTAGATGATAAATGAAGAATGTCGCAGTAAAAACTGCAATAGTAACATAGACGACCACTCTACAGTTGGATTACCAATGAGATAAAATCCTAGACTGTTATCATCGCAGCTGCGTGTGTAATCACACACTCAGGAAAGGCGAATGAATAGGTGAAGAAGCCAATATGTCATTTTAGCAAGGCGTTATTGTTGTCCCCCATGGTGACGTTCAGACGCTGGAAATCTTTTCTGAAAAATTAGATTGATAGTGGAAAAAGACTGTTTATGTCACCCTCAGTAGCAAGCTGTACTGGATGTTTGATGGGCTTTTCGAAATGCTTGTTCATATCGGTATCATTATCAGCGCTGTCTATGAGTATCATATCCCTTTAACCCCTGAAAGTTAATTTATGCAGAATTCTTAAAGTAGGCCAATCAATGATCTCTGATTTGTTCATATATCATAGCTGTATACAGTTATGTCACGAATAAACTACAATTCGATCCAGAATAGTGTGCTTTGATAAAAAGACTAGAAAAGAAAAAAGTTCCTTGTGGGTTTATAGATTTATTAGTTGGAATATAGAATGATGAATAAAAATGAGTATGTGTGGGGATGAGTTAGCATAATAGTCAATAGTAAAACAGTCATTGCTGATGCTACTGATGCTGCATTTGTTTCTAGTTGAAAGCACGTCCATTGGATAGAGTAGAATACATTTCATTAATCTCTTTTTCAAACACTTTCTTTGCTGTTTCGCGTTTCAGTTTGAAGGTGGGGGTCAATAAATCGTTTTCAATTGAGAACTCATTAGGTGTCAAATGAACAGCGCGCATTTGTTCAAAGCCCTTCAAATCATTCTGTTTGCAATAAGCGCTGAGTACCTTGAGTAATTCTTTCTTGACATCGGACGAAGTGTAGGGTTGTTTCTCTTCTGGGAAATTCTTTTGGAGCCAAGCAGGGAACGCTTCTTTATCAGGAACAATGACACCTACCAATGAAGCTTGCATAGAATCACCGTAGACGAAAGCTTGAGCAACCAATTCGTGTTTCTGATAGACGCCTTCGATTTTTTCAGGAGCAATATATTCACCCTTCCATAGGCAAATAAGAACATGTCAGTCAAGCACTTTCTCTTTGCTTATACACTCGTTTGTCTTTACCTGAGAGAGTTTGAATATGTTTTTCAATCTGTCAATGATTACAAGACGATTGGCGGAATCAAACATACCAATATCGCCTGTATGTAGCCAGCCATCCTGATCTACAGCTTCTGCCGTCTTTTCAGGTGTCTTGTAATATTCGCGCATTACAGCATGGCCACGAACACAAATTTCACCGCGAGGATAAGGCTTATCGGTAGAATGATATTCCATATCAGGTACATCGACTAATTTGATTTCAGAACAAGGGAAAGGAACGCCGACCACACCTGAGGTATTATCGTCGGTGATTGTCTATCCAGATATGGAAGAAGGGAGGAGGGGAGGAGGGTTAACATAGCCGTCTTCTCTACTTCCATTGAATGCATCACTTTACCAAACAACCAGCGCAAAAGTTCTCGGTCTGACCATAGCCTTCGTAAACCTTTGCTGAAAAACAAATGCGCATAAAGTCCATTACATCAGGTGAGACAGGTGCTGAACCACTCAGAATGAAGCGAAGACGACCACCTAGCTTTTGTCGAATGGCGCCAAATACAACGCGATCCCAAAGCCAATGGTGGACGGTCTTGTGTAATTGCGCTTTTTTCGCATTGAATGCTGTGTGGAACAGATAAGCAGCGATACCGCCTTTGGCCTTGACACCTGCAAGTACTTTATCATAGATACGATTGAAAAGACGAGGGACTGAACAGAAAACAGTAGGCTTGAGTTCAGCAATGTCATCTAACAATTTTAATGTATCGCCCTATATTCAATGGAAAAAGTGAATAGACTGAAATAGCTGGAAATAGTTTAGACAGAGGTCCTACCTGGTAATAGCCAAGAGCAGCACCTTTGAATATATGAATACCTTGAGCAGCACGTTCAAATACATGCGCCAAAGGTAAATAAGAAATATAAACGTCATCGCGAGTGATCAAGGCAAATGTCCCTTTATCACCCACAGCAGAGATACTCGAAATGGCAGCTACACTAGCACTTTGTGTCAAGACAACACCTTTGGGAACACCTGTGGTACCACTATGAATGATAAAAATGCAACATTTATGATGTGAGAAATTTCAGAAAAAAAAGAAAGTTTTTCTTGTCATCCGATAATAGACATTTCCAGACAGTAACAGTAGTAATACCCATTCACAAAGCTTCTATCCTTTTACGCTAATTACTGCTGATGCTGTCATGAACATTAATTACTACTACTGCTGCTACTGTTACCCACTGCCACTGTCACCACCACTGCTGGTATAAATCCCAATCCCACCCCTTCGTCCCCAACCAACACACCCCACAGACAAAGTTGAGCACAAGACTTTTTGTTCCCCCATTTCCATTCTTCTTGCTTCTCCTTGCTATCCATTCTTTGTCTCCTTTCCACGCCAATGCCATTACTTTGATTCCCAAAATCACAAGATCATGATCATAAGTGAATTAACTCCCTATTCCCAATACTATACCTTGTATAACAGATAGTCGCAATGTCTTCAGGTTGCGTATTTCCAAGTTGATCTCCTTGAACAGACGCACCTAATGTTTCCACTTCCCGGAATGTCAATACCTTAATACCTGCTTCCTGTTCAGCTGTTTGTTTCTTGCTAGGATCAATCGTATCATCCATCACAATGACGGTCTTGATGTATCCCAAACTCTTATTTTTAACTAATCGAGTGATGTTGTCAAGTTTGTCAGCACTAAGTACAATGAACTCCATTTCTGTTTGATTGACAATGTATTCCATCGCCTCTTCTCCTAGTGTATCATACAAAGCAACAATAATGAAGGATTGACGATAGGAAGCCAATTCTGTCATTGTCTTTTCGATGTGAATTGGGTTCATTTTTTTTTTAAAAAAAAAAGAAGGCATACAAGAAGAGAGAGGATAGTTAGATAAATGCTTTGCTTTGCTCGCTTAGAGGATCTGTTAGTAAATCTATTGATTACTTACCCATTCAGGTCGATTCACTGAATAGACACCAATGGCCTTTTGTCTTGTCAAACCAAGTTGCAGTAATCCTTTTCCGTAGTTTGTAATTCGCTCATGTACTTGAGGATAGGTTTGCCAAACGTATTCTTTGGCTTGACCGTCTTGATCAATGCGACGAGTGCCCATGAAAGGACGTTCGCCAGCTAGTTGATAACCATGCAAGTACATATCCCAGAGCGTTCTGATATCTTCTGATGGACGAGCGACGAGTTTGTCTACGAATTTGAAGTGACGATAAGGTACGGTTTCACCTTGTTTTTGGACAGCACCAGGTGCAGGTACAGCATAGGGAGGTTGGAAAGCAGGTGGCATAGTTCGGTTTTTTTCTTTTATAAGAGTATGCTGTCACTTGGTTTTAACTGTGTTGATACCGCGAAAGAGAAAAAATGCAAATGTAGAGGAAAAAAAAAAAGTGCACAAAAAAAAATAAAAAAATAAGCTGCAAAGTATTTCGATAAAACAAGGTGCTATCTGAAATTGAGCTTTTTTTTAAGGTCACATAATCAAACAAATGAAACTCAGTCTTTGGTTTATTGTCAAAGTCAGAAATATACAAAAAAAAAGCTTTTTTAAGCTTTTCTGTCTCCTTCAAGTTTTCGAAGACTATTTTTAGTAGATTTAATATGTACTTTTCCATCCTCTCTCAGTTCAGGCACAATGCCCATGTCATCTAGCTCTTTACTCTGAACTACTTCCTCTGGCCGTAATTCAGCTATGATCGCTTGATTTTTAGGATTGTTCTCCATGACGTTACGCAAGGCCAAGGTTGCATATTCACGAAGATCTAAGTTATAGAATAGCGTTAGTGTCAAGTTGAACAAGGAACAAAATCAACTTTAAGACTTTTTACATGGATTGGCATCATCAATTTTCAATTGATTGAGAATAAGTGGTATACCTCCCTTTTCACGGATCTAAGAAGGAAAGAGTCAATTCTTAGTTCCCCAGTTTCTTTACGCCCATAATGAGCCTGTGTATACATGTACACAAAGGACACACAGACACACAGACCTCAAATCACATTACCTCATCCTGTATTTTTTTGTCTTTGAATGTAAGTGTAGCTAACAGTCTGATGCATTCTCGTTTCAGATAATGGAACCCAATTTCCGGATTCTTCGTTTCTTCTTTTGCCGTTGCTTGTTCTGGTGACAATTTGACGGACTCAAGCTGACCCAATACATCTATCACGGATCGGTCAGTTGTAACTCCTGACACTTGACAATGAGTGACTTTTACTTTTTACCTAGCATAAGGGTCAATGCGTTTGCTTTTATCAATAAGCTCTTTACATTCTTCTGTTGTTGCTGCTCTATATCAAGCACTAAAAGAGGGTTCAAAATCTGCAGCAATAAGATAATAGCTGTGTAGATGTTGGATATCTGATCTGGTTGCAACGAACTGCCATCTTGCTTTTGTCTGACGGATTCAATGATATCCACCACTTGTTTGCCCATCAACACCAGTTCATGAACAAGAAGTTGAAGCTCCTTAAATTGAACAAAGTCGGGAAACTGGTTATGATACTTGTCTAGATAACTGTGTATTTTGGAGTCGAGAAATTTCAGTAAAATAATCTGATGGTCACTGATTGGATCTTTCTCACTACAAAATGCCAAAAAGTGGAGAGAGTAAGCAAAATGAGATGATCCATACAAAGGACAACGCTGGTTTACCTGAAATCGTCCACTTTCATGAATAACTGCCAGAAATGATGATGTTCAAAGAGCTCACTCATAATAGAATATCTACCATCACCCGTTTAAAATCAAGTTAGCTCTCCTTCTGTGATACTTTTACTTTTGTTATCGGTTTTACCCTAATTCAAAGTTTTTACTCGACTCAAGGTCATGCAGTCGATCGATATCACCAAGTATAGCTGCAATAATCCCTTTACCGACTTTTGTAGTTACTAGCAGATCACTTATATCAAAAAGTAATGAGTGATCGGCATGATACCTATTTTTTTTTTTTTTCGTTTTCGTAGTGAGAATGAAAACATACCATCTTTTCTTACTGGATCGTATGCAATTGATAATCAAGACAAGTGTGCTCATGATCAATGCATCATTGCTTTTTGACAGCAGTAAACTACACTAACAATATTTGTATTCATAGCCCTTCTTTTGATAGCGTGTACTGAACTTTTTATCTTACCTCCAAAGAGTTCCTTTCTCTTCCTCAGACATCCATTCGTCCCATATGCGCTCGATGGCTTCTGTATTATTGGTGATCATGTTACAAATCGCCTGTGTCCCTATCTGCAGCACCATGCTGCTGTCAGCTATTACAAAAGCATAAAAAGTTAAAAATCTATTGTGAGTGCTCCTATCTTTTCCTTCTACACTTTACTTGGACTGCTTATTTTATCGTGCAAAAGGTCCTCAATCCTGTATAAAGCGCCATAGTCACTGTAATAAGAGAAAAGCAAATTTTGAATAGGTCAGCATGAATGCAAAGAGCTTGTTTATTTGTAGAAAAGACTCACATTGCTAGTTGCTGATTACGTAAGTTTCCTGCAACGATATTTCGCGTTAATTTAAGGAAATTGATCAAGCAAGCATCATCACTACAGCTGGAGTCATTGGATAAGGCGGATACTATGTCTTTGAAAAGCTTCCAAAATTCTTCATTGGATCCAAGTTGAATGCTATAGGCGCCATAAGAGAACGGCTTTTCAGTCAGTCTGCCCGTTTTTCACGGTTTGCTGTCCTCGCTTATTATTTTTCTGATCGATCGCATACCGAAATGAATGATCTGTTAAAGTCAACTTGACGCAATCTTCTAATTCTTTTTCGAGTCCTTGTACACTTTTCTGTTTACTTTTGTAGAGTTCAAACGATTCAAGAATGTTGGACATGACAAAACAAACAATGTGTGATTATATAATATAACTTTCGGAATAATGCTGTTGATACAGTTTAAAGTTTGAATGCACTTGCCTAGGCTTTTCAACCCGAGATCGACTTAAAAAGATGCGTGGTCGGACTTTCAAATAGCTTGGATGGGACAAAATTGACGTAGAAAAGGCGTCAAATGGAGTACAACCCACATGCGAGCAAAAAGGTCGACAAGTGTGCGTGATGGGCGTTTTGGTGAAAGACAACTTGTGTCAAATTAAGGATTCAGGAGTTGAATAATGTATAATATAATGGGTATCAAAAGATAATATCCTAATTTTTTCTTTTTGTTTGTCTTAAAATACCCTTTTTAGACTTCTTTCCTTTCTTTTCCTCTTCCCTACTTCATCATCACTTATTCCCTCCTAATAACAATTTCTAAAATGAGTTGTTACGAGCATATTAATTCAAAAATAAACAGTACCACAGTACCACCAGCAGCCGTCGTCGTGACAGCGGCATCTTCTCAAGCAACACAACAAGAACAAACAGAACGACTTGATGATCAAACCGAAAGATTAAACAGACTGGAACTTGATCTACAGACCCTCAATCAAAAATATGTTGCTGAAATTGAAAAACGAGCTCAAGTGCAGCATGAGAAAGAAGCTTTGGAACTTGAATTGGATGATCTTTGCTCTAAACTATTTGAAGAAGCCAATGATATGGTCGCTGCAGAGAAGAAATTACGATCTCAAGTGGAAGACGAATTGAAAGAAACCAAAGAACGCTTACTATGGGAACAATCGCAACTGAATGAACTGAGAATGAAACTATTGGACAATGATAATAGCACCACCACCACCACCACCACCACCACCAGCAGTGGCAGTCGACGAAGCAGTAATAAGTCTTCCATCGCGGAAGTTGAGCAAGTAACCTCAGCTACGAGCCATAATGCCACTCTATCAAACCACCTGACCGACACAACCACGATAGATACGACCACAGTGCATCTGAGTAGCTTTCCACCACCACCCATGACCTTTGATCAGTATCAGCTTCAGTTATTCACCGAATATGTTGAAACCGTCTCAACAAATACGTCGCTACCGCAAAAGAAACAATTCCAGCTTCCTTTTATGAAACTGACTCTGTTGGAAGATATAGAACCGTGTCTTAGATTTCATCCGCTACAACAGCCTGTCAGAAAATTATCTAGTAAAAAAATCATTGATCATCTGTATAAAGAGACCTGTTTAATAGAATATGTGCCTACGACGACTACGACCACAGCAAAGAATATTTGTCAAGCTTGCAATCGTAAACAACCCCCTATCAATTATAGGTTCAAACTCAATGAAAAGGAAACAGAGTGGTTATGGATCGACCAATATTGCAGAGATAGACTGGTTGCTGTTTGCGAGTATTTCGTCTTTATGAGAAACATTCAACATGGATTCTTGAACCATATTACATCTATTCAAGAATTGTACAATGAAAATATCCGTTTGAAATTACAAATGTTCTATTCAAGGTAAAGCAAGTATTTCATTATTTCTGTTAACTACCCATGCCTGCAGAGCATAAATTACATGCATCATGATTATATTTCATTGTACTGACAATCCGCTTTTTTTTTTCAATATGTAGAATGGGCGCATTACCAGTTATTTTAGATGGTTCAGGCATCAACTTTATTCCTGCAGCTGCAGCAGCAGCAGCAACTTTATTAAAAGGGCAGCAGGAGAGTCAACAATTGACAAGGAATAGCACCAGTACAACGCATAGCAGTAGCGCATCTACTTGCGTCTCGGCATCCTCTTCCGTCGCTGCTCTGACGGCTTCCTCGTCTGCTACTTCGAATCATTTGGAAGACGACGTAACAGTTGTAGCTTCTGGGCAACCACCTTTCAAGTTACCTAAAGATTTAAACGACACCAACACCACCGCTACTACTACTACTACGACGACGACGATGACGACGCATTCTTAAGTATTGCTTACCCTATCCGCCCTTTTGACTCCATTTTAAACAAATGTTAAGCAATATTGTATGTTTAGAATTTGAGCAAGAGAGAATGGTTATAAGGTCTTACCCTTACATGATTATAGTTTACTGGCAACCCCTTGAATAACATACAGTATTTTTATAACAGACCCCACAGAAATTTAAAACGATACAGTTAGATACCAACCCAGAGTTTCCCTTTTTCGCCATCATTGTAACAAAATTCTTTTGCTGCTCTTCTTTTATTGAGAAAAAAAAAGAACATATCATATATAAAAATTGCATAAGCTTTATAAGCTTCTCCCTATATTTTTGAAAATTAAAATTGCCATGTACAACCAGTTGAGCCCTTTTCACCACATGCTATGCATGCATTACATAATTACAATAGACTGAGCGAATGAACTCAGCAATAACATGAATTTACAGCATAATCCCATTTTTTTTTACTCAGTCTCTATAACTTCTTTCTCCATCCCCACTCATTATACGCATAACAGTTTAAAGTCAATCTTTTCATGGATGCAGACACCAATAAACAGAGAGAAATTGATCTATTGAATATTCGTCGTCATTTGAACGATGAATCTGATTCAGATCCAAACATTCATCTATTGAGTTCAACCACAGATCATTTCAACGATCATCCTTTTAATGTCAGTCAACATAATACACCTTCAACTCCTAAACCAACGTATAATAGACATCGCTCAAAGGACGACATTAACATTTTTGATGGAGAAAACACGCCACAAAACATCTCTGTATATGGTTTTCTTCTTGGTATGCTGTGCAGCGGCGGATTCATGTTTGCCATCTTCACCTCAAGCTCTATACCTCAGTTCGGCCTTTTTTTAGCCTTTTTAGCCTTATTTCACTTTTTAGAATACCTTGCCACTGCTCTATTCAATGCCGACAAATTGTCTTTAGACTCATACCTTATCAATCACAGTGCACATTATCATGCGGCACATGCTGTTGCCTTGGTTGAATTTTTGATAGAATACTATTTCTTTCCACAGCACAAATCAGTAAGGTGGATCAATTATCTTGGTTTAGGACTCGTTATTTTAGGTCAAAGTTGTAGGACAATCGCTATGTTCTCAGCAAGACATAACTTTTCACATCATATCGTGGACTATAAAGAGAAAGACCACGTTTTGGTACAGCATGGCATTTACAGGTAATTGAAAAAAAATAGGTTTTAAATACATTACGTCCAATTGATGCATAACAATGGCCTTTTATTATTAGCATTATGCGGCATCCTTCTTATTTTGGCTTTTATTGGTGGGCTATAGGCGTCCAAGTGCTATTGTTGAACCCTATCTGTCTTGTATTGTTTATTTATTGGTTACATAGATTCTTTTCTGAACGAATTGCGTATGAAGAGCACACATTACATCGCTTCTTTGGTCAAGAATGGCTTCAATATAAATCGAAAACATCTACTCTAATGCCATTCATCTCTTGATCAAATGATGAGAATAAGAGTATCATCTATAGAGGGATAGCAAAATAATCACAGGTGATTTATATAATAGAAAATAAATAGATCGTTTGGTATACAGTTGTTTCAAAACATAAGAACAACAAAAAAAAAAAAGTTTATGCAATAGAGGGAAGTGTTTCGCCCATGCGTAGAATGGCTGCTAGCCATCGTTCATCTTCTTCCCAGCGAATACCGCTTTCAAGTATGAGACCCTATAAGAGGCAATCCATGATTAGATTGGCAGTCCCCCTTACTTCCCTTTTATCATAGAACATGTACTTACAGTCAAGACGCCACGCGTAACTGCTATCTGTTCCTTTTTATCTTGAATAGCCTTTAACAGGGCTGCTGTTTCTGGATCCTGCTCGGATGCATCAACCGCTCGTGTCTTTTGATCTCGTAAATCATCCACACGTTGCATCATCTCTCTATTTTTCTTATGCTGTTGAATGATTTGCGACTGCACTTCTGTCAATTCTCTCTTGTATTGATTTAATTCTTCTAACACGCGCATAAATTGGATCACCAACCCATCACGTTTACGAACTTTTTCTTCCGTCTTGGATTTGATTTCTCTCGTAGCATGATCAAACGTCTTTTTGTTGTCGCTTCTGTCAGGGTATAATGCTTCCACTGTGAAGTACTGCTTGTCAAGTAAATTCAAGAGTCGCTCTTGCGTTTGATTTACTTGATTGATGTCTTGCAACGCCTCCTGTTGTTTATCCACAAGACGTTCATATGCCATGATGCCATCGTTTACGTGCAAACGATCAGCATCCGATGGAATCGTGAAACTTCGAGCCTTGTTGGAAGCCATTTCGTTTTGTTGGAGTTCTGCGATTCTTCGTCTGAGCCATTGGATTTCACGAAGTGATGCAAGAATTTGTTTTTCTTTGTTGGTTAGAAGAGATGAGTTCTTGCCGTTTGTTTGAACTCTGTTCGTAGACTTGAGAGTATTGGTAAAGCTGTCATCGATGAAACTACTCATTGTTCCTGTCACGATGATCGATCAAAGGGTTGGATGGCAGGAAAAGGAAAAGGGAAAATTCTTTTCTTTTTTTTTTCTTAACCTTTGCCCCCGTAGCTGCAGTTTTGAATAAACAATAGGGCAGTAATGCTATCACTGAGAATAAATAAGGTAATACTTCCAATGAACAACCGCAGTAGATTTACGTTGTTATCTACTGTTTGAAGCAAACGAAGTACCCTTATCCTCTTCCTACATCACATGAACCGCACATACAGTAGTACAAGAACTGTTGCTCGGCCTTAACACCCTGCTGGTACTACCTGAATACAAAGATGTAAATGAAAAAATAACACATCTAAATATGGTAAGAAAATACTAAATCTTGACTGCATGGCAGAATGGGATGATAGACAAATGGACGAAAGTGGCTTACTAAAATAAGACATTATTTTGATCGATCTTGCCATTTACTACAACAACGTATTAGGCCTTTACACGTTCGACTATTACATTAGCTTTACGCCTTACAGTCGTTATAAAGGCTACCGTATTGGTTTATGTAGTTTGTCTTTTCTGTTTACACTACTTTCTCTTTCTCTCCCATCCTCTTATACCTCTTGTGAAATGACTGCAGATACTATATACGTACCACAACCGCTGCGATCGAGTGACGTAGATAAGCATATTGCTGTCCAAGAAGCAGGTACTTTTTTCTTCCTACAATGATGGGATGCGATGTACACATGTTTCGAGCGCTTACCTTTTGATTTTAAAAATATAGATGGAAACCTCAGGCCTATTGCCGGAATGAACGCTATCGATGCTGCTGGTTTACCTGTTGCAATAGGAACGATGCAAAAGAGTAAGCCGCTACCAAAAACCCCTTCGGCAACAAAGCTGTCAACAGCTAGCAAATTCAAATCTTTATCGCTTCCTCCCATTGACACTAATGTACACCAACAACAACAACAGCAGCAGCAGCAGCAGCAACAACAACCTGCTCCCTCTTGGATAGTTACCCCGTTAAAAACCATTCGCGAGAATAATAATGCTCTACAGCAAGAATATCGGTATTCAACGGTACAACAGCCGTTTATTGAAAACCATTACAGTAATGAGAACAATTATGACCTTCACAGCAATGTGAATAACAATGAAATGCTTTTGACACAAGCTCATTATTTGACGGGTTATTACGATCAACAGTCCATCCATTACGGACAACAGTCAATAAATTACGGACAACAGCCATTATCCCCTCATCAGCAATCACCCTATTGCTATGATCCGAATTTGTCACAGCAACAGCAACGTCAAAATCATTGCTACACTTTGTACCAACCTATCGCGTCGTACAACGGCTATTACCAAGCTCCTGCTGCTGCTGTTGCTTCAGTAGCTACTGACTGCAGTCACGACCCAACCGCAATGAATAACAATGCATCTGCCTCTCTCAATGAAAGTATGAGCAGCGGTATTGTTATAGGTAACAATAAGCAATGGAAAGTATCCTCGGCAAAGAGCAGCCATAGCAATCATAGCGGGTCGTGCGTAATAAAGTCAAAAGAGGTCGGAAGATCTAGTAGTTTAAAAATAGAATGCGCCACCCTTACAAGGGAACGAAGAGAAGGTACATTGTCCAACAGTAATAGCAGAAGATCCGAGCCATCTACACATTTGGGAACATTGTTTGAAAAACCGCATGAGCCTTCCAACAATGAACTGATCAGCCATCATGGTGCAGTCAGTATCGTCAGTACCACTACGCTTAGCCATACTACTTCTTCAACTCAACTGCAAGAGCAAGCAACTTGCACAGCTCACTATGCGAAAGCTCTGACACGGAAAATGTCTAAAGAAGCAGTTGAATCTACTCATCCTTGCTATAGCGTCAATGTCGATAAAAAACAGGAGGAATTTGCATTACACAAGAACAGTGCTGTCTGTGATACTATGAAAGTACCTGATAGAAGGAAATTGTCAGAGGAGGTCTACACCAACATTGCCCAAACTTTCCTGACCTCGAATGCAGCAGCATCCAGTCAGAGCTCCGAAACATCTACAAGCGCTGATAACAGTCCAGTCTCTAGTAGCCATAGTAGCCCTTCTACTCCAGCTCAAGTTCTTCCGCATGATCCTACCGCGTCGTCAGACGCCAAATCCGCTACTGCTGCTGAAAAGAAACGTAATACAATTGCCATTCCGTTCCTCCTTTCTCCTGTCAATGAACTCTACAGTAACGATCTGAATAATGACAATGATCTGTCTGCTTCATTTTTTGCAACTGAGAATTATTTCCAACAACCCATGAGTGCATCTCCTTTTTCCACTCCTAGGATTTTGTCGCCTTGGGGTACTACTACCTCAAAACGATCTCCATCCAAAGGTGCTAATTATCAACGACCTACGTCTGCAGCAACTGCCTCTATTATTAAGCGTGTGTCGACAGGTTCTGTTCCTAATCTTTCAGTCCTTACAGCTCAGGCACCTGACGAGGTGTCTTTGCAGCAACCTATTTCTGTAGCTACGCACTGTATAGCGACGAGTCAAACCTTCTCCCACAATGACAATACTCAAACAGACAATCCTAAGGACAAACTCATCACCCAACAGCAAGAACAGCAACATTTGCAGCAGTATTGTTCAACAACGCCAGCCTTTAAAACAACATCGACTCCTCCTACAACCATCCCAAAGTTATCGAGTGGCAATGATAGCCATGTCCCCTCATTTAGTATTGCTTCCTGCAGCCTCATCAATATACGTTCCAACATTAAACTCTATCGACGAATGGCACTCAAAACGCACAGCACCAATATACAACTCGCATATGCAAAATACTTGATACAGATTGCCAAATTATTTGGAAGTGGCAGTAGCAGTAAGGACACCAGTAACAACAAACATGGTAAAGCGACAACCAAACGTCGCCCTTTGCCACAATCTATGTCGTCCTCCTTGACATCCTTTCCTGAAGAGGACCCTACTACAAGTAAAGTCACTTCTAACAGCAGCTATGCATCTTCTGCAAAAGCGAGCAGAGGAACTTTAGCTAAAAACCGAAAGCGAACAAAAAATCATCGTTACCAACATCACGCCCACCCTATCAGTAGCAGCCATAGCAATAAAAAAGCAGCTGCTTCAACTGAAACTCCTTCACAGATTCGATATCGACTATTGACGGAGGCTGGTTATTGGATTGAACGCCTCGCGCGTACAGGCAAACCAGAAGCTCTATTTATTCAGGGTCGTTGGTATTTGTTAGGCCCCAATGCCTCAGAAGATGAAGGTTGTGTCTTGAAAGCCTACACTGTCAAAGTACAAGAATCCAAAGCATTCAAATGCTTTTTAAAAGCGTCCAGAGGCGGCTGGACAGAAGCGCATTATGAGCTAGCTCAATTGTGGAAAAAGCGTGGTCAATATGCTCGAGCTATTCAATGTTACGAAAAGGGAGCTAACGCGAATCATACGCCATCCATCTATGTAAATAAAAGCCAAAAAAAAAACCCCCCTTCCTCTCAACATTTTACTACGTAGCAATGAGTAACCAATAGATCATTTTTTCCTTTTAGAAAATGGCCAAAGTTTACCTACGCGGTCAGTTGAAGAAGAAGAAAAACATTCGAAAAGGTATGGATTATTTAAAGAAAGCGGCGGATATGGAAGATGCTGCTAGTGCCGAACCAGCATTTGTCCTTGGTTGCATTTATGCTCATGAATATGACCGCATTGGTATCAGAAGGTAAATCATCTCTTGTAGCTTCTTGAACCCTGTTGACCAAATAAGCTCGTAATGACTAATTTTGCTTCAGATACATTCAGGACGATTTGAAAACTCCCATGGAATCTTATGTTAGTGTAGATGAAGATGAAGAGGACTCGGCACTAAATAACAAACTTGCTCTCAACTATTTGAGGAAGTCTGCAGATTTTGGCTATGCTGACGCTATATATTTCATGGGTCAAGTGTACGAAACAGGCATGTTGGGCCAGTTATGTGACGTGTGGCAAGCTTTCCAGTTTTACACAAAGGCTGCCGATGTCGACCATGCTGGAGCTATGCTAGACCTATCGCGTATTTATTGTCAAGGTATACCTAGTTTGCTAGCTGCTCAACATGAGCTCGCTTTTAAATGGTGCAAACGCTCTGCCGATCTAGGATTTGATCAGGCCGAGTATGTCTTGGGCAAGTATTACGAGGAAGGAATTGGTGTTGTTGCAAACTTTGCAAAGGCATTAGAATATTACAGTAAAGCGGCTTCTAAAGGTTACCAGCCAGCAGCAGAGAAAATGAACTATCCTATGATGCAGGGTGCTAACAGAACAAAGCATATTTCAAGAAGTAATGTTTCAACAACATCCATATTTGTGTCTACCTCTGCTCCTCCGCGAGTAAAACAAGACGAAGATGATTATACCACGGAAAAAGAAGACAGCAAGTCTACTAACAATGAGAGGAAAATTAAGAAATCCAGTAGCAAGAAAAGCATTTGTAATATTCAATAAACTTGTCAAATAATTCTCAACAGCATACTCAATCTCTGCAATCAATAAAGTAAAAATGGCAATTCGGAGCCATTGCTCTCGTGTGTTTAAACCCAAAAAAAAAAAAAAAAAAAAAAAGAAAAGCACGCGATTATCTAAAATACTTATTGATGTATTAGCAATGAAATGCATGGAGAGAATGGAATATGCTTAAAAAATTGAATCTACAGCAGTAGATATGACAGCTTAATACGTGAAAAGGGATCGTTATATAGAAACGTTATTAATGCTACGGCAGGAAATAAACATAATATTAAGCTTAATACGTGATAACGAGACAGTATTATGTTGCTCTGTACAGAATAAATGGGGTATTTATGTAAGGTCACTCCAGGTACACTAATGGCACTGTAGATCATGTGTTGCTTTTGATTTTCCATTCCCAAACAAGAAGTGCCCGATTCCAGCTCCTAGTACTACTGCAATCATCAAATAGCCATTGTAAGTCATAAAGACTAACATGAGCCAAAAACTCACTGCAACAAGAAATGCATAGATAATGGATCGTAATGCCTGCTCCCTATAAGAATACCTATTCCTGCGACAATAATGATGAGAACCCTCTCACTTTATCCTAATGGCTTACTCGTTGTTTAAGTTACCTGGCTAGAATCATATTTTTCCTGAGAAAGCTACCGCCTTGATTTGCCGTCTCACAATCCTCCTCATTGCCTCCGTTGCCGACAAGAGCATTCTGGCCTGCTACTTTCTTTTTTTCCGCTTGAGACCACTGTTCACACGATGCAAAACAAACACGTATATATTCATACCCTGCAGCAATCAAGAATATTGCCAGACAAGACATTACAAGTTCCAAGATATTATGGATATGCCAAAATTCAAATACTATACAGACATCTTTCACTTGCCAATTGAAAAGCATCTATTCAAGGTTTTTATGAGATGAAGCAATGTCATTGAGTGGGGCATAAAAATCTGTTGGCATGGAAGTTACACTCATTAAACATCCAGCCGACATGTCGTTGTCTGGCAGAACTTGTGCACCAGAAAGGTCGTGTTCTGCCATGTTCAACATGTTGTGATCTGTCATCATATGTCCTTCCTGTCCTTCCATTTGGATTCAAAATATAGTTAGGGTATATGGATACAAAAGTATATTTGAGATAAGGGGGAAAGAGAGAGTTAGACAGCACCATGCCCCTTTTTACGTATAAGTATCAAATGCAAAATCGATATCACATTTAGGCTCTTGCAGATCGTGATTTTTTTGTACGGACTTTGGGATTGCCCATAAAAATAGATCAAATTTTTGGTCAAAAAGAGCAGCTGCCCCTTTAGGATATCTCCCTATTTCTAATTTCTATTCCAACCCTTAGGCAATACAAAAAATATCCTATATGCTCTATGCTTGCAGAGATTCATAAAGTTGCCGCAATCACACGCCTGATAACGATCGGTTTAGCGATCGCTAGCTATATTTTCATTGGTAGTTACGACTCATCGGCCGAGATTCAACTGGACTCATCGAGGCCACATGTTCTTAATGTATTTCTACGATGGGACGCTATGTATTTCCTGCATATTTCAGAATTTGGATATATCTTTGAGCAAGAAACAGCATTTTTTCCTTTGATGCCATTAATAGCGAGATTCATAGCGAATACAGGTAGAGAATAGATGAAGGTTGTCTTTTGACACTTTTTTTTTTGTTTCTTACCTTTTTTGAAAGAAAAGGGAAAGGAGGACAAAAAAAAAACTCAAAAAAAAGGGACTTGAAAAACTCCAAATTGTATTATTAAACATTTAAATGGGATATCATCATAGTCTTCTGGCCTTTACAATCGATACTGAGCTATAGATATACATTACTGCTTGCTGGTGTGACTATAGCTAATGTATGTTTTGTACTAGCAGCTGGTGCACTTTATAGGTAAGCATGAAAATAGAGAAGGAGTATAGCACAGGGCGCATTGATAGATTACATTACTACAAGGTTAACTATAGCATTGCTTCCGGGCAATAAAAAGCTAGCCTTCGCTTCAGCTATCGCATTTTGTCTATCACCACCTGCCATGTTTATGTCCTCTTTTTACACTGAGTCATTGTTCGCATGGATAACATTTGAGGGGATGCGCTTTATTGCCCAAAAAAAATACCTCTTAGCGGCCCTGATATGGAGTTTCGCATCGGCAGCTAGATCAAATGCCATTGTCTACAGCGGGTTTTTCTTTTACGACTTGTTTTGGATGCGTTTCGTGAATCGCAAGGTATAGCTACAAAAAATGGCTCACTGTTTGCCCTTCCTTTTATCAGAAACAAAAAAAATATACATATATATATTGACACGCTTTCCTCGGCATAAGCGCTATTTGACAGGCTTAGTGAAAGCATGCATCTACACATTGATTACCATTTCCGGTTTCGTTGCGTTTCAATATTATACTTTTAACAGATTTTGCAGTTTGGACCGACCATGGTGCGAGAATAAGCTGCCATTACTTTATTCGTTCGTCCAAAAAGAATACTGGTAAGTATCTGGCGTTGAGGCCTCGTTTGATGTTCATTGGTTGCGTAGACTATATCGCTCAAATACTTACTATTGATTGGCTTCATCCTTACCATCTGCATAGGGGCAATGGGTTCTTGGCCTATTACGAAGTCAAACAAATACCCAATTTTGTGTTAGCGGCACCGATTATTTTGATCAGTCTATTTGGCCTGAAGAACTACATACAGCACGACAGTCTTCGATTCTTGACGATCCATCTCATGTCCTCCAAAACACCCTATCGAAAGGCGGACGAAAACCAAAGTTATACCAGTTCAGCGTTGGCCGTTTACATGTATCTTTGGGCATTCTTATTGGTATTTGTTTGTTGTAATATGCATGTTCAAGTGATTATTCGTTTCTTTACTTCGCTTCCACCCTTGTACTGGTTTGTCGGCGCTCTATGGTCCAAGGCGTTCGGTAGCTCTCAGCTGGATAAAAACGTCCAATCTACTGTTGCAGCCAATTTGGTTTTTAGTTACTTTATCCTCTATGGACTGGCTGGTATTGTTTTGTTTTCGGGATTCTTACCTCCTGCTTAATTATAGTACTATCGCTCAACATTTTTTGTAATATAATGCATCCTTTATGGAAAGGTGAAATTACTCTATTGCTCTAAAAGTATCTTTAGAACAAAATAAATGCTGGTAAAAAAGCTGCAAGACGGCACAACATATTATAACACAATGACAATGTGATTTTGCTAATTGCAAAAAAAAAATGGAGTAATAAATACATTATTTTCTCTCCTTGATAATAACGTCGGCCTAGTGAAGTCAAACGAAAAATGCAAAGCACAGGCGACAAGGTTTTCTTTTATAACTACTGGTAATTTTTTGATTTGAAAATAGATGAATTAAAAGAATAATAGAGTGAAAGGACTGTGTAAAATCTGAATCTGAACATAGAGCATAAACATAGTAGTAAGTGAGGCAACATGGCATCCTCTTCATAGGGTATGAGAGGAATTAGGTTACAGCGGAGGTAGGCGTGCACGAAGGTCGGTCGAAGGTAAGATCGAAAAATGTGGCTCGCATGCGTATAGTCCGGCAGGAAGTTCAGGTGATTCGCTACATTTCAAATTTCTACCTCCGCTGTAACCTATTGAATAGATTTTAAATATTTTATGAATTTTCATCTGAAGCGGGTATAGCTCAGCTGGGAGAGCGTTAGACTGAAGATCTAAAGGTCGGGTGTTCGATCCACTCTAGCCGCATTCATTTCTTTTTCATTTTTATTGCTTACCGTGATACGTTTCGGTTGTTTTTGTATGTTTCCATTCACTTAGAGCAGTTTTACTTTATTTTTTTATAAAGGTGTTGGTATAAGGCTCGATCACTCAGCACAGTTAGATAGACGTTTTTTTTTATTTCCTTAGCTTATTCCGATACACAACGGACAGTCTTCTTTTATGTTGTTAAATGAATTTTATTAAGGCAACTATGTATTTTTGTAGAATAGTAGTAGTAGAATGAATGTGGATTCAAGGTATGTTAGTCGGTAGTGGCGGTTGTAGAATGGGTTGACTTTGTGGAAACCGATGGCTGCGGAACCAATGTTGTTTGTGGAGAAGTAAAATTAGGATTTGTAAAAGGCAAGACAAAGCCACCTACATCATGAAGTTGGTGGTGAAAAACAGCAGGACTGTTGTTGTTTTGAATGAAATCTTCGTAGGAACGAGGAGGTAAATAGTGTTGATAAAATTGATAGAGTTGTTGTTGTTGTGGAGGGTGATGGTTGGTAAAGGTAGAAGTGAAGAGAGGATAGGCATCGGTAGGAGGACAGGTGTTTTCAGCATGAGCAGCATCAGCAGCAGTAGCCGTATTGGTGGAGGCAGAAGAAGAGGATGTAGAGGAAGACGAAGAGGAAGGTTGTAGTGGTATATCATCGGGCTTATAGACGGTATATTGTTTCTCTCCAAAAGCGAAAGGCTTTCTATTGCTTGTCGTAGAGGATACAGTCGTGTTTTCGATGACGGTATCGTTCTCAGAAGAGGAGGTAGGGATAGCTGGTAATTGTTTATCCACAGCAGCGAGTAGGGGATTACGGCCTTGATGATGAGAAGTCAAGGTTCTTCTCAAGTTGGATTGATCTGGTGTCCAAACGTCGATGGCGTTCAAAGCATCCTCTACAATACGTTTTGTTTTCCTTTTGGGATATTGTTCTTGATTTGCAGCAGCAGCAGCAGCAGCAGCAGTAGAGCAGCCATCCTCTGCTGCTGCTGCGGTTGTTGTTGTTGTTGTGTCTTCCGTTTCTGTCTCGTCGCGGTGGACTTTGAGCTCGTCAACAATGTATTTTCCAAAGACAGACACGATGTCTGTTTTACGGGCCATGGCATGCATTCCGTTCAAGAGCAAATAAAGCGCTTCCTTTGTCGCCATGGTTCTGAATGCCACGAGTTCATCTTCATCGGGTTGGGTAAACGACTGCAGACGGCTCAATTGTTCCTGCAGATGGGCTTGTTTTTCTCTAGAGGAAGAGGAAAGAGAGGTTTGCATACGATCGATCTGGTCCATGAGTTTGCGTTTTTGATCACGGGCAGGTTGGAGAGCGGCTTCTTTACGTTGGATTGTTTTGAGAGTGTCGCGATAAAGATCCATGGTATGAGCCCACTCCATAAGGATATTGGACCATTGACCGAGGAGTTCACCCACACCATACGTCACGTCCTGATAACAATAACAAGAGAACAGAGGTCGGTACGATAAAAAGTGTGTTGGATGGGCTGCAACGGAAAAAAGTACTTACAGAAAAATTTTGACCTAAAACAGACCCAAATGTTCGTAGATGGCTTGCAGAAACACGGTTTTGTTCGGCTAATTGAGAGATGGACTGACTGGACTTTTTCGTCAAGTCTAAAACACCAGCGAGACCCTTTTCCGAGATGGAAGAGCTATGGTTACCGTAGGTGTCTGCTGTGGTCGAAGAGAGTGCTTTATGAAATAATTGCTCCAACATGGGTTTGATGAATGATGATTCTCTGTTGAAAAAAAAAAAGAGATCGTTTTTATAGGAAAAAAAAAAAAACCCAGAAAACTCGTACCTGAAAACACACACGTTAATTCAATCCACCAATCAAAAGAGACGGCGAAAAGTTGTAAATAGAAATTTGCCTCAAGTTATATGCGCCCCTTCTCCAAGTCGGATCCAAGACAGGCAAAACTTTTTTTTTTTCATGCGATGATACTCAAATGAACAGGAGAACGTTTTACTTTATACTTTTTTTTTCTTCCAACTTATAAGCATAGCGAACAGAGCAGCACAACACAGCTCAAAAGCGAATATGGGAGTGTCATTACTTGCTTACGTGGTCACCTTTTTCATCTTTATTTGCAACTATACATTAACCATTTGTTCCATTGTATTCCCCAGATGGTACGAATGAGGGCAGTGAGTGAGTGAGGGTGATGGCTGTTGGAGAGAAAAAAACGAGAAAGAATAACCGCCCCCCGTGGGGTTTGTTTGCATAGGCTTACATTTGTGACTCCAGTGCCTTTTTATATGGAGACACACTATGGTCTATTTAAACTTTGCAGAAGGTAATGTACGCTAAAGAATCGAGCGGAAGACTTTTTTTTTTTTTCATATTTTGATAATGGATGTAGTATCACAAGAGAATGCCGAGTGTTTCCTTCCTACGATCATGGTGATTGTCAAGAAGGTAGGTATTCCTGACCTCTAGTGTTTTTTCCCGGAAAAAAAGGATGGATCTCTGAAAGGAAATCATTTTTTTTTGGTAGAGGGCTTTTGTGAGTTATGGTAAGAAGGATCATGGGCAAACAAGTAAAATCTAACTTGGGGACTGACTAAAAAAGAACGACGAAATGCATAGGCGAGCAGCAGGTGCTAGTATGATTTTATCAGCGATCCTTGGAGGACTTGCGTTATTTGCGCTGTTGGCTACGATGTGCAGCAATCGTCGTAAACGATCCAAGGCGTGGGCACCGATTTCGTTCCTGTTGGTTTTGTATGCTTTACCTCAAATCTTTTCCATGAGTGTGATGGCCTATCTCTACAATTCGAGCTCGACCTTTTATATCGGCACTAAATACAATGTGTCGTTTGTATTGTGCATCATCAGTTGGATAGTCAGTATCCTTTTGTCTGTTATTTTATCTCTCGTAGCCGTTTTAGGTCCGCCCGACTACAGTTATCAACCGTTATAAATGAACAGCGCTTTTTTTTTTTTTTTTCGGGGTTCCTTTTTTTAATTAAACCAAGATGTGTCACAATGAAAGTACGTGTATTACAGTGTATGTGTGTGTGTTATTAGAATGAATAAAGAAAATAAATAGAAATGGAGAGAAACAAAAAAGGAGGTAGGGAGAGGTATATGGGATAAAAAGAAAAAAAAAAAAAACCAAGGAGAGACGCGCGCGACATGCTTCATTTGTTATTTTTGCGATACATTGATTTTGTAGTGTAGGCTTCTTTTATAGACATTTCAGTATTCAATAGCCTGTCCCAAAATGTAAAGAAAGGCTGAGAAAAGTTTCGTTTGATGCCAAAAGATTGATGATGGATATCATGGCTATTCATAGAACAAAGAGGGAAAAAAAAAGTGAGTCATAGCATCCTACAATGGAAAACACTCCAGGAATGATACTTTACTACTGGACATTATTGCCAAAAAAGAATTGCAATGGATTCCAAGGTAGAGCGTATCCACAATGATCATCGACGGTCTTTAATGTAGAAAAGGTGAAAAAGAGAAAACTCATGCGAGCGGTCATGCCGGTCAATTCCATGGCGAGCGTGGCGCCCAAAGAATCCAACAAGAAGCCTTCGAGGGGATGGTTATAGAGGGCGCCAAAAGCATAAGGAACGTACAATCGATGGTGATGCGAATGGATGTGTTTGTACAGAAATTTGTTGGTGTGAAAGAGACGATGCAAAAAATATTGATGAGCGTCCAAGATGCACATGGCGAGGATAAATTGCGCGGTGGGTTTCAGGACCCATTCGATGCCTTGGGCCATGGAGAGGCTGACGACGTCGGTCATGTCGACGCTCATGCCCGGTATCATACTATTCGTAGTAGTCGTCGTAGTCGTCGTCGTCGTAGTTGTAGTTGTAGAGCTACTGCTCGTGCAGCTACTGCCGTTGCAGCTACTGTGATGCGTGCTGGTGCTGGTGGTGGTGCTCAGAAAAAAAGCCGGTATCCGCGCTGCGATGATTTGCAAGGTGTGTTTCCAGTAGAGGACGTTTTGCTGGTATTGGAGGGAGGCCTTGACGGCATCGGTGGGTTTCAAGACGAGGAGGCCCAACAGGACCTGTATGATTTGTTGCAATGTCACCATACTGAGGACCTTGCTGAAGGTGACTTTGTTGCGTTTTTCCATATCGCCCATGGTGTGAATGCGGTACTGTTCGAAATAAGGTATCTCGGCCTTCATGACGAGGTGCCAGAAAGTCGAGTAGATCCAGTAAGCAGCAATGGGTGCCCATAAGGCCAAGACCTCATCGGACCATAGACTACGTTGGGTGAGAGGTGTGCTGAACAGATGGAGCCATGATGACACAGTGGTGGAAGCGAGCATCTTGTAAAATCTCGACGAAAATGAGGTGAATGGCAAAGTGGGTGTACTGATGAAGCCCCAATTATCTACTATGGAAGACAGTAGGATGTAGTAAAAAGTCGAACTGTAATTGGATGGAATTCTATCACGCTGAATAGGATAGATTGGGGGGAGGAAAGAAAAGGAAAACGGAAAAGTCGGTTTCAATGAAAAGTGGGGTAAAAAAATAAAAAAAAAGAAAAACCAGCTTTTCTTGAAAAAGGGGGGGGGTGTATTGTGGTTGAGGACTTTTAAAAATACCCTTATGAGGAGTTTCAAAATCCCAAAAAATCCCATTTTTGTTCGTTTGTTGTAAAATTTTCCCTTTTTTTTTTTTTCTATTTTTCCCTTTCTCTGCTATTTTTTTTTTTTTCACTCTTCCTACTAGAGAAGCGTTACCCTAGAAACAACGGATTGTTACTATAACCAACCCAAAAAAGCGTATCATGGATGATATCGAATACTATTTTGATAGTATAGAAACGTTCTATGCAGGTAAAGAGGAAACCCACACCGTTTTAAAAAGTAGCTTACGACTCAATTTTTAGTTTAGAATTGGATGACATACTTGCAAGGTCTTATACAACAGAAGAAGATGTACAAAGGATTATTACACAGTATATTCGGTTCTTGGTTCGATATCAACGTAAAGATTTATTTAAAAAAAAAAAAGAAAGAAAAAGAAACCGTGATGGGGTTATCCCATGCTTATCCCAACCCCCCCCCCCCCCCCCCCCCACTGGAATTTTTTTTTTTTTTTTCTTCTATAGATGAATTCTTAAAGACAGCGGTCGAATTTGCTCAAATCGCTTACAAGTTGATCGACTCGAAAATCTGTCTTGATTACAGCACAACAGTGCTTTCGCATATTCTGAATCATCATGCTCTCCCTTCGCAAGACAAAGTAGAGCTTTTGATCTCCTTTTCGCTCCTTTTGTATGCAGGCAAAGACGAACCACGATGGATGGACTATATTTTGTTGGCCTCGATCCAAGACAAAAGAAACCGGTTGTTTGGAAAAATCATGACAGAAATGCGACTCGGGTTTTATCACACGTATAGCTTATTGAGTGTCTCGTTTTCGTTATGCTATGAGCTATGTAAATTGGCTAAATTGGAAAAAGAAGATTTATGTAAGGATATCAGTGTATGTATAGATGGAGAGGGGAGGGGGGGGACATAAGGAGAGGAAAATGACTCATGGAAAAAAGGATATAGGTCTTATTACTACAGAGATGGTCAACCACTTTCTAGACCTTGTGGAATCGACGCGGGGGGACAACGAAGAATCGTTTAATTATGATGTCATCCGGTACATGATGGTGTTGAATGAACAATACATGATGTCTGGGATGGAAGAGAATTTGGTTCTGGATGTATTATCGCAACGTATAGGCACATCAGACACGTTTAGTGCTAATTTGTTATTCATGTTGAACAGATCAAGTAAGTCCTTTTCTTGGGGAAATGGCACGTGTTTCGTAACGCGCTTTTTGATTTTTCTCAACTCGTGTGTGTGGATCTCTAGATGATATGTGTGTACAGATGTTGATATTGAAATTACTGTATGGTATCTTTACAAGGCCTTGTTTGTATGAATATTTCTATACCAATGATCTGTACGTTTTGGTGGATATTGTCTTGAGAGAGTTATGTGATCTAGGTGACACGAAGGAAGCACAGACGGTAAGTGGGTTTTGTACACCGCCCCCCGACATGATATCATTTTTTTTTTTTCTGCTCTCCAGCTGATACTCCTCCCATGGGATTGCGCCAGTTACGTGATGCGTATCTTCGCGTCTTTGAACCTTTATTAGAAAATACCCAATTACGACTACGGCCTTACAAGAAAAAGGAAACGCACACGATTTTGACCAAGTTACTTAATCCTGGCATGCAACGTAAAGTAGGTTCTACGACGAAGCGTATTGTCAACAGGATTCTTCACGATTGGTGGGAACAAAGTCAGACATTAGAGTCCCCTCAGGTATTGTCACGTACTGGTTCTACAGTCTCCTCCTCCTCCTCCTCCTTTTCCTCCTCTTCCTCCCGCCTGGCCGATGGGCACGATCCAACCCCCCCACCGCCGCTCGCCAACGTAGATGAAGTGTCGACAGTGATTAGCCGAAAAGAGGTCAAACAGACACTTCAATGTGAAGAACAAGGCAAACAACCACCCGCGTCTTCTCAACCTCCCCTTCAAGAACAACAACAACGTATCCTTGTGTAAATAGATGCTATTTTATGACCCGTTGATCCATACCATTCAGAGAGTCCTTTTTGTCGTCCCATGATAAAACATGACTTTTTTTCTTTTTCTTATTTTTTTTTTTTTCTTTTCTCTTTATTCAAAAAAGGACCCATGGAGTTGATCCTTAAGTGTGTGTGTGTCAAAGAGTGTGTGTGTGGGGGACTGGGAACGAGAGGAGGGGATGGGACTATATACATGGAGGAGGGGAGAGGAGGGGAGAGGAGGGGAGAGAGAGAGAGAGAGAGAGAGAGAGAGAATAAATAACGAGTTTTTTTATATACATAGCTATATACATGATGGTTTTTTTAGACAAAGATGCCTTGACTGGCGGCCCAAAGGTGAGCGAGATCGGTCAAGGGCTGACACAGGGAGTCAGGGATAAGGCAGATCAGCATGTTGCTTAGCACTCTTTTTCTATGTTTTCTTTCTTGCTGCTGTTCAGGCTGACGATCGTGATCAAACAAGTCGATCCTCGCATCCAAGTGATCCATGGTGATTTTTTCGTAGGCAAGAAGGAGTTCGGGTTCGATCCAAGAGACGGTCTCTCCCTCTGCTGCTGCTGCTGTTGCCAAGACGGGCTGAAAAGTGACGGTGATGGAAGGGGCAAAAGGAAAGAGACCGGCATAAGGGGTATGGGGTTGAATGACGAGCTGTTGTGTTTCTTGTTGACGTACGCATTCGGACAGAAAAAGTGTTTGAATCCATAAGGGGAGACGGCCGCGTACGGCCATGTCTTTGGCGTCTGTGTAAGGATTGGTGTAGCGTACACCGAATGTATAACTGTAGGGTATAGACGTGTCCTTGTCGAGCACGTGGGCGGGTGGGGGTGGTGGTGGTGTGGGAGCCATCGTGGGCGTGTGTGGTGTTGCTGCTGCTGCTGCATGGGTATCCATGGGTACTTTTTCTTGCTCTTCCTCCTTCACAAGGAGAGGAGAGAGAGCAGGCTCAGCAGGCTCAAAGAGAGAAACCGTCGGCAGCGGCTGCCATTGGTGATGCACAAAGACGCCTTTGGACAAACGCATCACAGAGACGTGGTTTTCCAAATCGAGATTTTGATGATGTACCAAGCGCATCAACAAGTTTTCTGATCGCAGTTTTCGATACAGGATGGGATCCGTGGTATCCGTCAGTGGATCTTCCTCCTCTTCTACTTTGAGACTCGAAAAAGCCGTATGACTGCTACTACTAGTATCACTGCTACTGGAACTGTGTTGACTCGTCGTGGTGAGACGGTCTTCTTCTGCCCATGGAGTGGTGGGGTGATCCTCGACCGACATTTTGCATAAGAGTCGTGAAGGGTTGGGAAAAGCGGCACTGGTGGAATGAAAAACGTGTCGACGTACGGCAGAAACGATCCATTTGAAACGGTCTACATTGTTACACACAGAGGAGAGTGAGCTATCATAGTCTACAAAAAAGTCATGGAGGGTCGATAGCGGTGGCGTCGTTGTCGTCGTTGTCGTCATTGTCGTCGTTGTCGTCATTGTCGTCGTAGGATGGGCGGCTGTGATAGCATACGCGTCTTCGACAGGGTACTGATACTCGTTTTTGAGAGTGGCTGAAGGATCGATGAGAGGAGGAGCAGGACAGGTGTCTTGTTCCATTTTCCTTCTTTTGGCGGGAGGAAGAGGCGGTGTGGCGGGTGGCGACGTGGGTGTTGCATAAAAAAGGTCGGCACACGCTGAGTCATCCAAGACGTGGGCTGTGGTAAAAGTACGATGCATGGGATGATTGTGTCTTTAAGGGCGCAATGGGCTGCGATGAAAAGAATCGAAAGAAAAAAAAAAAAAAAAAAAGATAGAAAATGAGGGGAAGAGGGCTTTATATTTTTTTTTTTAGGGTTACAACTCTAATTTTTTTTTTTTTTTGAGTCAAAAAAAAAGCACAGTAAATGTTATTTTCGTTTTGGGATCAAATCAGGGCCTTTTTCCCCGCTCCCCTCCTCAAACAAAAAATCGGCCGGAACCCCGCACCTGAAGAAAAATTTAAATTGAAAATTTCTAGTGTGTGCGTGTGTGTGTGTGTGTGTGTGTGTGTGTGAGACCTACAAAAATAGAGGCCGCAAATAACGCCTCTTCGCGTCCTTTTTTTTTTTTTTTCTGTACCAAATCACGCGACCTTTGCGTGTTATCTGTTATCTTTATAGAATTTATTTTGTAGATAAAAAAAAAAAAAAAAAAAAAAAAAAAAAAAAGAGACGATGGGATGGAGAAGCCCTAGGTAGGAGAAAAGCCATCGTCATTAGTTTCAGATGTAGAAAACAAGGAAATTAGGTTCTTCCTTTCCTTAAGGTTATTTAGAATGAAAAAACCATGGCCTTGTTTGAGCCATTGGTTTTTATGGCTGATCGTGTCATTTTGTCATGTTCCAGATCGTGAAAGAACAAATTAGAAATCCCTCTGTGGATTTGTCAGCAACACTCGATGATGATGAAACTCTAAATTTCGGTGATGGATGGATTGCTTATCTGATCTTTTTTTTTTGTAGCTCAGTTAAATGAAAGAAACAAAGAGAGAGAGAGCCATTCGTCATCATGAGAAGTGATGGTTCTTTCCTCGTGTCGCAACCGCCCGAGAAATAAAAATCAAGTCACCTCCAAGCGAAATTCCCCGCCGCGCAACAATAAACCTTAGTTTTTTCTATTGTTATTCACCACGTGTACAACAAAAAAGGGGACTTTATACGTTATACGCGCGCTGTCATCCAACCTATCCTAGGTTGACAACATAATTCTAGCCATTGACAAAGACGTTTGACTCGCGAGACAGAGGGAAGAGGAGAGGATGAACTGCGCAACATGTGAGAAATCGATTGTTTTATGGAAAAACTCACACAACAACATTGTGCATGTGTGTGTGTGTTTATGTGTGTTTATGTGTGTTTATGTGTGTGTGTGTGTGTACGACAATCATCCATACGAAAAAAAATAAAAAAATAGATCAAGTTACTGCGGTAAAAGAAAAATGGTATCTAAAAAAAAAAGAGGACAGCATCTCATGTGCGTTTTTCAAAATGAACCCAAACACCATGACGAGGTTTGGTGGTAAGGACGACCTTGGTATCAATGATGCAGTCTTGAGCCAAGTTGAATTTGAACTCATTGACAGTACAAGCAATGGTGGTTCTTAATTCCAAAGTGGCTAGATTCTTGCCTATACATGCATGTTGACCGAGTGTAAATGGCAGATCAGGGAATGTGTATTGCGTGTCTGGGGTAATGACATGGTCTGTCGTGTCTGTACCAAAGTGATCAAAAGCAGCGTCTTCTGTTGTCTCGACGACGACAGGTCTCAGCCAGCGCGAGGGATCAAACTTTTCAGGTTCCGGAAAGAGGGCAGGATTCATTTGGATACCTCGTACATTGCACCAGACGGCAGCCCCTTCTGGGACGACGGTGCCATCCACTTGGATAGCACGATTCACATGCATGGGAATAAAGACAACAGCAGGGTACATACGCAGCGCTTCCTTGTAGACAGCCGTGACCAAAGGCATCTTGGCCAGTTTTTCCGCCGTGATCGTGGCAGGGTCAAGAGGAGCCGGGCCCAGCACCGCGCGCACTTCTTGGAAAAGCTGTTCTTGGAGGTCGGGATGGCGTGCCAATTCAGCAAAACAGAAAGACAAGGTATGCGCCGTGGTATCGTAACCTGCAAACGTCAGCGCCAAGAGATCGTTGACGAGATCGACACGGTCCTCACCATAGCGTCCACTAGCAAAGGCACAGGCGGCCACCGAACGATACACGCGTCGCGAGGGAGGTGTGCCTGACGCTTCATAGTCAGCCAAAGCGGTGTGATAATCTTGCAAAGCCCTGTCCAATGAATCGTGGATGAAATGCTTGAGTCGATCACGCGAGGGTTTGAAGGATTTCTGAGCCCACTTTGTGCGATTGAGACCGAATGGAAGCCACACTTCCAATGACTGAAAACCTGTGCCTAGGTTATTATGTTCTGCCTAGGGGAGAAAGGAAATCAACATGAGTTATGGGTTTTTTTTTTTTTTTTTTTTTTTTTTTTTTTCACTCTCCGTGCTTTCGTTCATTTTTTTTTCTTATACCTTCATGTTTCTTTTACCACCGACGATGGCATAATTCAAGTCCTTTCTTCCATACAGATAAAAGTTGATGACGTCCATGGTTAAATCGGTAAACAAGTCGTCTAATTCAATCGCTTGGCCAGAGGCAGCGGCCCTCGTAAATGTGTCGAGTAATTCGCGAGCACGAGAAGCCACATAGGGCAATAAATGGGGTACCAATTGTTTGGGTTGAAACGAAGGCAATAAAACATGTCGACGCCAGCGCCAATCCTATCATGAGACAAAAATGGGTTAGACCACCGAGGGGACGGCATGGGTAGGTTCGTCATTCTGTCCATTTTTTTTTTTTTTTTTTTTACCTCTCCCACCGTATTATTCAAATTCATACCACCAAAGACGAGGTGGTGCACCAATCGAATCATCATCCCTCTTTGTACCTGAGGACCCTTTTCGACACTCGCCGCTTTTCCTTTACTACGGCTCGTCCGAGATTGACCTTCGATCAACACGTCCTTGATGCCCTTGAGCGTATTGACAATGACCAGAGGTGTGCCAAAAATAGACCAACACACACTGACAGGAGAGACACGGGTGTCTTGACGGCCCACACGAATCAAAAAGTGAGAGAGTGCATCGTGTGTCTCTTTTTCACTTGGAGGAGGCACAATGCCAAAATATTTGAGAAAGAAACTATGCGCTGGTGCAATCGGTGCTTTGGCGAGTGAAGCATAGCGAACGTAGCGACGATGAACGTACAGTGCAATAGAGAGAATGGCCAAGGAGAGAGGAAGGGCGTAGGCAATAGAGCTCGTCGTCGTCGTCGTCGTCATTGTTGTTGTTGTCATGGTGTAGGCACGGGCTTGGTGGCTGATGCCAGAAGCAAGGGATCGAATGAATTGAGGCATGACTCGCAGAAGGATGAGAAGGAATGTCAAGAGGAGATATCTATGTATCTATGTCGTGTTGTTGTTGGGTTTTCTGGTAAAAAAAAAAAAGAAAAAGAAAAGAGATCCCCCTTCCTCATGACCTTGCCCTTTTATATGAAAAAAAAAAGGTCGTTTTGTCGTGCTCTCTTGTAGTCATGGCATAGCACGGACTTTTTTTTTTTTTTTTTTACTGTTTTCCCTTGCATGAAGGGTCATGGAGAGACACGAAAAAAATAAAAAAGTTTATTTCTCACTCATGAAATTAGCCAATCATGTTCAACAAGGTTTCTGATCCAATGGATCTGTCAATAGAGCCACACCACGACAAAGAAAATAAAAGGGAGGGAGGCCAAAAAGAAAGGGGCCAAGCGGGGAGGGGGGGGGTGGCGGCGACTTTTCTCTTATTTCAACACTTACATGAAAAAGTCGAGGGCAACAAACCCTTGATTGTGATCTGTATCACGCTAGCCCATTACCGATCCTCTGCACATGAGTGTGTCTATCGCTCAAGAAAAGTCGTACCGCGCACGGTGTTTTTTTCATTGTATTTCGTTACAGATCATTTGGAAAAGGCAAGTCTCCATGTCTTTTGTGAAATAGAGCGCATCCCTTTTACAATACGAATCTACTTGGTCGTCAGTGGAACCCATGGGTGTCTATGCAAAGGCTGATAGGCAACGTTACATGGAAGGAATCACTTTTATTTTTTTATTTTTTAATTTTTTTTTATTCATATGGTAGCAGCAAAAAGTCAATGAGAGAAAACCATCCTATCTATATAATACACAGAGCTTCAATAGAAAGAAAAATAAGGGAATTATGTACAAAAAAGTAAAAAAAGGACTTTTTAAAACATCACTAAGCGACAGTTTCTTTACATGTATCTTTTAAACTCGGATTGCATTTTCTGTTGAGTAAGCTCTAGGAAAAAAGAAAAAAAAAAAAAAAAGGGAATCAGAACCCATGTCACGTTGATGGTATCCTCCCCTCCTAGCTTATACCTCCAAATGGTCAGAATCGACAAAGCTGGGTACTACTGTCCCTGTAGGTGTAGCTACTTTGGCAATCGACTTTTGTCCTTCTTCAAAAGTAGCCCCTAAATCTCTCAAGGCAGCCATTCGTTCCGCCCCGGTGGGCATGGGTGACACTTCCATCTCTTCGTCGTCCAGCAGAGTCTCGTGAGAGGTATCTTGGGTCATCTCTTGTGAAAAATCGTAGGGTTGCTGTTCGTGTTGTTCGTTTCGCAAGGATGATTCACGTCTTCTCTGTAACAGGGTGGGCGAACTGATGGTGATGGAGCTTCGTCGCCGTCGTGATCGTGTCTGTTGTGAGCCGTCTGGAGAATTCGTGGGTTCATCCTCCAAAGAAGACAACGATTGTTGACGCTCGCGTTGAAGTTCTTTTAAATCTCCAGAAGAATATTGCTTTTGGCCTTGTCTTTGATACATTGATCAAGAAATTGGGGGGTGGGGAAAAAGAAAAACAAAAAAAAAAAAAAAAAAAAGAAAAATATTAAAAAAATAAATAGCTACGGGTTTCGCTTTTTCTCTTTTGAGGGACCCATTGGCTACTGCCTTTTTTTTTGCCTTTGGATAGGTTCACTGTTTTAAATTAACGGATGGGTTTCTTATCAAATGGTTAAAATGGGCAAAGGTAGGCCATGGAGAAATCGCTTTACGTCATATTGACGGCTTCTTTCACCTTCTGTCTTTGGGTGATCGGCTCTTTAAAATGATTCAAAAAAGGAACAAAAAATTTGCATGAATTGGGAATTCTCCATCATGATCACATGGGAGATCCTACGGAAACATTTAATCATTTTTACCACAAAAAAACCAGAGTATGTTTTTTTTTTTTCTCATACTCTTATTTTTTATACAGATCAGTCACTCACTCTTCCTCCGTCTAGACGTAAGGGCATGTACTTTGATCGACCCCCTCGCTGAGCTACTTTATCCTGTATCAAGCAACACACACACCCCAAAAGAACACAGCATGCATGGATGGATGTGCCTTTTGGATCCCTCTTTCTCAAGGACAGTCTATCTTAGATCAGAGACAATAACGACAAACATAGCGACCAACACAGCCAAGATACATGTGGATCCAAAAACGACGGCGCCTCGACTCGCTGGAAATTGCCCTTTGGTCATGGCGAGTTGTGTGTGAAAATAACGAGCATTGGCAAAGTACAAAAAGACGATACTGAAAATGACAAACACACCACCCAAGGCCTTTCCTATTTTCGCCTGTGTCACTTGGTTGGTGTTGTCTCCGCCCGTTTGTGGTGTGAGATGGTAGAGCTGTGTAATGGCTAAATAAGAAAAAAAAAATTGAGTCTTTTTTGCTTGCTTGCTTAAAGATAGGCTGGCTGGCTGACTGGCTATCAATCGACGTGTATTATTATTTTACCTACACCCACAGTAATCAATGATAAAGACGTTCTCAACCAAGCCAAAAATGTCCTTTCGTTTGCTTATTTTGTGTCAGTAAAAGACATACTCTAATAAAGCCGCACTTTCCTTTTACCTAAATGGTCTCTTGCTACGGATGATGTATTCTCCAACATAAAGGACGTCGAAAAGCGTGCATAGAGTTTTCCTATCCATTCATAAGGTCCTCTTATCGCTGGATTCCGTCGGTGTTCTTGTTGCTTTTTAAATTGCTGTCGCATCGTTTCTTTTTCTTCTTGTGTCTTGGTCTTGACAAGAAAAGGTGGGTGACTGAGTTGTCGTGTCAAATGATCTTCCAATGCCTGCTCAGCAGCGTCTTGTACTTGACCTTCAGCATCCTCCTCCTCCTCCTCCTCCTCGTGACGGATCGTTGGTGCGGTTGATTGGACCTTTCTAGCACGTTCGTCGTCGTATGCGTATTCGTGGTCGCGGTCGTGGTCATGGCTGTTGACATTCATTTGATATCTGTCGTTTTCAACTTTTCAAAAAAAAAAAAAACTCAAATAGAAGCGTACACTTAGAAAGGACGAAAAAGAGAAACAGGAAAGAAAGAGCGAGCTTGGATGAATCCAATTTAAAAAAAATAGAAATCGGGATGTGTAAATCACAGACTTGACGTCACAAGAGGGGTGAGTCGGATAGGAGCCCCACCACCACCTTTCATGGCTCATCATGTATCGCTTTTTGGGTGTTTCATGGATGATATTTTTGTAGCCGTTCTGGTCTCAATTTCAAAGGTGCCTTTCAATGACAAAAATGACAAAATCAAAGATAAAAGGCTCTTGGAAAAGGGATGCCTCTTTTCATAAAAAGAGGAGGGCCATTTATTATCAAGTTTTTCTTGTAAATCAATAGAAATGTATCTGGTTAAAAAAAAAACCATAGATGATATCGAGTTTTTCTCATTTTTGTTCAGTGGGGGGGGGGTGGCTGATCCATTGTTTGTTCTCTATGCTGTCATTTTACACACTCGTGTCTTTATTTCTTTTCTAAACGACATTGTCAACTCCTGTACCTCCCAAAAACCTATCCATGATACAATACAATGAGTCCATGTCCCACTTCCTCCTTCTTTTTTATCAATAGAAAATGTCAACTTACTTGGAGCTAGCGAATGCTTGACCAGAGAAAGCAGCAACACCTATATCATTTACGTCATGTGTGTGAGTTGGACCACTTTTTTTTTTTTTTTTTTTTTTTTTTTTCCCGGTCTGTCTGTGGGGAGTATAGGTGCGTATGCGTGTCACTTACCATAACAGATCGCACCGAGTAATAAAGTAACACCACATGCCACAAGAGGACCTGTATTCATCAGAGTAGAAAGAAACATGACAACCGCAAATCTATTACGTATGGAAAAGGGAATTTGCCAAGAAGAATTAGAAAAAAAACCGCTTAGCAGAAAATTACAAAAAAAAAGAAAATCGTCCTTCTCTACTTACACTAAATACATAATCGCGCGAAAGTAACAGTTTTCAAAATAGGCGATAAAGCTATCACTATTCATACAAATGGGCGGTCAGTGTGTTGTTGACTGAAGCCTCGACAAGGTTCATCTTTTGTTTCTTACAATTTCGGGCTTGTTGGACACATCCTTAAACATAATGGTACTTCGACAAAGATAAGAATAAAAGCAATGACCCTATCACAGGGAAAAAAAAGAGTCAGCATCAAGAGAAGGAACCACTGACTGTTCTCCAACCATTCCCTTTTACCATCCAACAATACTGAACACGATATGGCTGATAAATCCAACAATGCCTAGTGCGATTAATACTGGAAAGAAAATGCATTTCAATACGTGTGTGTCTTTCTCCTTTTTCATTCGTCACATAGGCCCATTGACTTACAAATAATGGATATAATGCCAAACCTTTGTCATATGAATGTAATAAGAAAAAAAAAAAAAAAAAAAAGAATACGCATCAGTTTCCTCTTTCCCTTTTCAATTCTCTTTTTTCTTAACGAGGATCGACCCTGTTCTTTTACCATTGACCGTAAAGTGCGCAATTTCTTGATTTTATTTCGTCAAAAAGTCCCATCTTTTTAAGTTTTGAATATATGGATAATGATAGAATAGAATATGAAAAGAAAAAAGAGAAATGAAAAAAAAAAAAAAGTAAATAAAATAGAAAATAAGTTTAAATCATAGGCTAAATGGCAGCTATTCATTCAATGATGGCAGGTGCAGGAAAAAAAGTGAGTGTGCTGGTGGTCATGGTGGGCCGGGCGGTTTCTGAAACAGTCTCCCTCAAAGTCCGTTTACTTTGAAAAAAAAAAAAAGCAAATAATGAAAAAGCGGTCCCTCCTATTTGTCTTTGTTTCATAATTTCGTCTTTTTTGTGATATATTATAAAAGCAACCTGCTTCCTTTGCTCTGTTCTGATCATGATGTTTTCTAAATAGACCACCCTTCAAGATGTTTGGGCTTTTTTACACATAAACCCAAGTCTCTCTCTCTTTCTGCTATGTTCATCAGGAAATCAGCCATCCTTTGTCCTTGGCTGGTTCCATTATTAAGCATAGAGTCACCCGATGTGAACTAAAAAAAAAAAAAAAGACCTCATTTATTACGGCCAAACACCGGGCTCTTTTGTTTGTTGATCACATGAATCGTCTTGCTAAAGAAACTGCTGCGTGATAAAACATCGTAACGATGGAAATCTAGAGTTTGCCACTGCACAAAACTTGCTTTGGGTTGTTGCCTGCTTTTCAAAAAAACGTACTGCCATAAATGGGTATATTATTCTTTAAAAGGTAAAAATAAAATACCTTTTGTACTACCTTTTTTCTTATTTTTTCTATGTTGACATTTCGGATAGGTTCTCCCCCACATTCGATTCATACCAACATAGTTTCTGTGGTCATGAAGACCGATAGAAAAAGCAAAAGAACGCTTTAAATAATATCTGCTTCATTCTTTATGTTGTACAGTAAAAAGCAAGTCGATGGATCTCTTTTTTTTTTATACAACGCAATCCAAAAGATATGTACGTGTCTTTCTTTGAGAAAAAGAATTAATGGAGGATGCAACTGAATTGAGAAAAAGCGCCTTATCCCGCGTTGGATAATAGGAATGCATGGGACCCTGTTGTTGCTACTCCTCAGACTGTTGCTGCTGCTGTCACTGTTTTATAGCTGTTGATTATTTACTGTACTTTGGATAGAGAGGCGGCGAGAGAACTAAAGTAGAATAGCATGCATTGCCACCGCATGGCCCGTACTACTTGCTTTCTGTTCCTTGCGTCTTGAAAAGACAGCAATCACCTTTACTTCACTATGGATGGAAAGTTGAATGATCAAGAGCTTTTGGAGAAAGCAACTTTTCAACACCGACTACGCTATCATTTCTATAGATGAAAGGATCGAAAGAAAGAGTGAATGCTGCCACATTCATTCCTTTACTGTTCACTTTAAAATGTGCATCCACTTGTGTTCCAACGACCTACAAATGATTCAAGAAAAACTTGGTCTCATGATCCCCCAATGTCTATCAATAGGAATACAATGTCCTGTTTTAGTATTGCTCCCTATGACCTAATGATCCACTGGAGGATTCCCTTTTTCAAATGGAAATTAAAGTTAAAACCGTCACTACAGTGTCAATAAAAGAGTTGACACCACCAACACACACAGATACATAGGCTCACATCGTCGGGTGCATGGAGAGCTTATACAAAACTTTTTTTTTTTTTTTTACCTCCGCTCCACTTTCTTTTATGGAGAGTATCACACGAAAAACCTAAAGACACACAATGAACACATGTGGCATGTCAGAAAAGAGGGTTAGAATCGAGAGTCAACCCAGAATACGCCCGTTTGTCCGGAAAAACCTACAAGGTAACACGACGAATGCGCGCTGTATTGTATTCGTTTTTTCCTTTCCAATGGGCCTCTCTTGAGGCAGAAAAAGACACAAAAGGAGGTATTTTTCAAAACCGATGGGTCCTTTTATAACAATGTAGGCGAAAGCTTTTCTCCTGGTCATCCTCCACACCCATAGACACTCTACAGAATATCAAGCTTCAATGACAGAATCTTGGGGCGGTGATAAAATCCATCTCCCTATCTCAGTTGCACAGAGGGGGTGTAGGGTGTGACAAAGCATTTTTTCCTCCAAAAAGAAGGTTGGCGACTACAAGTACACGATCATTGGGGTACACTGTCATGTTTGACTTTTGATCGATCGTCACCCAGTTGAAAAGCGTCCATGCGTAAAGACAGATACCACGACGACGACTTGTATCTCAAAAAGAGGCGAGGCTTTGACATGGAAAAAGTAGGAAAAAGTGTAGCTTTCTCAGTAAGCACTTTCTCTTTCCTAAATCGTCGCCAACGAGACTATAACCTAAAGACGGAAGGGACGTGCTTCTAAAGTTGTACACTATTTTCACAAATTATTGGCATACATTTGAAAAAAAGATTGGCGCGCATTTGAAAAATAAAATGGCACACATTCAAAAAAAACTTGGCGCACTCGTTGTAAAAAGTTTGGCGCATCAAAAAAACAAAATTTGGCGCATAAAAAGGTTTAATATTGTCCATTTAAGGAAAAATACACTATTTTCACTGGCACACACTTTGAAAAAAAAAATTGGCGCATAAAGGGATTAAAATTTGGCACAAAAATTGAATGCGACACATGCGACAAATAATCTTTTTATTTCTAGATAGGCATTCCTTTCAAGTAATCATCGATTCTATCACAGGAGTATTCACAAATTCCTTCAAGATCACTCATAAGCACTTGATTGCATGCATCTCCGATTCTAGATGTGAGTGTCTCTTCCTTCAACAGCTTCTCTCGTTTGAGCATACTCTTACAAATAGACCAGAATTGCTCAATAATGTTAAGCCTGGCGAGTAAGGAGGAAGAATATTATTTCAGGATTATTTACCTTAAATTGAAGAATTATTTGATTTAAATTTATTTTTAGATTAATAAACGCATCTGTAGCCACGACTTTCAATAAAAAGCTTGATATCATCATTTGTGTGGATTGGAGCATTATCCATGATCAAGTAGTTGTCCTTGAAAATCTCTGGGTGCTTGTCCATTTCGTCCATGGTGTCGCTTATAAAGTTAAAGTAATGACCTATAACTGTGCCTTTGCTCTGTGTATGAGCTTGTCCACTCGATCCAGCGGTTTTTCTTTTCTTGGAAGTGGGCATTACTCGAGGACGTCTTCCTTTAATGTTGACAACACCAAAAGCACAAGTTGTACCCAAGGTTGTTGTTGTTTTTGCCCTAGTCTTTGGTATTTTGACAACGGCGCGAGTTCCCACTTTTGACCATGCAGTAGATCGCTTCATGTTGATATGATATGCTGCTTCGTCGATGAATACGCAGTTGCTCATGTAGTCCATGTCGGTGGTCATCCATTTTTCTACCCATTCCTTTCTTCCTGTGATCTTTTCCAAGCAGTTGCGTTCAACCGAATGGAAGTGAGTTCTCTTCAGGCTGATCTTGCATTCTTTGGTAGCGAAATTGTACAGTGCTGTTTTTGATATCTCGAGGTCAATGAAATCGGCTGCCAGGCTATCTATCATCTGGTCCAACACTAATGCAGGCTCTTCGTCAATTAAGTCGACCAAATGTGTTTTATGACGATCATCCATCATTGCTGGTCTACTGACTGGTCTTTCACTACCCTCTTTTCTTTCTTTATACGTTTGAGGATCTCGCTGATCGTTCGCTATCCATCTTTGTGCTGTGCGCGGAGTGATACGAAGTTTTAAGGCTGCTTCTCTAGCACTCATGCCTTTTTCATAGACCAAAGCAAACAGTTGCTCCTTCTTTGCTTCCTTGTAACTCTTGTAGATACGGGTTGTCGTGTTGTTCTCTAGCTTGACATCTCCTCTGTCTTCTTTCTTTTCATTGTTTTTTTCGAGCTTTTCAGGTGGTTTGAGCTCCTGGTACATTCCAAAATTTGTCACCGTTTCAATGGGATACATCTCTTCATCTACTTCCATTTCCACAACTGCAACAGCCATGCCTTTGCCGTTAAAAAGGTTTCCCTGGCCGTCTTCATGTATAAAATCGATCATATTCAAAATTAATGTAAAAAGTAAAGAAGCCCTCAAATACGACAATATTAAACCTTTTTATGCGCCAAATTTTGTTTTTTTGATGCGCCAAGCTCTTTACAACTAGTGCGCCAAATGTTTTTTTATATGTGTGTCATTTTATTTTTTAAATAAGCGCCAATTTGTTTTTCAAATGTGCGCCAATAATTTGTGAAAATAATGTATCTAATAACATTAAGTAGGAACAAATGTCTCTGTGGCTCAGTTGACAGAGCGTCAGTCTCATTTGTAGGTAGGACACATGGAAATAGCTTTCTTTTTCAAAAAAAAAAAGGCCTAGGGTAGCAAATACTAATGCTGTTCTCTTTCTTCTTTCAACTCTTCTTCAACCTTAGATCATCGTTTTTATTCACTCATAGACTAGCCAAAAGACTGCATTAGAAAGTGCAGTAATAGATATATCCTCTTCTCTTCACTTGTTCAATTTTGGCAGGCCAAAATCTTTCTCTCTCTCTCTCTCTCTCTCTCTCTCTCTAGTGAATCGAACGGAAAAAAAAAGATGGCCAAAAAGGAGAATCATTCAGCTTATATTAACAATACATTTACTCAATTAAACCATCGTCATGATAACTCGACCCTTAAATCTTACAACATGCATCCTCGTCAGGATTTCCAGCAGCATCCTAAAAATACAGGCCTTTCCATGACGGAAACAAACGATGATAAATGGCATTATAATGGTGGCAATAGAGAAGATTTTTACAGTAATGCATCCTCTACCTCAGGGGATCAAGCACATAGTATTCGTTATTCAGCAGAAGAAAAGGCACTAGTGCGCAAAATTGATTTTATGATTATGCCCATGATTTGTGTCCTTGATTTTTTGCAAGTAAAATAGAGTAATCGATAAAATGGGTAACCCAATGTTGTTGATTCACACTCTATTTTATTTTTGTCACAGTTTCTAGATAAATCCACCATCAGTTATGCAGCTTTAATGTCATTCAAGACAGATCTTAATTTACAAGGAAATCAATTCAGTCTCTTGGGTTCTGTATTTTATTTAGGTTACCTACTATTTCAGGTATAGCTAGAAAAAAGTGTGTAACAAAACCCAATGCTGTATTTCTTACCCACCTACCTACCCCGCCCCAGTTACCCAATAATTATTTATTGCAACGATTTCCTCTGGGTAAATACATTGGCATACTGGTTTTCCTATGGGGCACCGTACTTCTCTGCACGGCCTTTGGTACCAACTTTTCACAGATAGCCGCCATGCGTTTTTTGTTGGGTTTCTTTGAAGCAGGCATTTACCCTTCCATCAGTTTACTCGTCAGTACATTTTATAGACGATCGGAGCAGGTGGCTCGACTAGGTGCTTTCTGGTTATGTAATGGTTTAGCCTTGTGTATAGGTGGTTTTGTTTCTTATGGTGTTGGCCACATGGTGAATGTAGGAGGGCTCAAATCCTGGCAATGGTAAAAACCAGTTGTCTGTGATATCTGTAAAGACTTGTCTTTCTTAACATGCTTTTTCTTATGGATGTCATCCTAGGATTATGATTATCCTCGGAAGTATTACGATCGTCATGGGAGTCATTACTTTCTTCTTTTTGATTGATTCACCCAAAGCCAGTGCATTAAAATTAAATGCTGAACAAGAAATCCTAGTGGAAGAAAGAACCATTGATAATGCAACCGTTCGTACAACAAAGATTAAATTAGATCAAATATGGGAGGCTGTGAAGGAGGTCCGTTTTTGGTGCTTTAGTATTGCTTGTTTATTGATCAATTTACAAAATGGTGCCATGACAATTTATAACGGACAGATTACAGCCAGTTTCGGCTTCGATGTAAGTCATAATGTCATGTAGACTACCCTTTGCTTTGTCCACCCTATAAAAAAAACTAATCCCTCTTGGATCATCCTAGCAATTGCAATCCATGCTTTTGACAGCAGGTGCTGGTGGCTCTGACGTCTTGTTTATCGCGATTGGTGTTTACGCCGTTCGTAAAACTCGTCAAACTATTTATTCAGCCTGCATTCTCATGAGCGTCAACATCATTGGCATGATTTTATTACTGGTGATCCCTGTCACACGTCTCAAACTTCTCGGCTTCTATCTCGCTTGGTCGTATTGTAGTGTCTATGTACTGCTTGTCGCCTCCATTTCCAACAATGTTTCTGGCTATACAAAAAAGATCTTCTACAACGGTGTGCTCATGATTTTCTATACCGTAGGTAATTTTGTAGGCCCTCTCATGATGGTAGAACCTCCGTACGTCGCGGGTATGCTGGGTTACTTGGTAGCCAATTGCGTAGTCATTGTTTTATTGCTCGTGGCACGATGGAGAATGGCTGTTGTGAATCGCCGTCGTTTATTGTTATTGGCTCATACTTCTTCAGCAAGTGTAGCCGCCATGAATAGCTGTTATGGACAAGATGATATCAGTGATGAGCAAGATCAAAATTTCATCTATCTGCTGTAGACCTTTTTTTTTTTTTTTTTTTTTTTTTTTTTTTCTTCTGAAAATAAAAGATTTTTTTGTGTGGAGAAAAACAGACAGGAACTTGAAACAATTTCTATTTATGGATATCCCCTCATTTTTATTTTTTGTATGACATCTTTGCTGCTTGAAGGACTACCCTTCTTTTTTTCTCTTTCCTTTTCCGTTTTTAATTGACAGACTCTATTTATACATTTTCAAACAAATGGCTGGAGCACAACTGTATAAAACAGCGAGTGGAAGATTATTTCATGCGGGTGCAGTAGCTATTATCATTGTGGGGTAAATAGAAAGAGATCACATCTGATATAAACAAGACGTACTAACCACCTGTCTTCCTCAAAAAAAAAAAGTCTACCTGCGAGAGGAAAAACACATATAGCACGATCCCTATGTCGATATTTACGCTGGATGGGTGTCTCTACGGAAGTGTTTAGTATAGGCAATTACCGTAGAAATCAATTGGGTCCTGTACCCAATGAAATGTTTGATCCACGTAAAATACATACATTCAATGCTCATCCTAGTGTATTTGGTTGACATTTTCAAAACGGAAACTGTTCTCATAGATAATGATTTAGCTTCAGAAAAAATGTACAAAATAGCGGATGACTGTCTGGAGGATATGATTCAATGGTTACAGCAAGGGGAGGGTCATCAAGTGGGCATTTACGATGGGAATAATGGCCTTGAAAGTAGACGGCAAGAAATTTATGATAGACTTATCGCTTTGGATATTCATGTAGGTGTGTCGATGGATTGGCGGTAGTAGAAGACATGCTTACATCTTTCTCTGTAGGCTTTGTTCATCGAGTCCATCTGTGATAAGCCATCCGTCGTGTTGGAAAACATCCTCAGCGTGAAAATCTCGTCGCCTGATGTGAGATAAAGAAATGACACTTGCACTCCTAAACACAGCGTCATTGATTATCACTTCCCCTTTTTCCTCTAGTATGTTGGATGGGATCCTGAAAAAGCCATGCAGGACTATAATGTACGTTCTATCCTTTTCTCATGATGAGCATTCGACAAGAGCGCAGTCATCCTGCTTTTGTTTTAACAACCTCCTCACCTTATTTTTTAATAGCACCGTATTGAGCAATGCGAGTCAAAGTACGAGACAATCTCCAACCTATCCTTACCCTTTGTCAAGCTCATGAATGTAGGAGAGCGGATCATTGTCAATAATGTCCAAGGCTATTTGCAAACGCGTGTCGTTTATTTCTTAATGAATCTGCATAATACACCACGCACTATTTATTTTGCTAGGGTAAAGCATGCCAATAGAAAGGATATTTTATATTATCTATCTCACTCTCTTTCATCTTTTTAGGCTGGCGAATCGACACGTCCAGGCATGTTCAAAGTAGACGCAGAGCTTTCTGAAGAAGGACAACTCTATGCAAACAGGCTATGCCAATTTATCTTGTCCATACGTGCTGAACAAAAGAGACAGAAAAACGAAGAGAAAAACGACACCGATAACACCACCCAAAAGAGCAGCCACGAGCGAGAGAGATTGCTCACCGTATGGACTTCTACACGAAAGAAATCACGACAGACCGCCATTCCGTTCGTAGACATGGGCTTGATTGTTCGTCAGCATTCAGTGTTGAATCAAATCAATCCTGGAGAAGTAGAAGGGTTAAGTTGGGAAGAGATTCAACATAAATTTCCTGAAGAAGTACAGAGAGCCAAGTTGGACCCTTATCATCATCGATATCCACGAGCAGAGGTAAAAAAAAACATTCAGAAAAATAAAGGCGTGTATATTATGATCATGTCTAATTGACCCCTCTGTGATTAGTCCTATCATGATTTGGCTATACGCTTAGAGTCCATCATTATGGAATTGGAACGCGAAAAAAATGATGTCTTGATTATTGCACACGAATCTATCCTTCGGTGTTTGTATGCCTATTTGTTTGACAAGGCTGACCAAGTAAGTTGCGGTTTTTTCTGATATTGACACACCCTATCTATTTATCTATTGACTTTTTTTATCACACTAGGAAATCCCTACCATTCCTATGCCTAAAAACACTCTCATTTGCATCACACCTTCAGCCTATGGCTGCAAAGAAGTGCGGCTGAATATAGTGGATGTGTAAACATGCATATCACCATTTTTTTTTAACTTTCTCAGTCTCCAGCCATAGTAATATTATTTCTGTAAAATACAATTGTTTCTTGAATAAAAACTTGAAAAAAAAAATAGCTTTATTCATCATATGCGCAACTACAAAACGAGAAACTCACCACAATCAAGTTTATTTAATATTCACGGAGGGCACCAAGTTCTTCACATATAGCTTAACACTGCCATCTGCGTTTTGTCTTGATACTTTTCAAAAGTTACAGATAGACATTTGCCGATATCTGCTTATCTCGAATGTGTCCTTTCTCCTCTTTACAAATAAACACAGTAATACAATCTTTCTTTGCAAGAAATCGTAATTGGCAAAACCCTAAACTGCTCTTTGGTTAGGTTAAGCTTATAACCATTCATTTCCATCCAAATGAAATATTTGTCTGGATATATCATACTCTATTCCATACTGGTAACTCATACGCTGCGTCCTTTTACCACCCAATATTTGGAGGAAATGAGTGTGAATGAGGGCAATAAACTGTTTTTTAATCTGATGAACAACGATAGATTGCCCAAAGCTCATTTAATTGGTCAGAAAAAGTATCATTTATCCGGATCCATCAGTATGAGTTGGCATGTGACATATAAGGGAGTAGTGAAAGCCAAATGACTAGACTCAGATTCGAAAGTAATCTCTGTAAAAACTCAGTTGCAACTTTTCCCATTTCACTTATTTTCGCCTCCTTTGACTCTTTCGAGCTTTTGGGGCCTTTTTTTTTTGTGAAGAGTTACGTCTTTTGATCTCATTAACGTCTATATCAATCTACATTCTCATACACCATGTCAAAAGAAGCAGACTTAAATACACCGAGAGTGATAGCATATGATTCTGATGCCGAGGAAACGCCACAACAAGAACCTAATGTAATAATAAAGATTTTCATAACGTAAAGGATGCTAGACCTTCTTACGAATGTAAGGCTTTGCCCTTCCCCCTCTCCTTTTATAATCACCCTCCTTCATAGATATTAGAATCACAGGCTGAAGACGATGAACACAACAATATAGAAACAGTGCATGCTCAAAATGGTTCAATGTCCACCAATAGCGATCTATGGTAAAGTGAAATCGACATTTTCTTCAGGAGAAAAAAATATCCAATAAGAGGGCAGGGTTTTATTAATGATACACACATATATACATCCACGCGCACACATACATATACATAAAGGAAACATAGAAAGAAGCGTTAATAGATGATATCCTATTCTTAAACAAAATAGGGCGAGCATCGGGCCTGAACAACAAGCTTCATTAGAAGCCTTACAAAAATCCATGCAGCAAGAAAGAGAACTGGCCTTTGGTACACTAAAGGCTGATCCCGCTACAGCAACCGCAACCCATCGGAATGACAGTTCACCGAGCAGCAGCAATAACCATGAGAGCAGCGATAAAAATAATAGTCATATATCCATACACGACAAATCTACTTTTACCAACAACAATCCTACCGCGAGTGTACCTATTCGCCCAGCCCGTTCCTCTAACAATCTTGCTACTACTACTACTACGGCTACTTCTCATCAGCATCGTCTCATTGCTCCTTACAGAGAAGAAGGGCCAGAAGTGAGAGAGACTTCCTCACCATCCCAGTCGTCTTCCCAACCGACATTAACAGCACCCAAATCGCGAGAATCATTACTTGACAAAGGCAAACCGATGGTGGGATCAGACGAATGGCATCGTCTCCGTCGCGAAAACCATAAGCAAGTGGAACGCCGACGTCGGGAAGCCATTAACGATGGCATCAATGAAATAGCAAAGTTGGTACCTGGTTCTGAACGTAACAAAGGCTCTATTTTACAACGAGCAGCAGCGTATATTCGACAATTAAAAGAAGCCGAAGCATCCACGATAGAGAAATGGACCTTAGAAAAGCTACTCACGGATCAAGCCATCAACGAACTGAACAGGCAGATTGAAACGCTCAAATCGGATTTGGAAAAGTCCCACTTGGAGAATGCATTATTGAAAAAGGAGATTGAGACGATCCATCACCTCCACCAGCAACAACAAACATCGCCACAACAACTACAATCACAGCCACAACCACTGCCGCCATCACCACACCAACTACAGCATCACAACCCACAGTATACTGAAGAAGAAAACAGAAAGAACAATGGTATCAACAGGAAAAGAAGTTATCATAGTGTGGATAAAGGCGACGAGATCGAAGTGATGGCCACAGTTATTTCCGCTTTGGAAGAGGAAGTGGAGAAGAGTCAAGATTACCGCAAGTTTGACCGTAGTAAAAGCAACAGTCGTGGGCATGACATCGTACTTGCTTGTCGTGCAGGTAATGACGTTGAGGACCAAGGACCAAAAACAAAAATGCCAAAACTGGACACGGAAGAGAAGGCTACTACAAATACTACTACTGCCATCATTGATTTGGACCATATGTAGTCTCATCGCTTTCTTTTCGAAAAAAGATAAATATATCCATTATGTATATTTATTTGTTATAATAACAGTTACCCTTCATATTCATACTTTTATTTAATCCTCTTTAACAATGGAAACATATTGCTTGATATCAATGATCGGGTTACTCCGCATAAGCTCTTTTAAAAATAATGATATTGCAAATGAACGTAGAATAGTTTTTAGAAGCTAAAAGCATGGGCATGTTGATGCACTGAATATAATTATTAGCATAAGAGCCGCGGATGATGGCAAGAGTGTTTTTATTAGACAAAATGCCAATGCATCCCACTTTTACATTAGACTGCTTTGGTCACCTTAATAAATCCCTTTTAGATCACATTTGAATAAAAAAAGAAAATCTATAAAGAGCAACATGCTTTACTAATGGTTTAATAGAAAAATAATTAAAGAAAGGTCATGATACAGTTAACGTTGTAGGAATAAATTATGAAAAGGTATCAATTAGGAAGCAAATAAAAGGGAGAAGACAACTTAAATACGGAAAAATTGCTGATGGGAAAATGAATACTTGTTTGTGTGAAGCACATGAATGTATATTTACAGTTACAGTTTGGATGGATGAGGGAGGGGTGACTTTACGAACAAATGGAGGGTGACTATAGCCAACCCAAAAATGACCACCAGGACAACCCCACTGTGAAATAGACAGCCAAATAAAACAGAGCCATCTGGGCTCCTACAATAAACCATTTGCTACGTGGCACATAACCTGGAGCATAATACATTGCTGCCATGCCTGTTGAGAAATTCGTCATGCATCCACCCAAAGCGCCAAAATAAGAAATGAAAGCAGTGAGCACCATTGGTTTGGCCCCTAAGGCATGACCTGCATCTAAAAAGGTACCAACAAAAGCGACCGTATGGGCACTGAGGGAGGAAAACATGAATGTAGTGAGAAAGTAAGCGATGGCAAGCGCAGGGAGAGCGGGTAGATGAAAGCGCTCAATCGTTTGGGAAATTTGATGGCCAAGAAAAGAAGAGGCACCTGCTTCTGACAGTTGCTGAGCGATGGTAACGAAGCCGCCTAACCAGAACAGAGTGTCCCACTTTTTTTTTTTTGAAGGAACAAAGAAAGAGTTAGCTTACAAAGTAGTCCCCTTTTTTTGGCTCTTATGAAGTATACTTTACTGCACTTGTATTGCTGGAGACATCCTTCCAAGTAATCGTCTCCATATGCAAAAGAGCCACAATGCCAAGCAAAGCTACCAAAGTAGAATCTACATGCGTGAAACTGGAAGTCACCCACATACCTAGACATCCTACCAAGACAAAGCATAATTGCTACATGTACAAATAAGAATCATCATTAGGGAGAAGTTCGAAAATAAGGGGCATTTTCTATAAAGATAGACTTGTTTACCCATTCTTTCAACGACACAGGACCCATTTTATTCAGCTCCATTTGAGCATGTTGAACTACATTATCACCACCACGTGCATGTTTTCCTCTGGTGGGTGTTTGCGTATTCAGCCCCAAACTCCACCGTATAATCAAAGGTAAAGAAATAGCGCATATCGCAGCGGGAACAATACTGCCTTGTAACCAGGTCATAAAGCCGAAATCAATATCGAAGAGTTGATTGGCTTTGGCCACAACGATAGGATTGGCTGCCATACCTGTAAGATAGAGGGAGGCGGACAAAAGATTGGCATGATTCCCCACCAGGGTCAAGAAGCTGCCGAGTTCAGGGTGATGGTCAGGTGTAGACCCTAACGTCGTAGCAATCGATTGGACTACTGGTAAAACTATACCACCACCACGGGCTGTATTGCTCGGTACAAATGGCGCGAGTAACAATTCTAGAAAACGCATGTATTCAATAGTTAGCCTATATGAATTCTATTGATCGAGTGAAAAGGAAAAAATGACCGATACATTACCAGACAAAACAATAGCATAAGCGAGACCCAATGTATGCTTTCCGAAAGCTTTAATCATCATTAATGAAATTCTTCTACCCAATTTGGTGACTTCTACTGCTTTACCAAGGTGAAAAGCAGCAAAGATAAGCCAAACGACCGAACTTGAAAAGCCTTCCAATGATTTTTCAAATGATTCTTTGTTAGGCTGGCATTCGAACAGATCTCCTGTCAAAGGGTTCACTTCGCCGCAAAGTCGGCATTCTGTATGGTCGCCTGTGGCATGGTCGATGCATTCAAAAGAGTGAGTGACGGCCAAGAGTGTAAGACCAGTTAACACAAGCATGGAAATATCGACAGACGTAGTGATAAGAGCACAAATGCAACTGCTGAAAACAGCGAGTAAATGAATGGCTGTCAAAGTCAGCTCGTCAGTGGGTTGTACGCCGAACCAAATGATAGCACCTAAGAAAAGGGAAGGTAGTAATTTGAAGGACTGATATTGAGAGGCTTTTGCCCATATTGTCGAATTCTTCTGAGGAGACGGTGCTCTTGTTAGCAAAGAGGTATTTTCAGTTGCAAGATTATTGGTTGGAGCAATACCAACGTCGATTGCTTGATAATGAGTCACCATAAAGGGTATTGTAAAAAAATATATATCCAAAGCAAAAAAGGAAAAATGACAAGAAATTGGATCCCTTTATATATGATTACCCAAGACATGGAAATGCAGTAATCCATAGAATCAGTGCGATTATACATCATCTACCGCATACCTTGACTGAACCTGAGGCAGATAATTCTCAGACATCACATTTATTAGAAATTTAAATTGGAAACCTTATAGCTGATGCAGGGGCTTTTTTGTCATCTTTTGTTATAAAAGACTCTATACCAAGAAAATAAAAAGAAAAAGGTCCCTCGCATCATGATTAGTTTCTTTTTATTCCACACATAAATTTCATTATTGAGGCATATTTTTCCTTTATTTATATACGGTATGCTCGTCATTACTTATACAAGTAGAGGCATTTTTCTCCGCTGTTTATGGAAAAAAGAGCTCTTATCGACCCACTTATCTAATATCACGAACCATTGTTTATTCTTCTTGACAAAAAGACATGCCTTTCTTTTTTCAGCACAAGTATTTTGTATACATGGATGGTTTATGGCTATTTGAGTCATTATTGCTATATCTTATTATAGTGATCAGAGAGAGAAAAAGGGTGGTCATACTTCTCCGTAGACTGCCCTTCTTCTGTATTTTCTGGTTGTTATCACTAGCGTCTTGATTGATAACTTTTTGAAAAGTGATACGGTCTTTCTGTCGCTGCAGTCCATTTCACGAATGCAAATGTTGTAATATTTCACCTACACATAAACACATATTCTCGAAAAAATGGAACTTTAAAATGCACGTTTTTAATATTGCTCGTACTTCTTTATATGTTCTTGGCAGACATGTATACTGTACTGCTCGCCGCGAGCTCTACATTTTCACAAGAAATTGCTAGCAATTTTTGGTCTCTGAGAATCAACCCTTCCACTGCTTTTCCCTTCGCTTTACTATTATGTAGTTGCTACCTATCTCTAAGGAAGCCGCTGCTGTATAATAAACATATCATTGGATTCTGTACATATATGCGTATAATTTGGATATGGTTTGTTTTCTCAATTTTCTCATTCAAGATCGATGATTAGGAGCCAAAAATTCACAATTCAATCTCCTAGCCCTTTGCAAGAAATCCTTGTAGCAACAAAGCTATACACACACTCCCATTCTACTACTCTACTTTGGTCAGCATTAAAATTGATGCAATACATTGCTTCTATGCTGCATTGACAAACTTGCCCTTTTTGAAATCTTCCAAACGATTTGTTAGGATTTTATAAATGCATAATATTCTGCATCAGGATCTCAGAAGTGCCTTTTTTATTTTGCTTGAAAAGTACATACTTTTTAAGGGAATCTTAGGTACCTCTAATGGCAGCATAAATCTTTCAAATAGCTTGTCAAGAGCTTATCATCAAGACAAAACAAAGTAAACTAAACCAAAACAAAACATTTGTGTAGCTACAATAAGAGACTGTAAATGGGTATATATCAACCTTAATAACATTCAATAAATGTTTTCAAAAAGTAGGTTAGTAACCAAATACACGCAACCTGATGTACTTGCGTATGTACAGTTTCGTAATAAACATTTGCGCCAGCCATTTTACAGACTTTATGAATATATCAATGTGTCAAAGCTGAAAGTTCGTTAACTCAATTGGTGATACCCTGGTGGACTTGTTTTCTTACTTTTGGATTTTTCCTAACAGATCGCTCTTCATTTTTGGTCGTAAACGACATGGTAGTAAACAATTATTCAATACGAGGTCAACTTTGTGATTGGACCACTTTACATCACGCTGTAAGTATTTTCAAAGGCGCACCTTTCAGTAATTCGAAATAGAAGTAAATGCGCAGATGCTATTGCGGTAAAGGAAGAAATCACACATCTTGATGATTTCTTTAATTAAAGTAGTATGAATAGATTGAATTTTTGTATCAAAAAGACTTTTATTTACGCAGACGTTACTGTATTGACTAGGTTTGACTGTGAAGCCAATGTTGTACTACTAAACAAAGAGTATGTACAATACAAGCGTTTATCCTTTTCCGTTCGCAAAGCGCAAACATCTCATCTTCAAAAAGCAATAAGAAAAAAGAAAGAAAGAAAGAAAGATATACTTTAATAAATCATGAGTAAATGTGCTCAATATCGAGTAAACTATGTTAATGACTTTAAAAACTTATGTAATGCCATTCTACATAGTTAAGTTGTATGAAATACTATATGTACAGCCGCTATATTACACATTAATGTTAGCAAATCCTCAGTGTTTGAGTAGTTGAAGTCAGAGTGTAGCCTCATCAGTGCAAAAATATCGGCATTGGGCTTACAGAAAGTGTGATTCTGTTGTTCAACTACATGGTCAGGATACGAGCCTACCATCGTGTTTAGCAAAAAAGAAAAGAAAAAAAAAATAGATAAGCTCTCTGAAAATGTCAAAGTCGTCTGGGAAAACGTACAAGGTGCAAGCTGAATGAAGAGGACACATTAACTAATAGTTAGTTCCTCCCCCAACACCAGCGCCAGTATTAACCATAACAATTGAAGCCAATTGCCCCACCAGCCGAGATTTTTTCAGTAGTTTACACAGTTACCAATTGATCACACCGTAGTACCCCTCCCCATAAATGTCGGTAAGGTAGGTCACAAGACTATTGCGCAGAGGCAAATGCAAATATAATTTCTTTACGTAAATGGTTCTCATTATCCATGAATGACTCGTTTTGATTGTTGATACATATCCTTGCTTTTTCTTTACCATTCATTGTAGCTATAACCACAGCGATTGTTTTTGTCACTGATGGCATTATTCTCACTGGCTGGTATACACCTGAACAATAACGATAAACATAACTAAGGTCAAAGTTAGCAGAAACAACTCTAGTATCATCAGAAGAGAATGCCGAGTATCAAGTTCTAATACTGACCTCCACATCAAAGTAAGACTTATCGTCCTTTAACGGGAGGGTGCTTAATAGTGAGAAGCGAAAAGAGGTTAATTGAGACCACATGCGTTAAAAAAGAATGCCAACACACTCAACTCTTTCTGGCCCTAAATAATGCTGATGCTTACCACTCTTCAAGCAAAGCAATAAGGATTTGCATTAGGCAGAAAACTTTAATGAAGAATTCAACTTAATTGTTGGCATATTATACTCTCCACTCTTTCTCCTGAAAAAGTTATAAATGATATCACAGACACCAACATCTTTAATGGAAAGATAAGTAAAGCTCGACGAACGTCTATTATGATACATAGTTGTATATGATGCTTTTTTATTGTTACTATAACAAAAGATGAAACTCTTCAAATACATACAATGTATAGTCGGTTTGGCTTGATGAATATACTCAATGAACTAATAGCAACAATAGTCAATAAGGCCGACATTAAATCGCCACAGGTAGCGTCACCGATCTTTCTGGAAATGAGACCAAATATTGTAACGATATAGTATTGAAGTAATCAATGCTTTCTATACATACATTGACTTTTAGAGTGTTGTAACAAGCCATTGCAATATCATGTTCGTGTTGAAACCATGGAGCTAACAGCCCGTTAATCATATCGCGACAAAGCGGGCTTACAACTGTTTGGCAAAGAGACAAACTTTATCGATATGCACAACATACTTGATGAAGAATGTAGCAGATCACTGAAGGAATACGTATGTTGTATCCGCTTATTAAAATACACTTGAAAAAAGTGAACATTGAGTCCAAAAACCCACCAGGCACGCAAAAGCTATCCTCTATCTATGGCATCTGAGTTAATTACATGATGCTATTGGTTTTCAGGATTCAGAAAGGTATTCCTTTAAAACAAAAACCTATCAAATCTCAGATAGTCCACTAAAAAGTTGGCTTCCTAAATCAGTATAATAAAAGTCTACAGAGATTCTGGATAGTTTCCTTATTCGAACGCATAATGGGAGGAAACGAGGAACTTTTAGGGAGGGCCATGCCGGAAGGAAAAAAAATCAAAATTTTGCCTTTTCTTTCATTTATTGTTTCCTTCATTTACCACACTTCTAATTTTGCTTTACGATCCATTTTATGAGGCCTAAATTGCAACGAATTGCAGCTGCTTCTTTTCTCTTAAGGACCTCAACAGCGCCTTTTTGGAGGAATAATGTATATATCAAGCCGACCCTAACATATCATTTACCTTCTTATTTCCACCAAGTGGTGCCGTCGACAGATACAACAACCTACCGCTCTTTTAGTACTTCTCACACATCATTTCTCATCAGTAATAATGCAACAGCCTCTACTACAGCAATAACTGAAGATGACCATGATACCGATAGTGACACTACTTCTGTCAATAAGATACCCACCCCACATACTGCATCCGATAAATTTCAATTTGTAGCTTATGCAGCTTGGCACCCCAAAGCCCGGCAAAAAACAACAGCAAACAACAATGAAAAAGCTTACTGGAAACAAGCAACAAGTGCTGGTAAAGTAGATGCTGGAGAAGATGCTTTTTTTCAAACCACGACGCCTGAAGGGCTAGCCATCGGTGTAGCGGATGGCGTTGGCGGTTGGAGCCTTGTAGGAGTAGACCCTGCCTTGTTTTCATGGACATTGATGGATAATGCTGCTACCGTAGCGAAGAACACAAAACAATCGATTAACGCTCATGATATTTTAGAGTCTGCTTTCCATGAACTGAGGAAAAGTGGTAAAGTGGCAGCAGGCAGTAGCACAGCATGCATACTGAGTTTGTCAAAAGCAACAGGAGAAATGACAAGTTGCAATTTGGGCGATTCAGCATTTCTGTTGGTGAGAGATCAAAAGATTGTTTATGAGAGTCCTAGCCAACAGCACTATTTCAACTGCCCTTATCAGCTAACAGTTGTGCCAGAAACGTACCCCAATCGTGATGAACTTGTCACAGATCTTCCAAAAGATGCAGATACTAGAAAGTTTCTTCTGAAAGATGGTGATTTGATCTTACTGGCAACAGACGGGTATTTCGACAATATGTATGCCGAGGAAACATTGGAAATAATTAATAATGGCATGCAATCAGTGTACAACAATCACAACAATGAAGAAGTAGTAACAGCAACTATACGATCATTAGCAAAAACTTTAACGGATAAAGCACGTCTATTAAGTTTGAATCCCAAACGAATGAGTCCATGGGCAAAAGCAGCACAAGCACATGGTAGCAACTATAGAGGCGGTAAAGTGGATGATATCACCTGTATTGTGACTTTTGTACGTCATAAACAATAAGCCAAGTTCAAATAACCATTTTCAAAAAGCTTGGTGAATACCTTTTTTTTTCCCCTTTTGTATTATATCATCATCACCAACTTTGTATTTCTTAAACTAAAAGCAGCACATTTGAAAAATAAAAGAGAACTGGAAATAGTGTGTATATACATATACATTTGCATATTACATATAGTCTGTGTTTCCCTTTGGGCATTCAGAATGGATTTTAAAAAAGTCAGACGAGACCTCTTGAATCAGATTCAAGGCTCATTGGATCAGCTGTCAGTCAACATGAACATTCTTTCTCTTAATTTGCAAAGTTTAGCCAACATAGGAAAACAATTTGAGAACGCTTCCCTTCTTTGGAGTTCGTTAAGAGAAAATATCAATTTTCAAGAGGTTGCAAGTGCTACTCCATCAATCACCATGTCATCTACGGAAAACGACTATTGTTGTCAAATAAACCTGTAATTCGACTTATCTAATTTCTTTCCGCACCACATAAATTAAAGCCTTTGTGGCAAATTGATACAAAGTTAATTTGACGAGATTACTGCCCCTTACTTTTCTTCTCCCAGTTTATCAATGACTTTTGCAATGTCAAATGCTCAATTAATGAATCCCAACTGGTTTACAGGTCTAATCGCTGATGCCTTGCAATCAGTGACAGAAAAGAATTCAGTCCTTCTCGTCTACATATATGGTATGAAAATATTATGCTTTAACGACAGTTGACTGCCGCCCAAAAGTAAACTGATGAAAATTGCTAAAAGATGACTCGGACAGAAGTGAACAGTTTGATGCTGCATTTGCTAGTGAAAAGGTATGATAGGAGGGCAAAAGTCGCCTTGCTCATGTCGTACAGAAAAGAATGTTGAGCCAAATAAGTATTGAAATTTGATAAACCCAAAGGTATCTGTAGTGATGGGCCAAAAGACAGTTTCTCTAAAATTCATGAAAGAATCTTCGAATGCTATGCTGTTTGCTCAAATATGTACGTGATAAAAGTTGAGCATTCATTTTGACAATAAAGCGGCACGCCTATTAACAACTCTATGGCTCATAAAGATCCTGTGTCTAAAGTACCTGTGGTTTACTTCATTGTGTAAGTACTAAATCCAACACAAACGGATATCGTATTCTCATAAAACTGTTAAGTTATCGAAGTAATAATATTCTCTCTTTTACTGCAATGATAGTCAAGGTACCATTAAGGACTTTTTAACGGAGGCTCCATCCGCCGCAGATATCATCGATAAAATCAACGCGGTTTATTCATCTATTCCAGAGTAACTATAACCATTTAACCCCGAGCAATCTTGTTCCTTTACTTACGAGCTCATCAAAAATCAGTAAAACAGAAAAAGCAACTCAGTCCGCAAAAGAAGGTCAGAAAAAGGTCTGCAAGCATAATAAATACTGCTAGTATGTTTAGTGCAGACGCCGAAACTAATTACGTACACTTTCATACGATAGATTGCAAAAAGAAGGGAAACAAGCAAACCATCGATAGAAAAGTAAATGAGAATCATATTGTAGCTAAACTAAATCTACGTCTACAACTGACATAAATACGCATTTAGAGTCGAATACTGTAACCTAAAAATTAAACAATTGGATGGATCAAGTATAAAGAACAAATTTCGAGGTCCATATAATATACTTGAATTTGTAATGGCTTTGAGCTGATATTTTATCTTTTTTTTCCCCCTTTTTCCCAGCGTCAGATAAGTTATTATTAGTTACAGAATGGATAGATCAAGTAAGCGCTTCCGAAGTAAATTAAAAATGTGGTAACTCGACTATATTAACAAAGCCTCTCAGTTTCGTACCGATGGTGACAGACCTTATAAACTATTTATACAATTTCCTACGAAAGAATTTGATATTGGAGATGAACAACGAACTTTATACGAGCTGAAATTATGTCCGAATAGTACCTTATTGATGAAGCCCATAAAAAATGTCTCCACTGCTTATGCAAAACATAGTGGCAACACTTCTCAGAAAGGCTGGCTGAGCTACATATATACTGCTGGAAATTCTATGTATCAATCAGTAAGCCAAGCCAGCGAATCGATAGTGTTTTATTTTGCTCCAACCAGTCATCAAATACCAGAACCACCGCAAAGATTGGGCAATGGTGAGCCATTCACGGCGAATCAAAATTTATATAATGGTTACCAACCCAATTTGAACACGCTTCAAGGTATAACAAATGACGAACGCGATTCAAGAAAGAAAGATCACAAAGTATATAATGGCAACTCTATCAATCAAGAATAAATAGAGTACCTTTCTTTTTTTTTTGAACTACAGATGGACATCGACTAAAAGTATATCCCTAAATTATGCCCTCGTAACCATTTCTTTCTACGACATGTGAACATGTGAATGTGGAGTAGAACCTTACATTAATTGCCGTTTCAAACTACACAAATTTGATAGTGATTAGCGAAAAGGTTGTAGAGACAGCAAACTATGTTGTGTGAGATTTTTTGCGTCAGTATTATTAATTAAACTTCACATTCAAAAGAACGCGAAGATACTCAAAGTTTTTGCTCCACTTTTGCAAAGTCGCTCAATGCTGTTGGTGGTAATCCTACTGCGGCTTATATGCTCAACCTTGCTGAATAAGCTACCCTTTCAAAGTACTTGTATTCCGCTGCATCAAAAGAGATATGTCACAGACTTTCATGCCAATCTGTAGCTATATTGAAAGTGTTTTGAGTAATCAAAAAATACACAACATGAAGTATAAATTGCCATTTCAATAATTTCAGTGTGTTAGATAGCTTCGAACTCTCAATCAGAATAATTGAAGCATTTACCTCAAAATAAAGTAGTGGCCACTAGTAGTGTCAACTAGTATGAAAAAATGTCATTTGCAATGCTAGTCTGCCCTTTATTCAGGCACAACCTTCCAAATTTGCGTTTTTCGTTTCGGCGAATGGAGTTTGATACTCCCTCATTCAAACCATAATTTTAATGCAGATTACATTTTCCGGGGTTGCGTTCAGCAAGCTCTATTTCACCCAACTATGGCACAAAAATTCCGTGCTTTACTTGATCTTTGTCGACGTAGAGGTTTCTTATATCAATCTGCTGAAATTTATGGTGGACTTAGAGGAGCATACGACTATGGACCATTAGGCGTCGAATTAAAAAAGAATATACTAAACTCTTGGTGGCGTCGGCATGTCTATTACCGAGACGATGTCGTTGGCTTAGATACTAGCATCATCACACCACATCCAGTCTTGAAAGCTTCTGGCCATGTCGATGAATTCACCGACCTTCTCGTCGACTGCAATTTAACAAAAGAACGTTTTCGACCGGATAAAGCACCAGAGATAAAACTGGACAAACATGGCAACATACCTATCATTGCTCCAGATAAGACCACTGCACTTGAATGGAAAGAAATACTGGAAAAACAAATTATACCCAACGTCAAAATGAGCGTTGAAGGGAACCGGATCCTTATTTACGCAAAAGAGGTCAACCTTCCAGATGCCGATGGACAGAACGGTAGCATCACCTTTGAAATGTGGAACGAACAACCCTCTGTTCAACTAGCATACCACGGTTATGTTGAACCTAATACCAATTCGCCCTTCTTGACAGATAGCCGACCTTTTAATCTCATGTTCAAAACGTTTCTCGATCCTATTGATCCTATTGAGCGTGTCATTCAAACTACCTTGGACAATGCAGAACAAAGCAAAGCTACCATACGGCAAACAGTAGATGATCAGCTTAAACCAAGCACAGTTTTTCTACGTCCCGAAACAGCTCAAGGCGTCTTTGTCAACTTTGAACAGATTGTGCGTACAATGAAAAAAACACCGCCTTTTGGCATTGCTCAAGTAGGCAAATCATTCAGAAATGAAATTCGATTAGAACACGGTATTTTTAGAACGCCAGAATTTGAACAAATGGAATTAGAGTATTTTGTTTCTCCTTGGGAAGCGACACATTATTTTGAATATTGGAGAAAGGAACGGTATAATTGGTGGTTAGAGCATGCTTGTCATCCAGAGAATTTCAGACAGAGGGACCATACAAGTAAAGAAATGGCTCATTATGCTACAGGCTGTACAGATGTAGAATATCTCTTCCCTTGGGGTTGGGGCGAAATTGAAGGTGTCGCTCACAGGGGAGGTTACGATCTGGCGCAACATATAAAAAATACCGGCGCCAACTTTGAAATAACAGATGCCAATCCCTCCCTGTCTGAAAGAGTTCAAAAAGCCGGTAATGGAAACGTAGATTTGATACCTACCGAAAAGCCAGCAAAGTATATTCCAAACGTCATTGAGAGTTCATGTGGATTGAACCGTGCCATGTTGGCTTACCTATGCGATGCATTCCATGAAGTAGACGAAGGAAATGGCAAACCTCCACGTACGGTTCTCAGGCTAGATCCTCGTTTAGCTCCTATCAAATGTGCCGTGATGCCGTTAGTCGGTAAACCAGAGTTGAATTCGTTGAGCGAGAAGGTGGCTAAAACACTGAGACGCAAAGGATGGTACACAGTGGTAGAATCACAAAAGTTGAAAATCGGTAAAAGATACTATAGACACGATGAAATAGGTACACCTTGGTGTGTTACTGTTGATTACCAGAGTTTAGAGGATGATACAGTGACAATAAGAGACAGAGACACTGGTAATCAAGAAAGAGTTCATTGGAAGGAAGTCAACCATGTTATAGATGGAAAGTTGATGAAAGGTGAAGCTGATAATTTATTAGTGTAGACGATATCATGTTTTGGTTGAACATTTTAAAGAAGTACTAGTTCAATAATGTAAATAAATTGAAAGTGTATATGTAGATACTAATCGTTGGGTTATCTTAAGCCAAATCCTCTTCATCAAAATCATCGTCAAATTCTGTTGTACATATAAAAGAAGCTTAGTGAATGATCCATCCATGTCAATTTCTAATAAAAAGATGTCTCATATCAACTGAGTTCTACTCACTGTCAACAAAATTCTTATGTACAATGATTTTTTCTAAATGCATTAACAGCGAACCAGGCTCTGCCTTTTCGTCGGCAGCCTCACTATAACTGTGGTGACTAGGAGAAGCAATAGTTATGGCGTCAAAGCGCCCAAAATCATTACGGGTATACACTGTGCTTCCACTGTATGCATTGCTACTGTTGCTTTGATCTTCTTCAATGTCATCCATTTGTTCTTCTTCTTCCACGACTGAATCTTCATCCATTTCTAGCGATGCAATGGAAGTGTCCACATTATTGTCTGTCTCAGAACATTGTTTACTGCGTTTTTTTTTATAAACAAACCTTCACTATATGTTTCCCATTTGTTTGGATCGCTCATTTTGGTCTACACCTCTATCGATCAGTTAACCTGCTTGTGGTAAATTAATGCAAAGAAAAAAAGATTTTGGTATGACAGCCCGAAAATCTGTTTTCCATGAAATGAAGTCATTCCTAAGCTGATATCAACGATGATGCAGAAATGTAGTTCAAAAGAGTACAGAGTCTATAGTACATTTGTCATAGTAGCACCAGAAATAATTGCCAATTAAGTTTTAAGGCTTACAGATCCAGCAGTTACGGCATCATGTTTATGAAAACGAATATAAGCCTTATTTGTGGATACACATAGTTGAACTGTTACAAAGAGTGGGCTCCATGTCTCAGTTGAGGTTTGCCACCTTGGTATTCCTGATCACTATAAAAGAACTATTATTTATTGGGCACTTTTGCTTTTCGTTTAACCGTTTAGGTATACACCTACTAGATGATTTATTTTCGCGCTATAGTATTGTTAAACAAATCCATCACGACTGATTATCCAGGGTATAGATTACTGTTCTTTTGACAGAGAAATTCTGAGGCGTAACTATTTACAGCAGCAATATCTGTGATTCATCAAAGGAAGTGCTATAGATTCTAGGGTACCTTACCACTACGATCGTTGTTTACCGTATAACGAGAAAAAAAAGCTCGCTGAAACAGTAATTCGCTCTACCGAAAGCACAAACTCCTCAACAAACTCCATCCACACTTCTCTCATGTAATGAATGGCAATAGCAGTAGTTGCCTTGTTTTGATTGTTAGTCATTTTGTGCGGTAGGGTTTGTTTACTGTTGCTTTGACCTTATTACGACACTAATTAAAAATTCAAAAGCATGTGAACCACATGTGCACTATCCCGCTTGATTATAACGATTCAGTTCATTAAAACCCTTCCCTCACAGTCAAGGTTCACTATTCTTCTCTCCTTAATATTTTTAAATATCAAAAACGCGATCTGGATTGTTTTCCTGCTTTCTTCCTTTTCATTTTTCTTTTTCTTAGCATCCATTCTTCGTTACCTTCACATATATGCGTGTTGCCATTAGGCACACTACTATCACTACAGTCTATATGTCAACGATTTATTCCAATAATAGTAATAGTAAATGCTGTCTTTTATAGAAAGCACATCTTTACTGTTGATCTTATTGCTTTCGCTACCGTTTCTAGTCTTGCTGTTACGACTAATATACTTAATAGTAAGCAAGAAAAACTCATTATTTATATAGAGTCTACATTCATTCTACCTTGGATTTAACTTTTGGAAAAAAAAAGGAAAGATCTCTATGCGTAGGATAGTATGAATAGTAGCTTGGTATTTGTTGGTAAAATCATATGATTGCGCCATCCTGAAGACTAGTCAGTCAGCATTGGGGCAATTTTTAATACTGTTTCGAGAACTGCATACAAACAGTAACAACAAACAAATGACAGTTTCGTTGCTGTTAATAATAAGCAGAAGGATGGGCTGTGGTGATAACGGATCAAACGGTGATAGAAGTGTCAAGCGCACGTGGCGGTAGAAGTAATGCAGATAATGTAATTAGCACTAAACAAACTTCTTTTTGGTGTATAAAGAATAAAAATAGTGATGGCGATCCCCCGTTTCGATTGTAAAATAAAAAATATGGACCTGGCACCGAGGCCAAATAGGCCAAAGTAATGATGGTATAAAGAAACATCAGTCATCATCAGCACAGTAAATACAGCCGACCAAAGATGGTCATACACGGTCATATACACTATAGATATTACGGGTTTGAATTTGCTGAAGCAAAGAAGCAGCTGTCCTTAATGCTGAGGAACAGAACCTGTGGACAAAAATTGAAAGAACCATAGGTTTATGCTGGTAATGGATGTCTACGGAAAACACTTTTCTCAAAACATAATGGTAATACAGACAGCAATGATTGCAATGTTGGTAAATTAAAAATGAAAGGGAAGCCAAATATGGAGTGTCTTGCTACAAAGCATTCATAGCAATATTAAAAGTTACGCAGAAAGGCTTTCAATGTAGTAAATGTCTCGAGCAAACACATTTTAATTTTAGGCTGAAGTTGGTATGTTTATTTACATTTTTTATACATTATCAAAAGTATAGTAATGACACCCTACAGAATATTTGATGAAAAGACGAAAGGAATATGTGCCTTTATTTATATTCATTGAAAAAATGAAGAAATATACAAAAGGAAAGAGAGAGGAAGGAAAAACAACTATACTATGTATTATCTAAATGGCAAATTATTAAAATTCATCGGCATCATCTAGCTCGTCTGCTTCATCAATTAGATGTTCTTCGGAACCATCATAATCTTCTAATAACACACCGGCCTGCTCGTCTTGTCCCAAAGCAGTATAACCACCAGAACGTCGTCGTCTGGATAAGAAAGAGGGCCACTCCCAATTACCAAAAGAGCGGCTTATATCAGAGAATGAGGTTGGAAGACGAATCCGAGAAAAGATGCCGGCGATAGCTACAGGAATGACAACTGCTGCTGATACAATCTTCGCGACAATTGGATTAGAAACGAATGGAGAGGAACCAGCTTGCTGATGAAGGCTGTCAGGAAGACGAATACGACTATACAAAAAAGTTTTTCAAAATTACAACGGGTTCTCTCCCTATACGACTTTTAAAAAGTTGTTCACACTTACCCAAATCCACCACGTCGACGGTATTGAAGTGCGGCAAACACAAGGCCAGCACCTATGATAGGTGCAAAAATAAATGCAATCCATCCATGTGAACGGCGACTGGCACCTGGACACCACATCTGTTCAGCACCAATTTTATCTAGCTCCTTACCACCTTGGCAAGTCGAGGCAGCAATCTTGCGATAACTATTCCATATAATATGTCAGTAAAGATGAACATCAAGCCATTTTTCAATACTTCCTTACCCTGTGGGTGTATAGTAAAAATCTCTAGTGCCATCACAAACAGGTTCAAGTGGCGAAAGCCCAGGAACCAAAACACACTTGTTATTGGCATCGCGAAGGAAGTTGAAGTCACTATTAAACATAATCATCATTAGTATTGAAGCTTTTATTACCCATCGTTATTTAGCTACTCACCATTCATAATCTGCCTCAGTACAGGTACAGTTACGAACGACTTCTCTAGGTTGAACCAGCTTTTCACCGATATAGCAATCATGATCCTGTATACGGCGATAATATTGCACTTCACGACCAAAGAGACACTTCTCTCCACGTGTATCTTCTGGGCTCCACAATTCAAAATCATCATCGTTAGGATGATTTTCATCCAGGATACATTTTGTAGGATGAATAGCGCTAAAGTCGATATGGTAGGCTACAGTTTTGCCATTCTTTAATCCAAACAAGACATATTTTTGACTTGTGCCATCAGGCTGGGTAATAATGTCTTCAATGATAACTTTTTCATTCTTCTTGGTAAATTCATAGGTCTTCCAAGTTAAACCCTCATTGGTAGTATACTTGACAAAATTAGTAGGCTGCTCGTTATCTACAAGAATCAGAAGTGCACCTTGATCGGCAAACTCCCAAAGATGAGCGCCCTTTTGGATTTCTGTCCATGTTTTACCGGCATCACGCGTCAGGAACATATCGCCATCACGGTAAGGTGATAAACTCGTTCCTACATTTCCTACACCGACCATTAATCCAACAGCACTAGAAAGACTGAATAAATCACGAGAATTTTGACGTTCAGAGTAACAGTGGAGATGCAGAGCACAATCAGAACCCTTGCAATCATAAGGTTTGCCCTCGCTATCCTTCGTGGGAGGAGTGAGAGCGCTCCAATGACCACCTGCATCGACTGTTTTACGTGTAATCAATTTCTTGGGGTCACCCTTGTTGGCTTGACCAGGATTGCTTACCACATTAGCGATAGCGATACCTTCGATACCCTGCATTTTTTCAAAGTCGACAATGCCCATTTCGTTGCGGTTAGCGTTTTCAAGTGAAATAGTGTAATAGGTGCCGTTAGAGTTCGAGGTGAAAATTGTGCCAAACTCACTGCCTCTATGGGTGTTTGTGGAGACATGAATCCAAAGGGAATTGAGCGACTCCATGATGGTAAAGGCTTCAGGTGATACATCGAAGGAGCTAGGGAAAGCGGCAGGTGCAAATGTGGTACCATCGAGGCTAACAAAAAGACGAAGATTCGATCCGCCATTCTTGGATGCGGCCACAACCATGTATTTGCCAAACACTGTCACGCCGACAATGTCATCAAAAACAACATGTTTGTCGTGGAAATAGTTTTGGGATGCCACTAACTGTAACATACTTCCAAAGAGTGACAATTGATTGCCAGATTGTTCGCGGTACTGTTCACAGAAGATAGAATTACGGTGTGTGGTTTCGATGGCACCCTCTCTACCCCAGATACAGGAGCGCATGTAAGTACCGATAGTAGCCCAGCTACGGCCATTATCACGCGAGTAAAATGCTTCTGAGTGGCATTTGGAGCCTAATCCAGCACAATCTTTCTCACCAATATAAATGACGTAGTCAGGATCATCGTTGTGGAAGCTCATCACAGTTCCTTGAAGGTAGTTGAGAGGTGAAAGAGGTACTTGTATTTCGTCGAAACTGGAGGCCTTGTCGTTGGTGACAAAGTGTGTGGTACCTTCGGTGATAAAGAAAGCTCTTGAATCAAAGAAAGGATTCTGGTATATGGAAATGATCTTATGCCCGGAAAAGAGTTCCTTCCAACTATAACCATCATTTTCGCTAAGCCAGACTTTACCGTCAAATGTGCGAATCATAACACGGTCCGTATCTGTGAAATAGATGTAATCCACAACGCGGTCTGAGAATTCAGTAATGCTGCTTTCAATGTCACCTCCTTTACCACAGGGCCATTCTTTTTGTTCCTCAAGGTTGGTACCGCCAATACAAACACTTCTAGCATTCTTTTTATAGCCAGATCTTCCTTTGAAGGTTTGACCAGGTTCACATTTAGCAGGTCTGTCGGGATGTCGACCGTCAAACACACATTCATTCTTATCATTACGCCAAAATCCAAAGTCACACTCAAAATCGATATCACGACATTCACAATTTACAGTAAGCACTTCAGGATCGTGGAATTGTGCACCAACGACGCATTTACGATCCTTTTTACGACGCCAATAAGCTGTCTTTTGGCCAAGCAAGCAGGCATCATCACCATCATCATCTTTTGGAATCCACTGTTCAAAGTCGCTCTTTTCCTCATTCTTCTTGTCTAGTTTACACTTGGGTAGCCCTGCATCTGAGAAATCGACAGTAATAACCACTTGTGCTCTCTCGGTTCCACGTGTATGGCCGATAATGATAAATTTGAGGGTAGAGGATTTAGGATCCGTAGTCAATGTATTAACACGGATGTCGTCAGCGCTGAATTGATAGCTGTTCCATGTCTCTCCCTGATCCCAAGAATATAAGAGTTCTTTGGTCGGTTTTTCGTCTGTCACCAAGACCAAAATGGAACCCTGATCACCGAATTCATAAAAGTGTTCGCCTTCTTGGATGAGTTCCCAGGTATGTCCACCATCACGGGTCAAGAAAGTATCGCTCTCTGTATAGGCCGTCATCGAAGCTCCCACATTACCAACGCCCATAGCAAGACCAGGAGCACCACTAGAAGAAAAGATAGCTCCAGGACCATGAATGTCTGTGCGGCTATGTAAGTTAAGAGAGCATCCTTTGCTGGCACAGTCAAAATTTTTAGGTGGAGGGAGTGTTTGCCAGTGTCCACCATCATCCCAACTGATCATTGTACGAACTTTCTTTGTCTTGTCTAGGTTGCCGACAAGCTCATCTGTATTCCATACCTGATTAGCAAGGATAATGCCATCTACATTTTGTATCTTTTCAAAGTCGACGTAACCCAGACCATCGCCGTTTGTGTTGTCCAAAGATAGATGATAAAAGGTGCCGTTTTCATTTGATTTATAGAGTGCACCATAAGCTGTTCCAAAGCCGGTGGATTTGAAGATATTGAGCAAGATGGCGTGTGTGGTTGACTGAAGAACAGTGAATGTGTTTCGGTTGATATACTGATCTGGCGGGAACTCAGCTTCTGAAAATGTTTTGCCGTTCATGCTTACATACAGACTAAGCTCACCCTTTTTGCTGGAGGCAACTGCCATGAAATCTTCCACGACAAAAAATTCAACAATGTTATCAAAGTAAGATTCTTTGGTACGTCCCCAATCAGTAGTGCGCACCAGTTTCAGATTTCCGCCTATCTGATTTTTATCATATATCGAGCAAAAAATAGTCTCTTTCTCAATGGCATACTTTGAATCACGACCAAATATACACTTTTCAACATACATTTCAAGTGAATCCCACGAGTTTCCATGGTCACGAGAGATAAAAGCTTCGTTATGAGGTTCAGTTTCCCAAGACTCTCCAACAAATAAGAGCCAATCTTTCTCCTGTGGATGGAAATCCAAAGTGTTACTGGCACGTCGGCTGGGCGGTAAGGGTAATTTCACCGTACGCCAACTAGCACCTTGGTCCTCTGTTAAGTGTAAGCCATCAGCTAGAACTGCATAGGCTCGGTTGTTATCAAATTCATGTAGCACAATATTGCTGACTGGGCCTGCATCCTTTAAAACGGATTCCCACTTGACGCCTTGGTTACTTGAACGCCATAGTTCACCGTTTTGTAATCGTATAAGAACAGCTTCAGAGTCACAGAAATAGAGGAATTGTTCGATTTCATCATCAAAGATCGTTGTATATTTAGCAATGTCTTCATCTGAAGGCTTTGCCGCAATCTTACTATTACTTTTATTGCTGTCCGAGTTTGTTGCTGCATTGGGAATAATTCCATCCTTGTTTTCGCTGCATTTACGATCTACAGGTTCATCTAATGCCTTCCCTTCGCCAATAATGCAAGTATTTCCAGGAATGAGTCGATATCCGCTGGAAGCAGGATAGATACTATCTTTCGATTTACACACATCCTCTGATATCAAATCCGGGCCAATGCGAACACAGGTACCATCCTCATTGAAAACAAAGTTATAATCACATTCATAATCTTGACGAGAACAAGGACAATCCTTTAATTCTATAACAGGGTCTTGGAAATCTCGTCCAACATAACAATCACGATCTGCCTTGCGACGATAAAATATCTGTTCATGTCCCATCAAACAGTCCGGTCCATCTGTAAGGTCACGAGCAACAAACTTTTCAAAATCACTCTTGTTTTCATCTTTTTCATTGAGCACGCATTGACGGGAGAAGATATCAGTAAAGTCGAGCTGAATAGCCTGTACTTTCGTGTCGGAAGATCGAACCGAACTGCCCACTAACAAAAACTTTCGTGACGTTGATTCAGGATCTGTGGTAAGCATTCTAGCACGAATAGAAATACCAAGATCGAGTTTCTCCCTTTAAAGATAGCAGAAAATACCGTATGAATATAGATACATTACGCAAGCTCCTGACGATAGCAACTTACCAGCTTTCTCCGCGGTTTTTACTATACCAAACATGATCCGTTTCTTTTTCATCGTCCACCAAGACTAAAAAAGCGCCTTGATCGCCAAACTCATACTTGTGGGCACCTTCTCGAACCATCTTCCATGAAAGGCCATAATCAGTAGATAAGAAAGTATCACATTCATCGTATTCTAACAAATGAGCACCATAATTGCCTACTCCCATGATAACGCCTACTGCCGATTCAGCTGACGATACCTGACCGTAATTATGGTTTGATGTGACTGAGTGTAGATGGAGGGCACACTGTTTATCAAAGCAGCTTAAATCCTTTCCATTCATATCCTTTACATTCGTGATTTCCTTCCAGGTAGCTCCATCATCGAAACTCATACGCGTGTTCACCTGTTTGTCTGCACTTTTAGAATCGACTTGTTTAGGGTTCATCACTGCATTTGCGATTAGAATTCCTTCTACACCTTGAATACGTTCAAAATCAATGAAACCCATCATATTTCTATTCGTATTCTCTAAGCTCTTGATGAAGAAAGTTCCGTTTGAGTTGGATTTATACATGGAACCGAATTGATCACTGCTACCACTCAACACATCAATCATTAAAGCGGGGCCTGGACTTTCGACAATGGTGAAGGCTTTCTCATGCAAATTGGCACCCTCTGGGAACACAGCTTTATGCCAATTTTCACCATCTTGTGAGACATACAGTATCATATCTGAAGTGTCTGCTGACGGTTTGACGACCGCTACAATGAACCGGTTGATGGCACTCACTGCAATAACACCTTTGACTTCAGTGCCAGTATTGAAATCAACCACTTGCTCAGTTTTGAAAAAGTCTTCGGATTGTACAAGACGAAAATCTTCAGGGTCGAATAGAGTAGTAATGCCGGATTTTCTAGGTGATTCAACACACATCACTTCTTTCACAGGGGCATTTTCGAATTGTTTGCTAGATAAGCTCCAAATACAAGATGACGTGTGCGTCCTTAAGAGATTGATATCGTCGAAATTGTTGATTGTATAATAAGTCTAACAAAATGACACGAATAAGAACAGTCATAAAAATGTTGAACAATCCTATTTTAATGTCTAACCTCGTCATGACAATCAACACCTGTCCAAGACCCAAGTTTACATTTGAAACCTGTGAATAGAACATAACTAGAACGTTCTGCATGAAATGATAAATGAGGACCTACGGCAGCAGGCTCAACAGGTGTATTGAACTCTTGCCATGATTTTCCTTTGTCCGTTGTTCGCCAATGCCTCTTATTTTTACCAATAACATAAGCCTAACAAAGCAAAAAATGAACACTATGGATGAGATAAAGTCGGTTCTTTTTTTTTTCTTTTTTCTTTTTTTTTTTTTTTTTTTAATTTTCATGCATCAACTCAGAAAACTCACTCTGTCGCTGTCGAAAGGATGCTCATATAGAAAATTTGCTTCATCGTCCGCAATGGCTGTTACTTTATCCCATTGTTTGCCTTGGTCTTCTGAACGGTAAAGGGTATGTGAGACGGCATCGAGCCATAGAATAACCTAGAGCAGTGATGAAATAGTGAGATTGCCAATTTTTCCTGCCATCCACTTATTTGTTACGTGTGGGGAAATGAGCCTACTTGTGAATCTTTGAAATAAAAAAATTTATCAGGTGTTTTATCGAAGCCTGTTCGCTGTACAGTTTGTGCTGAAGCCTCCTTCGCGAGATACAAGAAGGCTATGTAAAAGAAAAAATAAATAAGGGACAGACCCCTATAACCGGAGGTCTGCCATAACCGTGTCATGTTTGGTTGTTTAAGTAAAGAGATGTCAACAATAGGTGTTTTAAGGAATCAGTGAGTTAATAAAAAATATTTTTCCGTTTCGTCTCTAAGCTATGTTAGAAAGTTATCGAGTTGTGAGGGTATTTTTTTCGTAAGGGTACAGGAGAGTATGGTAGGAAAGTTTATCAAAAAGGAAAGCAATTAAAAGGAATTAGCACAGCTATGCTTGTGCTTGAATTTTTTAAGAATCCTAATTTCAATGACAGAATGTCCGAGATTTATCAATTGTGCGTCTTTCTCCGGCCCTTCTTTACTTGTTTTTTCCAAAGCATTAGTGTGAATTGTTTGATCTGAAAAGTAACATGGAAACTCTTCTGTAACTTTAGACTAGCACTGGTTGATGAGAAATATGAAAACCTTCCTTCCTTCCTCCATTCTTAAAATAATATATCTTGAACACTACAGAAACGATTGGTACTCATTATCAGAGTATTGAACTATTCTAGTATTATTAAGCTCCGTTGTTCAGGTATCAAAGTTGCAGGAAGCAACAGATTTCATGCGGGTGTTTACGTGGTTTTATCATATTTTTTACGGGACCTAGATACGTCGCGCCAGCGAAAAAAGAAAGAACAAATTATACAGGCTTACAACAAGACTAAACCTATGGTAGCAATTTCAATGTTCAAAAGGATTTCAGCGCTTTATGCGAGTATTGAAAGTCAATGTGAGGATGTTGTATTCGCTGAAGTTTAAGCGAATTGTTCCGCGACAAACGAGTTCTGCGAATGTCCAGTTTAACAGCTATGCGAACTGTCTAAACCCTTGAGTAGTAAAAAAAGGATATAAACAGAACATTATACTATGTGAGCATAATGAGTTCTATGTAGACTTGGATTTAACATTGACGGGATAATAACACATGCTTTTTTGTGTCATATGAGTGAAATCATAATTGAATAACAGAGGTGAAGAAATTGTGGGATAAGCTCTGTATTACATACTATAAAAGAATACAAATGTACGGTACATTCATCCTGGAGTAAAGAGAGCAGCTAAAATAAGATGATGCCAATGTTCTACGTGAACTGTACAAGGGCGAGTTATTTGATCCACGGTTTCTTATTGTCGAATTATAGGGTATTTCACAGCAAATTACGAATAGAAATCTAAGCAATAGCTTCGAGAGATTCAAACCCCTTTTTTTACATTATTCACCTTCTACCTGAGAAATAATTACTCTCGTAATAGTAAATGTTTCGACAGAATGTAACATTAGTATGTTATCAGAAGATAGTTCAAAACAATACGGTCAACTTACGCCTCTACATAATGTGCCTGTGGACATTTGCGCATCCATTGATACCTTCATTGCACAGCAAGAGCATAGCAGCAGCAGCAGCAGTATTAGTTACCGAAGCTTACGCGTCAACGTGAGGAAATACCAGTTCATCGTTTTATATGGATAATCTGTTCATTCGACCTGGGATTTAAATAGCCCTCATTGTTTTGGTTTTTCTTAATGTCCATTCAAATTTACAGTGAAACCAACAATGAATTATGACTACAAGAACTGAAGCTGTTCATTAAATTAGAGGAGAAACACTACGTTGTCAATCGCATGACCAACAAGCAGCAGAAACATTCATAACCTATGTGTTGGAAAGGGTTTCCACCCGATCAGGATGCTTGGAAAAGCCCACTATCATTCAATATTGGCGACGCAATGGTAAATCCACCTCGCTACACATAGAACGCAAGCAAAGATCCACATAACATTCACAAGGCATCCCACCAAGCAACCTAACCCCATATCTCGCACATCACCAAAATTTGATCGGCTTCGAAGAGTTTGGGAGAGGGCGATGTGATGTCTAGAATCGATGAAGTAAAATATCACGTGGACTGGACATACTCCCATCGTGCTCCGTCTTCAGGAGACTTACAATAGATTATTGATCTTGGTTCTCTTTCATATTAAAGAGCACAATCCGAGTCTGCTATGGGAGTAACTTTGTTTTAATCACTGTTGTGTTGATTCTACTATATATCCTATGTCATATAGTAACATATTACAGTAAAATAAGTAAACTATATAACCTAAATGACAACCTGGTCAGCCTTGTACGACGTAGCTAATCTCATATAAGAATTGTCACTTATTCTATATTCGTTTTCCTATTCTACTTTATATTATTTCAGCAGTACGTTTAAACAGAGATTTTATTACATAATATTAATTTTTTAAAGCCCAATGGACACGAGATATTAAGCTTATCTAAATTGCCCGGGGCAGCTCCAAAGGCTTAAAAGAAACTAAAAACCCCTTAGGACTCAAGGGTAAAAAGGATTATGTACTAAAGGATTGTGGGAGGGGGAGAGGGTAACCAGTCGAGCAATAGGTGCCCTAACCGAGGAGTTGTAGGCGGCTCTTGGGAGTGGTGTAAGTAGTCGAGTTCAAACAAAATGTGACAAAGTGCTGGCCATAGAAAATGCCAGTGTTGTATTTGGGATGGGTTGCTGATCGGATGAGTAGGAAGACGGTTGAGGACATAGGATATAGGATCACAGACTGATGTGGGGAGTCGTAGGCGGTGGTGCATGTATTTCAGCAGTACAGTGTTTTGCATTTGAAAATAGAATTTTTTGTTAGGCCAATAGAAATTTCTGAATAATAGAATTTTTTAAATCCAGTGGAAATTCTTGGCAAGCAGTACAAAACAATAGAACTTATAGTAGTTCTAACAAGACTAAATTTATTAATTATAAACTCATATTCTTTCCATATTCATACACTTTGTAAATAATCTTCGTGAGTGACGGATTCAACCTTGACATTCTTCAGGTGTAACTTTCTTGACTGCCTCTTCAATTCTGTCAGCAATCATTTCGTTCTTCAGAAGAGGCGTTTTACGTACTTCTCCCTTAATCTTTGACCAACACTCTTCAATGGGATTTAAAAAAGGCGAGTATGGTGGTAGAAACAAAGCAGTGTGCCCATTGTCACGAACTGCTGTCACGACTTCTTCGGTTTTCTGTATCGTGGCATTATCCATAACAATATGCATATTATGTAAACCAAGCTTGTTAAGTGTAGAAGTCATTTCTTCCACAAATAGTCGGAAGTGTGATGATTTGGTGCCATGTGGTAGTGCTCTCTTTGTACCAGCTATCTTCTGCTTTTCATAGCCTTTGGACTTTGGAACCTGCTGAGAAACTGCAATTAATCCATAGGCTGACATGCAGCCCAAAATACTCAGGTTGGTGCCTTCCGGCTGTACTTCCACTTCCACAGGTGTTCCTTTCTTGGACCAACCAACAGGACGCACCATATTTTTTTTAAAACCACTTTCATCCGCAAAAACGCATTTTCTTTCAAAATCGACGCTATTTTCCATAAGATACTCAACAAATTGTCGACGTTTTTCAATTGTATCTTCGGAATTCCGTTCTGCTATCCTTGATTGGGTACGAGTGAGTGTAAACTGAAGTTTATCAGTTATGTGACGATAGACACTTGATTCATTAATCGTCAAATCATCAAAAGCAGCACAAAGACAGTCGGTAACATCTTTGACAATACAGGCTGGATGATTTCGACGTAATTATCAATGAATTGTGAGTGGTTTTCAGTAAGCTTAATGTTATTGCCTTTTAGTTTAACTTCAGATGCTAGTTTGTAACCAGGCAATACTGTTCCTCCATTTGCTCTCCATTCTTTATGGTACTTATAGGCAGATTTGGGTTCAATTTGAGCTTTTACGGCAGCTTTAGATATTTTAAAGTTATGGTTCTGGATTAGAGAAATGAATTCAGCCATCTGCGATGGCTTATACTTTGTTGGTGTCCAAACCATGGCAGGTAGACGAGCCAAATCTAATTCAAATTCTTCTATAGCCATTACTGTATCTAAAGATTCTTCTTCTTTCTCTGACGAGATTGAAATATCCGAAAGATTCTCCAAACGATACAACGTATTAATAGTCACTTCTGCTTCTTTTGGCTGATTTTCAGGTTCTTCTGTATCTAATTGATCACAAACAAAATCACCAGAAGGGAGGTAATGATAGAATCTAGTTGTCGACATGAAAATCAAAAACATTTTTTTTAGATAAATCGCAAGGTTTATAAAAGTATTGAAATGTATAAAAGTAAATACAATGGTTTATTGAGCAAAATTTTATGAGAGTATTAAAGAAACCTATATTTTCGATATCAACGTTATATAGCCATTGAAAAAAAAAAGCTGGCATCAAAGCCAAAATGCCAAGATTCTTGAAGCAAGACCAAACAATATAGTCATAGGTCAATAACTAAGGCTCATATCACTAAAGTTTTGCGCCTTAGATAAGTCTCGACACTCACTAGGTATTGATCTTTTTTTTTATCGTTTTTGTGATGTGTATATTGATGGGTAGAGATTTATATTTTTTTTTACCATCAATATAAATATCACAAAACCAGCACAATATATATGAATGTATAGAAGCTAAAACAAAAAATAATCATTTTAAAAAAAACCGAGTAATACGCGTAATACGCTTAATACGCTTAATATTTTTTCCAATCACAAGAAATCTCTACAGGACCACCTACAGCCGCACGCAGATCCCGCTCGTGCCTTGCTATGCGGCAAATATCCACAAGGCGCAGAGCTTAACCATTTCTCCCGGTGTAGCGATCTGTCTAAGCTCAAGATTTAGATCACCGGGTCAACTATACGTTGCATGTTCAAGAGTGCGAACCTCCCAACAAATTCGCTTTTTCGGCCTTCTAGATGATCCTACACTCACCGTATCCTTCAACGAACAATTAACCACATTCCTTTCTGTTTAACAAATGCCTATCAGTAATTTTTTTATGGCACTTATTTCTATGCTTATTTTTATAATTTTTTTATGCTTACTTTCATATTTCTATGCTTATGCACTTATTTCATGCTTATTTTTATGCCTTATTCCTATGCTTATGCTTATGCTTGTATGCTTATTTTTATCTCATATCCCTATGCTTATACTTATCAATAAATTTTTTTATTTCAAAAAATTCCCTTCAGGACGTCCAGAAATTAATGAGTCGTTTTATTAGGTATAAAATAAGGCTAGGGTTTCATCGCATCTATAATCTATTACCTTTTGTATCCAAGTCTAAAAGTATCATATTAATAGTCTACCGCATACTTACTTGTGATACTGTATCCTACCAGTCCATACATTTCTGAGTTTGATAGGCATGGAATAACGATCTGTTCTTTTTTATCTGTCATTAGTTGGCTAGGCTCATGGTCGAAACTAAAGCTCCGCCTATGGAACTGAAGTGTGCATTTTAACCACCGCTGTGTTTTCCTGGAAACGCCAGTCAGTCCCACAGATTTTGTACCCAAAGATCTTCGTGTGTGGCCTTTTATGTAAAGAATCAAGTTTTTCCTTTCAAGTTTTTAGCCAACTATTATTATTACAATGCCATACAAGCAAGGTTTGTCCTAAAATAATTTGTGAAAAGCGAACTCACGTATTTTATGACACTGCTTTTTAGAATTTATCACATACGTATCTGATTGTTTTCGTAAAAGACAAACCGTACAATTATCAGATGTCATCGAGAAAGATTTTATAGTTTCAGAATCTCAGAGGGTCTTGGTAGTGGAAGATCTGCAAAGAATGTGGAAATCAAGACTCAAGACTTGTTATGATTTATGCTTGGAAAAGTTTCAATCTACCGACATCCCTAGTGTAAGCCAATTGACGCGTAATCCGTATTTACCGTATTCTCATTTCGTTCCCAATAGCTCGACCTTAATGTTAGTGAACAAACGTGGGCCTCAACATTTTCACTGGTTGTACAGGTAATTTGGACTTTGCAGCTGATGGATTGGTTTGAATTGTGTCTAAATATTTGATTTCGTAGAATCCAAGACGAGATGAATCAAACCATATCAAGTTCCGGAAGATTGGCAACAATCTCAGCTCTGTACAGACAATCAAACGGTAGTTATGGAGAAGGTCTACTTGGTGCATCTTCAACTCATCAAAATAAAAAACAAAAGACAAGACAAAACCTCGATAGCTTGTTCTCAAATACCCAAACAACACCTATAAATGTTTCGCACGATGATTTCAGGGTTGCAGTCTTCAAGGCAGGATATAATCTGTTGAAAAATCAATTCACTCTATCAACTGCTCAAGAATTGAATATGATGGTCAATGAATTAAGCCCTAGTTCATTTGGTGAACATATGGATCATTTAGCACACCATCTCATCACAACTGAACGAAGTAGAGAATCGGAAAATGCCCTAAAATTAGCTCTGAGTCGTATACTTTATATGGTTGGTGGCACCACATCTCTTACACAACAACAGTACTTTAAAAGTCGACAACTGGATCATTTTCTTAAACAGGCACTTGATTGTAAACCCAAATTGGATCCTGGTTTTGATGATACCATGAGTGAAATCTACAAAACATTTCTCACAAAAGTGGATGCTTCTCCAAAGGAGGTCAGGATATTTCTAATGAAACAACGAATGGAGGTCCTTACTGAAAACAATGAAGATAATGATTTGATGAAAATGCTGGACATCCTGGATTATTTAGTTGCTGATGCTGCTCCACTCCCGGATAGTAAATCTAGTGAATTGACTTGGTACCGTAAAACTGCGCATATTCTTGATATTCTTTTTAGAAAATCATTTATATCTGTCGTATTTGAGGCACGATGGCAATATTATATGAGTAAATTACTCAAAACGTCTAACGAAATGTAAAATAAAACTTGATCTCAGATATGAGTACTGCTCATATCTTCGTTCCCGTTTGGTAAGCGGTGTGTTCGATTGCATACATTTGAACCTTAGATCAAATGTATAACACATAAAGATAAGATAAGAAAAGAATATGGATTAAGGATAATTCTTATGTGAGATTAGCTACCTCACATATGTAAGACTTGAACAGGTTATCTTTATGAAATATATTTTACTTAGGTTATCTATGGCTATATGATATTCAGGTATATAGCAGGATTGGTATATGTACTCGTAGGATATATTGATTCAACAACCAAAACATAGTAGATCACGGTACTGCTCCCTGTTCTGGAAATAAAGTATGGTTGGAGATAAAAAAGGCTCAATCACTCTTTATTAACACAATAACTGTTCACGCAATCAAAAGAACACCACGCACGAATATCTCTTCCTAGCCAACATCTATAATCACTCCCACAGTATCTGAGCTACACAACTGGTGGCCGATAGATATTGGATTATAGATGTAGCTGCATGATCACCCTGGATCTGCCAGGATAGCACATTACAAATCAATCCGCTCTGGGATGGACGAGTAATTATCCACCTAAAGGGAAGACCTATTCTTTTACGGAAACCTCTGATTCACTGAGTATTATTTGACCATAATACATCAGTGTCAGCTATAGATCCCGATACAGTCATTTCGTAGACAGCAAACACAATAAGTCTTTATTAATAGCAGTAATTTTAGTTTTCTTTTCTTTTTCTTTAGTTTGTTTTTGAAAGAGAAATAAAGACGGTGGTTTGATTTCGTTAAGCTTTCGTGTTTATTTTCTCTTGTGTTATTCTTTACCTTTTACTTCATAATTAAAACTAGCGAATACCACATTTTTTTTAACGAATTTCTAAACTACTTTGTCCATAATGCCCCCTATTAACCCCCATCAAGACTCCCCTCAAGAAGACCATGTCCAACAAAATGAGGACATGGAAATGCTTGATGTAAATCAGTCAACCTCTGGTAGATCCCCTCTGGTATCTAACTATCGTTCCTCTGTTTCCTCCTCCTCTGGTACCATCTCTTCTTCCCCTGCTGGCTCCCAAGGTACGGAAACAAAAGTAAATAATACTTATGTCCCTCCTCCTAACGAGAGTGATACATACATACACACATTTGATGTTGGCAAGGACCTCACTTCGCATCAAAATAATAACAATGATGTTGGCAAGGACTTCACTTCGCATCATTACCACAATAACAATAGTGATAGAAATGTCACGCATAATCATGATGGTGTTAACCATATGTTTATCGATTCATTAGGCCCCAAGCCGATTGACGGAACAGACCCTATGGTCATTCGTTACGAGAATCACATACATGAACTTTACGAAAAGGTTTTTAGCCTATCGGATCCTGTTGAAATTGCAAAAATTCACACTACCATTGAAATTTTTGAGACTAAGGTCAAGAAAATGAAGGGTGAAACTGCTCTTATCAACTCACCATCATATTTTGATCCCAACAAAAGTTCCACTATGCAGTCTAAGTACGCGCACCTATCATCCGATAACATTCACCGCAGTGAAATACCAATTTTCCAATTGGTGGATGATCCATTGGAAACTAAAACGGATAATGCCCCATCATTTGAAAACGCGGAAACATTTGCAGATGCATTTGAAGCCCCATTCATAGCCAATGATACAGACTTAGATAAGTATTGGAGGAAATACTTATCTGTCTCATTTTCCAAAAGCAAAAACCCTGTTTATCAACGTTGGTATGCCGTAGATTTCAAGAAGTTCCCACAGAACACTTCTTGGAAAACTATAAAAACGGAACTAGTTGAACGCTTTGGATTGAATGCCACCATCGATAAGAAAATCCAAAATTTCATTCGTATGAGACAAGGAAAAACAGAACAGTTACGTGACTACATGGACCGTTATTACCAAGCTTACTCATACTTACCTGATCCGAAGCCCGATTCTATCTATCTTGTGGCATACTTCCTTGACTCCTTGTTGCCAATGACAAGTGAGGAAGTAAAAAAATCACTAAAACGTTATCACGAAGGGAACTCTCCCGACAGCAAAACCTCCTTTTACCCAGCTTACTTATCTGAACTCTTCGATTACCTCAAAAAGAGAATGGGAGATATCCAAGAAAGCTTGGCGCTAAAATTTAACTCATCTCGGCAACATAATGCCATCACTAGTGGCAATAAGAATCATCCTGATAACGTTAACAATACAAACAAGAATAATCGCATTGATTTTAAACGCAAAAACAATGGTGACAACGATTCTTCTAACAAGAAACATAAGGCGTTAACCAACCCATGTTCATTTTGCAAAATTGAGAATTATTCTCGGGAACATCTGGAGAGTTGCTTGCCTTACCTCAAAAGTGACATATACTTGAAAAGACGTATCACTCAACAGAATAATAACCAAAAGGTAGAATTATTTTGTACTGTTATTAATCATAACAAGAGTGTCACTGACGGAATACTCATTTTATATAGCCAAATCGAACATGATATTGAAAAATCATTTTCATCGCTACTCAAGCGATCACATTTTGATCAATCCTCATACTATAAAAATTTTCTCACTAGCTCTGATCCAGCTAAAAATAAACATATATTTTTAAAAGATGATATTAGATCACAGATTTCTTGCTATAATGTCTCAAACATAACTGAGAATGAAGTACAGAATTTGTCGCCATATTCTCCCGTTATCATGATCAATGGTGAGAAACTAATTGCCATGATTGACACAGGTGCACAAATATCTTTGATAAATAAAACCTATGAATTTGAGGATAAAACTATCTTTGATGATATAATCCCTACCACTGGTACATTTTCATTTATTGATAAAAATTCTACAGCCAGTCGGATTGGTAAAACACGACCTCTAGAAGTGAAATATAGAGGTAGAACACCATTTTCCCACTCATTCGAAGTTGTGGAAATGCCGCTAGCAAATCTACCAGTTTTGTTAGGGAGAGATTTAATTCCACAACTGGGAATTTCGATTCAGAACATTGCCTACTCTTTTGAAGACATCGAGGAAATTGTCTTTGAAGATAGTGTTAATCATGAATTGTACACTCCTAATGTGAGCAAAGCTTGTTCTGAAGAAGAATATGAACAGTTCATCGAGGAAATGAAGCCGTTGATGGATGTGAATGCAAATATTAACCTTCATAACCTTTGCCCTTTACCGGAAGCCATTGTTTATCTTCCCACTAAACCTAATGAAGTGGCATACACGAGACAGTATCCAATTTCATACGATTTGGTTCCTATCGTTAGAGAACAAATTAAGAAATGGGTCGATGACAAAACAATTGAACCTGCAAAAATATCTGGTTTCAATAGTCCCTTAACAATCACACCAAAGGCTGGTACTGACGCTAATGGAAATAAGAAGTACAGAGTTTGTCTTGATACTCGACGTATCAACAACCTGACAGACGATGTCTCCAACGTCAACACTCCTTTGATTGAAGACATCTTCCATGATGTCAGAGAAGCAAAAATATTCAGTGTTTTCGATATTTCAGGTGCCTTCCACCGATTGCAAATCGCTGAAGAAGACAGACATAAGCTTACCTTTACATTTGAAGGTAAAAGCTGGCAATTCCGAGGTGCTTGTTTCGGGTTGAAATCGCTTTCCGGAATATTTCAAAATGTTATGGAAACCATATTCCAAGATATGAAAGATTTTACATGTATCTACATTGATGACTTGGTTTGCTTTTCCAAAGATCTTGCTTCTCATAAAGAGCATTGCAAAAAGGTTATTCAAGCATTAACGGATAACAATATGCCTATCAATTTTGAGAAAACTCATCTTGTAAGAAATTCAGTTTACCTACTCGGTTTTTGTATTTCGGAACAAGGAAGATCCATTGATCCTCGTCGTTTGACTGACATTGATGAATGGCCAAAACCTCAAACCGCTAAAGCCATGATGAAATTTTGTGGTTGGGTCTCTTATATGCGTGCTCATCTACCTAATGCTAGCGAGTTAACTACTCCTCTGGATCGTTTGCGATATAGCACTCAGAAAGTCTTAGAATGGACTCCAGAAATGCATGCACATTACGACAGCATTATCAATATTTTGAAAAAGAATATTGCTTTAAGTCATCCAGATTTGAACCATGAATTCAGCTTAGCCGTTGATGCTAGCAACTATGGTATTGGTGCTTGTTTGTTCCAAGAATTTAAAGATGAACAAACTGGTAAAATTACTATTCGATACATTGGTTTTTCATCAAAGGCACTTTCTAAAAGTCAACGCAATTATAGTGTTACTCGCAAAGAACTTCTAGCCTTGACTACTGGATTGACAAAATTCTACAAATTTTTGCATGGTCCTAAACCTTTTACATGTTATACAGACCATCGCAGTCTCTCATACCTTTTCACAACCAAGAACCCCTCCATGATGATGATGCGATCCATGGAAGTTATCTTATCCTTTCCTAACATGAAAGTTCAATGGATTCCTGGCATTACGAATATCATGAGTGATAAATTGTCCCGATTATTCCCTACAATGCAAGACAAAGTTGCCTTTGAAAAGGATGAGAAACGACTATTCCCCCATCTATTCAAACAGACACAGAAGAATACAAAATCAAAAATGCGTGCTCAAAAACGTAAATTGGAAAAGAAGATCCTTAAAGATAATCCTCCTCTTAATCCTGAACGTACGCAGAACCTCAATCAGTTCTATAATTCCATTTCGGAAACATCTGATGTGACTACAACTCCCACCTTCACTCCTTCTTTGTCGAACCGTTTCATCCGCGTTAAACGCTGGTCTCTTCGCACCATTCATGATGATTTGAATGAACAAATTCGTTATTCTGGACCCACAGATGACGATGAAGAGGACATCATCCAGATTAATTACGCACAAAACATGGATGAATCATATATTGTACCTCCCGTTGAAGAAAGACCAAGTATTTTGAAAGATGCACATGAATTTGGTCATTTTGGTGGTGAAGCCATCGTACAACGTGTGAGAAAAGATCTAGGTATGAACTGGCCTAACATAATGAAGGAAGCCTTAGAAGTTGTAAAACAATGCGCAACTTGCCAAAAGTTCACCATTAGTAAGAAAGGATATAATCCGTTGAAACCCATTTACTGTTATACCCCAGGATGGCACTTTCAAATGGATTTATGCGGTCCTTTTCCCATCACAACCAACGGCAACACATATATTTTGGTTCTCATCGATGTCGCTACTCGCTTTCTTATCCTACGTCCCATTTGTGATAAGTCTGCTAAAACCGTGGCTGAAGAACTCATTTCCATCTTTTCACTTGTCGGTTATCCTCGTATCATTCACTCTGACAATGGCACTGAATGGAAAAATCAGATCCTCAATACTCTATGTGAGGCTATGAAAATTGACAAACGTTTGAGTACAGCTTACTATGCTCAAAGCAATGGTGGAGCTGAACGTGCCGTTCAAAACACAAAGAAATTGCTCTCTAAACTAATCCTTGGCAATTCTGAAGACAATTGGGATATGATGATCAATTCTGTACAATTGATGCTCAATTGTAAAATATCCAAACGTTTACTTACTAGCCCTTTTAACTTGATGTTCGCTCGTAAAATGTCCAATGAGTATCCATTACTCCATGACTCGAACGATAACATTGAACCCATGTCGAATGATGAACTTCTGCAACGTATACAATACATGTCAGATGTAGTCTTTCCCGCAATCAAAGAACGCACTGAGATATACAACAAAATGATGAAAGGTCAGTTTGACAAAAAGCATCGTTTGGTTGATTTCCCTGTCGGTAGTTATGTTGTGGTTCAAAAGAAAGGCATTCAGAAATCTCTTACACCTCAATATGAAGGTCCATATGAAATCATTCGCAAAACTGAGGCCGGTAATTACACTCTCCGTGACGAAATGGGTGTTGCTTCCTCTCGCGATTATACACCATCTGAATTAAAGTTGGTTTCGCAAGATGCACTTGTTTCGCAGGATGAGATCTATGAATTCGACAACATTGTTGGTCATCGTGGCTCTCCAGGAAAACGTGAATATCGTGTTCGTTGGAAGAATTACGGTCCTGAAGATGATACATGGATTACTGCTGAAAACTTCACTGACCCACAATCCATTGTGGAATATTGGCGTCATGTTAAAGGTAGTGTGCCTAAACAAGATTCTGTACTGTTAAACCAGTTAATGTCTGGTGAACATGACTACTCCACGGTGGAATTGACAAAGAATGGCCCGTTGATTGAACATGTTGAGCAATTTACTGATGCGATCACGGATGTACCCAATTCTCCCATTCCTCTTCAACAACAACAGAAATCTTTTAAACGTCCCACTCGCCGTACAAAAGTGGTAGCGAATAATCCTGCCCATCAAGCTTTTCGTCGCAGTCCTCGTGGTCGTTCCATGCGCACATTTGAACCTGCCATTGACAAAACTCGCTTCCGCAAGTAATCAATCACTTCTGTCATGTACATCTAATGTCTTTCACTAGTGAAAACAAATAAAAAAGTACAAAACCAACAATGAACCCTACAAATTTTTTATTTTTATTTTTTTTTTTTTTTGTATTCCATTTGCACAATTGCAATACGTCACACATTTTGACAATCTGCCAATTGCATTTGTCTACAACAAACTCACTTAAACCATCTTACTGCTTTCCCATCTACCTCATCTACTATTCTCCATCGACGCTAAGTTGCATCTTTTCAGATCAACAACCGTCTAACGGGGGGGCAATGTCGTATTTGAGGCACGATGGCAATATTATATGAGTAAATTACTCAAAACGTCTAACGAAATGTAAAATAAAACTTGATCTCAGATATGAGTACTGCTCATATCTTCGTTCCCGTTTGGTAAGCGGTGTGTTCGATTGCATACATTTGAACCTTAGATCAAATGTATAACACATAAAGATAAGATAAGAAAAGAATATGGATTAAGGATAATTCTTATGTGAGATTAGCTACCTCACATATGTAAGACTTGAACAGGTTATCTTTATGAAATATATTTTACTTAGGTTATCTATGGCTATATGATATTCAGGTATATAGCAGGATTGGTATATGTACTCGTAGGATATATTGATTCAACAACCAAAACATAGTAGATCACGGTACTGCTCCCTGTTCTGGAAATAAAGTATGGTTGGAGATAAAAAAGGCTCAATCACTCTTTATTAACACAATAACTGTTCACGCAATCAAAAGAACACCACGCACGAATATCTCTTCCTAGCCAACATCTATAATCACTCCCACAGTATCTGAGCTACACAACTGGTGGCCGATAGATATTGGATTATAGATGTAGCTGCATGATCACCCTGGATCTGCCAGGATAGCACATTACAAATCAATCCGCTCTGGGATGGACGAGTAATTATCCACCTAAAGGGAAGACCTATTCTTTTACGGAAACCTCTGATTCACTGAGTATTATTTGACCATAATACATCAGTGTCAGCTATAGATCCCGATACAGTCATTTCGTAGACAGCAAACACAATAAGTCTTTATTAATAGCAGTAATTTTAGTTTTCTTTTCTTTTTCTTTAGTTTGTTTTTGAAAGAGAAATAAAGACGGTGGTTTGATTTCGTTAAGCTTTCGTGTTTATTTTCTCTTGTGTTATTCTTTACCTTTTACTTCATAATTAAAACTAGCGAATACCACAATATCATTAAACGAGTAAGTTTTTCAATGGTTTTCCAATCGTTTATCAATTAATTAAAATTTAATTTGATACAGCGGAGAATTATGTTCAAATGCTACAAAAATCGCACGAAATGAAAATAGATTGCTGTGTAAAAGACAATGATGATAAAAAATCTGCTCTAGGACGAAAAATTGACTTGCTTCTCAATGCAAGCTTCATGGAAATAAGCTCCTCTGAATGGAAGAAGGACGGTATATCTTTTGGACTAGCAGAACAGCAACAAATAAAAAATGTCCGCACAAACAGTGCCATTCTTCGAGAATTATTGAAATTACCTATAAACCAAGAAAAAAAGAATGATTTATTCGTTCTTGGGATGGATTGGATCGGTAAGTTTTTGAAATTATTCATGCACTGGAAAATCAAAATTTACTTTTATTCAACGGACCATAGGTGTTTGCGGCTATGTCTTTGCCGTGAAAGAGACAAATGATGTACACGTTGCTTATCATGTTGGGGATTTGATTCTTCCTGCCTCCCTCTCCTCGTTTGAAGATTTTCAGAAGACTCTTGATACACTTTTCTCTTTTAAAAATCATCAACTGAGACTCAAGAGGATTATTGAGCCAGCTTACAACAAACAAAGTGCCTCAAATACGTTGAGATCTTTTAGATCTGTCACCCCACCTCCAAACCAACAATCAACACCGCCTAAAACATTTTTTACGCCTGTAAAAAAGCAATAATAATTAAAAAAAAAATGGCAATCAATAAAGCGTATATATTTCGTATCATGTCGCGTTTATACAAGTGCTACAACCTTGTCCAAACGGCGGTAAACACAATTTGAGCCCTTGAAGTAATTGCAGAATTATAACTTGCATTTCTGTAACACACTTGATTCTTAATGTACGAAACTGGATGAGATAAGTATGAAACCACTCATTAGTCAAAGACAAAGAAACTACTTGATGGGGAAAAAAAACCAATAGATTGGTATTTTATGATAATTTGGGTAGTGGAGCGAAATAACAACTTACTTTGTCCTCCAACAAATAGCTTCATTTTTTCAGATCATACACATCAACATCAAATGGCAAACTACTTATTCTATTTTATGCAGAGATAGAGCTAATACTCCAAAATTGGGCAGAGACCTAGACAAGATTGGGGTGATCAATACGGAAGCAGGTGAAAACTGACCGGGTGACTTGCAGCAATCAGGCTTCAAATAAGGAACAGAGCCGGACACCTTACAGCTATCAAATGCGACTACCAAAATGAATACCGATTCAAATGAAAGAAAGCAAAAAAGATGAATATGGATACTCATCGGGTGCCGCCGGACGCCTTACAGCTATCAAATGCGACTACCAAAATGAATACCGATTCAAATGAAAGAAAGCAAAAAAGATGAATATGGATACTCATCGGGTGCCGCCGGACGCCTTACAGCTATCAAATGCGACTACCAAAATGAATACCGATTCAAATGAAAGAAAGCAAAAAAGATGAATATGGATACTCATCGGGTGCCGCCGGACGCCTTACAGCTATCAAATGCGACTACCAAAATGAATACCGATTCAGGCTTTCAAATAAAAAAGTGGCTAGGCGTCTTCCAGTCACCTAAAACGAATACTATAAGTAATAATGGTTGACATCTATTTTTGTAGGACTGAAGCAGTCAGATATACTTTCCTTGTATTAGCGGTTAATGGAAAGAAAGGAGAAATAATTTACGGGCACAGCCCAGCTACTTAGCTTGAAAATTGAGTGGCGGTCATGTTGACGTCACCAAATAATGAATGATTCCCAGTTTTTTTTTTTTTCCTCTTTGTGTTGACCCTGTGGTATTTGAACGACTTGAGAGAAGAAAAAATATCTACTGCAAAAATTTAAATATCCTCTTCATATTGCGGAACCGAGAAACTGACAGCTGAGTTATTCTACTCAAAGAAGACGTACGTCTTTTGAACCGTAAAAGAATAGAATTCTCCCTTGAGGAGATTACGCATCTACCCGGGAGCGGGTGGACTTGTAAACGTATCCATGGCTTGATCTAGTGATCATGCAACTAACCTATTTTCCCGTGCTAACTATTATGTAGCACTGCTTGCAGGAAAATAGTATTAATTAGGAAAATGGTATTCGTGCGTGGTGTTTGAGTTGAGTGAACAGTTATTGTAAAGGATGATCACAAACTATTATCTTGTAATCATTCTTTATGCCGAAGGCAGAGAATAGTACTTATAACCTATTATACCTTGGTGTTGAATCAATATATCCTGCATGTCCATATATTAATTCTACTATATATCCTATGTCATATAGTAACGTATTACAGTAAAATAAGTAAACTATATATCCTAAATGACAACCTGTTCAGCCTTATACGAGGTAGCTAATCTCGTATAAGAATCATCACTTATTCTATATTCGTTTTCCTATTCTACTTTATATTATTTCAGCAGTAATGAGATGTGAGGATCTGGTATAATTTGTATACGAGTTCTCCACATCTCATATGATGCTGTCAACTAAACACAACATCTAATTTACGGTACTCATATATTATCTTTATCCTTCATAAAGTGAATTATAATTTTTTTAAATATTTGTATATCATCCACCCTCAAATACGACAAATGGTTTTGAACTAGAAGATCAATTAACAATTCAAGAACCACTGCCAACAATTTCCCCATCGCTGCAACATTGCCATCAATCCCATCATTGTCAATCCGCCGAGGAGAAACTTTGATGAAGCAGTTATCAATGCTTGCGAACAATCAGGCAGTCAACATGCTGAGCGGCAAAAGACCTTGTCTATTGTCGATGCCCTTAACCTAAAACCATTTGCCTTCTTCGATAAGAATGGAATTGAACAAAATGCCCTAGCCCACGAGCGCGTTATCAGCAACATCATGTCAGACAATGACTCAATATTACCCATCTTGCCATTGAAACGTTCGTACGATGATGAAAAGAGCATCCCTTGCATAAAATGCACACCTATAACCACTCCAGGCCTCGACCGGGTCCTTGCTTCATCATCCTACAGCAAATTAATTCGTCAACGACAATATGTGGAGCTCTCATCAGCAATGTGCAAATTATTTAACCAAGATTGGGAATTCCACCAAAAATGCGATATTTCACGGCCAAGATTCTCTCCGGCGCCATCATGCACAACACCGGCAACGGGCAAGCCATTTTGGTCTATACCGTAGAAGCCGATGGACGAACCAAGCATGTGGATGGCCACCGCGAAGCTTTTGGCCGCCTTAAGGACACTGTCGTAGACACATCACTCCCGCCGCCAATCAACACAAAATATCCTGACGTTTGGCCTAATAGCATGCAACATGCTACTGATGACACGAAGCTCTTGATAGGCACTCAAGTATCTGATGTGTTGATCACGTAAAGCATGCGCCTGGATGCAAGAGTGAAACCATACGTTGGCTCAACCAATATGTCATTTCGATTATCATTGACTGTTGATTCATTTTGCGTAAGGCTCTATCTAGATTCAGTCTGCCTGAAGGAACCATTGGCCATTTTGGAAGCACCAGATACATCTTGCCTCTCGTCATTCAATACGATCTATCAACTTGGCCAAATCAGAAGCAAGTACAAGATTTTTGCAGCCATGTTTCCAAAAATTATTCGACTGTGATGACGATCAAATAAAGATCAAGTGGCTCAATGCCAGCTGCTTTACTGACACAGACATTGATGCCAAACAAAACTAGCTAGATGGTTGCGCTGAAAACGATCATAAAGCTACTGGCTATTTTAAAGTCAAATCAATCAAGCATGCAAAAAATCACAATAAAATTAATATTGATTTGCATCGATTGTGCACGTTCTCCAAAGCTGGTACAGCTAAATATAAATCAAAGCACATGTTTCAAGTTATGGCTGTGGGTAGGTTTATAATCATCAAAATAATTTCGTGTATACTGTACTAAATATTTTATTTTTTTTAGGGACCAATGTGCAATTTCATATCAGCGAGGCAGTTGGTGATGTTTTGGTGGTTTCAGAACTGGATTGTGTCCAACTCCCTTTGTCGCTTGATGAACTTCCGCAGCTTGTCCCTTACCTGGGTTGTCTGTACAATGTTGTAGAAGTTATTCATCGCCTGTGTTACACCAGTAATGCCATCAAAGTCAACGATAGCTTTGGGTCTACATTAGAACCAAAGGTGATTAAGGCAATAATGGAAAAATCGACGGATAGAACCCGCGATCATCCGTTTTGCCACCCATACCACTCATATATATACCTTCCTTTAAATCATTCCATTTCTTTATCCTATAATATATCCACTTGTACTGTACGGTATGTAAAAATACCTGTATTTAAACAAATAAAATAAAAAACATCGATTTTCATTCAACCACTGCTGATTATTTGTGCTAAAACACATGTCAGAAGAATGAACAAAAGATAGAAAAAAAGGCACAAAACAAATTTCGTTACTTTACCATATAGACTAACAATATACTTATCGTTGGATTGTAAGATAGATTTATTGAATGAGTAAATAGGGATAGGTAATAATATTGTCATGTGATCATCATGATTAAGGATATACAATGCTATTAGGATAGAAAGATGGAAATATGGCTTATTTTAAATAGTTGATTAGATAATGGTGTCTTTATTGAGCTGCAGCCTGTTCTTTTGTTATAAATGCTGGATCTGTAGCGGGTCTCTTTGGCTTTTGCAGTTCCAGTAAGAGACGATCATTAGCAAATTTACGTTTGTTATACTTGGGCACAATGCAAATAAAACCGAGGAAACCACAGAAGGCAAACCATAAGCAATCAGATACGCCACACTCGTTTTCTTCGATTTCAGCTTCGAGCTGCTTGATTAATTGTTCATCTCTGTATTCAGTAGTCATTGGATAAGGTGTCTTTTTGTAAGAATGAAGGAAGGGAGAAGGAAGGAAGGGAAATGGATGAGAAATAATGTTGAAGAACGCTCTCCCATGGTTTTTATATATGCTCAATCACTAAAGGCGAAGCTTTTTCTTTAAAATGCAGACTTGTGTATTCTGATCCGGTTACATCCAATGTGTACAGATGATGGCTATGAGGGGGGTCAGACAAACAAACTTTGGTACAATGGTAATACCAAGCACTCGAAGTACTCTTTTTCCAAAGAGGTAAGAAATGTCTGATTCACTCGATATATGCTTTGAAATGAGACCCTTCATCAAGCATACATTATAGGATAGTATTACTTCCAGGTTGCAATGGTTGATCTTTTTTGACCTCCTTGATATTATGAACACGGTTTCTCATTTACACAATAGTATAGTATAGTGTGACATTTTTGGTCTGCCGCCAATGGAGGCCTTCTCACTACCGCGTTAACCAAAATGCCATTCGCAGCCAGCTCACATGTTCGCCTTGGGATGTTGAAAGTCATTTTTTTGCTCGCAGATTTGCTCTAGCTCATATAAAAGAAAGGGTGGAAGAGAATTCGCTGGATGAATTCGTTGATCATGCCTTTGCAAAGCCTTTCTACTACCGCTTCATACAAATTGTGGAAGAGGTGAACTGAACTATATAAGAGTGCTGTACCCCTTTTGTCCTACGGGTTTTAAGCATACAATATAAGAACCCAATTTAGCGATATAAAACTATAATCTCAAATATGGAAGGTCGTCGCTTCCTTTTCAAGTTATTTTTTGTAAATTGAGACTATTCCGTGTGTTATTCGAAGCCTGATGAAGGAGAGTAAAATATGAAAATTACTGGCGCCATAAAGGTGTTGTTTGGATCTAAGCTATCACTGTGTTTCCAAAGTACTACACATGGTTGACAAATTGCTAAACTGACGCTGCCTGCTCGTGGTTCTATTTCCCCCATAATGACCGACAATGAATTCTATTTGTATATTAAAATCTTCTCCAACTGCAATTGTATATCATCGTTACGCGGGTCTATTTGCAAATAGTACACCAAAGTATATTAACATGTCGGAAAGCACGGTATGGAAGAACGGAAATTAGAGAAATAAGAGCAAGCCTAAGACTCTTCATTGTGCTCCAAGCGGTTTATTCGGCCACAAAGTATCATTGCTAAAAGAGAATGAGACATTCTTCTTGAGGCAAACATGGCTGCGCCAGAATGTCACACAAGGATGCATACATACGATAAGCAGATGATGGCTCGAATAATTGTAGACTTGACTAACACAGATCATTTCTTTCCACCCACTACGAAGGATGCGAACAAAGTATACAAGAATGTCACGGTCTTTCTTGAGTCCTTCTATATGAAGGTTTCAATAAGAAGAGACTGTAGAGTGTTATGAATGCATCTTTTACTCCCGTGATTAGAAAAGGTGCCCATAAAGACAAAGATTCGAAAAGATATTTTGGACAAGACGGGGCAATGACGAGATTCAAAGTTGCGCTTATCATTTTTTTTTTTTTTCCGTATCGGAGTGACGAAGCGGTAATCTTGTGTTGTATCCTCTCTATGAGACTCTCAACGAAATTGATCAGGTAGAAATGTAGGTCTTACTCGGGAGTCCATGAACTTTATAGTATTATAGCTCACCTACTGAGCATAGAGATAAGATAATTTGAGAATCTACCATACTGATAAGTACCATTACTACCATAAGAAGCAAGAGTTTCTTCCTGTATCCGACACGATTGGTAACTTTTACTGTCTGCTCGATGGATACAATAATGCAATTGCGTCTATGGTTTGTTCTCGAAGAAATAGGATTGTATAAGTGAGAAAAATTATATATATTACGAACAGCATTCAACAATGACGATAACATGTAAACACTTTGTGAGGTCACCACTCTACTTTTGTATGTTGAACTGCTCTTCACATTGCTCACATATACACTTTCCATGTTACAATTCTTAATCAAAACAGTCTTGACCATTTAAATAACAAATCCATATCCATGTAGAGTAGTACGCTGTGAATTGTCGGAAAAGTAGAACAATATAAGCCTTGTATTCGCTTTTCTGTCAGCTTATCTTAGTACAACTTGTCAGCCGTCTTTGTGTCCTCTACATATTTACTAAAACAATGAACAGCAACAATAATATGAACCTTTGGAACGTCTACTATGCTGTTTCCTGGAATAGTCGTTGACAAAGATAGCGTTCAAAGCAGCCAAGAAAAAAAAAATTGGATTGGCTCATAGGAGCAAGAGAATCAGGTAACACCTTTGTCATTCGTCCGTCGACTAGCAATGATATCTCGATTGATAAATCCATGTTTTCAGTATGCTTGGTATGTTTTATTGGTATATCTGACCAACTTGTACAATAAAAAGAAATAATAGATTGGATCTTTCTATTATTATTTGGATACTAACTTGATAACAAATGAGCGGAAAAGTAGTACTGACAGGTGTTCCAATCTGATACAAAAAAATGCAGGGTTTCCCCTGTTGCCTTTATCTATTTAACTTGTAGAAAAAAGAGCGATGAGGAGCGGACGTTTTGAAAGTTGCTACACCCATGCAAAATAGCGATCATTTCAAGCTGATCCATGAAGGATAATCGCTTGAGAGTAAAAGGAGAAGGAAAGATGCAGCCTTTTTGCGAGTCAATGCGTATAGGATCGTCTCTGAAAACGTGCCGGACTCGTTCTGGTTGTATTGAAGCGCACCTACTTTTCTGAGACAATACATTTGTCGATAAACCTCATCCGCTGCTCGATCTGTCTGTTATCTTTACACGCATCCAGCAAAAACCGATAGGTACTATCTTTAATGTTTGCTGCATTATTCTGAAAGATGTGCGCACAGGACACGTTGTACAAGAACTGTCTTTTTTTCTATAGCCATCCGTCCAATTAATTTTTCTGTTCACTCATGATCAAACGAATGGTTTCTTTGACCCCTTTTTCTCTTCTTTTTTTTTCTTGATGACCTTTTCCAAGCTCTTTGACACTTGTACTCATTGACTTTTTACTCCACTACTACTACTACTACTCAAAGCAGAACCGACCGCAGACCATTGAGGATTTTGCCAGCTCACACGACAGCTCCATGTCTTCTTCTTCTTCTTCTCAAGGACAACCCAAGGCAGCATTGTCACATCTTGATATCAATTCGGATGATGAGGAAGCTTGTTCTATTTTGATTGCTTTGGCTACGGGACATACGCATGATAGGAAAGTGGATACGAAAAGAAAGGTAGACTCATCCACTTTGGCTTTCCTTTCCATGATGCACTGTAATAAACTATTTTCTGGGGAAAAAAAAAAAAAAAAAAAGGATAAAGCGACAATGACCTCCATGTCGATCAAGAATGTAGTAGGTAAGTTCCAATGCAAAGGTTGAGTGATCCTAAGCTATCCATTGATACACTGTCCATTTCCCAATAGCTTACGAATTAGAAAGAACACCGGTAAAAAAAAAAAAAAAAAAATACACATAGGAAATGAAAGCATGGCCACTTATTCACGCTGCTCCCATGAATACACTCGTCGCACTAGTATCTCCCCATTACAACGGTGGCCAAACCGTTTTCTGAATCAAGACGACAGAGTAGTTTGAAAAGAAGCTATCAAAGTATGCATGTTGTTGTTGTTGTTGTTTTTTTTTTTTTTTTACTTTTTTTTTTACGTCACTTGGCAAGTGATTGTGAAAGCGGACCATCGATACCCCACCCCCCCTGATCATGTTTATTAACATATCCATGTAGTCAACCTGCCTGCACGTCCTATGCCTCCTGTCCATGAAAAAGACAAGCTGCATCCTCCTGAAAAGAGAGCGGCACCCGCAGGAAAGAGCGTGCCAAAAAGAAGGACAAGCGCACTTCACGTACGCATATCGTATTTTACCCATTTTCATCGACTCTCTTTGCAGCCTTGTTCTTCTCCCGCTGCCTCTTCGTTTCTCTCCTCCGCCTCTTCCTCCTTGACATCGAAAAAGATTCCCGAGAACGACAAAAGAGTAATGAGGGTAAGTCGAATTCGCAGCACCTGCCAAGGGAGCGACATGTTGTTTAAAAAAAAAAGTCATTTGATGTAGAGTGCTAGGAGAAAACGACGCTGAGTTCATGTGTATACCATCCCAAAGATGCCCGGGCGCGCGCCTTGCAAGCCCACATCTCCCAAGATACATCACTTGTGCAGACATAGGCATGACCCTTCAAGCACTCTTAAAAACAGATCAAGTGAATAAAATGACTTTTTAATATTTTAAAGATAATGTAAAGAGGAAGAGGGGTCAATGTGTGTGTGAGAGAGAGAGAGAGAGAGAGAGAGAGAGAGAGAAAGACTTTGTACAAAAGGAGGCAACATGTAAAAATACAAAAAAAAAAAAATAAAAAAAATAAAAATAAAAATAATGATAGCGTTCTAACGAGGAGATAAGCTTTCTAAATCATACGCTTCTTCTTCGGGTTGCTGAGCCACGGTGGATAAAGGATGATAAGCACCTCTTTGTCCACCTTTCACGTGGGTCCACCACTGTTGCCATTGTCGAAGGAGAGGATGGTTTTTCTTGACTTCAAAATCATCGGCTTCCGAGATGGGTGTTTTACGCCAAAACCAACGCAACATCAAGCTACTCAAGACGACGCTTGTGGAGCTCGCGGCCATGGCGATACCGGCCATCATGGGATGGAGATGCAGACCGAGGGGCATGAACAAGCCCATAGCGAGGGGGATACCGATGAGATTGTAGATACAGGCCCAGAGTAAGTTGAGTTGGATGCGACGAAAGATGCTTTTGGACAGCGAGAGCGCGGTAACGACATCGGTTAAATCGTTGCGCATGAGCACGACGTCGGCGGCATCGATGGCGATATCGGTGCCGCTACATAAAGCGATGCCTAGGTTGGAGGCGACGAGGGCGGGAGAGTCGTTGATGCCATCGCCGACCATGGCGACGATCGCAGGGCGAGAAGAGAGAGAGCGCGGCCCACCGAGGCAGGGGGAGGGTAGCCAGGTCGATTTTTTTCTCTGACGCTCTGCTTGCATCTGTTGAATGATGTGCGTTTTGCCTTGTGGAGAGACACCGGCATGGACTTCGGTAATACCTAGACGATCGGCAATGCATTGGGCTGTCAGGGCATTATCACCGGTGACCATCGCGGTGTCGATACCCATTCTCATCAGAGCCTGGATGACGAGTTTCGCTTCAGGTTTAATGACATCAGCGATCGAGATGAAACCGGTAGGCACGCCGTCGGTAGCCACGAGTATGCTGGTTCGACCCATGGAAGATTCTTTGCGAATGACGTCCCCTTGTTCATTGGTCAGAGCGATGCCGTGATGTTGTTCCAACCAAGCCTGGTTGCCAATGACCAGATGATGAGAGGGGGTGGTGGTGGTGGAAGGAGTGGATGATGAGGTTAATGTCACTGTGCATTCAATACCATAGCCGGTGACACTCTTGAAATGCTCGACAGAGCCTAGATGGTCTAAAGACTTTTCCTGTTGTGTCAATTCTTTTGCTTTTTGTACAATGGCACGGCCCAGCAGATGCTCACTGTTGGCTTCTGCTAATGCGGCCTCGATGAGCATGGTGAGACGAGCGGCGGGATCCTGCTGGTGGTGCCATGTTTGGTACTGGACGACTTGGACTTGACCGGTGGTGAGGGTACCGGTTTTATCAAAGACGACTTTGGTGACTTTCTGACCATTTTCCAAGACGGCACCGCCTTTAAAGAGGACACCGTGTTCAGCGGCTAAACCGGTACCGACCATGATGGCGGTAGGCGTCGCTAAGCCCAACGCACATGGACATGCGACAATCACGACACTGATGCACAATTTCAAACAGACAAAAAACCAATCCCCTTGGCCCTCCTGAGAGATTTCGTGCTGGAGGAGAGGAGGCATGCGTTCGACGCCCAAGCAGGCGACGAGGAGGGACCAGACGACGAGGGTAGCAAGACCCAAGACCAAGACCACGGGGACAAAGACGCCGGCCACACGGTCGGTGAATCCTTGGATGGGGGCTTTTTTCATCTGGGCGTCTTCCACGAGACGGACAATTTGACTCAGGGCGGTCTCCGCGCCGACACGGGTCGCACGCATGACAAAGGTGCCGAGGCCGTTGACGGTGCCGCCAATGACGGTGTCGCCGACGTGTTTGTTGACGGGTTCAGACTCGCCGGTGATCATGCTTTCGTTGACAGAGGTAGCGCCCGAGACAAGCACACCATCGGTAGGAATTTTATCGCCAGGAAGAATTTTGAGATGATCGTTGGTTTGTATCAATTCAGAAGGAATTTGCTTTTCAGAGAGAATGACGGCGGGTCTCTTGCTCGTGTCCTCCTCCGTAGGCGCAAGCTCCACAAGGGTAGCGTTGGAGGGTGTCAGAGACATCAATTTAGAGAGAGCGGAAGAGGATTGTCCTTTGGCCATGTTTTCGAGATAACGTCCAGCGAGGATAAAGGCAATCAGCATGGTCGAGGTGTCGAAAAAGACGGGTGGTTTCATGACGGGCAAAGAAGAAGAAGCATCAGAAGAGGAAAGAGAGGCTTGGATGACGGCGCGCACGATGGAAAGGAGAGAAAAGAAATAAGCCGACAAGGTGGACAAGGCGACCAAGACGTCCATGGTGGGCGTTTTATGCTTTAACGACTGATAGGCTGAGACTAAGAAGCGCTTCCCGATGATGAATTGAACGGGCGTGGCGAGGATCCATTGGAGCAAGTCCGACCAGAAAAGGCCGGGTAAAAAGCCTGTGGGAGTATGAACGAGAGCACGGCCCCAGGAGCACTCGGGCAAGACCATGGCAATGACAAAGACAGGAATGGCAAAGACCAAGCTCTGCAACAACAATCGACGCCATTGTCTGATTTCTCGGACTTTGGAAAGGCTTTCCAGCTGGATATGGCGAGCTTTATCGGACACAAAGGCATGGAAGCCGCCTAAGGAGTCGATGGCATCAATGATCTGCCTCGGCCCGATGCAAGCGGGGTCATAGCGTACAGAGGCGCTTTCCGTCATGAGGCTGACAGAGATGTCCTGGATACCCGGTTGTGCCCGTAAGTGACGCTCAATGGAATGCACACAGCTCGCACAGGTCATGCCGTAAATTTGTAATTGCAAATGGGACGATGTCTCTGTATCAGGTGATGCTGTATCGGTATCTGAGATGCATGTTGCTTCGAATCCTATGTCGTTGATATGGTTCACCAAGTCGTCGACCTGGATCACGGCAGGATCATAATGAACGGTCGCTGATTCGGCCAAGAGAGCGACCTCAATCGAGTGAACACCTTGTACTACAGAAAGACTTTTCTCTATGCTGTGCACACAAGAAGCGCAAGTCATGCCTTGAATACGGAGCTGCGCGATGTGGTCGATGTTGTGATGTATGCTGGTGCTGATGTTGGCTGAGGATGTGGGTGAAGGAGGATGAGATGGCATGGTATGGGCTGCATGCATGCTATGGGTATCAGTAGAAGGAGAAGGGACTTGAAATCCACAGTCTTGAATCGTGTCGATGATGGTTTGGGGTGATAAAAGAGTGGGCTGGTATGAAAAAGAACCTTTTGCTTTGTCTAGATCGATGTCTACTGAATGCAGACCGTTCAAGGCCTGACAGGCTTTTGTAATGGATTGAACGCAGGAGGAGCAAGTCATACCAAGGATGGATACATCCAATGACTGTTTGTGGTGCTCCTGCTCCTGCTGTTGTTGTTGTTGTTGTTGTTGTTGTTCTTTTTCTGGTATCGGTACATCGAAACCGCAATCTTGGATGGTTTCAATGAGGGTGTGCACAGTGACTTGAGCTGGATCGAATGTGATGGTGACTGTATGGCTTTGTAAATCGACATGGACATGCTCCTGCACTAGAGGAGATAAAGCTCTTTTGATGGCATGGACACAAGAGTGACAAGTCATTCCTATCACAGGCAGACACACAGTGGTCTGTTTCCCAAGAGTCGGTACTGTTGCTGTGGGTGTAGTTATCGGGGTCATGATGGTGGTGTTCGCATCGATTGCCATCACTTTGCTGGTTTTTGGAAAAATAAAAAATAAAAAATAAAAAAATAAAAGCAAGCAAATGTCTTTTTTTTTTTTTTCAAATTGCGAAACAATATGATATGGAAAAATTAAAAAAAAAACCCATCCTCTATTTAAAGTTAGACAAGGTACGAAGATGAATTTATCCGATCTCATTGTTCTTTTTCTCAGCAAAGGTGAAAATTTTGCTTTTCCTCGTGCTGACAACAATTTTTGTAAAGAAGCGGGAGGTGTTTAAAAAACAAGGTCGTTTGGGTATGCAACGTGAGTTTCTTTCTTTCTCGCAGAAATTGCGAGAACAATAGTAAAAAGAACAATGATAACCCCAGTCTGGTTTCAGATCCAACAACACAAGACAAGACCAAAAAAAGTAGGGCCTTGGTTCGTTACAAGTTCCTTTTTTTATATTTGACAATGTCAGACAGAGAGCTTACTTTTTTGCACTGCTTTTTTTTTTTTAATTTTTTTCTTTGAAAAAGAAAAAAAAGAGTTATCAAAAAGAGTCGAGGGGAAATATGTGTGGAGTGGTTAAATGAAAAAAAAAGAAAAAAAAACCTGGGGTAATAATTCATGCGTCGGGTAAATTTTTCGCCTGCCTCGCTTATCCCCGACAGCCAAAAGACAGATTTATATTTTTAAATTAAGAAAAAATAAAGAAAACGAACACCGAAACGCGTCTTATCGATCCGTACCAACCTAGCGCGTGAAGAGATGGACGGATAAAGTGGTAGTCAAATGACAAAAGTGGACTTTCAATATCTAGGGCATTCAGTGATGATTGCAGGCATTGTTTATTGGGTCAGGCGTTGATTGAATGACAAAGAAAGCGCATGGGCCTTGTCTATTAGCTACATGTAGGTATAAGGGGTGTGTGTGTGTGTGTGTGTGTGCGGAGGAGGGTATGTGGACAAGGAAAGAAGGAAATGGAAAGAGATGACGTACTGAGTTATAGAAAGGGGGAAAGATGGGTAAGCCATCAGAGAAAACCCATCTTCATCTGAGTTATTGTTATTCGTCATGGACGTCATCGTATACAATAAATGAACAAGTAGTGTAAGGGAGTGTCTCTTTTTTGCCATAGCGTCCTTCTTTTTTCATCATTTTAGTCGTGCTTCTGCTGCTGCTTCTTCTTCTTTGCATCGACCTTTCGTGGCTTTGTCGTCTGCTCCTTGCCCAGGTGGAAAACAATATGAGTGGCTTTTTCAGTAGGTTCAGGGTTCTTGATAAACATGGTGTTGGTGTCGGGTGCTTCGGTAGGCACGTCGATCGTATGCGCCGTAATGGTGATGATGTCTGTTGCGTCATTGTCATACGCAGCGACTGTTTTGGAAGGGGTCACTTTGTCTTGGGACGAGTGCTTGGGTCGTCGTTTCTCAAGAGAAGGCGCAGGTAAAAGTCGATCCTTCTCGTGGCCATCACACGGGCTCGACCCAACATACTCACCCTTTGGCCGTTCGTGACAGCCCTGTGGACCTACCGTGTCCGAAGCGTGACCGCGAGTGGCATCCGTCGTGGTAGGAGCAGCCTGCACCAGTATCAGTAGAGCGGCAGCTAGAGGGACAAGGGACAAAAGAAACTTCATGGTAGAGTGTGTGTGTTTGATCCCACATAGAATCATGAAGTTGAGGCCCGTATTTATATAGAGTACAAGAAAACTGAAAAAAGCGTCATTCCCTACAGACCCTATGACGCTTTCCATCGAGGAAGGTACGCAATGACGCGCGGGGGTGGGGGAAGCGGAACTGGAAAAAAAACCAAAAAAAAAACCAACATAGGATATCACTAAATTGGTATAAATCATAACAGAGACTTATCTGTCTTTCTTTCCTGGGTTTTTCTTTACAAATCAAAGAGAATCGTCCTACAGAGGCTATTTTTTAATGCCTCATCAGCAAGCCTAGGATGAAATGAAAGGCATAGGTAAAGAGGAAACGTCTGTCCAACTGCTGGTTCAAGCAACGTACAAGATCTTTTTTTTTTTTTTTTTTTTTTTTCTTAGAGACTTTTTGTGATGTGTGCCTGCTCCACTATTACTTATACTTTGCAAAAGAAAAAAAATTTAAATGAAAGAAATGACGTGGATCACGCGGAATGAGGATTGCTTATGTAGGCTTTACAAAGCGATACTATTAGAGTTATCTCCCAGGAGAAAGCATACGCATGCATAGGATAATAGATGACTAAGCGAGTCCCCGTTTCACAATGGCATGCTTCACCATGATCATGAATGTAGGATATAAAGACAAAACGTTTTATTTTTTGAAGTCTATGGATGACATTGAATAGGTACATGTCTCCTTTTTTTAAACGGGAGCAGAACCGTGTGTCTTGGGATGGGCAATGACCTATAAAACGACGTTTCTTTTTTTTTTAGAACCATTGTCTCTTTTTCGCTTAGGCCAAAGAAAAAGTTTTACCTCAATCCAATAACCATCAGGATCAGCAATAAAGGCAATATTCTTCATGTTGCCATCCTTTAACTTTTTGACAAATTTAACATTGAGAGATTCAAAGCGTTCGCATGCCTTTTCAATATCATCGACGAGAATAGCGATATGACCAAAACCACGACCAGGTTCCTTATTACCATTGGCATAAGAGAAATCAGCGTCATTTTCAGTTCCCCAATTACTGTAGAATAATCATGGATGTTAGAGGAGATAAATAGAGAGAGAGAGAGCAAGTCCTTTTGCATACGTACTGTGTCAATTCAAGCACACCAGGCAGACTGAAAGCCATGACACTCTTTTCTTCTTCATCTTCGGGTACCTTGTCCACATACGCCAAGAAATAAAGCGAGAATTTGCTTGATTCAAAGTCTTTCTTGGTGATGAGTCTATAGAAAAGTGTGTGTGTGTCAGTCACAAGTTCCATGTCATGTACTGTTGTGGGTTCATGGAACCCATGAGCGAGCACTTTTACTTCATGCCAAGGACATTGGTATAAAATTGGACAGAGGCATCCGCATCTTTGACGCGAATCATGGTGTGGTTGAAAACATATTTCGAGGGATCGGTAGACATTCTGAAAAATGAAGTCCAATTTCATTTGAATAAGCATACATGCATTGGCAACATTATGTTTCTGGTTGATGTTACCTTGAAGACTAAACAAACTAATGTCAAAAAAAAAAAAAAAAAAAGGAATCGAATTTTATGGAAAAAAAAAATAGTCAAGTTTGCGTCAATGTTGCGTGTTTTTTTATAGCGGAGAAAGAAATGGGTGGGGGATGTGCATAATTTTTGTAACAGTCCCAACAAAAGGGCAACATCGCTCACAAATAACGTAAAAGAAAAAATGAGATATGTTTATATTATTGAGGTTCAAATGCAAAAAAAAAAGAAAAAAGAATGACGAATTATAGATGCCAAAAATGAATAAAGTGAAAGATAATAGGATGTAAGAGAGGGTAGTAACTATAGGTCCAACCCCCATTGGAAAAGGCTGTAAAGAATTAGGCTTGGGCAGCCGACTTTTCTAGTTCATGAAGGTAATGACGCAATGTCTAAATGCAAAGAAAGGAAGAATAAAAATGAGTGTGAGCCCTTTTGACTATCAAAGCGATGACCTTTAAGAAAGAAAAAAATACCTACCTTAATGCGATGGTCATCTGCCCACTCTCTTCCTGCCAAATCCACAATTTTATCTACAAAAGTCAACAGTGCTTCGACCATATAAGTAAAATAGACTTTTTTACTGGACATTATGTTACCAATAGGTGGATTTTTTTGTGGTAATACTTGTACTTTACTCGAAAGCGCTTCTTGATTCTCGCGTTGCTTTTCAATGAGGCCTACCGCTCTTACGGTGGATTCGACCAAGGCGGAAGACAAGTTTTCGACCGAAGTGACGGCCTCTTCAGGAGGCACAAGCGTGTCTGGAATAGGCCGCGCTTCAATCTCGACCGAAATTTTGTATAAATAAGAGAGGATACGTGTGACATTTTCCAAGAGTTGCAAGTAATGGAATTCCACTTTTCTATGGCTGTGTGCAGCAGGATGAGAGACAAGATCCAGACTTTCTGAAGTCCATTGACAATAAATAGTGCAAAACATGCGGCATTGGTAAATGAGCTTTTGTGTAGAGAAACCAATCAATGTCGTAGCATCGGCTATGAATTCCATGCCATTCAAAATCATTTGCATCAACTAAAAGAGGGTGTGGGGAGGGGGGGTCCACCGATGAGACGCACTGGACTGTAAAGCAAGGAACGAACTGAGTTTCTTACCTTTTCTCCTTCTGCCGTATTCACAATTTGCTTTACATCGTTGGCAATGTTTTGAAGTTTTTTACATTCTCCATCCAACGCATCCAACAGGCCTGTACAGACATGATAGATCCATTCTTTATTCGCGTTTAATAATGCATCGTCGACAGGAAAGCCCAACGATTTCCATTCCAAACCGTTTTGTATTAACGCATCGCCATACAGCGACATTTTGTTTTCCATCATCTTTTGCAATTCTTGGATATCATGGAGTAAATCATTGGATTGAGGTATGGTTTGTGTAATGGAATAATTCATGTCAATCATCGACTGGACATAAATGGCCAATTTACTAATCTTGTTTTCGTACAAGGCCCATTCTGGAAATATTTTCTAATCATTTACAATAAAACGTTAACGTCATTGTCGTTCTTTGGTTTTTTTTTTTTTTTTTTTTTTTTTTTTTTTCCTTCAATATCAAGGGACTTTACGCCAAAGGGTAAACTACCATCGCCACTCAAATCCTTGGCCGATCGAATGACCATATTCAAGCTTTGATTTAATTGATCAAAGGTCTGATTGGGTTGTTGTAAACGGTCCAATTGAATGCGGAGTAATTTTTGTTTGCTTTCAAATAACTGAGCAAACACTTCTAAAGGCATACGGAAACGTTGCGCTTGTAACTTCATCCAATCTTCCAAATTGGTAGGAATACTTGAAGAAGCCGCTGATGAGGATGGCGGCTGTAGTAAAGGATGAGAAGGCATGGCACCACCTGCACCTGATAATTGATGTAAAGCAGGTACAGGATTGCGTTGTTGTGGATTCATCATGCTGATGGACGCACCTTGGGCATTCGCATGCGTATTGCCATTGCCACCCACGGTCAAATTACGAGCCATATCGTTGACCAAATTATCAGATACTCTTTTTAATTTACGATCAGCTGATTCATTAAAGCTACGTTTACGTTTGATACTCTGCAGAGACGAGCCCCCCACACCAGCACTACCGCCTGGTGAATTGGGATTCGATAAACTGTCTAAGAAGGAAAAACCCCATAGCTATCGTTAATTGGACATGAAGGGGGGGATCAAAAGAAGAGATAGCCCTTTTCCTCCTTTCTTTTGCCTACCTGTACTCAAACTGCGTTTGTTGGCCAAATCTGGCGTCATTTGCACACTTTTAGGAAGGACGACATCTTTTAACAAGCTATCCTCTATCGTGTTGTTTCCAACAATACAAGAAAAAGGTAGGCTAACGCTTTCAATACACCCTCACTCAATCCCATGTGTGGTCTTTTTTTTCTTTTTTTTTTTTTTCTTGACAGGATTTGTTTTGTTTTACCTAATAAACCCAATACAATCTTGACACAATTAGACCAAGTGTCTTGTTCCGATTGCAAACCGTTAAACATGAATCTCGACTTTATGATTCAGTGAATGGAGGAGTAAAAAGAAAACGGGAAAGCAAGCAGGAAGAAAAAAAAAAAAAAAAAAAAAAAGCTGTAGATCTTGGGAAAAGCAATTTGTTTTTACCATATCAAGAATTAAAGGTCACAAACCCGCGCACATCAGTTGGGATTTCGTGTTTTCCGTAAAACTCCCCCCATTTTTTTTTTCCAAGAAAAGGTTTCCAAAAAAGGAAATCTTGAGACCTGTCATTTTATAAAAAAAAGCAGCTACTCTTTTTATTTCTTTTTTTTTTTTTTTTTTTTTTTTTTTCTCAAAAAAGGACACTTACTCGCCACTTGACTCTTACTTTTAACCGGCCCAGCTCTTCCAAGATGATGTGTACTTTGACCAAGTCGAGTAGTTTGACGCCTCCTGAAAGCATCAAGGAGATTATCGTGAAACCTTACGAACGTCAAGACGACGTGACCTATTATCCCATCCACATCATTACTTGGACGAATGAAACGCTCGAGTTACGCTACACCTATTCAGACTTTATCCAGTTTTCACGCACCTTACATAAAAGATATGACGTGAGAGACTATCAATTGCACATCTTGAAAAAGCAGCATTCTTTGTTGAAAAGAGCGAATCGCAAGTACTTTGAACGACAGTTGGAGTTGGAAGACTTTTGCCAACGTCTCTTGTTGTTACCGGACGCCATCAAGACATCGGATGTCTTTTGTTCTTTCTTTTGGCCTTCTTCAAAAGAGCCACCCTCCCAGCGACGACGTGCTTCTCTCAAAAGCATGTTTTCTATCCAATCCAAGCAGCAAAGTATCAGTAGTAACAGCACCAAGAAGTGCATGCAGCCATCGATGCCCCCTCTCGATACCCTTTGGACGAGTAGCAGTAGCACGAGTAGCAGTACACACAGTGCGCCTCCTCCCAAGAAGAATAGCAGTAGCAGCAGCAACAGCAGCAGCAGTAAAAAGTTCAAGTGGAAAGTCATCTAAGACCTTTTCGATTCGTTTCCTTCCTGTGCCCGCCTGCTTAAGCTCATAGAACATGGGCCGCTTCTCAACCCTCTCTTTTTACCCAACACCGTTTGCCTTTGAGATAGACCCTTCTTTTTTTTTGTACAAAAACACAAAAACGACCACAGAAAAGAAAAAACCCCCCCCCCCAAAACCATCGGTACCTCACACCCATGCCTTGGTGACCCGTCGCCACAATCGCCACGATCGTAATGGCATCGTGATTCATCTCTATTGATCTCCGCCAAGACGATCTTGCATTCCTTGTGGAACAAAAACGAAACATGGTTACTTATATGCATCGTATGATGTTTTTAACCGAGTCCAACCTTCTCTACCCCCATCTCAATGATGTTTTGTTATAGGATGCTACCGGCGACTACTGCGCCACTCACTTCATTCCGTGATGCATGTGGATGACCCATAATGAAAGATAGATTGGACCCCTTTTCTGTTCCATCTTTCTACTTGTTTCTACTTTTTTCTAGAAAATAAAAGAATGACATTCATCTCCGTTCATCCTTGTTTGAGATGGTTTGTCTTGGCTCTCTCTTTCAAATAAAACCATAAACCGACCCATCACTGTTCTCTTCATCGTGACGTTGGATAACCTAAAAAAAAGAGCGGGTTTATAATTGTCAACAAAGGACAGTCAAAGATGACCTATGTATGAAATATCAAACGGACAATAAAGATGCAAGTGGATCATCATCATCATCATCTTCATCATCATCATCATCAAGAAATAACAACCCCGTTCTCCGCCTCCTTTTTTTGTTTATATCTATGGTTTCATTCAGCCTTTAGTAAACAAACCCGCGCCTCTTCTTTCCCGCGCCCCAAAAAAACCACGGGAGGGATGCCTCATGACAACGCGTGGTTGATCACAAATAGAAAGACGGCGATGCCATCCGTTGAAAACAAGTCAAGGCCGATACTGTTCTTCATCCGTCATTGGATAAAGTTGACTTTTTTCATTCAGAGCCGATCAAGCTACGTGGTGCCAATGGTCATCCTGCTGTGGGTCGTTGGATGGTTTGCATAGGTTATCAGACCCTTTGTAGATCGGGTGATTCATCATGACACAATGGAAGCATCTAGGAGAAAGAAAAGCTTCTTTTGTCATCGTCCATTGCATGACATAATTGGATAAGGGTTGCCACGACGACCCTGACCGTTGACTTGCTTCATTTGGTAAAGAAAAAAAAAAAAAAACCTGTCCCGCACGGATGGAAAGGGTTTCCTGTGTGCGTCGGAATTTGAAATAAAACATGGACACCGAAAGCTGATGTAATGAATACCAGCCACCTTTGAGCTACCGGCAGAGTGTTTCCCTGAAAAAAGGCCTTTTTTTTTTACATCAAAAGTGAAGCATTTAGTCATATTAACATTAGGTAAGAAAGCAAACATTGGCCAAACCGTTGTGACTCGCGCCTTTTTCTTTTTTTTTTTGTTGTCACTGACCTTCCATCGGGTCATGGATGCCCATCGCATCTAGGATCAAGAGGCGATGTGCAACCATTCGTGGCCTTGGCGATACAATACAAGTAATGAAAGCTCCATTCAATGACAAGGAAAGGAGCTGCAAACTAACCAGGCCTTGATGTTGAAAACAGAAAAACACACCCACAAGACGAGCTGACCTTGATAGCACCTGACCCTCTCTCCTCTCTCTTCACGCCTTACTTGAACAAGTATCCCATTCGATATCATGGCATAGAACAAGCCATCAATCCTGACGACCGACAGCAAGAAATGCGTAGAGTATGGGAAGCGTGTCAGCAGCAACCCTCCCCCATCAGCCAACTTGTCTTTTCCACCTTTGTCTTGGAAGGCTTTTCCATTGCAGAAAAATTAAACATCCCCTCTCTCGTCGTTTCTTTGTTTCCGTTGGAGCTGTTTCCGATGCCTGACGGCTTTGAAGAAGCGGTGCAAGAAGCCTATCCTGCCCAGTATCAAGCGTGGAAAGGGAAACACAACCTATGGGATACCCACATCAAGCCTTGGATGTGGCGATTGCTTTTAGAAGATCAAGGAGACTTTCGACAAGACGTACTGCATTTGCCTCTTCTACCCGACTTGGCCCAGGCGCCCCAGCTGGTGTATGCGATCGATCCAGATCTTTGGCAAAACAGTCCAACCGGCATTCCCGTCTGCGGGTGTTGGTCATTGCACCACGTCGTGGATCAGGAACCCTCTTTGCCACCAGCAGCCACCACCGTCTCCTCACCGACCCTCTTGGTGCATTTCGGTTCGATGGACACATTAGCCAACGTGTTGATCTATCCCACCCAGAGCGACTTTGTCACCCACGTCAAAGCTCGATTAGACGAACTTTTGACCACCTTGGATCATCTGCACATCCTTTGGATCGTTTCCTCCGACACGTTGCGCACTTATCTTGAACAATGCCTGCCATCGACGCAGGAACGTCTACAGATCTTAAAGTCCACGGGGTCACACGCCTCGTTGCTTCAACAACACCCCTCCCTCGTCGGTGCCGTGCATCATGGTGGTATAGGTACTTGCTTTACCATGCTCGAACTCGGGCTCCCACAAGCCATTCTCCCTTTCAAATTTGATCAGTTCTATTGGTCCGACCAGTTGGCTGCACTCCATCTGTCCGAGACACTGTCTGAACATGCATCATGGGTGCCCGCGGTCTCACGCATGATGATGATGAAAATGCAACAGAGCAGTAAAGCACGTGCTGCTGCTCTGGATTGGCAAATGAAATGTAGGAAAAATACAGCAAGAGGTTTGAATCAAGTCATCCGGATTCTATCTCAGTCTGACTCTCATTAAGCCCAGTACTCTAAAGGGGAAAGTTCTGTCTCTGGTTTTTTCTTTCTTTTTTTTTTTTTTTTTTCTCTGATACTTTTTTATGGCCATGAGTAAACTATTGCAATTATACCAATACAATATAATAAACAAGCCCATTCGCACTTTTGCTCTACAGTCATGTAAGAAACTCTCTCTCTCATCGGATGCCCACCCTCGCTCAGATCTTGGCCATGGGTTGAGAATGGTCATGTTGACTTTTTCTTTTTTTTACCTTAGCTTGTATGATGACGTTAGGAGACATTCTATCGCAGCAAGTCATTGAAAAAAGAGGCAGAGAAAATCATGATGTGCAACGCTCATTGAGAATGACCGTCTACGGTGCTCTGGTAGGCGGGCCCGTCATTGGTACCTGGTTTGGTTTCATCCATCGTCTGATTCAAATCAGGCACACTTGGGCTGGTAATGAATTTATTTGTTTTTTAGGAAAAAAAAAAAAAGTTTCTAACAACGCCCCCCTCCCCCCACCTTCCATTCTAGCGACTTTGGTGAGAGTCGGCGTCGATCAAGTGTTTTTTTCACCTACGATTCTCGCCATCTTTATGACGGGTATATCCATTCTCGAAGGTCGATCCATGGCGGACATTAAACAAAAGCTAGAAAAGAGCTATGTCAAGGGATTAATGACCTCGTATCAATTTTGGCCCTTTGTCAATTTGTTTACGTTCGCCTTGATACCCATGCATTATCGACCTCTCGTCAACAGCACAGCTGGTATTTGTTGGAATTCTTATCTATCCCATCTCAATCAAACATCCCTACAGACATCAGCCGAACCCGTCACCCATACCACCACCGCCACCACCACCACTATTCAATAGCCAGCTCCAGTAAAACAAGACCCTATTTTACTGATAGATACCCACCCCCCATCCTCCTATAGACCATCTCCATGTCAACACATAGAAGAACGACTATTTCCTTTTTTTTTTTTTTATTATGAATATATATATCAACAGAAATCAGCCATACTATCTCATCCTCATGTTCGACCCGAGCACATCTTCCTTTTTAATTTGACAGTCAGACAACTTGGGTCTAGCTTTTTCTTTTGTACCACTCTGTAACCCTGCTTAAATTACGCCTGGAGAGAGTGTGTGTGTGCTTTTCCTACTCAGCTGTCAAAAAGATCGAATTTCTGCCTAAAACGGGGTGGAGATAAAAAGGGAAAAAAAAAACGGTCGATCCCACTATTTTTAAATGAACGAAAAAAAATATTTTAAATCTTTAGGCTTTCAAAGCTCATTCTTCATTACTACTACTACTACTACTACTACGACTATTACTACTACTACATTCTTCTCATCCATACTCTATCACATCCTACCACCGAGACATGACGCATTCACCAGCTCATCACAGTCAAAGCAACTTTCTGCAGATTTTTCAAGATGCCGATCATCAGATCCACGATGACAGTGTAGAGGATCCTTTTCCAGCTTATCTAGACGATATCGATACCACCCTCGCTCCCTTTTGTCCAACCTCTGCTAAACGTGTCTTAAAGGCCTTGCGTATGGCCCATGTCGGCCCCCATGACTGGGTCATCGATCTTGGATCAGGCGATGGCCGTTTTGTGACCGCTGCTGTGGCCGAGATGAACGCAGCCAAAGCCGTGGGCATTGAATCCGACACTGCCTTGGTACACACCTCCAAAACATTGGCCAAGAAAGTCCTGCCCTCGCTGTCCTCTGCCTCTTTGGAAGACCTTGAAACAGATAGAATATGCTTTATCGAAGGCGATCTGCTGAATTTACCGTCCATTGTGCATCCTACCCCGTGGACCGTCATTGTTTTATTCTTGTTACCTGATCATACCGATAAATTCGCTCATCTCCTCCTCCATCATTACAGACGAGGAGCGAGGATCGTGAGTTTGGTCTTTAATTTAAACGAAATCCCAGAAATGAACCTAATAACCTCGGATGAGCAAGACGGTATTTATGTTTATGGATTAGCTAATAAATTATAAATGTCATGGTTGGTTGGATGTTTTGGGGGTGGGGGGAGTCTGTTTGTTTTTGTTTTTGTTTTTTGTTTTTTTTTTCAAAATGCTAAAATGTAATCATGAATGGGGGGGGTGTTCTTCACCTAGGCTGACATGGCCGCTAGTTCAGCCAGCTTTTGACATTTTAATCGGGCTACGGTAGCCGCTATATTTTTCTTGACATGGTCCGCTATATCCAAATGATACTGGGAAGCCAATTGATTGGCCAAGGCCCACGGATCAGAATCCTCCTCAATGTCCAGTAAGGCAGTGACACCTGCTCCTAGTTCAAACTTGACACGCAGCAGGACTCGATTCTGTGCCCTCCCTGGGATCGCCTCCTGCTGCTGCTGCTGCTGCTGCTGCTTCAGTGGCGCTGGTGGCGGCAGCGGCGGCGGCGCCTGCGCTGTGGAGGAGGGCAAAGGCGTGAGTGGTGGCTGTAGGCCTGCTTCCCTACTCTTTACACCAGGCGGCATGTCCAATGGGTCATCGAGCAAGGAATTGAATGAAGCAGAGAAGGAGTACGTAGGTGCGGGTGTACGAGAGGGTGATCCATGGTCCATGAGGGTCAGTACGGGTACCACGTTGCCTGCTGCTCGTGGGTCGACTCTAGCAGCAGTACGAGTCGCACCGGAGAGGATGGCGGCGGTAGGATGAGTACGGGTAACAGTAGAAAGAGTGGCATGGGTGGCAATGCTGGACGCAGAGGGGCTGGACTGTGCTTCAAAGAAAGTCAACAAATCAAGCTCTGCGGGTGGTATATGAATCACGGGCAGGGAATGGGTAGTTAAAGTTCGTGGCGGACAGAAACATGTCTGAGTGCCTACACTACATGGAGGGTGATCGATGAGAGTGCGAGGGAGGGTATGCTGGTTGGACCGTGGCGGTGTGACAGAAGGCGTTGCCGTAGGTGCTGCTGCTGCTGCAGCAGGTGCTGATGTCGTACGTAGATGGGCTATCTGAGCAGCCGGTTTCGTCAACCAGAATGCCTCTGAGGAGAGCTTCTCTGTTGACCAACCTGTCGAGGGTGTGGCAGTAAGCGATGCCAGCCTACGTGTGTCTGCCTGTCCACTCTCCTCTGTATCAGCACCAGCATCATAGAGAGTAGGGGTGCTGCTATGACTCGTTTGGGGTACTGGTGTTTCCCAAAAGGGTACGGTGGCTAAAGAATGGTTTGCCCAATTCGACTGTTCTAGTGTCAAAGGGTTCTTTATAGAAGTTGTCACTTTCACTCTTGGTTTCTTTCTTTTCTTCTTTTTCTTCTTTTGTTGTAGCTCTGGCTGTGCTTGTTGCGGTTGTCCAGGCATAGGTTTATTCAAGCGTTGCGCTAATATAACTTCTTCAGGAACAGGCTTATAATGCGTCCCTTGACGATGCAGACTTCCTGATCCCAGTCCATTGGCCTTTACATAAAAGTTGGGATCTCTAAGGGACGCCCAGCCTTCAGGTTGTGTGTTGTCTCCGCAATGGCTAATGTCTATGGGTTCGTAGTCATCCTCACTACAGTAATCAGTATAGTCATCGTCGTCGGTATACTCATCACTTTTGACAGAGTCCATTCCACCCGTGAATTGAACCCTTTTTACCTTAACTGAGAAGGATACACATAAGCTACGTTGAGTTTAAATTTTATTTTTTTCTGCAAATTTGGAGACGGAGAAGATGGTAAAAAAAGAAAAAGGCAGGCACAGCCAATAAAAGTTGGGTAAACAACAAGCTGGTTTTGATTGAATCAATGGATCTAACACATAAGCGTATCTTACACTCAGTGATTATACTACGGTATATTCTTCTTTTTCTCAATAAAGAGGGGATAGGTCTTTTTTGATCTCTCAACAACAGCCACTGCTTTTTTTACCACAAAAAAGAGTTTGCCCTACTCGTGCATTAGAAATGGATATCCCTCCCTCTAATCATCCGATTTTTCGATAGTAATTTAGTCACATTAGACTTTAAGAAAAGGCTTCCAATCGCATTGACAATAGTAACAAGAAAGTATAAATGTATATCAAGGGTATGATGCAAATATATTAAATCTTGTACTTTGCCTTTTAGACTTAATTTTGTCCTTTCCTTGCAGTATATCTGCCTGTGATGCCATATGTTTTTCTAGGTTTGTGCCAGCACTTTCCACGCGTTTGGATCATGGACAATCAATGGGCATAAAGTTCTTGTTGACAAATGGAAACTGAACGTCATTTTTTCTTTCTCGCTATTAGCTAAGCTCATCTTCTGTACTCCTTTTTTTTTTTTTTTTTGTTATAGCCATCCTTAGCGTAGAAGCCAAAAGATAAAGCCAAGACTCAATGTACTATTTAAAACAGCATTACTCAACCCATTGCTACTTTTTCTTCATTTTCTTTTTGTCAACATCACTTTCTTTCCTATTTCATTTCTTCAAAGTTTTTTCCTCCTAAAATTGATAATTTCATCCCTTTCAAAAGATCAATCTATAACAGAACGTCGAGCATTTTTCTAGACTTGATATTCTGCTAGTCTTTGTGAACTACGGTCTCTCTCTCTTTTATTTTTTTTTAGAATTTGTAAACACCCTTATCTATCTGTATAAAAAAACAAAGCTTTCTGGTGAACTTGAAAAAAAAAAAAAGTTTATTGAAATAGAATGCACAAGGTATTGACGAAAAATGTGGCAACAGCACCAACAACAACAACATCATCAAATCGCATCCTGCTCGATTACACAGTACGCACATTTAAAGAACGACTCATCTGTTTGCTCCATGACTCTCCATCTCTATTGAAAACATATATTTTGGCTTTATTTCCCATCTTACAATGGATTCACCGATACAATTTACGCGTAAGTTGAAGGAGAATTGATCTTTACCTATCAGAAAAAAAAAATAACTCATCCTCTCTGCGAATGTTAGTGGCTATTACAAGATGTCATTGCAGGTATTACTGTTGGTATGCTCATCGTCCCTCAAGGCATTGCCTACGCAAAAATAGCTGGTTTAGGTCCTCAATATGGTTTATAGTGAGTCAAATGAGGCAAACCCTTTCGGGAATGGAGTGAAGGGGCGAACGAAAGCAACACAGAAAACTTAACAAACCTAAAGTACTTCTTTTGTAGGAGTGACATTGTATTGCTTTTTCGGCACGTCAAAAGATATAAGCATAGGCCCCATAAGTAAGCTAGCTGGTTTTTTTTTTGGTTTCTATTTTTTTTTACTACCCTTTCATAGAGATGAATAGACTGACATGTTGTGCACATTATTTTGTTTTCATCATGTCTTGTGGTAGCGGTCGTATCCCTCTTGGTTGGGCAAGCCGTCTCCAAAATAACAGAAACGCATCCCGATATTACAGGTCCTGAAGTGGCGGTGTGTCTTTCGCTCTTTGCAGGCATCATCACCCTACTGGTCGGCCTCTTCCGTCTCGGTATCCTCGTCGACTTTATCTCTGAACCTGCCATCGCGGGTTACATGACCGGCTCTGCCATCACCATCTCATTAGGGCAATGGCCTAAAGTGTTGGGCCTCAAACAAGTCGACACACATCAATCCCCTTATCTCATTGTCTATGAGCTCTTCAAATACCTTAAAAACACACAGTTGGACGCCGCTTTTGGACTGACCGCGCTCGTGGTGTTATACATGATCAAATGGGGCGGAGCTCGCTTAGCTCAACGACACCCGCCATTCAAGCAAATGCTGTTCTATTTTGGTATCATGCGTAGTGGACTGGTCGTTATTGTCGGTACCCTCATCTCCTTTATCATTCATCATCATCCACGAGGGCAACAACAAGAACAATCGTTGAAGCCGTACATTTCCATCATTCAAACCGTGCCTGCTGGTTTTGACGCCATGGGTGTACCCAGTTTAAACTTGACGGTTTTAAAAGAAGCAAGTGATGTCTTGCCTTCCATCATTTTGATATTGATCTTGGAGCATGTGTCCGTAGCCAAATCTTTTGGTCGTATGAGTAATTATATGATTGATCCAAATCAAGAAATATTAGCGATTGGGATCAGTAACTTGATCGGCTCTTTCTTTGGGTAAGTTTCATCCTACGTAGAGAAGGGGGGTAAAGTAGACAATTAACATGCATTCTTTTGTTTATTTTAAAAAAGTGCGTATCCTGCTACAGGTGCATTTAGTCGCACGGCGGTGATGTCAAGATCAGGTGCCAAAACACCCATGGCGGGTGTCTTTTCAGGAGCTGTGGTGGTACTGGCTCTCTATGCTCTCACGCCTGCGTTCTACTATATTCCGGATGCTTGTTTGGCCGCTGTGGTCATCCATGCAGTGATTGACTTGGTGTCCGGTAGGACCTTTTTGAAAGCTCTTTGGCGATCGAGCATCCTTGAGTTTCTCATCTTTGTCACAGCCGTTGTCATTACTTGCTTTAGAGATGTAGAGACCGCTATCTATGTGTCTGTGGCATTGTCTCTTTTATTGATGTTGCTACGGTTGGCAAGGCCCAAGGTATCCACTTTGGGTCGCGTCAGAGTATTATCGTCCTCCCACAGTAACCATCCTCTCTCTGCTTCTTTATCGCCATCGTATGCGAGTAGGATCACGACCACAACAGCAACCACGACAACAAAGCAGCACGGCCATTCGCTTTCATTCAGCGAGCCCTTCCCATCAGGGCGGCATGAACCCTTTGTTCATCCAGCCGTCAGAAGAGATGATAAAGAGAGTGATGATCATAACAAAGCCACCTTTATCTACGTCGAAGATTCCGATCCACATTTCTTGGCGTATCTCGACCCTTGGCCACCGGGTGTCGTCGTGATTCGTATCCATCATGCGATTCTCTATCCTAATGCCAACTATATCATGGAGCGTATTATGGAAATGATTACCTCGCACACGCGAGCCGGCAATGACGATCGTTCGAAACGACCCAGAGGAGGAGAAGAGGAGAAGACGACGACAAGCAAGAAGCATAAAGAAGATTGGGAAAATGCAAATTGGAATAGCCAACGAAACCTTTCTCCAAAGGAGGCCATCCAACATGCTTCGAAGCCATGTCTTGAAGCCGTTGTGTTTGATTTTGCCGCGGTCGATCGGCTGGACGCAACAGGTGTGCATACACTTTGTGCCATCCGATATGCTCTTGAGCAGTATACGGACAGAAATACGCGAATGGAATGGCATTTTTGTCAACTGGCCAATGCTCACGTGCGGCAACTGTTGATTGATGCTGGTTTTGGCACACTACCGTCGATGGAAGAAGAAGACACGATACAAGACAAGTTGCCAGCAGAGCAGGTGGATCCTAACGACCCCTCTCTTGAGGAGAAGGAGGCTAGCAGCATGAATAGTAGTGACGATGCGTATGTCATTGAATTGGAGGATGGTTATTTACAACAACAAAAACAAAGAAAGAACAAGGATAAGAATAGAAAGCAACTCAACAAGGGTCAAAATAGGTTCAACAAAGCGCGACGACCCGTCGACTACGTTCAAGCCTCTATACAAAGCGTGCGTGACCCCATGGGAATAATGATGATGGACGATTACTATCATCAGCCACCGTTTGACGAGGCAGACGCTCTATCCAGGTGTTCTGCTGTCTCTCATGGTTATCCACTCGCTTCGTTGCCAGTAGATAGTTATCCAGCTTTTCATTGGGATTTAGATTCGGCTATTCAGTCTGTTTGCAAAAGAAGAAAGAAAGCTCAACAAGGAGACGACGACAATAACCCTTCCTCCATCACGGTTAGAGTTGATTAGCTTTTTCTGTCTACCCAGCTTTACCATTTTTTATTTTATCTCTTTCTATTTATGTCAACTATAGTTTACTTATTATATATTGTAATAAAAGCGCTCGTAGAAAAAAAAGAAATTGTACTTTAAAATGACTCCCGCCACTTGTAATTGATGTCCGTACCATTTATCCTATAATAGAAGCAAAACGCTGTGTCTAACGTCACTCTTGCTATTCTACACCATCTTTTTCAAACCTATAATGAGCAGTGTCAGTATATATATTTTTATTTCTGTCATGTTAGCGGGCTTCCTTATGTGAGGTCTGCTTTCCAGTTACTCAAAAGGAGAAAAAAAAATAATTCTTTTCCAGAATGCATGATCCTGATCGTTTAGTTGCATAGAGATATGAGTGAATCATCTGAACATGCCGTTTGCTAAATGATACTGATATTCATTGACATTTGGCATGTGGACATCGATCAGACAGCTGAAAAGAGTCATCCTTATAAGTAACGTTTTTCATCAAACAGCGCAGCCCTTGACCGGTAATGATACAATGCCGAAAAGGAAAATTAAGAAATTATTTTTAATTAACAGATAGAAATAGAGTAGAGGAATGAATCAGAAAATTGGTATAAAACAAGAGTACGGTTAAAAAGAAATAAAATAATATATAATTAAGTTGTGATTAAATGATAATTAAATGGGAGGAGGGTGTTGTAAGCATAACTTTGATGAATAATTTTTCTATTGTTCATTTGAGCATCCAGATAGCAAGACGTTTGCAAAAGATTCGAAGGGGGGGGGTATTCGTTTAAAAAGCTGTCATCTGCTGTTGCCACTTTGTCTTTCAGTCTTCTTGTCAAGCTGTCATAACAACTTTTGATGCTTCATATTCTTCTCCTTCCTCGTCTTGCTCTGTATCAGAATCTCCATTATGATACAAAGTAACTGTGAAAATGACAAGATCAGTCACCACATCTTTCTATGACAAATAAAAGATAGACAACTTACGAGAATCAAACTTTTCAAAGGGATTCGATTTCTCTAGTTTTTGAAGCATCTTTTCGCCATCTGCTTCTAAGTCCAAGCTCATACTTTCCTGCAATTTTCTAAAATTTATAGCATCGATACCATTCGGTTCCTGCACGGCAGGTGTAATGGGCGGTGTCATATTTCTGAGCAAAGCGAAATTGATATGCTTGAAATAAGGATGCTGTTTAACATCGGCCGCGCCTGCACGGGATCCAAGACGGGTGTGTTCATCTTTCTGCAACAATTTACGAATTAAGCTTTTTGTATTACTTGAGATATTTCCTCCATAAGGGGCGGGTTGGTGAGGAAAGTGTATGTCTGTATGAAGGATTTTTGAAAAAGTCTCGTTTCTACCATTGCCTTTGAAAGGAGTTGTGCCAAACTAAGAGAAAAAATCACAAGTCAATACCGCTTCCTCGCTTTTCAAGAAAGAGTGCCCAAGATTCATCTTATTTACCAGCATCTCATAAATAAGAATACCAAGCGTCCACCAATCAACAGCGCTTGTATGACCGCAACCTTTAATTACTTCAGGTGCAATGTATTCTTCAGTACCTACGAAACTATTTGTACGAAGGGCTCCAACACAACTCTTTGTATCGATCCAGGGGGGCTATAAAATAGATTTGATCAAGTAAAAAGATGCCTTTTTAGTATGTCATGACTTTATAAAGACAAAACTAGCGTTTAATGTTTTTCAAGAGTTCAAAGTAGGTTGAATGAAAACTTACGACATTGGGTGATTTGGATTTGACGACGCCAGGCTGACCAGGAGGACTTGAGCCTTTACTCAAATCAAAATCAGTCAACATAATATGTCCACTTTGATGTAATAAGATGTCTAAATGCATACAAACAGACACAGGTTAGATATGCAAATAGGAAAAATTATAGCACCTTCAAATTTGCTTACTCTCTGGCTTCAGGTCACGATAAATATGACCTTGCAAATGAAGATATTCTAGAGCTGCTGTCACTTCCGCCGCATAAAAGCGAGCGCCTTCCTCATCCAGACATTTGCCGACTCTCAATTGCAAAGCTATAAGAGCAAAGGACGATGAGTTCGCAAAGACCCAAGCAAAGAGAGAACGGGTGATGAACAATGTTACCTCTGAAAAACTCTCCTCCCATACAATATTCCATGACAAAGTAAAGATAATCTTGACTTTGGAAACAGTGATATAAAGTAACGATAAAAGGATGATTGGAGGTCATCAATATTTCTTGTTCTGCTAGAGCACGCTTAATTTTGTTTCTCTTGATCATTTCTCTTTTTGACAAGACTAAAAGACGGTCGTTTGCTCGGTCAATCTCTCCGTACAACATGATCTCTCTCTTTCAACTATTTTTTTTTTTTTTTAATGTATTATTGTATGTAAATTACCTTTCATTGCATAGAGTTTATCGGTTCCTTTTTGTCGAACCATATAGACTTTACCAACATCTCCTTTACCCAACATACGTACTTTGACAAAACTTGAAGGACCCACTTGTACATTCTTAATTTTCATACTACTGCTTGAATAGGTTCTTCTACATAATTTCATTCTTTGTAACTGAGAAGAAGAAGATTGAATTTGTTGTAAGTGATGATCAAAATAAAACGATGATGCGCTTGATTGTGGTGATTGGCTAGAGGATATAGGTGATAGGGGACTATGATTCAATGGATGTTGTTGATGAAATTTGAGTAAGGTATTAGGTGAAGAGGGTACTGAAGAAACAGCAAAAATAGAATTTCTGTTATTAGCAGAGGTAGGCGGTAAAGGTAGGTGATTCGCATTGGGCGCAGATGCTACTCTTCGAATATTCCCTTTCCCATTTCCCCCATTCGAACTATTCGATCGGCCAAAGGCTGTTGTGTAAAACCAGGAATTTGATTTTGGTGATAAAGAAGAAGGCTTCTTTTTTGGGTGTTGCTCGTGGTGCTGATAGTGATGGTTTTGTTGTTGTTCTTCTAGAGAATTAGATACATTAAAGTTATCAGGTACAGTAAATGTCGGTGGTGTTGTAAAAGAATCATTAATGGATGCTAGTGATGGTGAAGAAATAGTGGCAGTAGTTGTATTGGTACTGTCATTGAAATAAGTGCTATTTGCGGCAGCCGTCGTCGGTTGACTGATATTGTAATAATGACAATTAGATGAGAAATGAGTAGGTAATGGTGCTGCTATTGAATCTTCAGTATCTGTTGTGTAGACTAAAGACATGATGTGTAGAGGTATAGCACTTTATATTGAACGGAATATGCAAAACTAGTCAAAAAACAACAAAAAAATAAAAACGAAAACAAGACGGAAAATAGGTCTTTTGTTGCTACCAAATTCAATCGGTACAAAAATTCAAATTTATTGGCTGCTGGCCTTCGTCTTTTTTCACACTCAGCCTAAAATTGAATGTTGATTGGGCTGACAAAGTTTATGTTCTGCAACAAATACCCGTCTGAATCAATGGGTATCGGGGAAGAGATTGACAGACTAAAAGTTACCAGAAAAAGGTACGAAACCGAACCACAAGGAAGCTGAGCATAAGCAGTACAACATAACCAGTAGTCTAGATTTCACTGACTTGATTCGACCTCATTCACTTTAGTAAGATAAGTGATAGCTTCACTCAATTAAGGGAACAGAGAAAAGCCGCTGATATTTCCTTGGAGGGGCCCGAGATAAGACAAGAAAAAATTACAAATATAACTGAAAAAAACATATAGACTTTGAAATATTCGTTTTATACTTTTGGGTTATGCTTTTTCATTGTCAATAATGAATTGTTTGTTTAGGATCACTAATTTTTTTTTTTTTTCCTACCTTGTGTTTTGTATACCCAAAGGCAAGTGTTTTTGATAAAGTGTTTCATGGGCCCACTATATAATAGAACAGTCCCAGTAAGTATCACCGTTACCAAGATAAATGCGAATGACGATACACTACAAAGAATCCTTCCCTACGATTTATACCATGTCATGAAAGTGCACCGCTATGCTTTACGAATGACAATTTGATTGTACATAGCGAGTCGTCCAAGTGTTAACTATACAAAGCTGCGACAGTGCATTTTCCTCCGCATCGACAGCCGAATGTTCATAACGTTCCGAAAATTGTACTTTGTTCAATTTAAGAAGAAGGAGAAGAACTGAATCACGTTCAAATCGAATAATTACAGTATGTATGATCTTGTTAAAGAAGCGTTGGTACTTCGTCTTACGTTTCAAGCTTTGCATTTCTATAAGCACTACCTATGCTCCTGTTTACGATAATCAGCTATATCGAGCTGGTTTGACAAACATTTGGCTGTCAGGACGCTACTCGGTATATCAGAATGTTGATCTATTGGAATATCATAAAAGTGCATGATGACAGTTTGACTAGCAAAAAAGGAAGAAGCACTATCAATACTGTACAATGTACGTTCATTTTCCATAAAGATTGTTTATTTGGTTTTCGAAAGGAAAGTGAAATTTAGCCCTGATATAGTGGTATGATTATCCAGCAAGACACTTTGTGTACTCATTTTGTTTTGGCCTTGCCGGATTTTAGTAAGCGTTCTATAGATAGTATGTTGGATTCTCTGATTTGAATTGTTGGCCAGACCCGTCGATTGCCTTGTGTCCAGGCATAAATCGCCTGGAATCTTTCTTCAAGCCTTATGTTTGCCCTCCATCTTTATATTTGCTCGAGGTATACCTAGCCGCCTTTTTAATAAATCGTTGATTAACAGAGGAACAGAAAGCATCATGTTCGAAGTACAACGTCTTGAAGAGTCTCTTGGACGGAGGCTCCAGTTGTTGATGCATTGTGGTCTGCCTCAACTCGAACTATCAAAAGATGAGTTTCCCCTAAATACTCAGTTACAGTTCGTGAAGGTGGATATGTAATAAAATACTACCGCTCTATCACCTTTACATCTCCCAACCAACTTGAATCAGAATTCCACGACCATCGAGCAGCTTTTTGGCGAAACAATAAGAGACTGCAGAGACATTATCAGCATTCACTCTAAGTGGTGGGAAGAATGAAAAAAAAAAAAAAAAAAAAAACGTTCTACAGATGAATTAAAAGGACGGAAAGAACATCATCAAAAGATGTAAGGTAAGTGTGCCCGTTCACTGGAAACTCGGATTGGGGAAGAATTGATCTGAAATCAAATTAATTCACTAGGTGCATATTTCAAAGGACAGTTGATTAAATATTTCTTCCCAACAAGAAGAAAATGCTACAAAAGAAACGTATGGTGGTGATAGATTAGTAGCTTTCCACTTAGGCCTACGCGGGGAGCGGTTGATAAAGGGTGTAATTAGGTCAGCTATCATGTACTTCTTTAGTCCCCTCCTCTATCGTTGAAACAATTTTTTAAGCATCTAAGTAGCGTGCGATCACACTCTGAAACAGAGTAACATGATAGAAATGGAACAGAAACATTCTGTATTGCACACAGACAGGACAACCGTTTGTGCGATAAGTAGTAACGCAATGGGCAACGTCCCACATGAATGAAAGCCTTCTGTTAACAACAGCAGCATAAAGCTACTATTCGATATCATACTCTGTCCATAAATATGGAACATAGGGAATTGGACTGAAGAAGTACCTCCATCATCAGCGTAACGTTCATTACAAATACGTATGCCACCCAATGGCACCCTTTCTTCATTTTTCCAACATGAACTTTATGCAGTTGGAAAATTTGGAATGGCCAGTTGCTCCTATGACATGTGACTTTTTTCTGTCGTACAAGGATGCCTATTTACTCTTTGCCATTGGGCTTAAAGGTTATACGTGGTAGCAACGCACTATCTAGCAGTTATTGTCATTCTAGAACATATCCTTATTGTCGTCGTCGGTGCTAAACGACTGTTATGGTACTTCCGCACTCTTTTCCCCTAGGAGCCAAATCCTTATGGCAGTGTGAGCTCTATTTGCATGCATGGTCACAACGTTGCTCCTCCACTTGAAACAGGCCATCGCGTTATACGATCCTTAAAATTCACGCTATGCATAGAATGTGAAAAAGCATTTAGGCTCAAAAAAATAAAAACTTACTGATGGTGAAAGACCTTCGGTAAAAAAGCCGGGTCACTTTCCGGGCGACTACATACTCCGGTAACAAGTGCTGTAATATATATTTCCTTTTTCACACTAACTTCTCCCTTCGCTATCTCCTTTCACGATGAACGACGATTCCGCTGATTACAACGTTGCCGATTATAAAGATCTCACAGAGAACTGGCATTGTGATCCTACTGCTTATTTACATCGCTATTACTCATTGTACTTTAAGAAAGCAAACGCTTCTTCTGATGCAGTCAATGTCTATGTTCGTCAAGCACCCAGTAAAGTTTGCGTGTTAGGCATGTCTGAACCACCTGAAGGCATTCGTGCATTGAAGTTGCATACTGAATTGATCGGTGAAAAAGTAAAGCCAGACACAATTTTGTGCGATTTAATGGACAAAGATGGAAAGCTGATCGGTCATGTGAGAGCAGAGATGGAAGGCAAATTGTTAGAGTTGAATACAAGATTGACGCTGACAGAAGAACAGCAAGAAGAAGACATGATAGATTCATTGTTATATAAAGAAAAACATCATATGGTTATTGGGTTTATTGGCATTATTTTGCCTCGATTTGAAGATACAGCAAAACAACTGAGAGAGTTTGTAGAAGAAACCAAAAATAATTGAATGATCCAAGTCCAAATAAGGATGTGATCACTGTAAACAAAATATCCTTCTATACAAGATACCAGCAGCACCTTTTATTACTTTCTATTCCGAGTAACCATAGTCGTAGTCATCGTCGTAGTAGCAGTAGTACAATGTAACCATGACCCTCTTTTCCAGTTCTTTTGGACATGACAATGAAGACCTTTTGCTCTGTTGTGCTTTGTCTTGTTTTTGTTTTTTTTCTTGTTTTAATTTTTGTAATGTAGACATTCTAGAGTACTATTTGCCCTCTTTTTTTGAATTTACCTATTTTTTCTCCTTCACTTTGTCTAAATTTAAAAGATTAATAAAAAGGGCCATGGGTCAAGCAAGCTCTTCACCAAGTTCGCTTTCCTTTTTTCGGAAAGATTCCATCACGAACGAATATGAAGACATTTCCAACAAGTTTACGAAAGCCACCATCTCCACGCTGGCCATGCCTGTCATCATTGTTGCTTATCCTGTGCTGAATGCATATACATTTCAAGATTCTGATATTACAGGCTATAGAATAGTAGATGGAGCCATTGGAGGTTTATTAGGAGTGATTGGATGTAAAGACACAGCGTTCCGTTCTATTGTCACAGATAGAAAGAGAGAGAGAGAGAGCGAAACAAAGAAACTAAAACTATCATTTCTTTTTTTCCATTTCCAAAATGAAAGGGCCCTTGGCTCCTTTTATGGCGATATGGGGTGCCATCCAGTTGAACTTTAAAGAAAAACCAAGGACACCCTTACCGATACCTCAAGACATTTTAACCAAGGCAGAACAGGAGATTCATTTGAACACTACAGCATTTTATAATATAGCTATTGTGGGTTGTTCAGGAACAGGAAAGGTAAGAAAAGGCTGAGGATTTTTTTTGTTACTACTGTCTATCTTATCGACACTCCAATTCCGTCAAAATAAGAGCTCGATTGTGAACGCCATCCGAGGTTATAATGACGTGCATCGAAAATCAGCGCGCGTAGGAGAAATTGAAACAACGGAAAAACCGACACCTTTCCAACATCCAGACTTGGCTTCAATGATTATATGGGATATGCCAGGTGTAGGGACAAAGAGTCATCCTCGCGAAACTTATTTTGAAGACAATTATTTGTGTGCATTTGATTTATTAGTGATTGTTTTAGGCAATAGGTAAAGAGAACTTTGGGATATAAGGGCGGGGGTTCGTTTGAAACCTACTAAGAACAGTATCGTTTTACCTTCTTTTGGGTTACACATTCAGATTAATGCAAGATGATATTGATATTGCCTTAAAAGCAAAACAGCTTCGGATTCCTATTCTGTTTGTCCGTAGTAAAGCAGATCAAGTAAGTAATCCAACCACAAATGGATCATGAAGAAGGTGGGTTGATGTTTACAGTGTGATAGGCTATTGCGAGTAAAATCAAACGACACCAAGGTGAGAATGAATATGAATGGGCGACAGCAGTAGGCGAGCTTGTTCTAGAAGTAAGTTGATTCTTTATCGCCGAGGTTCCATTGCCGATGGTAGGGTTAGAAAAATCGAAAATTCTAATCAAATCTTTTCTCTGATTTTTCCGTGTGTACCTTTACACTTTCTTTTTTCAAGAAAGGTTCGCGATTCCATCTTTCGTCAGCTACGTCAACATAGTTTGAACACCAAGAAGCTATTTATAGTATCAGCAGAGACGTTAAGAATGTTCGTCGCGACGATCAGTAAACAGGAAGAACGGAAAACAATCAAATCGATTGACGAAGAAAGGTTCATGACAGCCTTGATAGAAGGCGTAGTGAGTAAAAGAAGATATTACGAGCATCTGGCCAAAAAACGAAACAAAAAAAACTGTCCTGCACATTAGCGAGACATCGGAGGATGCACAGCTTAGAATATGTATCATCTTTTTATCAATGAAAGTTTTCTTGTGCTTTTCACATTTTTTTTTTTTTTAAATATAAATGGTGTTTCAATGATTCGAATAAATAATGAATTAGAAACGCACAAATTCACGCTCTTTCTTGATCTCTTAACTGAGAGGATAAAATGGTTATGGTGCGTTCATGACGTTTTCAGCAAACAATTTGTTATATTTCGTTTAACATGGCGTAACTACGATGTCAATTTTACTCTGTCTCCGTTCTTTCATTGGGCAAGATTTGCATAAATGTCTTTTAACTCAGCGCTGTTTCTTGATGAACAGTATTAAAAATTCATCTTTTGTTACATCATGTTCATGTCATAACGTCTCCAAAATTCACATTACAAGTGTTTCTTATGAGAACGTTTGTCGGTGATAAACATGTTGAAAACTGGGAAAAAAAAAGTATATATAAAGGTTCCTTCATCTCATTATCGATTTTTCTTTTTAATTTTCTTTCATCTCGTAAAAAAAATAAATAAACAATAGTCAATATGAATCCCTCTAGAACTGATGCCAAGAAGGACCAATTCGTTGGTAACGTCAAGGATACCGTTGGTGGTGCCGTCGGTAACGAAAGTATGCAATCCAAGGGCCAAGCTCAAAACGCAGCTGGACATGGTCAAGAAACCGCTGCCAACGTCACTGATTATGTGAAGGGTGCCGCTGATCAAGTTGCTGGTGCTGTTAAGGGTGCTTACAACTCTTTAACTGGTAACACTGGTTCTGAAACTGCCAACAAGGCTCAACAACACACTGGTGAAGCTCGTAAGAACTGGGCTTCCTCTTAAATGAAAAACCTCGTTTTGTCAACAACATTACACTTTTTTTTTTTTCTTACAATACGACGATATTCATTTGTAAATAACTTTATTATTTGTTTACCCTATCACTTTCCTTACTTGTCTATGTACAATAGTTCTATTTTCTTTAATAAATCAGAAAAATAGCTTTTTATAGCCTACATCGTTTTCATAATGTTTGATGTAAGTTCTTTTTGAGCTATCTGAGAGCTATATCGATATATTGACTAGGACAATTTCAATTGCACTGCCCATATCAGCTGTCCATCATTACATCACTGAAAAGAAAGTCCTTAAAGGCAAGTCGAGTGCTACGACGATCACGTTTGAGGCATTTTGCTGCATTATGCAGTCATCATTGGTTTATCAGCTTTGCTATGATTATGTAAGTAGATTGCTCATTTTGCTTCGTAGGCAAGGCAGGTCAAGTCATTTATAAACAAAAAAATGAAATAGGAGGGCTTATTCTATAGTCAACCTTCTCCCCACCCCCCCCCCACCACCCCTCCTCCGTTAAAATTACTTGCATCAAGAGGAGACAAGAATTTTTTAATGTCCATCCATTCACTGTAGCCAAAATACAGAATTTTTTCTCTCGGGGAACATGAGATGATGTATGTACTACTGACTCCACCCCTCCGTAATACAACAAATGTGTGTCGCTGCAAGCTTTTTTTTTTTTTGTGGTTTCTCATAATATCACTTTCTTATCAAATTTGACACGTTTATCTTGAACCATCGATAATGTCAATCGCTGTAGTATGTCATCTCGTCTTTTCTTTAGCATCCCATCATTTGTCTTTTAGGCAAATATAATGCTTATTTGCCAAAGACATTAAATGTATTATTCTACCATATGATGGGTTTGAGTTCATTCAACATGGACAAGACGACGATAGTGGATTGAATTATCAAAAAGAAAATGTGGAGATGGGGTATTAAAGTTTAGACGTTATTTGTTAATAAAAGATTAGAAAATAAATGTGGTACAGTATATCATTACCAGAAATGTAATCTCCTGATGGAGTTTACAAAAAAGTTAGCTTCACGCCCTTTTGTCGACTGTCTTTTGGATGTGAAGGATACGACATCAGCCCAAATGTAAAAGAGGTTGGTTGGATTAAAGAAGATGATTGTTTACATTGTTGATACAGTTGTCTCTATTTTTTTGAATCGACAGTCCAAAAAGTAATAAGGGCCCAAAAGGAATACAAGTTATGTAGGGAGAGGGGGGCCTTCTTCATCATGACATAGTTAGATAAGCCCAATCAAAGACGAGGAATTTTTAATTTTTTTATTAGGATAGTGAGAGGATGCTTGAGCGGATTTCGCCTATGGGCATAAACCACTCAACTTGGATGCATAGCTTACATAAAGAATTGAACGGGTGTGTGTTTGGGCAACTCGGCAAAAAAAAAAAAAAAAAACTTTTTAAGCTTGTAACCACGGGCACAGCAGCAAAGTAACTCACCACGACACACAAACGAACTAAATGTAATTCATGTAAATATATATATCTCTCTCCCGTTCATTATGATATTTAAAAAGGTCCTTTCCATTTTTGCGTTTCTTTTCTCTTTACCTTATTTTCTTTTTTTCTTTCTTCTTCCCTGGATTTGCTATCACTCGTACATATTATATATATATAAATCATAGAAATAGACTTGTAATAAAAAATTGTATAAAAAACATCAAGAAAAAATGATCTACACAGCTTCCAACACAACCAGCACTTTTCATTCATTCGACGCCTTTTCATCATCCATATCATCTTCGATCAAATGGAAACGTAGACTTTCCAAAATTTCTACCATCATTCATCGTCCTCAACTTCAACCCCACCGATGGGACCCTTATCAATATCCTGCATCCGCCACTGTCATGGCTGCTGCCACCGAGAAATTTGCGACTCGTCATCACCCTAGTTATGCTGACCAGTATTCTAGCCATAGTGCTGCTGCTGCTGCTGCTGCTGCTGCTGCTGCTGCCAATATCGAAATCCATTCGGAGGATTTGACGGCTAGTCAATTCGCATTCATGGCAGGCATAAAGACACATAAAAGACAGGATTATCATCATGCACTGTCGAATACAACGCTGACATCAGAGGAGATATATACGGATGACTCTGATGAGGACGAAGAAGACGAAGAAGAACGTCTTAAGAAGCATCAACTCATCGGTAGGGTAGAACACTTTCATACGACCACGGGCAACATGGCCACTTGTGCTTCATCCCAAAAAAGTGCACCTGTCCTACCCAACTCTGTGATGAGAATCTGGGATTCCCATTTTTGGCAGCAGCCAGAAAATCATCCTCATCAGCAGAAGGAGGAGCAAACAACAACAACGACGACGACACATAAGAACGAACGTAGTGTTGTCCCTCGTCCAGTAAACAACGATGCCTGCTTTACGGCTTCTCTTACCAACAGCATGCTTCCTTCTTCCTGTGATATACCCTCTTCATCTTCTTCATTCTCATCCGCCTCGTTGAACAGCGTAGTACAAACGCAACCTTTAACTCGAAATCAGTCAGCGCCCTGCAGTACGGCTGCTCACCAGCCTCCTCGTGGATATAGTAGGATACAGAAAGGAAGATTCCAGATTATTTGGGGTCAAGAGGCTGAATTAGAAGAGCAGCAGCCACCCTTGTCGTCCTCTATCACCGCTCCTTTACCATGCACATCATCGACATCATGCCAAAGTAGCAATACAAGGACGAAAAACTGCGTCGAATGGAAGCGTAAAAGAGCCAGCAGTCATGGCCATACTACGACGACGACAACGACGGTGATGACACCTTTGTCATAGAAAAATAACATATCATTCCCCCTTTCATAGCATTTTCACTCAAGTCCATCATTTCGATAAACCCTTTCGCCATTTCTAAGAAAAATGTGCATTTCGTATATAATTCCTACCTCTCATTTTTTATGATTTCTAAATACTCTATGTATATACTATGCTGCTTATGCCCTGTTTCCCGCTAGCCTAACTGCCGTCTTTTTTTTTTTTTTTTCAAAAAAAAACTTTATGATGTCTATAAAATCTTACGTATATATTATTGCTTTGTTATCTCTTTTTCCACTCTTTGACTCACGCGCACCCTCTACTCTCTTTTTTTTTTTTTTTTTTTTTTCTAATAAATGACATTTTTCTGGTTGCTATATTAAAAATGCTTTCATTGACATGGCTAAAGTGAGATTAAAAGCTTTTTTATTATGTTGGTTATAATTTTCTCTTCTAGGGGCATCAAGTTGGCCTTTGTTTCTTACGACTGCGACTGACGTGGTTGTTGTTGTTGTTGTTGTTGTTGTTGTTGTTGTTGTTGACGACTGGATTTAAAGGTGACGATTAAACCCGACATGGAAGAACTGGAAGAATCGTTTCTAACGATCGAAAAGGGTCTTGAAGGTAGGCTATCATTTGGATGTGTTGTTGTCGTTGTTGTTGTAGGTGAGGTGTGGGTGGATAATGAAAAGGACGATGGGGAGGAGGGTGATAATGTGGAGGGTATGTTTTGAGAAAGAGTATCTTTGGATGCTTTGTCTGTGCACTCGTCATCATCGGACTGGGCAATAGGTATCAAATGAGTAGTAGCAGCAGGGTGATGCTGATGTTTCGAGGAAGATGAAAGACGAGAACAAGAGGAAGCAGAAGAAGAGGCGACGGAGGAAGTGGTTGGAATGGCGGATAAAGAGGACATGGTGGTGGAAGAAGGTTGTTTGGCATGGCGTGGATCATCCTCTTGTTTCGCTGAATGTCGTGAACTACCATTGCTCTTTGTACTACTGCTGCAACCCACACCATCGCCATGGCGACTGTGGCCGCTCACAGAGACACCTCTCTTTTTTGGGTGTGTACTGTTCGACGAGGAGGAGGAAGAAGAAGCACCGAATAAAGAAACAGAAAGCCGACGAAAGGAATGGCGGATGCGATCCATCAGTGTCGTCACCGCCCTCGAGACATCTTCTTCCGATACTTCGACTGCCTGGTAATGTGTGGGATCCGCTCTGATAAACCAAGCCGTCAAGGCTTCTTCATCCTGCTGAAGGTCTTCCAGCACCCAGGGATGATGCTTGACCTCTTCCAAAGTCATGCGGTCCTTGGAGGATTTGGCTAATAATCCATGGAGCAAGTGCTGTAACGTGTCGGGTGTGTCAAAACCGACTTGCTCTTTTGTCGGAAACGTGAGCGGTTGAGTAGGGATGATGTCAAAGAGTTCAAACTCTGTCGCCGCCGTGAAGGGACATCGACCATAAATGAGACAATACAGCGTCACGCCCAGAGCCCATACATCAATCGCTTTCGTGATATGTTCCTCTCGTTGCTGTTGGTGTTGCTGTTCTAAAGAGCTACATAACTCGGGGGCGAAAAACGCAGGTGTACCTGCTGTTTCAGCTAATTCTCGATCCATTTCATCTGCCCTCGTGTGTTGTTGTTCGGAGGAAGCAGCTGTTGCTGCCAAGTGAGGATTGAAATAAGAGACACCGAAATCGGATATCTTGACTTGTTGCTTTTCTTTGGTGGCATACAACAAATTGGCAGGCTTTATATCGCGATGAATAATGCCTTGGTAATGAAGGTAATCTAATCCACAGACGACGTCTCGAAAGATATGCCTTGCTTCCTCCATGGTCAATACCGGCCAATAGCGAATGCTCTCCAGTGCGTCTTCCGCTTCTTCCTCTTCGTCCTCATGGTTATACAGTAGCAAGTCGCCATACATGTCATAGTGTTGCTGCTGCTGCTTGCAGGGTTTGGAGGCTGATGTTTGCTTTGGACGTTTCTGCTGTGAATTTTGGGAAGCCGCTGCTTCTTTACGCCATATAATCTCTCCCCCTTCCATGTATTCCAGTGCCAAGTAAATTTTTCGACTCTTTGGGTCATCAATGACTTCTTTTAAACGAACCACGTTGGGATGAGCACATTTTCTTAGAATGGCCATTTCTTTTCTAATCTTTTGTTCACTTTCATTATGAAAACGAAGTAGATTGTCTTGCAGCTCTTTTTTACTGCTGTGTTTGGTATTGTTGCGTCGAAGAAGGGATCGCTTTTTCTTTTTCATCGTCGTCGTGGTATTCGGGGAGGTGGATGCGGAAGTAGGTAGAGGGTCATGCTGTTGCTGTTGTTGTTGTTGTTGTTGTTGTTGTCTCAACATATTATACCCCAAATGCTTTCTTCTTGCTTGTTTATCTACAATTTTAATAGCCTATAGAAGAAATTAGGAGAGGGCAGAGTGAAGAGGGGGGGTGGTTGATACAAGGCCCAAACTTACCACTAATTCCCCTGTATCTAAATCCTCAGCAAGTTTTACTTTTCCATGCATGCCTCGTCCAATCTCTTTGATCATCATAAAGTTATTAATAATTTTATTGCCTGTCTCTGCGTCATATTCTTTGTTGATAGTATTGGTGGTAAGGACAGGTGAATAATTGACACTGATGACGGGGCTATGACTATGGGTCGTTGTACTCGTTGTAGTGCTGATATGACTGTCTGTCATGCATTTCAGTTCATTGTGAGCGGTGGGGAGGCTGGATGTAGTGGTGGAGGATGCGGTGGATGTCGATGACTGCAAAGATGACGATGAGGATTTGAAAAAAGAAAGTCGTCGAATGGAGCGTTTTTTAAACAAAGAAGTAGTAGAACTGTGGCTACCTTCTTGTTGTTGTTGTTCTGGTTTAGGTGAAGGTGGTGCTGTCCATGGTGGAGATAAAAGTCTTTCTAAAGGATGGGTTGCTCCTTCCATTTCTTTAAATAAAAAGAGTGGCTATTTTATGGGTATCGTCTCTCCCTTGTGATAAATAAGACAAAGGAATATCTCTGTGTTTCTTTTTTTTTTTTTTTTCCTTTAAAAGGACCCAAAAGTTTACATAAGTCACAAAAACGGGTTTGTAATTGAACCCATCTTTTTTTTTTTTTATCAGGTCCTTGACTTTAAGGGGATCCCCACCTACGAGTCAGGATAGGCAAACAAAGACAAAAGGTATGCAGTTCATGAGATATTGATCGTATTCGCTGTTATTACGATTTGCTGTGTCCTGAGGAAAAAAAAAAAAAAAAAAAAAAAAAAAAAAAAAAAAAGTAAACAAAAAAAACACTCGTTTTATGCATGCGAGAAGATTCGTGTAACCATTCCGCTTTTGTGCAACCATTCCAGTTCAGTGAGCGACCTTACAGCCTACTGACTTTCAATGGATGACCTAAGTTTTTTATTTATTTTTTTCAAATTTGCTTGATAAATTGAAAAAACTATTAATGGAAATTTGGATTCATATTAAATCAATTCTATCGACTCATCTAGGGTGACTATGTGTATTATTTTACGCTCAAGCCGAATATAACTGCGCGAAAATGCATATATTAAAAAGAAAATGGATACATAAAGTAAATAACGTTTCCAAAATGAGCTCATCCTTTTTATCACCCTATTAACAAACGGCCATTTTCATACGATAAAAACACAAAGTAATCGATTGGGAATTGTTTCTTTAATTGTAATAAAATGGGTGATAAAAGAATCTTTTATTGTTTGACAAAAATAGAAATAAACAACAATAACAGCAATGAAAACGACGTAACTATGTTACAACAGTTTCTATGGAAACAATTCATGCTGAATGTGTTGTCTATTGGAATTTCTATAAGAAAGTAAGGAACCAGGCACCTTTCATCCTACGAACGTTAAAAAGAGGGGGGTTTGAAAAGAAAATAAGCATTTTCTGCCCCACACTATGATTCGTTGAGTTGCACTTGGTTTTGGCAGTCTAATGATTGGATTGGCTGGTGGATGGCCCCTATTTTTTTTCTAACTGGAAGCGGTGTTTCGAAATTTTTTTTAAAAAAAAAAAACCGAATATAAAAAGTAAAATTAACCCGACTAAATAACCTTAACAGCCAAAAGCCTACATCAAGCAGACTTCTTTATTGTAATTGTTATTATTATTATTGTTTTATAATTTATCTATCTATTTCTTGACATTTTCTCTCTCTTTTTTTCTCTCTCTCTCTTTCTTTTTTTATTGTTTTTTACTTTTTTTTTTTCTTTCCATTTCAATTGCTATTATCACCGCCCTCTTTCTTTGGTTATCCTACAAGATCTCATGAGGCTGATAACAGTATTCTATTTTTCCATCGGTCTATTATCAACCGTTGTTTACGGATCAACATTTGTCACTGTAAGTAGGGGCCAAGAGGCGCTCAGCCATAAGAAACGTTCTTTTCCTTGTGGTACTCAATCTCTCCTTGTAGATATCCAACGAGACATTTGAAGACAGAAGCGCTGCGTTTGGACCCAAAATATCACAAAACGGTCGCCTTGGTTATTTAATTGAGCCTGAACAAGATCCAACCGGATGCAGCGTAGTGGATCCACCTAGTCTAAGACAACCTAACAACAGTGACGATCCTCAACCACAAAAGGATTGGATTGCACTCGTTAGAAGAGGTGGATGTTCTTTTATTACCAAAGTGAGGTATATGCAGAAAAGTGGGGCCATTGCTGTGATTGTGGGCGATCCAAAGAATGCAGGATGGGTGACCATGTATGCACCAGGTAAAGACCCAGTATGGGAACAACGCATCAGATAACAGTGGGCAACCTAAGCTAACATGGCCAGTGATAGGAGATACTTCTGATATTACGATTCCCAGTGTTTTCATATCCAGGAATGAGTATATCCGTTTATTGAATCTATCGAAACTATTGAAAACAACACCTGTCATGGCTGTTTTGCAATACGAAGAAGTGATGACTTGGTAAAGTAGTAGAACCCTATCGACTCGCTTGTGCTCCCCCCCCATCCCTCCCCCCTTTTTTAAGGGGAGGAGAGAGAGACAAGCAGCTGGGATGGGTCATGCTGAAAATATGGATGTGCGTTTTTTTTTTGCTGATCTGTGAATTTTTTTTGGACTTTAGGCCTTTTGTAGACATTTTCATCATCATCTTTATATCTCCTTGTATCATGATGGCCATCTTTTGCATCTCCTGGAAAATCAAGCAGAAAATTCAGCAGAGAAGAGAATTGGCACCTCTCTCCGTCGTGTCCAAGCTAGATGTCAGGATTATTGACGAAAAATTTTTAGCCAAATACCACCAGCATGAGAACGAGGATACAAGACCGTCCTCAGCGCAGGAATTGTCGACGAATGATAGTTGTTGTGCTATTTGTTTAGAGGAATACGCACTAGGAGATGCGATTCGTATCTTGCCTTGTCATCATCAGTTTCATACATGTTGTGTAGATGCTTGGTTGACAACACGAAAGAAACTATGCCCTATTTGTAAACGAGACATTACGGCTTCCAACCATCATGAAGTGACGCCTTTATTAAATATTGTTTGAGACGAAATACACATTTTGCCCATCTGTAAATACTCCCCCCCCCTCACTCCTTCCGTGTTTATCACCAAACAAAAACAAAAACAAAAACAAAAACAAAAAGGACGTCGACCCCAATCACCCTACCAAATATACCATTTTTTTTCTCCACTTTTAGTCATTATTATTCATCCATTATCTTATTATTCTATTCTGTTATCTCAAATTACAGTTTGACATTGTATTAATTTCCCTTCCTTAATCTACTCAACTTCTGCTACTGATCTGAAACAATATTATAAAATAAAATAAAAAGACACTCCTCGAAAAAACTCAGAATGGAAAGCCAAAAAAAAAAAAAAAAAAAAAAAAAAAAGGAGAAGCTATCCTACTATCGATTCAATAGTTTAACCTCGTATTATTCCCTTTCTATGTTTTCTTATTCTTGCCTTCCTTTCATCAACGAGTAGGATGAATAAAACGCGCTTCTTTCTAGTGAATGTTTGCTGGATTTGGTGACATGAAAATTCTTTAAGTTCGCGCGTCGTTGGCTTTTTGTCATAGGGAAATCAATGTGTTTGTAACACGGATTTTCGGCTTCTCCCCGCCTCTTCCCCTTTATTTTTTGTTTGTACAACCAGTCTTTGAAGGACAAACTCAGCACTTTTCCGCGTCAAAGCCAACTTGAGTAACAGAAAGCAAGCCTACTGTATGTGTGTGAGAGAGAGAGAGCTATTCAATCCTCATTATGAAAATTAAATTTGAATGGGTATAGAGCAGCGATCTACTTGTTTCATCCCATCTGGCTGATCTCAGTCATTCTGAAGGCTTTCATGCCTTTCTATTATAAAGTGAGGCGAATTTGAAAAAGTGATGGTGCCAACTATTGCCGTATACGTAGTCTATAGACCTAGCCAGGTCCATAGTACCCACTGTTTGCGTTACGCATAGCTCTATCTAGTTGACTGTTTTTGCAATCACGGTCTCCTCCTCCAACACATTCAAGAAAGCTGAAACTGGAACACAATCTCGTAAAAGCATGAAAAAGGGGGCGAGCCATGACGCACCCGAGTCGCGTTACATATCAACGACAAACATGGAGATGATTATCCTTTGGGTGGGTTGTATCTGCATTTCACCCCACCCCATCGTTTACTGCATGTCTATCGATTCGTAAACTGAAAGCAAAACAAACAGATGAAATGTTCAAAAGGGGCTATTTGTAGATGTGGTTGTATGAAAACGTCTTTTACAGCAGCGGTTGCAAATCCAGCCAGCATAGCACGACTTCATGGGTGATGTCTTGATAATAAGGTTCTAAAATACTGTCATTGACTATCGAAAGGTACGCGCAGACAACACAATAGACTTTCGTTGCCTATCCAAACCTCCTACTGACACCGGACGGACTCACTCTAAACTTTCGCGGTGTTCTTTCTTTTGGAACAGCTTTAGTGATGAAAGTGAGTGGTCATGAGAATGCTCTCACACTAGTACTTTTTTACGGATAAAACTTTTTGATATTCCATCATTTGAAAGACCTTGGGCGACTAATCCCATAGTTTACTTTTTTACAGCAAAGAAAAACAAAAAAGCCAAACACAAGCCAACCACATGAATTCATCATAACAGTATTACTTTATTTTCATTCAACGAGATAAATATCGATAGAACCATCCAATAGACCATGGGTATACATAAATAAAATGAAAGGAAACCAAAAGGAATCTAATAGAACAAAAAGAAAAAACGGTATAAATACGTGACCCTTCACAAGGCATAAAATGCTTTCTATTCCTTCTCATGTCAGTACTGCTTAAGTTTCTTTATCTGCATTTGAGCTGATTACCCCGTAAAGGATAACCAAGCTCAAGATAAGCGTGGTGGTGCATGATAATTATTGAAACCTTTGTATCATCATTGGAAATAGAGGAGGAAACATGAAAAGCACTGATATTCTACAATCTACTTACCAAAATAGATAACTTTTGAGCAACCAAAGAAGCTAAGCCTCAGTAGATTACTTTTTTCCCAAAATAGATAGCATAGCCAGACTATTCGGCGAAAAAGCCTAGAGAGTAAAAGAGGTTGAATTAGCAAACATTCGTATGAATGAATACAAAAGTATTGCATGTATCCAAAGTGTATATTATAATGATTCAGTTTTTATATATAAGTTTTCTCCTTCATTCTATTTCAGAGAGATTCCCATTTGACTTATAATAATCATCACTTCATCATTGATACACTTTTCATCATACATCATCACGTAGGATAAGATACTTACATTCTAAGCTTGGCTTCTTCCAGCAGCAAGAGGGGTATATGTGTTTAATGGAAAAAAGTCTAAAGAAAAAGAAAAGTGAAAGCCTTTAAAAAAAGCGCGATTCTATAAAAGCTTTTTTTTTTTAAAATTTTTTTTTTTGACAGGCTTATCAAAAGCCATTGGCTAATCTGGACTGCTATCAAGAAAAATTTTGGGCACGGTTGAATCTGAATCCTTGTTCCATGGGGGCAAGCCCACGAATACAAAAAAGATAAAAAGCCAATGAAAGGCCTATCCCACATAAAATCAATGTTCTGTCAACCATAGTGAAAGTGAGATGCTTGACTGTAAAAGCTATCTTGGTTTGACTCAAGTTAGGGTGACTCATGACTGTCAATAGACGCATTGATTAGCTCTTCTTCTATGATATAATCCCCCACCCCCACCTAACCCTGCAAGAACTTGGTGGATAGATGCTTTATTCATCAAAACGTAAAAAGCTTTTTCAGATGATTCTTTTAAGTACGTTCTATCACACTGTGCCCGAATAGCCCATCTTGCTTTGTCCTGACCCTGTTTTTATTTTCTTTTTTCTTTTGGCTGACTATTTGGCGTCAACGAACTGTGGTGAAAAAGAAAAATCACATGATGTGGCCGTTTGATGAAAAATACACTTCTATGACTTGCCTTTGCTCAGTTGCACCTCATCAACATGTTTGGTATTGCTCCACTTTCTTCGCTTGTCTCTTCCTTTGAGGTGATGTGCATTTATAAATGATCACACAAGAAGCATTGATTTGCAAAGTTTATTTCCATATCTTGGGTGAATGATTTGCCCAACAAGTTTAACTATCTCTGCTCAAATAATGTAAAGGTACCCGCTGTCCCTGTTAAAACATCTCGACGGGTATCTTATATCAGAATCCCCCGCTTGCCATCTGTATGAAAGCTGCTGTACAATTGTGCCATGGCCATTCAAAGGACTATTTACTATTTTGACAGCTGTCCCCTTTCCTCTGTCTCCTTTGATAGAAAGTTAGCGTTTCGTTTCCCTCCTCGTTTCATTGTGGATAGAGAGCTCATGCAGCTGCTTTCAGTGACGAGTGATCAATCCCTTCATGATAATGAATGTAAAGAGTACAGAAACTGTTCTCTTTAGAGTTTGATTTGAAATAGAATACTTTCAAGATGAATGGCAAAAGGCCTCTCTTTGCTTCAAAACGTCAAGCTTCTGATAGAAAGCTTCTGATAGAAAGCTGTTTTATATATTGAATGATGTCAAGCTATGTTTGTAAAATAGGCCAAAGCATGCATGATGTGCGTAAAATGGACTTTGAGATGATGATAAGCTGCAAAAAAACGATGCGGTGATGTGGGCTGTTGATGAAAAAATGCTTTCTTTGGATCAAAAAATGTAAATAAATAAACCCCGTGATGTGAAGCGGACAATGGATGGCCAATTAACTTTTTTGACCAGATTCTAGATGCCTGACTGGTATCAGTAAGACCTCACCCCCGCCTTCCACTCTTCTTTTTCTCCCCCCTTTTCATGGAACAAGAATTAATAGAGCTATTACTTGCTTCAAAAAAGGCGCTTTCTTCTGGACAAACCATATGTGCTCAGGCCAATACCATTTTACAGACCTCGGAGAAACAAGTCGATCTGATTGCAAAACTTCATGCCAAGCTTGCTTTTGTGCATAACCATATTTTAGTTCAGTCAAGTGCTTTGGAAAGAATCAAAGGATACATTTTGGACCAAACAGATATCTATCACGACATTATAAAGGTAAAATAAAATAGAAATCAAACGTTGCAGCAAAACCTTTGTCTCGCCTTGCTCATCCAATTTTTTTCATTCAAAAAGAAAAGAGAGGGGCAATTGCAAGATTTAACGATTGAACTGACCACTATTTTCAGTTTATTGAAAAACTGCAAAGTGGATAAAGATATCTTGAAAGTGAATGAAGAAAGACGGCAAGAACAGCAGTTATCGTTACGGCATCCTCCTCCAGCCGATGCCATGGACGTTCACCTAGTGGGAACAGCACAAGACGCTGAAAAAGTAGAAAAACAACAACAGCAAGAGCATCATCCGTACACGTGCTTGTTTGATTACATCTCTGATCAAGAGATTATAGAGTTACAAAGACAGGCGGATGATAAAATTGGAGAATTGGAAGCGATTAGCAACTCTTTAGAAAATCAATCGAAAACCATCCATAGCTTTTTAATAGAGATAGCCAAAACGAGAAAGAAAGCAATGACGATACCCCTCCATGCCATGGTCGCCGATTATGCCACTGAAAAAATGCAGATACAAGAAGAAGAAATTGCCACCATGGCCGACATCCTGTTGAGTTTGACGAATCATTACGATCAACTAGGAGAAGCGACTCGATTATGCCAATCTCTTTCCAATCCAGAGGAACGATCCCAGTTAGATATCTCGGTACTCAAGGATGACCACGAACATATACCCAGTATTTTAGAAGATCTCAGAAGCAGCTTAGACATTGTAGAGTCCATCAGTGAGGAAATCAACACTCGAGTGCAAGTGTATCTGCGTATCAGAGAAGAGTCATTGAAGATGATGCACCAATTTGATCAATTTGGGGCAAAGGGCGGTCCAGCAGATATGATGTTGGAGAAACTCATGGATGCTGAGAATAACGTAAAAGAAAACGAATTACGGCTGGATGAGTTTTTTGGACAGTTATCCTCTTTGGCAGAATGGTATAGATGCTATGCATCGTCCTATAACTATTTATTACTAGAAATCGAAAGACGAAGAAGAGCGCAAGAGAAGCAAGAGGCCCTGAGAAGCGAGTTGTTAAAGACATTAGAGGAATCATTGAATGGTAAATGACTACTGCTTCAACAATCACGTGTCGAGCCTGTCGAGTACTCAATTTCATTTCTTTTTCTTGGGTGATAGATGAATTACAGGAAAGGAGATCTTGGTCATCACAGCATGGACAATATTTACCAGAAGTGCTTTGTCCGTTCATCAATGTGAGTTTTTTTTTTTTTTTTTTTTATGAAGCCATTCGCTTGGGTTACCTCCTGAAATGAAGTGATATAAACTAAAATCCTCTTTTTTTGTTTGGGGACACGACACAGGATCCGCCACCGGTCATTAAGGTAGAGATAGAAAGTCCTCCAGGACGATTACCTAACGTATCACCAGAGAATATAGAAAAGGTAAAGGGATCATACTGTTCCGATTAAAGCCGCGATGAGCGTCATGATCATGTCAGTTGCTAAACAAGAAAAAAAAAAAAAACAAACTCTTAATATCTTCCTCCTACGCGTAGGCGTTGGCTGAAATTCACAACCCTTCCACATCTCCTTCATAGAAGAGGGCTCCCAACCACCGATACCATCCACGACTCATGTGTAAATAGCCTATGAATTCAAATCATCAAATCATCAAATCATCTTTTTTTTTTATCCACATTTTAATTGTACACAAAACTTGTAAAAAAAAAAAAAAAAGGAAAAATAAAGGATATCCTGACTACGGAAAACCGTAGTTGCTGTTGTTATGTACGTTGATCCATGAAAATGTATACATCTTTACTGATATAATGAAAAAGGGGGTTGCTGGCAATGAATTTATTAAAGGTTTTTGCCGAGTTCGCCAGGTTGACTTGTACTTGGGAAAGGGGTGGGTGTTGTGGTTGTTTCAGCGTGAAGCGGTGAAGATTCATTCTGTTTATGCTTATTTACATTTGCTTCGTAAATATCATTTAAACGAGCCTATAGGACCGGAGAAATATATAAGTCAATCCATTCATTTCAACTCACATTCAAATAAACGTACAAGTTCTTCATGTAGTTTTCCTTGCTTTTTCAATTCCATTCGACGATTGACAAGCACACCAATATTCACCATGTAATAAACTGATAATTTTTATAAGGGAGGGGGGGCGTCATTCATGCATGTCTTTTTTTTTTTTTTTTTCGTTCACTTAGAAGGAAAAGTGGCTTGCGACACTCTCGTCTATTACCTGTTGTGCCTGCGAGTAAAAGTACTGCAGACTTTTGAGCTAAATCAGCAAATCGTCCAACTGCCATGTTGATGTTGATTGAGAGGAGAAGAAAAAAAAAAAAAAAAAGTATTAAAAAAATAGGCAATGCAGGAATAACTCGGCAAAAGCGAAACCACAAGCAACCTGGTCCAAAAAAAAAAAAAAAAAAAAAAAAAAAAAGCTTCCTTGAAATTTCCTTTTAAGGCATCTACAAAGACTCTCTCTCTTTTTCTGCTGAGTTTCATTTGTTGAGGCCCTCTTTTGCTGCGTCTTCAAGTGTGTGTGTGCGTGCTGTGCATGCTTTGCATGACGTAAAAAGGAAAAAGAAAGAGGTTACCCAATTCATCTTCCTCTGCCTTTTTTTTTTTTTTCCTTTCTTTCTTTCTTTCTATCTCTCAGTTATAGCAGAAATTTCCCCTTGAAACCTTTCTTTTTTTTTGCATTTTCTTGACTACCATTTAAGCTATGAATCTTTTCTTTGGTAAAGGCAAATCGAAAACAACAGCCAAAGATGCCATTTACAAACTACGTGAAACGCTAAGCATGCTGGAGAAAAGGCAGACCTTTTTAGAAACAAAAGCAGAAAATGAACTGAAAACAGCCAAAGCAAATGCAACAAAAAACAAAAGAGGTAGTGTGAATGAATGTTTTATTGCGACAGTGTGTGGAAAAAGGAAAAAGCCATCACTGACCCATGGATGGATGGTGGACTGACGGACTGACGAACTGACTGATGGGGAACCACTTTTATAGCTGCCTTGATGGCTTTAAAGAGAAAAAAGACGTATGAAGCCAATATTGAAAAGATTAACGGTGCACGCATGACCATTGAAACACAAATGATGGCTATTGAAAATGCTAATGTCAATTTGGAAACCATGAGTGCCATGCGTGCAGGTGCAGAAGCAATGAAAAACATTCATGGCTCCATGTAAGAAGCATCCGTTTTGAGATGAATCGAGTTTTCTTTGTTATTAAGCTGTTTTATTTCACGCTGTTAGGGATATTGATAAGGTAGACGCTACAATGGATGATATTCGTGATCAAATGGATATTGCAAACGAAATTTCAGAGGCTATTTCTCGACCAGTGAATATGGGTGATGAATTAGACGAAGTAAGCTTCATCAAAGAAGGTATACACACACTGACAACAGGCCATACTAAATCAAATGTAATTCTTCTTCTAGGATGAATTATTGAATGAACTGGAGGAATTAGAGCAAGAAGAATTAGATGCTAAAATGTTGGAAACACCATCACCTGTTGTCTCAGCACCCAACGTTCCCAATCGTGTGCCTACCCACAATACTCAGATTGAAGAGGATGACGAAGAAGCAGAACTCAGAGCATTGCAGGCTAGCATTGCTATGTAAAGAAAGGATAGAATGGGTGGGCCATACTGCTGCATGATTCGTCCCCACTTTTCAGTCCGCAACTACCCATCATCAACCAACGATACAAACATCACGTGTTTGAGTATATCTATTTACAGCTTATTCACCTATATCTCTTGTCATAAAATATTCTCTCCCTCGCACTCTTTAACGAGGATTCCGTCCGACCAATAAACGGATCATCCCTATGTAGAAACAAACAAAAAAAAAAAAAAAAAAAAAAAAAGAGAAACTTTGAAAAGTAGAGGCAAAAGCAGCTATAAGCGTCAGAAGCTTATGATGTTAGAATAGACAAGGGGAGATGCAAAAATGGCTCTTTACATACTGTGCATCTGTTTGCTGATCTCCTTTTGATTTATTGTCTATTCTTTCTTTCTGTTTCAAAAGAAGGATAATGCCATCTAGGAAGAGAAAACAAGCCCCACTGAGCACTATTTTTTATGGCTGGATGAAGTGATTTAAGCTTTCATGCAGGCTATCCAAAAGATCAATATCATTTTGGTGACTGCATTTTTTCAATTAGAGTTGATATTTTTTTTTTTTTCTTGATCTGTTTTGCATTTTACTAAGAGTTCTTTGTGCCCCTTTTTAAGACAAGCGAAGCCTCTCTCCTTTCGATATAACATTGAACAATGCCCAAATTAACAGCAAAAGCAGCCAAAAAAACCGAGCAAAAAGAAGATATGAGAGCTTTCGGTCCTCTCTTTAATAAAGATCTGGGTCAGCACATTTTAAAGAATCCTTTAGTAGCACAAGGCATTGTCGATAAGGTGAGATCGAAGCTTCAACATGGATCATCGATCGACTTATAGCTCAATAAAAAAATTATTTTCTTTTCCTTTTGCCTGCATAGGCCAATTTAAAATCTTCAGATACAGTCCTTGAAATTGGTCCAGGTACTGGTAACTTGACAGTTCGTATTCTTCCCGCTTGTAAAAAGGTGTATGCTGTAGAAATGGATCCTCGTCTTGCAGCAGAATTACAGAAACGTGTTCACGCAACGTAAAGTACATACAAAACAACAACAACAAAAAGAACAAGAAACTCATCCGTTTTTTTTTTGGGTAGCCCTGAACAGAAAAAATTACATATTTTACTGGGTGACTTTATGAAGACTGAACTTCCTTATTTTGACGTCTGTATCAGTAATACGCCTTATCAAATCTCTTCACCGCTTGTATTTAAACTTTTGGAACATCGTCCTTTGTTCCGTGTCGCTATTCTCATGTTCCAGCGTGAATTCGCTTTACGTCTCGTCGCTAGACCCGGCGATGAACTCTATTGTCGATTGACAGTGAATGTTCAACTGCTAGCCAAAGTCGACCATGTCATGAAAGTAGGCAAAAACAACTTTAGACCACCGCCCAAAGTCGAATCCTCTGTTGTTCGTTTGGAGCCCAAGAACCCACCACCACCTGTCAACTTTAAAGAATTTGATGGTTTGTTACGTATCTTGTTCACCAGAAAGCACAAGATATTTGCAGCCAATTTCAAGCAGACAACTGTATTGAATATGTTGGAACAGAATTACAAGACCTATTGTGCAGCACATGAAATGATGGTAGAGCCAGATTTTGATATCAAGACGAAAGTGTTGAGTGTGCTAGAATCAGTGGGTATGTCTGAATCTCGTGCTGCAAAGTGTGATTTGGATGACTTTTTAAAGTAAGTGTAAAGCATGGAGATGACGCTAAAACGAGAGAGAGAAACTCATGTTTTTTTTACCTATTTTTTATCACATTAGACTGTTACTTGCTTTCAATAACGCTAATATCCACTTTTCCTAATCATCATGCTTTACTTTTTTTTTTTTTTTTTGTTATTCCTATAGTACCAGCTCTTTCTTTTGTGTGTATTCCATTTTTTTATCGCATCTTTTTTTTTTTTTTTTTTTTTTTTTTGCTTATTTAATGTTATCATCATGTATTTAGATTGACGCAAATTGTTTTCCGCCTATGTCGCATTGACCTTTTATTGTCATCGAGATGTAATCTTTTGTCCAAAGGTTCAACTTTTGGAGTCTTTTTTGTGCTTGTAGCAAGTTCTGTGTGTCAGCCATCTGTTGCTGCCCCTGTTTCCGAGATGTAAAAATATCATGCATTGGGTGGAAAAAATGATTGACTTGTGTGTGATGATAGATTGTGAAATAGTGATTTTTGAATCTTTTATGAGCACAAGCATGGCAATTAAGAACATGCTTCATTTATAATAATTGACTGACGTTAGAATAGAATGGAGAAGAAAAGGAATATGCCATGCCTTCAAAGATATTCTGACCCCCCTCAAAATCAAGGTGTACTCTATTCGAGCACTGGTATATAAGACGCATCATTTCTTTTATTTGTGCTTCTTTACTTTTTGATTTGCAAAATATGAAGAACAACTTGAACGCAGTTTTACTTTTTGTGTTGTCCATGGTCCTCATCAGTCACGCTGCGCCCATGGCACCAAGAAGTGTACTGAATAATATCCATCAAACCACTGGGGGTGGAAAGACGGAATCCGACACGAATAAAAAGACCAAAGAAGTCAGCATTGATAGGCTTGGACATGATTATGTCATAGAATAAGTAATTGCTTTTTTATTCGTAGGTAGGATGGATGCCACTGCATTATTTTTTATTCATTTATTTTTTACATGCAGTTGCGCTAAAACAATTATTCCTTACTTCAACACAGCATTTATCATCTTCATTGTAAAAAGTTATCTGTAAAGTGGCCGGCTGCTCTTAGATTAATGGTTTAGAATACATTGCCAGCTTGAATGGATGCGAAATTCGCTAATAAAGTCTATTCAACTCTTGTTACTGGCCATCATTGGGAATTTTCCAAGACCTAAAAAAGAGCAATCAATAGAATGGCTTATCTAGGATCCAGAATGAATGAGCCGCGGAGTGAGTGCGGGAGAACAATGAGATTCCATTTCCTTGTACCTGAATAAATTGGCTACACTGCCATTTTTGCAGCCAATGAACATAGAGTATAGCTGTCTTTACCCCCACAAAGTTGTGTGTAATTTCACGTGCACGGAAAAAAGCTGGTCTATTTCCTACTCCACAATAAAAAAAAAAATAGAAAACAACGTTTGCTTCCGTTTCTTTCCAACAAGCTTTCATTCACTCCTTGTGGCCAATTTTACTTATTTATTTTTTTTTTGTCTTATTTGCAATCTCTCTTGATTGATTGTACTTGGCTGGTTTTATAAGCTCCCCCTTTCCCTGCAATAGCACTGTTTTCATCCATGGACCAGTTTTTGGAGAGCCCAATGAATAGACCCAATGATACAACAGCTCCAGCAACACCCGCATTATCCTCTAGGGATGCTATTTATGTAAGCAATATACCCACGACCCACTTGCCGACCTTACCCTCTACGGCACCCACAGTGATGGCTACTACTACAATGAGTACGAGGATGAGTCCTCCATCGAGATCACAGCAGCAACAGCCACCCCCCTTATCGTTGGATGAACATGGCCAACCTATCAAGGTCAAAAAAAAGCCGGGTCGAAAACCCAACCCAGCTTCACCGGCATTACGGAAAGCACAGAACCGTGCTGCTCAACGAGCCTTTCGAGAGCGCAAAGAACGCCATTTAAAGGACCTAGAGAGCACGATCCGTCAATTGAAGGAACAACGCAGCAAATGCCTCAAAGAACTTGTGACCACAAAGTCCAAAATGGAAGCGTATCGTGCTGAAAATTGGTACCTGAAAGGAGTGGTCTTGACATTGCAGTTTGTCTGTTTGCATCATCATATCCATATACCTACCCACTCACCTTATTTGACAGAGGAAGATTTGAGCCACATGGCTAAAACAACACCACATGCCATTGAAGCGTACGTCAATGCGTATGCAAAAAACAATATCAATTTAAAGCCGACCATGGCAGCCCATTTTGCTAACAGTCCACTACATCATCCGTCTCCGTCGCCGCCGTCACCATCACCACCACCACCACCACAAACATCACTCTTTGAAGAAGAAAATGAATCAACGGATCCACTGAATGCAGATGACAAAGACAACCCCCTCTATGATGATGTGGATAATGATGATGATGAGGATGATGATATGCTTGGTGGAAAAGAATGGGATTCAATAAGAAGCAGTAGTATCAGTACAGAACAAAGCTCACCCTTCACCTCTCACAAGAAAAAAGTGAAAACAGCATCGATCGTAAAAGATGAATTTTTAATGGACGATGATACAGAGATGACAGCAGCAGCAGCAGCAGCAGCAGCAGCAGCAGCTTATGAGAAAGAGACGAAAGAGAGCAAGCCATCCTCATCCACCACAGATGAAAAGAACAATAGCAGTGACAGCCTGAGCGCTATTCAACACATTCGATTACAGTTACGATTACAATCTGCTCTCTCCAGTTTTGGCAGCAAACCGTCTTTACGCCTTCAACCCACCCTTCTTCAGCTCGCCATTCCTCACGACCCTCGCATTGACCTTATACCAACGCCTCACATGAGAGATCGAATGATTATCTTTCGCGACCAAATGGATTACGATCGTTGTTTTGCTCTGTTACTCAACGGTGCTCTTTATCATGGTGGGGACCCTACCATGAGTGCTAGCTGGGAGTTACCTCCGGAATTCTTTAGTGAATTTTGGTACCTTGCCATTAATTACGATGTAAGTCGTACAAACAAGTGGAGAAAAATGAAAGGTTTACCCGAAATTAAAGTAAAAGACACCCTGTCTGCACAACAGCAACAGCAACAGCAACAGCAACAGCAACAAGCGGAAGACGCTATGCATCTTTTTTGGCAGCAGCAGCAGCATCCTCTTTCTTTCCATCTACAAGATCAACAACAAACCACAGCAGACAACGGTTTAGAGCAGCAGCAGCAGCAGAAGCAGCAGCAGCAGCAGCAACAACAACAACAATTACCGTTAGATACAGATATGGACATGACTTGTTCTCATCTGCAGGATAGCTCTGCTGCCGCTTTATGGGCAACAGACGACGTATTCGCTCAATTAACAGAAGGAATGCCATCCTTACAGCCTCTGGATGCCACCCATTTAGCCAGTGGATTTGATTTCGGGTCACCCAACTTACCGTCAGCCTCCCTATCTTCCATCTGGGATAGTCATGGCTTTTCTTTGAACCGATCCGGTACACTGAGTACCACCATGGCTACTGCTGCGTCCACCATGGAAACACAACAGCAGCAACCACAACAGTCTTCCTCCGTGAACCCTGTCTTTGACTATTTTATTGGTTCGCCTCCTTCTCCACCATCCCCACCCCTCCCTTCTTCTCTGTCCTTGGGAACAGCATGGAAACAGCACCAGCAGCATGAAAGATCGCCGAGCTTGATTACCATGATGGACCTGATGAGTTCCTTATCCACGGGTATGCCTTCCACTGGATAACATGGCTATGTGTTTTTCATAAAAATAGATACTGTAAATAGATCCCGCTCGTCATTTTTCCAACCTTCACAATAAAGCATTTTTTTTTTTCAAAGGGGGGCAATATCAAAAAAAATAAAAGAGCTTTTGACAGTGTCTACTTTTTTTGACGTCAACCATAGAAACTGGCCCCTAACGATAAAAACTATACTTATTACTTTCATATGAAAATGAAAGAGAGAACGGATCGTGTGAGTGGGGTTTCAACATTTCTTTCCTACTTGCGGTTTCCCACCCTCCATGGACAGACAAACATGTGAATACTACTGTTGCAAAAAAGAACGAGCGTCATTTGAGGGCAACTATTTATCCCATTCATCCGGTATCCTATGACTGTAGAAACGTGGTATGCTCTCCATAGAAGAGACATTCGTCATTTTCTAGCACCTCCCCTCCCCCAGCTAACTTAGTGCTCAACTTTTTAAGTTGAGAAAAAAACAACCCTTCATTGCATGTGAACATGTACACAGGTTCAGCACAGTTTTTTTTTTGTTCCTGGGTTTTTTCCACAATAGACACGTTTTTTTTTTTTCTAAAGTTGCCTTTTCTTTTTCCTATCTTTATATTTTTTTTCCCTTTTTTCTTTTTCCCGTTTTTTTTTTTTGCTGATCCATTGATACAATTGATACTATGGCACGACCCTCTTCCTCCTCTTCCCATCTCTTGTTTGAACATTTTGACCCTGAATTCGAGTTGGGTACCTTGGACGATCAAGGACGACCGATTCGACCACGAAAAAAACCAGGACGAAAACCCAACCCACCCACGCCTGCTCAGCGCAAGGCCCAGAACCGAGCTGCACAACGTGCTTTTCGAGAAAGAAAACGGCAAGCCATGAAAGAGGCCGAAGCCACGATCAAACACTATGCTTTTATGCGCGACCAAGCGTATCGTGAAATACGTCGATTGAAGCAAAGATTAAAAGAATTAGAATTCGAATGCAATTATTTAAAGGGTTACACGTTGGCTCTGAAAATGGCATGTATTGCGAATCGTGTCGAATTGCCAGAGTTTTGGCAAAAGCAAAAGTTAAAAAGACATCCGTTAGGGAAGCAACAGCAGCATGGCACCGAAATACCCAGCATATTTGATTTTTTCCTAGACCAAGAGACACATATCATTGCTATAGATCAACCCATGGAGAAACATACATTACAACAACAACAACAACAACAACAGCAGCAGCAGCAGCAGCAAGATAAAAACAGTCCGTATGATCTGCCTCATGAGAGGGTCTTGGATGCTTTATCGTCTGTCACGACCTCATCCGATACTTCTTCCTGCCACTCTTCTTTATCGGAAGACGACGCGTTCATAGTAGCAAAAGACAACCACCCTGCTTCGAAAAACTTGCTTGACGAATTATGGCCGTCCTTTTTGGATACGAATACTACTACTGCTGCTGCTGCTACTGCGTCTGCTGAGAACCCACTTCAACAGCAAGCCCACTTTTCTTTCGACCGTCTCGCTAGCACCAGCACCAGCACCAGCACAGCGGCTGTCCAAACCAACCCCTTTGACCTACTCTTATCGACATCCATTTCATCCATTGCACCTCAGTTAGCAAGCCATTTAGAGACACCCTTCTTGCAAGAGATCATTCAAACAGACTTGATTTCTCAGCTTTTATCAAAAGCACCCCCCTCTTCCTCTGCATCCTCCTCGTCCTCCCTATCACCACCGCCGCAGCCACCCCACGAGGACGATCATGCGATGGAGATGTGTGATGCCAACAGCCACCCTTCTTCCTTATCGCTCTTTCCTCCCACCACTCATCCTACTACTTCCTTACACGCGCCCTCCACGTATGACGATCCAAGGGTAGGCTCACTCCCCTTCCCCCATGCCTCTTCTTCCATGTCCATCGACCCCATAGCAACAACACCATCCACTGCAGCCAAGACAAGGGTGGGGAAGCGATCGTTAGAGCAAACGATGACCCTATGGAACGATCGGGTGGGTACGCCTGACACAACGACTTCCATAGGAGAAGAAGAAGAGGAGGAGGAGGAGACGTGGATCGACCCAAGAACAGGCGTAGAACGTACAGTGACGACCGACATGGACAGAGAGACGATCGCTGCTGGGTTGGACCCGTCCTTGGCATCGACAGCGACGACACTGCTTTCCAGCGTCACCAACGTCATTCCATGCCATCGCGGCGACCCTAGCCAAACCATCGTATTCCCACCCATGACCGCTTTAGAAGCGATGGAGCACATTCGAGCTGTAAAGCAACTCAATGGCTCCTCCGCACGAGCCTTGTTTTCACCCAGTAAGCTTTTTACCGTGATCTGCTGATGAATCGACAGAGAGAGAGAGAGAGAGAGATGAGCTTTTTAGAATTAACCCCATCCCCTCCCTTCACTTTGGATAGCTGAATTACAAAAGAACATCCGTCATGATGCGCGTATTGACGTGGTGCCTGGTGCCTCTATTCGCGACCATATGATTCTCTTTCAAGACTTTTACAATGCGAATGAACTCTTTGACTACCTCGCCACGCATGCTGTTTTTCTGGGAGGAGAGCATCTGGGTAACATGGATGCATGGTTCGTGCCACCTACTTTTTTCGTGAAATACTGGTTTCTGTGCCCCAATCAAAAGGTGGATCGATTGGATGATGCGGTTGACATCATGGTGGATCTGGGAAAAAAGGTAGTGCAATGGATGGAAGCGACGCAAACGTCAAAAGGGGGGGAATCCTCTACGACGGCAAGGGAAGAAGAAACAGAGGCGGGTGATCGTCCTAGCCAACCCAAAGACAAAGGAGATGCAGCAGCAACCACAGATCCACAGGCGGCAGAAGAGCCAACCTTCAAAAGTCAGACAGACCATCATCAGCTATTAGATGCATTGCTTTGCCAACAGCAGCAGCAGCAGGCGCTGCAGCCAGCAGAGGAATTTTCAATAGATCAGTTTTTGATGGATGAAGATCTATTGCCTCTGGCCCACTGAAGATGCTTCAAGTTTTACGAACAGTGCTACGGCTGTCACTTGTTCTCAAATGGTTGTATAATCTCTAAGCTGGCACGATGGATCCATGCAGTTGTTTGGAAAAAAAAAAAAAGTAAAAAATTTGAATCCTTTTTCTGTTGCCACCGTTTGATATGCTATCACTTTTTTTTGTCGCATCCTACCGCTGTTATATGAATTCAGGCAAATGGATACATCATGAGTAGAAGAGCCTTGTTCAAGTGTATTCTAAAGCTGAAAAAGTAGAGGGGCGTTTGCCCGTTTTGTTGATTTGTAAGGGAACCGTCTTGACCATGGTCCATGGTTAGGTTAGCAGCCGACTTTTTTCTTGTTCCCTTCAGATGCTTGTTTGAGGGCTCACATTTGGACACTTTAAAAGGTTTATTTTTGTTGGGTGAAGAAAAATAGCAAGCAAATAAGTAGAAGGATAAAAAAGAGCTTGTTGTTAGCCCTTTCTCATGGGATGCGTTTGACGTTTTGTCATCGAGAATAAGTGCATGGGTCTAGAACAAGTTTTCCCTTTATCACCTCTACTGAAGCTATCACTTTTTTGATGTTTAACCATACCCATTCATCCCAAAAAGAACCATCTATGTAGAGCATCATTTTTTTTCTTGTTTTCTTCTTTATAACAGAAAATTCAGTTGGTCAATTTATCTTTTTTTATCTTTCAAAACATCAATTGAATGTATACAAGTGTATGTCTTTTTTGTTATGGTACGAATGACCCTGAGCGATGACAGACAGTGAGTTGTGTATATAGAGATACATACGCGTCAGTTTTATCATTAGATCACAATTGGAACCCTCTATTTTTATTTCATGATAACGGGAAAATAGCATAGGCAATGATGGCTATGTCATTGAACAATCTGCATGTCAAAAAAAAAAAAAAAAACCAAGAATTTAATTAATCCACTTTGTGGCCGAACGCACACACACACACACACACACACACACACACACACGCACATACACACACACGCACATACACCCATTTCTGCACTTTTGAAAAGGACACCTCCTACAGAGGCTCCTACAGAACTTCATAGAGAGCCACAGCTTTTCCTTTTCTAACCTTGCCATTCCTGTCCATTGTTGATAGGTTTGGTTAGAGTAGAAGGGACGAGCTTTATTCATTGTTATTTTTGCTGGGTTAAATGAAAAAAACAATGTAGGGGAGTTTAATGATTCACCCTTATAAACCAAAACAGATACCCTTAATGAAATCAGAAAGAGAGAGGCCCTTTCTCCTATATACGAACCAAGAATAACTGTGATAACGACTCTGTACATGAGTCTGTTACTGCTCCCACCTATAAGAAGCAGTAGCGTCAGATGGAATGCTTTTCTTTTTTTTTTTTCTTTTTTTTTTTTTTCTTCTTCTTTCTGTTTCATTGATTCAAATCATTCCTATAGAAAGATATGAAATTCTCGTCTCTCGTCGTTTTTGGTCTTGGTGTTTTCGTCGCTTCATGTGCTGCAGCATGTGATTGTAAAGCCAGCGACCAGTCTTGTTTAGACCAATGTGGTAACGTTCTCTAGAGACTCTTTTTTTTTCTTCCTTGGTGATAGCTTGTATAACACACCCCATGGTTCCTTTTATAGTCATTGCAGCCAATGAATGTATTGTCGGTTGTAGAGATCAAGGTGTTGATTGTCATGAAGCGTGTATTGCAAACAACTGGTAAGGAATTTATATATATATACCTTGTATACATAGAATACAATACATATGTTGTTGCTTTATTTAGGCCCGCTATGCACGCCATGCCAAAAGATGTCTTGGCTGAAGCTACAGGATCGAGCACAGGATCCGCTGCTGGCCCCACGCCTACGGGAGGTGAAGAAGGTAAAATGGTGCCTACTGCTGCTCCGACAGGCTCCGTATTGACCGCCTCTATGTCTGGCGCCAAGTGTAAGTCTCCTTGAATGTACCCTAGCACGGGCCGCATCTACGTGACGAAAACTAACACACAACTTTTTTGAAAAAAAAAAAAAAAAAAAGCCATGAGCGGTGGTTCTTCAGGTAGTTCTAGACCTTCTGCTACGGGTAGCATGAGCGGCGGTGGTATGACTAAACCCACGACGGGTGTAGGTAGTGGCACCAAGCTGGACAATGCCAATCCTTCTTCTGATGCTTGCTCTCACACTCCAGCTCTTCTCGGCTGGTCTGTTGCTATGATGGCTTTCGTTGGAAGTACAGCCTGGATGCTTTAGACGAGGTGTTTTTTCTCATGAGATATATACATGTATAGATTTCTTTTTTTTTTTTTTTTTTTTCCTCCCCACCTGTCCTCTCGGTTACATTATAGATACATACCATTTCATTTTTTTTCTAAAAAAAAAAAAAAGAAAATTGACTTTTTTTTTTCGAATCACTTTCGCACATTAAAGAAAGCTACTTTACAGACTTTCAAGAGAGTCTCCATGAGACGTCTAGCTACATGAGAACGTTCAAGATGGCCACCAATAGACGGTATCCTCTCGACCGAAACAAACAAAATGAAAAAAAAAAGCTTCAAAAGGAGAGGACCTTGAGATCCTATGACACTGATTTACCTTGTATAGAAATGGATTATTATTTTTTTTTTTGTCCTTTCCTTGTGTGCACTGACATGAGCATTGAAACACAACGTACAGAAAAAAGAAAGCATCTTTTTTCCTTTGTGTTCTATGCATCCTCCACCATCCGTTGAAAGAGCGGATAAGGCAATGGGTGTGCAGATCCTTCAAGAAAGTGGTCCCCCCTAACAAAGTTGGCAAAGACGATTTCTTTATTCCATTCTCTTGTTTTTCATTATAGTTGTGGTATAAAGAAATAGTTTATTAATGTAATAACAACACGGATTTAGAGTACACAATCAAAAAAAAATTGTAAAATAAAAATAATTGCAAACAAGGGCAATGGCATATCAACACGATGGATGATTCAAAAAAAAAGAGGGGGGTCATATGAATAGGTATAGAAACAAGAATACATAGAGAAACCGCAAAAAAAAAAAAAAAAAAAAAAAAAAATTACAAAAGTTGGATTGGCAGTACCAAGTGAAAAAAAAAAAACTTATATAAAGCTATAGGACGAGAATGAACGAATAAAGTAGTCAATAGTAAGGATGGACAAAAAATGCATGAAAAGGGTTTTGTTTTTTTTTTCTTTTTCTTTTTCTTTACAAAAAAAAAGTAGAATCGTGAGGGTGGGTTGTGGGAGCGGGTGAAGCGGAACCTCTAGGGGAATCGGCTTGATGATCTGATAAAGGTGGTGTGGCAGGGTAGTCATTGGAGATAGTACTACTTGTGGTTGTAGGTGAACAGGTGGTGGTGGTGGTGGTCCTTGTGGGGAGGGGGGTCGTAGTGGATGCCCTTGTGAGATCCACGTCTTCCATGTCGATATCTTCGTCCTCGCTTGCTGAAAGTGTCGTGGTGGTCGTGAGGGCATTCCGTCGACAAAGACGTCTTGAAGGGGCGGCTGTCGTGAGGTTTCCACCAGGCAAGGGAAGATTGGGGACAAGAGCAGGTTGATTACAAAATTGTTTCAATTTGGATGAAGCATGATGGCTCATGGTCATCATAGCAGCGGCAGCGACTGCACCGTCATGATTGTAGACCAGTCTTGGAGGAGGATGGGGTAGTTGCTTTTCAGGCGACTTTTTACTGCCACCACGGCTACTCGTAGAGGAGGGCGTAGGAGGAGGAGGTGTGATGGTGTTGAAATAGGCCATGGTAGCGGCTTCGATGGTTTCTACAGGAATCTCATCCCAGGACCACGTTTTCCAGTTGACCAAGGAGCGAATGTCTACCTTTCTTTTAGCCGCCTTGACGAAAAGTTCGGGTGGTCTTACTTTTGTATGACGCAAGTAATAACTCTTACAAGTCTCACACCAGTTTCCGTCACCACAGAGATTACGATACCATTGATGCGTTTCCTTTACTTTACAATTGGCACAGAATTTTGGAGGAGCAAGGGTAGTCGTACGTAGAGACGACGACGACAATGACGATGACGATGACGATGACGATGACGATGACGATGACAAAGTAGCAGCGGATGCAGTGGCGTTCCTTTGTTGGGTATCAAAAGTCGTCGTATCCTCAGAAGAAAAGGAATAAGCAGATGAAGCAGAAGAATCAGTAGAAGAAGACGATGTTCTTCTTGTGGTGGTGGTGGTGACCGTGTCAGAAGCAGTAGAAGCGAAAAACACCATGGATAGGTTGCTCTTATGGTTCTCATTGTTCAGAGAAGGAGGACAAATATAGCTGGCTTTGCAACTATGAATCAAATCACCTTGACCACGAGGACCGGGTCGATTGGCAACAATGAGACGTAAGGGTCTGGCCTCACCATGTTTCAATTGATATCGGTAGCATGCAACGCACAGACGACGTCTTGAGGCGGGCTTCGTATTGCAGTTATGGCACATGGGTTTGAACTTTGTAGGACGTGGTGCATGTAAAAGGAGAAGCAAAGCAGGATACATTGCAGGCTGTGGCGGCTGAGGATGACCTGAGGAGAGGTGAGGGAAAAAGATGGGACGAGGCAAGTTGCGATACTCTAACCCAGCTGTATCAAACAGGAATTGACCCAATTCAATAGCTGATTTCAACTTGTCAGCATCCACCCTTTTGATATTGAAACGGAACAAGGTATTCAAAATGTGATTTAAACGATAAATATGATCTTCTTTGGCCATGTTGGCATTTTCGAGAAAGCGCACATCGGTGCGGCCTGGTGTGGATTCGTATTGAGTATAACGGAAAAGGTGCAGGAGCCAGGTAGGAAAAAAGATAAAGTCAGGAGAGATGATTTGGCTTTTGGCATTTTCGGTTCGGAAAAAGACAGCCATGAGTCTCATCTCGTGGCTCAATTCAACCGATTGGATGGGCCGTGAAGCTTTACTGGTACCAATATGACAGCGATAGGAACCGTTCATGTGACGTCCGATGACCTTGATATGAACTGGAATCTCTGTGCTGCTGGTGGTGGTGGTGGTCTTTTTTGATGAGTTGTCGTGATTGAATAATAAAGATGTATTCTTATCCATGGACGAGAGAACAGCGTCCGTGAGAGAGTTGCGATCATTCAATAAGCGAGTATTGTAACCGGCTTTGTGAATGGCTATTTTCAACAGATAGTTCAAATCATCGTCGTGGATTGGACTGTTCATATCACTGCTGGAGGAGGAATCGAGAGTGGATGTTGAGTTATTACTAGTACTTGTCGTAGGATTTGGGATCACATGGGTCGTGAATGCAGTTTCTTCCTGTTGATATTGAAGGATGGGCACCGGTCGAATAAGCTTTCTTTTGGTATCTGCATGGTCCTCTTCATACTGAGGCGAAAGTAAATCAGTGATATTCATTCTAATAATACGTGTAAAAGAGGTTTGTTGAGAAAGACAAAGAAGAAGAAGAAAAAGAAAAAGAGGTAAGAAATGGCCTTAACAATGCATAAATTTAGGATAATAAAGCTAGATAGATGATAGGATTGAAAAAGATATAATGAGATGAATGCTGCTGGTTTTTTTGTCTTTTTATTTTTTGTGTCGAATGAAAGAAAGAAGAAGCAAAATTTGATTGCAAGAAAAAAGGGGTCCTATTTATTTCCAACAAAAGAAAATTAAGCTTTTCCAAATGTATAAAGTGTGTGTGTATACCTATACATGTGTGTGTGTGTGTGTGTGTTTGGTTGATCTGATCTCCCTTTTGTTTATTTAGGCTTTTTTTTTTTTTTTTTTTTTTTTTTTTTAAAAGAGAGACAAGCAGACAGACAGACAAGCCCGTCCAACAGACAGACAGATACACACACTACATAAACACACACACACACATATTCTTTGTTCTCTCTCTGCATTTTTTCTATTTTTGGCGCCTGCATGTTCCATTGAGATCATGGTTTTTCATTGTGTTTTTTGGTGAGTTGCTGAAAAGAGAACTCGTGTCTTATTCATGGGACAAAATACATTGAACCAACAAAACGCCTACCGCTTTTTCCCTCCTCCTTAGAAGCAATAATCCCCAATATTTTTGTGTTCTTTCAACATTCCACGGTTGGTAGTGTCTCCTTTTTTCCAATAAATGGCTGTAGACAAAAAAAAAAAAAAAAATAAAAAGTGCGAATTTTTTCATGTCCTTGAGATCTTTTTTTTTATATTGACAAGTTCAAGTTTATCACTTGCTTTATTGCAGTTTCTATGCAATCAATCCAAGTCACGAAAGTTGCGAGTCTTTTTACTTGGGAAAAAACTCGTTATAAAAAAAAAAGTTGGGGTATAAAGATTATATCATTGACAACATTTGCTCCAACTCTCCACCACAGCAACTCCTTTAAAAAAAAAGAACCATGTACACTATTTTGCCATTGAGAACGAAATAAACGTGGCGAGAACTTGACTATACGTTCATCATTGGGCTTTTGATTATTAAAGATATATTGATTGCCGTCAAGCCATGTTTCTTTAATAGAAGGGGATGATGAGAGCTCTAATAAAAGTACATTGGAAATAGGGGAGTGTGAGTTTTTTTTTTAGTTTTCAGGGAGAAAAGACAGTGAGGGGGTATGCTCGCACGAAGCCCACATTGGGTTTTTTCTTTTCTTTGTGGAAAAAAAACAATGATATTGCTTCGTGGTCCTTTCTGTGAACCGCTTCTCTCTTTTTTATCACGATGGGCTCAGTGTGGTTGGTTTTTTTTTTTTTTACTTTTTTAACTTTGAACTTGTATTCATTCTCTTTTTACCCGCCTCTTTTCCTTCACTTTTTGTGTCGTACGGTGCAGTTTATCATTGACAACATTTTTTTTCCTTTTACTTTTTTTTTTTTTTTTTTGTAGCTCATCTGACAAACGACGCGAAAAAAAAAACTAACTTTCTAAATGAGATCAAAAACCGTGTTTGTTGTATAGTTGCGTTATTTGCATGCAAAACAGAAAATTTAAACATCCGCATTCTTATTTTCTATGGTGCCTTAAAAAAAAAAAACCAAAGTTTGTGTGGGTGCCTTCTTTTTCGTATCTCTCTCTCCATCTCACATCGACAGACACATACATTACAGCACTTTCTTGTTTATTTCTTTGATTTTGCATTTTAAATATTGCTGGAAACCCAACAAAACCCAACCTCCATTTGTGAATTTCAGTTGGATCATTCAAACCTCATTTTACTTTCAATGGATAGACAAGAAGAAGAAGATTTCAGTTCTTTATCCATTATTGAGAGATTACAACATAAAGTGAATAAAATTTTTTTTTTAATTGAATAAAAAACGGGTCAGCGCGCGAAAAAAAAAACCCTTCAGAAAGAGTCTAACCCTTTCGACCCTTTCTCTCGATTTTTGCAGTTATGGAAAGCTCGTGTTTCAGCTTGTGAAGAATTAACAAAACTATTCCATACAACAGTGGACGATTCCGATTTCTATACCTATGAACCTCATTTAAAGAAACTCGTCATTGAGCCTAATGCTGTAGCTCAAGAAGCTGGTTTAACAGCCCTTTTCGAATACGTTACCAATGCACCGAATGCCACAAGGTAAAAAACATGTAGAAAAAAAAAAAAAAGGCCCCCGCTTCTCATCACTATTTTCCCCTAGCACACGTGAAGTGATTATACCTGCATTAGTCGAAAAAGGTCTAAGTGCCATGAAAGCAGGTGCCAAGCAAAAAGCAACAGATACCATTTTACTTTATGCAGAATTAGATACACCGAATCCAGTGATTGTAACGTAAACCACCATGATAAGAGGGTCCCCCTTTGGATTGTTATTTTCCTAAACCCTCCCCTCCTCTCTCCCTCATAGGAACTTGTATTGCCTGGTACCAATGCAAAACAACCCAAACTCATCACGCAAACCGTCTTGGTATTAAAAGAGCTTGTCCGTCAATTCGGCATACACAAAGTCAGTCCAAAACCCATCATCAAAACGCTACCGAAACTCTTTGGCCACACCGATAAAAATGTACGCGCAGAAACGTTCCAGTTGACGGTAGAACTGTATCGTTGGATCGGTCCAGCACTCTTGCCCAGCCTGTCCTCATTGAAACCTGTACAGCTCAAAGATTTGGAAAAAGCATTTGAAAGTTTACCCAAAGAGAAACCCGTCCCTGAGAGACTCATTCGAGCAGAGCAGGCACAAGCGCACGAAAAAGACGACGAGGAAGAGGAAGAGCAAGAGCCCACAGCAGACCCAGCAGAAGACGACGACGAGGAGATGGAAGTCGAAGAAATGGATCCTTACGATTTCGCTGATCCCAAAGATATTACAGCCCATCTCCCTTCCAACTTTTATGAATTACTCACCTCGAAAAAGTGGCAAGAAAGAAAAGAAGCCTTGGACGCATTGACAGAGGAGGCCAAAACGCCCAAGATACTGGACACCGATTACAGCGAGCTCATCTCGGCCCTCGCCAAACGTATCAATGACGCCAATGTGCTGCTGGTCGCCGCCACCGCGCATTGTGTGGAACTGATCGCGAACGGTCTTCGAACCGACTTTAGCAAATACAAGCCCATCCTTGCGCCTGTCATGATTGAAAAGCTCAAAGAACGAAAACCAGCCGTCCTGGAACAGCTCACCCACGGCCTCCATGCCGTCTTTGCGACCGTTCCCTTGTCGGAACTCGTCGACGATGTCACTGTCGCTTCAAAACACAAGAATCCTCAAGTCAGAGCCGAATGCTTCAAATTGCTCTCACGACGACTCAGAGAAGTGAAAGAAATGCCTGCCAAAACAGAGATCAAAGCCTTTGCAGACATGTTTAAAAAATTGTTGGACGATAGCGATGCCCATGCCCGTGACGCCGGTGCAGAAGGCTTGGGCACCCTCATGAAACTCATCGGTGAAAAACCCATGCTCCTCTTGACCGAAGGATTAGATGATATCAAAATGAAAAAGATCAAGGAAGTATGCGACCATGTTACGGTCAAAGCGACCTCGGCGAAAAAACCTGCACGACCCCCATCGAAACCAAAAGCACCGCTCAAGTCGGCGGCCCCCGCGCAGAAGAAAAAGGTGCCTGCTGCACCTCTCAAAAAACCAACCTCATCAGCACCCGCTCCAGCAGTAGCAGCAGCAGCAGACCCTATGGCCATCGATCGATCGATCGATCCGCCCCACCTCTCCTCACCACCGAAAAGAAAACCACCCAGCAAATGGGCAGGCGCGGGTCATTTAAAAAAACCCGCTCTTTCTTCAGCGGCCAAAACGAGACCTTTCCCGCCCTCCGCCGTGCCTTCTGCAGCAACACACAAAGCAGCTCCGACGACGACAGAAGAAGAAGAAGAGAACGAAGAAGAAGAAGAAGAAGAAAACGACGACATGGACTTTGAAATGGACCCTTACGATTTAGCAGATCCAAAAGACATTACCGAAAAATTACCTTCCAACGTTTACGCATTACTCGTCTCGAAAAAATGGCAGGAACGAAAAGAGGCCTTGGAAGCCATCGCAGAACAAGCCAAAACACCCAAGATACTGGACATTGATTATACTGAACTGATGACAGCGCTTGCACAACGTATCAATGATGCCAACGTCCTGTTGGTCGCGACGGCCGCTCAGTGTATTCAGTCCATCGCCACTGGCTTACGCGCCGACTTTGCCAAATACAAGCCTCTCGTAGCCCCCGCCATGATTGAAAAGCTCAAAGAACGAAAACCAGCTGTGCTAGAACAGCTCACCAACGGCCTCAACGCCGTCTTTGCTACCGTTCCCTTGTCGGACCTCGTGGAAGATGTGACAGCAGCCTCGCACCATAAGAATCCTCAAGTACGCGCTGAAATCTTTAAACTGATCTCACGACGACTCAGAGAAGTGAAAGAAATGCCTGCCAAAACAGAGATCAAAGTGTTTGCCGACATGCTGAAAAAGCTCTTGGACGATAGCGATGCCCATGCGCGAGATGCTGCCGCAGAAGGCTTGGGTACCCTCATGAAACTCATCGGTGAAAAACCCATGCTCCTCTTTACCGAAGGCTTGGACGATATCAAAATGAAAAAAATCAAGGATGTGTGTGACAAGGTCACTGTCAAAGCAAGGCCTGCCACGAAAAAGGCAAAACCCACACCCACACCCACACCCACACCCACACCCGCACGTGCACGTGCACCTGCTTCAGCTTCCCCCTCCTCACGCGCACCTGCAAAGACCCTCACGTCCCCCGCCCTGAAAAAGAAGGTCCCCTCCTCCATGGCCTCCAAATCAACAGCACCACCACCCTCTAAACCACGTCCAGCGTCAGCTGATGTCGATCCTATGAAATCGACCGCCACCACCACCACCACCACCACTACCACCACCCTCCCGCATCGGATGAAAGCAACCACCCCTTCTTTATCCAAAAAAAGAACCCTTCCTTCTTCTTCTTCTGCAGCTTCCACTACCTCTCCAGCAAGATCACAAGCAGGCACAACAGCAGACACGTCCACCGCTGCTTCTCCCCCCATCCTCACGCATGATCCTCGTGCCAAGCTCATGCGCGCCAAGAAAGAAATTCGATGGCAATTTGATCTGCCCCCGCCCGAATTCGTGGACCGCTTACACTCTCTCTTTGACGCTCATTTCAGTCGTGACCTCACCTCTTTGTTGTTCAGCAAGAGTCAGTACGCTGAAAAGGATCGTTTGAACGGCCTCACGCAGCTCAACGCGTGTCTCGAGGCCCCGGATCTCTGTGACGCCAAATACGGTCTCGACCCAGGTGAGATCCGACAACGCTTTTTAGCCAATGCCGATTTGATCTTTAAATACTTGACCCTACGCTTCTATGACACCAACACCAGCATGCTCATCCAATGTCTCGACATGACCCAGCACCTGGTCACGCTGATGGAGCAAGAAAGCTGTCCCTTGTCTGAATATGAAGCCGCTTCTTTCCTGCCCTTCCTCATCCATAAAGTAGGCGACCCAAAAGAAGTGATGCGTAAACGTATCCGTCACATTCTCCACGCCATCTGCAACATCTATCCCCCTCCCAAATTGTTCAACTACCTGTTGGATTCAACAGCGAGTTCTAAAAATGCCAAAGCACGCGCTGAATGCTTGGAACAAGTCGGCAGCTTGATTCAAACCCATGGTATGTCTGTCATGCTGCCCCAGAAAGCCTTACCAGCTGTCGCCACCCACATTGGCGATAAAGATGCAGGTGTCCGCAATGCCGCCTTGGCTGCAATTGCTCAAGCCTATATCTTGATGGGGGATCCTGTCATGAAATACATGACCCAACTGGGTGCGAAAGAAAAGAGCATGTTGGAAGAGCGATTAAAGGTACGTGAGAGTGAGGAGGAGTGGTCTACCTTTTTCATTTTTTTAACCACCCCACACACACGTTTTATCTCTGTAGCGTACAAAACCATCGGCCAGTGTATTGGCACAACAAGAAAAAGAACAGCGTGCTAAACAAGAAGCAGAAGAAATGGAGGTGGATCCCCTTCCCTCCCTCCCTCCATTACCACGCAAGCCTGGTAGTAGTGGTAAAGCACGTAGCGGTATTGCGACCCCCAAACGCGTGAGTCAGCCTTATGTACATAGCCATCACACTATACCCGACTCTGACCCCATGGAAGACATGGCCGATGATCATGGACGTCGTTTACCTGACCCACCCCTTTCTTCTTCACGTCATGCACCCCCCATGCGTTACCAGCCATTGCCTCCATCAAATTTATATCAACAACAACAACCACAACCACAACAACCACAACAACAGCAGCAGTCCATGCCTACCACTTATGATAGTCAACGGGATTACCTCGATTACTTGATTCCTCAAATCACCAGTAGCGATGCTCCCTCCAGTATAGAAGCACTGAAAAACTTGGATAAAATGCTGCTGAGCCATCCAGACCTTATTCAACAGGAAATCTCGCGTTTAATCATGGCCATTGCCCTCCAAATTCGTTTAGCCTATTCCAATATGGATAGCCGTCAACCCATGTCGGTTCGTTTATGCAAACATTTGGTCAACGCCCTTGTTTTATTGTTTTCCAACAAAGCTGTGGCTCAGTCCATTCCTCATGAAGCATTGCATAATTTACTCAACGAATTGGCTTTCCGTTTACTAGATCAAAATATGCTTTCTGTAGAATCCGGCGGACAATTATCCAAAGCCCTCAATGTCGCCATGGTAAAAATTCTGGAAAACAGCTCACGCAATGTCACTTTAAGGTAACCCCACGCACGACCCCCCCCCCCCTCCCCGCAGAGAGACCGTCCACTCATCGCAAAAACATTTATTCTCATAGTGCACTGTTGACCATTTTAAATGATGCTTCTTCGAAACTACGACCCCATGATCAGCCTAATTCGCTTCAAACGAAATACACAGAATTGATTATGAAATGTTTATGGAAGTTGGCCAAAACCATCCAAGACAGTCTCAGAACCAACAGTTTAAATCCAGACCATCTTTTGTTTGAGATTAATGAATTTTTCATTACTACCCCACCTGCCGAATGGAAACGTAGAGCAGCCGACAATGTCCCGCTCGGTGAAATGCCGTTACGAACAGTAAAGACCCTCTTGTTAGAACTCGTCAATGGATTGGGTCCCAACATTTTTCAGCATTTGTCCTTGATCTCAGAGCCACAAAAGAGCAGCGTGTATCCTTATCTCCATCACATGTTGGAAGCCTGTCGAAGAAAAGGGGCCTCGACACACCCATCGACAGAATCCTCTTTATCGCCCATGCAACCACCACCCCCCTCCTCCCCTCAGCAGCAACCACCACCACCACAACAGCACGCTTCTCCTGATCATCACTACTTGTCCCATTCTCGACATGCATCGATGGATCGCCCTTCCTCCATGTCCCCTTATCCATCCGAAACACTGCATCGATCCCCTTCCTTGGCTTCCCATCACTCATCCACCGTCGAAGGCGAACCTCCTTCCGATGGACTCTATGATACCAAGTACGCATCCCCTGTGCACTCACATCCAGCTGTACAACCAATGCAAATAGACACACCACCTACCCACCATCAAAAGAGTGCCTATCCATCCGAATATGAGCTCAATCTGATGTTGACCAAGATTTTTAGAAAGATTGGTGATCGTGAATTAACCAAACAGGTACGAAAACATAAAACGAGGGGAAAAGGCAGTAAACCATGAGGGTCTTTTCATCTCCTAAACCTTTCTTTTTTGACAGGGTGTCATTGAACTTTATGAGTTTCAAAAGAAATACCCCAACGCCGAATCACGCGTCAAAGTGTTTTTGAATCAAACAACGCCCTTTTTCAAAAGCTATATACAACGATGTCTATCCAACTTGGAAGCCGAGGATGAAGAACTACACGCCGCCGCGGCTTCAGAAGCTTCAGCCGCAGTGGCTTCAGCCGCAGCCAATGTATCACGCTTTACGGCGGAACGACATTCACAGATCTTCACGGTCACAACCACTTCATCCTCTTCGAAACGTTCTGCTACGGCCACCAGTCCTTCCTCCTGGGAACAAGAGCAACAGCCACAGTCACCATCACCTATGGAAAGACATGGGATGGAGGATCCACCCGTGCGACCCTCGTCTATCTCTCATCCACAACAGCTTTTACAAAAAAGACTGGATTCACGCGCTTCAGGTACAACCAAAAAGAGACGTTTAGCCATGTGATGTTTGAACCGCAACTCATTTTCTCTTTATTCTTTCTTTTCAACCCCCCTTCCACGCTTTTTTGATACCCTTGACCCGCAGATGATACAGCAGAAATCAAATTAAGATTACTAAGGTTACAACAGAAATTCGGTTATAGAACAGAGGTAAACCCTCTCATTTATTATTTTTTTTTGTTTGTGAAAATTGGCTTTTAAAAAATGAAAGGGGACCGATCCTTTGGATTTTTTGTACCTAATTGACATGCGGGAAACTCTCTTTTTTTCTTTTTTTAGGTTGAGGAAGGTACCACGTCTGTCAATGCTGGTTTAACGACTACTTCAAACACTGTATCACAAGCACAAGACGCGTCACTGGTTCAAGCAGCTTCAACAAGACAACCGAGCCTGTTTCAGGTAAAATAAGAAAAGAGCTGTGCAAAGCTGTTTTGCTCTTTCTATTAAACTTTTTTTCTTCGAATCTTCTAAAAAGGATAACTATCAAGGTTCATTAAAGACAGAAACCGATAGACAACAGGCGCTTAAGGATAAAATAGCTAAAATGAAGCAGGTCATCCATTCTGCTGCTTCCTCTTCAGATAGGCAATAAAAAGCATGAAACACCTTGATTGTGTTGTATATATCTCTATCTATCTATAAAATTGGCAAGGTGACAGGCGCTTTTTTAGCATCAAAATAGGCAATAGGGATGTATGCACGGATCTATTCCCATGACAGTTTTTGAGTGACAGAAAAATCTTGTTTTTTCTTTTTTCACGTTGGTACGCAAAAAAGTGTGAACCCTGAGTTTACAACCCGAGAATACGTCCATACATGTTTATTTGTAGTGTAAAATACATGAACCTGAACGATGATGACCGGTGCAGGTGGGTGTTTCAGAATGTCCACCAAAAAATGGGTGTTAATGTACAAAAGCGGCATAAAGCGGCGCTCATCGTACCTATCATCATACACACTCACACATTGTCTCTCATTTTGAGTTTTTGACTAAAGCAAAAGAGATCGACCTAGAAGCTACATGTTAAACAGCTCCGAACGAAAAAAACTGATACTTTTGTTGACCCATTGAAAAAGACTATGTATAAAGGATGAGGTTTCTAATACAATAAGCTTTCCTCTTCTTTTTTCCCTTTCTGTTCAACTCTATTTATTTACCTGTCAAAAAGTGAATATGAAGGTCTCATTCATTGGGCTTGCTGCCATTGCTTTAGGTGCTCAATATGCTTTCGCTTCCGCACCCTGTGCTTGTAACCCTTCCGATACCTTGTGTCTTACCAAGTGTAGTAAGTAATAGCATTGCTAATCTTGTTGGTGTGTCTGTGATTGGATGGTGTGTTTCATTTATGACGGGCATAAGCGTACTTATTCACTTTTTACAAACCCCCCTTCCGCCCACTTTTTCCTTTGTAGTGATGTGTGTCAAGTCATGTAGCTCCACTGATTTGAATTGTTATAACGGCTGTCTCCATCAAGTTGACTCGCAAAGTTCTTCTTCATCAGAAACCCCTTCTGCTACCTCTTCAGCTACGCCTAGCCCTACGGATGCTGCTTCTAGCTCTGCTCAGCCCACGAGTGCTCCTGCCTCTACTGACAGTGCTGTCACTTCTTCTCAAATGTCTACTCATGCTACCAGCTCTCACTCCTCCAGGAGGGTCGTTACCGTGACCACAACTATCACTCCTTCAAAGAATCCTTCTGTCCAACCTACTTCCTCAAGTATCACTCCCCCCGTCGCTCCTTCTTCATCTGCTCCTGCTTCTGCTGCTCCCACTACCACTGATGCTGCTCCTTCCTCATCTGCACCTGCTGATCCCAACGCTTCATCTCCTGCTCCTAGCAGCACTACTCCTGGTGGCATTGTTCCTGTTCCTGTTCCTACTGGCAGTGCCTCCTCCTCTGCTCCAATCGAAAGTGCTCAACCTACTGAAAGTGCTCAACCTACGGATCCTAATCAGTCTTCTAGCGCCCAGCCCACTGAAAGTGTTCAGCCTACTGACTCTAATCAACCTTCTAGTGCTCAACCTACCGATCCTAATCAACCTTCTAGTGCTCAACCCACTGAAAGTGCTCAACCCACTGAAAGTGTTCAACCCACCGATTCCCAACCTTCCAATTCTGCACAACCTACTAACTCAGATAATAATAGAGAAATTCAATCTTCTACTCAACAACCTACAGACAGTGCCTCTCAAACAAGTTCTGCACAAACCACTGAAACCACTTCTACCACTGTTGCTTCTCAGCCTACTGAATCAGCTTCTACTCAACAACCTACAGACAGTGCCTCTCAAACAAGTTCTGCACAAACGACTGAAACCACTTCTACCACTGTTGCTTCTCAGCCTACTGAATCAGCTTCTGCTACTCCTGCACCTGATAACAACAACCAAGGCAATAATGGCAACCCTAATAATAATGGCAATCAAGATAACAACGGCAACCCAGACAAGAATGGCAACCCAGACAATAATGGCAACCAAGACAATAACGGCAACCAAAACAATGATCAAAATGCTGCCAATTTTAAGGCACCTGCTTTAGGTTTCACTTTGCTGTGTGTTGCTCTCACTGCCTTCTACTTATAATACAATCTTCACTTAAATCGCAAACCCCTATTTTTTATTTTATTCTAAACAGTAACTATATATACTAATCTAATCCATGATTGATAACTATTATGTTTTCATAGCATATCTCTTTTTTTTTTTTTTTTCCTTTATAAATAAATACATCATGATTTGTAAAATTTATTCTAACGCCTTCTTTGGCCCTTTTTTTTTTATTTGTTACCGAGGAAAAGAAGGCCCTCGTCTTCCAGTGGTTTGGTCGTTAAACGTGCTCCGGGTGGACCGGGTTGAGTTATGTTTGCTTCCCTATCATCAGTTGGAGATGACATTTTCTATATATAAAAAAAGCAACGTGTATTATACTGTTTACTTATTTAATAGTAAAACACGATGACAATGAAACGCAATATTAAATTAGGTACATTGTTCGTTCAGCGGTTTATGAATCCTATATTCAAGTCGTCATACGTTTTTCAACAATGAGTCTAATTTAGAAACCAGTCTGAGTTGTTTAATTCAATACGTTAAACAGAATTCTTTTATTGTATTTGAAACCCAATGAGCACCAAAAATGGCCCGAGGCAGATCCGACTGTTTATAAAAGTATCTAAAAAGCCCTTTAAGATCAAGGGTAAAAACGAGTGTGTCACAAGGTTGAGTGATGAGAAGGAGACATCCATTGGAGCAGTAAAGATCCTAGAGCAACATCCAAGGGTGGGGGTTCTTTGACGTGGAATAGATAGTCTAGCTCATATAGTATGTAGCAGAGGATCGGCCATTGGTGTTCCCATTGATGTTTTATCGTAGGTTGTCGAGGCGGGTAGTTAGGTAGCTGATTTAGAAGATGCGAAAGGGGGATCATCTATTTGCTGTGGTTGCTACAAACGCGAGTGCATATTCAGGCATTGGATTGAGTGGGTCTTTGTGAACAATGCTGAGGGGTGCAGGATGCAGTAGGTGGTGTTACCACTAGGTAACCAACCAAGCCGCCAACGAAGACATCGTCTTCTTTCTTCTCTTGTCTTGGGAGCCATAGTATGGGATCTAAACTTACTGTTGGGCGACAGACTGATATGAGCTTAGAGTTTGTTGGGGGCGCTTTGCATTGCTTGTAGTGATTCTGTACAAAAGTCTTTCAGGGACTGTTTGAGATATTTCTGATCCATCGTCGGGGCGTTTTCCTTGGTTCTTTGCCAGAGAGGTGTACGAGAGAGCTGATTCCAGATAGAAGAGCTTTTTGGTTGTTGTACATACGGCAGCAATAGGCACAGTAGGGCATCATCTGGGAGTGTTTGTGATCGTAACAGGAATTTAGCCTGGAGAGCGTAGGCTCTTTCTCGCATTGAGGGTAAGTTGGCTAAGGGACGCATTATCTTGACAGAGGATCGAAGTGACCTACCAAATATCCTGCGAATGCATTTGTTCTGTACGTTGTCCAGTTTCATATAATTTGTCCTGTTCAGTTTGCTTATCGCCAAGCCGTATTCCAGTGGGGTGCGCACAAATCAGGTGTAGAAGCTGTGGTATTTCCATACCTCCTATAATATATAAAGACAAATTAGACACACTTTCAAGCATTTGACTTGTTATTAAGATCATAGAATCATAATAACACCTGTACACGTCACTTTGTATTCTAAAGACATGCGTATATTTAATGCTGCATTCTTACTGGATGATAATTTCAGGAACGAGTATTTAACTCCTTTTTTTTGTTTTTATTTTTTTTTTTTCTCTCTTCCTTCTTTCTTTTGTTGTCAAATACAAACATTCAGTTTGCCATGAACGCTCCCCTCTTTGATTTTCAGTGTACAATAAAAGGACTGAAGGTGGGATGGATCCACCTTCAGTCTTTTTCAATTATTGAGTCGCGTTCACTAAGCATAAAACAACCACAAATATCACATCTACATCATTCAAATTGGAAACTTTAGAAGAATCTTTCTCAACAAGAATTTACATCGATGAATATGCTCTCAACAAAGCCATGAAGTTAGCAGAGAATAAAGATGCCAAAGCTGTGACAAATTATAATATTTTAGATCAGTTAAGACAGGTGGGCACACATTTTGAGTCGCCTTCAACATATTATTGTGTTGTGCGTCTGGTTTTGTAACTAGAATGCATCAGTGCCAACCATACTCTATATTTACGTTATCAAACTTTGACCGTGGTCGATGTCCTTCTGCCGAAATATTCTCAAGTATCGCTGATAATGTTTTGCAATCAGGTGACAAAGGAAGATTGAGTAAGAATGTAGTAGAAAATGGTTTGTCAAGTGGCAATAAAGAAATCGAAAAAGTCATCAGCGAAATTCTCAAGCTTTATGGTGATAAACAACAGTCTCTAAGCATCATTGGAGATACTGGATTGAATCCTCTTTTAGAAAAGTTGGCTGTTCTTCACCAACCTTACATCAATTCAGCAAACGATTCATTGGCAACAGCTTTTAACGATTTATTTCAATTTTTCAAAAAGTAAAAATACAGGTGTAGACTCATGAAAATTGTATAAAGTTAAATTCATATCACATATGCAATGAGGGTTAATTGTTGTTGAACCTTAAAATAAATGAATATCGTTTTCAAAAACTAGAGCTGCTGTGGAGAAACTGGGGGTTCTCACTAAAAAAATAAACAGTTATAAAATGGAATAAACTGAAAGTACTCTTGGGGAATTTATTCCAGTATAAAGAAATTATCTTTTCCATATCTACAATTATATGGGCTTTATACACATGTGGTGCTTTAAGGTTTTAGAAAGGTTTTAGATGGAAAGACTTGTATAGAATACGTTGAGACTGTTTTGTAGTGTTTATTGGTCTTTTTTTAGTTTAAAAGGTCAAGGAGGAGTCTATCTATATTACATGTACGATTGATAATAATATGTATGATCTTGAATAAATTTAATTTTAGTTTAAGAAGTGCAATATGCTCCAAAGACAAATGTAAAGCGTGTAATGATTTCTATCTGTAGAATTCTTTGTTCCACTTATTAACTTTATCTTTTATTAAGTGTTAATATGCTCAGATCACACAATACAAGTTCGCTATTCTAACTCATTATACGGTATTACATCTGTCCAGCAGAGTCACATGTAGTCTCACAACGTATTTATATCATTCATCAATCTTACATTCAGTTACACATTTTGAAGCTCAATTGATTTTACATTGCTTTTATCATAAATTGCATTGCCTTACCCCTAATATAGTCGGTGGGACATTATATTTGTAAGGCTAAGCTATTTACAATATGTTGATTTCAACACAGCTGCTCAAACACTGATCGTGTGGATTTTGTTTGTTTGGGTGGCCTTCCTTGGTTTGTCGTTTTGATGATTATAGAGTGCTTTGATTTATAATGGTCTCTATATTTGCGTTTATTGTAAAAATTATGATCATTGCAAATGTGACATCGTGTTAAAAATATAGGGACAGTCATTTTGAATTTTAAAAGGAAAAAAAAAATGTCCAATAAAAACTTGAAATTGTCTGAATTTTTTTTGTAAATGTCTGAAATAAAAATGGAAATCGTCCTAAAGAAAAGAGTACGTCAAATACTGTATTTCGAAAGCTTATTCCTACTGGGTCCTATTTTTACAATCTATTATGAAACATGAACGTTTAAGATAAGGGTCAATTTTTGGGGTAAAAGGAAAGTAAAACAAGGTTGATCTATGCCATATTCCATTGCAAGGAAAAAAGTAAAGATAAAGCTAAAAAGAGCTCAGAAGTGCTTAGTACAGCTTGACTAAGGATGAATCAAGTACTTGGTGTATTATAACACAATCTACCCAACCTGCAGTTTTTGTTTAATTATTTTTCTTTAAAAAAAATGACTATCGAATAGAGTAACCAATGTGGAATCTGTTTATGGGAAATATATGGCATGGATGTGATTGGTCAACCACGTATTCTAGACAATGAAGTGGGTCCCATTTCTTTTTTCTCGTCGGCGAGAATTCAAATGATGGATTTTTTGATGACTGTTAAGCATTCATGAATGAATTGTTTTGGGTGGCATTTTGTTCTGCAAGAGAGACGCGTTGATGGCTTCTTTTCTAACTACAAGTCTGTGCTACAGTAGTCCCATCTTCACCTGCCAAATGAAGATCCGGTGGCATGAAAATCTTTTGCAGACTATAAAAGGTACTAACAACCATCACCAAAATACCAAAGCACATGCATAGCCAATGTGGAATCTTTCCCTTTTCAAATAAGGACCCGCCAGCTAATTTTAAATAGCACAAGGGTGGTAGAACAAATGCCAATACTGTCGCAGAAAAAGCACCTGTCAATTCTAATACAATACCAAGATTACACGTCAATAAGGATATAGTCAATGTTATCAGAATCAATGCTGTAGTGATAAGGAAATGCCGGGTTTTGTCAAACGGTGAATTGGGCCAGTAAAATGTTTCCAACACCTTGTAGGAGACAATAGTAGAGGGGTCAAAGGAACGAATGGTTAGTAATATGGATAACCAAATGAGAGTCTCAAGACATGCGTTTTAAATACCTCTCTGCATACAAAGGCTTCCAAAGGAATCGTTGTAAACATATTTAAACCAAAAGCCAATCTGGCAATGTTGATGAGAAAGTTATCCGAAGGAAAATTGTTCAAAATATTGCCTATACATAGAGCGCATCGTCAAAAGGATTTCAAAGTAGTGAGCTCTTCAACATCCTTCTTTGATTCTAACAGACATAGTTGTGAATATTACCGGCTGTTTTGTCTGTAAATATCACGTATCCGAATACTGCTAATGCAAAGCACGCAAAGAAAGCGATGGCCATGCTCCAATGAGTAACAATAGCAAAACGGTTGAGCGAAGGTTGTTTCAATGATCCAAATATCAAAAAGCTATTATGATGACAAACAAATGCTTTAAGTTTTTGTTAATCCATCTTGATTATTAGCCGCGTTATTATTATCCCCTTTTTTCAGAATAGAATGCTCATACCAAAACTAATGACTGCAATGGCTTGGAATACTTCGTTGTGTACCACATTAAACATCAAATCGCTCGAACCCCGGATTTCTAAGGAAGTTCTAGGCCCTTCAATAGCAACGCCAATAATAATGACGATGATAGCGATCAAAGCCAACGCGCTTGTTTTTGCCAGTTTTGAGATATCTCTGTACAATGACAGTGGATACGATACGACTAATGTAAAGAATGAAATACAGAGTTTTCTGTCGCCAAATATCCACAAAACAGGTGTTTGAACAATGCTCGGGTATAATGATCGAATGACATGCGGAATAGTATCACCTAATGTTGTCGCAGTGATTAACTTCATTTTATCAGTTCATCATTTTTGCCAATTTAGGCCTACACGATGACTTTCTTCTCTGATCAGGTATAAGTCATAGTCTTTAAAAAAGAGTCTTACCTATAATAACACAATAAGCACACATACCTAAGAGTTGAATGAGGCAAAGGCCGCTTTCCCTTTTAATATCGTAGGCACTTAGAAAGGAATGATGCTTGCAAAGTTACCTCCAAAAGCAAAGGCAAACTGAAATATAGATATTGCAATGAGTCCAGGTCGGCCGAATGAGAATTCCATTAAATCTTGATACGTTGATCGGCCTGCCAACTTTCCATTGAAAACTAATAATCGCACAGTCCAGTCTAAGAACGATAGAGTCATGCCAATCGCATAAAGTGTCAATAGGAATTATCTTCTTTCCCAATCACGGCTAAAAAGAAAAAAACCACAGTCTTTTTCTGCTTCTCTTCCTCCTACCTACTATCACAGTGATAACAACTAAAAATACTATGCCTGTCCAAAAACCCTGTTAGATCAGTCATAGAACTACATTGTAAGTTCTCTGTTTCTATGCAACATTAATTTTTTTGTTTGATTGTCTTACAGCCTCTTTAAATGCAAATGGTAAGCCAATAATGCCTGCTCCGATGATACTGTTTGCCATATTGAGCTATAACAGGAATAAAATAAAAACCAGCGGCATAAATATTACAGCATGTGTTGGTTAAAATAAAAAAAAAAAAAGAAAGCTGTCTTCCATATTAAAGTGTCCAGAAACGGACAAACTAAAAGAAGGGGACATCGAATAAAGTGTTACATACAAAGCTCGAGAAAATTGTTCCACCGTCAGAAGGTAGCTTGTATGATTTTTGCTCTATCGTGTCTGATTCTTCATCACTGTTATAACAGTAGCTATTTTGATCTTCATCAATATCTCTTCGTCCTAATTGCTGTAGTAATGGCTCTTCTTGGGTATCATTGAAATCGTTATCCTCAAATTCAAATTCGTTATAATTCGGCGGCAAAATACGTTGCTCATTAGTTATTTGTTGTTCATAAATCTCTTGCTGCTGCTGTAGATTGTGAGCGTCTAGCTCTCTCTGAGAGTTAATACCATGATGATATACTGAGTGTGTCATAACGTTTTTGATATTGGCATCAAACAAAAGGGGACGGATGATAGTGGAAGGTTCTTTCTTTTTTCTCCTTTTGTATACAAAAAAATACTTCAAAAAGAAGAAGAAATAAGAAAGAAGAACGTCTGTATTGTGGTGAAATTTATTTAACAACATCAGGAGTCTAGAAAGAATGAGTCTAAACTCTGCAAGAGTGATACAAAAGGAAACAAAGCACGACAAGAAGCACAGAAATCTTTCTTTTATTTCGGTTTTTAAGACAGACACTTACAAATATGCATGTACTGATCGCAATAATAAACATATGCTCTAAGAGGAAGGGTATGCGTTGGTTTTGCTTTATTCTATTAAAAGAAGATGATTCAGATAAATACTGACGAATGACGAAAAGAAGACTACAGACTTATGGGCACTGGAAGAAAGAGATAGGTGATACATTTGATACAGTATGCCAAACAATACCAGCTATATAATAAACAATTCTAAATGTGATACTGAGACTTTGTCTAGGCACAGGCGAGGCGAGGTCCTGGTTAATAACCGAACATGCACCCAAAAGAGTCTTGAGAGCTTGGTTATCTGCAGAACGGGTAAAGTTGATGTAAATAGGTATGCTGACCACTTGGTCTATGGATCGTGGCTTCAACATAAGGTGCCCTGAATTGCCTGTGCCGAACGTCTCCCCTGAATTATCTTCAATCACGCTGACAGCAAAATTTTGTATGTTGGTAGGTATCCAATTATCAGAGTTGAGCACAGTGAAGTTCACGCTCCAGATCGCTTCCATGGAAGTGGAGGTATAATGTGCTGTTGTACCGTCTGCCAACCCTGCTTCCAGGAACTGCAACGTTGGATCTCTGGGCCAGACAAAATACCACAATACAGCCACTACCGCCACAAATGCAAATGCGATGAATACCAGTTTTCTACCGCTTATACCTAGCTTTATCCACCATGGTTTTTTTTTCTTTTTCACAGGTATAATGTCAAAATCTGTATCGCTTAATTCTTTGCCGTCTTCTTTGCCCATGCCATTCCCGGTATTTGGATAGTAGCTTTCATCCAACATGTCCATCACTATATTATCCTGAAGCATTGATCCTACAGGACCTCTGTTCGCTGCTTGTTGGCTATCATCCTGTAAATATACCGGTCCATGATTAGAATAGGGATGGTTTGAGTAAGGCAAATAGGAATTGGCTCGCTTTTCCTCCTCTACTGGTTGTTGTTGTTGTTGTTGCTGCTGCTGCTGCTGCTCAATGCCACGGTAGTTTAGCAGTTCCCTCTTTTTAAATCCGTTGTTGTCATGCTTATTCTTCTTTTTGAATCGTGGAGCAGCATATGGATCTTGCTGTTCAAATGTATCCATTTCCTCATACCCCAAAAGTGTATTGCTAGGTGCCGCAAGTCTGGCAGTACTACTTTCTGATGGCGACCTTGAGTGATAGAGTTGATGTTCAGAACTCAGGGTCGGCGAATCATATTCTGATATTGATACCGAAAGATAGAAAGGCATTGTGATTTTCTTTTAGCATAGGGTGATCGAAATACAAGCCTATCCATATCTTCCAATTTTCTTCTCTTAAAACTTAAATATATTGATTTACCTGGGCCTGGCGGAAGTTTTCTGTTACCTGCTCTGTATGGATCAGTCTTATATGTCTGAGTAGAATCTTGAGACATGTGTGATGTCACTGGCGTAATGCGAAGTTCGAATTACTCCAAAAAAAAAGACAAAAAAGTATAGAAAATGAGAAGAAGCGAGAAAAAGGGAAAACCAGGGCAGTACAACAATGAGCGACTTGGCAGAAAGATAAGTACAGAAACAACAACAATCAAAGGTGAGGAAACAGAAATTTAACCTTCTTCCAAATATAGCTCTTCTTCATTCGTACAGTATCCACAGTGTCACACGTTGAACAAACCTGTTTCTGTCATTATGCTGGGCAACTTCTTCTTCCTCTTCTTTGGTCTCAAAATAAGCGAGGTGAAGAAGGATAGAGTAAAATAAAAGACGTACAATGCTAGATACAATATCGTAATGGTTTTTTTATTCGTTATATCTGATGCATTCAAAGTGTACTTTATCCATCATAAATAATTGGGTCAGTAACCACTATCAAAGACATAAACAAATACAACAATTTGTGCCTAGTTTCTTCAAATATGAAAACCTTCGTTGAAAGAATAGCCTCTTGTGCAAATTGGAGAGTTGAGCTAGCAGAAGAAGTATTCAGGAACGAAACTGATCGGTCTTTGAAAAGCCACAGAAAAATCACCATAATAGAAAAATACCATTTTGCCTCCCCCCTTAAACTTCAAGTTCGTTATACATATGCTCAGGTCAGCGAAACAACGTTGTATACCAATCGTCCTTTGTGCAAATAGACAAATTTGTCACAATAAACCACATATACCCTTTAAAAGGATAACACCTTTACGCTATGCCAGTCAAGCAGCTGCTAGCATAGAAAAGCCAGCTTTAACTCCTATCTCAACCAGCGGAACACGGTCAGCAACAGAAGCTAATAGTAGCTTGAAAACAAAGATAATGCATTTTCTATACAATCATCAACAAAATCCTATTCCAACAACCGAAAAAAATATTGTCCTAACAAACTGTCCTCACTGTATTAAAGTGCGTAAGAACAGTTTTGCTGCGTATGTCGATCTTCAGAAAGGGACCTATAAATGTACAACTTGCAAATCGAAAGGATCCTTTAGTGAATTCTCAAGAACACTTTCAAAAAAGATAAAACTAGCAACGACAGAAAACAATTTTAGTATTTTACCTACAACCAGTCTTTTGTCCAAAACAAATTCGGAATTGTCAAGATCACCAGCGGATCTGGATCAGTTTGTGAAAACCCTCCATGAAAATGGAGAACTATTAGCACAGATTAACAAGCAACATCTGATACAGCAAGATACATTAAATGCTTATGGCGTAGGCGTGACTTTTGTAGATAATCAGCCTTATTTAACTTTTCCTCAAACCACCTTGACTTATGAAGACGAGGCATTCAAAACGTCTACCATAAGATTCAAATTATGCGACTTACAGAATCCAAAACAGTTAAAGGAAATCGATCCTCCAGCGACAAGCAAAGAAAGTAAGGCAGGCCTTTTTGGATATCATTTAGCATCATACAAAGATGATACTGTTGTTCTGGCACGAACAGAATTGGATGCCATGGCCGCGTACCAAACAACGGGCATTCCAGCAGTATCACTACCTACTAGCAACTATCAGCTACAAGAGTCTATTCTGCCTTTATTAGACCGTTTTAAACGTATTTACTTATGGCTCGATGACGATGTGGATGGGCAAATTGCCGCTGAACGATTCGCACGTAAAATAGGGGAGCATCGATGCATGATTGTCAATACACGACAGGGAGATCAACAAGGCCCTTTGAACGCACATGATGCGCTTATTCAAAATAGAGATTTGAAATCTATTCTAGAAAATGGTGTGAGGACTATCAAGCACGATCAGATTGTTGATTTCCATGACCTTCGTGAAGAGGTCTATAATGAAATTTTGCACCCTGAACAAACAAAAGGTGTTCAATGTAACGATATACCGCAGTTGAATGAAATCATAAAAGGCCATCGATCTGGGGAATTAACCATCCTGACAGGTCCCACAGGTGTGGGCAAAACGACCATTATCAGTCAGCTAAGCTTAGATTTTTGTAAATCTGGCGTACCAACGTTATGGGGATCATTTGAAATTATGAATAAGCGACTAGCAAAGAAGATGCTGTACCAATTTGCAGGAAAAGATTTGAGCTTACATCCAGAAGAGTTTGATAAAGTTGCGAATCAATTTGAGCAGGTAAAGAAGGGTTGATCACTGATATATAAGCACTTTGGAGGTAATGTTACTAAAGTCTCTCTCTCTCTCTTTTTTTTAAACTTTTTTTTCTTCTTTGGTCATAAAAACCAGTTACCGTTGTACTTTTTAAAGTTCTTCAGTAGTACAGCCATTAAGGATGTACTGAAAGCTTGTCAGCATGCTGTTAACGCGTACGATGTTCGTCATATTATTCTGGACAATCTACAATTTATGCTCTCGCAGCAACATATGAATGGAATGGATAAATGGGATTTACAAGACAATGCCATTGCAGAAATTAGAAACTTTGCTACACAACAAGATGTTCATGTTACTCTCGTGGTGCATCCCAGGAAAGATAATGGGAGTGGCGATGAATTAGACATCAATTCCATTTTCGGCAGTGCCAAAGTCACTCAGGAAGCTGATAACGTGATCATCCTCCAAAAATCGAAAACCAATGCAAGATCGATTGATATAAAAAAGAATCGATTCGATGGCACACTAGGTTCGATACCATACAAATTTGATAGAGAGACATACAAGGTAAAGCAGGTCGTTGAAAGTAATGTGTATGTACAATAGTACTGATGATCACTTTTTACTTGGTAGATTCGACAATTCACGGCAGAAGAACTGATGAAATTGAAGAAGGAACAATTCAAGTATGGAAGCACGTCTGTTGTCTATAGAAAGTAATTTTGTCTGAATGGCAAAGAATATACTAGCTACATATAAACGAGAAGTAATATAATTTCATGCCAAGGCTATTTGGTCTATTAAACACTCTCATTTTTTATATAAATAAAATAGAAAACTATACTTAGGTATAATAATATTTACAGTATTTTGGTAAAAACTTTTAGCAATTACTTTAATAAAGTATTCCTGAGGTCCTTCAGGCCAGATCCCTTGATTGAACCACCCATATTTTCGTAGTTTTTGATGTACTGAATTGCAGTAGAAATGTTGCCTTTTCTAAAGGCTGCACTGACCAAATACCAGCAAGTTCTCTCGTCCATCTTTATACCTTTTTTATCGAATGCTTGTAACAGTTTATCTGCCGCAATCAAATCACCATGGAACAAAGCTAAACCACGAATCATAATGTTGAGAGTTGATACATCAGGGCGTAATCCCTTTCGTTCAGTTGCTTCATGTAGAAGATTGAACACTTCGACTGGTATCTTGTCTCTAAGGTGTTCTGATTTATGATGATGAACGAAATAAAAATCAATCATCATGTTGTAGATAGTCATTGCGTCCAATTCTGTCTGCTCTGCGTCATTTTCGTTTGCTTCGTTATCTTGGATAGAGTGCGTTTGACTATTCCCTAGCAATGACTCAAACTTATTCAAGACCTCTTTTACATTTTGATAATTGTTAGATTTCAGAGTTCCATAAAAAGTAACTGCTTGGAGAACATTGCTATGCTTTCCTTGTTGTTTCAACTCATCGTATACACTGTTCACATGATCGATATCTATATGATGTTTATGTCGTAAAATACCATGGAACATAGTAGTGAAGCTGACCATATCAGGTTTTGGTAGAGCCTCGATACTGCTCATCATATCCAAAACTTGTTTTGCTAATTTTAGACTACCCTTTTCGCACAGAAATTTTAACAGCAAGTTGAATGCATAAATAGGCTGGCTTACTTTGTACGCTGACTGTAATATATCTGCTGCATTTTCTGGTATACCTTGCAATAAAGACGTTGGAAATGATTGCTTTTCTGACTCGGAGGTGGTTGTGGATACTGTCAAACGATCTATCAAATCGATAAGAACGGTTTCGTTTGGGTATTTAGCAAGTGCTTTGAATAACAAGCGATGGGTAACTCGATTGGGCTTCATCTGGTGTTCTTTCATAGTGTCTAACCAGAATGCCAGATGTTTCCAATTTTGCCGTTCAATATCGTGCTTTATAAATATATGAAAAGTTGCTTGTGTAGGTACGAACAGTTTGGTTAATAGTCCATCATAAATATCTTTCGGCAATAATGAATCTTTATGGCTGGTAAGCTTGGCGTCAATCATAATATTATACGATGCTGCATCTAGTGGTATATGCCGTTCTTGCATCAGCTGAAATATATGCTCCATGTGCTCGAATTCTCCTGACTTTTGTGTTGCATTCAAAGCTGCATTGTACAATGGCAAAGCATTACTATAGGCAGCGGAAGTGGAAGTTGTGGGGACCATGGACGCCCTTTCCGGTGACGATGTGGGTAGTATAGGTAAAGCTTGCAATATTATATTCAAATCCTTGCTTCTGATATATCTTGGTATAAGTATTTGATTCATTAAATCCAAGCGAAATTGCATATGCCTACTTGCGCTTTCTTTGAAAAATTGAGCAAGTGCGTCGTTAGGCCAATAACTGGCTGCTTTCAAAAAGATTGATCTGGATCGACGATATGTTTTACCCTTGTAGAGATAAACAAAAAAGATGTCGCATATTTCTTTCATGGGCAGTCGTGCTATTTCTGCATAGACAGTAGCTGGCTCAATAGGCTGACCTTCCAATAAGGGCTGCTGCTTTAAAAGGAGACGGCTAAAGTTCTTTCGTAAAATGGCTTTGTTAGGCGAATAATTGCTGCCTGGTGTTTTTTGACGTTTCTTTGGGGTTTTTGGTAGTCGAATAGGTGCGTTGATTCTCTGTTTGTGCTGAACTGTGTTCTTCAATGTCTGTTGGACATCAACCTTAGCGACAAAGGACATCGATCGCGCGATTTTCACCAAGGGTTGTGGCCAATGTGCATTTTGTACAAGCCATTGGTTAACTGATCTATTCACTAATAGGCTGTAATTTCTAGAACAAATACAAGCGCGAGTGGCCATTACTGCCCATAGGACCACTAACGTGAAAGTCTTTATAGGAAATCAAGGAGGTTTAATTCCGACTCTCTTCCTCTTACCCCAGGGTCGTGTCCTAACTTTTATTTTTGGAAAAATAAAATTGATAATCGCCCAATGAAATGCCCCCATTTTTGCCCACAACTTTTTCAAATATGGTAGGTACGAGTTAATAATACTTGAGAGGGTGAGTTAATCAAACTATAGATTTTGCAGGAGCTTTCTAGAGAAGTAAACAGATGATTTAATTTACGATCAAGTGCAAACCAACGCGGATAGAGCTGCCCATCTCGTTATCCATGATTCATACGAATCCGGTGAATCATTAGAATCTTGAAAAGCTTCTGGGTCTCTGAAAGCTAAACAGCCCTACGCGAGATGTTCTCCATTTCGTCGCGCCACCAAATGCTACTTCGGGTTCACGATCTCAAAAATTTGAATTTTGCTGACTGTTTCTGTACTATTATACCAAAGAAACAGCATAAGGGAAGTCTGTAGCTTTAGTATTTAGCTTAGACAAAGGCAAGACGCTCATAGAAAGTGAAGTAAAATTTGCTTGTGCAATGCGCCATGAAAACCTCTTCAGATGTCCTTTCAGTGCTTTTGCTTTTTTTTATGTTTAGTTTACTCAGGTAACTCATTTGTTCACAAGAATTCAGTATCTTACTAGAAGGAGCACTAATTCATTCTTTTTAAAGAACAACGGTGATTTCTTGAAAGAATATAGATGGCATAATTGGAAGGTTTTGCGTGGAGGTCGCAACCCAGAGAAAAGTTTTGAGTGGCGTTTCGCAATAGAAGACTGCAAAACAAGCGCTCTTAGATCAAACAATCCATACAACTAGACTGACCCATGGTGGACGCCATGCTGGTGCAGGGGAGGCTGAAGCTCTAGGTATGCCTATTGATCTGATCAAGCGTAGAGGAGGATGGAAGAATCGTCTTAGCAGCTGGGAGACTCGATACCTGGGAAAACTTCCATCGCAGTTCGCAAGAGGTATGGCTGACTTCTGGTATAAGCCTTTCGGATTAGCAAGAAACAGCGTATCACCACCAATTGAACTTCAGCGAATGATCTTCCCTTGGACTGAGTATTATTTTGGCGAGAACAACATTGAGTGGATGGCTGTATGTGAGCGAGAAATGAAAGAAATTGACGAGAACGAAGATGAGGAGGAGAACATGGCCAATGTAGAAATCAGAATTCATTGGAATTTGTTGATGAGGATGGAATCATGGTTTATCGAGAAAGTCGAAGAAAGGGAAAGCAACGAGCAGTTCAGAGCTGCTTAGGCACAGCAAAAAGCTGTTTTTTACGACTTTTGATCAGATGCATATCAAAGCAAAGAAAGACACATTTCACTTCCGTGACGCATCTTCATCTTTATATGTACCTAAGCGACCCAAGATTGCAAGCGAGAATATTCTTACCTTGTCTCTTATTGCAACCATTATCAATCGCATTGCAAGCCAACAAATTATTGATCGAGCGAGTTAAGTGTCTTTGAAACTATACCCAATTGCATACAGCACTCTAAAACAAGCCCTGGATGGCATCAGCTTAGACCCTATACTCTGGCTCCCCATGACTAGCGAAGAGCGTAGCCGCTGTATCTGACGGCGTTCGGGTTGGCTTCCTGGAGGCCACCGAACCTATTGCCTTAAACATCCCTCGTCATTACTTGAAAAGTTCCACGCTATCTCCTGTTTAAACATTCACCATCGCCTACGACTCCCCTCATCAGTCGAGTTGCTAGAGTAGCTTCGGTAGCTTTGGTAGCTTGAGTAGCTTGAGTAGCTTCGGTAGCTTCGGTAGCTTCGGTAGCTTGAGTAGTTTGAGTAGCTTGAGTTGGTAGCTTTGGTAGCTTTGGTAGCTTGAGTAGCTTGAGTAGCTTGAGTAGCTTCGGTAGCTTGAGTAGCTTCGGTAGCTTTGGTAGCTTTGGTAGCTTCGGTAGCTTCGGTAGCTTCGGTTGGGCTTTAGAAATTAATATTATGTAATAAAATCTTTGTTTAAACGTATTGGCGGTTAGGATTCTGTAAGTAACTTTGTCCAATTATATTTCTGCAGAACTTCCTAATTGCTTAAAGGCGGATTTGGTTTAATTTGTGACGTCTATTTCCATTTCCAGGAAGTAACAAATCTTATTACCCCAGCTATTCAGACAAGGAACCTTTTCTTTCCTTTTGTTAAAAAAGCTATCCATTACAAAGTATGTTCTTTCAAAGATCCTTCTTCACTAATACTTTACGCAATATACCCAATTTGATCAGTAATACTACAACTGCAACTACAACATCGACAGTAGCTTCTGTTTCCGCACGATCGAATAATCATTTGTTGTCTTCAAATATCCTGTCTAATACCAAGTGCGTATCATGAACATAAGACATAACAGCAATTGCTATCTATATAATGAATTATTCATTTTTTTATTACCTTCATGACAGTGCTTTAGGCGCGTTTCGTAGTCCTTTCAATCTTACACAAATGCGTTTTATCAATCGTGGCAATACCTATCAGCCCTCGCAACTTGTACGTAAAAGAAGGCATGGATTTTTGCACCGTCTCAGTACCAAAAATGGCAGACGTGTTCTTATGAGACGTCGTATGAAGAATAGAAAGAATTTATCACATTAATTATCAGATCCTTAACAAATTATACTTTAACAAAGGCCGAAAAACATAAACACACACTCGCACAACCCAAGCACACATACACCTCAAAACTTAAAATATTTATAGATAAACCGTGTTAAATTGTTACACCTCTTTCCAGCTTTATTGACGTACTTTGGACACTTGACGGCCGTGATAATGACTGCTGCATATTCATGACCGTATTTGTATGACTTATGGATTGTAAAACAATAGAACTTAAATCACCTATAGAAGCTTTTGTGGTAGCGGATAATAGTTGTTGCAAATGTTGACGAAATATTCGGCCTTTTTTGCCTTTGTAAATAGACATGAGTGGTTTCAGCAATAGTGATAAGGGCGGCAGTCCATATTCAGTAGTTTGCTGTTCAGACAAAAAGTAGAGATTTTCAGCATAGTTGAGGTATTCATTGATAATCTCTTCAGTTGGTTTGATCTTGTGTTTTCTGTATATCGATTGTTCAATTTCTTGTAAAAACAGAGGATCATTCATTACTGTACGAGAAATTACAAGTTAGAATATGATGCGACATGCTTCACCCCTGCTTAAACCTTTTTTTTATTTTTATTTACCTTTTCGGCCTATCATACAACCATCGACAAGTTGAAGGGCGTTTTGTATGTCATGAGTCGTCGTAAAGCCTCCATTAATTGTGATTATCAAATCCGGGAAAATTTTTGCTAATTCATAGACACGTTCATAGTTGAGAGGTGGAATACTTCGGTTTTGCTTTGGTGTTAGTCCTTTCAGAATACATTTTCTTGCGTGTACAATAAAGTGAATAGGCGGTTTTTTGTTGTTTGAAATCAAAGTCTTGACATAATCCACAAGGAAAGCCAAGTCCTCCTGGTCGTCAACACCGATTCTACACTTTACAGTGACGGGAATAGTGACGTTCGCCTTGTGCATTTCATTAAACATATCATTCATTATCGTAGGTGTCTTCATAAGAACAGCTCCAAATGAACCATGTTGTACGTTCGGGCTAGGGCATCCATTGTTGATATTCACTTCAGCATAACCTTGATCCTGTAAGATCTTGGTGGCCAGGGCCATGTTTTTTGGATCACTGCCACCCAGCTGAACTACGACATTACCTCTAGGCTTCCCAATGAAGCGTTCGAGATGTGGCTCATGCTTTAAAATGGCGTTGCTGTGAACCATTTCAGTGTAGTACGTGAATCGCTCCATTCCACTTATAATGTGAAGTAATTCTAAGAATGGCTTTGAACGTGAACTGTCAGTTCTCAAGGTTCCTCATTTGCTTCGCCATACTATTGGAGAAAAGGAACTTTTCTTACCGGTGATGTTATATCGACCATAGGTGCTACACTGATAGGTCTTTTTAGCCTGCTTTTATCAATTACGGTGCATAGTGTTCTTCGTAAATATGGGTATAGCAAGGTGTTTCTTGTAAGGTGGAAAGGCATTTCAATACAATTAAAGTTTCAACAGATCGAATGAAGCGGACAAACTACCCAGCGGTAATCAAAAAATTGTTAAGGTGTTCTGGGATATTGTACGAAATTCATGAACATCGACTACGGATAGGAGAAAGCAGGATTCGAATTACCGACAGTAGATGTCTTATCTAGCGTGTAGATTTTGTAAACTGTCTTCTCTATCCTTAAGCTGCGGAATTGGCAGCATCGTCTTCGCTACGACGATTTCTGTAATATGAGGAACTTTTTTCTATTTGTCCAAGCATTAATATGCCTTTTTTTTCATTGAGACATGAAATACGACGAACAGCTTCCCTCATCATAGCATTAAGGATAAAATTTAAAAATTCCAGGTTATACACAGAAACAGAACCACAGTATATCACAAACATCCTATAAATAAAGTCCATGCAAAGGAGATGGAAAATACGGAAAGAAAGATATGAGATATTGAATTACGTCCTTCTGGATATACAGAAACGTGCTGAAACCTTTACGACTGAGAATTGCAACATATTGTCCTTTAAACCTAGATTGCTTGTCAACTGCTGTCCAGGTTAATTTGTACCTGAATAAAAGACATGGTTGTTTTAGCCTATAACATCAATTTGGTTGCAATTTGTGTTGTTAAAAGAACAGCTCCGACTACCAATTTTTTTGTTATTTGTAAAAGGGCCATATTTTGGATTTTTGCTTCAAAGACCGCACAAAAACCATTTTATTGTAGTCGAATGCATGATATATATATAAGTGTCATATATGTTATTATAAGGAAAAACTCTTTTACTTGAACAACGACAAGAGAATCCTCGCAAATATCGCTAAAAATTGGTAAAGACCGCTGAGATTAACCTACCTCTTTAACGTGATTAACATTTGAAACCCCACACTAAGGTTTTGTTACACCAAGCTTATTTCCTAGCAGACAATAGCCATCAACAAATAAGTTTCTGTTACAAACCAGCACTGGCAGAGAGGAGTTCCTCAGAAAACGTCGATTTGCTCATTTTTCGTTCTTCTCCAGTAGTTTGTCTCATTGCTTTCCCCCATCTTAACAATAAACACAACGGAACGTCATGTCATCCAGTTCAGTTTCACATGTTGAAACTGTTGAAGGAAAACGTATTCTGTGTACTGCTGATGTCAGAGGTAATCCCTTCGAGGAATTATTCTCTCTTTCTCTTTTTCTTTGCTTATGTTCTTTTCACGGATACTGTACTTAAAGATTCAACTTAATTGCAATTAGGAAATATATCAGAATTAAATCGACTTGCACATGAATTAAACGCGGACTATATCATTCATACAGGAGATTTTGGTTTCTATGGTAAGTAAATAGGATGACTGAAATAACGGTGAGTATATTGTGTACGTGTTTGTGATTATACTCATATTAAAATAAAAAATGTTAGACAGATCTAGTTTGGAGAGGATGGGTGAAAGGCCTCTGAAGCATTGGATTCAGTATAGTACCTTCATTTCTGCCCAACAACGCCAACGCTTACTCTATAATTCCTCCTCTTTTGAGCACATGTGTCGGATGATAGAACAATCACCAACCACACTATTATCTGAATTCCCTGACTACTTGGAAGGAATCAAACAATTATCCGTGCCTGTTTACACTGTCTGGGGCGCGTGTGAGGACGTTGCTATTTTGGAAAAGTTCCGTCAGGGCGAGTATCATATACATAATCTCTATATATTAGATGAAGCATCCACTCATGTTTTGGAAGTGGAAGGCGTCTCCTTACGTTTATTTGGGTTGGGTGGAGCAGTTGTACAGCACAAATTATTTGATAATGGAGAAGGTATGGATACCATTGCCGGCGGTCTTGGCATGATGTGGACCACTGCTCTACAAATTGGTGAGCTCGTAGAACTAGCTGAAAGTGTTTATGACCCAACAGAAACAAGAATGTTAGTGACGCATGCTAGTCCCGGAAGAGAAGGACTTCTGGCTCAGTTGGCACTTACGCTTCAGGCAGACTTTACAATATCAGCAGGTTTGCATTTCCGGTACAATATTGCTTACAACGAGTTTGCCTGTCAGCCAGATCAAGACCACTTTAGACAAAGACTGTTGCAATCTCAACAACAATTTATGCAGTTATGGGACACGATTAAGGACACAGTAGAAGAATCAGTAGATGATCGTCAATATACCCTTCTTCGTCATGCTTTAAACGTAGTAAACCGTATACCGCCACCTTCGCCTGTAACAGCAGCAGAAATAGATGTAGCGCAAGAAAACTTGGATACGAAATTCTGGGAAAGGGACGAAATGGCTTTCAAAAATATGTGGAATTTCAACTTGCCCGACGCGGCTTATGGTTCACTTGTTTTCAATATATCCCAAGGTATCATGTCATCTGAAATCAAATCTTATGGCTTGAATTTCACTTATCGTAAGCAACAACAACAGAAACAACAGCAACAAGATGAACAGCAAAAGCAAGACATGTCTGTTAATACGCCATCCTCGTCACCAGCTTTATCTAAATTATCACCATCGAACCAGCAAACACAGAATCAATATCAACGAAAAAGACAGAGCATGAATATGATGCAGCAACATCAACGCAATTTATTCACCCTTTACGTAGGAGGGCTATCAAATACCACACTCGAAGAAGAAGACATTAGAGCATATTTTGGCTATGAAAATGTAAGTTAAACACACATAAGCTACATTTCGTCTGCTCATACATATAAATGAATAATTGTTTTATGCTTAGGTGGCTGGGGTGAAATTCCCTGTTGACCCTTCCACTCAACTACCAAAAGCACACTGTTACGTGGAATTCACAAGCCAACAAGCGCTTGAGCAAGCACTAACAAAAAATGGATCGATATTCAAGGATAACAGATTGATTATTAATCGTCCAAATACACAATACTCAGATATCCGAAGAAGCAGTAGTAATAATTCATTTCGAAGAGGACGCATGAGTTATCAACATGGACAACGTGATAGCCGTACTCTATATAATTAAGCCCAATCGATTGGTTCGTATATCTTAAACTATTACAATAAACAGCTGCACAATAACCTTATGACATATTCTTCCCCCCCCCCTTGCATTGTTACATATTGTGAGAAGGTTTCGTAATCTGATACCTTACATTTCACGTTTCAATTCAACAAGAGGCTTTATTGCTTACAATTCAAATACAGTATATAACGCATTCCAATGCAATGAAAACATAACAAAAGTTCACCCAATACTACTAGATAATCTACTTGGCAGGGGCTAATCCTACACGATTATTACCCAAATCATAAACGCTGTAGAATTTACGTAGGAAGACGTCTCCTACGATCCAAAGAGGGCCAGCAGGTGCTGGAATATCCATGCCCATGAAACCTGAAATACATTGGTTTTGTACTTGCAAAACGTAATCTTCTCCTTTCAAACAGAAATCATGTCCAGAAAATACGAAACAGAATTCAGGCAGGTCAGGCACCTTATTGCACTCCAAAACATATTGGCCTGCCCAGTTCTTTTCGGCTCCCAATTCTCGATTGATTAAATCTGCGACTGTTGTGGGTACAACAAGAAGTGAGCTACCGGTATCTATAGCAGCACCCACTGTGTCCAGATTGATATACTCGCCGCCGAACTTGATGTCTTCTAAAGTGATTTCCCAATATCCTTTACGACGCACATCTGACCATATCAGTTCACCACGATAATGGCGAGGATCTGTACCGCCCAACATCAGTTCACCGCCTTCACTGTCACCACTATCAGCTAACCAGAAACTGAAAAGAGGCTCATCAACGAGATCTTGATTCACCATGTGGTAAAACGGTGGCACAGTATGCTGAACCGAAATGGTATCGTAGCCCATGCCCAAGATACCATCAAATTTTGCAAAAGCGAACGTAAAACCTGGTTCTTTGACTGATTCAGCAAACCCTTGATTTTCCACCTTAATGCCACCTACTTTTAATACATCTTGACTGATGAAACCTTCAAGTGAGCCAGTACCGTATTGAATTTTGAATTCAGTACCATTTTCAGCAAAGCTTTCGGATTGAGAAGAATCGTAACGTTTATGGAAGAAACAAGAAATAGAGTTACAGTGGGTGGAAGGAACCCAGAGGTTAGAGGAACCCGTGTCAAAGACTACTGTAAAAGTTTGAGGAGGTGTTCCGAGCTGTATTTCACCATAGTATTGGGCATTCATGTAGTTGGAAAGAGGAACACCATGCTCACCGGTTAGAGCTAGTGTGGATGTTGGGTGGTGAGAACCAGAAAAGGTACGATGAAAGTACTTTTGAGCCAAATACTGGCCTGTTTGAGAGTAGCGTTGAAGTCTTTCAGCAGGTGTTTCATGATGCTTCTTGATAGGCACTCTTTTTTGGGGGTTGGCAGATCGGAAGAAAGTAAGTATCATGCTTTTTCTACGCATGTGTTCTCCAATTATACTTGTGTTTATTACCTGGTTATAGCACCTTCTGTCGTTACTGTCAATACAGACAGAAGTGATAAGAGAGTAGCACTGGAAAATGTCCAGATTTTCATTTTTGAAAAGTAATGAAAAAATCAAAATAAAAAAGAGAAAAAAGGTTAAAAAATCTCACACTAAGAGTCCATAATAAAGATAGTCGTAATTTGATCATTTGATCGTTATACGTACTCTTTATACCCACAATCAACAGTAACAGTGCTTTGCTTTTAGTATAGCTTCTGCTCAAAAATGCAGTTATAAAGGTTTTCTGTTTATGGTTTATTGTGGATCTCCTTTTATTCACGATAGTGAGTTGACTGCAAATGCAATTACATAGCTTGGTTTTTACGACATTAATAGTGGTGGTTGCATCAGCAGTTTTGATTGCATTGTTGGTATCACAAATGGAAAAAATACATTCTGCATGAACAAATCACAACTTTTTGAGTGCTCTTTGGAAGAAGAGAGGATAACAATGTAAGCTAACTAGCTGTCTTTTTTTTTTTTTTTTTTTTTTGTTTTCTTAAAGGCATTAGTAGAAGGTTTTTGATCTCAATATGAGACAGTACATGACTATGGAAAGTGCAAGACTCTATGTGTGTCATCTTATTGTGCTCAGTTTTCTAAGGTCATGATTGTATTTTTAAGCTACTTCAACGACAGATATATTTAATAACTCTTAGTAGTCGAATTCAAAATTATCGAAACTGCCTGGGTTCCATTAGATCCTTCTTGCAAGTGTCATAGTGAATGGAAAACTTTATTGGCCACCTATGTTGCATTTACATAAGACTATACTCCAAAAATAATTTGTACTTGCTCTTATCAAATGGCAATTAAAACGCCTGGTAGTATATTTTAGAAAGGTTTTTCGCTAATGAAATGTGGCTCCTCGATTTACATTATGGTGTTTCTGCCGCCTTCGCCATCCAGATAAACGCACTAATCCTAACTTTAACAAACAAAAGTCAAAAAAATCTAAAGTTTCTCAACCTAGTTATCGGTAAGACCTCTGCTACGATGGCATAGAATAGCTTTGATAAACACCAAAGCCTAATTGTACAAAGCGGGAGGGCAATAATAATCATAAATGAGATCGATCGCAATCATATCGATACATATCAAAAAGATAATTCGGTGGCGTATTATCTGAGCAAATCAGTCGCTACTTTTCGTACATATCTTAACTGTTTGCAATAGATTTGTCTTTTCATATTAGGGGTTGTTTTTATAATTTTGGGCATTGACTATTCAGGATTTCCGACTAGCTTATACCCACTCTATCGGCATTCAGTTCAAGTTAATTGCTGATACTAAACGAGTATTGTTCATCGACAGTAATCATCAGCTCATATAATGGCTTCTTTTCTTACTGTACTTCGTGTTAAAGCTAAAGTCAAATACGCTTTTGCTACCTTTGCTCGACTCGAAGCCAAAAGCGAAAATTGATGGTGTGCGCAGAATCCGGATTAAAAATCCGCAGTGAAGATAACGGGTCCTTTCATCCTGGCACTCACTTAGTACACTGTGTGTGGGCGATTTTTTTATTCTTCTCGTGTCTCATTTTTTATCTCCTATCATTTGAGTTCAATTTTTTCCTCTTTTTTCCAGCCTTCTTACAGTACCTTTGGCCATATATACAAAAGTTTCACACAATTACAGCCAACATTACTTAAGAAGTGACAATTTACACCCAAGTCAAGGCTTACTCTCATATTTTTTCATACTTTTTGCACTCGTTCCAATCATATAAGCAACTAGCAACATACAGTCATGGATCTGAGAGTTGGAAATAAGTACCGCATCGGTCGTAAGATTGGTGCAGGTTCATTTGGTGACATCTATTTAGGTAAACACACCTCCGTGATTGGAATTATGCTTTCGCTGACATGAAGATTTCAAAACATGCAATATATTAGGCACAAACATTATAACAGGAGAAGAAGTAGCGATAAAATTGGAGTCCATTAAAGCCAAACACCCTCAACTAGAATATGAAGCAAAAGTATATAAAGCTCTATCTGGTGGCGTAGGTGTACCATTTGTTAGATGGTTTGGTGCTGAATGTGACTATTATGCCATGGTCATTGATCTTTTAGGACGTAAGTATGAGATTGACGAATTTGTTGCTTAAATATGCCTTTTTTTTCCATTTTGTATAAACATATGACTATGCACACAGACTATAAGAGGAAGTTACTAATGTTTACTTTTGTAAATATATAGCTTCGTTGGAGGATTTATTCAACTTTTGTAATCGTTCATTCTCTCTGAAAACAGTACTTTTATTAGCGGATCAAATGGTATGAAGAAAGTCAAATAATTGAAAACCGAAACGTATTGACTAAAGCGTTTACCTTCACTTTCTTTAGCTGTCCCGTATTGAATATGTTCATTCAAAGAACTTTATTCATCGTGATATCAAGCCTGACAATTTCTTGATGGGTGTAGGTAAAAGAGGAAATCAGGTCAACGTGATTGATTTTGGTTTAGCAAAGAAATACCGTGATCCCCGTACGCACCTTCATATTCCCTACAGAGAAAATAAGAACTTGACTGGCACAGCTAGATATGCTAGCATTAACACACATTTAGGAGTTGGTAAAGTTTTTTATTGAGGATCACATCTAAAGAATGTAAATCCGTTTCCATATTTGTTTACTTTTTTTTTTTTTTTTTGTATACCACTTTATAGAGCAATCTCGACGTGATGATTTAGAATCCTTGGGTTATGTATTGATGTATTTCTGCAGAGGTCAGCTTCCTTGGCAAGGTTTAAAGGCGACAACGAAGAAACAAAAATATGATCGTATCATGGAAAAGAAAATGACTACACCTACAGAATTATTATGTCGTGGTTTTCCGTCAGAATTTGCTATTTATTTGAACTACACGCGTTCACTTAGATTTGATGATAAACCTGATTATTCTTACCTTCGCAAACTGTTTAGAGACTTGTTTGTCAGAGAAGGGTATACATATGATTATCAATTTGATTGGACAATTTATAAAGCTGGTCAGCAGCAGCAACAACAACAACAACAACAACCACTGGTAAACCCTTATCCTGCTGTTGGCGCTGCGGGTAATGGTACGCGTGATGACACACAGAAGAATGATGATCTAAATCCACAGAAACAACCGCTACGTCATCATCAACCACGAGACCAACAGCAACAATCACAACCAAATCAGCAAACAGGGTTCTCATTCCGTAAAGCCAATAACAACAATGTCAATAATCAACGCACGCTTAACAGTAATAACAATAACGCCAACAATAATAACAGTAACAGTCATCTTCCGCATAATTACAGTAGCCAATTCAATAGTACCAATATTAGCAACGTAACCAATCACACAACAAGTAACCATCATTTAAATACTGCTGCTGGAACTCGTATCAATAATAATAACAATCCTTAGCGAAAAAATGGATATATCTATTTTATTATGTGTATATGAATAAAAAGCCTTTTTAAACAAAAAGGAAAAGTCCATCGCTCTATTTATAGTCACCCGTCAATTCCATTTCAACATCAAATTGTTCGTAAGTTACTTTGTATCTTAATCTTACAGGTTCCTAGATTGGGAAGAGTTTTCTGTATTAGATTCTCTAAAGAAGTAAAAACGAAAAACTACATTTTTTTACCTGTTTTGGATTGTTGAGAGTCATATTTTGAGTGACAGAATGGGTTGATTTCGGTGGTAATGTTTGTGAAGATTGAGGTTCCATATTGATTTGCATTGACTTTGGTGCTGCTAATCTCAACATGAGTTTCTCCATAGGAGCTGAGGATTGATTGGAATAAAAAGCCTTGATTTTACAAATAGGACTATTACGATCCTTTATAAGTAATTCAATCTTGAGGCCGTTTTGATTGACCAAAGTAATCAAATTTTGTTTTTCTTCTACTCCTGTTGGTGCTGCTGAGATTGGCTGTTGAGACGGCTGCTGAGATAATGCAAAAGAAGGCGATGGCTGTTGTTGGAACTGAGGTGAAAGAGATGCAAAAATTGGAGAGGATGTAGCAGTAGCAGTGTTGGATATAGAGGAAGGAATAACGGGTGATAAATTATTACTGCTACTGTTACCATTCGTAGTAGCACTCGTGTTACCGAAAAGGTCAAGTATATCCTGCTTTGACGTTCCAGCAAAATTGTTATTGGATGAAGTTGCCGTTTGATTCGACGCTAAGGTAGGTGTCGTAGGTGTAGAAGAAATCTGAACTGTAGCCCCAAATATATCAGCCAGGTCGTTGACAGTGCTACTCGTGCTCGTGGCTTGATTGCTTGGAGATGATGTTGTCGTATCGTCATCGAGATCAATCAAACTGATGGCCTGTTTAGGTTCTTCTCCTACGCCTGCCGTGTTTTGTGAAGGTCCCTTTCCACTAATTTCATAGTGTGTATCGTACAACCCTTTCTTGACATCTGCGAACTTGGCCATAACATTATTAATCATATCATTCAATGTCAATAGATTTTCAATCCTGTCATTATCCTCTTCTTCTGTAATCATCTTTTGTATTTTGGGTTGTGCACTGGCACAGGCATTTTTCAGATCCATGATTGTTTCGTTCTTCTCCACCTTTTCGCCGGGCTGAACTGTTTCGAGCATTTCGTACAGTAAAATTGTTTTGTCTTGTATTTTCGATAGCTCGTCTTCAAACTTTTGACTATAATCAGGAGTCTGACGTGTATCATATCCTGACATGATCTTCATCAGTCTGTTTGCTTCTACTAAATCCTGAGGCCTGCCACGGCGAATCAACTCTTGCAATTTCTAATGATAAATTTGATTTTTAGTTCCTATAACCCATTTTGTAAATTCTGATATTTTGAACTCATGGTAACATTACAGCTGATTGTGCGAGTCTATCTTCTTCTTCCAACTCATGAGCTGACTTTAAGGTCTAAGTGCATAACATGGAGGGTGGGCAAATTTAAGGACATAAAGAACATCTTTAGTTGAAGATCCTTTGTTTCATCGCCATACTTACCTCAGAAGGAGCCAAAGCAGCAACAGAAGCGTCTCTCAATTCTGGAAATCGATATCCTACACAATGTAATCAGTATCAACTATTTCCTTTTTTTTTCCAATCTATGCCACTACTGTCGAGTTACCTTTGAATCTCAACAAACGATACATGTCTTTAATATGTACTAGATCATCTTTATGCTTAGACATGTCTGTTAATGCGACTTTCCATTCTTTGATTAAATACAAAATACGTTGTGTCACAGGGCTGGGAAAAGGCTGTAGATGTGTTTCGTTAACAAACAGCCGCGTCAAAAACCACAAAACGATGTATTGTCACAAACTAAATTCAAATACTTACAGCTGGGCGTTCTGGAAATTTACGAACCAACTCATTTAAGAATTCCTTGGTGGCAATTTGTAAGTGGAAAGGATATCCACAATTTTTAACACAATTGTCCAGTAACTGAAAGAAAATGAGAGGCTCACTTGCTTTAATAATCCAGTTGGTTTTCCGTTTTGAAACTATCAATAGTGTCATTTGCTTACAGTGAGTGCCAACATGGCTTGATTCATATTTCTACTGTTGATGAGTTTCACAATAGTAAATGCTGCTTCGCGCGGACTGAAAATAAAAGAATAAAACGATGCAGTCAAGTTAATAAACATTTTCATCTTTCAAAAGAATTACATTGTTCAATTGTTGACATTTACGCGCTGCCTTGTTTTTTATTTATCATCTCACAAATCTCGAGATTGAGACTTAACTCTGGTTCATAACGCGCAGGACTACATGCCCCCTCTACGTTGAAAGGGATTGTTGTTAGTTTCAGCGAGCAAAAAAAGTAGTCCAACAACACTCATACTTTACCTATGAGAGCTACTAAAGTACTGGGCATAATGGTATTCAACCTGTGTATAACTTTAACTCAAGTGAGAATTACAGATAACACAATGCAATATTGTTGCCTCAGCAGAAGACACTTTTAGAATTTAGTAAACCATCTGAGATTCAATTAGAGATCACTTTTGAAATTCTCTGATAAAGCCTTTTTTAGGAGACAAATTTACATAACCATCTTGAGGACAACTCGCTATCTCTTTCCTAGAAAGACACTGAATGTCTAATTCAGCCCGAGCAATCCTAAGCAGTGACAGTCAGGCAAACTTTTTTGACGCCAAATATCAAAGTGTCATTCGAATCCAAAGGGTATTGGCGTACCTTGCCTTGATGTTGGACAGTACTTTTCAAGAGGTTTAATTAAAGACGAATATGGTGGCAGGAAAAGAGCCCTGTATCCACCTGCATTGATTGTTAATACAACAAATTCACTATGATGCATTTCTGCAAGTATTCATGACAATAATTAATCACAGATATAACAAGTTTTACAATATGAAATATAGTTGTGAGAGACTCTTGAACCTCCTTTGCTGTTGCTGTTGCTGTTCATCAAAGTGAACCAAGATTCGGATATCACCGAAGTCGTCAACATATCTACCGCTTACCATTTGCAAACACAATAGCCTCTTTGTTATTTCAAGTAAAGGAATTCTCTATTAGTGTTCTTGCAAGTAAACTAGCGGTTTACTAAAATTTTAAAAAGTGCCTCCTGCTGAAGTAACGTAAGAGATGTTTTATGGTACAAGCGCAGCAACAATAACTAATATTTCAGTTTTCTGAAGTAGCTCACAAATCAAAGATTGAGGAAAAACTTCAACAAAAGCTCGTTTCATTGGCTGCTCATTGTCATTTATCTGAGTGAGAAACCCTGAGGAATTCGGATCAACCAATATCCAGAATGAACAACTTACATAATCATTCGTTCTTTAAGCCTTTTTTCTGGTTCCTTTTTCTCCTACTTTTCATTATCGTTCTACATCAAGATGATAGACAAAGTTATAGATAAAATAGAAGTCGGCTACAACTATGGTGTAAAAGCCAAAGCAAAAGTCGAAAAGATCGTCGAGCCAGCTACAAGAAAACTAGAACCACATTTGGATCATTTTGCCAATGAAGTGAATCCTATTCTCAATCGCCCTATTGACTGGATCTTATTCTGCTATTTTGTCTCTCACATTCCAATTACGATCTTGTTCGATCTACAACCTCTTTATCCCGAATGGCTCATTCCAGACATGTTGAAACAAATCAGTTACTCATACGTTCAACTTACACATGATCCTTTCATGGATGTTTCGAGGCCTGTCATGTATTGGTTTAAAAGTTTCTCAATTTGTGAAGCAGTTTTGCAGTTGCCCTTTTTCTTTTTTGCTGCCTATGGTGTCTTTAGAAACAAAGAATGGATTCGTTTACCTATTGCCGGTAAGTTTGAACTTTTTCTTTAATTTGAAAGCAATCGATTTTGATCATTTTCTCTCTTTTTCTAAAAAACAACAACACATAGTCTACGGTGCTCATGTGATGACAACTGTTATTCCTTGTTTGGCGGAAATCTATTTGAACCAAAAGCTCTTTGATTTAAGTGATTTACAAAGAAATATGTTACTGTGTCTTTACTTTCCTTACTTTCTGATTCCACTTGTTGGATTAGTTGATTCTTTCATTCGTATTCAGAAAAAGATTACTGAATCTTCCACTCCGAAGCACCAAAAAACCGAATAGACAACGTTCCTTCATAGATTAAATTCCCATTCTCTGCATGTATATATTTCATTTGTATAATAAAGCAATTAGATTATGTGAACAACAGCCTGACATAGTGCCATCGTCTTGATACGCGTTCGATAAATGACTCTATCTTCCTTTGAAGCGACTATTGATTGGTTTATGTGCAACAAAATTTGTTTTTTAGCCATCCATGGTCGTTGTCGTTACAAGTTTTTCAGGTTGCCCTGTTGACACTCGAAATTGGATTTTTTATAGTTTCAACCGTCTACGCAAATCTGTCTTTATTAATAAGGAAACAAGACAATATTTCTGTGCTTCCTCAAATAGATGACTGTTCTCATCATTGTTCGACTGCAAAACAGTTTGCTTGCGTCATTAGCTTTATTAAATCTAACTTACTCTGTAGGCCTAAAAGTTGATACAATGTTCAATTGAATTTACGGTACGACAGGGAGCATGCTTTGATTGGCTATAAAAGTACGTTATATTTATGCAGATCATCAGCTTTTTGTGCTACACATGATGTACTTGATACTTTCTTTTGCCATCTTAGTAAAGGTCTCCAAGAACGTTCATGTCTACAATGACAATTATGACAATTTGACAGTGTACAATGGTGAGTATCACTTTATTCAAAATTGAAGATGAGTTGAAAACTTTGCCAAGATTAAGTTAGCCTCTGAAACGGCTTTTTCATGCGTAAAGAATAGGTACAGTAGGGCAAATTAGCTGAACTGACTGAAGATTATAAAACTCGCGCTTTAGTAGTAAGCAAGTGCAAAACCTATATCTATTTTGAATAGCAATTCCTCTCTTTCTCTTTATATATAACAATGTTTCAAGCGTATATACGTGTGCAACTTGGTACACTTCGTCACCCGAAATATACACAGAAACAGCCCATGCTCGTTTTCCTACTATTGCTTTTCTTGGTGCTGCTGTTCCTTTGCTTTTTCCGAAGACATACGAGTCATTGCTCTTAGCAGATTCATGACGCCCAAGTTATAGGCTTCTTCACGTTTCTTTTCATCATCTTCCTGGAACGGCAATAATGGTTTGGGTTGTACATAATCTGGCGGCACTGGGATCATTGACATCTGCTCTTCTTTCATCTTTTTGGCTAATTGAGATATTTTTTCGCTTGTCAATAGGCTCAAGTCCTGCAAATCTCTATCCATGACAAAGAAAAGACGACGTAATTCTGTTATGGCTGCATCAATCGTGGCTATATGGTATGCTGTTTCTTTGTCCTTCTTGTCCAGCACCTCTTTTGTTACTGAAGCACCATAATCCATATGAAACTGTTTGTATTCATCGTCTAGATATTCCAACATGTCACTGTCGCTCATTTCATTTTCCTCAGCACTGTCGGCATTCTCAGCACTGTCGGCATTCTCAGCAATCAACAATTTATCTTTGAGATCAGCATGTCGATCAAATAAAATAAGAGAAAGTTTTCTCCATTCCGCTTGTTCTGTTTGGAATCTACAGGAAAAAAAAGAGTTTCGTTGTGGAAATGAGTAAGATGCGTAGAATCCCGTGTAAAGCTGTACACAATATTTTTCTCTTTTAGATAGTTTACGCTTCGATAGCCACGGTCAATTCATTTATCTTTTGCTTCGCTCGCTCATTGATAGGATTGGGCTTCTTCTGGAATGTCAATGGGCTGTCACCCAACTTGTCAGACATTAGAATATCGTCATTTTTGATCCTATTTAAAAGGTTTTCAGATGCTTCTAATACGACTGTCCTGATTTTTTTATCCAGCTCCTTGTTCCGTGTTGTCTTGACTGAAATAGCAGAAGATGGCTGTAATGATCGTTGTTCAATTCTCTTTACAGTCCAATAGGTGAGTAATTTGATTCGTTGTTGGTTAGTTAAGTGATTGGGTATATATTCATGGTAATCAGATGGAGAGATGTTGGATGGTGGTGATGGAATACTGGCCAAGTCTAAAGCAGTGTTTGTCGTCAAAGAAGACGTTGTAGAATAGATGGATGCTGTATCATCAAACGGCAATTTATCAATGGGTGTTGTCGTTCCATGCCTCGGAAAGCTCGGTTGAGGGAGGGTATCTAATATACTTTGATCTTGGCTTGGTTGTCTAATTTCTTTCTCGTTCGTCTGATGTTGCTGTTGTTGTTGTTGTTGTCGTCGTCGTTCAAGTAATTTCAAATAAGGACCAGTTATTCTGTCTTTTGGAACAGAACTCAAGTCAAAGTGTACTTCTGTTGGCTGAAGAGCTATGGGTTTGATGAATACTTGTGGTGCTGAAGATGAGGTTGACTCAAGCATATCCTATCAACGCATATGATAAATTGGCATTGCATCAACCAAGTCATAACAGCAATCATTCAACTTACAGTGTCAGCATCTTTATTTTTAAACGGTTTGAAATACTTGACTTGCAATTGGGAATCATAAATGAAAGGATCGTTGCTTTTTCGATCTGAACTTTCTTTGTCTAATTACAGTAATCAAGTTGTATTTAGTTCAAACTGCGTGAGCTGCTTTTCGAAAAACTAGTTTAAAGCTATGCTTACTGTCAGTAGGCTATAAAACAATTACAAAATTTTCCCAAATTAACTTAAAGCTTTTGAGTAGTGTAAAAAAAAAGAAAGAGATTAGCACTAACCTCCATTAGAGCTTTCAATTATATGGAATCAAGTGCAATCGATCTCAATTCGTAACTAGAAGAAAGTTTATGGACAATAGAGGGGAATACCCAAATCAGCATGTTTGCTCAGTTTGAATTTCAAAGCCAAAAAAAAAAAAAAAAAAAAAAAAAAAAAAAAAAGCAGAACTCCAAGTCAAATATGTCATCATGAAGTAAGTGTAATATATCCTTTTTCTTCGTTTCTCTGAAGCCCCAGCCAACTTTTCTTTCGCATTCACCAGAGTATCCACTTTATCACTCACAGCATGTCTTGGGCACAAAGAGAAATTCGCTTAAAAGAACGTAGAAGAGGTCAGCTAGTTACGCAAACAATAAAAATAGGACCGCTGAAGTGGGGATGAAAAGGCGTAATATTCAACTTTGAAAATGCATTTCAATACATAGGCTGTCATCTGATTCATAATGAAATTGTCGGTCAGTTACCGGAATTAAAGTCCTTCAAAGTTGGTATGGCCAACTTTTTCTGTAAGTTCATCGTTTACGAGTTATTCTGTACAGCAAACATCTGTCCGTATAGAGCTAATCGAATTCAACCAATATAACACGCTGTACGCACTTTGATAAAAAGTACAACACACGTCAGCTTCACTTATGGTCAACGAGAATGCAGATCCTGACGTTCAAAAAGATATGGAGATGGGATTAAACAGGATTGTCCCTGAAAGCTTTCCTTATATCCATACAGATGAAGGACCTGATGATATGGTAACAGTTGGTTGCTAAAGACAAGGATGAACAAAACTGAATTACTTACGTAAGCAAACTATCTTTATCACTGTAGCCTGGTCACTTGAAGTCCGGTATTGTAGGTGTCTCTTTGAATATTCCTATCACGAATGGTAAACTAAATCTGGGAACGTGGCAAGGGTAAATACACACAATCTGTTTGCATGCATGCTAACAAGAGAATACTAATATAATATTCTTTTCGCAAGTATTTACCTCTGTGAGCATCGTAATCACGGTGGTTCACGACGCGTTGTAGTCACTATGCAAGGGCAGAAATAAAATTCTATGAGTAGGAAGGAAAAAATGATGGTTATTGTAGCATATAAATATCGAGTTTTTCTACGTATGCGCAGATTGAGGGACAGTACTATAAAATGATGAGCGCCGTTTCATGTGGAAACTCGTGGTTTTCCTATTTCTATTCTATTCAACTATTATTAAGGCCCTCCAGAGACCTAATTTTATTCGATATCGATTTTAGGACATTTAATTCCTCTTGTGATAAGTCTAATGTAATGGTAAATACGGGATCATTTGAATTGGGCGATAGGATACAATAAGGTATGGGTGATGATTTGGATTGGACTTGTAACGTACGTAGGGCGTCATAGATAGCTGTATTGTCAGTAGAATTCGGCTCGAGCTCTAATGCTGCAAGTGTGCTCGTGGATGTTGAGGATGGAATTTTTGTATTACTGGCGACATTATCTTTTTGTGTTTGCTTACACATATCTTGATTCATACTGAATTCTTGTACCGACGGCTCGGAGTTATCATAAGGATCGACGTTACTTTTACTTTTACGACTGCTGCAGCGACTGCGCATCGGTTGTAGTCTGCCTTCTTCTGCAGTCGTTAAATTGTCCAAAATAACACTCTCTATCGAATTGATTGTATTCGCCTCACCATCCATATCAGTATAGGTGTTACTGCTGGGATTTTGGGCTGGAGAATGTACCACTGTGGACAGAACCACCGGATCCACTTTAATAGGTAATTTTTTTGGCGCCCACCAATACAGAGGATACCTGCGTTCCACATTGTTTATCAAACAGGCCAATGCCACTTGCAAAACTGCAGATACGGCTACCACACCGATGTAGAACCACTTCAAATCCAAAATGTTTGTCGTCACTACTGGAATCAACGCCGTCGCGCCTCCAGGAGGGTGTACCGTACCGGTCAATTGCATGACAACAAGCGAGAGAGCCATAGCGGTAGCTCCACCGACCCATTGTACAGCAACGAATTGCGGATCTGTCTCAACCCAATCAGATTTGATACCTAAAAATAGTTGGGCAATGATGACGCCTATGATAGCACCAATGATTTGACCGCATATAATATTGCGTGGTTGTGCTAAGGGAGATTCAATCACACCAAACACCAGAACAGCTGTAGCACCCTTTAACAAATCAACAAGAAAGTGAGTTTTACCAGCCTACACTACTACTAACAGTTGATCTCGTGCAAACACTTTACAAAAGAAGCGACAATCATAGGTGTATGTTGTGATTGGAATGCCTTACTATAAGTGAATGTTATTTCCAAAATAGCAATGCCAATCCAGGCCGCTAAAAATGACCAAAAACATAATCTCCATAGAGGCAATGGTTTTTTAGGTTTTGAAGAAGGGTCTCTATAACCCAGAAAGTGTGATATATTGCGTGGTAGTTGTGACAAGCTTGGCATTGACTACTGTAAAAACATAAAAATAGTGCAAATTCGAATCAGAAAAAGGGAAAGGCCATGAAAATTTTTGTTATTGTCTTTTTTTTTTTCAGAATTTCTTTTTCTGCCTTTGAAATGGTAAATCTGAAAACTGAAGAGATTGTATTACAACAGACAAATACGGTAACAAACAAATTTACGTGCAACAAGCACCTATTGTTTCGAAGGGCTTCATACAGCCCGTACAGTGGAGGTTTTTATGGGTATGCGGTTAGTGGTGGTATGAGAAGAGGTACAGCTTTCATATTCACCTTTTCCTTGAATAGGTGATAAACAGAGACCAGGAGGTATGCATGCAATTGACTGAAATGTCATTGGCTTTATAACATAGCTGTTCATTTCCCGAGGACTCTTGGATATCGAGGCTCCTTTTTTTATTAAATGATGGTTAAACCGCATTTGATTAGTCATACTTCTACTTGGGTATCTCAACGTCAATACAATTTTTTTAAGAGCTATGCCCATTGACAGCCTTTCTCGGGTTCTTTCGGAAGACGATTACCCGATCGAGAAATCTCGCAGCAAAGAGGAGGTACAGAAGAGAGTGTACTACGAAGAGATTAAACTGAGCCCGTATGTCAGCACCTGTTCATATGGATAGTAATTGTGCAGCTGGCAATAGACTGAACACAAATACGCTTGATTTATTTAGACAATATGAATTGATCTGGGCAAATCTGTCTGTAGTGTTGGCAGTGTTCTAATGAATTATATGACCCTTATAAACAAACGAGTGCTTCGGTTTATTTCTCAGTTATCGATGTAAGATTGATCAAAATTCAGTCTTCTGAAATAAAAAAAAAAAAAAAAGGCATCCCTAAGAGTGTGAAGGTCATTAAGTACTTTATATTTCATAATCCAACAATAATCAAAAGCATTACAAATGATGGTTTGATATCGCAAAAGGACATTACTACGGATCAGCCAGGATTAGAGTGCGTCACATGGTCACCAAGCAAAAAATGCGTGTCTAACAAAATTTGGATGGCACTCATGGTAAGATCAATGTCGTGTTTCACAGTTACTATTACAGTAATTATAAGCATCTTACTGCTGATCTTCAGCATGGTAACGGGTGGTGTGTTCAAATAGTTTATTTGTGCTTTGATATCTGAGATACCAATAGAATAAGTATTCTTATATCCTGCATTAATAAAAATGAATCCATTTGGAACGAAAGAGCAGAACCAACAGTAAACTCAACGTGTTTATCTGTTATGAGAACAGAATTACAGCTTGCAATAAGATGAAAGGTTGCAAGTTTTCCTGTGCTTAAAATGCTTTCAAAAAGACAGCTCTGGACAAGATAGTACGTTGATGGTCCATGTTTATATTGAGAAGAGAGATCCATGACATGAATGGCATCCATCGAACTGCGAGTAAAGTTTTCAATAATAAAGATGCTTTCTACAACTGCATGGAAACCCTTAATGATACGCCAGATCGTGGCTGGCACAACACTCTGAAGAGCACAGTGTTTGGCAATACCATTGTGCTGGAAGAGATTATGGGTGACAAAATCAAGGAGCAAAGCGATGCCATTTATATTGAAGAGCTTTCAAAAGCAAGGTTTGCCCTAAATGAAAGCGATCATGGTAAGGATGAAGAACTTCTGAAGGCTATATATAATTAAAATGAGAACGACAATGAAGAACTTCCCTCAGAAGAGACTGTTGGCTGCATTCATTAATGATCATGTCGTATCCTTTGACGGGCTCAAAAATAGGGTTGAAGTTGCTAAGTCGAATGACCGGGAGATACTGGAGGCCATGATAGCTTTACATAAGGATGACAGTGATGATACTGACAATGAAGAACTACTAAAGGTTATGAAAGTTCTACATAAACACAAAGATAAAGTAAAGAGGAAGAATAAATCGGAAACTTTCACAGAGGCAGTTACTGTGTATTTCAGATGTCAATAAAAAAAAGAAAAAGGCTTTATTAGCACAGTCAAGTAATTACTAGTAATTTGATTATTGTGGCCACTTTCATTGCAATTTCGGCACTTTTCTAAAATGCTACAAACTATTCTGTTCCTTTCAATAATTGTAGTCATTGCTGTTGCTGCTGCTGCTTTCTATGCTTATCCTTACGATTGTCGGTTCATTAAAATTTCTGACATAGCCTCCAAAGCCTAAGTTTGGATAGAACAAGTTGAATGAATAATTGTAAAATACAAGATACTAGCAAACATTGACCTACCATCTTTATATGTGCTCTGATTTTATCCGCCTCAGCAGTATGCTTATCCGCTAGACTACACGGAAAGCCCCAGAATTTAAGTCATTTAATCGCCAAAACTTTCGAGTCGTTTTATAATTTTTACTATGGTACCTTTGTAAATGTGCTTCTTTTTTAATAATGAATTGTTTCGCTTCCTCTAAAGTAAACTGTACATGAAATCCGAATCCAACATTGACATAAATATAGCTTGTATCTGGTCTATAGACGAAATGAGAGGAAAAGATGTATGAATAAATACCACACTGGGAAGGGTAAAGCAAACCTGGTTTTTCAAAATTTTACACATGAGCTTGAGCATAGAATTGCGATCCCAGATCAACCATTGTCTTCAATTCTTTAAGATTATTTTCTTGTATTGTTTCTATCTGTGCATTCAGTTTTTGGCTAATCAGCGAATCAAAAGCAGCATGAGTGACACCGTTCATCGATCATTAGAAAGCAGATCTGGGCATTTACTATTCTGAAATACTGTGAAATATAGCATCGCGTTCGTCTAACTCTTTCTTGAGAGATGGCTTCAGCTTTGAAGCAATAAAATCATCATATTTCTTAATTAGAGCATTGAGATCTGTCTTTACTGCTGCTGGATCGTCCATAATCGTATTTAATTATATAATATGATGTCTGGTATTGAAGGAAGGAAAACAGGCAGAAGCAGTTTATTTCTATCTCAGATCCGCATAAATAAACTTGTGTTCGACTAAAATCTGAAAAAAGAATTAATATAATAGTAACGCTTATTTCATTAGGATTAGGAACTTTATCAGCCTTAACAAGCTCATTCTGGTATATGAAGTCCCTTTTAAATTGTACTGTTCTCCTCTTTCAATATGAATGCTACGTATTGATATACTTTGAACCTACTGCACAACCTTATCAAACAACTAGCAGAGTCAAAACAAAGAACCAATTTAAAAAGTAATATTTCATCTACTGTGTCCTACATTTGCTATATAGACTGCATGATGCAGTCAGGCCGGTAAATATTGTCGATACAAAAAAAGTAAATGCCGGTTGGTGAGTATATTCGGTTGAGGTAGGTTAACCAGATGTTGATATCAACTGCTTTGAGGTAGTCTCTCTTTACTCCCAGCCTTAACATTTGTCCTAAACAATTCAGTTGGGGAGGGGTGTTCAGAAAGGGTAAGTGCCTGCGACTTTTGATTAATTTTGAACGGCGAAAAGCTTATATATATATAGTGGGCAATCGGGTGAGATGACAATCTGACATTTCATGCTCTTTGAATTTATCCATAAACCACTGATAAATTACAGTAAATGTTTGCTTCGCATGCCAATCTTCGTGTTTAATCTCTGTAACACCAACCACCGAATATCCAGCACTATTTTCTCTGGGCAAATTTCAGACTACCTCATATCAATTTTCTGTTCAATTTTAGCCATTTTTGACCGTCTTTTACCTCATTGTATTCCTCAATAATTCGAGGTGGGCTGCTCGTTTTATTAGAATTGAAATAAATGTTTGTTCAAAGCAAATATAAGAAACGTCAGGAATAAATTTATAGAAATTTTTTCTTTGTCTTTAATCATATAATTTGTAAAAAGCATATTCATACAGTACATTATTCATAATTAATTGATAAAAGCATATTCATAAAGTGACAATGTTCATAATCAATTTTTAAAAGCAATGGTTGGCTTAAACAAGTGGATATAATCATGGTATATATAAGGTTTTGCTATATCTGCTTCTCCAGCCAAACTTGACAGCATAAAAGTCTAGCAACGATGTGTTGAAATAATTACAATTAGTCATAGATTTCTTATCCTACATAAATTGAGCACTTTCCCTTAAAACTTGCAAGATTTTCTATGGTTTCTTCGAGATTGGTATATAATTCAGGTGAGCTAGGAAGTTTTAATTTCTCAAGTTGATAGAATTGATAAGGGGGAGTATTTTTGAAGTCGAAAACCATAATGTATAGTTCAACATTAAATCCGTCAATTACCACACCAAAAGTAACAAATTCTTTTGGATCCTTACTCTTCATAATACGAACATGCAGCTGTCTTTTAAGTATTTCAGCTGTTCTAGCCCGATCTTCGTCAACTAACTGAGAATTGGCGTCTGGAGATTTTATCTCACCACATCCAATCTCTTGGCCATTTGCGACCAAAACAAAGTTAGTTCGAATCCTTTTGCAGGCATTATTGGTTGGTAAGATCGAAGATTTTTCCCTTTAACAATACTGTTAGCTTTGCCCTCTCACGTAGTTTGTTAATGTTCAGAAGTGTTTTACTGACCATTTGTACGACAACACACCATTGGCAGGAAAGAGATATTTAAACAATGGAGATACATTATCTACTGTAAACCCTACTTCACTCTTTTTTTGCGGAATCTGTTTTTCATCGATAATTGTGTCTGTCAAATTGCATAGGAGTGTATTTAGGTGCAATTGACTTGGTGTGGTTGCAGTAGGTGGATAATATAGTTGACTCTTCTTCAATTTCTAATATCATTTAATACCTAAGATTAACGAATATATAATATTTAAGCGTCCCTGGTTTTACTATACCATTCGCCACTCTTTAATTCTTCTATATTCTTCATCAATTAACATGGTAGGTGCAAGTGCATAAACTTCAGGTACATCAGTATTGTAATTGATGCAAGAAATGGCCCTATTTTTTTTAAAGGGAAAAAAAAAGTAATTAAAATATAGTCAACTAATTCATTTAGGAAAATTTACAATCGGTCATGCAAAGAGTTGCTATTATCATATATCAATTCTTCTTTTTCATTCGCTTCGAGTACGTCCACCTCCTGCATTGACATGATACATTTTCTAGTTATCCATGTTTCAGCATAATGGTTTGATTCCTCGGTATGATAAGTATGATCTGACTCATTTGATATGAAGGAATCAAACTCCTCCAGTTGAGAAAGATTTTCTTCGTTATTGCTGCTGTGATCTTCTTCATGATCTATATTCGGAACAGTACAGTTCAAGCAATGTTCAACTACAACCGCTTTTTACATTTAACTTACCAAATTTTCTCTTCTTACTGCTATTAATGTTTATATTAATATTACCAACTGGGCTGGAACCTTGGCTCCCAACATTTCCATGGTTTTCAAAATAGTTGACGTAATGATTAATCGCTGGATTATTTTCTTTCTCGCCCTGTATGGAGAAAAGTAAATTAATAATCCACGTTAGCCTACAATATCCATTTATAATCACCTTTGTATCCGTATCCTTAATCAAGGAATCCAAGTAGTCTTTCAATTCGTCACATATACCAGGAAGAGTACCGATAGTCTTAATAGCTCTTTTGTAATTTGACTTTACTCTTTTATTTTTTGGTGGATTCGATTTCTGAACTGTTTTGTATTCTTTGAAGAGTTGATACTTCCATGATCGAGGCGGGACTTTATTGAAGTATTCGAAAATAGCTTTATCGGGCAGTTTTATTTTCTTATCAAGATCAAGCATTTGCAAAAATAATGAGCTTCACTGAGCAATAGCGGAGGAAAACAAAGGGTGTTTACACCACCAAATCTAAAAAAGAACTTACAGTGATTGGCGGACCAAAAAAAGCAAAATAACATATTTGATTGGCTTAAAAAGTTTTGCGTCACCATATTACCCTTGCAACATACTTTTTTAAAATAAATACAGTATCTTATGCGGTTTCCCTTAATACTTTTTTTGTTTATTTTCTGTACATTTTTTACTTGCGATTACTTCATTGGACTGACTAGATTTTGGTTGAATAAACCAGAATGACAAAGCTGCCGTTGATGCTGTGGGGTTTTGTGAAAAGCATTGACGACGAGTTTGACAAGTCTGCCCGCTCGATGTTGCTCCCAACAACATGACAATAGTTCCTTCTTCGGAGGGAATGGCATGCGGCAGATTGGTATTGCCAATGAAGGTATATATTTGAAAAAGAACTGACTAGATTTTGGTTGAATAAACCAAAATGACAAAGCTGCCGTTGATGCTGTGGGGTTTTGTGAAAGGCATTGACGACGAGTCTGACGGACCTGCCCGCTCGATGTTGCTCCCAACAACATGACAATAGTTCCTTCTTTGGAGGGGATGGCATTCGGCAGGTTAGTTTTGTCTTTTTCGTCTGATTCAAAGGATTTAATTATGCATATAAGTATCTATGAGATAGGAATAGAAGCCTGTCTGTCATATTCTAACCCTTTTTCTTGCTTAGATAAACGGAGAAAAGTTAAGTGATTATCACCCTTTCTTTAAAATTGGCGTTTGTATAAAGTGTTCAGCAAGACCAACGCTATCGTAAATCTTTTAAGTAAGTATTGCATTTTGTTCTTGGTTAGAACTGCTCCATTTTTTTTTTGTTTTTTTTTTTTTATATTCTCCATTAGCAATATTAATGTGTATTCACTCCCTATCATAGGTCTATACCGTTAGCAAAACAAATGATATCTGGAACAATATATAGCATTATTCCAATTATCATCCAACAGCAGCTCCTAGTTGAAAAAGCAGAAGCCTCTTTGAAATTACATAGCCATTGTCAAGCCCCTTTAAAATAACATAGCCATTGTCTACTCAGAGTGTTATTTACCCTATTCTTGGCTTAATAAAATATAATGCAGACATCTTGTCTTTGGCCCTACTACATCCTGTCGCGAGGCGGGTTTTTTAATAATCGACAATAATTTTTTCACCCAACCGGGCATTTACTTTTTTTTGTCACCGCCTGCTGGACAGTTTTAGAGCGTTCTAAGGTAGAAAGGCACTTGCCTAATTTGGTCTTCTCTTTTTTTTTTCTGTACATGTTCCAGAAGAAACAAGAACATTTTTTTTTAAAAAAAAAAAATAAAAGCAACTAATTTTCCTGCTTCTATAGTGTTCTTTTGCTTCTTTTCTTTTCCTTGGTTTTTACTTTGTAGATGAAAAGAAAATGTCTTTCAACTACTTTCCATCATCCGCTACTACGCGAAAAACCAACAAAACACTAACGTTGGATGATTTCCTTCAACTACAGTCTCTTTTAAATTATGAACAAGAAGCCCGGGACAGACATATCCAAGCCTGCTACAGTCCCGCTGAAGAGAATGCCAGAGAAACGATTCTCTATCCTTTTGTCCCCCATTCCCATCCTCTTCGATTACGTCATGTTTCTCCTCAAGCCGCCCATCAGTCTCGTTTAGAAAAGCAAAGGTTGGAACAGGCTACGTTAAATCTAAAGTATTTGAAGGACCAATATCGTCGTCAACGTGCCGCAGAAATTCAAGCCTACGTAGAAGCCTACAGACGACAGGCTTTAATTCGTGCTGTTCAGCAGGAAGAAGAAGAAAGATATCAGCGTCAATGCATTGCAGCTGCTCTAGAACAACGACGTGTGAATGAGTTATGGAAAAGGTATATGGCCGTAAAGAGTGAAGAGGCAGCCATCCGCGAGCAGCTGAAACAGCAAATGTTACTCAGACAGCAGCAGCAACAGCAACAGCAACAACTTGCCGTGCTGGAAAAAGAGAAAGACGATATTGACATGGAAGAGGCCACTTCAGACGAGGAGGAGGGCTATTCTAGATATCATTCCGCTCAGCTGGCTGATTTACTGAGACATGTTTTCGGACAGCAAGTGCAACAACAACGTGAGCGCTTGGAAGAAGGCAATGACGTAACCTACTTTGCTGATGAACACGTCCAAGACAATGAGCCTGCTCCTATGTCGGACGACGATGCTATGGCGATGGATGAAGTATGGAAATACCTTTCTGACCAAAAGAAGCGTGATTCTGAAGCTGCTCCTTCTTCCAACGTTGGCTTGTCCGCAAGTCGCAGCCTTGACGATGACGCGGAAACAGTGTCTTCTTCTCCAAGCACGGCCACGAACATGGAGTCACTCGATGATGCAAATACCGAAGCTTCTGAAATGACAGCTGAAGAGCAACAGAGACAAGAAGAATTAAAGGCATTACCTCCTCTTCAAGAGCACGTCGTTACCTTGAAGGACTTGATCAGTCAACTTGCTTCTGAGCCAGTGTTGGTAGGTGAACAATACAACGCGCCCTCCGCGGCAGCTACTACTGAAAAGCCTATGATGCAACAGTTCAGTGACGAGCCCAAGCCTTCTGGTATTTGGGTCCAAGAAGATGAGAATTTAAGAAAGAAGCAGCAACAAGAAGAAGAGGAACAACAGCAGAAAAAGCCTATGACTGCTAATGATGCTGCTACCACTTCCACCGCACAAGACGGTCCCTCTTCGACAGAGGATAAAAATAAGGAAGCAGAAAAGGAAGAGGAAGAAGGCGTCTTTTTACCCAAACAAGTCATCACTGAAGCAGAACCTACACCTCAGTTGGAACAAATGCCAAATACACCTGTCGGCACAGAAGAAGAACGTCCATCAGAGCAGCAAAAGAAAGTTGTTGACAGTCGTAAGATGAAGGTGATGGAGGATTTAGACAAGATCGAAGCCGAATTGACATCGGAAGACAGCGACCTTCATAAGCGTTGGAAGCATGTCTTGGACACCAAAAATCTTAGCTTCACCAAACAGTCTGAAGGCACGTTATTGCTGACAGCTTCAACGGATGCTAACCGCCAATTCTTGGGTTCAGAGGACGAGTTGATGCGTGTTATGCTCAAATTAGATGCCATCGAAAGTAACGGTGACGAGGAGATTCGTTTAAGACGACGTGGGCTCGTAAAGCAGTGTGAGCATATGCTTGATTGTTTAGACCAATTGAAACAGGCACAGTGGGAGCCTGAAGTGACTCATCAACAACGTAAAAAGCGTCATCGTCGTCGTCATAAGAAGAACAAGAAGAGCAAACATTAACCCTATTTACATGAGACATATATAATTAGTCATGATGATTCATTGTTTCTTGCATACAATAAAATATCACTTTTAAATTCATTGCTCAAAGCTCGCAACCCCAAGCATACAGATTTGTTGTTGAAATGATTTCTACTACTTGTTCTTTGGTTGGGTCGTATTGAGGATTTTAGGACTTGAACATGAAACGAATAATAAGCGATTTGGTTCATTGCTGAAAGAATGGAGTATCATAACTCATACTTGTGGTCTTGACTTGTAGGCAAGTGAAGTAGCTCGTTTTTAAAATTCATGTTAATGAAGGCTCTTCGTACAAATAGAGCAATTCAGCTTTCTGAATCTATCACGTCGCAAACTAGGCCCTCATTGACTAGAGTTGTTATTTGCTCACTTATTAAAGAAAGCATCTTTATTTTAACTGTCTACTGAACTGCAGGTCTGATAGGTATCTTTCGTCCATAATGTAAGCGTATAGAGCGCGAATCGATGAAAAGAGCTTCTCTTTCTCACGTTCAGCAAGTGCTTTAAGAATTATGTCTTTAATACAAAGATGATAATTACGCCAAGAATAAAGATGATCAAGAGTATCAAGAAAAGAAGGCAACTCATCAGTATAAATGGGTGTTGCGAGTGTAAACAGGGTTCTAGCAACAAAAGCATCCTCAAGCGGTTTGATAGCAAACATGTATTCCACATTTCCCACCCAATCCATCCAACCGCCATTATCCTTGTCAGCTTCTGGGATAGGGAGATTCAAGAAGTGCCTCAAGATTGCTTTGTTGATTCTAATGCTCTTCGCCTGTTGTTGCAGACAATTTGCAGTAGGGGATTTCTTTCTTTTCCATTCGCTCGCAGACAGCTTGATACCCTTCGTCGCAAGAATTAAATCTATTCTTCTGTCAAAGCCACTGTTCAGGGAATCTTTTCATTATATGCTTTTTTAAGGTTGGCGGCCACAGTCTTGGAAGCATCAGATACCCTTTCTCCGTCCAGAATGTCTAACATAGTATCATCTAATATTTCATCAAGTATCTTTGCAAATTGACGATAATATGTTAGTTCACTTGCATTATCATCAGAACAAATACTGCGATCAGGGAGGCAATGCTTAGCAGTCAGATCAAGTATGTCCAAAATTTGTAAACATTCTATCTGATCAGACTTCAGCAGTTCAAGCTTTTTCTTGGCAATAGCAATTCTCAATTCCTTTTTATTGATTTTGCCATTTATAGTACCTCCTGCCATCATTTCACAGTATAGTTCCTTAGTAGTAGTTGGAATCCCTTCTATATTATTCAACTTTTTCCAAGACTGATCGTTCAAGTATTGCCGGAATATAGACATAACGTCGTTGTTGACTGTGTCAATGATACGGGATAATGAAAGCTTTAAAGCATTGACCTGTACTATATCACTGAGATCGATTGACAAAGCGAGCTTGGCTGCCATTACATCTAGCTGTTCACCTAGAGTTATGGGCTTAAAGTCTTGAAAAAGGTTGTTCAGGGTAAAAGCATCCTGCATGAAGAATGTTTTAGACAACGCTTTCGATCCATAAATATATACTTGATTACGTAATTCAGCAGGAGATAGCAATGAAATAGAAGTCGATAGAGAATGATTAAAGAGACCGGTTAACGCGTCAGAATCATCAGGAGTAGAGAGATTTTATCATCACTACTTTCTTCCATCTCAGTGGCTTTTCTTTTTCCTTTTACCGGTGCTTTGGTGTGCGTCGCTACGTTTTCTGAAATAGTCAAATCACTAGAATTTGAATTTCGAGTTTGATGCTGGTGAGTTAAGAAAGAAACTCGCATTTCTTGAGGTGGATACAGCACAATAAGAGTATCTGTTTTCAATGCTAACTGGAGCAACTTTGTTGGTTTGGGAAACTTTAAGCTAAATGAGAGAACGTTATTTGTGAATATGTATATATGTTTATATTATGTTCATTGTACTAACTTTTTGTAAAATTGAATCTATGAAGCGTTTAACACTACTAGGGGTTTCTTTATTGTTTCTGATAGATCTAAGCTCGTTGTGGAATAGTTCTGAATATTTTCCAAACTTTTTCACAGAAGAGCCTTCAGATTGTGCGTATAGGGCGTAACCATCAACACACGATTTGCTTAGCGGTGTAAATTTAAAATAAGAAGAGCACTTGATAGCAGAACTGTTTGGTACTTGGTAGTTCATATTATTGTTATTCATGATTAACTTGTAAATTACAGGAAAGAAAAAGATAAAATGAACATTGCTTTTCGCAATCTTTTAAATAACCGTATGACAGCATTTGGCTTAGATTTTTCTTTATCGTTTAATTTCACACGTCCTGTCAGCGTTTGGCGTAGATTTTCTCTTATCATTCAATTTCACATGCCATTTCAGCGTTTGGCTTGAATCTAATAATACTCAGACATTGTCCTACCTTTCTTTCACTCTCACATTGGTGGAGAATCTAAAATATTCCATAATGAATCCAAACAGTGACAACAATCATGATGAAGCAAACCATCCTTTCCGGTTGGAAGCCATTACTCATCTGATACAAATAGGACAACGGCCACAAGATGCCGATGTCTCTCAGCAAATAGCCCAGGTCCAAATGTTTCATGAAAATCACATTTAACAACTGCACCAGCAACACGAACAGTGTAAAACTGCCCAGAAATAATTATATCAACAGCGAATGGAAAATTGTATGGAAACAGCTTGTAAACAAGTACAAGAACATGGAGCCATAAGAAAACAATTAAATTATTAACAGCCTAATGATTTGGCAGCAGAAACTGACAAAAAGACCAAATACCTCAAAGACACTTACAAAGGACAAATCACCACGTTGAGGCAAACAATAGATGACCTTCCAGAGCAAATCCGCCACCTAGAACAGCAACTCATTGACGCCACATATAAGCATCAGCAAACTCTCAGCCAAACTAAACATCACCTCCAGCTACAGGTATATGGAAGGGAGAGCAAAAAATACCTTACTGGACGTACAATTGAGTTCACAGCTAGGAGACAGGAACTTCAAAGAGCTATTCACCACTCCCTTGATTTGCAAGCAACAACAAATGCTCGGCCTCAGTTAGCTCACTCTCTACTGATGATGATGATGATGATATGTATACTTCGCCTTTACAACACTCTCAACCACAGTGAGATACTGTATCCGAAATCGTGATGAGTCAAGTTACTACTACGACACCCAGAGCGTACTTTAATATCAACACTGGCCGAATGGATTCAACACCAAGAAAACGCCATAACAAGCACCCAAACCCTTATTTTTTTGGAGGCCATGTGGCTCCTACCGCTCATGATTGGCTTACGAACTTTGATAAACTGGTGATCTATCATCATTGTGACAAACAGGAACGCATAAGTGATTTCATGATGGCCATGCAAGGAAATGCCAATGATTGGTGGAAGACTCTTACGGATACTGACAAAAGTTTATCCAAACCATTTGCTCCCAGTTCCAAACCTTCTTTGATTTGTCCAAAGATGAAATGTCCAAAGCAATCAATAATTTGGATAGCCTAAAGCAAAATAGCGAACCGATGACAACTTTTGGTCCTCGTTTACTATTTGTAAAGGGTAGTGATAATTGCTGACAGAAGGATCACTCAAGATAACGCGACGGGAGGTTGGTGTTACTTACAACTCTGAACAGTAATTACAACAAGATAATAAGACCACTTTTATTGATACAAGAGTAAAGTGTAGTATCCAGGAAGAACAGATAAAAATCACTAAAGATATTTATTGGGAGGCAGGCCATATTTTTATGGTTATCAAGTGAAAAATGAGAGGCAATCAACTCATTACACTTTTACTCCTTACCACTGTTACGAAAGACAACTTCCAGCTTGAAATCCATATTATCCACGAAAGATCCTAAAGGTCGAATTGCCCGCCTAAGCTTACACATTTGGACCTACGATTTCACCATACAACATAGAAAGGGACTTTATAATACGGATGTTGACTGCTTAAGCAGAATCAAGATTCAGTCCGAAGAACAGAAGTGCAGGCTATCCGTCCTCAACAGGTTGGGGTCACTTACTCAATATCAAAAACTCAACAGCATTGAAGTCGGGGAGCTTGGGGAAAGATGGGCCGCCGACATCGCTTTCTTACCTTGTTGTATATATTATAGTAAGTATAGAGAGAGAAAAGAAAACAACAGGAAATCTGTGAAAACCAAGTTATCTTCTTTTATTAATAGAATATATTCAGACAAAAACCATGTAGGAAAAAAATACTTCTATTTATATTTGTGGATATTGTAAAATAACTCTTTCTATCGGGACCCTTAGTACAAGGTGACCTGATGGTAAAAGAAAAGACATACCCAATTGTTACAGCACGGTTCATCATGCTAGAGCGGTGCCTTGACCGATTGGATAGGTATAAGAAGATAAGTGATGAGCTGATCTGGCTAACGGTTCCTTTAATCGATACCTCTGTCGTATTTGAGGGTAAATGATATACAAATACTAAAATTATAATTCACTTTATGAAGGATAAAAGATGAATTATACACTATTGCAAACCAGAAATAATTAGAAACTACATAAAATCTAATAGAATCAAGTGTTGCGTTTAGTTGACAGCATCATATGAGATGTGGAGAACTCGTATATAAATTATACAAGATCCTCACACCTCATTACTGCTGAAATAATATACAGTAGAGTAGCAAACGAACATAGAATAAGTGATGATTCTTTTACGAGATTAGCTACCTCGTATAAGGCTGAACAGGTTGTCATTTAGGACATATAGTTTACTTATTTTATTATATACGTTGCTATATGACATGGGATGTAGAGTAAAATTGATATATGGACATGCAGGGTATATTGATTCAACACCAAGGTAGAATAAGTTTCAAGTACTAGTCACTGCTTTTTGGCATAAAGAATGATACAAGATAATAGGTTGTGATCATCCTTTACAATAACTGTTCACTCAACTCAAAGACCAGGCGCGAATACTATTTTCCTCATTCATACTATTTTTCTGCAAGCAGTGCTTCATAATGGTTAGCACGGGAAAATAAGTTGGTTGCATGATCACTAGATCAAGCCATGGATACGTTTCCAAGTCCATCCGCTCCCGAGTAGATGCGTAATCTCCTCAAGGTAGAATTCTATAGTGGAATAACTCAACTGTCAGTTTCTAGGATCCGCAATACAGTATAAAGTAGATATTTAAATTTTTGCAGTAGATATTTTTCTCTTCTCTTTGAACTTGACTTGATTCGAAATAAAATCTTGGTAGTTTAATCTCGTTCAGCTTTTTACTGTTTTGCAAAGTGATGTTTAACTCTACAAGTCGTTCAATACCACCAATTGACTACAGCCTTCAACATTGGATTAGAGCGAGCCAGCCATACCTAATGTCGAATACCCATAGCCCATTGATAACGTTTCCTTTGAATGGCAACCAATGGACAGAAAATTTTTCTTGTTGTAGTACATGTCCTACTCTGCAAGATGGATAAGATTCAAAAGGTGGTCAAAACCAATACAATAAGAAAATACAAAGTATGACAGGAATAAGTTATTTATTAGTCTCTTTTTACTCTCTTTCACTCTTTTCTTGTTTTGCTCCTGAATTAAATCCTAACGTTGATTTTTGCCTCTTTTGTGATGAGCACATGGAAATCAACAGCAACAAGCAGTAATAGTAGTAGTAGTAGTAGTAGTACTACTACTACAACGACAACAACGACAGCCATTCCCATGACTAGCAATGGTCATAGTTTATTTTACCAAAGAAGATCTTCATTAACGACAGCATGTCCACCGTCCGATAAAAGATATCATAAACAGCATCACTATTCACATACTCTGATGGGTAACAGCAGTAGTAGCCACAGCAGTAGTAGTCATAGTCATCGTCGACATGCTTCATTTTCTTCCTCCCTTCGCTTACCCAGTAAAAGGCGATATGATATCGATGACAGCAGCAGCAGCAGCAACAGCAGCAGCCACCACAGTAAGCACCCTAACAGTCTTTTGTCGAAAAGAAAGCCAACATGGAGAAAGAGACTGTTGATCATGCCGGTCATTCAACTGGTAGGCTGGACCTATCTGTTCATTTGTTTCTGTTTATCCACCTTTCATCTTTTCACTTCCTTTTCGTTGCTGCCGGAGCAGCAGCTTTCTCGAGCAACCGATCCACTACTGACGGCTGCTGCTGTGGATTGGGATCAAGTATTATTTCAGCGATACCAACAGTCGAGCGACCCTGTTGTTCCATCCTCTCAATTCAACGAGATCACACCTCAGATTCGATTATCAAAAATGTTTAGCAAATCCGTGGTGAGTCAGGATCTGATTCGACCTTACTGGTTTACATCGTCGATCCAACCCAGTAAAGAAGCATTGACACTCACGACGGTAGTGGAATGGAAAGAGCTGGAGGCTCTTGTCCGTTTGGCTCAAGTCTATGAAGGCCCGATCTCCGCGACGTTGATTGTGCCTTGCGTGCACAACCTCCATCACGAGCAGACGATGCAGCAACTCAACACGATTCGCCAATGGTACGAGACAACGGTCGTGTTGAGACGGTACGTGGATTTGCATTTGTTTTTACAGCCTGGTGGCATGAGGGTGAATGAAGAAGGGGAGTTGGAAGAAACACCGGGCCAAGGCAGAGGAGGAGGAGGCTATCAAAAGGCGCGTAATATAGCGCGCTTCTTTAGTCGAACGGACTACGTGGCCATGGTACCCGTGACGCTGTTGTGGATGACGCAGATTGGCACGAGCTTTCGACAGCACCTTTCTCACTTGAAAGCAGGCGATGTGCTCGTTTTACCCACCTTTGGCTTTCCATCGTTCTCGACCTCCTCTGAACAGGACAAAGATCGATGGCCGACCGATCGACAAAGTGTCGTCGAATGGGTAGAAGCAGGCGAGATGGGATTGTTGGATGAAAACTACGAGCTCAATAACGGACCGACGTCTTTCATCACCTGGCGTGACGCGAGAGAGCCCTATCGTGTGCCTCATTATGACTACAAGTACGGACCCATTTTCATCTCGACACGGTTGAACCATCCTTGGTGTGAAGAGCGATTCGAGGATTATCTCGCGTCGTGTGTTTACAGTATTTATCTGTCGGGTGCCAATTTGTGGGTGCTACCGAACGACTATGCGGTGAGTGAGACGGTAGACAGAAAAGAGACATGGACGCCACAACAGCGCAAAATACAACAAAAACTGGCTAGCAAGTATCGCATGGAACAATGTGTTTTCTATGCAAGACAGTTTGATCAGTTGGACATTTTTCAAACGGAAAGAGCTGAACACGTCCGACAAGAATGCTCAAAGGCTTTACTGAATTTACAAAAGCAAAAAATGATATCCAATGTCATGAAAGCAGAACGACCGTCTTTTTAATGCAGAAAAAGGGATTTCTTAATGTATTTTTCTGATCCAATCAAAAAAGGCGGGGGAGAAAGATAGATTTTTCTTTCTCTCTTATCGTTTTTGTAACCCCACCTTTTTTTTTTTTTTTTTTTTATTTATTTATTTAAACTTGCTTATTTCTTTTTTCTGTTTTCTTTTTTCCCCCTTCTTTCAAAATTTCATATAAAACACAATGGCATCTACAGCAACTTCAGTAGCATCTAAAAGCGCTTTCCGTAAATTCTTGGATTCTCCAGCAGGACCCAAAACGATCCACTTTTGGGCTCCTGCCATGAAATGGGTAAGCTGTCGGACATGATGTTGTATTGTATGGTAAAACTGCTCAAGAGAGAGAGGAAGGAAGGTTAAACACATATCAATGGATGATTAGGCATTGGTGATTGCTGGTATTGGTGATATGCAACGTCCTGCTGAGAAACTGAGTTTGACTCAAAATATCTGTAAGTAAATCAATGGTGGATGAGATAATGAGTGAGGGCGAGCAAAAGAAAAGAACGCGGAGAATGTTGACATGGACACACACGTGGTTTGGAATTATTTTTATTTAGCTTTGATGATGACGGGTCTTATATGGTCTCGATACTCTTTGGTGATTATTCCCAAAAACTATTCTTTATTTGCAGTCAACTGCTTTGTATTTGGTACTAGTGCTTATCAAGTGGCACGTATTTTCAAGTAAGTACTTGAAGATATCTTTTTGCTTATGAACAAAAAACATAACATACATCTTATTTCACTAGTTGGCGTCAGTCAGAAGAATACAAGCAACAACAAGCCAAATTAATAGAGCAATAATTATGCCCCCGACTTTTTCCCTCTCTTGATTTGATTTGTCCCCGCACTTAAATTTTTCTTTTTTTGCCGAGTTTGAAAAAAAAAAAAAAAGTAATTGTGGAGGGCAACACCCGCGTCATTCTACATCACAGCAACCTTCTCTTTCATGATAGGCTGAAACTCGCTTTGCTCTTATTTAGACCATCCATCAGATACAGTCTCTATGCACCCGCACCTATTCCACATCCTACAGATCTACACGCACATATACACACAGTCAATGACCATTAAATATCTCACATTTTGTCTGTTATTTATTCATCTGCACGATAAAAGGCCCCTTTTACAGTGGTTTTTTTTTTTGATTTTTGAATGGATCCTTATGTAGTGAGCATCATGTATGTCTCTTTAGTGTCTCTTCTTCTTCTTCGTCCTCTGAGATGTTATCCACGATATCTGCCCATCCATAGGATCTCTTGACGGCTTCTTTCCATCCATTGTACATTTTGTCTCTTTTCTTGGCCGAGATGTTGGATTGGAATATCGTGTTGCCATCCTGATTGACGTTTTTTAATTCATCGATTGACTTCCAAATACCCACTGCCAGACCCGCTGCCATCGCCGCGCCCAACGCTGTTGTTTCTCTCATGTGCGGACGCTCTACTGTCATAGCATGGCCTAAAATATCGGCTTGAATCTGCATACAAACATCTGAATTGGATAACCCTCCATCTACTTTGAGAGAGGACACAGAGGTGGATGCTGCTGATGCAGATCTCTGTGACGGATCGTCCTGGGGGCCTTGTGGTGATGAGGTTGCGTCGTGACTCATGGCTTCTAAAATAGCTCTGGTTTGATAACAGACGGCTTCGAGGGTAGCCCGCGCGATGTGTTCCTTTCGTGTGTATTGCGTCAAACCGATTAACATACCTCTGGCATCACTGCGCCAATACGGAGCCAGCAAACCACTCAGTGCGGTGACAAAATACACACCTGCTGTCGAGGTCACTTGGCTAGCCAATGCGTTGATGTCGCTCGACTCTTTGAACAGCGCAAGAGTGTCCCGCAGCCACTGAAGAGAAGACCCCGCGACCGCCACCGAGCCTTCCAGCGCATACACGGGTGGGGCTTGCGCATGCAACTGGTAAGCCACCGTCGTCAACAAGCCATGGTGAGAGAACGTGGGTGGGCCACGGCCTGTGTTGAACAGCAGAAAACAACCGGTGCCGTACGTGCATTTCGCGTCTCCTGGTGAAAAGCATTTTTGTCCCACCAGAGCACTTTGTTGGTCTCCCAAGCAGCCACTGATAGGCACACCGGCAAGGGAACCATGGGAAAGAAAACCATAGATGTGCGAGGAAGGAGCGATCTTGGCTAACTTGAGTTTCTCAAATCCAAAGAACCTTTTTTTTTTTTTTTTTTTTTTTTGCGATATGGCATTTTAGGTAGGTAGGTAGGTAGGTAGGTAGGTAGGTAGGTCGTATTTTTTTTTTTATTTTTTTTGCTATGAAAGAGATGGCTCTTTTGCCCCGCCCCCGCCCCCTCTTCCACCATGGAGAGTATATCCTTACCTGAGACCTTCTTTGCTCCAGGTCAATGTATGCAGGTCCATCAACATGGTTCTACTAGCATTGGTCACATCCGTGACCATCACACCGTTGTCTTGAGCTCCTCCTGTTAAATTCTAAAAGAGGGGAATGGCAGATGAGTGAGAGAACACGACAGTCTTTCGAGGAATACAATCCTATCACTTTACATAAATAAGCCATGTGTCTACCGTGCCAAAGTGTAATCGACCCTCTTCATAAGCGTCTTTCACAGCAGGGACATGCTCCAACATCCATTTCAATTTCACGGCCGAGAAATAAGAGGTGACAGGCAAGCCGCAGATACGCTGGAGGTCGTGGATCTCTTGCTCGCTATGGCTTTCCACAAGCGCCTGTACCGTATGCGCTGTACGATTATCGCTCCAGACGATGGCACGGTAAAGCGGCTGACCTGTTTCGCTGTCCCATACCAGTGTTGTTTCTCGTTGATTGGTGATGCCAATGCATTGTATGTCCTTTGGCTCATAGTCGGTCAGCCGTAGTTTCAAAAGAGCTTGTTCGATGCATGTATTGACCGTCGATAAAAGATCCAAAGGATCATGTTCGACCCAGCTACGAAGGAGAGGAAGAGCCAGGTAAGTCACCCACAAAAAAAAAAATGAAACGCTTTCTATCCATGGTTGTCTATTGTTACCCAGGATGAGGATAATGTTGCTTAAATTCTACTTGGTGATAGGTCACGATCTTTCCATGGACATCAAACAACACAAAGCGTGTAGAAGTGGTTCCTTGGTCAATGGCACCTATCAAAGGAGAGTGGGTCATTGCTTTTTTTTTTACAGAGGGGAAGAAGCAAGTGAAAAAGTAAAAAAAAAAAGAAAGAGGCTTTTTATTCAAACTGTGAAAAAAAAGGGGGGGTAAAGTGTAAGGGAATGGGTTCATCATCACGTGTAGTGAAAACTAAGAAAAAATAGGCAATGTATACAGTAAAGACGCGTGATTTTGTTTTATTCTCTAATCTCAAGCATTAATTTAACGAGAAGCACATAGCTCAGGATTACAATGACTGGTAAACAATGTATTATCTGATTCGATTTGAAGCGTGGAATGATGAACACCATAGATATCACAGACAATATGTTGACCCTTGGATAGAATTTCATCATAATTGCCATTTTGAGCATCAATCTTGACATGAGCCGTCAATGAATATTTGCCAGGTGAAAGAGTCCAGACGTGCAAATCGTGCACAGCAATGACGCCAGGAAGACCGAGAAGTGATTTTTCGATCAGGTCAGGATGGATGTTGCCAGGAACACCTTCCATCAAGACAGCCAAAGAATCCTTGACAAGATGATAAGTGGTATAGAGTACAAGGATGGAAAAGATAAAGGTACACATAGGATCAACAAAGGTCAAGTGGGGCTTGAAAAGCAAGATAATCGATGAAACCAACACACCTACATCGTCGATAAGGTGAGTACATGAGTGAACACCCCCAAGGAGCGTTGTTGTTGTTGTCTCCACTTACCAACAGAAGCTAATAAATCACCAAGTACATGAAGGGCAGCTGCTCTAAGGTTAATGTTTGCTTCCTAAACAGAAACAAAAAAAAAAAAAAAAAAAAAAAAAAAAAAAAAAAGTTAGAGTGAAACTGTCAGGGCATACCCTTTTTTATTCTTCTCCTTACTTTGCGGGGTGGTGCTGTTGCTGGTTCACCATGATTGTGTTCATGTTGGCCTCCGTTTGCATGGTGAGCAATATGTGTTTCTTCATCATGTCCATGGTTGGTATTATGGTTGTGTTCATGACTATGGCCATCATGACTATGTCCATGTCCACCAAGAACATAGGCTAGACTGTAACAGAATCAAGGATGTTTGAGAAAAATCAAGTTTAAGGTTTTCGATGGCACAAAAAACACAAAAAAAGAAAAAACCTGTTCAAAACTTACACGACGTTGACAGCCACACCAATAGTAGCAGTAATGCACATCTATCATATCCCATGAAGAAGGATGAGATGAATATTCGGAAGGCTAAAAAAAACACAACAACCCCTCCTTTTTTGTCAACCAATGTAAATAACATTTACCAACTTTGCATCAATTACTTCAGGCTTTTTCAATCTTTGTATTGCCTCATGTAACAGAAATCCGGTAAGAATCCAGATAGTTAAAACAGAAACAAGCGCCGCAATGACCTCGGCACGATGGAAACCAAACGTATGTTCTAAGTAACCCCCCAAAGAAAAAAAAGGAAAAACATGCGTCAGATACCTTACCATGGCGAGTCTGTTTGTGTTTTACTTTCTTACTTTTGGTGGCTGGTTTCTCTGCCAAATAGATAGCGACAAGGGCCACAATAAAGCTTGCTACGTCTGATAAGAGATGAAACGCGTCGGACATCAAAGCTGTTTTGGAGTTGTGTAAGTGTATGTGTGTGTGTGTGGGGAGAAAAATAATTATAGATAACAGATGAGCCATCTCTCGTACAAAAGGAGATACTATGTGCTTGCTCTTACCTAACGAATTGGCAAAATAACCAGCTACCAATTCTGTAACAAAGAAAGCACAAGCCAATCCTACTGCGAACCATAGCCTTCTCTTTGTACTCTTTGCCTGTTGACGATCCTTCAAGTTGTTGTTGCTGCAATTCTCTTGTGGAATAGTGTAAGAAACAACTGAACCACTATTGCCTAGTAGTTGCTGCTGTCCTCCTCCTCCTCCATTTAACAGAGGTGTTCTTTCTGCTGACATTGTCTCATTAAACGTACTTGGTGACATTTGTTGTAAATAAACTAGAGAGGCCGTAGGAATCTCAAACTTTTTTTTTTTGAAAACCAAGGGACAGAGGGGGTTCTGTGCCTAAATAGATAAATTCAATAAACAGAGAGAAAGGAAAAAAAAAAAGAGGAGCTGACTGCAAGTAGGCTTTCGTAGTAAAAAGAAGACTAAAGAGCAGAGAAAAAAAAAGAAAAAAAAAAAAAAAAGCTGATTTGTTCAATGACAGCACACGTTTCAAGGAGACTTTGATTTGTCCAATAAGAGCACGTTTTCGATAGGTTAAACAAGCATGCTGATCTGTATTCAAATCGAACGTCCCTTGCTATGCCATTAATGAAGAGTAATATCCTACAGGGAAAAACATGGCGCTCCAAGGTCATTTATATATAAAGTAAAAGGCCTTCTCTGTTTTGGTCTGGAATCACTGCGCTTGTGTACATATAACTATAGATAATGTCTCTTTATCATCCATGTCTTGACTAGCTATTGCCTCATATCAAAAGCATGCAAAAAAAAAAAAAAAAAAAAACGGACAAACAAAAAAAAAATCAAACTCATATCTATGCTCCGTAGACTTGCTTATATCCACGCGGATTGGCTGCATGAAATTTAGTTCCCCTTTGGACCTGCCAAAAAAATTTCGGCTTTTTCAGTCTGACATACATGCAACGCATGATGAGATTGATTGGTAAAATGGCGAAAGAAAGCGTATAAGAGCAACATTAAGGTTCTTAATTAGGACACACTCTCCAATAGACATTGGCGCAAACTTGACAGATCCCATGTTCCGAGGTCTTTACCGAGGAAAACAAGCTCATGCAGGTGAATCTCATACTCTCCCATTCGAACGCACCGACAATGTCCCAAAAGTAACCTGTCTCTCGTGTTTTAGATGATTTCAACTTGGTTTTACAACGTGCACAAGAGGCGGGTGTCAAGAAAATGTTTATCACAGGAACCAATTTAGAAGACTCTAAAGAAGCCATTGAAAGTATCAACAGCCACAAAGAGGGTATGTTTCTGCCCAACAAATTATGTTTATCCCACCCATCACACTGACGCACGCACGACTATCCTCATAGCTACCGGCTTTTTATACTCTACCGTCGGCTGTCATCCCACGAGATGCTCCGAGTTTGACGAATACAAGGATGGACCTGACGCCTATTTCGAGCAATTACTTGACCTTGCCCTAAAGCATCCTTCTTCCGTCATTGCTATCGGTGAATGTGGTCTTGATTACGATCGTCTTCATTTTTGTGACAAGGAAACACAAAAGAAATACTTTCGAAAGCAGTTTGATCTCGCAGAAAAGACAAACCTACCCATGTTTCTGCATAATCGCAACACCGGCAACGACTTTTATGACCTCGTCAAGGAAAACAGACACAAATTCAAACACGGTGTAGTGCACTCCTTTACAGGTACCCGAGAAGAAATGCAAAAGCTGTGTGATCTTGGACTGTACATTGGCGTGAATGGTTGTTCGCTCAAGACACAGGAAAACCTAGACGTCGTCCAAGCGATACCAGAAGACCGTTTGATGATCGAAACCGATGCACCGTGGTGTGACATTCGACCGACACATGCTTCTTACGCACATTTGAAGAATATACCAGAACAGGACCTCACCCTCTATTCACCACCGAGCAAAAAGAAGGAAAAGTTCGAGATGGGGCTCATGGTGAAAAGCAGAAATGAACCATGTACACTAGGGTAAAAACAGCCTACTTGTATATATCTACCTCCCACACCAAGACTAACATTGTTTTTTTGTACTGTCATGCTCTAGACTCGTACTCTATGTGGTTGCTTCTCTCAAAAACAAGGATCCCAAAGAACTATCTGAAATCATTTGGAACAACACTTGTCGAGTCTTCAATACAGTTTAGTAATAGAACATGTCCATCTTTATTATATTGAAAGCAATAAAAATGTGTTTAGAGATAAAGCCCTTCTGGGGTGCCTTCCGTCTTTCTATACAAAACTTTCTCTTTCGCTTTACGGAAATCCTCGGCAATCACCTTCATACGACGTTCACGTAAAGCCATTAAACCTGCTTCTGTACAAACAGCCTATAGAGTGATAAGAATACACATGAGTGGAGGTCAACACACTTGTTTGTCTCTACCACCGCTGGATGGCCCCCGTTGCGGGGGCAATGGTCATCTTACCTTGATATCTGCACCCGATAAATCATCCTTGGACATGACAAATTCTTCCAAGTCAACATCGTCCGCCAAGGTCATTCTTGAGGTATGAATATTGAAAATTCTACGCTTTGTTTTTACGTCAGGCAAGGGGAATTCAATCTTACGATCGATACGGCCGGGACGAATCAAAGCAGGATCCAAACTATCAATCTTGTTGGTTGCCATAATCACCTTCACGTCGCCTCGGGAATCGAAACCGTCCAACTGATTCAGCAATTCCAGCATGGTACGTTGAATTTCACGCTCTCCGCCCGAGGTCGAGTCGTATCGTTTTGTACCCACTGCATCAATTTCATCAATAAACACAATAGCCGGTGCGTTTTCTTCGGCCACACGGAAAAGTTCACGCACCAATTTGGGACCGTCACCCAAATACTTTTGAATCAACTCTGAACCTACGATACGTAAGAAAGTAGCGCTGGTTTGATTGGCCACCGCTTTCGCCAACAGTGTTTTACCCGTACCAGGCACACCGTAGAGAATCACACCCTTGGGCGGCTTGATGCCCATTTCTTCGTACAATTCAGGATGCGTCAGTGGTAATTCGACCGCTTCCTTGATTTCTTGCACTTGTTGCTCAAGACCACCGATATCCGCATACGATTCCGTAGGTGCTTTCTCCAACTTCATCACGCTGACCATCGGATCGGTATCGTCGGCCAAGACGCCGACCACCGACATGGTCTTGTGATGTAATAAAACGCTGCATCCAGGTTCGAGTAAATCTTTGTCGACAAAACTCATGACAGAAACGTAATATTCGGGTCCTGTGGCTGAAGAAACAATAACGTGGTCATCGTCGATAATCTCTTCTAATGAGCCTACTGTCATGGGCGAACCACGTAAATCATCCACTCGTGTTCTTTCTTCCTGATCTCTTTCTTCTTGAGGTTTAAGTCTTTCTTGATTTTGTACAAACTCTTCTTCAAGTAACAAATAATCTTTGATACGTTCCATTTTCAACATTTTAAGACGACAACGAGTGGTAGGAAAGACTATCAAGACAAGATGACATGAGTCCCTCTGCATGCTTTTTTGCTCCCAAACGCACACTGTTGTTGTGGATCGCTTTTTTACCTTGAGGTAACTTGGCGGTTGTATCGGGTCCTCTCTTCTTCTTTTTACCTACACGTGTAGGCACAGGAGGTTCCCACTTTTTCTTTTTATCCTTCTCCTATCGACGGCAACGGTTAAAAAGTGAACAACTGTAGCTCTGTCGTTTGTGGGCTTTTTGCATAGTTGTACAATAATAATAATAATACCTTGTCTTTTTTGCCATTGTCTCTTGGCATACCCGATTGTGAATTACCCTTTCAAAAAAATCATCCTAGGTTAATACAACTGACTCGCGTCTATCTCTTTCTTTTGCTTTTCTCTGTTGCGCTACCATTTTGAATTGTTTATGAACTTTTGGTTAAAATCAGAGTCAAAAAGGGAAAGGAGTTGGAACGATTTCCCATTTTTAATAGCGCAAAGAGCCTGCGCGTCCAAGTACGTCAGCTTTCCCCGTTTGTGACGCTCTTAATTCGCGTGCCGAATTTAAAGCAGCAAAATAAGAGGGTGTGCTTTTCTTTTTATTGCTTTATCCTTCCCCATCCTATTTTGCCGAGCCTATCTTTTTCAATGTAAGTTGTCCTTACTATGGAGCCATCACAGCAACAAACAAAAAAAGCTAATGTGCATTGAATAGGGCGCCCAAGAAGTTGAGGAAAGCGACGAATACTGGCAAAGAAGTACAGTACTGGATATTTGCTCTTTTTGAAAATTTAAAAAAAGACTCACACAATTGATGCCATTCACTAAAAACATGATAGTCCAACACAACTTCGGATAACGACGATGATCGTGTGAGGCCCATCAACTTGCTCACCATCAAAAAGCCTTTTAAAAACCCGAATTACAAGACGCCAAAGAAGAATAAGAATTTAAAACAAATCTTGGCGATGGAAAGAGATCGTCCATTAGCTATCGATACACCAACATGTAAAACAATTATTGAGAAACGACACTTGAGCGTCGAATAACATTATTTCATTTTTTTGCTATAGACGAGAATATTGAATGTGCACCCTCTATTTTGCCACAGAAAAAGTATTGCGATATTACGGGTTTAGAAGCAAAATACACAGATCCCAAGACCGGATTAAGATACCACAACGCTGAAATCTACCAATTTATTCGCACACTAAGTGTACCCAATGTACAAGCCTATCTAGCGAGTCGAAATGCTGCCGTTGTTCTTAAATAACCATCGGCATGTCCATGCTATCGTCATGATCCGAATTCCCCTAGAGTATCCAAAGGCGCTGTGAATAAAAGAAAAGAACAAAGCACCCTCTCCATTGAACATGTCATTGTCTATCCTACCATATCATATCCATCGCTCGCTCTATCAATAAGATCCCTCATATCATCATTTCTGCCAACTACATAGTCTTCTACACTGCTGCCTGCATTGTTCCTTATCCTAATAAAAATGTTAATTCATTTTCATTCCACTGAAGCTCATGGTCTCTTGGTTTTTTTACCTTGGATCTGAACCAGCATCTAATAATAGATCCACCATATTTAATGCTACTTCCGGATCATCTTCATATTGTACAGCAAGATGTAACGGTGTATTTCCTTCTTTCTTATTCTTTTGATTGACATTGATCCCTGGCACACGTAAAAGTAATTCCATACACGTCAGTGATCCAAACCTAGCACTGATGATGAAGGGGGAAAAAAAAAAAAATCAGGGCACAGCCAACCGTCATCATGCCACAAAGGGCCTGTACAGTTATTTTCTTTACGCATAATGAAGAGCTGTGTCGCCTAAACCATCGGTATGGTTAATGTCGAAATCTCCTTCTTTGAAAATATCTTCCAACATTTCATCCTGATCATTTCGACAAGCTGCCAACATCAAGTCATCTAATGATGGTGGTGGTGTGTTAATTGATCTCTCTCGTTATAATGCATACTTGATGCACGAACGTACTGTCAGTGGTTCCTTCAACATCACTCATTTTGTATTTGGCTATCAGGACCGGTGCAAAGTGAGCCAAAAGAGAAAAAGAAATGATTTTTTTTTTTTTTTTGTGCTGCCATTTGCATGAATGGGTGATTCAAATGCAGCACAAATAACCGGTTGTTCGTTGGATGACGGCTGCACTACACTTGTATCCCTATGGATCCCCTTCATGACAAGCAGAGACTCCCAGTACTATGGAGACTGCAAAAATAGTTCAATCGACAAAGGTAAAATATAAATGGTATACTACGCTCTTATCAAACATACGAGGATGCTCAATATAACTCTAAAGTTTTGTAGCCATTTTCGACGATGCATGTGCTTCAGTAAGCGAGCCTTACTTACAATACACTCAGCCTTACTTTTTTCACTCTCGTTTCTGTTTATTTGTTGGTGGCAATCATAACCGCCTTAACCCTAGTTTAAGCTATTTTTTTTTTTGAAGACAAGCGTACGAATAACTTGTGATAAAGAAAAATACAGCGAAACGAGAAAAAAGCTACCTTTGGGATCAGCCATTATAAATGGCCAACAATAAGTCATTTTCAAAAAGACAAACCACTTGGGATACAAGGAAAAAAGAATGATCCTTTACAGTCTTCAACAATACTAGGGTAGATGATGATTATTTAGAAAGAAAAAAAAAAGAAAAAAAAAAGAGAAAAAAAAAAAAAAAGAAAAGGGGAATAAGTCCTATTTACAAATTGGCTCGCGATGGTAAAAGTATCACGCTTCTCTCTTGATCGGTGTGCTATTACTGTTGGTATAAAAATCAACATGCTTCCTCCTTCCCTTGGTTGTTGCAGCATTCTTGCTACCAAAGTGAGGGTGGCCTTTATCTGCTGTGGTTGCTGCCCCTTCCTCGTTGTCGTCGTCTTCTTCGTTCTCTTCCTCTTCCTCTGGCGGTTCTTGTTCGTAAATAGAAACAGATGGCATCGCCATGTTTTTATCTTTGAAGATGCATTCCAAAGCATCAATCCAGGCTTTTCTTTTTGACATGGCATGGACAGCATGTTCTGATAAGGCTGCTTTTGAAGAATGAGGCGTCTTTCTCTTTTTAGATTTCTGAGTGCGCTATAGACCCCCGCAAAATAAGTGTCAATCATCTCAAAGAAATACATTCAAAAAAAGTGGGTATGCACTTACAAACCGTTTCAAATAACATTGTTCCACTTGTGCATCTAGCGTATCTAGCACATGTCTATACTGTTCATATTGCAATTGGTGGTCTACGACCTGTAGCAACTTTTTCTTTCTCTGTTCGTTCTTTCTAAACTGTTCTTTTAGTTCTTTGGCTGCTGACCTTAATTCAGCACATATTTCATCGTCTTCTCTCGCGTTCCAATCGATAATATCATCGTCTTCGCCAAAGAGCCCTGCATAACGTAGTTCTCTTTTCAGTCTTTCTTCAAATTCCTCTACATGGATCGTTTTGTCCATCCCAGCAGCAGCAGCAGCATTCGCCGCTGCCGCTGTAGGGTTGGCATAAAAGAGAGGATTGTTGTACAAATGGTCCATCACGTCGTCATTCGGATGCATCATCATCAGCATATCGACTTCCATGTTGTGATAGGACGCATGCGTCGAATCCTCATCATTCTCGTCGTCGTCTTCCTCCTCTTCCCCATCCCCTTCCCCATCCCCGTCCCCGTCCCCGTCCTCCTCCTCCTCCTCCTCCTCCTGCGGCTGTTGCTGTTCCACGACTAAACTGCTCAATAACCTTTCGGTCAAAAGTCCACAACTCAGGTCGGATGCTAACAATTGATCATCGGTCAATTGCTGTCGAGGCGAATCGAGAAACTGTAAATGAGGCATGGAGGGGGGTGGCGGCGGCGGCGGCGGCTGATGATGATCCGAACCCTCTTGATGCATGGGAGATTGAGAACGTTTGAAATGATTATGATTTATGGTATCTGATAAATGTAATCGTTGTTGTTGTTGCTGCTGCTGCTGCTGCTGATCTTCTTCCGCCCATACTTCTGTATAGTGTCTCCCTAGAGCTGGTATATGATAATATCTTTCTACTTCTTTTTCATCTTTAGGCATCAAGAATTGTCTATCTTCTTCGGTCAACGTCTTAAAATAAGGTTCCATCGTAGACCAAAACGTGGTAATGGGAATCTGATCTTTGGCTTTTACACGTACAAAATCCACTTCCTGTGGTTGCTGCTGCTGCTGCTGCTGCTGCTGCTGCTGCTGTTGAGATGAATGATGAGCACGTATTTTGACATGTGTCGTGTTGTTATCGTTGGCTTTCTTTTTCTTCACATGGGGTGGAGACCAAGTGTGATGGTTATTATTCTTGTGTGAATGGTGGTGATAAGATTTAGGGGGGTTGTTCGAAGGAGGTGGTAAGCTACGGGTAATAGAGGCATCTTCCAATTTTTTTAGTTTGGCATTGGGATGCGGTGATTCACTTCTTGATAATGTATCTATGAAAAAAAGAAGAAAAAAAAAAAGGAGGATGGTTGATGGATGAGACTCTTCTCGGCGATGCTATGTTTTACTTGCATATTTACTCTTTAATAGGCTCTCATCATCTCGTCTTCTTTTTCGTCGCAATGCTTCGAGCGCTCTAGAAGAGAGTTAGTTAGTACTGTGAAAATGATGTTGTGTGCATGCATGTGAACCTACAATTGTCTGTCATTATTTTTGCTGTTACTACTGCTACCGTTCATGGTGGAGGAGGATTGCAATACATCATAGTCGTCGTCGTCTACAATGCATCCTCATAAAAGTAAGACATGGGAACCAAAAAAAAAAAAGAGGAAAGGGTGTGTGTCTTTTTACCTAGTTTTTCTTGCTTTATGTGTTGCATCTTTCCTATCTCGTACGATCGTTTACTTTTGCCTGCCGTTGTCGCTAGTTTATTCTTTTGTTGTTGTTGTTGTTGTTGTTGTTGTTGTTGTTGTTGCGATGGAACCGACGGCTTTTCCTCGTTTTCATCTTTTGCTGCTCCCTTTTCTGTTGCTGCTTCTGCTGCTGCTGCTGCTGTTACTGCTTGTTCTTCTTCAAGGACGAGTTCTTTCAACTGTTGATCCAAATGTCTTTGCTCTTTATCAGCTATCACCAAAGAAAAAGGAAAAGATTAGATTCGAGTTTCCTCTGGTGTGTTCAAAGAGCAAGCGTCCATTTTTTTTTTTTTTTTTTTACTTAATTCCCGTATACGTATGTTTTTCTTTAAAGTCGTCCAATCTTGCTGTAGATGACGTATCCTCTTTTCGGATATGGGTAACAAAGCTTCTAAATCAGCCTTCATTTTCAATAAATCGGTGGAATCAGGTATGGCGCCAATGGTAGATGATACACTGGTGGAGTTTTTGAATTGGCGGTAATGAAGTGCTGTCGTGGTGGAGACAGGAACAGGTTGTGTGTATAAGCGACTTGAATCATTATTCATTTTACGGTACAAAAGAGATGACGATGGTGAGGTGAAAGATGGTTAACATGAAATACGAACAAGCGTTGTTTAATCTTTTTTGGAGGAGGCGTTGCGAAAAGAAGGGTGTTTGTTTGTTTGTTGTTAATAAATTAATGAGAATAGCTGCCTATAAAAGCAAATACAAGAAAGAGAGAAAAAGACTTGTACGTTATGTCTAAAGAAACAGCCAATATAAAAATAAAAAAAAAAAAATACGAATTTAGCCCAAAAAGGGTTTCCTGGAGAGTTTCGTTTATTACGTAAGAGACAAGAGTGGAGAAAAAAAAAAGAGGTCCAAGTGCACTTATGCCCGAGCATTTTTGCCCCCCTCTTTTTTTTTTTTTTTGGCTACAAGAGGGTAACCTCAATCGACCTTCATAGGGCATTGGTTGCCATAGATATGCTATGGATGGGAGAGCCATCATGCTTCTATCGTGGTCTATGGAGTCGTTTATTCTACACGTGACTTGATGACGATCCCCTCTTTCTTTGCCGAACCAAATCAAAAAAAAAAAAAAGGGAAAATTGTTGTTTTCTCTGCTCGTTCTCTGTGTCCAACAGTCATCGTATCGATCGTTGAAGCAAACAAAATGGCCGATCCCACTCCTACTTTTGCACAGTCCACTGTACAACACACAAAAGACAATGACGATGGGACGAGAAAGAACAAACACAACATGACACCGTTAGAAAAACAACAAGAAAAATTGAATCGTTTATTTCAAAAGATGGACAAACCTGTCTATATACCTGAAAAACCCAAAGACAAGAAATCAATTATTGCACCACCCAAAGACTTTGTGCGCAATGTGTCAGGTAAAAAAAAAAAAACAAGCAATGTATAAATGGAGGGTGGATCGGATGCCACTGACCCCCATGGATAACAAAAAGGTTCTAGTGCGGGTGCCGGTAGCGGCGATTTTCATGTTTACAGAGCACAAAGAAGAAGAGAATTCACTCGACAAAAGATCTTGGAGGAACAAGAAAAGAAAGCAAAAGAAAACGCAGAATATGAAGCCAAATTAAAAAGACTCAAGGAAGAAGCAGAGGAACGTACAGCGAAAAAGAGAGCCAAACGTCAAAAACGTAACAAGAAAAAGCAGGGAGGAAAGCAACAAGACAAAGAACAAGAACAGCAGCAGCAGCAACAACCACAGACGTCGTCTACAACAACAGAAGCATCTGGTAACGACGGGGAGAAGCCTACGGTGGAGACATCATCAGAAACAAAAGGCGGGAGTGGAGAAATCGCGATAGATATGGAAGAGATTGGCCATGAAGAGCCAACAACAGAGCATCATTATCCAAGTCATCGAGTGATCACATCCAACTTGAAAATACAAGAAGACGATACAAGTTTTTGATGATTCATTGAATTATTAAAAAATAAAAGACATTTTAATAAAAGCACATATTAGGGAAAGGCGAGGACGATGAATGATGAACATGAGAGAGAGAAAGGATCATAAAAAGTTTTTACATATAAAGTATTTCTCTAAAGCAAGCAAGAAAAAGAAAAAAGTGTGATTCATAAAAAAATTACCAAAAATTCAAAACAGACTAGAAGAATAATTATTAAGGAATGGTTTCTTTAGGGTTAGTAAGTTATTAAAAAGTGAAGGAAGTTCGGGGAGGGGGAGGGGGGGGGTATATTAAGTAGATGATAGGGCTGGTTGCCCTTTTTTTTTTTTTTTTTTTTTTTTTTCTTTGGTGGTGGGTTGTGTCAAGTGGTGTCCACACTCAACATGGTTTACATATAAAGTGTATTACATAATTCTAAGAGTGTACGGATAATAGTTGCAATGGAGGTTTTACTCTGTGGTGGGTTGAACAGCAGCAGATCTGTCTAAGGTTGCCATCCAATTTTCTGGAATGATAGGGAACAAGAGTGTATCGTTTGTCACTAAAGATTGTAATTGTGCGGTGGTGGGTACAAAAAAGGGCAACATGAACTTTGCATCTTTTGTTTCGTTCATTTTTTCTTCCTTCATAATGAGGGTGTCTTCTTCTTCTTCTTCTTCTTCTTGATTTGCTTCTTTGTCTGCTGCTGTGGATGCTGGTTCTTGGCTAGAGCTGCCAAAGAAAGAACCTATCCATTCACTCCCTCTACTCGACAAAGACCTCCTCATGGAAGTACTGGTGGTACTGGTAGGTGAGGGTGCCGATGCTGCTCCTGTGGTTGTGGTGGTGGTGGTGGTGGTTGAAGCCGTCGCTATCCTCATGGAGGACTGTCTCTTTTTCTTTTTCTCTGCAGCCTTTTCTTTATGCTTTTTCAACTTTTGCGCTTCATCGGCCACATTTTGTTGAATAAAGCGTTCAATTTCATCTGGAATTTTAGGCTCGTTCAGTTCGTACCGGTAGTTTAAAATGATGCGTCTCAGCTGTGCATCGTTGATGGTATCAAATAGGGTCTTGATGGACTGTTGAAAATCCTCCAGGGTGTTTAATTGAGATATGCATTGCAAGAGTTGAACGAGTTGAATGGAAGGATTCAAATAGGAGAGCAGCAAGTGGGAAGGGAAGAGGGTAGGTGGGCTAGGACTCTTGGATGGCGTGGGGGAACGAATCCATTCCTCGAGTACAGACATGTTCATGCGAATTTGAATGGCTTTGGAACGACACAAATATTTCTTTTTGGACAGGATATGGTTAAAGAGTTCACAAGAGAGAGTGTGTAAAAATTGAGCCATGGCTTGCACAAGAATGGTGGGATGGATTTCGTACGATTGAAAGACGTAAAAAGTACTCGACAGCAGTTGGGTGATGACGTTGGGAGAGAGACCGACTCCTCGCACCGCCGCTCTGTTGGGAGCAGCAGCAGCAGCAGCAGCAGCAGCAGCAGCGGAGGAGGAGGAGGAGGAGGAGGAGGGTGAGGAAAAAGTCGGCAGGGTGGTGGCTGCCGTAGTAGAAGAAGCGGTGCTGTTGGAGGCATGACGTTGCATAGCGATGCTGCTGAGGAGCGGGTGGTCGTCTGTCGATTTTCGGCGGCTTGTGGTGACACTCTTTCTTCGTTTGAAAAAGAACCGCTGCCAGTGGTCATCGACAAAGTTGGTTTCCTCCATTAAGCCAGCGAGGGGATCATGTTCCAGCATGGCGGGTTCAAGGATTTTTGAGATGCGTTGGTTGGTATCTTGCACAATGTAGGTATACGTTTCAGAAATGAGCTCTGAGAGTCGAAGCTGGTACTCGGCTGTAGCGACGACCAAGCCAAGGTCCTTTTTGAGGTAATACAACAGTCGTGTGAGGTTGGTGAGCCAGTAGGCCAAGATGTGAATATTGTCCGTGTTGGTGTTGATGCTCGCTCCAATACGGAGACAGGTGCCTTCCATCAAATCTTCCAACACATCCGAGCTCGAAAAGTAATGAGCAAAACGAGCACTGAGAAAGACGACATTGGCCGGTAGAAAGACTTCTTGTGCATTGCGTACAGGTAACTCGAGTCGAGAAATGACTGTATCCAGTATATAGGATAAATCTTTGACGGCAAATACAAACATTTGATCTGGCATGCATTTATCCCAATTAAATTCAACAATAGGATTAAAATTCTCCACATCATCATCATCATCGTCGTCGTTGTCGTCGTCGTCGTCGTTGTCGTCGTCCTCACCAGGAGTAGCACCGTCGTTGTCTTGTTTGCCATGATAATGGCCGAGTAGGTACTCTTCGATGAGCTTTTGTCTGTCTGCTGTATTTGTACTTTCCAAATTGAATAGATAATCTTCTTCGGTAGAGGATCGTAGTGAAAAGGAGGTCAAGATGGAGGACGAACGATTGCTTCTGGTAGTGGTGGTGGTGGTGGTGGTGGTGGTGGTGGTATGACTCAAGTGATAGATGCTATTTCGATGGCTGCTCTCACTGCTCCTTGTACTTGTGGACGACATACTATCTCGGTTGTTACTACTGCTATTACTGTTGAGAATGATATCGGCCATGACGGCGGCAGAAGAAGGTGAGTAATCCTTGGTTTGACAGCTGCTACTTTTGACGAAATCCAATACCGTTCTGCCTTTGGCAGATCGTGTTTGTGCAGAAGCTCCATGATCCATTAACAATTGAACCATGCTTTCATGATGATTGGTCGTTGCCCACATTAAGGCTGTCCAGCCACCTATACGTGATCAAGAAAGAAAAAGAATAACTTAATCCTATCATCAAAGGAGAATAAAAAGGCCCTTTTTTTTTCAGGGGGTAGATCAAAAGAGAAAGAGACAGAGACAGAGAGCAAAAAAGACCCATCGTGTGTTGCTTTCTTATTCACAAGAAACGTTACCGGTTTAGGAGTAGTGTTTTGATTTTCTAATTTTCAGCTTTTGGGGCTCTCTCTCTTTTCTCTCTGTCTCTCTCTCTCTCTCTCTTGTCAGTAAGTAGTTTCTACTTACGAGGATCTTGGCTATCAATATGAGCTCCTGCCATTAATAGAGCTTGTGCAATTTCCAATTTTCCAAAACAGGCGGCATAGATTAAAGCTGTATTGCCATCTTCGTCTTTTTCATTTATTATCTCTCGGATGCTGCCATTGTCTTTATAGGCAAGTAGGTCGTTCAACTGGGCGATATTGCCGCTCGACACTGTTTTGAAAAACCATCTTTTCAACCTTTTTCGATCATGGTCGTTTGTGCTGGCGAGAGTCGACATCAAGGAGAGGATATCCTCGTCCTCATCCTTCTCTAAATGGATGGAGGAGGTGGGCGTTGGATGATGATCTACGTTTTGTTTCTCGCCCTGAACCAGTAGGTCGTTTGTTTCAGATAGTTCTGCTTTGCACAGGAACGTAGTAGGATGCTTTTCATCCTTTTCGAGTGTTTTGAATGCTTCTTCTTTTTCAGGCGGCGGTGTGTTTAAATCTTGAGTGGGCATAAACGAAACAGTGGTGGTTGTAGAAGAAGCTGACATGATAAACTAAAGAAATGGATGTGGGACGACAGAAAAGAAAAAGAGAATTAGAGAGAGAAAAAGAGTGATGCTGTGTCGTTGTAGAAATAGTGGGCCGTTCGAGGGAGAAGCAAGAAGAAAAAAAAAAAAAAAAAAATAGGGAAAAAAAAAAAAAAAAAAAAAAAAAAAGAGAAAATAACGTAAGAAAATAAAATAAAAAAGCAATATTTATTTGATATTTCCAAAAATAAGGGGTTAAAAGGAATGGACCGTCCATTCAAGATACAAACTGCTACTCGCTGCTGCTGCTGCTGCTATTGTTGCTGCTGCTGCTACTGCTACTGTTACTGATGCTGCTGTTGGAGTTGCTGTCAGCGGGTAGGGCCCAAGCGGAGTAAATTGCCATGTGCTTTAGGTTGTACATGATTTACATTGCCTAACATAAGAAGCATAGGGAAGGGCCACTCACATGGATGCAATGGCGGGCAACAAAAAGTGGATGTGGTACATGACCATGCTGAAATGGAGTTGTCTTACTATACGCATAAATAGGCTCTAAAAGTAGTGCCATTTTTTTTTGCTGTATCATGAAAGAAAACTCTATTATTGCCTCAGTAGCGTTTCTTTTTGTCCTTCATCCTACGCCCATACGGTGCGGTCGTCATGATCTTTTTTATTATCAAGCGTAAAAAAAACGTGGTTTCGTTGATGGTGAAACAAGCTTAAAAAATGAAATAATAAAAAAAAAAAAAAAAGCTTGTAACAAGCATCTCCTTTTTCTTTCACCATGGACATCTCTCTCTCCTGTTTCGCTTTTTTTTTTTTTTACAAGAGCGTCTTCTTTCACAGAGAGCCGTATTCCAAAAATGCTCTACACATAGATGAACACATGCTAGAAACGATAGCCAAAGAAAACGAACCGCTTCTTTTAAGCGTCCATTTTCAAATATGAGCGACAACAGATGAACAATGAAAAGAAGGACCTCCCTCTTCCGCTTGACTCCTATTGTTGATATACGAGTAGGGTGATGGAGGACAAAAATGGAAGATGTGTCAATTGAATGCTGTAACGCATGATCAAGGAAGGTAGAAACGTGGTCTCTTTCCACTCTTTCCTATTGTATGATGGCAGACTCATCGCTTGACTACTCTGCGTCAATAGGTGTATGTGTGGGCACAAGTAGCTACGAGAGAAGCCATCCTACTGCCATCTAGATCCATCAGAAAATGGAGCGTCGTGTAGGATGCCATTTTTTTTTTTTTTTTTTTTTTTTTTTTTTGCACGCCCACCTATGGATCTCCTAGTGAAATGAGAAGCATTTATTTCATTTCGTTTTTGCCCCCGCTTCCTTTTGGCTCGTTTTTGCCCTTTTAAAAAATAACAATCCGCTTTTGGTTCACGGTTTCTTTTTTTTTTATGAAAAGCGCCACAGTCATTCAAAGTGTGTAAAGAAAGAAACAATGAATGGGGCTTGCTTTTCTTTGTTCTTGCTGCCAAAGGGAAGGATCCCCCTTTCTTTTTTTTTTCTCGTTGATCTTGTTTGGATAGCTATGAAAAAAGCATATGAAAATAAAAGCCTCAACTTGCTCACAGATAAACTGGCATCCTATGTAAGCTGACACACCCCACGAGGTGGGCCATCTTGAGTTTGGCCATGGATTGGCTGATGTTTATGCTCTCATTATGTAATAAAAAAAGTTGAATAGATCACCATGTTGATTCTTCTCTATCCAAGGAGGAAAGGGTACGAGGAGGGAAAGGCTCTATAAAACAAGTCGATTTAAGAAAAAGAAAAAAGTCTCTGCCTTGACTCTTCTCCCCTTCGATTGTTGCCTAGCACATGAATCAGTGATGGTTTGCTATGGCATTATCTACAGGTTGGCCCGTCATGGATCGGTTCGTTTTAAAATGCAGCGATGGAACTGCAAAAGAGGGGCCATTCTTAGAACAAAAGTGTAGGATTGGATGATTATTTTATTCCTGTTGGAGAAAAGAAATGAAAAATAAATAAAAAAAGAAAGCTATTTTAAAGAAAAAATGAAGGGGGGGCGAAGGGATTATTATATGTGTATATGTGTCAAATGATGTGCCTATGTTACAATACATGTCCATTAGATTTTTTTTTTTTTTTTTAAATCGGTGTTGTACGTCTACTACGAAAACAACCCGTGGCCTCTTAGATCTTGGGGCCGGCAGCCAAGGTTTCGGGAGAAGCTTGGTCTTCATAGGTCTTGAAGTTTTCCTTAAACATGTGAGCGACGTTTTGAAGGGACTTGTCAAATTCTTCAGCGGTACCGTTCCAAGCGGTCTTGGGGTTCAACAATTCAGAAGGAACGTTGGAAACGGCCTTGGGGATACGCAAGCCAAAGATTTCCAATTCGTCAAATTCAGCATTGGCGAGCTCGCCGCTGTGGATAGCGTCGAGGATAGCACGGGTGTACTTCAAGGGGCAACGCTTGGAGGTGGCAGCGGAACCACCGATCCAACCGGTGTTGATCAACCAAGCATCGGCCTTGTGTTCAGACATCTTTTGGGCGAGCATGGTAGCATAGCGTTGAGGATGGAGGACCAAGAAAGGCGCGCCAAAGCAAGCAGAGAAAGTGGCTTGAGGCTCGACAATGCCGTCTTCGGTACCAGGCACCTTGGTGGTGTAACCAGAGATGAAGTGGTACATGGCTTGTGCAGCGGTGAGTTTGGAGACAGGAGGCAAGACACCAAAGGCATCGCAGGTCAACAAGATGATGTTCTTGGGGTGACCGCCCATGCAAGGAATCTTGGCGTTGGGAATGTGGTAGATGGGGTAAGCGCAACGTGTGTTTTCGGTCAAGAAATCGTCCGAGTAGTCGACTTCACGGGTCTCTTCGTCCAAGACGACGTTTTCCAAAATGGCGCCGAAACGAATGGCGTTGTAAATATCGGGTTCCTTTTCGCTGGACAAGTCGATGCATTTAGCATAGCAACCGCCTTCGATGTTGAAGATACCGTTATCGGACCAACAGTGTTCGTCGTCACCGATGAGCTTACGCTTGGGATCAGCAGAGAGCGTGGTCTTGCCAGTACCTGATAAGCCAAAGAAGAGAGAGACATCACCGTCAGGACCTTCATTGGCAGAAGAGTGAAGAGAAAGGACACCTGCCTTGGGCATCAAGTAGTGCATGACAGTGAAAATCTACGCCCCATGGAGAGAGAAAGGGAAAGAGGGGGGATAAGTATTCCTTTTTCGAAAACAAGCAAGCTCCACTGCTTACCCCACTGCTTGCCCACCTACCCCCCCCACCTGCCTCTCCCATTTTCTGACCGCCCCCCACTATCACGAACCGTGTTTTGTACAATAAAATTAAAAATACTTACACCCTTCTTCATTTCACCAGCATATTCAGAACCAAGAATGACCATTTCATTTCTCTTGAAATTGACAGAAACAGAGGTGGTGGAGGTCATACCGGTAGTGTATCGGTTGGCGGGGAACTCACCGGCGTTAAAGATGGTGAAATCAGGCGTTCCGAAATCTTCCAACTCTTCATCGGTGGGACGAATCAACATGTTGCGCATGAACAACAAGTGGTAGGCACGAGAAGCGACGACACGCACCTTGATACGGTATTTGGGATCCCAACCGGCGAAACCATCAAAGACATAGAGACGAGGACGAGTGTTTAAATAGTCGATGGCACGTTCACGGTTGATCAAAAAGACCTTTTCGCTGATGGGCGTGTTGACGGGGCCCCACCAAATATCTTCCTTGGAGCCTTCTTCTTCCACAATACGTTTGTCCTTGGGAGAACGACCTGTCTTTTTACCAGAGTAAGCGCAGAGAGCACCGGCAGAAGAGATGACAGTACCTTGTTCGTAGGTGAGTGCTTGTTCATAAAGAACAGCAACAGAAGGATTACGCATGATGGTTACCTGTGCAAAAAAAAAAAAAAAAAAAAAAAAAAAAAAGAAAACAGTGGGTTAGAGGGGCATCGCTTTTTGTAGAGAAAAGCATGGCTGGGTGATCTACTTTACTCTGTCGTAATCAATACCAGCATGTTCGTGAAGATCTTCTTCCACTTTGGTGTGAGTGGAGTGAGCACTGGAAGGTCTGTAACCTGTGTAAGGAGATCCGGGTCTAGAAGTAACCATGGTAGAAGAAATGAAAGATGAAGAAAAAAGTCGACAAAAAAAAAAGAGAATAAAAAGCTAAAAAGTAAAAGAATAAGAAGGAAAGAGAGCTATTTATATACAGTCCTTGACTTGTTCCAAATAGACTTTTTTTTGTGTGCGCCTCTCTCTCTTACTCTATGTGTGTATGTGTCTAAATGCCCAAGTGTGTGTAATGAGTATGAGTATAATGAACGGGCGCTTACCCGTATTCCTCGGAAAGATCGGAGTCGCATTTCGACCTGCTCCACACAATTCACAATCCAACGGCCCCCCTCCTTGCTTTTTCACCAGTAGAAAGCCGAAAAAGGCATGAAAGTGTATTACTAAAAAACAAAGCCATGACGCCCTTTCCATTCACAATAAAAAACAAATTGAATGCCCGTCTGACCCCGGGTTCACTATTTTACTAAATGGGCTAAAAAACGTGAAAATAGGGCAAGAGGGACGAAAACTTTTAAGTGAGAAACGGGATTTGACGGAAGTAAGCCCCACTCCTGATTCGTCCGAGATCCTCCTCTCTCTCTCCTTTTCTTTAAAAACTGCACAAGTTGTTTAGGTAGACACATACCACCTCTTTTTGTTCAAAAATGAATGTAAGGAAATAGCTCCCCCCCCACGGTCGACTCACAGCTGCGGTCACGAGGGACACTCTTCGTTTTCATTTTTCTTTTGGGCTGTCGATAGATGGGGAATGCACTTGCCAGTCAGTCTTAGTCAACATCGAGGCGTGTTTTTTTCGTCCTTTCCCCACATTTTTAAATCTGTCCAATCACAAGGATGATCATGGACACCCACAATAAAAAAAAAAAAACGTGGGAAAAGTACGAGTCCCATTTGTAAATCCTCAAGACCCTAAAAGGGTTCGGGCTTCCCACTTTACACACCTCCCATTGACGAGAGGGATGAGATGAGGATGACGTAGAGTGGTAAAAAAAAAAAGCACTAGGAAGAAAAATAAGTTTTTTTTTTACTCGGCATTATGTTTTTTTAAAAAAGGAGAGGATGGGGCAAACAAAAGAAAGTTTTTTGTATAAAGTGGAACCATTTTTTGGAAAGAAAACGACACCATGGTTTGGTATTTCATGGCAAGAGTGTCTTCTATGGTCATTGCTTATGTAAGACACACACACACAACACACAAGTGACTTTAATACGTGGACGGGTCACGAGCGTTCATGAAGAGAAGGATGTCATTGATCCAATGACTTTTTGGCTCTAGGCTTGACACTTTAAACAGGTTAAGCTACAGCCTTATCCATTTACAGATAAAGTACTCTATCATCTGTCAGAATTGAAATTAGCTATTTTTCCCGTATCAAGAAACTTTTTGACATACTGGGACAAGGCAAAAAAAAAAGTCAAAGAAAACCCATGCCATTTCGTGCGTATAAAGACGGGATAAATGGGAAACGATGGACGCGTTCTTATTATTTTTTAATTTAAACATGAAAAAATAATAAAAAAAAGAAATCGCCTTTCCCCCCCCCCTTAACAACCCATCTTTTAGTCCACTCTCCCCCCAAACTCGGACGATAATTATAGATTTGGTAAATCTTCCCGCTTGTCAAAAAGTAAAAATAAGCTTTTCTCGTTTTGATGCATGAAAAAAAAAAAAAAGGTTGGGAAATTTGAAACAGAAATACCATGTATATCTGATATAAAGTACCGAAAGAGTATTTCGTCTTGAATTATAAAAATAGGGAAAGGGGGCAAACGGACAAACTACTCTTCATTGTTTCTATGGAGACAAACCACCTTATTGTGGCCATTCCAACAACATTGAAAAGAATTGGCTTAGGATGAACAAGTGGGTTAGAGATGATAAACGTGATGTTTAGGTTTTACAATCTTGAGAAATTTCTATTCTCAATATATAAAAAAAGAAAAACCTTAACCCTTATATCTAAAACAACACATACACATACACATACACATACACATACACACACACACTTACGCACAACGCACACAATGTCCATCACGCTACCTTTTTCTGTTTTTCTATCCCCTTCTATTGCTTAAAGAACCTTATCTAAGGATGGATAAAAGTAGAAAGATGGATGCATCTTTGTGTGTACGTGTGATTCTTTTTTCATTTTTAGAAAAAAAAAGGCTTTTTTTTTTGTCCAGGGCAGGGAAAAAAAAGCGTCTCCTAAAAAAAGAAAATTCGGTTTCATTTTCCAATTCCGGAAGAAACTGCTTTCTCCCCCCCCCCCTTTTACCTACGTGTGCCTGCCTCCACACAACAAAAAAAAAAAAAAAAAAAAAAAAACTCCTCTTTTATTTTCCTTCATTTCTCTACATTCTCTTATTCCCCCGAAAAAACGCACGAGACCAAAAAAGAAAAAAGGGTTTTTCATTCCAAGGGCTTATTTTTCAACCACCACAAAAAAAAAAAAAAAAAAAAAAAAAACTGGTAAAAAAGTTTATTTCAAAAGAGAGAAGGGTAAATAGGAAGCCATAAATAGTATTACACGTCGACGGGGGAGCATAGAAGATTGAATACTGGAAAAGAGCAAAAAGGAGAGAGAGAGAAACTGTGTGTGTGTGTGTGTGTGTTTTTTCATACTGAACCATTGGCATGGATTAAAAGGATATAGATATATATATATATATATATATATAAGCATGCTAAAGTGTTGTTGGATGGAAACATAGGAGAAGAGATTCAAAAACGAGCAAAAATGTGTGAGATTAAATACGCACTTGGTCTCGAAGTGCATTTAATTGTCGATTGTCCTCGGAACAAGGCAATCTTTCCCAGGCAATGTCTTGGATAAAGATGGGCGGTACAGCATGGATTTCTTTCTGTGGGTAATGATAAAGATCATGTTGATAAAAGGAATAAGAGGTGGTCGTGGGCGTCGTAGGTATTGGCAAAGGGGAGAGTAAATTGGCTAGACTACTGCTGCTGCTACTGCTGTTACTATGTTTGTGGGTGAGAGATGGCTTGAAGGGGGCGTCTTCTGTCGCTGTTGGCGGTGATGTGGCATTGGATGTCAATGGGGGTGGTGGTGGTGGTGGTGGCGTCGTGAGGAGGAGTGAATCGAAAGCATCATTCGTACTGCAGGAAGAGGAGGTGGAAGAGGAAGAGAGCGTCATTTGAGAGCAATTGGAATCAATCGAGTCATGACGTTGTTGTTGTTGTTGCTGTTGTTGTTGTTGTTGTTGCAATTGGGAAAAGTAGTGGTATTCTTGTCGAATCGAGTGCATGGAAGCAATATGGCCACCGCCAATGTCCAATGGATTCAACTCTGGATACAAGCCTTTGGGTATGACAATAGATCTTAATCTCTGATCCTGTGAGGGTCTTTGTAATCTTCCCGAGAGTATATCTTGTTTTGTGTAATAAGAAATCAAATGGATCCTTTGATGAGAGGTAGTGCAAATAGAAAAACTTTGCTTGATCAATCCATTCTGCTTGTAAGAAAACGTGATTTGTCGATGCTGATGAGTGGTATCATGATGTGTACTCGTCGTACTACGCATAGAAGCAGGTTGTTGTGATTGTTGTCGTTGTTGTAATGGTGGTGGTGGTCTACGAGGTCTGCGTTTCGTATCCAATTCCTTGTACGTCAAGAAACTCCCCAGGACCCTACTGGGTGACCATGTGCGTCCATCGGTCCATCTTCGCATGCCCGCTTCACGTTCATCCCAGGCAAAGATAGAGCCTGAGTGAATATTCATACGCTCCTTTGAAGTGAGTCTTCTCTGCACTCTGTTCAACATGCCCCTTCTGCATGCTTCAAATAGAATCAATGCATCTTGCGGTGTTTTGATATAACCGATATATGTTTCCATGTTCATGGCTAGCTAGATAAAAGGGGGAATAGATAGATGACTATGTACAAAATGGGGATGAGGGGAGATGGTAGTATATGGATAAATAATGAAAGAGGAAGGGGAAAAAAAAAAGCTTTTTTTTCTTTTTTAATCCTCAAATGAAAAAGGATGATCCCTTTTTATACTTTTTTTTTTTAAAAAAAAAAAAAAAAAAAAAAAAAAAAAAAAAAAGAAAAGAAAAAAATTGATGTCATCTATTCTATGCGCGTGTTTATCTATTTACATTGTTCTAAAGTGAAAAAGAACCGATGCAAATCATGCAATTTAGAAAAAAAAAGTAAAAAAGCAGCATTTGACTATAAAAGGAAATCCATCGAACAAAAAAGTAACTGTTATTTTTTTTATTTTTTTTTAAGGTTTTCTTAATTGTAACACCCCCCATTTTTTCATTTTCTTGGTTTTTTAAGGGGGGGGGAGGATCTCAATTTCTTTAGGATTCTTTTTTTCTTCCATCTTTATCATCGGCTTGAACAAAAGGTATCAGGCCCAGACAATAACCGATACGTACATTTGTCTTTTTTTCTTCTTTCCATACAGATTCATAGCCACAAGCAACAAAAAAGTAATGTAAACTTGTACACATCTAAGGAAGGGGGAAAAAAGAGGTTGGTGAGCTGTTCATCCTACTCATGATCATAAAGTGTGTGTGGAAGGGGGAGTTCTTACAAGGACGTGCCACCTATCCATAACGGAAGGAACGGTTGAGTACGGCTATTCTTTTTTTTTTTTTTTTTTTTTCTACCTTTCCCGTGGACTTACCATGCATGTAATTGCGGATTGGGCAGATATTGATAGACAAAACAAAGATTAGAATCAATTAACCACACAGTAATGGCGAATATCAAAAATACGGTTCCTTGTTGAAATAGCTTGAGGGTTTCGGGTCTCGCCTTTTTGTACAATTGATAGACAAGATAAAGATCACTCCACATCACGAAACCAAACCTATAAAGGCAAACCTTTCCTTCAGGTGACTGTAGTTATCATCGACTTGTCCTCATCAACAAAAAATACTTACGAGGTCTGAAACATGAAAAATTGTGTCGTTCCTTTGTTCATACTAGTGACATAAGTTGCAAAAGCGCAGTAAAGTAGAATCCCTATCCCATAGCTGTTTTTTCGTTTTCCATAGTCACCGTGCTCCCCTAATAAAACCCATAAAAGGTAACAGGCGGTCCAAACCATTGGAACCTTTTTTTTTTTTCTCGAGGTAATTAGAATACAAATAGCGTCATTATCATCATCCTTATCCTGTATCATTTCGTATGTAGACCCGTACCTCATCCCACATCTGATGTTCAAATTGAAGTGTCGCATGAAACAAGACACTATATTATTATTATTTTCAATAAGGAGTATGTTAAAGAGGCTTCTTTTATACAGTACATCTATGAGTCACCCATAGGATTCTTTTTTTTTTACCTTCCAATGCCTACCACGACGATTAATAGATAACTGATCGATAGTTTCCAACCCAAAGATCGATGATGTAGGGCGACACCTAATAATCCTAATACCACCATGGCTAAACTCTAAGAAATCGAATTACGTACGGTTGGTTGGTTGGTGGGTTGGTTGGTTGGGGGAAACAGATTGAGTTCTTTTTTTTTTGTCCAACGATCCATCTCCCATAAAAAACATTTAAACATTTACAGAAATTGTATTCCAGAATTCTGCAATATAATAGGAATGTGCATAATTCTCTTCACACCTAGCGTGAGATATCTGGTTCATATTTTCAATTCGCGTAGATGTAGTTTTGTTTTCAATCGAGATCTGACAAACGTTACCAATCGACCGAACTTGTGACAGCACCCCAATAACCTTCGACTCCTTCTTTATTCATTTCTTTTCAAAGCGTTTGAGAAAACGGAAAACGAGAGAGTGTAATTTGTAATGAAAAGAAAGAAAGAATTGAAAAAAAGGGGCGCTTGGAAAGGGACACGTCGGTGAAAGTGAGGATGTTGTCATATGAAAAAAAAAAAAAAAATATAAAAAAGTTTTTCCCTTGGCAACCGCTGAAATTAAAAAATAGAAAGAAATGGGCGGGAAGGCATACAGCCTTTTACCCCCCTCCCCAGCAGTGCTATGCTAAACAAGAGAGGGTCAACAGCTTCTTTATTTTATTTCAAAAAAGAAAAGAGCTTTCTTTAGTGTTGTCATGGTAATCAACGCGTTTTCTTTCTAAAAAGTAAAAAGAAAATCCAAAACCTTAAAGTCGTTTTTTTCTACTTTTGTGTCGATCATTGTCCATCTTAAAACGAGATAAGAACCCAAATGTCAACAATTAAAAAAATGTGGGTTGGGGGGAGGGGGGGAATGAACATGTTTTTGTCGTTTGAATGAGACACCTACATCATGAATGTGCTGTGTACAGAAATCGAGCGCAGAACATGTGTATTTATAGTGATTTTTTTTTTTCGTGTGGTTGACATAGCAACCATCACTCATTTCCCTCCCCCTCCCCCCCAAAAAAAAAAAAAAAAAAAAAAAAAAAAAAGGCAGAAACCTTAAAGGGCAATGGATGAAAAAATGAGATCATCGTCCAGCCATGGGTACCTCCTTTGTACCTCCTTCTCCCCCGAGCCTTTCAAAATAGACGATAGAAAGAAAAAGAAGAAAGTTGCTATTTTTGTAATGAAAAAGAAAGTTTTTGGTTATAAATGAGAAAATCTTGAACCTTAATCAATGAAAGATGCAGTCACTGGAATGACGCATAAAGAAACATGTCTACGCGCATGACGACAAAGGGCCATAGGTACTCTATGGCAGAGTCTATCGATTCAATGACTCGATAGACTAACGATTTTTTAGAAAACGATTCTTTTTTGAAAAAAAATCGGGTTTTAATAAAGCTTGTTTTTTTACATCAAGTCGTGCAAGAAAAAGAACTCTTTAGAAGCTTTCTCTGTAAAAAAAAAAAGTCTATTTCTTATCACTGACTCGATTTCTTGACCCATGACCACCCTCATGCTTCTCTCTCTTTCCTCTAGAGGGAGTGGGATAGAAAGAGAGAGAGTAAAAATGACGTCCCCATCAATGCTGATAGTGAGAAGAAAAGAACACTGGAAGCATACAAATGCATTTGCTAAATTACATAAAAAAAGAAGGGCTTCCATGTCAGCATTAGTTTAAATTAAAAAAGCATAAATATTTGATTTTTTTCTTACATGTGGTTCAAGATGGATGGTAATTCAACTCAAATTGCTTTTTGTCCTACTCTAACCTAACCAGAGACACACACACACACACGCACACGCACATACAGATAAATGAAGCTACATTATGTCATCATCATAAAATAACTCCTTTCATTGTCCTACTTTTAATATCAACGAGCACCCATCCATCTAGAAACTGCTTTTTTTTTATTTTCGGATCTCATCTATCCGTGCATCGAGTGTTGGTTAAAACAAAATGGATGCTAACCTAACTCCATCATGCATCACTTTATCGACAGAATGCCTTTGGGTTGAGACAGAGAAAAGCGAAAAAGACACAATCTCACTATTTATTCTAATCAACCGCTAGAGTGAGTTCTTCACTTAGACTAGGTTTATAGTGTTCTGCTATCGTTGCTGTTTGGGTCAGGATGTCCTCCGTGGTGGAGGATGCCTGCTCAGGAAGAGCATGACGATGACCATGACTACTACTACTACCACTACTACTCACAACAAGTGGATCGACGCTGGCTGTGGGTGGCATTCGCACGTCCAACTTTCTTAGAGAATCTTGTCGTGGAGGTGTCACAGACCGATGGCTGCTATTGTTACTACTACTACTATTGTTGTTGTTGTTGTTTGTCTGCATCAGGGTCGCTGCTTGCTGCTGCTGCTGCTGCTGCTGCTGCTCCATAGGCGTAGAAGCATGTGTAGGCTCCGTGGGGGTGGCTGTGTTGGCTTGAGACGTGGTAGGAGCTATGGCTGTCGTGCCCGGTGGAAAACGAGGCATCCGTGTATGGCTACTACTACTACTGTTCAGAGGCGTCGTCTGACCGTACTGCGCTGGCGTAGGTGTTGTTGAAACATCACTAGGGTATAACGTGAGAGGAATACGTGCTGTGGACTGGGGTGGTCGGTGCTGTGCATTCACGGGCGGCTGTAGCACCAAAGAGCCCACCATGGACGAGAGGAAGGGCTCGTGTTGTTTGGCTGTGGCCGCGGCGGCTGCATTCGAGTCGAAAGGCGGCGCCATGGGTCTGCTGCCACGCGTAGTAGCACTACTGTCACTATGACTATTCCTCAAGGAGGCGGGTGGGTTCATCGGCTGCGTGAGGAGCATGGGGGGCGCAGCGCTCATCCTCGTCGACGGTAAAGGCGGGAAGAGAGTAGCGTGATGACTAAGGTATAAAAGGTTACTCTGAGAGTGTTGACTGAAAGGACTCAGTCCTTCCAACGCTTGGTTCAGTTTATGTTCGTTGTTTCGCCGTGCCAACGCTTCTGCTTTGGGGAAGATCACATCCATCGAAAGTATGAGATCTTCAAACAATTCGTCAGGCGACCACGCGTTCGTCTCGGCCGTCATCGTTGCTGTGGCCCCAGACGCCGCAGAAGAATCTTCCGTGCCCGTTTGATTGAAATCGTGAAATATAACCGGCGTAAAAATCAGAGCCAAGTTGGGAATATTCATTTTATTGATCTGACTCTGAGCATTGATTCTAATCCCCAAAAAAAAAAAAAAAAAAAAAAAAAAAAAAAAAAAAAAGAGATGAGCACGCCCTCATGTCCATGGGTCCTACCGAAGGATAACTGACTTACTTGGCCAGGTGACGTATCAAATAATGCAACGTACTTCGATGTGCCAAGGACAAATTAGATAATTTCGTCTCTAATAACCCAAATCGTTGCGCTTGTGACATCCCTTTACTATAAGCCAACCTCGTTTGCGTATTAAAGTCAAACAAGGGCCTTTTTAGCTCTCTTAGATACATTTTCAAAATCGTAGCCATCGTAAACACATCGTACTGATCCAACACCACCCTGTCTTCGTCTAATTCAAAGTAATGCTTCAATTGCTCTATGCTGGATTGTCGTCCTGACACTCTGTAAATGCCCTCTTTTTGCAATCCGCCGCCTTTCTCAATGGCTTCGATGCATTTTATCACGAGTAACGGTACCGTCGTGTTGTGTTCAATGGCATACGTTTCTAACGATCCTCCAAACAGGACTTCCTTGCATTTTCCTTCAAAATAATAGTTTTCATATCGCACAGGTGTGGGATACATGTATCCCTGGGACTGATAATGACTAGAAAATACCTGTAAATCCCTTGTGCTATCCACAGCACTCGCCGCATTCAAAGTTCCCCGTGCAGACTAGGATCATTTTGTTAGCATCTTTCCACTCCTCCCCTTCCTTGTTTTTTTTTCAAAAAAATTTTTTGCTTTACATTGATTTCCATCTGCAAACTATCCAGCTCTGACCGTAAAATGTTGACAAGAGATGTCTTGACAGTCTCTGTTTTTCTTTTGATCGTTGCTTTCAATTGCTAATACACAATCCCGTGAAGAATAACGAGGGGTTATTATAATACCATCACCCACGCTCCTCCCATTACATTTTACTTTTTTTTTTTTTTTTTTTTTTTTACCCTATTCACTTCTTCTGATGTCTTGTATTGCTTTTTTCTCAAATTTTCCAACAGTAATATACCGTCTCTATACTCATTATCCGCATCCGTGATATCCTTCTTCATCTTTGCAAATTTACTAAATTGTTTATTTTGTTGATCGGCCGAGGAGGACGGTGTCGTCAAGTAAGCATTGGCGACAACCGCTCTTGTTCGCATGTGAGAGAGTAACCCAGCCATGCCTCGGCTTTTACTGCTTGGTGGCTGTTGTGCCGGCTGCTGCTCATGGTCCTCTCCTCGGTTATAATCCCCTGACGTTCTATGACTCGCACTGGCATTCCATTCGGCAGAATTCCGATTGGATCGATAACTCTCTCCAGTAGATTCACTGTGTTGCTGTTGCTGCTGCTGTTGCTGTTGCTGTTGCCAGTGTGTTTGTGCTGTTTTTAATTCTTCGCATCGATGATTATATGATTTTTGAAGCTGTGAATGATATATGTTTCTATATCAATCATTTGGTAGCAATGTAGACCCCTTTCTCCTTCCATTTCATCTTACTTTGACAATATCTCGGTTTTTAAAAGTCGTATAGTTGGTGTTGGCGTCATACAACTTTGATTTATGCGTCTTTCGATTTTGTTCTTCCGTTTCCTATCATTATCCAATGCATCAGTTCTATGCACATGTATGATCTTTTCATAGAAAAAAATATTATTCGCAACAACACCTTTTGCTTTGTCAAAACATCTATTTCTAGTTTGATCGTATCTCTCAACCGTTGTCGACTTTCAATGACACTATCGACCGAACTTTCATACAGTTGGACCGCTGTTTGAAAAGTAAGCTGTGCTTCATGATGGAAATAAGGTCGATCAGCATCCGTAGAAGAAGCGACTTTTTTCACCTTGTAAAGCGCGTTCAAGTAGGCTTCTTCTGCCTGCCATCTTTATATACAAAAAATCCATGGCGGGGCGTTAAAAGAGACAGCTGTGTCATTTCTTCTCAAACGTCGTCGTCTTTTTTTCTTTTTGCCTTTACCGAACTTTTAGCATTTGAATGATATTTTCTAAATCATGGTTGCTGTATTTAAAAGTCGTGTTGACAAATTCAAAGTGCTTTTCGATCGAGTTGGACTAAGAATAGAGTAGACCATTAGCCTGACAGTCTCTACCGAACCATCCCTATTGACCATCGGTGGGTGCGATGGCGCTTTTTCCTTTCCCCATCCTCAAACTGAATCACTACTCTTTGGCAATGCCTACTTCGTCATCGGTCGTCATATTATTATTATTATTATTATTATTATGTAACTGAGAGACACTTCTATTTCTTCCTCTGTGCATAGAATTTGGCGGTGGTTTATATGAAAAGAGTAGAATGGGGAAAGAAAAGGGAGGAGCGAAAGAGACCCACCACCGCTTTAAAGTTTCTGCCTCATTGTCAATGTAAAAAGATGAGAATGTGCAACTCCAAAAGCTTAAATTTTTCCTCATTCTTGTACTTCCTTCCCTTTTTCGCTGTCTATAGCCACACTCGACGCTATATTCCCAGTTACTTTTTCCTTTCTATTGAACCTAGGCTTAGTATGCATCCATGACTTTTGTCCATGTCGGTTGGACGGGTCGTATCACGTCATGTTTATAGTCGCCCGTGACTCATGATGATAGTCCGTGTGCAGCTGAAAAAAAGACAAGGTACGACCCTTTTGTTATTGCAGATCACGAAAAAAAGGAATAGCATGACAAGTGGCGAGAAGAGCAATGCCAGCGTGGATACTACCTATGGTTCCATGCTCTTTCTAACCTCCACCTGCTTATCCAGTGACAATTCTCAACAGGGCCCTGAGATTTTACAAGTGTGTCTGTACCCTACGATAGGCTCCAAGTAGTGTACATCACTCATTCAGCGCTGTCCCATTTCTATTTTTGACGCTCCATTTATTTTATTTTTTTTGCAACTCCACCTTTCCTTTATAAAATGAGGTGACCCCTTTTTTACCTTTTTCCAGTCCTTTTCTTTTCAATCTTTCAACCTTTTCTCCGTCCATGTCGAATAAAGCACCCTCCACGCCGAAACAAAAGCATGACGCAACCGTCAAAAAGACGTCTTTGCTGAGCCAAGGACTCATTGGATTATCCTGGGCCATTTTATTGTTCTTTTTGGCTTCTTATTTAATCACAGAGACTTGGACGTGGGGTTATCGCGGAAAGTGGACCAATAGGCATACCTATTTACCGGTAAAAAATGCATGGATCAAGAGACGCCCTCCTCGCCCAGGATTGCTAATGCTCTCTCTTTCTCAATGACAAACAGCGAAAAGAATTAACTTTTACAGAAAAAGAACTAGCGTTCTATGATGGAAGTGATCCTACCAAGCCCATTTATCTCGCCATTGAGTAAGAAAGCAGAAAAGAACGGTCCACCCCCCCACCATGGCATAGGCAGCTTACCAGAAATGATTTGTTTTTTTTTACGTGCACACGTTGCACTCCTACTAGTGGCAATGTCTACGATGTAACAAAAGGAGCCGGTTGGTACGGTCCAGGCGGAAGTTACCATCATTTTGCAGGCAAAGATGCGGCCCGTGCGTACGTTACCGGCTGTTTTAAAGAACATCTCACGCACGATATTCGAGGCTTCAACGAGCAGCAAAGGAAGGCACTGAACCATTGGAAATCCTTTTATGAAAACCATCATACCTATTACAAAATTGGACATGTACTGCACGACCCTATACCTTCGGATCAACCTATACCACCCGATTGTCGTTCGGCCACTCAACAAAAACCATCCACAAAATAATAAAGTTTTATTCAATCACTCCCCCCCCCGCTCATATTGAAACTGGTATACTTTATGGTATCTATGCCTAAACTACGTCTGACTTGTATAATGGCAATCACTTCTTTGATACATTCTTCTAGAATGACCACATTATTCAAAATCATGGACAGAGAGAGTTTCTTCTCTAGCCCCTTTTTTTTATAATGAGTGATCGGTGCAAACACATCTTCGTCTTCTTCATCTAAATTGAGTACCGGATCAGGCTGGATATCATAATAATGAGATGGGAATAAAGGTTGAACGCGTATCGGCAGTGTTTTCTTGATATGCAAGTCAATACTGGGATAAACGGCCAGCTGTGGAGCTTGGGCTGTAGCACTACCGGCAGCAGCACTCGCACTGGAGGGCGTAGAGGAAAGGGTCGTCGTCGTCGTCGTCGTCGTCGTCGTCATCGTCGTTGGGAGGGTAGCCTGGGACGCTGATAGCTGCTGATAGGTGTCCGTAAAGGTAAGAGTAGACATCAAACTCGCTGTGGAATTCCTTCGCTTCCTCGGCGTCGGAACAGGGGACGGCAACGAAGACGACATGAATCCAAATAACCGAGAAGACGTCCGCTTGCTGTTATGATGGCTGCTGCTGCTATGGCTCAAAGAAGGCGGATCGATACTCTCTGTCACTTCTCCAAACAAAAGTCCCTGTCGCCTCTCCTCCAAAAATTGATCAAACTGCTGATCTCCAATTTCAGATCGATAATAATCAATCTGTTGCGTCAAGGTACGGAAAAGTGTGTAGAAGGGTGGAAACGATTTGAATTGGGTAGGATACGTCATTTCAAAAGAATGCAGCTCGGCTGCAAAGTCAATCGATTTGTCGTCATCCAAATCCTCCTCCTCGTCTTTTCCTCCTTCTTCGCCTTGTTTGTGAGTCGCCGTCGGCAAAACAGAGGAGCGACGACGATGTCGAAAAGGACGTTGAGAGTAATAGTAGGGTTGACGAGACGGCTGCTGCATCGAGTCGAGTACGTTGTCCAGAACCAAGATGGCCGATTTCTTACTCTTTACCGCAGTCGCTACCGTGCGCGCACTGGGTGTGTTATCGGATGGGCTCGAAAGGTTCAATGTATCATTGGGATGCGTTCGATCGTTCTCTGAAAATGTCAGCCACCCTTCTAAACTACGGTAAGGACAAATAGCCAAAGCAGAGAGCACACCGGTAAGAGCCAAATTCAGTTCAGAAGACTGAGCAAAGAAATGGGACAATATGTCTTGCAGCAAGTGCAAAAGTGGATCCCTTGAGCTCAATCGCTGCTGTCTCTGTTGCTGCTGCTGCTGGTTATTGTTACGTGTGGTCGAAGACGAAGAACAGCTACGGTACATATCGTATTCCTGGCTTTTGTTCTTTTGCTGCTGACCGTATTTAAAACTTCTTCGTCTTTCACTCTTCGATAAAAGGCCTGTCGTACCCTTCGTGGCATACGGGTACGGATGAGGAGAATGTTCCATCAAATCCTGAAAACAAGGATCGCTGTCCATCATACTTTCTATATCTTTGATATAGTCTTCGTAACCCAATGATAGCCAGTCATACTTTTTCATAGGCGAGAAGCGGTCAATCGCGCTGATGAGGGCAAAGTAGAGCTCCACTTCCTTTTGATGATGCGAAATGCTGGCTGTGCCAAAAGCTGACTCTGGCTTGGAGGGATACAGATCATCGACCGTCAATAGCTGTTCAGCAAACTTACAATGCTTCAAAAGGACGGTACGTAAAAGTCGGAGTGTTACAATCACCGTCGGTTGAGACTTTGATTTCAAGCGACTGAAAATCAAGTCTTTCAATGTGAACCTTTCCGCTTGCATGTTAATATACGGATGACTATGCTGCTGTTTGTGCTTTTTGCTATGCGTGACGTCAGGCGTGGATGGATCGTTCATCAAGTAACCGACAATGACATCCGCTAATTCTTGCTGTTGAATGCTCTGTAACATGACATTGATATAGCTAATCACGGCAACGGAAGAACCATCGGCATCGGAGCATTCCAAAATGGATGGATACAAGATATTCTCTAAAAAAATCATACGAATACTTTGCAAAAGCTTTGCCGAAATACCAATGTCAGACGTCCGTGAAAGCACATCTTGGTAAAACTCCAATAGTTTCAAAAATGAATCTAGCTGATACTTGAACTGTTCGGAACAAGACTGTTGCTCTATGCCAAAATCACTTGTGATGGAATAATGCTTAGGCAGGCATTCTTGACTCAAAAGATAGGAAGACGTGTGCTCCTTTTCGTCTTCAAAAATTTGCAGTTTCCGTGGAAGCTGTGAATATAATGCGCCTAATCCAGCGGCCATGATGATAGCAAAGTCAGATTGCAATATGAATTGCGTCAGAGGATGAGATGGCGTGGCCATTTCCATAATAAACAAAAGCCCTGTGCGTGCATAATCACCCAATCGCCCTTCTCTGTGAACAAACTTGAGCAAATAGGAAAACAACAAAAATTCGTATTCTGGCTGTTCTTCCTCCTCTTCTTCTTCTTCTTCTTCTTCGTTAGACTCTCTATGGCCATGTTGAACAGGGCCATATCGCTGCTGTGGCTGATTCTGTTGTTTTTTTTGAGGCATTGTCAGCCATTGCTTGTCATGGAAAAAGATATTCAATAGTGCAGGAAATCCATGAATTTTCGAACATATGATATACATGAGATCTACCAAATCTTCATGGTACAGGTCGGTATTACTAAGATTATTGAGCTGGTCCATGGTAGAAGTGAAACTAGCTGCTGTCGCCATAGAATTCGAACAACAGTATCTCAATAATTTAATGGTAGGTGTATGTACAGCATGATGTACGAGGAACCGATGGTCATCCAATAAGTCTACCATTGAAGCAATTGTTCTTATCGTCTCTCCTCGCATGCCTTCGGGGTAATCTTGCTTTTCACAAACATTGACCAAGTAGTTCAAAAGATTGTGCTTTAGCAGATACTCCATACAAACCCCCGTTGTTGTGTCCTGGTCTTCCTGACGCGCTTCTTCGTCTACCAGCAGATCCACCATCGTACGTAATTTCTCTGGTATTTCAGTCTGTTTGATATGCAGATTAGCTTTTCTATCTTCCGCAATAAAAATATTCTAATAGAAAATAATATAAAAAGGAAAAATGAGACCCTTTCCTTTCTCATTAAAAGAGAATGGGTGATTCGCAGTCATGTTTACATGAACATAATCCCAACATTTATGAAATTTGGCTAATTGCATGGAGCTAGTAGGTTGCACTTTGGGTGGCGTTGCTCGTTTTCGGAACTTTGCAAAATAGTAGTCCATTTTGTTATTGTATTTTTTGGTCACTCAAGAAGTAGGAAAGACATGGAAGAAAACCAAAACATATTACACTAATCAAGAAGAGGTTGTTAAAAGCTTAAATTTGATTTGAAACCTTCAAAAAAACTCCTCTGTGGCAATTTTCAGGTACAAAATAATCCAATCACTGGGTATTTTTTTTTTTAAAAATTTTTATTTTTTGAAGGTCTCTCCCTAACTTATTCTCTTTTGTTTCGCTCATCCTACACGTGTGCCATTTCGGTAATTGATGTACATAAAGCGCAACATTCATAGCTATATATATATATGATAGCAGATACAAAATAGGAAGCACAATGACCAAAAAAAAATCAAAAAAAATCGAGGCTTCAAGGTATCAGTTACCATAGCTACGTTTTAAAATAACATTTTCTGAATGATACGTTACAAATTTACACTTTATGCGTATTCAACAATCTATATCAGCAAACCATGAAGAGTGATTTATCTAAGAAGAACAAACCAGACACAGCAAAAAATTATCGTTATCATAATGCTGACAGTGGCCTTATAAAATATTGTGGTAATCGCTAATTTTAACTATAAGATAAAAGGTAAAGAATAACACAAGAGAAAATAAACACGAAAGCTTAACGAAATCAAACCACCGTCTTTATTTCTCTTTCAAAAACAAACTAAAGAAAAAGAAAAGAAAACTAAGATTACTGCTATTAATAAAGACTTATTGTGTTTACTGTCTACGAAATGATTGTATCAGGATCTATAGCTGACACTGATGATTTATGGTCAAATATACTCAGTGAATCATAGGTTTCTGTAAAAGAACAGGTCTTCCCTCTAAGTGGATAATTACTCGTCCATCCTAGAGCAGATTGATGTGTAATGTGCTATCCTAGCAGATCCAGGGTGATCATGCAGCTACATCTATAATCCAATATCTATCGGCCACCAGTTGTGTAGCTCAGATACTGTGGGAATGATTATAGATGTTAGCTAGGAAGAGATATTCGTGCGTGGTGCTCTTTCGATTGTGTGAACAGTTGTTGTATAAAGAGTGATTGAGCCTTCTTAATCTCCAACCATACTTTATTTCCGGAACAGGGAGCAGTACCATGACCTACTATGCTCTGGTTGTTGAATCACTATATCCTACGAGTACATATACCAATCCTGCTATATACCTAAACGTCATATAGCCATAGATAAACTGAGTAAAATATATTTCATAAAGATAACCTGTTCAAGTCTTATGTGAGGTAGCTAATCTCACATGAGAATTATCCTTAATCCATATTCTTTTCTTATTTTATCTTTATTTGTTATACATTTGATCTAAGGTTCAAATGTATGCAATCGAACACACCGCTTACCAAACGGGAACGAAGATATGAGCAGTACTCATATCTGAGATCAAGTTTTACTTTACATTTCGCTAGACGTTTTGAGTGATTTACTCATATAATATATTGCCATCATGCCTCAAATACGACAAATATCACAGCGACAATAACAACTAATTGGATTATTATTCAACTGAGTTGTGACCTTCAACGAAGAAAATAGCATCATAGTAACAAGTAATAATGAAAGTAAAAGTGTTCCACATGATAAAGCTACTATTGATGTCGTTCTATAAGTAACATTGATGTAGCACTTTGGATACAAGAAAGAGAGAGATAAACGAGCGTTCTTGAACAAGTTATCGTTCTTCTTCAAAGCTTCATCCACGCACTTCTACCATTCTTCCTGACTTTTTGGATTTCTTTTTCTATGCAGGTGAGCAATCCAAGGGATAGGTATTTCGCGTCGAATCCGGATACAAATCAGCGTAACCTTGTTCAATCGTAGTTGACCTCTTTCTCCATGTTATAAGTTCCAATAATATATGATATATATGATAATAATGATACTACAATATAAAAGTAAAATATGTAATGATATTTAAACTACAATTTCAATATAAAGATAAGATATAGATCGGGTTACCTCCCAGAAATTGTTCTCTTAATCTCTTTTTTTTTTGTTGGGTTTTCTTGTGCTTTATTTTTTCTTTTTAGAAAATTGTATACATTTGGAACAACAATTAGACTTTGTTCAATTCAATTCCAATAGTTCATTTGGCCAGTGTATCTTTAATTTCATCAAGAAGTCTTTCAACAGTTTTTAATTTTACTAAATAATTTCTTGCTCTTGTTTTATGAAATGTAAGCTCTTCTTTCCTTGCTTGTCTTACAATCTTTTCTTCTTCAAAGCAATAAATTTCCAAATCATCTGTTTTCCATCATTTAAAACTATTGAAACCTTTTTTGATTTTCCTATACCAAGATTCTCACATTTGTCTAGTGACAAAATTTGGGTGATGTTCTTTTGTATTTTGAATTAATGGCACCAAGACAAAAATTTCAGACTAATTTTTATCAATAATTATTGAGGTCTTGATAACATCTCTATCTCTTATATTGTTTACAGCAATACACAAACTGTCAAACATACTACTACAACCTCCTATTGTAGTAAATAATATAGAATAATATCGTGAAAGAAGAATTATAAAGCTCTGACTAACTTTATATTACAAAAGATATAGATGGAGAAAGGCCTCGTTTATTACTTAAGATTTTTAATTATAATTGCACGCCATATTCTCTCTAACAACCCCGAATTTTGAGATACCCCACCAATAATATGAGCCGCTATCGATCACGTGACCAATTAAATTTCATCACCATAAGAATTATTTACAATTAAAAGAAATGATATGGATTATATCGTAAATGAGAATTTATAAAGCTCTGACCAACTTTATAGTACAAAATTATAGATGGAGAAAGGCCCTGTTCTATTTATTATACTTCATCTCATTAAATACCCCAGATTAAGCTATTACTACATACTTCTACTCTCCGATTACTCTTAGATACACCCTCTTCGGTCCAGCGCTGCTTATAAAATCATGTGACCGGCTTTTCCTTAAATTTACTATGACAATCTACGTCACGCATAACAGAAATATATCATCTTCGGTAGTATAGTGGTGAGTATCCCCGCCTGTCACGCGGGAGACCGGGGTTCAATTCCCCGCCGGAGAGTTTTTTACCACGCACTGTGTGGTAGTGCGTGTAGCTAATATGCAGTCTGTCTACTTCAACCTTTTTATGCCCAACTTTCGATGCGTGACTTGTTTTTCTTGACCGAACTTTACCTGATGATGCTTTTATAGACCCACCAAATCATGAAGTCGTAAGAAAATATTCTAGAAGTTATTGATAAATACGCAATGATGTCCTAACAAAGCAAAACAACGTATGAGAGATCTTATAATCTCCGTGAAAGTTACCTTAATACATGGCAAACATGGATGCCTGTAAGACATACTTTAGTACTGTATGGTATATTTGAACGCCAAATACATTCACTATAAGAGAATGCAATATATAAAGAATTGATATTGGCATTTAAACGGAAAAATAAAAGTGGAAACTTTTAATATATAATGCGCTTTGGATCGAATTGATAATTTGACCAAAAATAATAATCATCATTCATAGGACTACTCATAAAGCATATAATGGCTACAAACTTATTCTTATCACTAGTAGTAGTTGCCTCCTCATCCATGTTCAAGTACTTGCTAGGAAGTTTTATTAGTAGCCTTACGTACATGTGTGTTTATTATAGTGTGTATACCATGCTAGATTACACCATTTTGGTCACTGCTGGTCTAAATCCCATGATACATAAACTAATGTGACATCACTGTTCTGTTTTATTTGAACATGTAGAATTGTATGATAAATTGCAACATTCTGAGAGGGAAGATGAAGCAAGCTGATATTGGAAAGAGGAGAAAGCATTAGGATGCAAAAGAGCAGAAAAAGGGTTAGAAGCACACACCTCATTAATTATACAGAATACAGTCTTCTCTCGGTTTTATTCAGCATTGAAGCGATGAATAAGGATGCAGTTAGCTTCAGAGATATTCCGATCAGCATAAGTGATATTCTATATATACAACCGTGTAGAGACTATTAGGCCATTACTATTGCGGAATTGAGCGAGTTTCTTAGATTGTAGATATTGCTATCACCTAATTTATGAAATTTGTTGCAACATTGAAAAAACCAGGTGAATGGAAATAAATTGAAGCAAATGGTCAAACGGATACTAAGAAACTACCACGCTCCAAAGTATTTTACAACCGTGAAAAATGCAAAATACTTTCCTTTTGATCGACTATCCTATGTTTATTCAAAGTTGAGAACTCAAATGCAAAGCTAACCTCAAAAGCCTACTAGTTACTCTGTTCTACAACAATTAGCAGCGTAGCGTCCAATGGATTAGCCAACGTGAACGACCTTGATGTTCTCGTTAAACTGGTTCAACAAAGCGAAAACAATCATAATGATGCCACTGAGCCCAAGCCCAAAAGAAGAGAAGTCGCTTAGGCTTGGTATGTCTACAAGTGTCATAGAAGTAGCGGCTTTCGCATCAAGGTTGCTGAATGATCTTGTGTAAGAGGTAGCTCAACCGGAAAAACCCGCACTCTCCAGAAAGCGAGCAAGAAGACTGGCTACAACGCCAGATTGAAGATTACCTGCTATAATAGTGACCTCAATAATGCCGACCTATTGTATATTGATGAACCTAATCATCAAGTTGACGGTATTGAGGATTTAAAGTACTTTCCCATTTCGCAAGAAAGGAAGTGACAGATTACCGAACGACCAGAAAAGTTTATAGCAAGAGGGATTGTAGGATTGCAATTCAAAAGGATTTCCGTAGTTTCACCAGGATTTATTTGTTGCTTTTAGGTAATTTCTCCCGGATCTTTCACAGAGTTTAAGTGTACAATATCTTCAAAAAAACTCAAGAGTCATTTTACTGTAAAGTTCCCTAAGGGGGCCCAGCCCCCCCCCCCCCCCCCCCCCGGTGGAGGTACTTAGCACCTTGGCTTTCCAAACCAACGATTGTTGGACACCACTGATATTTTTTCAGCTTTGAGCCCTTTCTCTCTGCTTCCTAGGGTTTTTTAATGCCGCTGTCAAGGTGGTTCTCGGTCGATGTTGGTGTTTAAACAAGTTAAGAATAATTGCGGTGCCCGCCCAGGCTTAATTAAGCAAGATCCCGAACCGCGCCCAAAATCTTAGCCTACCAATTATAATGATTAGTTTAGCCCCTTCCCCCTCCCCCAATTTAGATAATATTCTTTTTCGCCCAACACGGCACCCTGACCGACATCATGCATCGCTCTATTCTCAAAAATCGAGCAGCCCTGGGCAATTTAGGTAAGCTTTAATATCTCGTGTCCATTGGGTTTAAACATGTCAATAATAAAAATCCTTGTTTAAAAGTAAAGTTCCCTATTTATTACTTACTTATGGGGTCCAAGTTTCACAATATTTTGGGCATAAGTAATCGCTAATGCATCTAATAAGGACTCAGGATTAGGTAACAAGAAAGGGTGGCTTTTACATCGCGGATATTCAATCCGCGTCTTTCTTTATTGGGGAAGTAACGAAATAGAAGAAAAAGGACAGGCTCCGTTATAATCATTTGCAGCAAAAAGCTTTTTCTGCTAGTCTCGTTCGAGCCTTGGATTATTGTATTCGCACATACCGATAAGTGTACTAGCATAATTTCTGTACCACATAAAAAATGATCGAAGGTTGGTCTGTGTCTCTCAATAAGGTTTGAAGAACGCGAAGATCACGGAGATCATGAAAACGCCGGTATTGAATGGCTGTTTGACATTAAACGGACAATTTTAGCTTAATGGTAGAGTATACCACAACGAGCCGTCAGAAAATTGGAACTGCAAATGAATCGAGCCGCTGCAGGCCATGAGTATCCACGTTACTATTTAACTATTGCCGTTTTTTACACTTTAACTCTTTGAATGTACGCAAAAAAAAAAAAAAAGTAAAAAACCAGTAACATGTCAATTGTTCAATCAAATGAAGACCTTGCCAATCATATCAACGCAGCTCAGGCTTATAGATAAGCTCAGTTTCAAATTAATCATGAAAAACTTTTTCACTTTAACGCGCTTTCCAATTTCTTTTTTTTTTTTTTTCTTTTTCTTTTGATTATCTGTACAAACCTCTTACAGTAAGTGCATAGCCATTCGATATCAATGTGCCAGAATTGGTAGGAATTGCAAGCTAACAGCTGCTCTTTGTTTCGTTTTTTCTTTAGATGGCTGACAACGAACACGAACACAACTTTGAACAAGCTGATGCCGGTGCCTCTGCCACCTTCCCTATGCAATGTTCTGCTTTGCGAAAGAACGGCCACGTCGTCATCAAGGGCAGACCTTGTAAGATTGTTGACATGTCCACCTCCAAGACTGGTAAGCACGGTCACGCTAAGGTTCACTTGGTCGGTATTGATATCTTCACTGGCAAGTAAGTACGAACCAACAAAGAGATGGAAGAGGAGGCTTTGCGAAGCGATAACGTTAAAGCGGAGAGGCCGCCTCTGAAGACAGTGATCTTCATTATAATTGTAAATTTCTCATACTTATCATTGTACCCTTCTCTTAATTCAATCTTATAGGAAGCTTGAAGATCTCTGTCCTTCCACTCACAACATGGATGTCCCCAATGTCGTCCGTCAAGAATATGCCCTTCTTAACATTGATGATGGTTTCCTTTCCTTGATGTTGCAAGATGGTTCCACCAAGGATGATGTCAAGTTGCCCGAAGGTGAAATCGGTGAAAAGATGGAAGAAGAATTCGAAGAGGGCAAGGAATTGATCGTCACCATTGTCTCTGCTATGGGTGAAGAACACGCTTTGTCCTACAAGGAAGCCCCCAAGGCTTAAGGATAAAGTCTATTTGACTTCATTCGTATTCATTCTCAACTATTTTCTTTTTTCATTCTCGTATCATCTAGCAATCCGCTTTGATTTTTTTCACATTAATATATACTAGCTTACTGTAAATTAGCTTTTTTTGCATATTTTTACGCATATTCATACATAGAGAATCATAATAAAACGCTGCTCTGCAACCGTTTTCTCAATAGATACTAACCGCTTCTATTGTTCTTACAAAAAAAAAATTTTTTTTCTTTTTTTTTTTTTTTTTTTTTTTTTTTTTTGCACACGAAAGCTTACGTTTTCAAACCGAGATACAATGTTGAGTCAATAGCAACCCGCTGAAAGAACACATCGTAGATACCAATCTTTTCGTTTTAGATTCTGACAAATGTTCAAGAATTTCGGACAGTGTGGTAACGTTATCTGTCTAAATTTTTCAGTAGTCACACAACGAAATGGAGGATTTTACTGTGTTTTTTCGTGTCCTGCTCCCTGCTTTTTTTGTTAAACGGAAGAAGATTCCACTGTTGTGTAAGCCTTCTAGACACCATTTTAGTTGAGAAACTTGAAAATTTACAATATAAGTGCTCTTCTCTCTGTTTTTCTCTCCTTTCTGTTATTTCCTAAATTCTACTACACTTACCTGTCAAGGACGGCTCTATGGTCCTGAAGTGGACTACATTATTTTTTTGATTTTGAGTGACATCAAATGCTCTACAGCGACAGCAAGCGGCATTTGAATAGCATTTATGCCTCCTGGTGAACTTTAACAATAATGCGGGCATAGTAGGTCTATTGTTTGTTTAAATCGCCATACTCTGTCATTTTGAGCCATGCTTCGACCCAATTTACACATACTAGCGGCTCAACGAGTTCATCAGGCCTTGTTTTTAAGGCAGCCCTTAAAGCATTGCAATATGTTACAATCACTTCCGACAATGCGTCCAATAGCACGTACCCCTGGCACTGCTCAACGTGCCTATGCGACAATAAGCAACACAGTGGCAAAGCCAGAAAAGAAAAAATGGTCAAAACAAAATATATCAGCAGGCATGTACACAGCATCTATTTTCATTGCCATGTTGGGTATGTCATATGCTGCTGTTCCCCTCTACCGTCTCTTCTGCGCCAGCACAGGCTACAGCGGTACACCACAGATTGACAAAGCTCGTTTTGGAGCTGAAAGACTCGTACCAAAAACCGAATCGAAACGTATCAGAGTAACCTTTGAATCGAATACATCAGACACATTACCATGGACATTCAAACCCGAAGTACGAGAGGTGTACGTGGTGCCAGGCGAGACAGCCCTTACCTTTTACAAAGCGAAAAGCAAAGCAAAAGAAGATGTCATTGGTATTGCTACTTATAATGTTACACCTTACAGAGCAGCATCCTACTTTAACAAAATTCAATGCTTTTGTTTTGAAGAGCAAAAGTTGAAACCCGGAGAAGATGTTGATATGCCGGTCTTTTTCTTTATAGATCCTGATATCTTGGATGATCCTTTAATGAAAGATGTCAACACTATCACTCTCAGTTACACCTTCTTTAACTCAAAGTATGCAAAAGGACTACAACCAGTTCAACCAGCTGCTACTCCTGCCCTTGCGTAAAAGAAAAGAAGATAAAAAAAAAAAAAAAGAAAATGCAAAAGACCACTTGTGCTTGAAATAATAGGAATCATTATGTGTATACTCTCATCAAACAAAAAGAATACTAACAATACTCAAAAATTTATGTACTAAAAGTTTCTTTCCACTTCAATTAACGATCTATTTGACACTTTTTTTATTGGGAGGTTATCTCAGGTTTAACACATTGTATTAAAAGGTATAATATTAGTGACGAAATGTGGCGCGGATTATGTATAAATAGTTGATAAACAGAATAGAGGGTAAAGGGGGGGGGTATTTAATTGCCTTTGTAGTAGAAGTTGGCGGTAGCGTCAATAGAAGGATTTTCCTTACTGATTTTATCGGATATTACAGTGTGCCTAATAGATTCTCCATCCAGTTCATCAGGACGTTGAGCCATCTCTAATGTTTCGACAATAACATGGCAAGAAGACGAGAATTGATCAATTGCATGCATAGAATCTGATAAAGACGAGCCAGCAGCCATGCTTGAAGAATAAGACTTGTATATAAGTCGATTGCTACTATAGTTATTCCAATTAAATAATCTTAATGTCAGCCCTTCGCGTCCACTGTCTGTTAAATCAATGCTGCGTGATTTAATCAAAGAATCAGAAGGGCGTCTCTTGAATTTGCTGAAACCCAACAAAGATGAAGAAGAAGCATCAGCAGCGTCAGCAGCAGATGTTGTTGCTGCTGTAGTCTGGGTTAGGTATGTATTAAGTGTTTCTGTTGACCTGTGAAACCTTATGCAACGTTGGTGTTTATCATTGCTGTAAAATGATTTCTCAGAAGAATTTTCGTACAAAGAGGGAATGTCATCTTTATCATCGTTAAAGAACGTGGACGAATTTGCACTGAGTGGCGGATAAGGAGGCAATGCTGGAGTGGATGTACTTGATTTGAGAGGGACAATTCTTTCAATAACGAAAGAGGGATGGGATAACGAGCCAAGTTCTGGTTTCTTATTATTTCTCGTTACAGCAGGAGGAAGATGTAGTCTACTAAGCCATTTATCCAAAACACTGCAAGACTGCTTTGACATATTCTCTTGCAAGCAGGCTATCCACGTTTGCCGTTCATTTACATCTGATGCTTGTAGGTAATAGTCTGGCCAGTCAAATTTTTGTTTATCATCTGATATGAGGGCAAAAGTATTTGCTTTCCATTGTTTTTGGTGTAGAGCTGCTATTGGTCGTGCATCAGGCTTTAAGCTGTAATGTACAAGTGATATGACAGCTAGCGTGTTCCTGTCATTCTATTTTCATTAAAAAGAAGAAATAGAAGCATAATATGCTCAGCATCGCTATTGTTTCGTATTAAGACTTAATGAACACTGCTTGCTTACTTTGGTCTTATAATATCGTAGCTCATCATTGTACAATCTAAAGTAGCGCTTGATCCATGCTTTGCATTTTCCATGTTTTTGCTTGAACAAATAGCCTTCTAGCACGACCGTGGAAAAGGCGATTGTTTTATTTGCAGCTTTGACACTTGGGACAGCCGAAGAAGATTTACACATCAGTTTATTATTGATTCTAAAACGAGAGAAAAGGGATTAGTAATAAGGAGAAATATAATTTCTTATATGTAATATGCAAATCTGGATAAAAAGGTAGTACAATATAAGTTTTTGGATTCAAGAGAGGGTGTTCCTTACGAATAGAGGATGTAAACACTTGAAGGGGTTAATATTGATTTTGGAAACACTTACCACCATAAATCTTTTTCCATGACACCAACTAGTAATCTTCTTTTCGTTGTCGCACACAAGAGACACATATTTGAAGTACCTGTACATACGACACAAGTGCATCTTTTTGTAAGTTTTTTTTTCTGGAAGAGAATTTCTACTCGTTGCTGCATTTTCATAAGAAAAGAACACATTGGAACGAAAAGAAAGCAATGTCAATTGTACAAGCTGATAGAAGCAAGTTTTACACTACGTTTAAAAAGAAGCTTGAAAAGGACATGAAGCGTATAACTGGAATGTGAGACAATCCTACCTGTGCTTCAAAGCAGCAAAAGTGACACAGGTTTCTGACCTTTTTCTTTTTTGCGCTGCTAACCTAGTTAGTGCAGATATGCAATTTACAACTTATCCCAGCATAATATGATCAGTCGCTAACATTAGATCAATTTAATACGATTGATGTAAGAGGACCCGTTCAAAAAAAAATAAACGAATAGCTTAATTCGCTTTTTGCAACAGTAGCAATAACGCGTTGTATACAAAATTAGATTTTTTTGATCCGATCGTTAAATATCGAAGAACTTGTCCTTTTTGTTCTTGCTCCTTAATGGTAGGAACTCCCTCATTTGATTGGCAATCGACATGAGAAATGAAAAATTGCCTTATTCTGCATTGTCATTTTGGGATATTGTTCATTTTGCCAAATACGAACTAGCCAAAGACAAAAGCAATATGGACAAAATTGGAAGCGTTGAAACATGTTTTTCTTATTTGCAAGAACTCACTTTTGATGTAACCTCATTAATGTTTAAGTAGTGTTGTTACTATTTTGCTCCACATGGAGGAAAAGGATGCTCAAAGTCAAGGCCAACTTGGGAGAATCTCCTCTCTCTCCATAGTTACATATTTTACCTATGACAATCTATTTGTTTCTCACAAGAGAGGAAAAAAATGGCGTTGACCGAACACCTACTTTAATATTTCAAATACATCAAGCAACATAACTGTGTATTAAACTCGCCTAATTATTGTGTCTAGAAGTTATATTAGTTACACGTTATTTGAATTGCTAACAAATTCAAGATAAAATATCAGTAAGTTAAATCGAGTTATTAAAATAAAAAAGTACCTCCATTTCTAACGACTTGTATAATTATGATATTCTATAAATGCTGCTAGAGCAGAAAGCATTTAATAAGGAAGCCAGATATTAATCGGCAGCATTACCTTAACGAGTAATGAGAAATCTTCTGTAAATACGCCTTTTAACGCGAAATCAATCTATCTCCTTCCCTTTGTCTATTGTCCCAAAATTTGACTGAACGAACATTTTAGAAATTCTGCGAAATCAATCTTTCCATAACTGACTAAATATTGTTACTGAGATCGACCCTTTCACTAAATAAACTCTTAATTGATATTCGTACCTTTGATTGAAACATGGTCTGACAAGTTATGTCCTTTAAAAATAGAGCAGTTGAATCGCCTTCAATGGATTCTAAGGATACAGTAAAAGTAATAAAATTAGTCTAACCACGCGTCATTCCCAACAGCGTCATCAAAACAGTTTCAGCAACTGATTAATCGTACACAAAATGCAGAGCGTGCTAAACCTTAGCAACACAAAATCAATCTTTGAATTGGGCTCTTAACACGCCCTCTTCAATTACTACCTCCCTTGTTACGACTCTACTGCGTAAAAAACCCTTTCTTTCAAATTCTTACTGTTTATACATTAATAAATGCAAAATATGGAGGTCCGGGTATTGAATGAACGGAAAGGGGAGGAGTTTATTTTTTAAAACTATGTTTACTATATACGTACATAGGAGATCAAGCATGCATTCTTTTGGAAGATATATATGTAATAAAGTAAGAACAGTAATATCGTTATTTAAGCAAGTTTCTTTTTAAGAAATAGATGAATGAAGAATTGTGCTATTCGTACCTTGGGAGAAAAAACGTGCCCTAGAAAAGAAGGTATCACCAGATATGCGATGTAATACCGTTCGGTCAAAAAAGACGAATGAACATCCCTTCTGGATCAAAGAAGAGTTTACTATAAGGTTGGCAGAATATTCAGAGGTGTGACTCTAATTGCTCCAATAATATCAGAATCGTATCGTTGTTGATTTGTATAAAGGCGCATCATAGCGTGAATATTTTTTACAAGTGAATTCTTATCCATCTGAAGTAGCTTACACTTTCCATAATACAAGTATGCTTATATTGATTTTATATATAAAACACAAGATTTTATGATAGGTTGCATTCAACAAGAAATGTTTCCTGGTTGCAAAAGGCTACTGCTATAGTATTTGTTTATTGACGGTCTCTGAAATTTGTAGGAGCAGTAGAAAAAGTACTCGTTATTTTTGAAGTGATCATCGATATTGAAATTGGTGCAATCGACGTTGATATGAATTGCAATACCACAGTTGACAAGGATTTGACTTTGCCTTTGATAAAAATGCTTAATCGCTAGGCTTACTATTGTCTTCAACAATGTTAATGCTGACACAGTGGGAATGCCTCACTACTCTTATTAACCTACAGCTCTAAGGTGTCCTCACAATGCAATTAAGCCCTGTTTTCAAATCATAATGAATATGTAAGTCTTGAGTGGGTAGAGTGCTGAAGGGAAGGACTTTGTTCAACATTCCAGTTTAACGCTAATATTAACATAATATGCCTTTACTTGTTCTAAGCTCTGTCATACCTTCCACTTGAGTAGAAAACTCTTTACAATCCAACGTATGCAAAGTAATAATAGCTCTGCTATAAGCATCTTTGTTTTTTTTTTTGTTTACCTCAAGCTACACTGCTTTGATTCTTGCTCAACCTCAATTACCTTTCTTCCTATATCTTAGTCTTATTCCAGCTTTTCATTTTTTTTTTCTTTTCCTTTTCGGAAAGTATTCCGTCCTATGGTTCGTTCGACATGATGTGATTCTTTGAAGAATGTCAATTGTTGAGCTTGTGGTATTGATTTCATTTAAAAAAATACACGAGTTATGGATGATACTGTTGGATAGCTTAAAATGCTTGGGAAAAACCGTTATCTGTATCCAGAAAGTATATAATTGAGATCCATAATATCACTGCACCTGTGGCTCGTTCAAAGAATCAAACAAAGTGAGTAGGATGCTTGAGTGTCTCGTATTATAGCAATGAGCCAAAAAAGTAAAAAAAAAAAAAAAAAAAAAAAAGCAGCTCAACAGATTTTACTAGACACAAAATGGAATAATAAGGAACGCATCTGTACAACGTGATTGTCGTTGTATTGCCATTTAAACAAACAACAGATCGTCCCCTAAATTGCGAAAAAAGAAACAAATTGATCTGCAGGCTTTAGATTATTTTCCTTTTCTTGCTCCTTTCTCATTTCCCTTTTTTGTAGCTTAATTAACAATAGAGAAATGGTACGTATCTACAAAACAATGCTTGGTCTTGATGATAATGATACTCATCATTCATACTTCATTATTATATCATGATGCAAACAGTCGAGAAGTAAACAAACCTATGATGTAGATGATCTCCACAAAGAGTTTATCCCTTTGAGTAGCGTGACAACAGCTGATGATGCTACGACAGCCTCCAAAGATCACATTCACCAAAAAGACAACATTGCAAACCAGAAAAAAAGAAGCATTGCTTCCGTCCTTGCAAAACCGTTGATGAATACGATAGCGTCTGGTTTCCTAACCATCGCACTATTGTTGTTGTTTCTACATGCGGATGGAAAGGCTGTGAACTACACAATTGTAGGCTTAAGCATTCCATCACTTATATCGTTTATACTCAATATCAATTTAATCTTTATTGCAAGTGGCATTTCAAAGTAAATCATCCTTTCAACAAGCAAATCGGTCCTTACAGTGAATTTGACGGCTAGGCTGCTAACCCTTCTTTCGCTGAACAAATAGCGCCGTTTCTGAGAATAAATGGGTTTGCTTGAAGAATGGAGCTCCATTAACATTAGTCGATGTATATGATGCTTGTAGTCGAGGTGTAGCTGGTAAGGAATGATTGTGCCCTTTCAATCTGAGCACAAAGAAATAGTTAGTTTGTCCATTATCGTAGTTTAAGCATTACTCTATTGCGGGTAGGTTTCTTTACGGCGATAAAAGTTCGGTATTTCGACTGGGTCCTCTTGTTAGCGTTCGTATTCCACATAGGGTTGTTACTTGTAGGCCCCTTTTCACAAGGTATTCTTGTACCCTATGTACAAAATTATACTGACTCAACGGGGGCAAGGTTCTATTATACACCTGCTGATTACATTGGTGACCGTAGTAATTTAGGCACAAGCAACATGCCTCCTAAAATGAACGGGCTGTCTAAAAATGCCTATATCACTGCTTCCAGTTTTGCACAAGTATCTGTGGGCGCACAACCCCCAGCTTTATATTCATGCCCTACAGGTGCTCTAAAATGCCAATTTACCAACGTTAGTTTTATCAGTACGAAAATGACTTGCCGCAATATCACAGAAAATGACACAGCCATTGTCAATCGCTGGGGAACAACACCCACGATGGTTGTCTTGAAAGAATACTTTACCAATTTGAACATTAGTGCTGGGCTCACGAAAATAACGTTTCCCAAATTTCTGTATGCGCCCGAAATGCTTGGACGCACTTATTATGATTTGCTAAACTATACGGCGCCTCTGATGCCTGGTCTCAACATTACAACACTTTTGGCGGATAATAAGGTGTATGATCCTCAGTACCGTCCCTACGTGGGTGAGCAGCTCTTTATCATGGCGACACAGAAGAATAACCAGAAAAGTCGACACGCGTCAAATTATACAGAGCTTGCGTTTCAGAAATGCCACTTCAATTCAAGCCTGAATGTTGTACGTAGTAACAAACGCTCCTCTGTGTTTCTATTTTTTTCCGGAAAAAAATTGCGGTTGTACTGATAGCCATTTTATCTTTTCTTCCCCCCGTGTATGTACAGTCTATGTGGGAAACGAGTAATGGCACACTCGTCAAAGTGGGTGACGATGTCAGCTCACCTATCATTTTAGATTATGACAATGTGCTGGGTAACAACGTGGGGCTAGTGATAGACAACTTGAATGCCAACAAATCAGCAGCATATATGGTGAACGCTTATATTATGCAACAAAGCCTCCTGACAGAACTCATCCTTCCAAAATACTATACTATGTTTGAATACTTGAAATCCTGGGATTTTACTAAACGGACGAATGGCCATAATACCAATTTCCCTATTGCAGAGTTTATGGTAGACGCCCTTCGATCGTTCGACTACGCGTTTTTTCAAGCGCCTTACGTTACTGGAGACTACCAGTCGACGGATGTTCTTTTTCGATCGGGAGTCGCTTTTTTCCAAGCAGCCCCCCAATATACAGTCAATAAGGCCGTCAGCTACCTCGTTGCTCTGTGTCTTTTCCTGCCTATTGGCTGGTGGTTCTTACTGTGGATGGTGAGTTTACGAAAAGTACACGGTGTAGTTCGTGGAAACTCTCAGATTATTTTGTTGACGACGACATTGACGCCATTGGCTGAACACCAGTTGAGCAGTCTCTCTGCATGCGACCATGAGGATGCGCTGAAACAAGCGAGACATCTTCGGATAAGAATTGGCCAACAAGGACAAAGTACAGTTGTTGGTATGGTGGATGAGAATTGCTTGGATACCTTGAAGTAGAGATCTGGTAGGCTTTGACTTAGAGACAATTTACTTGGGTTCTTTTGAAAATACAATTTACGGATCCTTTTTATTAGGTATATAAATAACTCTATGAACATGTACATAACGGCTTGCTTTTATTAACATCGTTGATGTATTGTGATGGTGATCTGCAAAAAAGCAATATTCTATAATAAAGTACATAGCTTGAATACGAGAGCTACATTTTTAACTTTTTAAAAATGCTTAATTCTATTCCTCCATACGATCAAAAGCTTTTGTTTGTATGAACATCTGTTGTAAACTCTTCGCTGCAGTTTACGGTATTTGCAATCTCTTTCCTATTTGAGAACTAGTACCGTGGTCTGTTATGTCCCTGTCGTTGAATCAATATATCCTACGAGTGCATATACCAACCCTGCTATACACCCTAAAGGTCATACAGCTATAGATAACTTACGTGAAATGTATATCATAAACCCATCTACAGATCTACTCTTTTAATCGCTTCAAATGAATAGAAGCCTCTAGATACACAGGTGAAGTTGTCAAATTTGCTCCAAGATCAACCGTTTGCATCTGTATTATTGCATTTTGCAGGGATGTCATAGCAAATATAATAGTTAATAGCTCACAAAAGTGTTAACAATCTTTTACGGAAATCAGACAAGTTTTCCCAATTCAAAATCACTTTTGCACCTGACATGATTGATAAAGCTCCTTTTAAACTAGCACTTTAAAAAGGAGTTATTTTTGGGTTTCAAATAATATTGCTTTCAGACATGTAGGCGCCCTTTGGAACGACTAAGGATAGAGGCACAATTTGCTTATGCTTGAAGGAAATTCCGATTTACCTGACTTTAACTTTTCGTACACTTTTGCCGTACGCAATTCAAGAACTGTATATCTATATCTGTGCCCCCACCACTGTTTTCTGATTTTCTTTTACTGATTCCCAAGGTTTATCAGTTGTAGCTAGTCCCAGGCCTCTTTTTCGTCGCTTTGTCTCTACCCTGACCCAAAATACTCGTCCTAACCCAACGTCGTAGGGTGATTCACGATTCTTCATCATTCGATTCCTCTGATTCTTCAGATGCTAGTGGTATGTGGGGGTTTTTTTTTGTTGGAGGTATGTTTTATACTGACGTTACTGCAAAATTACTGTCGTCCTTTCTAGATTGGGCAGATTCTATGTTTAATCGTGCAAGCATTCGACCCATCAGATACCGTAGACTTGCTTGTTACAAGGATATTCCAAAGCAGCACTGGAGGCATCTTCAAATGCCTTACAAAAGCAAAATACTCTGGTCAACAAGTTCATTCGAGGTGTTCATGGCAATCGCCAATTGAAACTTGATTTTGGTCCGTCAGCCCTTACAGAATCACCATCTTTGGCGTTTGACTTTGATTCTTTCTACTACATTTCGTATTCTGGTCTTCCTTTGGTAGATAACTACCCAATTGACGTACAATGTAGGCCTCAATTCAACCATTCTATTCGTTTCAACTCTGGTGTTAATTTTCATCATAATGGCGAGAACATCCAGTTAAACGAATGTGCTAACTTCACCTTTGGAGAGGTTTAATGACATCGTCGTAAGTATTATCCATCGAATTTCGTGGTATATAGTCGTGTATATTAGTTTGTTAACAAGTTTTAACTCTTTGATTTAGATAAACGTCTTCCTTCCAAATGTTGAAGGTCGTACAGATATCGTTGGTTGCTTCGTTGGTGAGGAAACTCATCGTTGTTTCGTTGAAGAGGTACTTTTACCTTGTATCCATGATCTTGGTCTGTCAGACATGTTCCCAGAACCTCTGTCTTTTGAAAATGCTGCTCGTTTTGGTGTTGGAAAGTCCAGTTTGAAGCTAGACTCATCGTTGGTGCGTGAATGGGTGAATCGCATTCGACAGTTGGTTCAGGAGAATGACGATACAAGGTTTTTGCCTTTTAGGGATCTGTTTTTTTGTGCTTTATGCGCATGGTCTGAGAAAACAGATTCCAGTAACTGATATTCCTGAACTGCTGCCGTTTGCTTTTCGAAATCTTGGTGTTGATGTCGACCTTCTTGAGTTGGAGAATCTGTTTCTGGACTTGGCGGCATCTTTCCGGCCACCAAGTGGCAGTGGTGTTACTGGTTTGTGGTGTGAGCCACATGAATTACTTTCTTTGTTTCTGCAGCCTGTTAGCAATGGCAAGTTTTCTGGTCCTGGCTTCCGCTTTGACAACTTTTGTCATTTCCGCGGTATGGGCGGTTACCGGTACAAAAAAAACAGGTGGTGAATTGGTGTCGGTCCAAGCATATGGTACGTGGAAACATGCTTTTTTCAGCAGGGTTTCCACATCCGATCGTCAGGGATCGGATTTGTCAGCTATGGATGTCTTCAATCAAGCAAAGACATACAAGAACTGGATCGTAAGTCATATTTCTGTCAGCGCTAGTAGTTACCATAACATTGGGCTAATTTGGTGGGTATTTTCTATCCATAGGAGCATATGGAAAGGGATCTTGAGCGGATAGTTAGCCGCACATACGCTGCTCGTTTGGAGTTTAGGGTAAAGTCGACCATTGACTTTACTCGGTGTATTGCTGATTTCATGTAAGTAGCCTTTTACTTGTTTTGCTTGATGTTTGTAATTGGGTTAACTAACATTGACTTAAACTATGTGTATTTTTGACCTTTAGCCCAACGGGTATATCGTTTGGGTTAAAACACAAGACCTTTTTGACTTTGTTCGTTTCCGTCTCCTTGCTGTTGACCCTATTGCTCGTTCTTCTTTGGTGGCTAACCAAAAGTTCACTTACAAGGCCTTGACCACGTCGATGTTGCTTTCCTTCTTTTTGAATTCTTAAAGACGGTCGTACTGGTGATGTTCTCAAGCTTATCAGAAAGTACCAAAATGAAGTTACCACTTTCCCCCTTTGTGCCTTCTCTGTTGGGTCATCGTCAAAGCAACTTTGCGATTGCAGAAGAGTTAGCCGCCCTTCGACTGAGTCGTATCTTTGGAGCCACTCTTTTATAACAGATAGGTAACAGTATAAATATCATCTTCCCCCCATTCACTAATAAAACTCAGACATTGTCCTACCTTTCTTCTCACTTTTACAAGATATATAGTTATACTTTGTACAACAAGAATAAACTCTGGCATTGTTGTACTCTTACATCTTAACCATTCTTCTGTTAGAGCTTCTTATCTTTATTTTTTCAACCATGGAAGGCGCGTCTGTGTTTTGTTAGACTTCAATCAGACAATGCCTTACCATGAACACTATACAATTTACAAATTATCCGACACTTTGATAAACTCTAGCAATCCATCGACATTTTCAAGCGCTTCATGCCCAAATGGCTAACATCTCTCCTTCTCGACACCAGCCTCAAGCTGATATTCAGGGCAGGTTTTTTATTGTTGAAAAGTTCCTCCTTTTTCTTTTTTAATGAGACGGCTAAATAAAGGATGGGGGGGGGAGCAAACCGAATTCCTGTTGCTTTCAATGTTTGACTTGGGAAAGCGGGGAGTTCTTCATCGCTTCCTATAGTACTGTATGCCATTCAACACACCCATTGACCTACGTTGATCTGCTCTTTTGATACAAAATTACCCATTTGACTCTGCATCCTTCCCCCTTTGACATCAGGGTTTTTTGGACTCTGATTAGGAAACGGTGGAGGGGGGTGGGGGTGCGTGCGACAAGGAAGAGGGAGGAGGGACAGGGAAAAAGTTGGATGTTTTATACAAAAAAGGCAAATTACGGTCTTTACAGTTATTTTCCTTTTTTCGCCGAAAAACAAGAATAAAGAGGGTTCAGGGAAAGAGTCACCTGAGGTATTTTACGCTTTCCATCGTTTCAAACCTTGAGGTTTTTTTTCTCTTGTTTCTAGAAAAAGGACTCGTAAAAAACCATGTGATAAGAATGACTAAGCGTGGATTTTTGACAGGATGATTTTTTATTGGATCTAAACAAGTTTCCTCTTTTTAAAAGTGTTGGTATTCGAGACCTCTTCCTCCGTCCCATGCGTGGAGTGACTACTACTACTACTACTACTATTGCTGCTGCTAGCGTGATGATTGTTTCTGTAAGGTTCTGGATTTAGTAAATGTGATTCTTTGCCAAATCCTAGTTTTCTATTCATCGACACTAGTTTTAGAGAAGAGTCTAAAGAATTACAAACAAACATACTAAAATTCGATCATTGTTCTTTTTTTCTTTTTTTTTTTTTTTTTTTTTTTCCTTGGTATTTACCTAAAGATGTTGCGGATGAAGATAAAGGCTGAAGAGGCGGAGAAAAAGTTGTGGCTGCTGCAGACGATGAAGATGCGTGAGGTTGATGCGGTTGCAAGCAACCATCCACGATTGGGTATTGTTGTTGTTGTGGTTGTGGTGGTAGTCCATCGGGTAGTTGTTGGTATGAGGGTTCTGTTTTAATCACGGGGTGATGATGGAGATTGGAGCTGCTACTACTATTACGCCGTGAATACGAAGGGCTCGTCTTAGGGGATGGTTGTCGCTGTAATGGGGCAGAATGCTGTGTTGAACAGGATGAATAGGACGTCTGACATGAGGTATCATTGTTATTGGTTGCTATGGAGGCGTGATTTCGTTGATGACAGGTTACTTTGGACTTTAATTCACTCAACTTGTGCATCATTGTTTCTATGACAACGCGGCCAGAAAAAGCATAAAAAAAATAATTGCGTGATCAATCGTTGTGAATCCTTCATTCGCCACACACACACACACACACACAGGTGAATCATAGACACGCTTATTTTACCTTTCTTTGTTGACGTCGGATTCGAATTACCTAAATTGATTTACAGAAAGCTGTTGAGCAAAACGTAGAGCGAAATAAAAAGTTCTTTTTGCACTTACTATGACTCTTGTTGTGATCTTCTTCAAGAACATCGTTTAAAATCAATGCAAATTCGCTTAATAACTAGCCCCCCCCCCGAAAAAAAAAGAAGAAAGGGTCCCAATTTAGGTGCCACGTTGATACAAAGCGAGCCCAGACAGAGAGAATAGAACTTACATCTTGTTGCTTTGATAACAGGCCTTTTAATGAGCTGGTTTCATTCTTTAACAATTCATATGACCTTGAAACATGATGCAAACGATCTTCAATATATAAGATGTGCTTATACATTGGTTTATAGAATTCGTCTTCATTTTCTGCTGACGGGAAAAACCGTCCAGGTGGAGCATTTCCAGCTAATCCTCCATGGACGGCTGCTGCTGCTGATGGTGATCCATAACGCCCTGATAAACCATAGTTAGGCTTTGTCGTCTTTCGTTTGATATTCTGCAACTCTTCAATTTCCCCTTTCTTGAAATGAGGATGTTTAAACTCCCAGGTCTGATTGTCGGATGTCAAGTTGGAATGAATCATGTCGTTGACTTTATGAAAGCCATACACTAAGCAATAGGGGGTGAGCGCACCCTTCCACTTGGGAAACCAAAATAGAACTTAATTGACTTACTGTTTAATTGACGAACGAAACTTTGCCAGTTGTTATGTTTAAAGTACTGTGGTAGGACTGATTTCGAAAAGGCGGTGGGATTGGATACACTAAACAGATCACCCTTTTCGGACCATGATATCAGATTCTGTATACTAGGATCTTCCAACATTCTATTGAAAAAAAAATAAAAAATAGTATCTTCCATTCAGCACAGATAGTTTGACCTACAGCAACATGTCATCAACACCTTACTTGTATAGTTTATTGACAAAGGCAGCTTGCGTTCTGACAGTAGTGCCTTCATTATTCGATGTACTATTCTGGCTCGAGCTGCGCTGAGAGCTGCATGTAGGACGAGCAGCTTCGTCAGAATAGGTTGAACCGGTCGACAGTCGCTGTTGTTGTTGTTGCTGCTGCTGCTGCTGCTGCTGCTGCTGCTGCTGTGGTTGATAGTAAAAACTAGATTGTTGCTGTTGCTGTTGCTGCTGCTGTTGTTGTTGTTGGTGTAGAGTGGCTATATTCATGTAGTCTTGTTTCTGTTTGTTAATAATCATCGTTACGACGGATAGGGTATGAAACCTAGAGTAAATGAATGCCAGGTACCTTTCTCTGTCATGGATCTTGGTAGTAGTTGTATGTATGTAAAATAATTTGAAGGTCAAAAAAGAATCAAGAAAATGTAAAGGATGACAATTTTAAAAATAGCGCATAAATTAAAAGGTAAAAGACACACAGAATTATTCAAATAAAGAAACGTAATGGAACAAAAAGAAGGAAAAAAAAGAAGAGGGAATAATGAGGTATTTTTTTTTTTTTTTTTTTTTTTTTTGTTGGTTGCAGAAATCGAAACGATCCGTTTTTTTGAATTTCCGATCCTGGCAATATATATATATAAAAAAAAGGGACATACCATTTGTAGACAAGTTTTGGATTTTTTTTATACTTGTTCTTTCTGATTCCAGAACGGTGAAGAAATAGGACTTTTTTTTTTTTTTTTTTTTTTTTTTTTTTTTTCACTGTGTAATCGGACCTTTTATGGTTAAACGTGGTTTACAGAGATTCTTGAGGTGTAAGCTGTTATGACACAATTACAACTCTCTATCTACTCATGCTGTAGTAATGTAATCTGAGGGATGCGTGAAAGGGGAAGCACGCCTTATTACAAATTTCAGTCCCGCCATGGCGGTGCGTAAGTGTGTATCTATGTGTGTATGTGTGTGTGTGTGTGTATGTGCTTTATCCGAGAATTGATGTTTGAGGTCTTTATTGCTTTAAAAGAAATTACAAACTTGCTCGACTTTAAAAAAGAGGATCATTGTCGCTGTCAAATTAGGAAATTGGAAAGAATTCTGTCAAGTGTACTCTTTTCTCCATTCTCGATTTGCCCTGAAAATCAACAAAAAAGTAAGCCCTTCAAAAGAGTTACTATTGGTCAGTTGAATGATTTATTCAGCATTGTTCTCAGCAATGACGAAAAAAAAAAGCTTTGATCTAACAAAAGGGGATATATTCTCTTTGCTTGAAGGGCACATGGACTTTACGCATAAAGTTTTTTCCCTTTCGATGAAAAGGTCGCAGGGGGGGCGGTCGGGGAAGGAGGACAATGTATGGTGATTTCCTTTTTAGTCAATGGTACCAATCCACCGGGTTGCCATGGCGATACAAAAAAAATAGAAAAAAAAAAAGAGTTCGTTCTTTTATGATTTGTACACAGCAATGGGTCGCACATAAGCCTTCTTATGCCTGACATCATGCTCTAATACAATCCAATTGCACATATCTTCCTGTGTAGCCACTTTATGTGCATTTCCATTATACGTCATTCAAACTCTCTCTCATGAAAAATCAAAAAGTTTATCAGATCCGAACAGAGCACGCTTGAATAAGATGTTATACATGATTTCTTTCTATAATAAGCCAAGCAAATCATTTACAGTTCATTCCAAAGAGCTGCTTTACCGTCTTTTTCATCCTTTCTGAACAAAATCGACAGCTTCTATTTGTCGTCCAATGTCTTTGAACTTTACAAAAAAAAGTGGCGTCTACAGTAGATGTAAAAGAAGAAGAAAACTTAAAGAAAATAAATAAAAAGGCACAACAAGAAGAGTCATTTATTTAATTCTGCACTGATAGAATGCGAATAGACGTCCTCATTCACTCTCTCTACGTAATAAGCACAAATGTCACATATGGATATGTGTATTATGTAAAGGAGCACCCAATCATGAATGATCTGGATATGAAAAAGAACTTGGGGGTGCTCTTTATCGTATAAAAGCGAGTCTAATGGAAAGATCTCTTGATGAAAAGTATGAGTATCTGTCTTCATCTTGATAATAAAAGATAGTCTTTACTTTCAGAACATTCAAAGAGCAACAGTATACCATGACGTAGCCATAAAAAATACGTTCGGTGCAACGTAGCGCTGATGAAACAAAAAAGCTCAACAACAAGCCGCATAGAGCCTTGTCATTTATAACGAATAAGGAAATCATAAGGTCATCAGTTTTTTTTTAAAAAGTAGCAGGTTTTGCTTTATTTTTCAGAGAGTCTATCAAATTACATAGAAAGAAGAAAGGTGTAAAATCGTCCCACTAGTAAATACGTCAAGTTAAAAAGCAGTGCGATTTCGACCTTAACAGACACGCACAGAATACATATTGTATATAAGCTCGCATGAGGTATATAGCGCTTTCACATAATCATACATTTACCCTTGGCTTTATTCATGCTTTTTCTATCAGCATCAGACGCAACGGCGGTGGATGTAAGGTCGGCAGTATTTGGTTTTCTATTCTTTTCCTCGGAAGGCATGAGAGCAGCGCTTGGTTTCATTGTCAAAGCTTGGCTGTTCCTGCTGTGCTTTTTCTTAGCGGCAATAGCAGACGATCTACGCGTGTCCCTTCGATCATTTGATGTCCCACTTTGTGCTGATAAGCTGTTTTCATGACGAGCAACGTGCTGCTGCGGCTGCTGTTCATCTTGTATTTGAAGTTTTCGAAATTGTTGCTCTTGTTGCTGCTGTTCTAACGACAAAGCTATAGCATAGCTGCGGGAATAACTTAGACTCTTCCCATCCATCGAATGCTTCTCTTTCTATACTCACTCACTTTAGGTCTTCTTCTTCTTGTTCCACATCGGGCGGCGCCCCATTGGATTTGCGAAAGTATCCATCAAAAAATTCAGAAGAGCCTTGATCGATATCATTCAAACTCTCCCAAACAATCGATCTTTCGTTCACTAAACTAGAGTCTGTGACCAACATACAAAGACCCAATGTGGAGTGTCTATAAATAGTCGAGAACTTTTGTTTTGCTTTGAATAAATGAAAATGACACGCAGGAATGGTCTGTATTGTCTTTTCTCTTTACATGGTTATTTCGGAATAAAACGCATAACGAGTTTTCGGGTATCGAGTCAATCAAAAGGCTTAGTCCATAGTAGGTCAATTGTGTGGCCGTTTCATTCAAAAATTCGTTCGCTAGGAAACCTGTAATACTTGCAAATTGAATAGGGGGGAGTAGACACGCGATTCAAACGGATCATTTTACCTTGATGTAACTTTTCTTCCTCCGCGGCCGCATCAGGGCCTGATGCTACGGCTGTTCCTGTGGTGGTTCCTGTTGTTTCTACAATGTATTCAACCAAATTATTATATGTTTTACATTGGTTCACTACAATATCGTACGTTTCTTTGTCTTGTATATCAGGATCTACGAGCCAGCCATGCACAAGATCCACGTGGAAAAGATCAAACATGGCCAGCTCAGCAGTAGGCTCAAAGCCCCGAATGGAATGGCTGAATTGGATATTCACGTCCAAACCAGCTTTCAAGCGAGGTAAAATAGACAAGACATCATCCAAGTTATGTCGATAACTTAGCAGGAGGTCTTGCTGACTCTCCGTCGGGGTGCCTGCTGCTGGCCTCTCTTTATCGTCGCCGTCGTTTCTTGTATCCTCTTGGGTGCATTCTTCTCCGTCTCCATCTTTTTCTTTTTCTTTTCCAGACCGTATCGTCTTCTCTTCTGCTGTCGTTGCTCTATTCTTTTTGGAGGGCACTGAAGTGAAGGGATCCTGCTCCAAAAGGAAATTCGCCAACCGATCGACGAGATATTCAAACGTAACCTTTTCACGGCCTGGAGGTCGAATCTCCAAATCGCCCCGTAGAAACAATACGTTGCAGATGGCAACCAAAGGACAAGGCCCGTTTTCTATAAAAGGGGTCGAGTCCCATCAATATACAACCGACTACCTCAAATCCAAATTGGCAACATAATAACGTTTGACATTCACCATTTTGCGTTATAATTTGAATCGCCTTGTTTTTCCACATGATGGTTTTTACGAGGTATTCATCTTTGTTTGCCTGCTGTTGGGGTAAAGTCGGCACGTTCATGTCCGTGAGTGCAGGAGCGGCGGTAGTATCCGCTTGTTGTTCCAAAGTAGTCATGAAGAGTGTATCGTTTCTTGCAAACAATGAGGTTACGAATACTTATGGCTTCAAACCTTTAATTTTTCAAAGCTACAAACAATGAAAGTTGAGAAATTGCTTTCATGTCTGACCCTGAATTGAATAGAACGCAATTTTCGTACAAAAAAAAAAAAGAAACCCTCTTTCTTCTATTATATAGAGGACACACTATCCCTACGTTAAGCCAATCATCAAGTTCATTTTCCTCTACATGCTCCCCTTTTTCATCCCAAAACAGGTTATACACCATAATAACAAAGCTAGTTTTATTTTCCCTCTGTTTCTTGTGTAAAAAGAAAGTTGTGAAAAATAAAAGTGTCATCGAGCGAGATTGTTGCGTGAAAGTAAAAAGACAAAGAACAAACAAACAATCCATGATTTCAATTATGTTGTTGTACTGACATTTAAGCGGAAGCTTCAGCCTTCTTGACCTTCTTGGCTTGAGTACCTAAAAATTACGAAAAATGTCATTAGATTCCTCATCAGCGGCAGGACTTTCATGACGGCGTTATCTTTATTACCTTCACGGAAACCGTTCTTGAAACGACGTTGGACAAGCTTCAAGTGAGCCATGCGACCAGTACCTGTGGTCTTTCTGCGCTTACCCTTTTCGGACCAGTTGTCTAACCCAAATGCGTAAGGCGTCAATAACTCGTATCATTTCACAAGTTCAAAATCAAAAAGACACTTACAAGATCTGGTCTTAGCGGCGGGATAGCCACATTGAGCACATTCCTTCTTTTGCTTGTGGAAAGAGCGGTTACCACAACGGCGGCACAAGGTGTGAGTCTTGGTGTGGCGTTTACCGAAAGAACTGGTACCCTTAGTCTATTATATCATTATTTCCAACGAAAAAAAGTGGGTTAATATACAACGACCGCATTTTGTGCTTTACAGCCGATGCTACTCCATCAAACAATCAGATCAGCCAAGTTCCCAATTGCACTGTCTCCCCCCCATCCAGTGCCTGCTGTCAATAGTTGAAGACGTCTATTGCTGAATGGGTCCTTCTAAACCCACAATTGAAAAAAACTCTCGTCGTGCCATTAACATGTCAACAAACTTTCAGTAAGCTGAAATGGACAATCATTCTACAACATCTCGTCCAAGGTTGGTTTTTTCTTTTCTGATTGGAAAATAGAGCATAGGTGGATCAAGAGAAAGTACAAATTGAAACTATGCTGATCTCGATGGATGGATGGATGGAATGCAGCTTTTTGTAATGATGGATAACCTTACCATCTTTTACGAATTAAGACTGATAGTGAAAGGAAGTGTCTTCAGTTTGCCCCACTTTGTTCGAAGATTTTAGGATGGGCATAGTGCGCCCCTCTCATCAGACTACAGCACCAACGAACCCAACCAGCCTTTGAGAGGAATAGTCTACTTTTTTTTCACCGGAGCTGTCGGACCGAACATTCCACTCTATTTCGACTCGTACTTTATGTAATCTGGATCGGAATTTTTCCTCATGTTGATTCAGGAACCAAAGAAATAGGAGGAAACACTTGTAAATGCAAACAAAGGTGTAGAAGGATAGGTGAATAAAAGAACATAGAAAAGTGTATAACCCAACTGATGGTAGAGTCTACTCCAAAAAGAGCTCTAGGCCATTTCTTTCTTTAAATCAAGAAGCAGAGTTGCACAAGCATGTGTGCATGTGGATACTAAACAATTAAGCTCCCTCTCTCCTTCTGTCTCTCTCTCTCTCTCTCTCTCTCTCTTTCAGAACAATTTTTTTTGTCCCTTTTTTTTCCTTTTACATCCAGTTTCAATCAAGTTTTTTTTTTCACGCTATACCTATTTCAATATTGCAACACTTTGAATATTCATCATGAGTGCTGGGAAAGGACGTTTCAACAATAGAATCAAAGCAGCCGGTTTAAAAATACAACTCACGCCGCCTGTGGTCACTGAAGAGGATACTGATCAACCACCGCAGTTTCAACCACCTTCTTTCTTATCCGAGCATAACGGCAGCAGAAGAAATAGTACAAAAACCAGTGAAATCAACTGGCGCGAAGATATTGTACGTATCGTGCGACACCAACGAAGTTGCAATGATATCTCGTCCTTAGCAGCAGCTGCCACAGCCACCACTTCAGAAACTCAGGAAGTAAATGATATGAGCTCTGAAGATTTTGAAAACTTGAAAAAACTGGGTGAGGGTGCTGCAGGGACAGTATGGCAGGTAAAGCATAAGCCTACCAACAGAGTCATGGCAAAGAAGGTAAAGTTCTTTTCATACAAGCCGGCAAACCTACACCCTTCCACTCCTCCCCCCCCCCCCACCACCCCAACTCCCTCCCTTCCCCCTTGTGTTCACACCCTCTATAATAACACTTTGCTATTTTCTAGACTATCACCGTGGATCCTGACCCTCAGTTACAACGACAAATTCTTCGAGAATTATCCTTTTTAAAAACGTGTCAATCTCCACATATTGTATCATTTTATGGCGCGTTTCTCGACGATGGAGATACCACCATTGTTCTTTGCATGGAATATTGTGAAGGAGGAAGTTTAGAAGATATATACAAGAGAGCGCATCAAATCAACGGCATTATCGGCGAAACCATTCTCGCCAACATTGCAGAATCAGTAAGTCCAGAACGATGGCACGGCATGGCTTCAGTAGAAATTGAAAAAAAGAGCTTGTATAACCTTTTGTATTTGTTAGGTATGTAGAGGACTGATCTATCTTCATGAGCAACATGTGATTCACAGAGACATTAAGCCATCCAACATTTTAATGACAAGAAAAGGCCGAATCAAACTGTGTGACCTTGGCGTATCTGGAGAATTGATCAACTCATTAGCCCAAACATTCACTGGAACGCAATACTATATGGCAGTAAAGTATTCTCCATAAGATTGTTGACTGTCATCCACTACTCATCCAGATATTCCTTGTATAGCCCGAACGCATTCAAGGCGCCACCTATTCTGTCACATCCGACATTTGGTCACTTGGACTGACCATCATCGAAGTGGCCCAAAACAGACCTGCTTTGCCGCCACCGGGTCAACCTCATTTAAGCATATTTGAATTATTGGATTATATCGTACGCCAGCCTATGCCAACGGTGGGACAAGATCGCTCCATTGAATGTCAGCAGTTTGTGGAAACATGTCTCATTAAGGAACCGGAAAAAAGACCTACACCGGAACAAATGCTAAAGCACGAGTTTATTCAGTTAAAAGCAGATCAAACATGTGATATGGAAGGCTGGCTAAAAGAGCTATGGGGTTGGGCGTAGTCAAAAAGAATAGGGAATGGCCAATGTTTGTTTAGAATGAATCTGCCCGACTTTTTTTTTTTTTTTTTTTTACTACACATCGTTCATAAACTGAACTGAAGACACTATCGTATGTTTATGAAATAAAAGGCAGATTCTTTACTGGCTGTTTTAAACATAAGCATAAATAATTCAGCAGCCCTGTTCAAAGTGCAAACCTGGTTACCAGGCTGCTGTTCGCTGTAACTCAAAGAATATCATAAAAGAATATAAGAGTAGGTATAGCACTGATTTGTAAGAGAATATCAGTTAAAATCCATTCTAATGCAGAAACTATACGAGTGCAACATTCGATAAATGACAGTGGTCTTCATCTCCTGCAAAAACCTATCCTTACAACCAAAGTTTCATTCTCTTTTTAATTTTCGAATGATGTGTCCTAGTGGGTGTCTCAGTTGAAAGTAAAAAAGATACTTGTCCTGTTGCTCGCTAATAGTCCCTTGTGCCTGCAAAAAGACATATCCTAGATGGCTGTATTTATTTAGCAAATCAAACTACACACAATGAAAAAGACGATCAAACGCTCTTTCGGATAACGGGGGGGGGGGCATTTGTTTGAAGAGCTTATAAGAGGTATCTCATCGTTTTGTAACGGGAATAAATGCTCGCTCGCTCTAGAATTCAAAATTATACATCAAATGGTTTCATGTTTGCTAATAGTCTGCCTCTTCGTTTCCTCAACTTTTCATCTATATTTTCTGCTGAATTCACAAAGTGCCCTTCTAAACCATATCCATTTTTGAAATCACTTGCTGTCATAGCCCCTCTATTTTCCATTTTCAATCTCGAACATGCCATCACACTACCATCTCCGAAACTTATATGTAAGCTTTTACTTGCCTCATCCCAGACAAAAGTACCCGGCTCTTTTCTGCTTTGGCTCGTATTTATCAGACAAAGATCCAGTAATTGCACTACTACATTCTTTGTCACTTTCTTTGTTCTCACACTGAATGCAGTACGCAACGGGTATTGCTCGCCTATCGCTCTATGCAACTGAACCGCTTGCCATGCCGACATATGATGGTAGTCCAATTCAGACCAATACTTTTCTACTTTAGGCGCTTTGGTAGCTTGACTGATATCTTGGGTCTGAGCATGTAATTTTCTTTCTTTGAAATGACGAACGGTATCCACTAGCAGCTCGCATCCAACTTGAGTTAGCTTCTCCTTCAACCGTGAATAGACAGGCGCAGTATCTAGCACCAACGATTGCTGAGAAAGGATACGTCCTGCGTCAAATTCATAAGCATCCAATTCTTGAATGGTAACGCCCGTTTTCGTGTCCCCGGACAGGATGGTATGCTGAATTGGAGCGGCGCCACGATATTTGGGCAGAAGAGAGGGGTGGACGTTGATGGCACCGTGTTGAAATAGGGATATGATGTGTGGTGGAATAAAGTAGCCGAAAGAAACAACCACGCCCAAATCATAACCTGTTGTTGCTGTTGCTGGATCAGAATTCAAAGGCAATTGCCATTCCGAAAGCGTTTTGACTCCAGGTGGTGTATGAAATATGTTTAATTGATGTGCTTCAGCAATACCTTTCGTTTGACCTTTGGAATGGATACAACATCTTAATATACATCCTCTCTACCAAAACATACTCAAGCCGCCGAACGAGTAGCATGGTATTTCAAAAAGTTTTTGCTTACTTGGTGTAATCGTTGAAAGATTCCTTCCTGTTCTTTTGTCGGGTGGACAAACAAGGCCAATGGATTCAATATTTGAGCCAGGTCTCTCTGTATTAAAAAAAGGTTTCAACAATAGTTTTTATTCACATGTTCACACTTACAATTGAATAAAGTTCTATTTTCACATAAACTAACCTTTTTCATCAATAAGCGCTTTCAAGTGATTCGAAGCAAAATTATCTGTACCAAAGAATAAAATACGGAACTTTTCATTTGTTCCGGTTCCGAAAGATCTTTTCGTCACTGGTATAGACGCAAATACTGTCTGTGAAAAGTGGCAAGTAGATGGGATCATCCATAATCAACATATAGAAAGCAACAACAACCATGTTTGAGTCTTTTATTAGTACCTTCAGCTTGAACAGAGAAGATTTTTGGGCAATACAATTCAGCATTTTTTTTTTTGGGGAATAAAGTTTTACAATATCAATATGAAAAAGTGAAAAAGTAAAAAACAAGTACTCAGAGTGTGATGGACAGAAGACCTGGGAGGGGGTGAAGAAAAAAGAAAAAAGCATAAATTAATGCTGTCGGTCATCACCGCTGCTATTGTCGTGACTCTTTTTAGCCTTCTTTACTGATTTCGCTGTAATGACAGCCCTGAAAACACGCACGGACCTTTTACTATCCAGAACCACATCATCATTCAAGCCAAACTGTAACATATCGGCTTCAATAGTCGACGCAATACTTCTCATCTGATACAAGTCATCTCGGAACGCATCCGTACCTTCAAGTATGCATAAATTCATTTCGAACTGCTGTTTAGCAAATGTTTCCAAAGGTGCGAATTCACGGTGCTGGCGAATAATGAGCAAGATCATTTTCAATGTTTGGTGGATCGCGTAAAACATATGATGATAGGTACTTTGATCACAGCACATCAACTTTAATTCTTGAAGCCCTTGCAGAATTTCCAATGTCACGTGTAAGCCATCCAAGAGTAAGTCAAAGTGGACGACAGGACATAGGGCTTGATGATACTGTAAGAGGGAAAAAATGACCACGATACGCATGGAATGGTAACAGTTTGCGAGGTGTATATTAGGCTGCTTCACTGTTCGCCACCATGCTTCCGTCTCCGAATTGATTCTTTCATACAAATAAGGCAATTTGCCGGTCCTAGTAGCTCGATTAAAGCGTCGCATAAATTGAGCCATGATCACAAACTCATAGAGTGTATCATATGACATATAACAGTTAGAACGAGGGGTTATACATGTTGTGAAATGTTGTGAGGTAGGCTCGTATCGTTGTTGATGCCGTTGATTTTGTGAGTCAACGACAGGTGTACCGTCGCTACCATCAAAACATCGACCTGCCGCACATCCTCGTTGTGCACTTTGTTGTTGCGGCTGCTCCGCTTCCTCTAGCCGTGATGGTCGAGTGATGGGGAAAGGTAACTTATCTGGTAATAAGGATTCTTGATTCAATGCAATGGAGACCCAAGCATCAATATAATACCAACGATACCAACATTGCAGTAGAGCGGGTGACATTTTCACGTCATTGACTTTATTTTTCAACGTCTCACAAGCCAAACAATGCCAAGTTCGTTGTTCGTGAGGGAGACGTAAAAGGCTCGCAATATAGCTGAGGCAAAAGTAGCATTGAATAGCTACTACACTTAGATTTGTATCTTCATCCTCCGAGAAAATAACTTCTTCCAAATAGCTACAAGCTTGTTTATAATAATAAAAGGCAATATCTTTTTTAAAGTCTTCCATTGCTTTTGAAGATAATTGTCTCTTTGATTTGGAGCTTGTAAAGTTCTTTGGGCTGTTTTCTTCTGCATCATTGTCTAACACGACAGCTGAATTAGGGTTGTTGTGGTTGATCGTAACCATACTGATGGCAGCAACGCAATAAAGAATCGATTTTGGTGTGTTGTGTCTCAATACATCAACTTCAATAGGTGCAATTTTGAAACTGATACAGCACCAATGCTGAATAGCTCTATACATAAGGCCCTGTAGCAATTGATGACTGGCAGAATGATAACGGACCGATTTAGGCAAACTGTTTTTGCTCTTATAGCTAAGTAATGCTTTCACTTTTGCTTTGGTGGATTCGATTGGGTATTTCTCAGCATCTTCGAGCTGTATGTTTAATAAACAAAAGAGGTCATTATAATTGTTAATCACGTAAGATATCTCTTCGAAAGAAAAAGGATTGTAATAAGCAGTTGCAGTCATATTGAGATCAACTCTATTTACTGTAGCAATGATTGCACATAGAACGAGAAAATGTATCAGAGACCAGTAAGCAGATGAAAAAAAGTAGAAAGGGATTAAAAGGGTACAAAGAAAGGAGCGAAGAGAACCATTGTATTTCTTCGTTTTCATGGTAACCAAATCTGAGCATTTTGTCATACAGAATAGTATAATTCTGTTGATAGACATTACTGCGATACAACTCAAATGTTATTGATTGCTCTCTCAATGAAGTTCTTTGAATAATAGTGAAGAATCAAAAGCTAGCAACGTGAACAATAGCTATCAGCGTGTTCAAAATAATTAATGATTCTACTATTCGATCACTATCGAATAAAAAGCACCCCCCCCTCTCAAGTTCATTGTTTTGGATCAAAACCTCTTTTCAATTGTTTGTTGGAAGGTCAGCTGATACATCTCCTATATTGCCTAGTAAATGATGTGTGGAATATTGGGTCTTTTTTGTGGTGAAGAGAATTCTTCTTCCGACCAACACAATAGAGAATCAAGTAGGCTGAAGAATTGCGTACTATGCGTACACAAGAATTCTCTACCTGCTTGCTGGAGTAACGTTGCAAAATTCTTATTTAACAACTCAACAGATATTTTCAGACAGTGATATTTAGATATGCGGTGCATTGATCAAGTAAACGTTTTTGTTTCAATATAACATAAAAAATGATAAATGCTGAAAGCTTCGGAGCAGGAACACTTTACAACACTTCTTTATGGCTTAAATGGAACCATAGTCTAAAAAAAAGGCAGCAGCCAATCAATTAAAGCGTGCAAACTAGTCCTCGGAAAGTCACTTCTATTGCTTCCGTAGAACAACTCAATTGATTGCATTCAATATACTAACTTTCATCATGAGTGTGTCCGCTGTAACAATACTAAAGGTATCTCTTCTTTAGACACGATATAAGTTTAATTTAGGCAATTTTCATGATCTTTGTTATTTGTTCAGGGTGATTAAAATTAATTTGTATAGGCATGCTAACTTTATAATTGCAATACTGCTAACCTAGAATGACGGGGTCTGACTATAATAATTGAAGCGAAACAAGACCGTTTAAATATATTACGGAACGTTATGTTTAAGAGATATTAAGTGCAGGGTAAATGTATACCGAAGTATCCGACAATAATCTAGATAAATACTTGGGCCGATCCATGAAATAAGCATATGCTTATAGACTCAGGGAGTTGGAACATCGGAGAGGGTTTTCATGAGTGCTCAAAAAGGCTTCTTTTGCACTTCCAAAACCTATCAAAAGTAGATCTTACAAAATAATATGAACTTTGTGCGTTCAAACTCAAGCTTCAAAGATACCCTTGATTAATTTATTGAAGAACGAAACCAAGACGCTATCAGAAACGTTCAGGATGAAGCTCTCTATATCTGATTCTCCCTTCATAACTAACACGTATAGCTGCAAAACTCTATGGACATCATTTATTCGACGACGATAATACAGGTATTATCGAGCAATTGCCTTTGACGGCGTAAATTGGAATTTTAGCTATTTCAACATATCGCTCATGAGTTTTAAGGGCATCTTTTGTTACAAGATGGTACAAGTTGAAACGTTTTAGGAAAATGTTGGCATTTTGCCGCCAAGGCCTCTAAGTCTCTATTATCCTAAGGGGAACTTCAGCAGGAATCAGCTACAAGATGACTCGACTCGTCTTTCGGTCCTATACCCAGATTCGACGTTTGTGCTGTTAATGCGAAATATGATGGTTTGTAAATACAGTATCATTTTTCATTGGAAAAAAGAAAACAAAAAAAAAAAGAATTTGAAAGATTACATTCCACTGAAACTCTTTTGCGTAAAACTACTGTCAATTGACTGAGTAATCTGTCCAAACGAAGAACGACTATAGTGTATATACAGTTTATTTCCAGAATTAGAAAGGACAACCTGGGGAGAGAGCAGATCATGTCAGAAGAGCCAATATACACTAAAAGTAAACGTTTGACAGTGAATGTACCTTTCTCTACATCGTACGCAGAGTAAAACAACTTAAACTATATAGTTTCCTTTGGTAATACCTCAAAACATTTACAAAAACTGACGATTGAGCTATCTGGTTTATCAGCTACAGATAGAATCGTGTAGCATAAGAAGACAGTCTATACAAGTATATATTTCTTATATTAATTATTACAGCTTTTCAAAGACTGAGAAAAGTGAAATTGGCGATTAGATTTTTCGCAAAGCTACAATCTGCGTTTGGCAAGCCGTAGTATTTGCTTCCGTCATTCGTATGCTTTCCTCTCATTTCCTTTCTCGCTAAAGGTCGATCTGAGTCTTTAAACGCAATGGCCATTTGGTCTTATTTTTGCTTTAATCTTATTTCCTCTGCATATATTTAACCTTGGAGTTATTTTACAGCGACATGATATTTATTCCATTGACATCTTAGGAAGGAACGGATTTCATAGTACAAACTAAAGGTTTTTTCGCAGAAAACCGCGAATTGGGAGTTCTAAAGTTACAAATACTCTTCTCATGCTTTCTGCAAAGCCATCTGCAAAAGAATTCTTGACAATAAAGGCAACATACTGTATGCAATAAATATCAACTTTGTATAAATGTCTCAAACTATTAATTTGTTCCTGAATCCTGATATATATCTCATCAGATCCGGCGGATCATAATCTATCCTAGCTGATGCTAAAAAGTGATTGGCTATCCAAATCTCTTATCTTCCTTTGTTTCCTTGTTCTGAAAATCTGTCAAAGTCTTCCTCTTTCTAACTGTTGGACTCATCATTAAAGCTATAAAGTTAAATCAGCATGTCAAACGATAAAATCACCCCGGCTACTCAAACTGATGTTGAAATGAGACCTGCCACTGTTGCGGATGTGCCTCTCATTCTTGGTTTCATAAAAAAACTTGCCGAATATGAAAAGCTTTCTGATGATGTGGTTGCTACAGAGGATATCCTACGTGAAAGTCTATTTGGATCCAAACCCTATGCAGAAGTTATTCTTGCCTATGCTGCAAAAAACTCAACCGATAACGAAAAAATTCCAGCAGGCATGGCTTTGTATTTTCACAATTTTTCTACTTTTATGGGACGCCCTGGTCTCTATTTAGAGGACTTGTTCGTGGATCCTGAGTTTCGTGGTAGAGGGATCGGCAAAAAGCTATTGATTCAGTTGGCAACAATTGCAAAGGAAAGACAATGTGCAAGATTCGAATGGGTCTGCTTAGATTGGAATAAAACTTCAAGAGAATTTTACGAAGCGTTAGGTGCGAAACCCTTGAGTGAATGGATCATTCATCGTGTAGATGGAAAATCACTCGACTATTTAGCTGCTATGTAAAGGATTGATATCAATATTTATTACTCCTTTTATCCAGCCAATACAACAAGTGTACAAAATAAACTATATTTAGACATACATTATGAGCATAGAGAAAACTTATTCATGGTCAGGTAGGTATTATAAGTCGTGACAGTGAAACGAATGTATTCACGCACAGTAGGAGTTTAATCAAGGCTCATGATTTAGCTATCTTCATCTGATGCGTATTGTATTTGTTGTTGTATTGATCGAGAAGACAATCCACGTAAACGGTCCAAGGCAATAGATGTTGAAGATGTTGATCGCTTTGCAACTAATGTTGCTTCTACAGAATTAGCGTCAGACGATTTATCAATCCTCTCGGATGCTGGTCCTAAGGATGTTAATGAAGCTTGTTCAAGGGGAGTGGAGACAGCCATTGTTGTGCCTAAAGTGGCAACATCACTAGAGCTTGTGATAAACCGCTCTAATAATAATTGTGGTGTAGGAGAGGTTGAGAAAGATTCATGCTGTTTAATAGGCTGCAATAAGCGCGCACGAAGTTCCTTCAGCCCGTGCCATTCTTCTAATGAGACTTCATCATTGTCATGCGTTGATATAGTATAATTTTGATCAAGTTGTTGCTCAATTTCGGATAGAGCTTGGAATATATGAATGGCTTGCTGTTCAGACTTGATCGCCTGATCTCTGAAGAATCTTACTTTGTTATAATCGTATAAGTAGCTGCAACTATTTGATGACAAGACATAAATAATATACATATACCTTCTGGTAACTTTTCTACAACCATTCTAGCTTGAGCTACTCCAGAACACAAGGCCAAAAAGCATGTAGACGTTAGCTGATTTGCATAGGCTATTCGCTTCAATAGGATATTTTGCTCTTCATTGATATTCCTGTTATTAAATCTGATATACGTCTGTACTTCATTCAGTAGATCAAAAATAATATCTAGCAGCGTTATATGGTTAGTTTTTCAAAAAAGTTGATTAACATATTTCAAATTTGCTCGATGATTTTGGTACCTGCATGTTCTGTTAACGATGTTGTTGGTAGTGCAGAAGACGCTCGTAAACGTAATAAATTCTCAAAATTGAAGCCTATATTATGTTCTTTCAAAAAAGGCTCAAAAGCCTGAATGCTTCGTAATTGCTGCAACTCGTCTTCTGAGCCAGTATCTTCTAAGCCTTTTACAACTTCGATAATGCCCTTCAAGAAAGAGTTAAATAGTCCCGTATTGGCCTACTATATAATGTTCTGCTAGAGTAAAAAAATACATACACCCTGTGGTTCATTCAAGTAGGTATTGGCTGACAAGTAGTTTGGATTTTTGTTAGTAATTGCAACGATTGTCGACATTAAAGGACGTTGAAGTTGCCTACTTTGTTGTTGCTGTCTACCATTTGTAAATGCAGTGGTTGTAACCTTATTTGTTGCTGGTATTGCATTGGACTGTTCTTGACCCTACTTAATTAATTGTTTAACGTAATTACCTAAGGTTGGACTATTTTTGGTTTTGGATTACCATTAGTGTCAGCGATTATTTAGTTGTTGCATGAAAAAGTATTTGCGTCCTTTACAGAGACTAAAGAAGCAAACGTGAGTTTGAATTCTCTTGCTGTTCTTTAAGTGTAGCATGAAATTCAAAATTCTTCCTTTTCTACAGTGGTCTTGTTGGACTTTACAAGAATAGAATGAAGGTACACAAGTCAATCGGTCACTGTGTGTAGTATTTTCGCTTGCTAAAACGATAGCTAAGACGAATTGATTTTAAGGTTGCTATAGAAGGTTGTTGCCATGGCGAACTTGACGATATATACGGATCGATCCGCTTGATCGAGCAAAGAGACAATATCAAAATAGATCTCGTTTTAATTTGTGGTGATTTTCAAGTATGGCTCTAAACCCATCATGTGTGGTTTCTTTAATGTACTTACCGCTGCAAACTCAAACATTAGTCTGTCAGAAACGAAGCCGATGCCATTTGTATGTCAGTTCCAGCTAAATATCGCCAGCTTGGGACCTTCTGGAAATATTACTCTGGTAGAGAAAAAGCGCCTTATCCCACAGTCTTTATTGGGGGAAACCATGAAGCTAGCAACTATCTCTGGGAACTGTACCACGGAGGATGGGTGTGTGATAATATCTATTATATGGGTTATGCTAACGTTATCAGATTTGGTGGTTTAAGGATCGGTGGACTTTCAGGAATTTACAAATCTTACCATTATGATAAAGGGCACTATGAGACTTCACCGTATTCGGAAGATCATAAAAAGTCAGCATATCATTACCGTAAATATGATGTTGAAAAACTCCTTCACGTACAAGAGCCATTGGATATATTCATGTCGCATGATTGGCCCCGGGGAATTGAAAGATACGGTAACCTGAAGAAGCTGATGAGAGAGAAGAAGTTCTTTATCAATGAGGCAAGCGATTTAATGTGAGTGACCTTAATAGCTGCAAGTTTCTAAATCTTTGAATATGTCCTTTATATAGATTATGAGTAACTCTTTAGGAAGTGAGCCGAATTTTCAATTGTTGGCAAAGCTGAAACCTAGCTATTGGTTCTCGGCACATCTACATGTGCATTATGCTGCACTTGTCGATCATTCTATGTTGGAAAAGGGTGAATATCCAGAGGGCATTCAGGCTCTTTTAAAGGGAAAGTATCCGCCATCTGCATCTGCATCAACTCCTCGGGTAAAGAATGAAGATGAAATTGTCATTGACGTGAGATTGGATATAGATAGTGAAGCTAAGCCTGAAGAGACATCAAATGAGTCAACAGCAGACGACGATAATAGCAACGGCAGCACTAATAGAAATGTAAACACCTCCAGCGCATCAACGTATGAAGGTGGTATTCAAATAGAACAAAACAAGGATGCAGACGCAGTAAACGACGGCCAGTCCATGGCATCAGTATCACTAAACACGTCTATATCACCAAAGTATACTAAATTTCTCAGTCTGGATAAATGCCTTCCCGGTAGAAAGTTTTTGCAAATTCTCGACATTCCTTCTCCAAACGACGACAATCAAGATTATGATTTCTATTATGATATGGAATGGCTAGCTATTACTCGTGCCTTACATCCTTTTTTGTCTACTACATATCAACAAGCGCACATACCTTTCACGGACGATGAACTGCAAAATAGAATTGCAGAAGAACGCAGATTTTTAGAGACGAAACAGCAGTCTGGCATTTTGGATTTGAAAATTCCTCACAACTTTGAGCCAACAGCGCCTGCTTACAATCCTGAAATGCTACCAACGAACCCACAATTAATAAAAGAATGTCGTAAGTTGTTATAGAACTGATAAAATATATGCCAGAGGAAACTAATTCTTTATTATTGTTTAATGATATTAGAACACCCTTTTTTGAATCCTCAAACAGCGAAATTCTGTGAAGAAATTGGCATTGAAAACAAGATAAATTCCGGATGCAGACAAACCCTTCAACTAAGCGAACATGAAAATAGTGCGCCCATAACAGATATGCGATCCACTTATCCTGAGACCTCAACTGTAGAACAAAGTAGTAATCACAATAGTAGATGTATAGACACTACAGAGTCGTTTGAAGTACCATCAACGAAGCGTACAAAGATTGAGGAACGTGATGTCGTTGCTGCTGCTCGTAATCCTTCTGAAATAATGATGGATGATGAAGAATTTATGTAATAAACAAGAAATGAGATCAGTTTATCATGTTATGTTGAAGATGGCAATATAAAATATGTAAAGGAGAAAGAATAGTTCGTTTTAAGGTAATCTATAGATCGCAATTAAGTAGGCTCTTTTCCCTGATTTATATAGTAAAAGAGTGATTAGTGTATTGTGTCTTTGTTATTTGTATACACATGATAAGTCCGATTAATTGTTCTAGTACTTCGATGAGTACTTCTTTCATCAAAACTCGTAGCCTTCCACCTTAAATAGTTCTGCATAGTCAAAATATCTTGTCATCAATTTTTGGACAGGACGAGGCAAATTCATCGATGTTAATATATTTTGCATTTTTGATAAGCCTTCTCTGCGAACCAACACGTTCAAATGACGAGCAATCTCACTAGGGTACACAATTTCATGATACCATCTTTCGTGATACACTGTCAATTTAACAGCTGCCAAAAGGGCTCTCTGTACATTAGACTCTTTTACGTAAATCTCCAAAAGTTTCATCCATGCTTTTGCTGAGAATTTTTGATCCAAGCATTGTTCATAGGCTTCTTTAGCTTCTGGTGCATGCCATAAACGTTGTGCTAAATCACCCAATAATTCCCATTCCGTGCCAGTTTTGCGGTATGGCATTTGCTGAGCGCGATAATGAGCAACCTCGGTACGCCAAAAAGTGTAGATTCGTAAATCTTCATAGAGTACCATAAAAAGATTGTCTAGCCAACGTTCACAGAGACGTTTGTTACTAAATGAGAAGTTAACACCGTCGCTAGGATTAGGTGTATCTATACGTGTACTATTGTTATTGTTGCTATTGTTCTTTCCAGAAGATTTGCTAACTGTATGACTGGTCTCGGACTTATCTGCAGCTGCCGATGAGGATTCTTCAGCTGCTGCTTGAGTAGGACGGCTAACAGGTGTGTGTTGAAGTTCAATAGATCGGGGTTCATCCTCTTTACCTACATTTTTGTCATTATTGCCGTTTTCTTTTTCCTCAGTGTCTAAGTCTATAGAATCCATCTGGTCCGCTAATTCATTTTCATCATTCTTTACGCCATTCATTTCTTCCTGATTACTAGTATTCTCCGTTATTGTGTGTTCGTTTTCTTCTAATTCTGATTTCTCTTCGTCTGACTTATGATCTTTATCCTCTTCTATCTTACGAGAAGTTTCCTCATCAGGCATCGGTAATGGATGATTGTCAGTATCTTTATTTCTGTCACTTTTTTGTGTTGCTGCTTCGGCTAGCTGGTCGTCCTCATGCTCATCATTAGTACCATTGATACTGGTGGAAGACTTTTGATTATCCTCTTTGGCTTTTTGCAACCTGTATTCTTCTTCCATGACAAACACCTCAGAGCGACATCTTAGTAGGTCATCCCAACCAATCTTACTAACCAAGCGTGTCAGCAAAGCATAGGCTTTAGCAAATGTGCCATGAAGCGCTGGTGCAGGCAAGCGAGCCAAATTAGGATCGGCTTCATTTTCGCGACCTGCTGCATCCTCTTCCATGATGCCTGAGTTGATGATATCGGTTTTAATAGGTAGATGCGTTTTAATAGGAGCGGGCATACGGTGCATGTCACGTTCACTATAAGTAAACATAGGGCAAGAATTCAAAGTGAGAAGTGCATTTTTATAATCGCCAACATCGATATAGACTTCGGTCAATTTTGCCCAAGTCAAGAATTCCGATGGTGTTGTGTTTACTGCAAATTTGGCCAATTTGAGTGCCATTTGATATTCACCCTATTGCCGTGCAGGTCATAGCAAAAAAAAAAAAAAAACCAGCCTCGTATTAATAACACCTTTCTATAAAACTAGAGTAATTCCTCTTGTCCGCTGTTTCTCATTTTTTTATGTGTTTCATTATTACCTTACTGCGTAAGAAATCCACCTGAATATGCAATAATGGATAACTCATAGGTGTCTTTTTCAAATCTTCATTCAGCACTCTAATAGCTTTCGTTTCTTCATTTTGACCAATATAGGAGTCTGCCAGCAATGCGCCTACTTCGGGGTCCTTTTTGTGCAACTTGGTAAACAATTCAATTGCAGGTCCATATCTAAAGCTGTCTCCAAAATACTTCATAACACCTGATGTCAGATGATTATGTACAGTTGTAGCTGTTTGAATCTCTGGATTACTTCCCAATTGCCAACTCTTCCAAAACAATGTTTCCACAGCTTCCAAAAATTTCTGCTCGCCTGCCAAGCTGGTAATTGGATCTAATTTTCGATATCCAGCCAATCGATAATAACTGTCGTCAGAATAGAGAATAGCACGCAAAACAGCAGATAAATAAGTTTCCTGCCAAATAGAAGAAGTGGCTTCGTGGCGTTCACCACGAACATCGACGTAGTAGCTTTCGACACCACCAGGAATCTTGACTTCGACGCGAACATCGACGCGAGAAACTGCATTGAAACAACTGAAATATAAAGGAATATGATAACAGATTAGCCAGTTTAGTTTTTATCATGAATTGTGTGTAGAATCATTATCCATGCAACAGACTGTTATTGCCGTCGACATACCAGTAGATACCAGAACGAATTCTCCAAGCATTTGACTTCGAAAACCACGACTGAGTTTCGTCCTGTATTAAAATCATGCAAAGCAATTGGAAAAAAGTTTAATTGTTAGTTTAAACAATGGTATTGCTTCGAAGGCAGATGCTCGAAAATAAAGAATAACTAAAGATTGTACCAAAGAGTATGTCAATGAGTTGAGATAAGCAGCAAGTGTTGCAGAGGAGGATGCGTCGACACCGGACACATAATGATAACTGCCAAGCTGATTGTTTTTTTTTGTGCAAGAATATTAGCAATTTTGAATTAGTTACAGAAGGCTTTATATGTTTGGCTTCAATTCACTGTTTTACCTCTTTAGTACCAGGTTTAGGGTGAGCCTTAATGATATGGCATAAATCTGGCGGGCCTAATTCGCGAAATGTGCCTGAGATGAAGTGTATACGCGATAATGTTAAAATGTCAGTAAAGATGTAACTGTGCCCTCTTTTTGCGTGCTTAGCTACAAAAAAAATTCTTCTAACCTAAAGCATCTGTGCGAGCAGCAATAGACTCTCCCAACTCTGACTCGAAAAATTCAGGGACATCTTTGAGTATATCGCCCATATTATTCTTACAATTGAAATACAAAGAGTACAAAAAATAGAAAGGTACACTTTTTTGTTATTGCTTTCCCCCCATTGTTTGCAGAAGGAGTTTGAAAATGCCGACAGCTGCAACAACATTCAGTTGGACTCGAGACCATATGTGTATTTAGATCTCTAGCAGATACCTGCTAATGACTAAACAATGATAGTCTTTTCTTAACATGTCGCTATTGTTTGCTAGATATCATATCAAAGTTCAGGTTTGGGGAATTAAGAGAAGTATAGACATTTTTGTTACTGTTCAACTGCCGTCGTTCTTTCACAATCGTTGCTTCCGTGCAAGGGAAAAAATAGTTTTGTGTCTTTATTCAATGCTTACTTGATAACTCTTCGTTTAAAACTCTCAAAAAAGTTTATCAACGAGTCTGTACTTTTATTATAAAAAGTTGCTGAATATAGCAATGTAAATAATTCACTACGGTATAATTATTCTGTGTATAATACTAAGCAAAACTTTACAAGCTTGGAAATTACATAACATTTATCTGTAATGCCTCAATGATAAATCAATTGTTTATAACGTAGTAAAGTAAGCTTCATTGAATTAATAAATGATCGCTTCAAAACGTTTAATTTAAAAGATGGGTATGCTCGTTAGTTATTTCTTCTGTTGTATCATCTAGTGGTTCAAATTCACCAATACCCAATCTCTTGTTTCTAAAGTGCCATATTATACACATGGTTAGTAATATGCCTTGTAGAATCCCCGTAACCATGTATGTCAGCCATGCTGTCCAATTGGTGCCTGAGCGAGCCATTAAAGAATAAACAAAGAGAACAGTACCAGGTGTTTGTAAGCACATCATCGGGATACTTAATGCACCTACCATCTTTGATGAACAAATTGAGGCATTTATGAGTTTCCCGCTAAGCATAAACTTTGAATCTTATCTGGCATTTACCTTTGTTTGCCATGTCTTCCATATTTGCGGAAAGTACTGAAGTGAAGCCAGAATCATACTGAGAATGCCCAAAAATGCAGCCCATAAATTTGTTTGCCAATGCTCAGGCCCTCCCACAAAAGCCAACAGCAGAACGGAAATAAAAAATGACAATGCGAGGTGAGCAATGCATATACCAGCAACAACTAATGATATTTTCCATTCCGCTGTTATAGGAGGCTTTATTTTGCTAGGCAAGTCTAACTGTAATTGACCCGGCGCATGTATCTCTCTTTTCTTACTTTCAGGGAAATAAAGTAAATAGAGTAAAAATATGCTGCTGAACATGGCCCATTGAACGCCAATCTGAAATATACCCATTAACCCTTCTAAACAGGCGCCTTTTGACTAAATTTGAAAATTATGTCAGAGTCATGGTGCTTAAAGAAAATCATTCAATCATTCGAGGCTTCCTCACCAGAGATGGACAACACCTAATGGCATTCCATTGCAGCAGAACAATATTGAACAAACTGGAAGTAGAGGATACTACACCAAGCAGTAAAAACCATGAACTGAACCCTTCACTTGTTTTATATCTGATAATCCTCAAATGCTATCCAATAGAGTAAGCGTTTTTATATTCTTGAGATAAATGGTTCCCCTACTATCTGTCACTTACTTGCGGTAAATATGAAATGACGATACCAATGCACAAAAATATACTGATGAGCAGAGTGGTTCTGTCGTGGACTGGTTCACACTCTTGACTCACTACAGACGAGTACGCCTGAAGCGTATCAACTATTCGCTTCGTTATAAGACCATTTTTTGATAGTTCCATTTATAAAAGAAATCCTAGAATTAAAATTGTTGGTAACGTGCATGTAAGAGTATGGAGCAAACGTTTTCTCACATAATCGCAGTTTAAACATACAAGGTGTTGCATAACTGAGGAAAAAAAATGCCCTATTTTTTTTTTGAAAAAACATGTTGCATCAGGTCCTTTGTCATTATTTGGCTCCAGGAATACAACGCTTTTTCTCCAATACATGAGCCTTAGCTTTTCGAATTTCCTATCTTTTCTCCATTGATTAAAGAAATAACCAGTAAAATACATTTATTGCATGAAAAATAGATCGAAAATTGATGTTCAGCTTGATGGTAGCTACGGTGAAGCAAACAAGTGATGTCGCAGCCAATCAAATTGATTGATCTGGTCTACAACTACAGGTTCAATTGCCCAGCCATTTCAGCTGCGAGATGGCTTGTTAGATTCACTATATATAACGTTATTGCTTTTGTATGAACATAATGCTGATTCAACTCTTTTTGACTGAAGGCCCAACATTATGTTTGCTTTTCTATATAGAATTTATCCAGGCCTGGAATTTAACGTCCATTTTTCGGCTTCTTTATAGTGAAATTTTATATAATCCTTCTGGAGTATGGCACTTTTTAGTCTCTTCTGAACATCGTTCGACATGCGTATCGGATTGCCTTCGCTGTCTCTATAGATAAACGGTAATCGAAGGACATACATACTGCCTGGTGCAAGTGATACATAATCATTCATACCAAGATTCAATTGTAATGGCTCTTTTGCGTCTTCCATAAAAATCTATGATAAACATAAAAGTTAGCTTTTACTGTCTATCTACTACTGAGCAGATTTTTCAACTTACTGTGATTTTGGGCTCCAAAGTAATGGTAACGGCTTCATCTGGTGTCACAACGTATAATCGTTGCAACTGTGCTGTCACTTCCATTGCAGCTGCCGTGGCAGTATTATTTTCTTTCATATTTGTACTTGAAGTATTAGCGTATGAACAAGGGCAAACGATATAGACTGGCAAATCCTGGTGTACAAAGTAATTGCCATGCTCCTTAGGATGGTCTTTGTGACCTAATTTACATACTCTACCCTGACCGCAGCTGAAAAAGCGATGGCCTAGGGGACATTCATATTCGGCCCCAACATAGCCACGAATTAAGCCTTGAAGACGTTCCCGAGATCGATATCGACGCCTTGGATGGTTTCGACGCGTATCATACAGTTGTTTATTTTCTGACTTTGAGGGTCTTGCTAAACTCATTGTACTGTTATCTTTTGAAGAAACAGTTGATGTTGTTGTTGTTGTAGGATCCGTTCCAAGCACCGGAAAAGCGTCCAACGATGGTACCAGAGCGATAGACGGAGCAGTAGCAGTAGGTTGAACGGATTGTTGTTGACCTAATGTTGGCCATTCCGTCTCTTGTGCAGCATTCGCATTTTCCTTTAAGCTACTGTTTGTTGCCTCAGTCTTTCTTTTTTCATTGACTTCTGCAGCATCGACTGCTTCTTGATTTTTCCTTGACTTTATTTCCTCAATGGTGGTAATTGACCACGGAATCAAAAAATTGGTATTGCTCATAAAACCACCGACCTTATCCAAGCCCACATTATTTTTGTAAATTGTTGAAGGACCTAAATAGATCAAGGCAATATCATTTCCAGGTGGCAGTTCTTCAGAGTTCAGTACTAAGTGCTGTCGATCGCCAAAAGTTGATTTTGCGATATCAACAGCTGCTCGATCAGGACCTAAACAGCAGCCAAATTTCCTGTAGAACTTGTCATTGGCATCGTCTAAATCAAAGGGATCTTCTCGAATTCCCTGTGTTTTTCCACAGCTACATGCATGAAACAGAGTGAATCCGCTGTTATGCTTTTTAGGGTCAACGAATGTAGATCTTTCATCACGACCTGTTTTTTGTTTGACCGCCGCATGCTCATGCCCCAACTTCAATAAAGACACACATACAAACAGACTGGAATTAGTCTTTGAACACTCATTTTCTGCAAACATTTTTTTTTATATCGTACTCATATTTACCTTCAATCGACATGCTTTCTCTGTCAAACTGATATGTTCACAGCCCTCTCTGCCACTCTTCCATATAGTATCGCATTCCCGTTCTAGTTCATTTGCGTAATCTAACATACATGGCCCACGAGCCAATGAATGATACAGCCTCAACACATGCGCTCGCTATAACGAAGAAAAAACATTTTATCAACAGAGACTCAACAAAAACTCTCTCCTAACGATGGCTCCTTATCGACGTTTCCGTACCTTTAACAGATGGTAGCGTTCTGGATAAAATGGAGGAGAATCTTGAAGATAGATTTCCAGACATTTTTTCATTATCTTCAACGAACGACTAAAAGACAGAGAGAAAATGATGAGGATGTTGTAATGCTTCATAGCGAAGGAGTTCCCCTTGAATTGAAGTACCTTTTTGAAAACACAGTTTCGATTTCTACGTGGTCCCTTATTTTTTTTCGCAAAATAACCTCAATCTGCTGTATCATGCCCTTCGTGCTAGAGTTTTCGGCAACAATCACTTTTTTATTGAAATCTCTGCCATCCTGCAAAATGGAGCGTCCAAAAAGAAAGGATAATAAGGGTACTATGGCTGACACAAAGTGCATAGCCGTTGGCAATGGCGCACTTTTGAAAGCATCAACGCCATTGTTGGCCTTTCTGCTGGTAAAGTTGTTTTGATTATTGTGCAACGGATGTCGAAGTGTCGCTGCTTTAGTCCATATCGCAACATAATTTCTGAGTAGCTTTTCACTGTAATCGTGATAAAGCTGCACAGAGGGCGAGTGTTCCGGCTCCTTCAACAATTGCATATAGTGAGACAAGGGTTGAACTTGATCAAAGCTATACTCAATGGTTTCTTCTTTTCTCATTTGTTCGGTAGAAGCAGGCACAATATGAATGATAGGTTGCGAACCAGATGGCAATAAAAAGAGCGATTTCACTTCGACAGGAGGTGGCGGTTGATGATGATGTTTAAAGCCTTGTCCTCCACCCCCTCTATCTCTATCGATTTTATTGCTGTTGACTGATATGAGTTGTGTAGATCGAAGTATACTTTTTACTCTAGTTTGTAATGAGTCTTGCATCTTCTTTATCGTGGCGGGTACAATATCCTCAAACTGTAACTAAGAATTGCAAAATCAGACAGGTAACAGTAAGAAAGCCAAGTTCACCTATCTCATCCTATGGATGCTTCTGTGCTCTCGCTTATACATACATTGGCTGCTACCAATACCAACATCGGTACGCCTTTTGCTGGGCCCCACCAACCCATATAGGCAGGACTAGTACGGTCATTTTCCTTTTTTTCAAACAAGTGAAATGGGGCAGATATACCCCAGTACTTCCAACAGGATGCCTGATATTGAGCTAAATGGGTATGCATCATGGCTTTGGTTTGACTTAACAGAGTCAAGGTGCACAAAAACTCAGCAGGTAAAATGGAGGGCGGTAGAATTGGCTGCATACCCATTTCCAAAGCAGTAATTATCATGCATAGCAATGAGAGTAAGTTGATATGGAGCGTAAGACTAAGCTGAATAAGTTTCGTTATTTTCTTACCAAGACTAAGTGCGAAACGAGGAACATGAAAAATAGAGCCTTTATACTCTTCGATTGTTGCTTCAACAGACTAGATGATAACGACTATGAATAGGATTTGTTAAGCTACGAAAGAGTATTTTATGTTTGATGGAGAAAGTGCCGTGCTACAAGTACCTTTTCCTTAAACAGAGTTGTTGCGTTGACGTTGGCGTCCATAAACAAATAAACTATCTTTGAGTCCAGATCTGCGTGGCATTGTAAACCATTAACAAGCTGTAAGATAACGTCAAATTGAGACAAAACAAACAGAGAAACATGGCTTGGTCATTCAACGATTATACCTCAACTGTGTCTTTTTTTAAACACTAGCATAGAAAGAGTTCTTTCAATTTCGAATCCATGTTTATTTTATTTTTTTTTTTGCTTCGTTGATGACTTTATTATACCTCGTTATAACTAGAAAACACGTCTTTTCCGACAATATTGTTTGCTAGCGAGGTTACCGAATGGGTGGCATGAGATTCAAAGTCTTGTTGCTCGGTGACTCCATAAATGGAGACAATTGTCAAACCGGTGTCTTTTATGGGTGCAAGACCCAACTTTTCCAACAAATCGTTGATGTCATCCATGCACAATCAGAAAGGATTTGATAGCAATTTTTATAACACAAAGAAAAACAATAGGAAAAATTTCAGGCAGCTGTTTGAATTTATGATGGAAAAAAAAAAAGAGATGAAATCATTTTTTATTTACTCTGCACTCTTCGATATCAACCCATCAAACGTTTTAGTTCCACTAGTCTTTCCTTCAATCCTTTTCTTTCATTTTCACTCTCTGAATACTTGGTTTTGATATCAATGATCATGTTTTCCATATAAGCCAATTGATCTTCTAATGCAGAATTTCTTTCAACTAAGGCTGCGTTCTTCGTATACAGGATTTCGATTTCTTCCTTCACTCTTGCTTCAACTTCTTTAGGTAGAGTTTCCAGTGTTTTTTTAAGCTCATTACATTGTTGTCTTAGAGCTTCATTCTCATCATGTATCCGCGCTATATTCATTTTGGCCGTAATAAGTTCTTTCGCGACTATAGTATGCTCTTTGTTTAGATTATTGTATTCGTGATCCATTTCTCGTATAGATTCGGTCAATGCTTTATTTTGTCGCTTCAACGATTCAATTGCTTCCGCTTCATTATTGACTTTAGCAGATTCAATTTGATAGGCTTTGGCTAACCTGTCGAGGCGCTTCCGAGTAATGTGAATCTGACAAGCGTCTTTGATGAACTGATTTACATCGCCCTGAAATACAAATGGTGATATGAACACGACACATTCTTTGTTAGTAGGTCGAAGAGTAAACTTGAAGCGACACTATTTTGAATAGTTATGCTTACCTTGTAAGCTTCGAATAGATCACCCTTCAGAAAATTCACCAATTCATCGAATTCAAAGCTTAAAATAGTTGCTTGATTTTTCTCTAGCAATGCAATGGCAAACTTAAACATTGCCTCAAAACCTTCTGCAAAGATGATGTCGTAGATTCTGGATACACAATTTAAGGGAAGTTTACATGCAAACATTGTACCAAACCATGATTGTGCATACATATTTGTTTGTATGTTATGATTCTTCAAGCGCCGTTGTACATGAGGTAAATAATCACCGATAAGGCCCTCCAATTGATAGAGTCGAGTATGCAAAAGTTCAGGCTGCGGAAGAAATTGGCCGCGTAAATTGTATTTGTTCATCAACTGCACCAGAACAGAAAAAGCTTCTTCTTCGGGCATCTGTATCAACAAATGGATTTGCAGCTTAAATTAATAATACTTTTTTTTTTCAAAAGTGTAGAAAATAAAAGCATTTACATTCGATAATAGAGGCCCTGCTATATAGAGTAGACCTTGGCTATATCCAATTTCTTTATCGTAGAGAGAGTACGCTTTGATTAAATTGAACAATGCTTCGTCTTGACCAGACTCGGTATTGACGCACGAGGATGTTGTATTCGACAGGGAAGAAAGTTTCGCTAGATCTCGCATAATCGCTTTTTCGTATACTGACTCTTCTTTCAACAGTTGAAGATATTGATCCTCTAATTTGCCTCCATTTTTTAGGTTGCAGCTGCCAGCAATGTTACTCTTTGCAAATAGAGGCCAAATCATACCGCGTAGAGACGGTGGAATTCCTTTATGAACATTGTAAGATAAATTCTTTGGATCTGATTTCGCAATACGCGTAAAGTTGGATATGAGTTTTGACCAAAATTCTATAGCATTGTTTACGCATGAAATAGAACAAGTAAAAGGGTTGCAGAACGAATAAAAAATAGGAAATAAAAGGAGAAAAAACACAGAATCAGTATTCAGGAGAAGAGTAATACTCTCACGGTTGAAAATCAATGGCTTACCCCAGTCAATTTCATCCTCATCTGCAATGCTATCTATGCTGCTCGTTGCTGCGTCTTTATCGTCCATTTTTGATGCTACCATTACTTTGTCCACTGTGTCCGTGGAGCTATTGTTATCATTAGATAAAGAGGTGGCATTGTCTCGTGAGCCCAACCTGGCTAAGAGGAGGTCATAATTAGACGCGCTAGAAACAAATGAATGAATGGAGGACATAGTTGAGCGATGACCTTCATGCCTTCTATTCGTACGGGGTACATCATCATTATCATAATCAGAACTACTGATATCACTATGATGGTCGTCTTCCAAATGGTTAATGTCCCTGCCATCGTCGTCATTCAACATACTCGACGAAGAAGAGGGTACAATGGACGCTGCTTCAGTTGCTGCCATCGTTTCCAAGTCGTGAAGTTCTTTTTGAATTGTATCAGATTGTTGCTGTTGTTGCTGGGATTCTTGTGTGACAGTAAGCGCACGATCACGACGACGTGATACTGGATCTTTTGTGGTTGATGAATATTCTTCAGTGGCTGCAATTGTATCAAAAGAGTCGTGATCAGTACTTTCTGCATCATCAGAATAGCGACTACTGGCACCGCTGTGGCTTGAGCGTAGAGTAATAACAGATTCATTTGTGATGACAGTATCTTTCTCTAGTAAGAAACCACTTTCATGCTGTTGTTGCTGTTCTTTGTTGTCTAAAATCACGGCTGGTGTTTCAATAGTCATTATAGTTTTCGTTGTTGTCTCTTATTGCAAGCAGTGAAAAAGGGGGATGTGTATATTTATAAAAAATAAATTGAAGAATTGAAAATGAAAAGATTTTGAAAGGAAAAGTGAAAGAAATGATGAAAGCAATATAACCAAAAAGGTATTAGAGGAATTTGTGTTGGCCCTGGATTTGGGAACACCCACTTATGTTACACAGATTGTAGATTAGTTTCGGTCTATCCAATTGGTTTTTGGATGTTGTTGATGGCGCATGTTGCATTGTTGCTACTTGAGCTATTCGATACGCAAAGGAGATATCTCAATGAAAGCTCAGGTTTCTGAGCAATGAAGACTAAACACAAGCTGTACAAGCTCTAATAAAGAGACATCATCCATTCTGTAAAGGTATTATTTGGTTGCATAGCTACGGGTTGTAGCTGCTTTATATGAGCTATCCTTCTTGCATAGAAGATCTTTGCCCAAGGAAGTTATTTGGATCAGCATTGTTAGTCATTGCACAGAAAGAAACAGCATAACAATTTTGTCTGAACATATATTTCTAAATTCCGCCTGTATATAAAGTCATTCAGTTCAAGGTGCTATGAAAATTCACACTTTTCTATAGTTCAGTCGAACGCAACGAATGAACCAATTGATGACGATTTTGAAAACAGTTTAACCCCAAACAACATTGAAACATTTACAATAGTCTATGGATTTGCTGTATCTTAAGTGTAAGTCGTCGTAATATGCTTTACAATTAATGCATTTATATTCAACAAAAATAGACTTTTGAAAGTGACATAGTTTTTCCCCAGATATAAATAATCCGCAATAATAAGTATATATTTGCATTGGCCGAAATGACCACGCTACAAGCAAACGATCGCTCAGGAGAATCTTCACAGATCGTACCGAATGTCAAAGTAAATTCGACTGACCGAAAATTCAAGTAAAGAATCTTATGAACTTATTATCAATACATGCGCTTTTATAGTTAAGTGAGGCCCGAACTGCTGTTTTACTGGACAAGCATGTTCTACCAAATAACAGAAGTGAATTGACTATGTGGGTTCTCGAACATATTTTCCAGCCTGTTACAACAATGCAGCAATATAATGTAAGGGTACACGTTTTTTCAGCAGAGAAAAACGATCGCTTTAATACGTTAATCTTCGTGTAAATGTGCAGGGATATCAATTATTACATCTATCAGCAAGTTCTAAACCTTGTTGGGAAAGAAAGAAGAAAGAGGCTACACAGCCATCGCAACCAAGTACTGCAACGAATGATACGCCAGCCGACCCTACTGATTCTGTCAATGCACCGTTCAGGATAACCACAATTTCTTCGCCTGATAAAGACAACAAATCAGTTGAAAAGATGTACTTGATTACACCTCGTACACGAATTCTAACGATTAAAAAAGAACACTGCATGGTTTTTATGATTGATCTCAGCTCAAGTCTAGCTACAATTGAAACAAGTACTGGAAAGGTTATGCTTGGAAATGCTTTCAGCGTGTAAGAGAAAATGATATATACCTCGTCAAGGAAAACGATAAACTCACACCATCTTCTAGATTGGAGAATGTTATACAAGGCTTGGTGCAGCCGTATACAATCAACCTGTCAGATAACGCCGCCCCTTTTACAGTAAATATTTAGTTTTATACAATCTTCTAAACTGACTGTGTTTGATGCTCATTCAAATGACATTTTACAGGTGGAGACAAACATTCGTATAACAGTAATTGCAGAATGCTCACAATTTGGATCAAACATCAATGTGATACCCATATTAGCAGAATATCCAACATTGAGGGTTCTGATGCAAAATATCTCCGTTTCTAACGATAATGTTGCTGATGTTTTGAAAAGTTTACGAGACTCTATCGACAACTTCAAGAGAGACTTGAGCAAATTTAGGAAGCAATTGAAAAGTAAACGAGCCAAAATGGGTTACGAGCTCGATGTTCGCGAAGATCATACTCAGTCAGTTACGGAGGGCGTTGAACCTGCTTTTACACGTAGTTCGTCGCGACAAGAGCTCGATAATAGCGCCATCTCGACCATCTTGAAAGAAGAGGAACAAGGCTCTGTTTTACGAAACTCACCATCGACATTTTCAATCAGTCCGCAACCAGCCCAATCACAATCACAATCACAATCACAATCACAAGTACAACAGCGACATAGACGAAGTCGATCTATAACCTCTAAACAGCCTTTTAAAAAGCTGGAAGCCACTTCAAGCTCGAGTAGTCCGAGGAAATCTTTAACGAATAGCCCTGCCAGTCAACATCGCCATCATAAATGTTCACCTTCGTTGAATAACAATAATAACAACACTTCTCATAATGCATCCTATTCAAACCATTCTAAACATCCTGCCATCAAAGACAAAAAAGATACCTGGGGTGTTGGTAAAACTGGCAGTACATTGTCGTATATTCTGCGCGCAGGACTACTTGCATTAAGTGTTCTATCCAAAAACGAGCAATCATCCATCTTCTTATTAACTGATGGTGTAGTCAAGTCGAATGTTCAAGACGAGACAGTGATTCGACAATTGACAGCTGAAAATATATGGTGCAATGTCATACAGCTGGGGCAAGAGAATGCATTCTTTCCTGGTTTGAATTTCGGTTTCGTACCAGATAACGAGATATTAGAATTTTTGGCCAGCTCAACATTAGGCCATTTCACATATGCTGAACATTGCCCCACCGTCAAACTAACGACAACAGCAAGTGACGAAAATACGGGAGGGGAAACCAGCACCAACAGTAACCGCCGACTCTCACCGAACGTATACCATCAAAGATATCTATTAAAAGAAGTCAATTTTGACTACATCAACCATTTCAGATTGCATAGAAAAAACAGGGAAAATGGAAGTTCCGGGCAAACACATTCAAGCGAAAAGGAACTCAATGTTATGAATAGTACAATGGCACTTGAGTCAACGACATTTGATTCTGTTCCGCATTACGGCCGACGAGCTTTTCCCTGGGATCCACTTGCAAAACCAGTCCTCGAAGAATTAGGAAGGCTTAAATTTAAAGAGTACTTTTTACCGACAGAATGCTGGCATTTCATGCGCGCACGTTTACGACAAGGATTTATCCTTCAATCTGTATCTTTTATTGATGAAACAAAAGCCTCTCATAGCAATAATAAACCAGCAGCAACCAACAGTAGTTTACATAGGACTCAGCAATTGTTAACAGCTGAAGGAATGCCTACCCCACAGAAAAAGCAATATGTGATTATGATTTTTATTTTACGCTGGCAGCCTAGTATAACAGTACAATATTCTATTAAAGCTTTATGGACATCGTCTTTACGATATCATCTTAAATCCTTATCAGCAAGTCTTGAAAATTCTTACAGCTTGCCTATGGAAACTCCACCACCTTTCAATAATGAAAAGTTTCTTGATTGTATCAAAAGCCCGAAAGTTGAGATTGTAATAAAGTCAACCTCAACTTTCGCACATATGCTGCATAATTGGGACTCATTCCAACGTCGTACTCAAATGATGGCTGTTCAGGGCGGAAATGCCACGGTAGACCTAGCTAGTGCTCCTGGATTCATAAAAGTTGGCAAAATGAAAAGATTTTTGGAAAGATTGGCTGAAACAGATAGTATGCTAAAGCAACTCGTACAATTTAGTATTACCGAGAAAGGCAACGCATCATTATTACAACAACAGCATCCAGAAAAGGACGATCTGAATGCTAGTGTAGGCATAGAACTGCAACAGTATTCATCCTACGTTCAGAAATTCAGCTCTCATTGGGCAAAATTGGAAAGATCTGATTTACGACCCTTCAATTCTTCTTGGTATGATGAAAGTGGATTCAATGCTGTACTTGCTGAATCAAGTACACCTGCTGTGGCTCTTACATCTGACAGTCCTGTGGACTACCATAATAATGAGCTATCACCATCACTATTGTCGGTCACAGATATCAATCGCGACGCTGTCAAGGCAGCATTCTCGCAGATTCAAAGTAATTTGAAAAAGTGGTCAACTTTTATGAGCGAAGATCAGCAAGTATTTATAAAAGTGGCAAATATTAAACAGCTCTCTGCGTTGCGTAAGGATGGCTCAAATAATAGCAATGAAGTTGTCAATGATAAACATACGTACAATGTACAATTAACGAATGGTTCTGCAAAAAGGTATACAGTGCCTCAATTTTGCGAAATACGTTTGATCAGAGAAACGGAACGGCTTCTCTACGTCAAGCTGATGTTTTTCAACACGAATACTTTACAACGGAATGAGATTGAAAGTGAAGTAAAGAATCTATTGCTCTCCAGTGGCACATCGAGTCACTCGCAAGAAATACATATGCAGAGCCAGGAAATTTCACCTGCCGCCAACGCAAGCCCTATTTACAAAAATAACTATTCCATGAATGCAGGGATCATGGTACACATAACGAAGCGGCCTCTATCAACGTTGCTCATGCGGGATGCATCTCACCATACCGCATTTACAATAGCTGATATGGATGCAGCTAAGAATTCTTCCCAAAGCTTGAGATCGTTATGGATTAGCAATCCTGCTATGTTTCTTACGGGAGAGTTTATTGTCAAGAACTACTTGCAGCATTGTACTTGGTATTGGGATGTGCAAGATATACAACAAGATCAATATGGATTTGCTCAGGCTTTTACACCTATTATGGATTTAGCATTAGATCATATTGTGGTTGCCCGACTGAGAGAGGTAAGGCAGTCATACTTGCTAAACGAGTTGTTATTTTCAGCTAATCATCCGAAATTCACAATAGCGGTGGACTCTACTCTCCATTACAAGGTCAACTGCGCATTTCTACATAGAAACTGATAGCGGTGAAAGTGAGATGCAGTCTACCTATTCTGCACAATATTTTATATGGAAAGACCCACAGAAGAAAAGGCTTACAACCGAACTTTGGATTGAGCCAATGTCGGATAAAAAAACATACAAAATGCACGAAAGTGTGAAGAAGGAGACATTTACAACTGATAAACGAATCATATCACAATTGATTACTTTTGACACCATTTACAGTTTTGGGCATAACTACTCTGCTTCGATAGACGACACACTTGCTGTTCGAATGGACGATGAGGACGAGAGCCGAATCTCAACAGTATGGATGCATAGATCGCTATTATTCGATTTATCCTCCATTTTCCGAATTGGTTCTTTCTCGTTTGCCCTCTATGCTCTCCCAAATTATGACCGACACTTTCATCCTGAAGCAACGGGGCCTATTATTGATGATCACCCACTTCATAATGATCAATATAAGATGCTGGCAGGCGAGGTGATTCGTCAACGGAATGAGCTTGTTTTTGGTACGACGGACCTACATCATCACTCACGCCAAACCTTATGCTCTGATCTTCATGATTTATCGACCTTATGTAAATCCCCAGCTATTTATCAAACAGATGCAAATTTGACATGCGTTTGTCTTCGACCTGACAGTCTATTCGCTTCAGAAAAGAACAATATTTCCAAATTGACGCCAACGTTGAGAGATATAGCTTTGTTACATTATTATGTCGAGCAATCATTGTCTAACATTACTGATCGAACAATGCCTTTGACGAAAGTCTCAATGGATGATTTCTGGCCATCTCTCATAAAGGAACTATTTCAAAACGCGTCTATCAATGGCAATGAGAGTACTACTAGTATAACACAGAATTTTCGTGATTATCATTGTTTTATCAGGACATTTGATCCCTCCATTTGCATGGTGGTACTTTTTCCTCAATTGAAAACATTGGTGAAGGGTCTTGGCAAACTAGATAATATCAATGTTGTCGATAAACCTCTTTTTAGCAAGATGGGTTTGATGATGTTCGAATGCCGAAGACAAAACTCTGTAAACAGAGTACCCGAACCTTTCAAGCTTGATCAGATCAAAGTTCTCCCTGTTAATTCTCTACTACTGAATGAGTCACTTGAAGGAATAAGTACAGACTTGCGGCCTACCGTGTCAACTGGACTATTTCATGACATTTCAAGCGAAGAAAAGATATCAGATCAATCCTCACATTTGCTCAAGGACATAACAAATATATACTCTCGATGCTACGTCAAGTCTATATTTTCCTGCTTACTTCACGGTCGAGCCGTGGATTCAGACGACTTCCAACGAGTTTTAGAAATCTGTAACGAAACGAATATAGCTATAGATTTGACAGGCTATTTAAATGTTCAAACAATGCTACGAAAACAATCCAGTTTAATTGAAGAAGATATAAACGAAGTATACCAACGTTTTACTGGTGTGCTTGGGCACTACTTTGAGCCTGTCATTATATCAGGCGGTAAATGGTCAAATATATATTGCTATCGACCGCCATTCGCTAAAATTGGGCAGAAGCTAGGTTTATCTCTTTCATTGGGCGAGAAACCTACAAACCTAGCAGATGTAGTCATGTGCGCGCAAAGTCCCTTATTTGTACGTCTTAATTGTACACTACGAAAGCCTGACTCTTCCGAAAAAGGATATACAGAAGTACAGTTTCCTTTACATCAACTACCTATGTCATTTGAAGGAACATTAGAAGACGGTACCAGCTTCAATCTAGAACCCGAATCTATTGGTACCGAACGTTCACCTGTTGAGTCAACTGATAATACTACAGCAACATTACACCTCGTTTGTATTACTCTACCTCCCTGTGACTATGATGTTGTGAACTCAGAGTTTGTTCATGAATCTGTCTGTCCTGTAGATTCATCAGTTCCGCCACAAGAGTAAGTATTAAAGAGAAGGAATACTTTTATGTAAACATTAATTGATTTATATTGCTTTGTCAGCTCCTTATTGCATACTAGCAAGGACGAGCGAACCAAGCTACAAGGACTAAGCAAAGATAAATTGGATGCACTTTTGGAAACTGTAGCACGACTGAATTGGCTCTTCACGGAAGAAATTATGCATGGTCTCCTTCGTATAGAGCCCGTAACAGAAAATATGATCCATTACGTTGAAGCCCAATTACAGAAGAAGAATCCTTTTGTGGACTTCCCAACAACAACCTTTATTCCTTTGGCCTTTGTTAAAAGCCAAAAAGAAAGTCGACAAATCTTTTTGGACGAGTTGGAACTGTATAATAATCAGGCTTATCAGTTGACACGTGTGGGAGATTGCTTTTATGCAAGCGATAGTAATCCTGAAATTATAAATGGCAGAAAAGACACTGATGCTGTTTTTACAGATGTAACCAAGAATATACCATTCTTTGATGGCGAAGGGTTGAATATAACTACAGATCCGGCCTTAGATGAAGAATGTATGATTGAGGATACCGCAGTAACGGAGAGTAAAGATGAAAAAAACGATGAATTTTGTCATGGATTAGGAATCTCTATAGAAGAAGCTGTAGAAGACACTCAGGCAGTTACAAACTCTCCGGATCAGCTAGCTGTCCGTCCACGCTACTATTGGTTACTGATTATTCCTCAAGCTCAAACGGTCCAAATATACTTCTATTCAAAAAAACAGCAATTTGTAAACAGAACGGAAATAATCAGAGTTACCAGGTCAATGATCAACGATGTATTAGAACGCACAAATAAGATATCATTATTGCGAAATCTGAACGAAACCCGAAAATGCAGGTAAACAATACACACAATGATCTTTAAGATTAAAGCAAGCTGCAGAAGATTGACTCACTTTCTTCTCTAAAAGTAAATATCTATTAGCCACCGCTGAGGAAGATAGTTCAATTTTTTCATCTTCTGAGGAATCAACAGACGAGGACGAATTTCTTAACGGGGGTGCCAGTAATAACCTGGTAGAAATTTTGTCAACATCTGGGGACGACAGTGCCTTCTCACCCCCGAAAAAGTTTTCTTCAGGTCAATTTGCCTGTAATGTTGTTTTTACAAAAAGGTTCCCTTTGCACTGGAGGCTAGCACCTAACACGGCATATAATAAGCTAATGTCGGATGTGTTACAGCCTTTTTTGGTCAAAAATGTCCCTGGGATGCTTGTTTGCTCCCATGATAGTTCTGTTTTATACTGTTTTTTGTCGGAAATTAGTCCACCGGCAAACAATACCAATCTTTCTGACAGTATGAACCTATCACTGTCTATGGCTAGTATAGGCGAAGATAAGTTCAATACAGCACAACCTGAATCTCCGTATGGAGCTTCCACTAATCTTAATTACAACAATGATGAGACGCTTTCCAACTCGCATACGAGAATCCGACATACTGCTCCTGCACATGGCAAGCCGTCTCCACAAGGAAGCATTAACAGTGAACGCCACAGTCCGCGACAAAGCCCGAGTGCTACAGCAGACAATACAGCAGCATCTATATCATCACCTATCAGTAACAGAAAATCTAGTCAGCGAAACCAAGAAGGGCGCGAACTTATTTTAGAAGTGCATGGGGTTAAGATGAACCATTACATCATTGATGGGCTGGTGGATATGATTGAATCGCGAATAACTTCTGATATCACTTTGAAAGAGGTTCAGCAGTTTTTGGTTCGTAATCCTAATTCAAAGTTGTCCCGTGCAGATGTTGATTTCATACTTCCTGTTGATAAGACACCGTTGATTCAGCGACAACTTGCACTGCCTATGAAATTTAAGAATACTGCACAGTTTTTGAAGATCTTCAAAAGAAATATACTAGCGATTTCGTCCTTACATACGTTACATTCTAACTATCTGAAAGATGCTATCAGACGTCATCACGATCGACGATATAACAAGCACAACATAAATGAGATTGACAGAGTTTTAGAAGAGTTTGGTGGAGAAGGAGGGATAACAGAAGACTGGTCATTTATGGATCTATGCTTTTACTATAACTTTATCAATCGGGCACCAGGAACTTCTTTACCTTTTGAACAAAAGATAGGAGAAGGCATAGCTGGTATTTGTGTTTCAGTTGTAGACAAGGATGGAATTGCCTACAGCCAAGTTTCATCAACCTTACAAAATAACTGGCGGGACTACGATATGGAATCATTGCACGATTGCTTAATGACAGACTTTACAAATACTGACGATAGTTATAATGGAAGAATAGCGATCGACATTTGGTCTCACTGTAAAATAGACGTAGGACAAATATATGCATATATCCTTAGATCGTTTAGACAAACGATATGTGATTACATTCTGGAAACTTCCATCATGAGTATAACCAACGATGAAACTAGTGATGACGATGAGTTCGCAAGCATAGCGAATATACTCATATATACATTAAAAACAGCAGCAGAATGGGAAAGCTCTACTGTCAAGCATATATTACAGCCCATACATTTAGCACCGTGGTATTTGGAAGGCATCACGCTGCAGCTTAAAACTGAACTTGTCGATATCCATGCTTCATTAGAGCCCCTTATAGCTAGGGCGAAACTTCCATCCGACTTAGAATTGTATTGCACTGATGACTTGCGAACGAACTTTTACGAGGTTTATTCTTTTGGTGAGAAAAGTACAAAATCAGTTGCAAATAGAAAGAATTTACAGTCGAAGTACTGCCATAGACGAGCCACACAAAACTACCCGAACACACGTACAGCTCTTCTCTCACAATACGTGAAAAACAAGAAAAAATTAATGAACGTGCCTACTTTCGATAGTGTAAATTACCAGTTTCTACTTTTAAGCGGTCTCCCCGAACTATTGAACAGATACAATTTGCTCTCTTCAGCAACCGTCCGAAACGCCAGCATTGATGCAAATATTAATCCCAATGATAAATTGAATATCTTTCAAGGAATACAACAGAACGAATCAAATACAATGCAAAACATCACTACGACTTCGGTTGAGACGGCCAAGAAAGACGACAGTGGTAGCCTGCATAGCAGACAAGAGTCTTTGGCATCTAGTATTTCTCGGGCTTTACCTTCTCATATTTCAAAACAGAAACCTGTAAGCTTGAGAGAACCGCTTCACCAACATAGTTTTGTTATTTTCCTGATTGATTCTCATCAGTTACGGACATTTACATATAATTGTTCGAGTCAGTTTATTGACTTTGTTCAACAAGCTATGTACAAAAATGTTATGCATCAAGAAAGTAGGCATATGGCCCTGAACAATATCTTGAATCAAAAATTGGGCCTGTTTTACCATTCAAAAAAATTATCGGATGTTATCACTCGATATCAAAACGAAGTGCGAGGCCCAATGCCTTCAACTATACCTAATTTTACACCTGCAACGCCTTTACTACACAACAGTTATAGTCAAGTTCAATTACTCAACACTAACAGTACGAAAATTCCTGTGTCTCCTGTCATTGCTAATACATTTGATCGGCTTGTCCAATTGGACTCTTCATCGTCAGTTCCGTCTTTTGATAGTCTTTCAAACGATAAAAGGAACAGAAACGACAATATATTTGGTTTTGATAATCTGCAGCAATTGATAACAGACAGTTTCCAATATAGACATGAAGCCCAAAGCAAGCAGCATAAATCTGTTTTGGATATTCGCGACAACGCCAAATTATGTCGAAGCAATGATTCTGATAAGGTTTTTGCAGCCGTTAAAGGAGCTGATGCGAACACGTTATTACACGATGTCTTTGCTGATTCAGTTGAAGAGAATACAAATTGGTATGATGCTGATTATCTGATACGACACGGTGAACCCTACCTTAAAATGTATTTGGCACGATCTAAACCATTGGCTGCGCATGAAAAAGCATTCAAAGTCTATATGAAATGGGCACACAAGTACTATGGTCCGTCAAGCCAGCCATCAGTTAATAATAACGAGATGATGACAGTTAGTGAATTAAGACAAATTCTCAAGGCTTCCCGTTTACTTCATTTTTGCCGTACACCACTCATTTTTTCTAGCCTCAATTCAGTTATGAGCCTGACAATAACAGAACCTGCATTCACAGCTCAGTACGAAACAGAAGCAGTAGCAGGTTTATATACAGGGAAAAAACCAACCATACCTAAAAGTGAAGAAATGACTCAATGGTATGAATCACTGGCAGATACCTTTTTGAGAGAATACGCTTATTATTTAGAAAGTATTGGTATGCACTTGATTGTCTATGGTCCTTCCAATCAAGATCAAGATGAGATAGATGCATACCTGTCCAATTTTACTATCACAGAAGAATACTCGGTAAAGTCGCCTGTTGTCTACTTACTGCAAGTTTTCGAAGGAGGATCAATCATGTGCGAGATAAGGCTTACTGGTGCTTTTGTTTCCGTCACTTTATATACACTTCATCGTCGGTATGGGAGACTACAGTATTCACCCTTCTCTTATCCTCAAAAACGAGAAGAGATTGGCAGAGAGAACTTCCAACTGTTTATGAGCGAGAGTGACAGATTCAAACATAGAATTCACGTCAACTCGTTCGTTTATGACTTTCACTTACGATATATGCAGCGCAGTTTAGATGATATTGATCGACTGCCGCCTAATTTAAATCTGCTAGGTATTCTAAAGAGTACTGTAGCCGTTTACAATCGTCCTGCTATTTATGCCCGAAACCGAATCATGACTGGTCACTATGCCTTTAGCGCGGATGAAGCACTTGGTGATATTGTATCATGGATAATGAAATCAGGGAGTGTTTTAGGCTTGAAAACTCTCAAATTCGATGGTGTCCCAGTGTCATGTTTCATTTCTTCTGACAATTTAAATTTTGAAGCTGATCATAACGATAATAATAAAGACAAGAAAGGTCAGAAGCAAGCGGAAACCTCAAACTTTCGATTTACATTAATTCTTTGTCCTAAGGATGGCAACAACAAGTCTAGCAGTCAATCGGGCGATATAGTTGATACTTATCAACAAGGAAGTTTTGATACGAAAGGTACTGTTATGTCTCATGAGTACATGGCCAATATAGAAAGTAGAAAGAATGAAGCTAGTACTGTTAGCACTAGCAATGCGAAATTTTTCTTAACGTACTTCATTCTGGTCACCTATCGTGGAATGGAACGAGACGATTCCTGTCGAAAAGCTTGGGCAAAGGTATTGAAAGAAAGACCAATTACTAGATCCAACCGTTCTTCTACCGATGAAATTCCAACACCTAATGCTACTGCAGTGAAAGAAGCAGCCAGATATAAAATTGAAGATATTATTGCTAATGTAAGTATTCTATTTCCAGTGTTACTCTATCGCAGGCTTGCTGAAATTTTGAATAATGATTTAGGCTATGTATTATTATCACCGTGAAGTGGATTGGAACAAACTATGTGAAGTAATGCGGCCTCAACAATTAAAAGAATCAGCACAGAGTATCATGCGCGTGGCTTCCAGGTTTGATCCCATTAATCTTGGTGAAGTGGATGTTTCTTTCAAGAAATTTTTAGACTTGAAAGGGGTGAATTGGGATGATACATTAGACAACCTCAAGCTCTTTTATATGATGACAAGTGGTGAGGTATCCGTAGGAAATACCAGACATGTTTTCCTCTTTAATAGCGAAGTATCAAACCCTACATTTTTCCATTTTACTTATACCCCAAATGGACCTTGCACAGTAACATTCAATTGCAAGGAAAGCAGATCAAAAACGACTGGCTTCACTGAAGACGAACAGCATACTATCGGTAATCTTGCTTCCTGTTTATCCTATTACATTTGGAGATGCTTAAAGTAGATAGAAAGTTTGTCTATATATTCGAGCCTCTGCTATTTAAGCTTACAATCCTTAGAATGAATTAATGCAAGTTATTGATAGTGGATTAAAAGTGTACACCTCTGTTTTTCTTTGTTTTGAATAAAAGGCTGAAATATCCTTGTAATATATTATAACATGCCTACGGCGCTAACATTATATTAACTTTCAATATCTTTATTTTTCAGACATAATATCTTCATAACTGCACGTCTATTGACATTATACGTTTATAGCGCTAAAGACAGTCAATAGACAAAACAAAGTTTGGTAAATGATCTCACTACGTATATTACATTTATACAGTAGAAGAAGAGTAGTTAACAGATTGATTTAGGCGATGCTTTATTTTAGGCGCAGTATATGCTTCTATACTTCTGTAAGAGTGAACATATAGGTTTATATCGAAGGATTATTGACAATGCCTGTAATATCACTAGGAGCTTTGCACTAAAAGAGGGAGTATAACCTTGTGCCGTAGTCGTTTAATCATAAGACTAGGCAACGAAAATGATCAGCCATTTGAAAAGGCAACAGGCCATAGCGTACTATATAAATGCAGCCCATATAACCAGGTTTTCGCCACATTAGTAACTTATCAATAAGAAACAAAGCTTATTCAGAAAAGCTTAAATTCAATAAGTTATTGTTTTGAAAGCACAACTAAACTATCCGACGGTTCCTGTGAAATGGGTGTCCATTAAATGTTCTGTCAAAGGTGGAAATCCAACTCATCTTTTCGGCTATCGAAGAAATATTTATGACTGCCGATAAGCATAGCTACGAAACAACTAAGCTTTGTGAGTATTTCCGTGGTTGGCCTAGTAAGGAGAGTCTTTGGTGAGTCTATAAAGCAAAGAAGGAATAAAAATTGTTCTAAATCATCATTAAGGAGATTTGCTAATCAAAGGTCAACAAACCAAATGTTCGTAAAATTACTTTTATGGTAAAAGAGAACAAAAAGGACAAGTCTTTAGCAACAACCTTAAAAATACTCAGGGATGAAGCACACACGCTTCTTTCTCCTTTATGCTCGAGGACTTATAGTTAAACTTCAGAAAGTGGTTTCGCCGGTGATTGACTATATATGGTCACAAAATGCTTTAAATGTGAGAAAAGTCCCTTTTCCATTTAGAATCACTTTCGTACACTCCTCAGTAGTTCGAGTTATACAAAGTATTTAACGCTTTCTCTTCATTAATAGTCATAACTTTGCCCCTTTCCCTCCCCCTATCGCCTCTTCTCCAAAGTATCTTTACAACAACATGACCAACCTAGTTCTCCAAGAATCAGTTGGCGTAAGTAGTCACCTAGTAGCACGTTTTGCTCAAACTGTAATGCACAGGCGCTTCTAATGCCGTTTGGACTTCACGCTTTTAATGTATAGCTCCTGACTGCATCGCGCCTACAACACGTCCTTCACCGAATGCACAGATATTTTTAGTGAGTTTAAGAAATAACACGGACCCTCGTTGCTGAAGGGGGGGGGGGTTAAATAGTTCATAATGCGGCTGGAGAGCATAGCATCACCGAAAGTATTTCAGTATAGACTAATAAGTGCGACTATTGAGTCATATGTTCATCACTGCTAAGACTTTCTTGCTGTGTTATCTTGATCTTAATTTTCTAAATAAAAAGATGGTTTTTAGATGCATGTACTTATGTTAACGCTAGTATACGGATCCTTCGAAAAAAAGAGTGACAGAAAAAATATGAATGTAATAGCTCAGAATATGATTATAGCACATTTCAAAAAAAATATTTATACTATGCTCCTTGTTACTCCAGTATATTAATGATATAGTATTACAACGTGTGTGATACCATTCGTCGACCATTGGCAACAAAAACCAGAAAATAAGGACTCTTTGCTTTAAGATTCCATCAGATTGACGAAGCATATGCCCAAAAATAGCAACCCTCATAGATTGTACTGCCCTTCGAAACAGGTCATGAGGCTGTTTTTTTATGACAATGTGGTAATGATATGAATGTGATCTTGGAATATCGATTTATAGTCAAAATTGTGAAATTAATCACTTCTCAATATTCAGAATGCAAGCAAATTGAATTTTCAACATTCATCTGTTATTATTCTCTTTCTCACTTTGAAGAAAAACTAGAAAAGACAAACAAAAAGCTTCTGTTTTCAAAGGTAATACAAAAGACCCCTTCCTCGCATCCTTAGGACTTTATTTTCTCTTGGGTATGGCCAAAGCGGTCGGTAAGCGAGCGCGCGTTAAAAGTAATAGCTATTGTTGCGGAATATTAAGCACATACAAAGGTTTGATTTCCTCAAAAAGAAATAAATAGGCTTCTCAGGGTGTATTGTTCTACCATAGAAGAGTGTAAAAAGCTACTAAATTGACGATAAAGAGAATAACATGCACAGCTAATGGTTTGAGAACAGAACAAGGCATAGAATGCACGGTCAAAAGGGCTGTGAAAAGGAAAGGAAGATGCCGAAAACTGTTGAATATTCCCATTAACTAAAAGGAGGCAACAGTTATTCCATACTACAACAGTTTTAATACGCTCGCACATCTCGATCATAATGTATTCTGCTTGAGACACATTGTTGAAATCAAGAACAAAAATAGCGGTTAAAAATTCTTTCCACATCACATAAACTTCTGAATGTCGTTCTGTTACTCATTGTGCTGAATATTGTATTGCGGATTTGGTAGAACAATGGTAACTCGCAAGGAACCAGAAAAAAAATTTTTTTTTGTCACGGAATATGTTATCCTGCCAAAGTAAACAAAAAGGAAGGCTATAGTTATAAAGGCTCCGGAGAGAACAGACAATGACAATTTAATCTCGCGTAGATAATACTGTGCCTTAATGAAGCATATTAAATCAAATATAATGAAATGTCTGTTCTTCTGTTGTATAAGCTTCATGCAAGTTTATTTGATAACATAGGGCATTATCGGGGAGTTACAGCGAGGAGCACGGTAAGAGAGCGAAAAGGGGAGCAGTAGGCCTTCAATAAGGACATGAGAATAGCTGCTCTTCCTGCTTACTCGATGAAGAAGAGCGAATTCCATGCATACATAAGCCTAGATTTCATTGTCTGTTCTCATTTCTTAGAATGCACGGCTTTCGGCATGCACCTTGTATAATAATTAAAAACGTGGACGGAAGATTCATTAAAGTTGGCCCGCACATACTCTTTTTTTTTTTCTATATTGAGAATTTCTGTCTTCTTTTTATGAAGCGCGAACGCCCTCTGTAAGCAACAAAGAAAAGGCATCTTTTGATTCAATAACTCGACAATTAACCTATTACCGGATACTATTTTACAAACAATTACATAGACCAGCACGGAAGGTTTTTATGTGTAAATCTTGTGATCAATGGAATTGTGTGATACTTGAGTGTCAATTAACTTCTGGAAAGAACATCTTACTGTCAAAATACATTTTTTTTTTTGCAACACATTATACAGACAAAGAGCGTGTTAGTATCATCGGAAGATGCTACAAATGGAAAAAGGAATGCACGTTACTCGCCAAGTGAGAAATATTTCATATGGTCAGGTCCGTGATGCACTACTATGTGGAGAGAAACGACCTTAATATGACGAAATCTGTAAATTGCACTTATAAAACTCGGTAGCCTCAAGCAAAGTAGGAGATCCTGGTTAACAGGGAGAAACCAAATGTCATAAACGTAGTAGTTACTTGACAATAAAAATAAACTAAGCTACAAACTTGATCGAAAAATAGGAGCACTTTCAAAATAGGTACTTGAAGCCACTTTCCATTACAATTTGCGGTGTTTGACCATATAAGGACATAAGATGGGCAAAAAAAAAAAAGGGCCTTTGGCTCCCAGGGAAATAAACAAAAAAGAAAAAAAGAAGCATGCATCTTGGGAGGTTACTTCAATAAAGGGGTTTAACGATAATTAAGGCGCTTTTTTTTATATTCTGTATGCGGAAAAAAAGGTTGCCTACTCACCAAAAGTGCTTTTGATTGGATGGGTGATCACTTTTTGGAATTGTTAATTCAAATAAATAGGGCCATGGATTTGAAGGTGAGGAAAAACATAAAATAGAAAAGCTATATACCTAATACCAAAAATACCTCTTCCATATCTTAATTTCAATACAAAATTAAATCTTTATAATGCCCAAGTCTATTAGAAATCAGCCAGAACACCAATATCAATCTGCTGCAATCCCACGACCTTTGAACTGCTTTTTGTTCTACAGATTGGATAAGCAAAAGGAGATCGTTGAAAAATGCCCTGGAGCCAATCATCGTGATATTTCGAAGATTATCGCAAAATGGTGGAAAGAAGCAACTGATGAAGAGAAGAAGCCTTACGTTGAGAAAGCTCGTCGTGCCAAACAAGAACATCGCAAGTTGTAAGTCTCCCTCATTCTGCTAAATACACTTATATTAAGTCTAACTTTCTTTTTTTTTTTGATATACAGATACCCCGACTATAAATACACTCCTAAAAAGAAGAACACACCAAAACGTATGTATAGACGTAGAAATACAGCAGAACAATTCACTTCTCGCGTACAAGAGAATAATGAGCTGTTGGAATTGATCTTTGAAGATTCTACTGTGCTCGACGAAATCAGTCCTGTTTCTTCTATAGTCACCAAGCAATCAAAGAAGTCATCAACCAAGAAGTCCGTCGATCTAGCTCCTACCTCCCCTATTGCCACTATTCAAACTACCTCTTTTACTACTGGCATGTTCGATGGCATCGATTATTTCAATTATTCATCAATTCCTTACAATACCATCTCTACAAATCAGCAACAACAACAACAAATTGTAAGTCCTTTCACTGACGTTTACAGTGAGTCATCTGCTTCACCTTCAAGTGCATCCAGTCCTTGTTGCTTTTCCATTGTCGATGATGCATCCACATTGAGTAATACAAGTAGATCCGTTTCACCTTTCAGTTTCAATGACCCTATCATGTCTACAATCCTTTCACCTACTTCATCAGAGTCCGTCCCTCCAAACTACCAAAATTCTCAACAACAACCAACAGACTACTTCCAATTTAATCATTCTATGATTGCTGCCACTACTACAACTCCCGTCAATGGCAATAATACTCAAGATTTCTGCTGGCCAGAATTCTCACTTATCAATACAGCTCAGCCTCAACAACCTTTCATGATGAATGATACAGATAACGTTTGTCCATTATTGACTCATCAACAACAACAACAACAATATTTTGACTATATTCAATTCATAGACCCTGCTCTTCTTTTAATGTAATTTCTCTTCTCCATATCATTAACTTTTTACATTATAATATTTTATGCATCCCTACAATGAAACAAGCCGGCTATTTCATATTCATGTTCTTACTACACCATTATGTTACCTTCTTTATTTTCTTTCTTTTAAGCTACGTTTGTTTTAAGCTATAATACCTATCATATCCATCTTACACCAATTTTGCATCTTTAGATAACAAACATAAAATTAAGCTATAATACAACCCCATTGCTAATAATAAATTTACTAATTCTTGCACAAAAAAAAAACCCAGTATTGTTTTTATTATATTTGAAAATGATGACCCCTTGTTACTCTCTATCAAAGAAAGTATTACAATAATACATACGACAAGAAAAACAATAAACAGATACACATATATTTTACTATATGTTATAAAATAAGCAACACTATGATACAAGGTAATTCGAAATTCTTTTTTAGACAGCATAAGCTTTCTTTCCATGATCCTATTGTGGTTGAGAAAACAAAAAGTTCGTAAGATTTATGAAACTCCACCCAGATACAGTCCATTACAACTTACACTAATGACACAAATATGATCTAAATCACGGAAATATTCATTATAATCTAACGCATAGCCAACAACAAATTCGTCTGGAATAGAGAATCCAACATAATCAGGAATATAACCATTGCTTTTTGGTGTCTTTTTGATCAACAAACTGGTCACTTTGATAGATTTGGGTGAAAACTCTTCCAATTTCTTTAGCAATCGAACCATAGTAGCTCCAGTATCAATAATATCTTCCACAATCAAGAGATTCTATTGGAGATACATGGTCAGTAGATGGTCGCTTTTATTCGGAATAGAATCTCATTCGTAATCGTTACCTTTCCTTGAAACTCTTTACACTCATCATCAGAAATAGATAAAGTAACACCTTCTGACTTATCATTCTTATAAGACTTGACACGAATAAACTCCAAACTTAAAGGAACTGTCTTTCCCTCTTTATTTGTCAACTTTTTAACAGCATTGACCAAATCAGCAAAGTACTGGTGTCCTCCTTTTAAAATACAACAAACAACTAAAGGTCCTGTGGCCTCGTCGACAATAAGACGTGCTAATTTATTGACACGATCCATAATGACACCGTGAGGAATGAGAATAGAGGAGACATCTTTTTCGTAATGAGTAGGAATAAGGAAGTGATCTAAAGAATAATGATTCTTATCGGTTGTGACATCGATCCATTTAGAGGCGTCCATGGGCATTGTGGCAATTCGGTATATTGTCTAGAGTATCTGTTCCGAATGAAAGGGTAAAGGTTTTAAAAGAATCATAAAAAAATTAGTTTTTTTTTTTTTCTGTCAAAGTGACTGTTTATGTAAGCAATAGCTGGATGGCGAGCAATTTCTCGAGAGTCATCAATAAAATAGCCGAAAAATGAAAATTAGCCTGTCAATACAGTGAATAATTTCAAAAACGACAATGACACTAATGGCAATTTTTGGTGATAAAGGTTTGATCCTTCATTCAATATTTTAAAACAAGTCGGAAATGATTGCCACAGTAAGAGACGGTAGTGATCGCAACAAATATTCGTACTGAAGAAACATGATAAATATTAACGCGATGCCTTTGATGTCTTTATGCATGCCGTTGTTGCATACTTATTGAGAACATATAAATACACACTTAAGAAATGCTGCTCATAGAAATTAAAACCAACACATTGAGGAACAACAGTAACATATACAGTCATTAATTTCAGTAAGTACTACCTCTACGTTTATAATATAGTTGATTGAAGATCAATTTGGTAATACAAGAAGTCTACCCCTTTATTCATTCGTACAGTATTCTTTTCATGCAACGATATCACCTTTAGCAACTGCTCTCTGCTTTTTTCTTAGCTTACTTTTGAGTGAAAATTTTGTTTCTCTACAAAGAATAGCGGGTGGCACACAGGAGAAAAACAGCTCTGCCAGAGTTTTCAAATTTGCTGCAAATTGGAAATCTGTCTAATTTACCAGCAACCGTAGCATTGATAACAGTCTTATGTTATCATAATTGAGCATTATAAATCCCATGTTTTAAGAAGATGCCATTTAATCAGTCACATCTTTCATACAAGTTGCTATCACTAATGGAAATCGTTCAATAAGCACTTAAGCGATAACGGTACATGTTTGTGACTAAACTACTTGGTGAATTAAGTAATTCCTCAAAGATCAATATCAGAAAACGGAATAAAGATTTACCTCTATTTTTCCGGTTTCGAAAAAGATAATCGGGCAAAGCCATGCGTTGGGAAACCATATTACCAACAATACGTATAATAGAGTGCCTTGGTATGTACATATACATGACACACCATGTAAAAAGTACTCTTTTGAAATTGAATACAATGAACCCTTTAAATAAAGCATTCAGACAGTCATTTCCCTTCTATATGGGCCCTCAAAGAGGAACAGCTGGAGATAGAGATCATTCATGTATCTTTATTTTGTTCATTTTCTTCTAATATAATCATACACCCCATCGCTCCGTATGAATGAATGAATAATATCTGGATGCTTATATTGTGATTCAACTGTTGAAAGGTATCATTATTGATGACTTGTTTGTCGTTCATTAAGAATAGCTGTTGGATGTCAATTGATTTATCTGTATACGGCATATGATGTAAACTCTTGCAATTAGTTTTCCTTCTTGTACAGATATTTTATTGTGCAATATTATGGTTGCATTCCACCGAAAGTGTAGGCATGATTTACTATATCCACTGCTTTTTAAGAAAAAAACAAGACCAAAAAACCAGAAGAGACGGCATTAACGTTAGAACTGGTGTGCTTTTGCCAATTATGATTGAGTGGTAACTTTTATACATCTTTTCTTCGACTAGAGTGAATATAGCAGCAGTATTAAAACAGGCATACTGTGGATTCCCTTTTTTTCCCATCATGTATTTTATGGCACCTTAGAATACTTGCATCTTGTTATTTGTTTAGCGTTTATAGAAGCACCTGCAAATGTAAGTTCGAATTGATTTGGAAGCCCGACATTGACATGAAGATAGACAGTAGCTCCTACAGAGCAACATGGCAGGTGCAAGAGGATTCCTCTACTATTGCACTGGGTATTTCACTATTATTCGTTTTCTCAACAAAAGTATACAGTACAAAAAAAATAAAAAAAAATAAAATAAAATTAGTTTGGTTGCAATTATAACGAGGCAAAACTACTAACCGTAATTAGTTCTACCAATCTACAAAGCAACAGCAAACGCAATACTCATCTTCTTTTTTTTTTTCTTTTGAGAAGGAAATTTTTTTAGGTTGTTTATATCATTTGCTACTTGTAACGCTTGTTTAGCTACGATGTATTCGCAGGTTGATATTGGGATGTGTATTGTTGTTAGTTTGTAGTATATTGAAGATATTTTTTATATTTGTATTAAAATTTGTAAATTGTTCTTCACTAATGCGACTATTCCCTTGAAGTTCGAATGGAGGCTGTTAGATTAGTGAAACCGACAACTTGACCACCTTGAGACAGTGAAGCCTCCTTAACAATGACTGGTAAGCCCGTGGATTGTATTTCAGAAGTCATATCTAAATAGAAGAACCGTTAGTATACAATGGTTAAATATAACTTGTCGAATTCTTCAAGTGAACTCACTCTCGAAGATAAGCAGATTTCTATAAAGTCCTTTCGAAAGATATATGTGTTTGCAAGCGGTTCCGTTAAACTGGAAGTCTGCGCAATCACACGCCTTCATCTGCTCTTATGCTACAATAATTTCATAACTGATAATGTGATTCCTAAACGAGCATACACGACAACCAGTACTTTGATTATTTTGACCAAGATCAGTTACTTCAGTAACCAACGTTGAAATGATGGCTTCAATTGTGGCTTCTGCATTTGTTTCGCGGGAACGTCTTCTTTCTTCTGGGCTCATTCCACCGATGTTGAGATACATTCTGTTGATATTTTGGATGTAATCCGATAATATATCATTCACAATAGTGTGTAACATACGATTAACGAAATTAATTGTGCCAACTTTCCACATAGTTGTTGGTCTCGAATAATTGTGATTGGAAAGCTGCAGACCATCGCACAAAGCATCGTTTTCAAGGTATTTTCTTTTAAAATATTCCAAGAATTCAGTATATATCTGAAATTCTTGGATGAATTCTCTAATGTTTGTGATAAACACTGATATGTTTCGTTCTCCCCCATTAATCTCTTCAAGTTCATCATAAGTGATTTATGTGCTTGTAAATTTAAAACTGAACTTTCAAGCTTGCCCAGTTCACGGATTTTAGATATCCATATTCTTGTTACATGAAACAGGCATCATTGCATTATCACGTTGGGATAAACGGCTGTTATGGCATCAAATTCAGCCGTGCCCGTGCCTATAGGGATCCTCTTCAACCCATTGAACCGAAGACTGAACCGCCAGAATTACAGAAAATTTCGGATGGGCAACATTGAATGATCTTTGGTGAAAAAGAATGCTACTGGGCAGTCTTTTCCTGTTATAGGATGACGACTGACGATATATAAGATACCTCTGTCAACATTTGTAGTGCAATGTGTTGCGTCTAAGCATATACTTTCTGAACCAAGAAGTAGGCCTTTTTGCCAAGGTGAAACCAATCTCAAAGAGAAGGTGGTTTCGAAATCATTGGTAGTGAACGTCTAATATCCTTGCCCTTGAAGATCTGTTAAACATTGTTTAATTGAATCAACACGTTTATAAAAAACTTTTTTTTGAAAGAAAAACGTCGTAGATCGTAGAATGGATCATTTGATCTCCTATCGCCGATATTAGATGCATTATGCTCGAAGTGTAACGCCAACAATAAGTCAACTTATTCATATGGGGCTAGAGGCGGTGCTCTTTAAATTGGCAACAAGACTTGTGGTATTTCCATACCTTCTAAAATATATAAAGACGAATTAGCCACAACTTCAAATACTAGACACGTATTATGATCATAGAATCATATTAACACTTAGTACACGTCACCTTGTACTCTAGAGACATACGTATACATAATGCTGCATTCCTATTCGATGATAATTTCAGGAACGAGTATTTAACTCCTTCTCTCTTCCTTCTTTCTTTTGTTGTCAAATACAAACATTCAGTTTGTCATGAACACTCCCCTCTCTGATTTTCAGTGTATAATAAAAAGACTAAAGGAGACTCATTTCACCTTATAGTTATTTCTAAGTCGCGTTCACTAAAAAAATATAACAACCACAAATATCACAAGACTTACCTATAAACTACTTCGTGCGGTTAATTTTTTCCTCTTTCCTCATTTACCAATATTATTATCATGGCTGATTTAACAAAAGGTAAGCATAATTTGGTTGTTTTTTTTTTAATTCAAGTGTTTGAACAATAATTTTTTGCAGCTCTTAAGAAATTACTGTGGAAAATCCAAATTCAAATCCACTCTACACTGGTTTGCAAACAGCGACGATCATCATAAAGAGCTCATCACTACGTGGTTTGAAATATACACCACTTATGATGATGCTATGTCAAATGTGTTGAGAAAATTCAAAACAGAATACTATGTCTCTACGAAAACAAATTACACGTCTAAAACAGTACCAGATCTCAGCTCTCTATTTGCTCAAGCCCAACTGCAAAAGTCGATTACGAAGAACGAGACAGAATTTGGACAATAAACAATACAGCCAAAAAAACCATACTGAGATTGAAATTGCCGTCCCAGGTATAGTATCAGCAGAGCATTTACAAAAACCTGTACTGATCAAAACCAGCTCCCTCAGACAGATCATTACAATCCACCAGAAGTTACGTCTTGCGAACGCTCTGTATGTAAACTAGTCTGCCAGTTACATGAAGGTTCCAGCGAGACCAAGTAAACACACGCACAACGATGGTGTGATTACACTTCTAATAATGTAGCCTGCACCTGCCGAATCTGTCACTGCTTCCCTCTCTCCTTCTTCATCAGCTAGTCGCGATTATAATGAGTCACCTTCTTCATTATCTACAACCAAAGCAAAATTGGAAAAATGCATAGAGGTGTGTAAAAGCAAAGCAGGCAAGCATGGATTTAACTTGCTGCAAACTGAAATTCATCAAGTACTAGCAAGTAAGAATATTATCCTCTTGAAGAAATCTCAATACACTTCTTATTGTTGTTAAATGAACAACAAAATTATCCTTAAGTGGAGATTGAGGTTGAAAGCACAGTGCATATGATAAAATGGTTGGCAGAAGAAAAGTTTATCAAATAGATTTTCCACAGTCGCTGAGTTGTGCAAATGCTCTAAGATGCTCACGGTTAACTGACTGAGTCTTACTTTGGTTAAATGATAATAGGATTAAGCCTGGGAGAATAAGGCAGGAGATAAACGCTTTCATAACCTTTTTCTGTTGGCCGGTGAATATCTACCATTATATAGTATCCTCTCTTCTCACAAACGCAATCCATTTCATCCATGGCTTTTTCAAGTAAAATCTATGTAATAGCCAGTGACAGCGACTCAAGGAGCATTCTTTTTTGACTTAAATGGTACTTTTCTTTTACGGTTTATGTTAATTAACCTTTACTTTTTTGACGAGTACTTTTGAGGATTTCTGAGTTCCATTGACACAACAAATTTGGCTGAAATTGCACCAAAGAACTGTATGTGAAAATGCTTTATTGCTGGGAGTGGTCATAATAGCTGGAGTGCCCTGAGCAGACCAATGCTTAGTCATGTGGATGTTAAAACCTGTTGTATCTTAAAAAGACGCAGTTTTCGAGATATTTATGCCCGTCCTACTCCATTTATCATTCTATGCTATACGGTCTGGGTTTTTTTATTGACTGTTTTTTGCTTTTGGATGACGGATGAGTGAGTATCTTGCGAAAGGATACATTCTTCTTTTCTTTTAAGATTTCTAACATTCGTACCGTTCAATGTAAAAATCTTCAAACCATTTATTGAGTGAAACAACTGCATTCATAATCCTAGCATAAGGGCTATCCTCACTAAGAATTGATTAGATGAATCTCATGTCTTTCATCAAGTTATGCCATTGGTCGATGGACTCGGTTAGTTTACTATTCCGAAACATCCCAATCTCTACCATTTTTGAATCTCTTGTCAGGTCTTCTTTTCTTCAAGATTAGATTTGCCAAGCTTAAATGTAATAATGTAGGAATTCTGTTTCTTTTATTTGTGATTCAATGACATATATTTTGTTCTTAAATTGGTTTTGGTGACTTAAAATTACTTGTGCGAGTTGAGGTGGCCACATTTCTTGCATGTTCTGAGCTGATCATCATTATGAAACTTTTCGATAATTGGTTTTAATTGCGTTCCAAGGTCCACACAATGGAATGATTCTTCATAAACTATTTCATGGCAATCATCTTTCTCGCAGTACCATCTTAACTTATCTACACATACATTGAAACCAGTAAAAAGATTAGTCATTTTGAAAGGAAGTGAGTTACACAAGTTTGTTTTTTCTTGTCTGATTCATGTTATATACCTATGTGGTGAGGCAAACGGACCCGTTCAACGACCAATCCTATAGTGTCTTTGTAACGAATAGGATTATGGGGTACCTTGGCTAAATTGTATGTGTACGCGTAGGGAAGAGTAAATCCTTAAAGAATCCCCTTTTTGCTAATTTCTCTCTACTTACGAGGCAGAAGAAACATGCTTCCTTCTTTTACAACTATGTCTTTAAATTCGCCATCTTCGACCACTTTGATTAAAAGGTCACCTTTCAGTTGATAAAACCATTCCTGTTTAAATTTACACAAGTTCGTTATCTTTGTGTTTGAATCCCATGAAGTTTGTTTTATGTGTATGCCTGTATATGTATGTATATGTGCGGGCGGGTTGAAGGGCATCAATACCTCTGTTTCATTTATGTGATAATCTGTTCTCTTATTCGGGCCGCCTACAACCATGATAATTGTATCGTTTCCTTTGTATAAAAGGTAATTGTTCACAGGTGGTTGTAGCTTTTCTGAATGCTCTTCGAGCCATTTGTTAAAGTTGAGTGGAGGCAAAAGCATAACGATGGATGATAAATAAGGTCCAAAAAGAAGAAGCAGGGAAGAAGAAAGAGTATATTCCATATAATGATGTATTTCCTTACCTATCACACATCTGTGACTTTGCCGAAAACCGTTAAATGGAAGAATTAATAATGATCGCTCAAATCAAACAGGAACTGACCTAGATGTCCAACTCAGATCAGACTGCTGTAAATGTAGCTTAGTATTGATTCTGCTTTAGAAACTACGCATTTGATTGGAGTGATTACTAAACAGGGAGTCAGCGTAAAAAACAACGTATCTGAAGCCTAAGCTTAGAAATTCAATTGATGTCTTGAATAGTATTTCCCATTTTCTTGCATAAAACTGCCCTCAACAACTTGCAAAAAGGTCTATATTGTGAAGTCTCTTACCCGTTTGACTTTCTCTTAAATAGCATACTTCTATCTATTGACGAAAAGAATGATAAAGAGTTTGAGCGTGCGTCTACACTTTGGTTCACGATGCCGTGCACAATAAGCACTATTCTTCTAAAAGATTGATGAAGGGGGGTAAGAAAACTCTCGACTTGACAGACCTGTCAATTAAAATAAACAAGCACGTTACTGATAGTTACACACAAACAGAAGGCGTGTTACACCAACTCAAGAAAAATTTTCTCTATTCAATCTAATCAAACACAGGCCCTTCCCCAGTTGGAACGCTTTTTCTTTTTCTCTTTAACCTTTCTTTTCAATACTTGACATTAATTCATACAAAATGGAACGTACATATATTATGGTTAAGCCTGATGGCGTTGAACGTGGCCTTGTCGGTGAAATTATCAAGCGTTTTGAGCAACGTGGTTATCAACTTACTGCTCTCGAACTCATGCATCCCACACGTGAAATTCTTGAAGAACATGTAAGTAATGGGATATACGATCTATAAATATGTGTAGTAAGGACTTGAAGTATATCAATGAAGGCTACGCTTTTGATCGAACAAATGTTAAATCTACTGTGCCTAACACGTTTGTAAAATTGTATAGTATGGCGACTTGAAGTCCAAGCCTTTCTTCCCTTCATTACTCGATTATATGACCTCTGGTCCCGTTGTCGGTATGGTCTGGACTGGTAAGGATATTGTCAAGATTGGTCGTAAGATGCTTGGTGAAACCAACCCTTTGGCTTCTGCTCCCGGTACTATCCGTGGTGATTTTTGTATCGAGGTTGGTCGTAACATCTGTCACGGCTCTGATTCTGTCGAAAACGCTGAAAAGGAAATCGCTTTATGGTTCCCTCGCGGTGTCAAAACTGTAGCTCGTGATCATACCATCCACTCTTTGATCTACGAAAACTAAGTAAAACATGGAGAACGAAGATACAAAAGTATTAAGTTGATAGCGTAGTAATTCCAACCAAAAAAGAAAAAAATAATATTAGCCCCGTCTGTATAGTACAAGAAAGGCACACACTCATTAAGTAGATTAAAGAGGAAGATCATCTTTATCTTTTGTTTCCTCAACGGACAAAATTCTTGATTATCAATTGCCCTAGTGAGCAATGTGAGGGTTGCAACGCTTTTCCTTTTTGTAGCTACATCTTTTCTGAGGAATAGTGCTTCTGTTCAAAAGTCTCTTTTCAAAGGATAGAATGAATGCGTTTTAACTAATATATGTTCGTAAGTGGTGTATTGCACGCTATCCCCTTAATAGCCAAAGCAAAACACTGTATGATTAATGAACGAACATCAATTACTTGTATTGAGACTTTAGCAAGATATTATTCTACATTATGATCAGCACAACGTATCTGCTGACATATCTTATCCACAATACGATGATTTACAAAAGATTTATTGTCAAGTGAATTGTTTATGTTCTTATGTATTGCTCCTAAAAATTCAAATTTGCTATTGCCGTTATCTAGTTCAACAATCACTGTGATGTGTATTGACCTTTGACGTACAAGAGAAAGAGGAGTTTCCCATCAACCATTAAAACACGATAAAAAATTGCTTGGCTTCATAATAGTCAGCTTCAATTGCAATATAACTTGGGTAATGTGAAGTGGTCCTTAATGGAAGTCGTACTTGTTCGTATTGTGTATTTAACTACTAGTGGTTTCTGCTTTATCAACGCTTATCTCAGCAATGACAAAATTTGGTGAAGCACCTTCCTTGGATTTGTATAGTCGTTCTAATAAGAGGTTTTAGTTATAGCTAATCAAGCCTCGAATGTCAAAGGATGCAGTCCTCACATGTTATTGTGTCTTGTCAAATGCGCTGATGGTTGCTTTACCGGTCGCTTTATTGTTTTCAAACTTAGCGGTTTCACTTCCGGTGACCTTAATTTTGCTTGTTTTCTCGCACATATCATATTTATTTACTATTCAGTTCAACTTTACTTATACATATACGATTTAAATAACATTATAAAGTAACTCCTTAAGCCAAGACTTGCCTTTATTACTTCGGTTGTTTGATTAAGATACTGTTATTCTTCAGTGTAACACGTGTACTGTCTATACTATAATTTCCACCCATCCACATGTGCATTATCTGTTTGTCAATTGTCAGCAACTTTATAAAGTAATTGTTATTACATTTTAAATGGCATGTAAAGGGGTAAAAAAAAAGTAGGGCGTATGTTTTTCAATGGGTCCTTAATGTTGAAACAAATTCACAAGCGCTGCCTATCTGTATTAGATTATCACGTATTGTATGATGTTATGCATTCAAAGCACAAAACAAATTAACGAATGGGGACTAAATGGTATTCGTAGCCTAACTACTCTATATTGATGTTATGAGAAAAAGTGTGTACATTATATGGCATTTGTCGTTGTTTCTGCTTGTAATTCAGGGAATAGTGCATAAACGATTTCATCTAGTAAATTATAAACAAGATCTTGGTTGAGCCTTTTATTCTGAAGTACTGAGAATAACCGTCTTGCGCCTTTCCTAGCATTCTGTCTGCCCACGGTACTCCCCAGTAAGTCTATATTACAGTATTAGCAGAAGAGGGTCAGTATTCGAAGGATTTAAAAAAGAAAATGTGTATAGTTAAGGCGTTATAGACCTGGTAACCAAGTGGATAACTTTCGATTTGCTTCGTCCCTTGTCTGTACTTTTGTCTCTAATGTTCTTGGTTCTTTACTTGCCATACGTTCCCCATTTGGCCACAAGCCATCCATAACCTTGTTTAAATATAATAAGATCATAGATGGAGATCGAAGGTGCGTCATCGCTTCCTTCAGTTTTCTAAGTTGAAGTAAAGAGATAGGTTAAAGGTTAACTGTTAAGCATGGATCCTAATAAGTGAAGCAGGTTCGGAATGCATCTGGTTCAGATAATATCACCTTTCAATTGTTCCCTCCAAAATTTGTTGAATGATGATTACAATTGCTTGTCTTCGTAACCAATTTGTCTTATCCTTCAATTCAAACATCTCTATAAATAGATCGCAAAGTGATTCTGTAAAGTGCGCGGTTCCTTCCGCCTTTGTTCCTGTCGTTGTTGTAGGCTCCACCATAACAGAAGGCTCTGTAATTGTTGCTGGTATCGTTTTTTTATTACTGCGAACTGAACTTGTGCTAGAGCTAGTCGAACTGGATATTGAAGGCTGCTGTTCTCTGTTATCGATGGATAGAGAAGAGAATTCCATAACAACTTGTTCACTTAAACGTTGTGTAATTAGATCTAACATTGAAGGTGCGATGAGGATATCATCAATCCCTGCCGCTACTGTTTTGTAAATTTGGCGCATGAAGCCTTTTGAATGATATTGCTGTTGCTGCTGTTGCTGTGATTGCATGTTATTGTTATCAGCAATAATAGATTTTTGTAAATGTTGGATTGATGGTGATGAATTGGTAGAAAGCTGTTGGCCAGTTTTACTACAATATAGTGACTGTAGGGAAGATGTTGAGGAAGATGTCCTATTTTTCGTCGATGGTGATCGTTGCTGAAGCTTTTTTTTTCCTACGTTGCTGTTTTCAAAGGTAACAGTGGACGGACCAGGCACATAGATATTTTGTTGTGACAGGAAAGCGCGGAACTCTTGACTGTTACAGATTTCTGGATCTGCCATCAATGTCCTTAAATATCGCTCTAGACTCACACGTCTGGCTTCTACAAAAGATTTTTGCAACTTCATAAATAAGGGCCATTGTTTTGACGGAAATTCGAACGACTTGACAACTGGATGCTTCTCTTTAAGTTTTTGATGTAGAGCAAAGAATTCACTATAGCGTCGAGCAACGATCCAACCTCCCGAGGCATAACGTTGTTCCTCTGCATTCATGGATGTCGTTGAAGAAGAAAGCTGCTGCACTTCAATAATATATAATGCAAAATCGCCATTCTTGTCTGAGCCTATAGTAGCACTGGTAATATGCACTTGAGTACGTTGGGGTAAAAGAACATTTTCGGACTCTTGCAGTTGATATTGGGATTTTTGATATTGCATTTGTTGTATTTCTTGTCGGAACATACTTTTTGATTTTTTGAGAATACGTAGTTCTTCTACTTTATTTTGTTGCTCTTCTGCTTTGGCGACCAAAGCATCGACAATCGCTTCCTGTGCAATTAATTTTTCAATTTCTTCATTTAGTTGTCCAATTTTGGTAGCAAGCAAAAGGTCGCCGGGTGGTGCCAAATGAATATTGCTATTGTCTGTGTCACTAATGGTACTCGCATCTACTTCAGGTGATGGGTGCTTGTCGTTCTCAGTTGGACTATCAGTAGTTCGATTAATAGTGTCAGTTTCCAGTTTCATTGTTGAGATAAATGGTCCATTGCTTTTGGAAGATGCTATTTCTTCTAGAGAATAATGCTTAAATTCATTTTCAGTGCCTATACCACCATTTGATGTCCAAGTGGGTAAAAAAGATATATTTTGCACTGGTAGAGCAGTAGCTGCTTTTATATTAGCCTTAGATCCACACAAACTGAATGCTGAAGAAGAAGAAGTGGGTTTCTTGGCTCGCATAATAGAATCTTCTACGCTTTGTTGTTCAAGAAGATTACCTTTTTTCGTAAAAGATTTACTTGAAGTTTCAACATCGTCCTCATTCAATGCTATGTTTGCAATACTATTGCTGTCGAGAATGGACCGTAATTCGGCCTCTACAGCATCTACCGTATTGCTGCGTACAAGTGAAGTTCGTTTTGATAATGTTCTTGGTAAGTGAGGAGCTTGTTGCTGCAGCTCTTCTTCCTCCCTATTTTCTGATGATTTCTCAAAGAATAATATGGATTGATTGTCAGCATGTTTCTGTCCGTTAGTTGGGGGGCTTAACAAGGGTGCTGTAAGGGAGGTTGAGGACTTAGCCCGAGGTCGCCGATAATTAAATGGCGAAGGGAACATGCTAGAAAAATAGTTAAATTTTAAAGAAGAATTTTTTATATTGGTGGATATCGATGGTGTTGATGCTATGAGTAGATCACGCTGCTTCTGGTTACTTCTCCCTGTTAGTTGATTGCTATCTGATTGTGACAACAGTGGTTGTGGCGTTCCGTTCTTCAAAAAATATTCTTGAGCAGTAGTAGTTATACTTGATTGGGGCAATAAAGACGAAGGTGACTGAGTTGATGTTATTGATGGTTCGTGCAATGATGAGGGGCGTTTCGAAGCTGCGACATCAATCTGACTACTGTAGAGTTCGCTCTCATCTAAACTTCGCCTAGAATTGGGGGGTGATGTCGATGATACTGTATCATTGCTTATGTTTACATTGTCTATTGCGTTCGCAGATATCATATTGGGCGCTGAAGAAAGAAATTTAAAATAAAGATCTGATCTCTTGAAGTAAGGATAATGCTCCTTCTCAATTTCTCTAAATATATACTGCTGAATTCGCAACAACCGTAATCGAAGTTCATGGATATGACTGGTAAATCCTTGTGCAGCATCATCTTCATTAGCATAGCTTTTCTCTGCTGTTTGTATTATACCTTTTAAATCTGTAATTAGTTGGTCAGCAATATGTATTCGATGAGGAGACAATTCTGTAAAATATGTTTCGAAAACCATTTTCACATCGTCCAAAAATTGTCTTTGTTGGTTTCTACTAGCGGAAAGATCTGTATTGCTAAACCCTTCAACAATAAGCCAGAATTGTAGTTTGATAATTTCCCCGCGACGATCCATAAATTCCATAAAATACGATAGACTAGCTGTGTTTGTCAGTATATCCTTTAACGAGAACCTAATACTGGTAGGAGAAGTATAAGAGGCGACACTCCGTTTCTGAGATCCCATACTAAACAGTTTTGATGTCGAATTTCTCTACACAAATGATTAGAATAAAGTGTTTTACAAAGCATCGTCTCAATGGACATAACCATTATATTTCTTATACCTACAAAGCTACCGTTTTGTTCACCTGACAGAAAAGCAATACGCTTATCTACCCGTTTTTTAGCAACATCTAGCCTGCTCAAGTATGTCATTATGTCCTCTACTTTTTCGCCATCAAGGATCTCTTCGGGATCCCTATCAGCTATATCATGGTTTACTTTCCTCAAGTAAGCATTATGTTATCGAGATAAAACAGCCAAATTGCGATTGAACTGTAATTACCAATCTGTGCCTTTCTTTTTCGAATTTGAGTAACAATATCGTTTCTTACTCTCTTTAAATCAATCAGTTTCCTTTCTTCCTGTATCATATTCATTAAATCCTGGAAAGAGCGTTGTTTTCCTATAGGTAGACCACCAATACCAAATTGCCGATATTCGTTTCCATTACGTTTACTTGTTTTTATTACAGCAGCTGTTGATGGCGTTGAGTTCAAGGAAACTGGATCAAAAACTGATTTAAAAATGTGCAAAAGGCTTCCAACACTATTTTCAGTCTTATATTCGGTACCGTCCAAATCATTATAGTCGCTGTCACTGCTATTGCCAGAGCCTCTGGAATGAGCAGGAATAGTCTCTGTATCTGAAAAAGCCTTGGACATTTCAATATGTTGACGTTTCAGTTGTGTCTTCTGTAGATCACCATCTATATTGTTGGCACTGCCGTTATCGCTGTTTTTGTTTTCGTTTCTATTTAACGTAGTCAAATTATTCAGCCATTTATCTGATATCGATTTTTCGTCATCCCAGTAATCTTGTTGTAGCTGTTGTGTAGAATGTCGATCCAGTACTTCACGTAACTGCTTTACCATTTTCTGTTCGATAATGGCTTTACCTAGCTATATATATATATATATATATATCAAATTAGCGAATTTTGAATGAAAATGAACGAATTAATGAATACGAACGTTCATGGTAAAATAAACAAAGATGATGATACCCTACATATGCATCAATTGTCTGATTCCAGAAATCAGGGTCAGCTAACATATTCATGACAGGCTGCAATACAGAATTCGCCAAAATTTCACGTAGTACGATTTTAACAGGTTCAGACTCTATTTCTTCTTTCAGACTCGCTGCATCGAAAATGAATGGCAATAGCCGTTCAACTAGTTCTCTCAAATAGGCAATTTCTGTAGGTTTAGTGGTAACAACTGCTCCACTCGTAAGTGCTTTATGCAACTGACCAGAACGAAACCGTGAAGCAAGGAATAAATCATCGATCATATTGTCTGCCGTTGTTGGTAACATTTTATTGTTTGATGTTAATGTAGACGATTGTGCTGATGATTGCTGGTGCTTGTTCGTAAAACTATTACTACTGTTATGATCACCAGCAGAATGGTTGGTCGTCGTATGTAAAGATGTTTCAGCCATTCTGAATTCATACATATGAAAGGTTATCTTTGGTATCACCTTGTTTAATATGACGTATAAAATATCCGTTTGTTCAACCCGATGAATGATATTGGTTATAGCTGAACGTATAAGACATTCAACGGAGCCTGGGAAACCAATATCATGGTTGTCGCTAGCATTAATATCAGCAGTCGATGCTGTTGTTGTTGTTGGTGGTGAGATCTTGCTATACCAAGATTCGACAAAATCTCTCATGATATACTTCAAAAAGTTATTTAAGGCTGCATTTATCTCATTGTTTTCTGTTAACTGTTGCTTGAGGCTTTCACTTGTTGAAGAACCTTCAAAAAAATCCTGCTGTAACTTGAGCCATATTGATCTATGAGTAAATTTCATAGGTTTAAATTGTGCTGCTGTCTTTTGATTAGCAGCAACTGATGGGAAAATTGTAGATGAGTTGGATGGTATAAAATATTTGACATAGACAAAGAGTACTATTGAGTTCAGTGCCAAAAGCGATATGAAACTGATCGCTGGTAGCATGAGCAGAGATAGAATATTTTGTGCATAATTACGACTGCTATTATTGCAAATGGCTATATACAATATAATTATAGTGGTAGCAACAACAACTCGACGACCTTGTTCTTTGAACATGCTTTATTACTTTTGTGTTGGACTACTATTATAACATCTATTAGAAGTGGGGTAAGGCAAAAAGAAATGAAAACAAAGTAACGAACGTATGAAAATCAGGAGATCTTTCTTTCAGTGTTTCACAGTTTTGCTCCCGCTTGTGACTGAGTTCAGATTACATTTAGGGAAAAAGTTTTATCAACACACATTATCTGTTTAATTATTCTTTTCAACCTTTTAATACAAACTATTCGCGAAGATGTCAAACAGCAATGAACAGCAACCACAGCCTACAGGAGCTTTGGATGCTGTTTTTGTACAATCAGTAGAAATGCCCGATGATTCTGTCTTGATTCAAGGACCTGACTTCAATAAGAAGCTGTCACTTTCAGACCTGTTGAACAGCTACAAGAAAATCGGATACCAAGGAAGTAGTCTTGGTGAAGCCATTGAAATTGTTAAAGAAATGGTAAAAAATCCATATTCTTGATCTTTTCATTGCAAATCTCTAGGCACTTTCTAATGAAGATTTTCACTTTCATTCAATCAATCATAAATAGAGAAGATGGCGTCTGTCTGATGATCCTATCAACGAAGATGAAGCTAAAGAATATCTCGACCCTGAGAAGCGTAAACAGACAAAGTGTAAAATCTTTCTTGGATTCACATCCAACTTGGTCTCTTCAGGTTTAAGAGAAATCATCCGTTTCCTTGTTCAACACAAAATGGTGGATGTTCTTGTAGCTACCGCTGGCGGTGTAGAGGAAGATTTTATCAAATGCTTAGCTCCCACTTACCTCGGCGATTTCAACTTGAAGGGCAGTGAGTTGAGAAAGCAAGGTCTCAATCGTATTGGCAATCTTTTAGTGCCTAACAACAACTACTGTAAATTTGAAGATTGGATTATTCCTATTTTTGACAAGATGTTAGAAGAACAAAAGTCTGAAAACAAATTCTGGACACCCTCTACGATGATTGAAAGATTAGGCAAAGAAATTAATGATGAATCCAGCATTTACTACTGGGCAGCAAAGAATAAGATTCCAGTTTATTGTCCTGCTATCACAGACGGTTCTTTAGGTGATATGATTTACTTCCATTCTTATAAGAATCCTGGCTTAGTCGTTGATATTGCTGCTGATATCCGCGCTATGAATAATGAAGCTGTGTTTGCTAAAAAGACTGGTATGATTATCTTGGGTGGTGGTGTCATTAAACATCATATCTGTAATGCTAATTTGATGAGAAATGGTGCTGACTACGCAGTGTATATTAATACGGCTCAAGAATTCGACGGAAGCGACGCTGGTGCACGTCCTGACGAAGCTGTTTCTTGGGGTAAAATTAGAGCCGACAGTCGGTCAGTCAAAGTTTATGCAGATGCTACTCTTGTGTTTCCTTTGATTGTAGCTGAAACCTTTGCCAAAGAACTCCATGAATCTCAATAAGCAATTGCAGATTGTTGTATTGCTTTTATTATGTTCTGTTTATGAATAAGTTATTGTAGTTTTAGATATTTCTTTCCTTCATAGATATTAGACCGAATAATACTAGTATTTGTAATGTATAATTATCTATTTATAAACCATTTTTCTTCACTAAAACGTCCAGTAATAGTCGTCTTTCTGTTTTCAATTTGCGTAATTCGCGCTGTGTCACGGAAAACTCATCAAGTAACATTTCGTTTTCTTGGATCACATAATTTAACATAGCTTTTAATGGTATCTCTGCTGGACTATCATCAGCTTTTATCGGATTCTGCTGCCTCTTTACTTTGCTTGCCGTTTTGACAATTGAATTGTTCTTTTTTCTGCTGAGGTCCGCTTTCTTTTCTGCAGGAGAGTTTCTCAAATTACCTTCGGAAGTGAATGAATTATCGTCTATCGACCTTCCAGTTTCTGTTGATTGCTTTCGTCTTTTGATTGAGGTAGGCATATTACGCATATTTGTAAGAAATAAAATTTAAGTGAAAAAGAACGACATCATTATTTTTATCTGTTTTAAAAGTTATCTAAGCGGTTAATTTGCCGGTAATTGGATTGTATCAAGTTTTAGCATGAATCATTTTTGTTCGATGATCTTGTTACTGCAATTATTTGCAATGAGTCAATGGCTGGGTACAGCCAGCCAGAATATAGCTAACAAACAAAATACTAGTAAGCTAAGGAATCCCTTTTTTCTTTTTTGTTCTTTACACATAAGATTATTGCACCGTTATGAACAAAGCAGGACGTACAATTCTATAGTATGAAGGCATAAAATTAGATGTTAACTAATATTACCAAAAAAAAAAGTTCCTCTCTTTTTTTAACTCAAGTCGATACTATGTCTTCTGAAATCACTCTTGATACTATTATCGAAGCAGCACAACGTATCAAAGTACACAAGACGCCTGTACTAACCAATAAAACAATCAGTCAGCTTGCCTCTCTTGAAGAGCAACCGATAGATTTATTCTTCAAGTGCGAATTGTTTCAAAAGACAGGATGTACGTGAACGGAACCAGCAATGACTTTCATCATCTTTTTTTCAATTGTAAGCTGATCATTTGCAGCTTTCAAATTTAGAGGTGCCAGCAATGCAATTGCCTTACTATCACATGAAACAGCTGCCAGCGGTGTAGTGACTCATTCCAGTGGCAATCATGCCCAAGCACTTGCATTAGCAGCGAAGACAAAAGGCACACCTGCCTACATAGTTATGCCTCGTACGGCCCCTACCATCAAGAAAGCTGCTGTTATTGGTTATGGTGCGCAAGTGATCGAATGTGAACCAACTCAAATTGCTCGCGAAGAAGCAGTATGTATTTTTTTTTTTTACGAGGATAAATGGTTCTATCCTGTTCAACACTAATAATATACCTTCATGGGACTTAAAGGCCCAAAAAGTCGTGTTAGAAAAAGGTGCAACATTAATTCATCCTTTCAATGATCCCAATGTCATAGCAGGTCAAGGTACAATAGCCGTAGAATTATTGTCACAGGTGAAAGATTTAGATGCCCTAATTATACCTGTCGGTGGTGGTGGAATGTTGACAGGTTGTTCTATTGCCGCCAAAAGTCTTTGTCCATCCTTACGAATATTTGCAGCCGAACCTGAAGCTGTTAATGATTGTTATCGCTCCTTCAAAAACAAGCATCAAGAAACCAACGAAAAAGCAATTTCTGTAGCGGATGGTTTATTAACCAACTTGGGGGATATTGCCTATTCCAACATACATCAATACGTGGACGATGTGTTTACGGTGTCAGAGAAGCAGATTATTAATACAATGGAGCTAGTTTGGGAAAGGATGAAGCTTTGTATTGAACCCAGTGCTGCTGTTGGCGTAGCGGTGGCTATTCACAACAAAGAATTTAAAGACACTTTAAAGAGATTGCATATTCAACGTATCGGTGTCATTCTTTGCGGTGGAAATGTAGATGTTCTTCAAGCGACTGCATTATTTGAGCAATACAGATATGAAGAGGGGAAAAGCGCATAGATGGACAAAATAAAGCTTAATGAAGATTACTCTTAAAACAATAATATACATTTTCTTCGTAGTACGTACATGTAGTATATTTATGGAGCAGTATTGTATGGTACATTACGCTTCATCTGTTTATCTATCATTTGCGAACCGTCATTCCTTAAAAAGCATTTGAAATAATTCATGAGTGACTCCTAATAATGCTGAACATATCAAGTATTCATTCAAATATCCATACTGAATTGAAAGTTGAGAGACTCCAGTATCAATTCAATGATTAACTTTGAAATGATATTGTGCTTCGATAAAACTACACTAAGATAAGCAACTTTATGACCAGTATTTCCGAAGAATACCCGCTGAACCTAAGTATTTGTAATAACATGATTTTGCTTCACGGGTCAGTAACATTTGACAGTTGGTAGCTTCGCGGTATTGGTCTTCCAGCTAGCCACGAATTCCAATTACCTCAATGAAGGGTTTCTCACGTACTGACTTCAGTTACTGTAACAAGTGCGCAAAATAATTCTAAAGTAAGGTACAGTCTATTGCTGAGCATTGCTGGAGTAGGTTTTCTGAACTTTTATATGAATATGAAACCCTGAATGTTTAAATGGTCGGCGTTGGATTGTATTGACTAATTTTTGCCATACGCTAATATTTACTTTAAAACGCTAACTTAACTTCCTAAACGTACTACCTACTATATTTAGAAAAACAAAATCTGGTAAGTACCTCTAGGCAAAAAGCCAAGAGAAGAAAGTGGATAGAATCAAGAGGATCTATTTGTCCCCTTCAGTTACAAACGATCACAACATATTTTCACTGCCAAGAAACGCTTTCGACTCTTTGCAAAATGGAAAAAAGATACACAAAATTATTTAATCTCAGAGTTTTTTTTTTGTGTGCACAATCGAGCAGCGTATTAAAGAGCCATCCTGCTTTTCTCTTTTTACCTTTTGCCTTTTCTCCTGGACTTACGCTCAGCTATGAGAAATCCATTGGATATAAGAAAAGAACATAAAACAATAAAATTGGCCAAGAAGCTACAAGATGAAGCCAATAAAGAATGGGAATCAGAACTTAAGCGAAGAAGAGAACAAGAATTGAACGACGAAGCTATTGCCAAGGAATTACAGGCTCAACTTGAAGAGGAAAGTCGAACAACTGCATCACCTTCATCCACAGCGACTTTAAATATGCCTCCAGGAATGGCTCAAAACAGTTCACCTCCGCCTTTGCCGGCAAAACCAACTGCTTACAATTCAGGTACAAAAGAAAGCCTTTATTAACGAATCTCAGGTCTGAGTTCCTCACCCTTTTCTTGCCTCTATTTAATACATTTTCTAGCATCCAGTAACGATTCATCGATCCTTCCGCTATATAGCTTGAGCGATTCTCCAAAGCCAAACATATACCCTAGATTGCCCTCACGAACATCAGATAATATGGCCTCCGAAAATCCTCCATCAACATACAAACCGGGGCTGCAGTTTACAATATCTTCTCCAGCCCCACAGCCAAGCACAGTCTTCAATACACCCACGCCACCATTACCAGTCAGAAAGGCACATGATGACTTCTCAGCAATCTGTAAAGAGACCGCTCAAAGCAGTCCTCATCAGTCAATTCGACCTGGTATGAATCAAAGCGTTATTGGCTATCAAGACAAAAGTATCAAGCCTTCGTCTGCTTTCAACGACTTACCTATAAAAAGCCAGTCTTCTAACAGTACTATATTGAGAATGGAGATGCCAACACCTACTGTTACACCAAACAACAACTATGATTCCAGTGCTTCATTTTATGTATCCCCTACTAATAACGCCTTTAATCCCGGCGTAACAAGTGCTTACAGCTTTTCAAATGGTAACAGCTTTCCAGTTCTGCAAAACAACGGTACAATGTGCTCTCCTGTTCCATTTACTTCTCGTCAAAGTGATCCCATTGTTCTACCTTTTGATGAGCAAGCAGCAACGAATATTCATTCACAACTTTCCAATTCGGTTACGGCTCAAAATAATCAATGCGCTCAGTATACGAATGATAAAAGCTATCCGACTCACAATACTGAGAGCATCCCATACATACAGCAACCTCTACAACAACATGATATAGTTTATCCATCTTTCCAGCCTTTAATGCATAATAATGTGAGTTCAACTGACAATGGTCAAAATAGCCATGCTTATCATCAGCCCTCTTCTACTCATCCACAGCAATATAGTAACGTATCATCTGTGAATCACGAATTACAGCAGCAGCCAAATGCACAGTCATCCCTTACACAATCGAGGAACAATATGAGTCTTTACTCTGATAACTCACAAGCATCTACATATAAACAATCAGTCCCGCTAGCCGCCGTAGCTTCCAATCAAAATATTCCTTCAAATGTCCATTATAAAAACGATAGCAATACTCTGAATCTTCAGCCATCAATACCAGTTATTTCCACTATTGAAAAGCATAATGAATATACCCCCATTTATAAAAAGCATACCGAAAAACCATTATTTTCTAGCTCTACTATATCGTTGAAGCCTGATGAAGGATCCGTGCATAGTGATACAGAAGATGACATTGAATATGATCAAAATGCCGATGTAATGGTCAATGAATTCAAGCATAGAAAGGTTATTGCACAGCCTTCTATCGACAAAAAGTCCGTCAAAAATCGGCCGCCTACACCCATCGAATCGGCTACCATCGAAACAAATGTAGAAAATTTTTCTGATGATGATACAAGAGCAGATGACACTACTTCTGAAGTCGATTATTCTGATATGATTTACAAAAAAGGAAGCGAAAAATCGTTAAGGCAGAGGGATGAGAAGGACGGCTGGAAAATGATTAAAAAGGCAGAACAAGTAACTGATGAGTCACAGCTGCAACCGCAGCAACAATCACGGCAACAACAAGGAGAAGAAGAAGACAGTGCTGAAGACAGCGAAGATGAAGAATGGCAAGATGATGCTATTGATCCATTTGCTGACAATGTCGATACCGATTTGATGACAGGATCGACAACAGCCAATAAACCAACAATGACTGTGAAGGAAAAGCGTAGAGAGTCAAACTTAGTAACCACACTGAGCCCTACATTAGAAATTATCGACCCAACCATGCCAAAGAACGATGAAAATTCCCAGCGCGTATCAGCATTACTAGCAGACTCACAAAAGAAGAAAAAGAAGGAAGGCGTAAAAAGCATTCAAATTGAAAGTTCACAGACATATATGGATGGGCCACGGCAATATGCTGAGAAAGAAAGCAAGGATATCGAGGATGTGCCTTTCGTTAGATCAACAATGACACCACTTCAAGCGAGTAACAGCTATTCAGGCTCAATCCATTCAATTACATTTAGTACACCCATTGCGGCTACGATGACATCAGCACCATCAATAGCGGTAGAAAGGCCAGAATACGCTTATCGTGGGTATTCATTACCTGCCACTGCTTCTATGCAGACTGCTACTGCGACTACCCCGTACGAACAATGGCATTTCCCAAATGATAAAGCTGCACCTTTTTCAAACACAAACACTTCATCTGCTGATCCAACTTTGAGAATGTATTCCGAACACCAATTGAAAGTAAATGCGCCTATTCATGCCCCAACTACGGTAGTAGAAACAGAGCATCAATTCCGTTCAGGAGGTAAGCTCGCTTTAGAAGTGATCATTCTGTTTTTATAAAAGTATTTAATTGTTATTCTTTGTTACTATGGTCTATAGTGGTTCCTGCCACTGATTTTGGGTATTTGAAAGAAGGTGAAAAACGGAACAAATCGTTACCGACATTACCTAACGCAAGTAAGTCGAGGCTTGAGTTTGATAAAATACAATTTTAGTAGCTCGCCTATGGCATATATATTGAATTTTCCTTTTATTACCACAATAGCTGCAAGCGAGGACCGCCATATCACTGTAGCGAGTATTAACCCAGGTCAACGTGTTTGGATTCGCATTCAACCTACTGACACGGGTAAAGCTTTAGCAGAAAGAATTCAAGTTGTTGCTTCCTATCGAACAAGACGAGTTACAAAGATTATCAGTAAAAACGGTCGCGATATACCCTTAAACAATAAACCTTTATTCGATGATTGGAATGAACTTTTGAATTTTACAGATGGTGAAACATGGAAAGTGGAATGGGTCCCAATCGAAAACCCATATGTAGATATTATTACTGAAGGAAAAGAGTTTATGAAGCAGCTTAAAGCTACATTAAGAAGTGGTACTTCGTCCTCGGATTCATAGAATTTGCTTATTTCATAAAGAAGTGCTTATTGGTACTCATTCACAATAAATCACATGTAATAAAAGTCTCAAGACAATTCCAAATGGCTGTTATATTGTGACAACATTCAATCAATAACAAGTCATTGAATAGGGTTCTAAGTGAAAATATATTTTGAAATCTAACAGTGAATACGGTTGAACTAATAAACCTCGAGTACATAAGATTCTTTTTCTTTCCATTCTTCAATAAGAGCATTGGCCTTAGCAACATCCACATCATCATTTTGAGTGAGACCGTAAACAATAGCGTCCTTGACGTCAGGCACCGGCCAGGTTGGGCCACAGAGATAGAAGTGACCATTCTGCTTCAACAAGTAATCACTCAACATCTTTGCATCTTCCTTCATCTTGTGTTGAATGTATATCTTTTCCTTCTGGTCACGAGAGAAAGCAAGACCCATGTGAGACAAGACACCATCGGCATGGTAAGCTTCCAATTCCTCACCATAAAGGTATTCCATGGAACGATGACGAGAACCAAAGTAAAGAACGACGGGACCGACTTCCTTACCAGTAGCTTTGGCTAAATAACGTTCTTGAATAAAAGCACGGAAAGGGGCCATACCAGTACCCAAACCAGCCATGATTACAGGCTGAGAGTCAAGAGGAGGCAATTTCATGACGGAAGGCTTGATCGAGACAGTAACAGAATCACCGATCTTCAAACTACTTAAATAACGAGTACATTGACCATAACGTTTCTTACCACTGGTAGTTTGCCAATCCACAGCGACCACTAACAGATGGACAGAGTTCTTGTGCATCTTTTGAGATGAGGCGATGGAATAATGACGAGGCTTAATCGGAGCAATGATTTGAGCAAGTGCTTCGACAGGAGGCTTGGCAGAAGTAAATTCACGTAGCAAGTCTTCATAGGTAATGGTATCATCGACGCGCTTCTTGAACTCTTCTTTACCTTCAGCAGAAACCAAGTAAAGCAGTTGCTCACGCTCCTTGGGGTTGGTAGCGAAAGTAGCAAGAGCTTCATAGAATTTCTTGGAAGGTCGACCAAAGATATCCAATGTTTGGCTGAACAATTGGAAGACAGTACGCACTTCTTCTTTACCGTTTTCGCTAGTCTGGACAGAAATGATATCATGACCGTTCAAATCGTACCAATCCAAAAATTCCTTCACGTCTTCGTAGTTATTGTGACCATGAACACCAAGCGCGTCACCCAATTCATACTTCAAGTTGGCGTTACTGGTATCAAATTCCATATGGAACACATAACGGTCGTAGCTTTCAGGAGTCAATCGACGGTTTTCACTGACAGTGATAACATAAGTCTTTTCATGCAGGTCAGGACGAACAGCTGTTTCTGTCTTGTAGGCTTCGTTAAACATTAATTGCCAAGCAGCCTTGTGCCATTTACTCAATTCAGCACCTGCAGCCGCTTCTTCCTCAACCAAAGTAGTAACATCAGACGAGACCTCATCCTCAGGCTCAGCACCCACGACACGGTCCACTGGCGTGGAAGGCAAGATTTGATCATTTATTTCCAAAATAGTCCAAGGAGGTAGCAATTCTACAGCTGTGAGCTCCTTTTTGACCGTAGTAAGAGTATCAGCGATCAACTTCTTTAAAACAACTTTCTCGCTCTCCAATTCTTCATAGATTTGCAAAAGATGATCAGCAACAGAATTCACTTCAGGATGTGTAAGCAGCAAAAAGACTGCTTCCCAGATGAAATGAGTTGACTTCAAGTTCAAACCGAGTTCCTGAGCCACACGAGCAGCATCAATAGTATACAGCTTCGCATTCAATTCAGTCAAACCGAACTTGAATTCATTCGTCAATACTGACTCAAGCTCATCACCGTGCTTCCAAGGGCCATGTAAAACAACAGTCGTCTTCTTGGCTGCCTGAGCCAACACATTGTATTCTTGTGTGACTTTAATGTCATGAACTTCAATATATTGCGCTTGTTGAGCCGTGCCATCAACAGCACGCGAACCATAACTGAGCTGAGTTTTTGAAACAGGACCACCTACGTGATAAGCATCACGAGCTGTCAGAGTTTTGATATCATCCGTAGGATGAAGGGCTTGGATAAGATGAGCATTATGGGCAGCAGCAGCAGTAGAAGTGCTACCATCTTGTTCAATATCCCAGAAGATACCGCTCCAGGATGTGGTCTCTTCTGTCACTTCTTTGTTTACATCAGTAGTAGTGACGAAAGGTTCAGCAGCAAGGTTAATGAAACTTTCATGTTCAGCTTGTTGTACAAGATGGGGCAGATGAGAAGCCTTCAATTGCGAGAAATCCTTGGCTTGAGCACTGACTAAACGAGGGCGACGATCACGTGTTAAAGGACCAAAACGAACAGAAGCAGCAATTTCCAAGTAAAGGGGGCCATTAAAAGCATAAAGACCAGCATCTTCTTCCAAAACCACCAAACGACGAGTTGTGTTGGGCAAAGCACCAATGAAATCGGCTTCAGACCAAGGACAGAAAACACGAACACTTAGCAGACCTACACTCGTCTTGTTGCCAGAAGGATGGACGACAGCTTCTTTGACAGAAGCAGATGTAGCATTGACAGTGACAAGGACAGTTTCGGCATCAGGAGCACCTGCATAATCGAAAGGCTTAAAGTCCAACTGCCCAAGGATAGTCTTGACAGCGGTATAAATATCGTTGTTGTCATGACGATCTACCTTGTTCATATGCTTGCTCAATTGTGGGTAGTTGGAAAACTTGACTTTTTCGACTACTTTAGCTGCGGTGACACCATTGAAGAAGTGAATGACGGGTAGGTTGACGGAACGGCTGATCCAATGGGCTGCAATCGCCATATCGTGAGCTTCTTGAGCATTGGCAGAAGATAAGAGAATAGCACCGGTTTGGCGAGCAGCCAATACGGCATCCACATGGGAGGAGGAGGCCACTAAATCTTGATCTATCATCTGAGCAGCAATATGAAATACAACAGGTTGACGAGAAGCAGCCAATTCGTAAAGTTTAGGAATCATTGACAATAGAGCTTGTGATGTAGCTAAAACTGAAACAGACTTGTTGCCATTGTCAGCAAGAGCGCCTTGCACTGCTTGAAGAGCACCCATACGGGTATCCATTTGAACGATCTTCACAAGATCATTCTGTAAATTACGTGCTTCCGAAAAGCTAATCAAATCTTGACCGAAAAAGCCGCTGTTGGACGTTGAGCCAGGGTAGACAAAGATAAGATCAGAGAGCCCACAAGCGATATATTCAACGGCATGATTAGCATTCGTAAGTAGGGTGTGCTCTTGTGTGTTGTCCTTGGTAGTAGCTGAAGAACTCAAAAGACGGTGTAAAACATGCTTGACTTTGGATTGTAATAAAATGGATGTATCTTCGTCGACAAAGGTGGTTTGACTACCCGTAGTCGAGACATTATCATTGTCATCAAGATCTTTCTTCAGTTCAGCTGTTACTGCTTTTACAAGTTCAGGAGAGATATCGAGCTTCTCATTGACATCCTTGTTTGCCGAAAGGGAAATGGTCGTGTTGTGATTATCATTAAAGGCGGCACTTTTGACAAGCGATGCAATCAAAGCAACAGAAGACAGCATGTTGAAAAAGGTATATAGTATTCTACTATGATGAGAAACTAAAAGAAACCTGTTTAAACGAAAAATGTATGAAAGGTCGGCTGGATATATCTGTAAAAAGTTTTCTTTAATGGCAAAGCTTTTTGGTGTTCCTATTGACCATTTCAAAGCGTCCATTCATGACCAAAGGAAATTGCGCAATTGTTTCTCCGTCGTTGCAAATGAAGTGTTGAATTATTGACAGCATCAGATCAACCAGCCTGATTGGGCAAATTTTTTCGACTGTTGGCTTGATAGAGAACAGATCACAGTTTATCAGGAACAGAGGAAAATTTTAATGGCCCCAATCTACTTTTTATCAACTGATGTATTGAAGCAAAAAAACTACAAAATTATATTGTTAGCAACCTGAGCTTTGAGTTCATTGAGTACTTGCGCTTTGAACAGAATGCAAAATGTCGACTGATTTGAGAGCAATATCACTTTTTATCGGCATCAACTTTTTTTTTTTTTTTTTTTTCAAAATTTCAACGAGTAACAATGCAGAAAGGCTTTTCATGCTTTGGTATATTTTGAATAGGGCATATGAGGCACAAGCTGCCAGTCTGGCTTATAAGCATCAGGACTTTTTCGTACACTGATAGTAATCTTTAATACCAGCAAATGTAGAGGAAAATTGCTTAGGATGACCTTACAATGTTTATTATGTGGCTTCATTGGAAAGGTAACGTGGTTATTTACAAAGCATTATCATTTGAGTTTATAACTAAAAAAGTAGCTTTGGGCATCAACAGACATGATTATGTAATATAAGGAAGGCTGATTACGTAGTAATACATGGTATAATTGATAGGTGCGTTGTTGACGTCTATATGAAGCCTCCCGCATCAAGAAGGTATTTCCTTTTTGCTTTTTCTTTTTTTTTTTTTTTTTTTTTCTAAATCTAAAATGCGATATGTCTACTGTAAATTTGCTTTAACTGCTCCATGAAAACAAACATGAGAGTTGTATGAGGCCTAAGCGAAATTAGAAAATTTTAAGGTTAGCGTGTTACCTATCAGTCATTATGCACTACAGTATACTGTCAACGGTGGAAATAAATTTACCCAATACGAAGATAATGCGCCAAAAAGCCCTTATACAGACCCCGCACACCTTCAATTTTAACGATTTTGACAAAGCAATCTGCTGGGCTCTTGTATAATAAACCGTTTCCGGTAGCAGGATCTACGCCTTGATTATATATTCTAGTTGAAATAACATCAAATGGGTTCATTGCCAAACAAACCAGGACACCTGTAAACATGGAAGTGGCAAAGTGTGTCCCGACTGTATCAGGAAATTGAAATCGGTTGACTAAAAGGTCTTTTCCCAACATGTAAGTGGGCATTTGTACAGCTGATCCGACGCCTGCTCTGACCATGGCTGCGTCTGCGCCACGATATAAACCTTTCACACCTTCTGCTCGGAAAATTTGTTTTAGCGCATTGTAACTGGATTCCATCTCATGCTGGTAACCGATATTTTTAAAGATAGGAGAATACGACTGTCGTCGAGTTTTGATTAAATAGAGTGGAGATCCCAACACGGCACCCACAACGCCTGCAAAGGCTCCTGAGAAGATACCTGAAATAAGTTTGCTGGTGTCGGATTGTAGATTGAGGGCTTTCACAATATTTGTATTCACGGGTTCATAAAGGCCCAATCGACTCCCATTTAAACAAATTTGGTAAAGATAAGCAACACTCAAACCTCGTTGCGCACCTCGAACACCCTCATGTTGAAAGACAAGCTTTAGGGCTTGAATACTGTTATGATAAGGTCGTGAGGCCTCTGTCAAGGCACCTGCTCGAACTAATTCTCCTTGTAATTGAAGTCGTGTCTTTACTACCTATGCGTGGATTGCAACGAAAAGCATTTCAGCATACGGTATGCTCGTTTCATTCTGCCACCGATAATGCAGGCTCGGCCATATCCATTTCTTTGTCTTTGCTGTAGTCCTTTGAGACGTTTTGCTTACCTCCCATGGGTTTGTAAAAGTAACTGCACCGCATGCGGCTAGGCCGCCAATAACGAACCCGATTGCTGTTTCTTTGACCTTATCCTTTAAAACGGGGTTATATTGTTGGTTAACGCTTGACATGATAATGATGTTTCAACTAAATAAAAATGTTAGTTTTATTAAAGAAATCAGGAAAAAAAAAAAAAGAAATATTATCGAAATAGGGTTGAAACCCTCTTTATTTGCATTTTTCAGTCAGGCTTTCAATCTAGTCATTTGCACACGGAAAAGTTTTAAGAAGGTATGTAACAATAAATTGTGAAAGTTGATTGGATATAGTAAGTTGACCAACATTGTGTTGTATGACCCCACATTTGCTGGTTTTCTTGATCTGAGTTGACAGCAGGTATCTCGCACACTTTTGACTGCCCTACAACGCCAGCCCATCCTTATTTGGCGCAACTCTTCTCCAAATTGATTTGCATAGCATAGATACAATCTTCTAATGGTTGTAAAAACATCGAGCGCAAGTGCTTTGAACGGTCAATTTGAATTCAACACGGGGCTGTAAAGAACTGCTGACATAAAAGGACAGAATCATTTAACAACATGAAATCGCTCCAAAGTCGAAAATACAACTGCGCAGATTACCGACTTGTACACGTCTCCATTTCTATCACATTTCTACTGACTTATGCTATGATGGCTGTCCGTTTCTATAGATATTGATATTGGCGAATACATCTAGTCCTTTCATATTCATAGTGTTTTGTAAAAAATCCATACCATTTAAAAGCCTTTCTTTTATCTGGCTGAACTGAGATGGCACCGTTTCTTCTTATTGTGTTGCCGCTCAGCATGACAGAAAGATCTGCACAAGACCCTATTCAAATTACATAATCACACAAGATGCATAAAAGACATAAAAGAAGCGGAGGCAAATATAGAATACGGGAATATATCAGAAAAGAAGCTCAGCAAAAAACTAAAAAATACAAAAAAGATGAGAATGCATGTAACTCGCGCACTTGTGGCTTTCTTGTGAAAGAAGCCTTAACCAAATTCAACAATATAGGCGTACATAAACGTCACTGCATAGTAAGCATGAATTTGTAATAGAATTCAACACCCAAAACGTTTTGCCACACAGACGTTTTCTTTTCTATGACAGACATCTCAATTCGGTAAGTGTTGAATCACATGAATTTTTGTTGAGACAATCCGTTTATTTCTGAAAGTGAATTCTACTTTTTTTCTTTGTTCTATTTTATTTCGCTTTTTCTTTCCTACATCGTTATCATTAGAATTTCTAAACAATATGCCCAACAAGTGGACTACTGCTGTAAGATATAGGGTTTCGTACACATAGAAACAGTGTAAAGTACTATATTGCTGACTAGCTTACTTTGTCTTGAATAGATACCTGAAGCCCCTTCTCCAAACTACGTTATTGTCAAGAACATCGCTCTTCAATCTACTGAATCTACAGGTAAAATAGTATAAAACCTCTCTAATTCGAGTAAACACTTACGATGATACTCTCCTGCTTTACTATCCGTAGTGAAGGAGTTTTTCCTTTTCTGTGGTAAAATCAAGGAATTTGAAATGAAGGTGTAAAGTATATCTTTTATTGCAGACAGAAAGGGAGGTTTTGGGTCTGTTTCAAGTAGTAACAGTAATGTTTGCTTGTTTCTTTATACAGTGATGAAGACGATGAAAAGCACCAAATTGCTTTAATTCATTTTGAACGTGAATCTGCAGCCAAGACGGCTGCACTTTTAAGCAACGGTAAAGATTTATGCAGACAAAAAAATACTGTTTATTTTTGTTGGGGGTGGAAACACTTTATTCATTTGTATTATCGCAGCTCTTATTGATGATAGCCATATTGTTGCTGCACCTTACTTTGACGTCCCTGGCTCCTCTGAAAAGGAAGCTTCTTCTGCTGCTGCTGCTGCTGGTACAAATGGTACCGAGGAACATGAGAACCAAGAAAGCAAGCCCAAGACCAAGATTCTCGCTGAAATCTTAGCAAACGGTTACTTGCTTCAAGATCAAGTGGTTGCCAAGGGCGTCGAATACGATAACAAGTACCACGTCTCTTCCCGCTGGAATAAGCTGCTCAATGCAGTTCAAACCAACGTTAAACATTTTGATGAAAAGTATCGTATCTGGGATAAAGCCGTCAATTTGGATCAAAAGTATAAAATCACCGAGAATGTCAATAAGGTCACTCAGACAGCTCAAGAAAAGGCCACTCAAGCTCTTCAAACTGGTTTGCAATCTACTCCAGGCCAAAAGGCTAAAGATTTAGCGGATAAGACTTTACATCAGATTGCTGCTGTTCATTACGAAGCCAAGAGAATACAAGTAAGTAATGGAGTTGCAACTGCTTAAAGTGGGAGCATCACAAGTGCACAAAAAGCAATGAATGAAAGTTGACCTTTGTGTGGATCACTGATGACTCTCTTTCTCTTCATCATTGTAGGGTGAAAAGATGGGTGGTGCTACAGATGACTCTGCAGGAGCTCCCTCCACTGGTACTCAAGATGCTACTACTGTCAGTCGTGAAGCTACCGCTTCAACTGACGTAAAGGCAGATGATTCTACTACTAATACCGAGACAAAGACAAATGCTGGTGCTGCTACTGCTCCTCCACCTGCTGCCCAATAATAAATCTGTAATCAATAGCATTATAAACTAATGTGATAAATACGATTTTTTATACCATGATGTGGTATAATTTCAAAGCCCAAAAAAAAAAAAAAGAAAAAGGCTTTTAAACCAAAAAAAGGCTAATCTGCATTTCAATAAAAATTTAATCGGAACAAAGCAACCACTAGTTTGCATTGAATGTCATGTTACAGTATTTTAACTAATATTTTAGATGAAATACATTTTTTTTTGGACGATTAATATTTTCATTTTAGATGAGTTGCAATTGTGTTGTAGACCAAAATATAAACCGTTTAAACAAGGATTCAAATTCCAAAAACTTGTTAGCAGTGCGAAACAAAAAAAAAAGAAAAGAAAAAAAAACCGTACTATTCCTCACCTGTAATGATCTAAATCCTTGAAATACAAGGAAAACCGTGTTTATTACGGCGATTATTTCTTCTTCTTCGCTGGCTTGAAAATGTCGGGTCTTCCCGCTCCAGACCAAACTGCTTGGGATATAGTCATCATGTTGATAGCGGCGTTAATGTCTCTCTGCCATAGCTTTAGACATTGCTTGCAGTGAAGAACGCCGGTACCCTTGAATCCAGGAGTATCAACAATTTGCATATCATCATAGAAACAGAGGCTGCATGTTTTAGAGGTTTTGAATTCATCGATTGTGACAACAATCAATTGACCTTCAGCTTCACGTTTCTTCAGAGTTGCAAAAAGTTTACCGACAACACCACATCTTTGCCCTTTCAATTTTACTACATCTTTTCCAAACATTCCAGCACCAAAGACAATCAGTGGTACCCTTCTAGGGAATCCTGAGTACTTATCAGCCTTCCACTTCTTGTCACTTCTAAAAATTATCAATCAGCGCGTAAGCTAAACGATGAACATGTATTTCATTGATACTCACTTGATTGGCGGCTGTTTGTCAACATTCTTTCCTTTCTTCTTCTTCTTCTGCTGTTTTTTCCTCTTCCTTGCCTTGCTTCTCTTTTTGCGATTGTACTTGGCCGTTCCATGAGTCAACATGTTGGCCATAGTTTCGGGTGCTCTTTGCCTTCCTTGGTACAATGTAAACCGGTCCTTTGCTGTTTCATGTCCATAAAAACTAAAGAGAGCGTCTAAGTTATTGAGCATATAACTGGTGAACGCCTCATATACTCCTAGACGAGAGGTCTTTGACGAGGGGATTTGACTTTCTACTAGATCTATTCCTGTAACAGCTTTTATACTGTTCAATTTCTTACAATATTTCGTTGACCCTGCCATATGATAGTATTCGGATGTAGTGCATCTTCGCACTTGTCTGTTATATTCAAGGCCAATAGCAGCAGTAAAAACAGACTTTCTTCCGGGATTCAGGGTAATAGGTAAATAAGTATTGTCAACTTCATCCAGAGAGAAATCATCAAGAGTGAGGTCAAATTTTTGGAACGAGGCACCATGGCCAGATTGTTGTCTTTTATAAAAAAGAAAGTCAACTGAAAACCCATCCGTTCTGACAATATTACCAAAGAGCTCTTTGTTATCACCATTCGGTGTAAGTTCAGAGATACTACATGTGCCCAAGAAGTTAAACCTCATACATTATACTCGACTGCATACCGTATTAACTGTATGCTTACCTTTTGTACCTGAGTTTCTTGAAATCAAAGACATGGAAAAACAGCTCTAATTGGCTTTGGTAATTGCGGGGTAAAGAACGTTTCACAAAAGAAGACAGAGCGTTCACGCTCAAGGTAATGAACCTCCATTGAACGGAAACCTTTGGCAGTAAGGATAGCAATTTTGGAAGAGGACGTCGTCGTACGTCAAATGGTTTATGATCATCGTGTTCGCTCTCAAATTCTGCGTTCAAAGATAACAAAAAGGGTACGAAAGACCCAGGATCAGCAGATAATGTCTTCATGTTCACTTTCTTCCCCAGCTTCTTCTTCCAAGGTTCACAAAAGGTTTGGATCTTTGCTTTTATATCTTTGGTAAGGTAGTCATCAGTTGGCCATTTAGGTTTTCCTTGGCATATCTCTTGATAGCAGAAATCACTTGTGACCTTTTTGACAAGCTTCCAAGGCATACACTACGCAAGATGAGAGCTTTTTTTAAAATTCATGTAAGACCCCAAGTAATATTGAGTTGCAACTTACCACAAATGCCGTTTGTATTTTATATATCAAAAAATAGAGAAGTTTCTCCTCAAAATTTTCCACTATACTGTTCGTATAGGAAGTAGCAATTTCGGTGCATGCTTCTGTAATGGCTTGACTAAGTCCAGGAAAGAGCTTGACAGGGAAGACAATCTTAGGGTAAGTCGTTTTAAAAGAATCAAACGAGCTCAGTAATTGTTGTGATATCAGCCTACTATTTGTTGGTCTTTGTCCATTCACTAGCTGTATCATAGAGTACCAGAAATTTTGTGTAAAGATACATTTAATACACTTTGGCTCAGCAAGAGCTGCATTTTCCAAGACGTAATAATTCACAAAGAGCTTCGCTCTAAGAACCAAGTTGCGAATAACAGAACAAGCTTCAACAGCTTTTGACTTGAATGTGTTGCGATAGTCACCAAAAACGCAGTTATCAAGAGGCAACCTTCTTGTAAACGCCTTGTAATTACTTCCCAAATGATGTTGAAAGACCTCTGCCTTTGATAATACATGTTGAGGACACAGAGGAGAACGCACCGATTTATGTCCTGGTTGCTTGCATTTGGTACAACAGGTATTGTCTTTATCCGGTTCTTCATTATTCTCTTTCCTTGCTTTCTTCTTTTCCTTCTTGATTTCAAAGTTCTGTTTGCGTTTTCTGCCTATCGAACCAACTATAGGTACAATGAGGTCGCTTACTAACGATGAATTTACCAACTTTTGAAGCCACATGAGGTGCTTACCTTGATCTGCAGTTTCTGTCTCATACAATTGACGTTTAAAGTATTGTTGGGTGTAATGACCCCCTTTACCGCAATCAATACACGTTACATCTAACAGTACACGATGATTAATCTCTACGTATATATATGATCAGGTATATAGGCTTTCAAAAGGCAAGTTACCATTAACAGCACTTGATTTTTTCTTTTCAAAAATTTGCTTTTTCTTTTCATAAATTATTGTTTTGAACATGGGTCATAGTATGTATCTTAAAAACGTGAAATAAAAGTGAAAGAGACAACATTTGACTCTAAGAGAGCAGTATATTTTATAGTGCTTATCTTTGAAAGTCACCCATGAACGCATACAAAAACATTGACAACAGTTAATATAACCATCCCATTCCGCTATGGTATCTGTTATACTATGACCCTCAGCCCTCTATCAATGGTTTGATGTCAATCAATTCAAAGTTAACTTTTTTTGGAATTCTTGTCCAAAAAAGGCACCAACGAATATCTTGTTGGTCTCGGAACACATCGTCATTTAGTAAAAAAGTTGTCAAGCTTTTTATAGTTTGTCCTATTGCAAGATAACATCAATAAAACCATTATTGGCGACTTTCTTACTGATAGAGACTAATTTCTAGGGTTCGATTGTATGTCATCCTTAATGCTGCTTGAATATCACTGAATAATTGAGTATCCAAATATCCAAATACTATGGACTTTTCTAAAAATATTTTTTAATAAATCTAAAATTAAAATGTATATTGTTCATTAAAAATTGTAAATCGTCTAAAATATAAGGTAAAATACTGTATTGAGGACAAAATGCGCATTAATCAAAACTTTATCATTTGCTACGCTTACGGGAAGCGGCTGCCTTCGTCTAATTAACCATCATAGTACTTGTCTTTTCCTCTCCATGTCCCACCCCTCAGCGATGTGTGACTAATTTTATTATTTGTAAATAAAAACAATCTAAAAAAAAAGAGTTTATCTTTTGCTTTGCTAATTATCTTTAAAAATGCCAAAAAGCACAAAGTCTCGAAAACCTACCGTCGCTGCAAAGTACAAGAACTATACGGTTCCCACAACAACAAGAAACGTCGGGAAAGGTATATTGAATGCATCCGCAACTGATTGGACTTCACCGTCAAAACTAGTTAGTGCCATGGACGTCAACATCATCAAAACTAAGAGCTCCGAAGATATATTTACTTCGCTACTCGATGCATTTGTAGCTTTGAGCAAAACGTCTCCAAATGCTTCAATAAAAAACCTTGCTTCTAATTGTTATAAGTACGCATCTCAAACCAAGTTCAAGCAAGAATTTATTGAAATCGTTGAGTCCCGGAAATTGAAAATAAGAGATTTTGCTGTCGAAAAGCGAATTCATGAACTTGCTAACCAAGGAATGAACGGCATACTCGATATTGCTTCAAAATCTATGGACCAAGTTGTTTCTAGGGCTTTAAACTTAGTAAATGATAATGAGGGTACGAGTATCAATTGTTTTCAGCCACATACATAGGCTACGTAATTTCCTAATAACAAACTTATTATTCCTTAGCAATCAAAGAAAGTATTATTACGAATAAGAACGAAGAAGAAGAGGAGGAGGAGGAGTATAGAAGTGCAGACGAAGAGCTTGTTTGGAATGAAGTAAATCTGACATTCACAGTATTTTTTTTAACAAAGATATTGACTCTTTTTCATTTGAATTTAGATTCTTTCCTCTTCTAAGAAAACAGCTGTCAATCCTCCTGGAGAGTCACAATACACTGCCGAGAAACCAAAGTTGACCATAAAAATGATCGAGGAGTTGGAGTTATCCTGCCATATGGCTTTATCATGTATACCATTGTCTAAAATTCCTGGTGATATGCTCACTTTATTTTACCAATATCAGAATGATAATTTTATTCTGAAATCTCTAAAGAGTCAAGACGATGTATTTAATCGAATTAGGCAGTTGATTGACATAGAAGACACAATTGACAATAGAACCGATTATGGATTTTTTGTTTGGCAAAGTGAGAGAGAGGCGCGAATGAAGCAGGAGAAAAATGTGGAGCTACTCAAAGTGTTTTGTTTCTGTCTGACCGACTTTTGGAGTTGCTGCTGGCAAGAAACCTTTCGAAAAGATCACGAGTGAACCTTTTGGGTTGAGAACATCGTTCCAAAATTTAAGTATCTTGGGTCAAACGAAAACATTGTTTTTTCTTGGTAAAAACAAATTGATAATCAAGATAATCAGTAATAATAACGAGGCTAACAATGATAATAAACTTTATAGGTGCGAAGACCATGTTAAATCGTATAATGCTAACCAGATAGAGAAAAATTTTTGGCTCAACAGTACCAGTAGTTGCTTTTCAGATGGAGTAGGCAGAAACAACAATGGCCAAAAAATTCTATTGATGGAGTCATCTTCTGCCTATGGGGTTGAAGATTTTGAGCATAGTTTACAAGACACGTACAAGTTAATTAAACTATCCACAGCAGGTCTTCAAGAAATGATAAAAAGAAAGCAAGACTGCAAAGCGTCCTCTGCTTCAAAATTGGCCGTCTTTGGTATACAATGCATTAAAGATAAGCTGACCTTGCTGAAAACAACCTTCGATGCTAAATTGGAAAATTATAAGATCATGGAGTTGAGATCTTGTACAATACCAACAGCATGGGAGAAAAGATATGCTATGTTGAAGGTTTTTGAACTTCTTGCCTGTCTTAACGTAAGTCCAATGAAAATTTATTCTATACAGTTCTTTTAATTAAAATACTGATTTGATTGTTATCGTTCAGTATGAGCTCAGAAAACAACTAGAATTAGAGCGCGAACTGTTAAGACAAGAGAACCAGTTGGAACCAGTCAATGCAGATGAGTCTGTGAGGTATTTTCTTCGTTCTGGCAGACTCACTCATTATTCTGGCCAAGGTTATTGAGGGCTTTTGCCTTTCTTTTGTTTCAATTAACGTATACTGTATAATATAACGAATAAAAATGGATAAGATGAGAAAATTGAAGGGAAGAGGTATATGAATAGGTATACATATTATACTTGGAAAGAGACAAATAGTTTTTGTTAAGTATAAGAAAAAGGGAATAATGGTATCACTAACATAAAAGGGGATGCAGATATTTAATGAATGCCGTAACTTAACAAATAAGGTGTATTCAAAGTATAAAGGAATGCCCGAAGAAATGAATTGCACGATTCTTGAAATTATACTCATGAAGAACATTTATGTGTTCCAAATACAGCGGGAATCATGAACTCGAAAGATCTCTTACCATATTGTGATAGTTTAAATTAGGAATACCTTTTCTCACTAACTTCTATACGTGTTCAGATTTCTTTACTTACAGTTTTCTTTCAAGATAAATCTGTAATCCTTGGAGCGGATAAAAGCAACTTTCGCTTTTACCAGGAGATCCAAATTGGATTGAATGTATGTATTTGTTGACATATAACAATAAAAAACTGCATTTTCTTTTCAAACCTACACGAAGAAGGTAAGAAAACCATCCTAAATTCGTAATGGAATCAATGATGATAGAACTACATTAAGCACAGTCTAAAATATTAAATATAGAAATAAACCTCTCGTTATCTGTTGAGACAGAATATAGAAGCAGTAATAACAAATACGTGGGGTACTGAAAAGAATTTGAGATACTTTATTTGTATACTTTTTAAAGTTTTTCAGAAGTTATCGTTTATACGTAAGCATTTAGCGGGATCCCTTTGTGCGAAAACCACTTTTTTTTTATTATTTTTGTTTGAATTCAGATACAATTTATATCAAACAAAAGATATGGAATTGAGGGTTAAAGAATGAATATGTAGGCTGAACAGCAAAACGGATCCCAATATTGAACCCCAACAACACTTAGCTTGCTTCTTGTGAGAATTGGTTCTCGGCAGTCTTTAAAGTGATCGTACGCGTGATTGAAGATTCAAGGAGTTGCAATGCATTCAGTGGACCAAGCTTCTTTGTTGATTATAGTACACCAGTGTTATTTTTATAGCATTTATAAGTTAGTTCCCACCAATTACAGAGTGTACTGCTCGGTATAAACAGTCGTTATGACTGCAAATTGGGCTGGCCGTGCCAAACATCTTCAGCAAATCTTAAGGTAGCAGAACGTGAGAGCTATTTCAACGTAGAAGACCAAAAGGACCATTTTGAAGAGTAGTTAACGACAAAAGTGAAAGTCATCTCAATAATTGCAGGACAGGATTGACAAGCAGTTGAAGGCCGAAGCCGAGGTCTTAGACGATATAACGGTAGCTGTGTGCTTAAAAAATCACGTAATAAGCGCCACCGGCAAGTAACGACCTTCTAGGAGAAGCCTATAGCCCAAAAAACTTTCAGAACCGAGGACGGCAAAAACTAGGAGGCAGATATAAAGCAGCAAACCATCCATCTTAGACTTACTAAATTTATAATTCTCGAAACCAAACAGCTACGCTACAATAAACCTTTCGTTGAAGTCATTATTTTCCATTCTTTTTCTGAAAAAAATAGCTTATATTGATAGTTCAAGCGTTGTTCAGATTTAATACAAGACAACCCTATTTTATGCAATTTCCACACAAAATTTTTGATACTATGAATACAGATCGGAAGATCCGGTAACCGTCGATAACGAAATGCATCAGCCGCGTACCATAACAAAACGAGCCCCCGTAGAACAGAACCCCGAGTTGCTTAGATAACATTTCTTCCAGCTTGGCTTCAGGGCCCAAGCGCGGTATATGATTGTAAACCCTAAGTGAAGATATTACAAAGGGGGGTGGCATCCTACAATCCCGCATCCTGAAACATCCACCAAGTGTTTACTGAGTTGGTTACCGGAGAGTACTCTATTTTCGCAAGGTATTGATTGTCTTTGAGCATCTTCACATATTTTTACGATTATCGTTTGACTACCGCTACATATCTTCATTGTCCATAATCCTTACCAGTTATTATAGTCCAAAATAATCAACATGATTAAGAATATGTAGATGTTTTATTCTAAATCCTTTTAAAGCTTTAAGGACCAAACTAATAGCGTTTAGAGATTCAGTATAAAATAGCATATATGAGTTGTTATCACCTACCTCTGTTTGATGAATGACATGTTCTTTATTAATGTAGATGTAAAGGAGCGAAAGACAGGTGATAGTCTCCTGAAATAAATTTTCCCACTTTTAAGTCATATCTGATGGTTTTGAGAATTTCGAAGCGTTGTTTAGCGCCTAAAAAATAATTCTCACGTGTTGATTGCTAGACAGATGGAGCTTTTCAAACGTCTATCAAATACTTAACAATGTATTAGTTTACACTTCTAAATGACCCCATCTCTTTTTACTCACGCTTACTAAATGTAGATGGTTGTATCATTTACAGTATGAATATCACAATTGGGAATGAACAGGAATTCAGAAAGAATATCGACGTCACTAAAACTAAAAAAAAATAAAGTCGCTATTTAAATTGATGCCGGATGATTGGCTGAAAGTTTAATATGTTTAAAGAAATCTTTTATTACCCAATGAGCACCAAAAATTGCCCAGGGCAGATCCTAAAGTTTCTATAGTATAGATTATATATTGCAAAAAACCCCTTTGGGAGCAAGGGTAAAAAAGGATTTAATCAATTGCTGTTGTGTGTGAGTGCTGGATCAACCATTGTAATAGAGCGAAGCCTAGTGAGGAGTCTGGTGGAGGGGATCACATCCAAGAAACAAATGATCGAGTTCATAAAGAATGTGGCAATGGATCTAAAATTGATATTGGCATCATCAGACGTTAATGTCTCTGTAAGCGTTGTATAGCATATTGTTTTGTCATGATGGTGGTGGGATAATGGAAGCAGAAATTGGAATGACCACCAGGTAGCCATCCGAGACGCCATCGGATGCAGAGGCTACGCTCTTGAGTGTGAGTTACGGTCTTTACACTTTAATTGGAGACATTATTCTGAAGGTCAGTAGACACTCTTCAATTGAAAGCGACACTACGTTTAAAGTACTACGGATGTACTGGATAATTTAGCGCGACATAGTATTAGCAATAGACACAGGGGTTGTGGCTTTTGAGGCTTTATTAATGGATCGAATGAATTGATCTACGCGTTAAACTGATCCCATAACGGTTGTTGTCCATCGTAAGAAAAAATAGATGCTGCCAAACTTGAAGCATTTACAGGAAAAAATAAGTTTGATGCCTTTCCTTTGACTTTCATCATCTTCTTCTTCTATACTTTATCATTCCTGTAAGCTATTACTTACCATGTAAAAAGCCAAAATCTTGCAAAAAAGTGAATTGGTGGCAGAATTGGGGCAAATGACCAAAGAGAATAATGACAGAATAGCCTTTTCTAAACGAAGAAAGAAGAAGATAAAGCGAGAGAAGTAAACGAAATTAGCGCAAAGAAAGCTAGAGAAGGGTCTTAAATGACAAGCACATCATCCCCTATCTGCAGAAAATATTGTTAGTATTCATGTTTTCCACAGCAATTCCGCAAAGAACAAGTGGAAGCCTGGCCCCTTCAGTGTAGGCAACACTGAAAAAGCCCCTCTGATTGTATTTTGCAATGGCATGTTCGGGAAATCTGCCGTACCCATCAAAGGCCACAAAGCTGGCGTCGTTGGAGTTCTTTGATGTGCCTTGAAGCGAAGAGAGGCTGCTGGCGATTTACTGATGATAACAATTGATGAATACAAAACCTCTCGAATATGCAATAATTGCCGTTCCAACAATCTTGAAGCATTGACAACTGTTCCGACCAACGGAACCTTGCCTGCAAAACCTGCTCGATACTATGGAACCGGGACGTCAACGATGCTAAAAACATGTTGGCAATTAGCGTTTTGATCTGGCAGTCAACGGAGTTTTCTAGAAAACCAAAAATGTCACTCGCATCAACCACTTGACAAAATCCTACCAATTTGCCAGCACAAAACTGGTTTGATTCTTTAAAGGTAAGGCCTAGGGCTCTGGTGGCTATGGACTTCTAAACCTCCACTTTTACTTTGTCTGTAGTGAAATGTTTTAGTCGTCTCCCATTACGAGTAAAAAACACTGTAGCCCCAAACGACACGCTCAACCATTTGTCAACAAACGGCCAATCATTTTCTAGGTAGCGTTATTTATTGCCAAATTTATTTATTTTTTCTCAAAACGGACAAAAATTGACCAGCCGCACTGTATAAGAAACGGTTTTTCTTTAATCAGGTCTTTCATTCATATAATCCACACAAAAAGACATTTAATAATTATAAAAAAAAAAGCTGGATATGTCAGTGTCTTGTTTTGGACAATTATTTTTCTGAGTATCATTTGGTTTGCTTTTTCTGTCTTTCTTTTTTTTTGAAGACGCTTTAATCGCAATTGAAAAGATCAACTACACTGATGGGCTCGTTTCTGTCAAAGCAGCAGGTGAGTGATTCAGCAACCTTATTTATGGCCGCACAACCACTCATTATCGACTTCATTTTAAATAGATAGATTCTGATAACTATGAAAAGATATTGTCAGAGCTGGATACTGAAATTCAAAAGCTAGAAATTAAGCTATCAGATATGAAGATAAATGGTCGAAGAATAGGTGTTTTATGGATCATATATTCAACATTATTGTGGATCATTTATGTGATATACTACTTGTATACTCTAAACCCAAGATACCGTTTGCAAACTGTGGAATATCCCTTCTTCAATTTGACGCCCATATTCTTAGGCCCTTTATGGTAAAACATATAATAAGCAACCATTGTGAATGTAAAGGATTTTTTACTGACTATACCGGCAGTATCTATTACATTCGGAAAGGATTAAACTGGACTTATCACAAAAGACTCGCCCACCTGGACATAGAATTGACGACGTTACGTAAAAAGCAAAAACTAAAAGTCGAAGAGCTAAAAAAGAAGACATCCTATTATACAACAAGGCTGTTGTTGGAAAGATATGATAGTAATTTTGAAGGATATAATAGAATGAAAGAAAAAGAAACAGCTGCTAAGCACCAACAAGGAATTCATCTTCAGCCAAAACATAAGCAAAAGCAGCAGCAAACAGCATCCAAACCACAGCAGTTGCAGCAACAACAGCTTGTTGCAAATCAAAACCAACACAATGCAAAGCCGACACTGTCATCCAAACTTCAATTAACACAGCAATCCAATGACCAGCAGCAACGACAGCAGCATTTCAAATTTCAGACTATTCCAAATAATAATGTTGCCCAACCAACTATACCGCACAACCTAAATCACTTTTATCAACTCAACAAGCAACAACCACAGAAATGGTATGATAAATTGATTGATGCGCTTGTTGGGGATATTGGACCAGAAACAAAATATGCACTGATTTGCATTCATTGTTACGCGCACAATGGGCTCATATTACCACAAGAGGTCGATACCATACGTGAGTATACAATATATATAGAACGATTAGAATGCAAAGGCTCGACTAACAGTGTCTGTATTTTTTAACCAATAGAATACACATGTCCTCATTGTCATCAATTCAATCCTTCACGTAAATCAAGAAAGTTACATCCAAATGGACCAGTACTGCCTTCATCAACACAACCGCAACCGACAGTTTCATCTACCACCTCCGTAAATACCCTAGCGCCTGAAGCATCATCTCTCATACTCAACTCTTCCGTGGCAGGGTCGATAAAACGCGTACAACCACTCAATGCTTCTAGTAATCAATCTCTGAAGGAAAATGATTTACTTAAAAGCGGTATGAACGAAATGGATGGGTCAGACCTCATAGCAAAAGAAAGCAAAAGTGATACCTTTAGAACAGCATCATCATTACCGACAACAAAGGATTGAGTGTACAGCATAGATTGATATTTAATCGTTTTACTATCACTGTAGAACAAAATATGTTATAACGAAATAAAACATCACTTTAAAGAGTTGAAGTGATATTTCTCAACTTGGTAAAGAGGCCTAGAAGTTAAGCAACAGTTGGGTAATATTTTGGCTACTTGCGTACACGAAAAGTTTTTTAAAATTTTGGAAGAAAGTTTCAAAATAAATCAGAAGGGTACAATGGAATCACTAGCAGCGGAGGGTGTTGTCGTTCAACTGATGATGCTTTATATGAGAACAAGTATTGTAACGGCAGTCACAGCTTGGGGATTATAAATGACTTTATTCTTCAAATGGCAGGTTATCTGCAACACCAAGCATTATCAAAACGCTCGGCCTTTGTACAAAAATCAACAATGAGATAAAAAGAGTTTTATAAATTATGATTATGGTATTTCCATACCTCCTATAATATATAAACACGAATTAGACACACCATCGAACACTAGACACGTTATTATGATCATAGAATCACATGCCGTCTTGTATTTTAGAGCCACATATATAATGCTGCATTCTTATTGTTTGAGAAATTAAGGAACGAGTATTTAACCACTTTTTTGTTCCTCTGAAAGGACCTAAATCATTTAAGACTCTTGAAACAGTGGACGGTACACAGCACGAGACGTTCAAAAACGCATGCGTAGCACTTCATTTGATTGACGATGGGGAGGAATGGACAAAGTGTTTCAGCGAAGCGGCACAACTTACGACTAGTGGGTTATTATTGTTAATGCCGTTGAAAGAGCTTCAACTGACGTAACTATAGATAATACTTCTACTAAGTCGGTCTTCTTCATTCACAGCCCTGCGATACCGGGAAGACTTTCGGAGGTCACACATTATATCATTACTTCCGTTCGAAGGGTAAATTTGTGCTCTGTGCTGCTTCGTCGGAAATTGCTACTCTGTTACTGCCTGGTGGAAAGACTTTGCATTTCAGATACCTATCAATAAAACACCCTATTCCACATAGTACATACCAAAGAAAGGGAGTATTGCTGAACTTCTCCGTCAAAGTGGCCTCATCATATGAGATGAGGTCCCAATGCAATATAAGCATTGTTTTGAAGCAGTGGTTAGCACTCTACAAGACGTGATGAACAGCAGTGAAATGTTTTCCAAAATAACTGTGGTGTTCAATGGAGATTTTTGCACAAATCTTTCCGCGTGGTCGTCAAAGATGAAAGACCAGCCTTTATAGCAACATCAATCAAGAGCTCATATGTTTAAAATCATGTCACTGCTTCCTTGAAGCATAACAAGAGAATTCAAGACAAAGCACCAACGATCAGGATTTCAAGGTTCTTGAGCAATATGTCATATACCAATCACTATCAGATCAAAAGATTGCCCTTTTTGAATTACATCTTCACAGAAGACTGTTTACACGATCTCATAGATAAAGACAACCCTGTCTTCATCTTAACGGATCCGTCAACGTACAGCCGTTTGTTCAATGAAACAGCAATTTCAACTGCAAGAAACAACGTTATGGACAGTATAAACAGAACTATGCTATCCAGAGAGAAGGTTTCATTGTTCGCTGGTAATTCGGCTAGATGTTAGAGAAGGAGAAGAGATTTCGCGACTTCAGATGATACCCGAATATTTGTATAGTCTAGATGTGTGGTGATGCTGCTCGGAAATTTGAATCCGGTTAAGGACTAGATAACGGCACAAGACTCTAATCGTACAGAGTATCAAGCATTAATCACTTAGCATTAAGGTTGTCGGTCAAGGAAGCAACAGCTTAGAAGCGCTTATCACAAGAATAACATTGGTGACATCGAAAGGCAATCCTCCATTTGTACTCACCGGGAAACAGTTTCCTGTTAAGCTCTGTTTTACTGTGCCTGTTAATAAGTCGCAAGGACAAAGCCTGACTGTTGTCGACACACGCACACCAGTCTTCACTCATGGTCAATTGTATGTTGCATTATTCAGATCAAAAAATACAAAAGCAATTTACTCATTGATCAATAAATAGAAAAAGTATCGACAACACCAATCATGCTGAACTACTTTTAAATCATTAGCTATATCCTTTTTTTTAAGATAAATCGCTTTTAAATTGTACTATATATCAGCATGGTGGGATTTGGGTTCCTCCTCAAACGGCCGCTCCGGCCCAAGGAACTAGATTATGGCGAGTGAGCGTAGTGAAAACAGGATGGCTAATGTCTGTTACAATTTTCTATTTTAGCAATCATTCATTGGTCAACGTGTCAGCATTTTCTGCATTAAAACAACCATTGATTTCCAGCCAATGCTGTAATATTCAAATACTTGGTTCCTCTGGTTTTTTTCATTTGTGTATTAAAGCTACAATGAATAGCAACAGTAGCTTAGACAGGGAAATCGTCATCAAAGTCTGCTCAACGTCTTTTAATAAGGCGCTTGAAGTCAAGACAACGTTAAACTCTGACATTGGAAGCTTGAAAAGAACCATTGAAGATATAGTTCCTAATCACCCCCCTCCAACTCATCAACGTCTAATATATTGCGGTATGATGTTGACGGACAACGACTATCTCAAAGATATCCTAAAAAAGGTATTTTAAAACAATTTGTTATGGTAATGGATAGTTGTTTTTCTGAAAAGTTCTTCCCTTATAGGTTGACAATGACATTCAGCCTACATTCCATCTGGTTGTTAAACCTTCTTTACAACGCAAATCTTCGACTGTTCGAAATTACGCACAATCTCAACAACATTCACTGCAAGAACAGCAGGCTCATTCTGCGGAATCTAGTGATATGGCGGCATCAGCTACTTGCTCAACATCCTCTGCAGCACAATCTCAACAACAAGAACAACAACCATTACAACAATCACAATTACCTCCACAGCAGTCTATGAACAATACTCCACAACAACAACGAATCCACAACGAAACACCTTCAATGTACCAACCTTCTTCATTACTACCTGGTGGATATCAGGTCATTGCTATCAAGTAAGGAACCATAACTACTTTGTCTATAGTGTTTAAAGGGGTACTTATTTGTATTTCTTTTTAATTTCAACATCCATATAGCGGTCAATACTATCTTGCACCTGTCTTAACCCCTGCTCAACCTCTGTCATCAATACAAGTCTTCCAACAGCCTCAGCCCCCGTCTCAACAGTATTCTTATGTAGTTCCCCAAAACCCACAAGTCCAACCTCAATATCAGCAACGTCAATTCAATTATATAAGACAATATATCAGTAATCTGTTTACCAACAATAACAACAATAACCAGCAGCAGCAACAACCCATTCTCGTACGACAAGGCATGTTAAATGGTGGCATGTTTCAGAGAGCTACGTCCATCTGGCTTGCTGTAAAATTGATGGTCATTCTTTTCATGGTTTGTCAGGGTGCTAGTATCGAACGTATCTTCATATTTCACACAATTGCCTTTATTTTCTTCTTATATCAAACGGGTCGATTGAGATTTGTTGTACGACGAGTACGAGCTGAGGATTTGAACATGAATAGAAATGGAGGAGTAGGAGGAATTGCACAGCAACAGCAGCAACAGCAGTATCAATCGCAAACAGAAACACGAGCAGTTGATGATAATAACAATAATAACGGTACTGATACAGTTTCTTCTACATCAGTAAATCACAACAACCCAAACTACAATAATTTACACCAAAGAAGAGCGACAGATGGCAGTGCTGAAGATGTTACAGCGTCATCCACATTCGTAGAAAATAATAGACATCAACCGCAACAGCAACAACGAGCTTTGACCGCATTAGACACGTGGAAAAGGGGAATTTACTCATTCTTTGCTTCGTTGTGGCCAACTTATGGTGTTGATCCACGCATTGCACAAGCATTTAATGATGATGATAACAACAACAACAACAACGACAATAATATTAACAATTAAAAATGGCTAAGAAGGACTGGCGATTTTGCCTTTTATAATTACGATAGTTATTTGCCGTTCAGTCAAAGTGTATAGTATTTAGTGTTTGTTACAGCATGTTATCATTATGTTAGTGCAATCTGGGTGGCAAAGGAAAGAATGTTTTTAAATTGTTTTTGCAAGTCTCTGAAAGGATCTTCTCTTTACTCCTTTGTCAGTCTATGTACCTGTTGTGGGATGTAAAAGCTTTTGGATCTGACCCGTATAGTTTTATCAATTTTTTGTAGTCTCTAGACAAACACCTCGACATACAGACACTGTTTAAATCAGACTATATGCGTGGATTAGTTTTATAATTAAAAGTTTTGAAGAGTTTTATTTTCTTATTTCATAGAATACTTAATTAGAGAGACTCACTTGCGACCATTTATAAAGAAAGGATCTCATACGAGACAATTATCCATTTATCTGTTGTACTGTTTTTCATATACAGGGTGCTCATTGTAATCAATGTAATCATTATATCGATCCATTATGATACGTAAGGAATCAAAGATGATATAACACCGTTAGGTCCTGCACTACAAATTTGATTATCAAATGCCACGGTAAATTTAAGCCTAAAGCGATTCTCACTTTGACTTTTTACTTGGCTATTAATAATGATTCCTTCCACTTTTTCCCTTTTTCTAATTTAAGTAGCCGTTGCCATTACGAACAACTGTTTTATTCTTGAGGTTGTTTCCGGTCACCATAAGGTAGCATAATCTTTGAAACAGCTATCTCATTTACTGCGATCAACCATTCAATTACTAAACAATTTATTTATTCCGCCACTATCTTAACAGCCCGAATTCCACATGAATTAACTGTTTTGATAACAAATAATGATCTCACTAGCATCCAGCTTTAAATTTATTATTCATGTTCAAAAATGTTTCCAAAAGCTCGAGATTACAATGCATGCTCTCTAAAATGTATATACAATGTTATTGATCATTTTCATTTCATGCTTGATATAATGATAAGTTATTATTTAAGGTAGTACGTATGATTTAATACTACAGAAATTCTCTGCTTACTCTGGTAGTAGCTATCCATTCGGCAGATGACAATCGGAAGTACTGTTATAGTGTATATCTTATGCCTGAATACGGTTTTCAACTTAATGATACAAAATTATGTCTGTGGTATACGATAATCTTTTGCATGTTCCTGATAGGAAGGTGGTGGTGGATTTGGATCGGATGTATCTGGAGGTCTGTAGAAAGTGTTATTTTCTGTATGCGCAGTGGTTGAGAACCTTGGTGGAGGGGAAGTGTAAGTTGCTGGATACGAAGCGTGGTGCGTAGGCGCCCCATTCATGTCTACTATCACATAGTTATCTGGCTGATTAGACTGCGGAGCTCGCCTTGCTTGAATATTTCTTCGTTTGAACAGCATTAGCAACGAAATAAATAGTAAAATTAAGCATATTATCCAAACTATATTATAATATAAAAACATTTAACGATATGACGTTGACAAATATTAATCAAAAAAATGCATGTAAAAGAGAAAGAAACAAAAATTCCCCTAATTCAAGACTTGCACCACAACTTTTATTTGCAGTTTACAGAAAGCTCAGATACGTTGTGTTGCCATTGGTCAACTATGAAATCATATAAAGAAATTCCATTTTTTAGTGCTCAGCAGTACGATCATGTGTGCCAATTCAACCCTTCTTCGTTCGTTCTGGTTCATTCGATGCTTATCCCATCCTAAACTTCATCTTCTAATTGGCGATCAATGTTGAGCATTAAACATTTGAAGTTCTCTGTGTTTTATTGACTTAACTAACCAGCGTTAGATAATTATTCGGCATGCTATTTTTGATATATTTTGCTATTGTTCGATTTGGAATTGTACGATACTCACCAAAAATAAGCTTATCGGGTGCAGGCAGAAACGATTACTGTATGCTCCACGACGACTTTACATTTCGCTTATTCAAGAGTTTTTGAATTGCGGCCTCAGTTAACATAACGTAAGGCACACGTTAGCTGCCAACATTTACGATTATGTTAAGCTTAAATGGCCTTAAATTAAGTGGAAGTAACCTGGTTTTATCTTATTCAACGTTAACTGAACCCGAGGATGTCAAAAAGAACTGCAAATTTATCCAGACTGTTCAACTTTCAGACTTCGACTTTCTACACTGTGTTGGACATAACAAATAAGGGTAACCTTCACTGAAGGAATCCCTCAGCTCTTCTATAAAGTTTCAAAATGTTGACGCTAAACACCTTAATCAAATTGCCTATCAGTGGTTGAACTTGAGCAGCCAAGATTTTCTTTTTTTGGGTAGGTGGGCAATAAACGACTCAAACTCTCTCAAAAAATGTCAGAAGTGTATACTATCTTTTTTTATTGAGGTTATACTTTAACATAGTTGCTTTAACAAGAAAATGAAAATATTTTGAATGCGTTACAGATGGAAATGATGAAGGGGAAGCGGTAGCATTAGTAACGTGATGTTGTGCCAATGCTCTTGTTGCGGGACTTGTCAATTAATTGATACAAAGTAGAGATGGGCAAGCGAGGTGGAGAAGGGACTATAGGCGATTTGAGCAGGTTCAAACTATTGTTCCAAAACGATGAGCTAACTCGCGCCAATGTACATAAATTCTTCTTTGTTGTCAATGCATCAAGGTTAGCCAAGGAGCTAGGAAAGGTAAATGTCGCTACTTCCACCATGAGATACAAATCTTGATACCGACGACCCAGATCAGGATTTAGAAACATCACTACTACGACGATTGGCCAACAGTGCCCTTTGGCCTCATTTGGCTTCAGCGTTTAGGCTGTTAGATAGGAACATTGGGATCTATCCCAGGCAATTTTGGTGCTCAATGGGTTTTTCAGTTTTAAAAAAATGGACGTTTTAAATATACCATGACATGAACTAGCGTATCATCTTGCATTTCTCTGGAAGCTTTGTTATCGGCGTGGTTCTGTGTTGCGCACCAATTCGGTTTATCGCCCTACCCTAACGACTCTTTGCTCAGAGAGCGTCGCTTAGAATATGATGCTGCCCAAGACCTCACTTTCGTCATTTTGCCTATAGCTTAAACGCCTACAAGTATTCATTAAAAAGCAAGTAGAACCGACGAACATTCAATAAGCAGTCTAAATGCGTGTACTAATGAGAATTTCTATGAGATTGTGGTTTAAGATAGTGGTTGGTTAAAGGAATTGATGATAAACAAATTGGAATATTTATTGTCATAATTGACTAAATTTCAAACGCAGACCTTTGATTAAATAAGATTATTCTTTTAATCGCCATTGTGGTGGGGTGTGTCAAGCCCGCGTATTTTATCTATGACTAATTAGAACGTGACAACTATATGAAGATCAAATAAACCATCTCAAGAGAAAATGATGGCATACATGGAAACATTGAGTCAAACACGGAACAAAACATCAATGATGTGGTCAATGCCCCCGACAGGATGTCTGCTATCGAAAAGGAACATGCGTCGACAGGACAAACAAGTACCGATAATACGAAAAGGACAAGGCGCCCATTTATTTGTTTCCAATGAAATCAAGAAGGTCATGTAAAGAAAGACTGTCCCGGAAGAAAACAAGAACGCCTATATCCAGGATTTTCAGATGCGTTCCCTATGAGACATGCGGGCATGGGAAAGCGCCTTCTATCACAAAAGCTCGAGGACAACCCGGAAACAATAAACAATATAACAATTGTTAGAGATGCTAGTTCCATAGATGGTGTGAGCGAAAAGAAAACTGCAGAAAGAAAAATATTCGATCAGACTACAAAACCTGGAAAAAGCAAGAAACTTAGGCAGAGTAAAGCAAAAGCTTGCGGAGAAGTACCGCCGTTTATTGTAAGAAGAATGAATCGTAACTTCTCAATCATGGTGGACGATAACGACCAACTGAGAGAGTTGGACGTTAAGAAACCGTTATTAAGTAGCCATATCACTATACCAACCATTCGACTACTCTACTCCGGATAAGTATTGCCAGCTGCTTGGCGCGGAACCCACTACACAGAAGAAACTAGGTGCAACTGCAGGATTTTCAATGGAAATAGATAAAGACAAGCCTGACGTAAACAACATAATCGTAGACAATACCAAGTTGAAAGGCAATCCAGCGCAGCTTCCTAAAGTACAGGTCCTCGCTGAGATATACAAAGAGCATTTGAATTTCTTGATAGACAGTGGTGCTCTAGTATCAGTAGCACCCTTAAGTTTGGTAAAACGGCAACAGGAAGATATCACTTCGACCAATAAGACTCTTAAGTATGCCAACGGTGAGATAGAAATGCCTATCGGTAGCGCTAGCGTGAAGCTTTATTTTGGAAATGCATTGAAGGTGAGGCACACCTTTTTCATTGTAAATAACGATTGCAGCCCACGCATTATGGCATAGAGTTCATGTTGGATACCAATGCCCTGTGTTATGTTCTGACTTCTACATCATAAAACAATCTGAGAAACAATCCAGATTTACTTCCTTAACCAGCTATGGTGCACTGGAACAAATAAGATTTCATCAGTCACACTTCAACTTACTAGTAATCTAGATATCTCACAGTGGCGTTGTACAATTTATTAACAGGAACAATAGTACTCGGATGTCACTACTACTTTCTTAATTCCACTATAAGCTCAGTTCTACCTCGAATAAGTAGATTAGAGATAGTGCGGCGCAGCCGTTTTGAAACGCGTTTCGCGCGTTTATAAAAGAACATCCAAATTTTAAATCAAAATAAAAACGATAGAAGAACTCTTGTTCGGTCTCGCTGACTCATTTAGTCTCTACCTTGATGTGTTAATTTCTGATTTCTGATATCAAGAATATCACACCTTGTATGACCCACTGAAACAGACAATACGGTTTAGAAATGACGAAGGTGATACTCTATGCGAGGTTCCCTACTTCGTATAAGGACGATACAGATGGCTCTGAAGAAAAAAAGGCTGACATACCTGCTAGAGTTGATAATAGTTTAAGGAACGATGAAGTTTATTTGACCAGATTGGACATTTGAAGCCGGACAGTCGCAACTGCTAGGGCTGGGTCTTGAAGCAGCAGCTTCACAGTGGGCAGCGGACAAGGTACTTGTACCTGATGCTAGATTGTTAGTAGACGACAAGGTCTGCATGCTACCAGTGTTATTGACCAAGGGCGGTGCAAGCCATTATTGTTACATAACTGCTAATATGTTGATAAAGTCAGTCACCCCAAAGAAAGGCACACTTCGGGGAAGATTGACTGATGCAAGTACTGTCCAAGATGAAACGGATATAATGACATAGGTAGAAGAATTGGTAGACCATTTATTGTTTAATACTAAGTGGAGGAAGTTGTTTAAGCACCTAGCCCGGGACTTGGAACTAGTAAACAACAGATTGTACCGAAGACCAACCGATAATTATCCTTTTAAGCGGGAAGTGGTAAAAGCATTGGAAATTCTGGCCGTAATGCAACAACGCCATAATCATCTTCACTCTGGTCATCAAAGTGTAGAAGGACTTTTCTTTAAGTTGCTCAGAAGTACTACTCGGTCCGGATGCTACAATACGGTGGGGGAGTATGTAGCGTCATGTCATACGTGTCAGCATTACGGTCCCAGAAACACACCAACATAAATTGATGTGCATATCAATACAAGGCTCTTACTACTTTCAGTCATCTGTATAAGTATTATATCAAGCTTCCAGTTACAAAACAGGGCTATAACACGGCTCTCGTTATCATTGACAAACTCTCTAGATGGATAGACTGTTACTCATGCCCCAGTCAAAGCTCCACCAATATATGCCTCTACTTGTTCCATTGGATCTGTCAATATGGATTGCCGGTAATGGTCTACTGTGACAATGGCTCCCACTTCGACGCGGAAGAAGTGAAATCCTTATGGTCACAAATTATGGTATAAAGTTGCAGTTTGGTGTGCCTTATCGGCCGCAGGGCCAAGGGAAGGTCGAGAGGGTAAATGGTATAATCAAAAACATCATCCAAAATAATATATGTACATAGCTACTCTGAAGACTAGGATGTATGGCTGCCGGTGGCCATGTATGTGTTGCGCACGTCATCTAAGCGCGATCATAAATATAATCCGTTCATGTTGTTCTATGGTCGGCATCCTAGGCATATTCAAGATCTAGAAGATGTAATCTTACGGGAAGTGGAAGACGATAAATTGCTGAATTTTATTGTAGAGCGAATCGAAGAGTTGAAGGTGCTAAAATCACTTTATATCGTTATAGCAGTAGCTAACAATGAAAAGTATCAGCAAAAATTATTGACGCATTATAAGAAGGGGTTACAGAATAGGCGGTTCCCCTTAGTGATGTGGTTATGATGCCTTAGGCCTTTTATAAAAACATGGGAATGGTAACTCGCTGGTTTGGACCATAGCGTATTGATGAAATTGCATCTCGTCATGTCTACAAGATATCTGATGGTGGCGCTGTGTTGCCTCAGGTGTAACATGCTGATTAAATGAATTTATACTACTCTAGACCTCGAATCTCTGAGGAATTTGTCTTTTAATGTCAAACAGAAGAATTAGAAAAAAAAAAAAAAGAAAAAAAAAAGAGAGATGTAGTGTGGTGGGGTGTGTCGAATGTAGAAGGGCAGTGACCTGTGTATTCATTTATGAGTCTCTTCGAAGGTATAATAGCCGTAAAGCTAATAGGCATAAGTAATAAATAAATATGCTGCTATCCCGTGACATACAGTGACTCACAAAAGTGTGGCAATGTTTTGTGATTTTTGATTTTCTAGTTTTCCTTCCATAATCAATTACAAAAAAACACTCTTTTTCTTATTTATATTTGAAGTAGACTCTATTCGCTATAGTTTGGTGTGCTTTTCATTGTATTCGCTTCAGATTTACTGATTGTAACAGTTGTCATTGCTAAATGGCGAAATCTCGCCATTCACAGCATGATGATCATCACAACTTTTTGTGAAAAGAAAGAAAGAGTTTCAAAGTCAGCGAAATCAGGTTCCTGGTTTTATATTCATGTGAAACGCGTTTCTCTTCTTGCATTAAGTTAAATTGGAGATCAATCTGCCATTAGCCTCCATTAGCAAGCATCAGCGTAAAAATCAGAAGCATTTCTTACGTCAAGAAGGTGGATATTATAGCTCAACTCAATGCTAGAAAGTCATACAGAGCTATTTCGGCCGCTACTGGCGTCTCTACTTGGACCATTGGTCGAATCGCCAGAGATTCAAGTCGAGCCTAATGCGAAGATGGGGAGACCAAAGAAGATCAGCGATTTGCATGCTAGGCTGATCGCGAGATTTTTCTACACCGGTCAATATATAACCGTCGTGGATGCCTCCAGAAGCCTTCGTGCTCAAGGGCACGATATTTCTGCTCAAACGATTCGAGGGTGCTCAAGTCATCTGATTTCGATTCCAAGATCAAGAAATCAGCATTGCCATTGACTAATGAACGCCGACGCAATCGTTTGAGATGGGCAAGAGCTCATAGCAAGTGGACTGTCGATGACTGGAAAAAGGTTGTCTTTAATGACGAAACCAAAATTAACCGTTTGGGTTCGGGATGGTAAGACTTGGACTTGGGTAAAGAAAGCCTCACAACGTTAATTTCATGTACAAAGGAGGTGGCGGTAGCCTAATGCTATGGAGTTGTTTCACCCAACATGGGCCTGGGTTCATTGCTAAGATTGAGGGCGGGATGGACTCGAAGTTATATTGTGAAATCTTGAAAGGCGACTTTATGGAGACCCTCAAAGAACCTGTTGAAAATCCTATCTTTAACAAAAACGACTTTTTGTTCGCTAAGAATTCTAAATTCAATTTTTAGTATCGCCCTTATAAGAAAGTAACAGTACAACAACGTCAAATCATGCAAGTACCTATACCTCATGGATTACCGCATAAGTTCTGCTTGACAGAAAAAGAATGCCGACATATAAAAGTTCCGCTCTATTTTTCAACATTGACTGTGGAAAGCTGGGTGAATTGCAATACACTCACCAAGTTCATTATTGAAAACTCGGAAACCCAAGCTCCACGTAATGCAAACAAGGTTCTCGCGTCTTTCCTTGCAGATTTGAAGAATATCAAAAACAACAAGAAAGCTTATTTCAATTTCTTCAATTATTGCAATGACGTTATTGAATTCTATCAAAAAAGTGAGAAAAAGAAAGAATTCTATACCGCATACACAGAACAATACAATTTGTTCCAAGATAAGAAAAAGCAAGTCTACTTGGGAGAAAGGTCAACAAATTTATTGACTCAACGTGCACTCTTGCAACAATTAGACAACTTGGCGCAGGATATTGATGTTCTGGAAAAAAAACAAACAGATAAGCCTTCCATCAGTAGACATCCTGTGTCAAAAGAAGATAGCACCAAGTCAGTTTTGACACGAATCGTTGAGGCTGGTGTAGAATTACATAACAAATACGTTGGAGGCGAAGAGTTAACCAGGCAAGAAATTGACATAATTGTTGTATACGATCAGATAAAAGTATAAAGGAAAAGAAAACAAAAAGGAAATCAGTGAAGACCAAGTTATCTTCTTTTATTAGGTAGAATATTCTGATATAGAATTGAAGACAAAAACCATGTAGGAAAAAAGTACTTCTATTTATATTTGTGGATATTGTAAAAAACTTTTTCTATCGAGACTCTTAGGTACAAGATGACCTGATGATAAAAGAAAAGACATACCCAATTGTTACTGCACGGTTCATCATGCTATAGCGGTGCCTTGACCGATTGGATCGGTGACAGGAGGTAAGTGGGTTGATCTAACTAAAGGTTCCTTTGACCAGTACTTCAGCAGTTTCATTATAACTAACGTGACGGACAGGATAAACTATTCCTTAATTCTGCCGACGTCTACGTTTTCAGTCTTATTGAATTCTGTCAGAATGTAAAGGGTTAAAGTAAGGATCAACAAGTTAGAAGATAAAAGCTTAAGTAGATTAGATTTATGTATTGTGGTTTGATCTGCTACATAAAGTTATCTGATTTAATCAAATCCAAATACTATAATATCTTATTCCTAAATAAAGTCAATTACTCATCCAATGCTGTCTCGGATATACAGATGAAATATTCTTCCGTAAAAGAAAAGAATTGTTCTCACAAATCTATCACTCACGGTTATTCTAACCTTCATAAGGATCCGCAATCTCTTATTTCAGTATTATGTAATAATCCAAGAGTAATATGCTGTTGGATACAACAATAATGAAGTGAGTGGTTTTTTTGGGTTTTTTTTTTTTTTTTTTTTTTGGTGGAAAATTGGAGAACTTGAAACCAACTCTTCTTTAAATCATAATAGGATATCATTATCTCATATCCTTGATCTCGTTGACTTGAACAAACATGGGCAACTTCAAAGTATTTTTGAAGAAAATTACATAAAAGTCAACAATAAATATAGTAATATGTTTACACCAAGAAATTATGAGTTTGATCACCTCCTTGAAATTCACTATCGTGTCATTGCGTCCTTATGCAAAAATGACAACAGTTCTACTCGAGCAAGAGCATATATATTCAAAACAATAGGACACAAAAGAGAATATAAGGTGATCGACCAAATACTAGACATATTGGATGAAGAGAAATTCCTGCTACAAAACATCGCAGACATGAATCTGATCACCGAATCAGATATTATGGGTAAAATATGGATGCCATTGCTGAAAAAGGTGCTATTTATCAAAGATGACCTAGTGAGAATAAAGGTCCGGGAGACGATTACTCCACATTCCCAAGAAGCGAAAATGCTTCAATACGATGATAAGAAAAATATCAAAGCCTTCAAAGTGGATATCCGGTTCATCTTTGATAAAAAACGGGAAAGAATATGACGTGGGCGCTGGTGAAGTCGCGAGAGAAACAGCAGACAAAGTAAAATTTTGCACGATAAATCAAAGCTGCTTCGGGAAGGAAAGGATGTCTTGGACGCTATCCTTAAAACAGTGATTGTGGAAAGCGATGCTCAAAAAGCGATTGGACATGCCATACAAATCAAAGGATTATGTGCACAAGTCATTTCAGTTTATTTGTCAAATACCGGCCTGTATGTTGCTATGCCTATTTGCAAGATTTACTTCCCCACCTCCTTGCTGCAGTTAAGTGATTTCATTGATGGGTTGAAAAATGTGTTCCGTTTTGTTGACTTTTTGTGCGATAATGCGAAACTATATGAATCAGCCATCATATCAAGAAATTGAAGGATCTCGTCTATTGACTTTGATTACAACACGCAACAGCGTAAAATGCCGGCTCACTCACTACTCGGTTTAATCAAACCAACTTATTACAGTCCTGTAAACAACGACCGCTTTTATTCTGTGTTTGACCTTTTAAATACAGAGGAATTAAATGATACTCCTTCTCCCACCGATATAAAAGAAAAGGAGGTTTCCAATTCTGATGTGGACGAAAATGGTTGGATCATGCTCGATGATGGGAAATGGTTTCATCCCAAAACTAACATTACTTTAAGCAAAAGCCCTTACGAATATAATTAACAATATGCATAACTATTCAAAACAGTTTAAGTATAAAGAATTTAATAAAAGTTTTATTGTAGTATTATATAAACAATTAGGTATTCATATTCGTGCAACTCAGAGTTGGGTCAAATCTTATTATAAGAGATTCTGGTACCTAGTATTTTCTATGGTATTGTTAAGTGTAAATAGCACGTAATCAAGAAAAAGCTACGAGATCAAACTAGGACATCTTTATTTTCAATTAAGTTAAAAAGTATAAAAAATAAGAAAATTTCTTCTTCATATTGTGGAACCCAGAAACTGACAGCTGACTTAAAAGAAGGCGTACGACTTCTGAACCATAAAAGAATAGACTTCTCCCTTGTGGAGTTTACGCATATACCCGGAGTTGGTGGACTTGTAAAAGCATCCATGGCTTGGTCTATTGATCATGCAACTAACCTATTTTCCCGTGCTAACCATTATGTAGTACTGCTTGCAGGAAAATAGTATTAGTTAGGAAAATGGTATTCGTGCGTGGTATTCTTTTGATTGCGTGAACAGGTGTTGTATTAGTAAAGAGTGATTGAGCCTTTTTTATCTCCAACCATACTTTATTTCCGGAACAGGGAGCAGTACCGCGACCTACTATGTTCTGGTTGTTGAATTAATACAGTAATGGCTCATGTACCAGATTGAATAACAAAGTTGACAAAGGCTCCCCTTGTTGTAGTCCACGACATTGCCGCAAAGGCTTTCCCAAAAAACTGTTGATCGATACAGAAATGGCTGTTGTATTCAACATTATATTACTCTTGGATTATCACACAATACCGAAATAAGAGACTATGGATTCTCATGATGATGAAAATAATCTTGAGTGATAGATTTGTTAGAACAATTCTTTTCTTTTTCTGAATGAAAGACCTATTCTTTTATGGAAAGTTCTGAGTCATTGAGTATTATCTGGTCATAATACATCAGTTTCAGCTATAGATCCCGATACAATCATTTCGTAGACAGCAAACACAATAAGTCTTTATTAATAGCAGTAATTTTAGTTTTCTTTTCTTTTTCTTGAGTTTTGTTTTTGAAAGAGAAATAAAGACGGTGGTTTGATTTCGTTAAGCTTTCGTGTTTATTTTCTCTTGTGTTATTCTTTACCTTTAATCTCATAGTTAAAACTAGCGAATACCACAACCTCAACTGAACTCGCCTGCTTTTTATTGTGTCGATTTACCCTTTTTTTTGTTTTCTATAGTGATTCGTTGGATTGTATGTTTCAGATCCCCACTTTGCAAATCTAATCAAACCATTTACTGTCGTCTATTTGTCTGAGCGGCGTTGACTTCTTTGCAAAGCAATTTTTGCGCATGCTTCAAGATAGATCACCTTTATTTTTGGATTGTTTGAAACGTTTTTTGCTCTTGGGCAAACAATCAAAAGTATGCAATCTTTCATTTACCTCAAAAATTCTTTCAATTTCAATTTCTAATAGTTTTCCATGTTTATATTACTTTTCTTTTATAGAGCAAACAACCCATTGTCCAAGTTTATTCCCATTTTACTTGTGATTAACAATTAGACTCTTGCTCATACCCTGATTACTATTAATTGACAAAGCCAAAATGCACAGTTGCAACAGATGTCCCTTGGTCCGTCATCAGGTAGCTTTTTTAAATATACAATGCCTTTACGACAGTTGATAAACTTATTATTGTGCTTTTAAATTATAGATATAGGATATACTTTCGCTTGTTGCCTTTTTCACTTTTTTCTTCGGCACATTTGCCATTAAAAAGACATGAAGAAACATTACAGAAACAATGTAAGTAATCAACTTTTTCTTTTGTCCTATTTCCTATTATTATTATTATGGAAACTGACACTATCTTGTATATGTTTAGTGATCTCACTTTTTACAATTATGAAACTCTTATAAGCACATTGATCAAGCAAACAAAGTTAAATCTGCAAGTGAAAACCAAAGGTACGTATACAATTCAATAAATTGATAATAAATAGAGGGCTATAGTGTTTAGATACAGTAGATAGATATATAGTTTGAGTACTTTTACAGTATGGATATAATAGTATTATTATACAAAAATAAAAGGATATATAACAAATATAATTTACTGCGCAATTATAATGAGCCATAATTCCTGCTACGAAGCGTATATGAATGGTAGAACGCAAAATAATAGAATTGCATGCTTTCACGCAAAAGAATCAATTTGCACGTTTTCACGCAAGATGCGTTTTATCACGCACTGTTATAAACTGCAACATTTCTTGCAAAAGTGCACGTTTTCACGTCATACTATCTTTTTGCGAGTTTTCTCGCAAAGTTGCGTAAATCCTCGTACCACGCAACTCATTTTGGACTTGCGAGGTTTAGCGTTACGTTCACGCAACTTTGCGAGGTAACACACAATTTTGCGTGAATTTTAGGCAATCGGTGTACCAACTAATTCTAAGGTGTATGTAATGTCCTCTATAATTACCTAGGCCAAATATATGTAATTATTCACCTAAACAACATTACATGTATTTGTGGTATTTCCATACCTCCTATAATATATAAAGACGAATTAGACACACTTTCAAGCAATTGACTCGTTATTATGATCATAGAATCATAATAACACTTGTTACACGTCATCTTGTATTTCTAAAGTTGCGCATATAAAATGCTGCATTATTACTGGCTGAGAAATTAAGGAACGAGGACTTTTTTTTATTTTTTCTTTTCTTAAATACAAACATTCAGTTTGCTGTGAACGCTCCCCTCTCTGATTTTCAGTGTATGTTGTATCCAACAGCATATTACTCTTGGATTATTACATAATACTGAAATAAGAGACTACAGATCCTTATGAAGGTTAGAATAACCGCGAGTGATAGATTTGACAGAACAATTCTTTTCTTTTACGGAATAATATTTCATCTGTATATCCGAGACAACATTGTATTAGTAATTGACTTTATTTAGGAATAAGATATTATAGTACAGTATTTGGATTTGATTAAATCAGATAACTTTATTTAGCAGATCTGACGTGTTTGGTGAGATAATAATTACAATACTCGAGTACGTACAACCAGGTAGAGAATACATTCTACCACGGTCTATCTGTTGTATACGATAAGATAAAAGTATAAGAAAAAAGAAAACAAAAGGAAATCAGTAAAGACCAAGTTATCTTCTTTTATTAAGTAGAATATTCTGATAAAGAATTGAATACAAAAACCATGTAGGAAAAAAGTACTTCTATTTATATTTGTGGATATTGTAAAAAACTTTTTCTATCGAGACTGTGATATTCTTAAATATCAGGAGTTATAGTTTAATGAGTTTTATATGTAGAGACTGAGTGAGTCAGCGAGACCGAACAATAGTTCTTGGATGATTTTATTTTGGTTTAGAAATTGAATGGTCTTTTATATGAATGCGAGGTTAAACTGAGCTTATAGTGGAATTAAGAAAGTAGTAGTGACAACCGAGTAATATTGTTCCTGTTAATGAATTGTACAACGCCACTGAGATATATCTAGATTACCAGTAAGGTTGAAGTGTGCCTGATGAAATCTTATTTGTCCCAGTGTGCCTGGAATCTTATTTGTTCCAGTACACTATAACTGGTAAAGGCAGTAAATCTGGATTGTTTCTCAGATTGTTATATGAATTAGAGGTCAGAACGTGACATTACCCCCTTCCAGGTTGGAGCTATGCTTTCTAGAAGGTAAAGTAGTTCTGGAGTAGCGTTGGAGGAACGAGCCGAGTGTAGAACTTGCGAATGAAGAAGTGAACGTATGAGTGACTGTCATATTAATCGGGCTTTAAGTATTGATTTGGTAAACAACTTGAAAGTTTTTTGCTTTTTTTGTTTATCATACTGTTCGTAGCGCGCGATGTTATGAATGACGACAATGCGAGTAATGATGAAGGTTGAAGGCGACGAAATAACCGTTGAGCTTAGCAACGTCTTTTGCGTTTGCTAGAATTATTGGATATGCTCTGGTTTTTATGCTTATGATGTTTGTTACTGGATTTTTGGTTGGCGATAACCAATCCAGCTTCACTGTTGGGTGCTTCCAACTTGCGACGATCCCAGTATCTTTTGATGGGCGAGTAGTTGAAGAAGTTATTAGCTGGTTCCCAAGTATCGTGTGATTCATCATAGCCTTTCCATCTTGTGAGGTACAGATAGTTTCCAGGAGTGCCTTTATGGTTGAGTACTGCTTCGACTTCATAGGTTTCATCTGTGGCTGATGGTGTTTCTCGAGATATAACTTTGATATGAGAAGGAGGAACATCGGTTACAGCAAGTGCACCTGTGCCATCGGCGAGATTGTAGCTTCCACCTTGAGTCTTACGTTTAACAGTGTAGTTACCAGTATAGGGAGGCTGATCCTTAGATGTACGGTTTACGTTCTTGATAGTCACTTGGCTTCCTATAGGAATATCCTCAATAATGTTATGAGTTCGGTTGAATTTGTCTTCGGAAGCTTTTTGTGAATGTTTAATCTTTTCACGTATAGCAGGTAAGACAGTATCGTTAAATTCCTTGACTTTGTCGTGTAGCTGTTTTCTGGAGGCAGAAGTATTTACTTTATCGACAGTGTCTGTATAGTCCTTGTTTTCATTAGGACGTCTCGCAAACATTAGAGCAAATGGTTGTGTACCATGTATTGCTGTGTGCGTGTTATTCAGAGCTTCTTGGGTACTGTCAAGATATAAGTCCCAGTCATCAAGTTTACCTTGGATTTGTTTGTATAGATTAGACTTTGTCTTTGCAACCCATCTTTCGGCCAATCCATTTGCTCGTGGATGATAAGCTGTGATAAGCCTGTGGTCGATTCCAGATTGTTTAACGTAGAGGTCTAAGATCTTGTTGACATATTCTGTGCCGTTATCACTCTGGATGATTTTAGGGCGGCCAAACAAGGAAAATATGCTGCGTAATTGTAATGCAACAGTAATAGCGCTTTTATCGGGAAGAGCTCTGAGTACGCAGAAACGTGTGAATACATCAACGACGATTAAGATGTATTGGTTTCCGTTAGTAGATTTAGCAAAAGGGCCAGCAGTATCAATGCAAATGTGGTCCCAAGGAGCATCGGCGTAGATAGATTTTAGTGGATGATAGCCATGTTTTGCCAAGTTGAATTTTTGACAGTCAGGACAGTTACGGACGAATTTAAGAGCATCTTCTTTGAGATTAGTCCAGTGTATACCTTCACTATGTAGAAAATTAACAATGGCTTGTGAGCCTCGATGTCCTTCGAGATGAGCTTTCAATAGCACATCATGTCTTTGTTCTGGAGCTGGAGTCATAATATCAGCGGGCATCATCATACGAGTGGTAAGGATAGAACCATCGTCGTTGACAATTTGTGATGTGATTATGGTTTTAGATGGAGTTTTACCCCCTTCCAGCGTTCTTTCAGGTTCGAAAAGACGCGATAATTTATCTGGTAGGATATTTTGGATACCAGGTCGGTGGATCACTGTAAAGTCATAATCCAAGAGAGTGTCAAGCCAATTGATCATCATAGCATTAGCGATAGGCTGTGTGTGTAAGTACGTGAGAGCCTTGTGATCAGTGTATAAAGTGAAATGGCGACCCCATAGAAATGGATGAAACTTTTTAAGTGCGAATATGATGGCGAGTAATTCTCTGCGTGTAACTGGATAATTTTTCTCAGCAGCAGAAAGAGAGCGTGCCATGAAACCGATATATCGTACATGATTGTTGACAATCTGATATAGGACGGCGCCAATAGAATAGTTACTAGCATCGGTAGCAACGTAGAATGGGATTTGCAAGTTTGGATGATGGAGTATAGGTGCATGGACCAATAATTCACGGATGTGTAAGAAGGCATGTTCTTGTTCCTGAGTCCATAGTTTATCATCGAGTTTACCAGCATGTCGAAGTTTGTCCAATGGAGCAGATACTTCGGAGAGCTTGGGGAGATACTTGCGAAAATAATTTACTAGACCGAGAAAGCGTTGGATATCTTTTCCAGATATAGGTCGAGGCCAAGATAGTGCATTAGATACTTTACGAGGATCTAGACGAGAGCCATGGGCATCAACAGAGAAACCAAGCAAGTAAACACTAGACTGGGCGAAATGACATTTTTCCGGGTTAAGAATAAGATTTACATCTGTAAGCTTCTGGATAATTTGTTGTACGTGGGAGATGTGTTCTTCAAAGGTTTTGGAATGGATAATGATATCATCTACAAAAGCTTGTGCGAAAGTGAATTCACGTAAGACGATATTGATGACTCGTTGATATCTGGAAGCAATGTGTTTCAGACCGAATGGGCAACCACGGAAATGATATTGTTGACCTTCAAAAGTAAAAGTGGTCTTGATACGATGTGGTTCATGGATCTGAAAACGATGGAATGCTTGACGAAGATCGAGAGTACTGAAAATGGTAGAACCTTGTAAGCGATCGAAAATCTCTTCAATTTTTGGAATGGGATGACGATCATTTGACACCAGAATAGAGTTGAGTAACCGAGGATCAAGACAAGGTCTGTGCCCAGTACGATTACCAAATAAGTCCTTCTTTGGAGCCAAAGTTAAAGGTGAGTTCCATTCAGAGTTTGGTGATGCACGTTCAATGACTTCATCTGCCAACCAGGTGTCTATACATTCTTGCATAACCGGTTGTAGGCTAAATGGAATTCGATATGGTGCACGATAGGCTGTTTTACCAGGAATAGTATCTAAACGTATAACAGATTCGGGTACTGTACAGAAAGAGTTTCTAGGAATCAAAGCATTCTTCTGGAGAAAGGGTTTGATTGCAGAAGTAAATAGAGCTTGCTGTTGTGTTGTACCGTAGGGTGAATTATTAGGTTCAGGTGTATCATCAACAATTTCTTTGTCAATTACAGGGCCATGGTAAGGGTGCTTGATAGCTAGGTTATTAAATGTTATATTCAATTTAGGCAATAGGTCCAAACCAATGACAACCTGTGTGTCTAAAGATAAAGGAAGAATTTCGAAAGTATGTGATGTATGGATGATCGTATCCTTTTTATCACCGTAAATAATGCTTAATGGTCGTAAGGTAGTACCGTAACGCTTGTATTCAGATGAAGCAGTAGCAAGTACAAAAGAACCAGTGACATTTTTATTTATATTTATATTATATTTAGCAGCAAAATTAATGTCTATAGCACTAAAAGAAGAACCACTGTCAAGCAAGGCAAAAGTGTTGATGTTTTCTATAGTGATAGGTATTAATAAAGAATGGTTAGTTGATGAACCGTCATTCTGTTTTGTGCTAAAGTGCATATGAGACTTACAGTCATGGTTGACTGGGTAGCCTTGTTCGTCAACATCCATCATGCTACCACTGTTATTATTTTCATTAGCGGTGTTTGCATGTGGGTTCCATTTAGACAACCATGTAGAGGTTTCGGTGTTAAGCGGCGGGGTAGTAGGAGCACCATTGGTATTGACCATATGGGCTGAACGGAATGCTCTGGTTGGAGCCGGCTTGTTAACCTTATCTCTTCGGCAGTTAGAAGCATGTTCCCGGGACCATTGTACATTATCAGTACAATTACGGCAAATATTTTTTGATTTATTTGCAAAGGAGACAGGTGCTGGTGATACCGAGTTAGTGGAAGAAGCGGAAGCGGAAGCGGAAACGGACGACGAAACATGGTTGGCTAAAACCTTTTTGAATTCCCTACACTCTTCTGTAGTATGGCCACACTTTTTATGGTAGTTACACCAGAATTGATTTGACTTTTTCTTAATTGAGCCAGAACCAGTAGACTTCTTGGAGAGACCAAGGTGATTGTTGTTGCCATTGTTGGTACCATTCATCTTGCCGGATTGGCGTACAAATGAAATGGTGTCAGACGAGGAAGAAGAAGATGCAGAAGATTTACGACTATTGGTAGTTGCTTCAGGGTGAGTGGTTCCATTGTTACAAATATCAGAGGAAGCGACCAGTCTTGCCTTGGCAACTACTTTTCCAACAGTGTCTTGCGCATTGCGCGGAAGGTTCAGGAGGGTAC